AGGTTGGCAAATGACATTGTCAGTAGTGTTCATTTCTGTAGCTTGACAAGATAGAGACGCCGCAGAGTCTAGCGGCCTCGTCTCGGTCTCCTCCATCGTCTCCCACACCGATCAAGAAGGACCAATATATTATCGTCAGCTACGCTGAGTGTCTTGCAATTGCAAGGGCCTGAAGGCTGGTCAGGGCTCAGCCTTGTCCTGTCGCGACAATCGTTGCCGGCTGGTGGAAACGGCACAGTCCTGGGCACTCAGGCTTATGCTGTCTCAGTTACAATGTAGCTACGTCCGGAAAGCAGCTGAGCTCATCAAATTAATGCGCACACAGACGAGTAATTGTGAAGTGAATAGAGTGTGGGACTCCGGCGGAGAAACAAGGTGAGGTTCACGTTTGTCACTAGACCTTAAGAGGCCTTAGCAGACCCGGCCCGACTCCACTCTCGCTTACGATTGGCGCCGCAGTAAAGTCCGGTCAAACCTCACTACATGAACCTGCTCAAGCGCCGGAACCGATACAAATGTCGGAGGTATTCACACCAGATCTCTTTCTCGCAATCTTGATAGTACAGTGACCAAGAGCGACGAGATCCTTTGGGTGGTAAAGTGGCACGCCGCCACAAGTACACCGAGAGCTCCTTCTTCAGAGTCAGCAGGTAATACACAAGCGTATGAGCAAATGCGTTGACAGAGAGAGAGTGGTTTGGACGACTAGAACGCCGTCTACCATCAATCCCATCCCAGGTGTTACCGTGGTTCATCACCTCGTCCGCAAGGTGGCCCTGCGCCACAACTAGTGCCCGTGCGAACTTTCCATCTTGAAGCTGAGCTTTGGCCGCACATTGACACAGACAACATGCTGGGTGCATCCGAGAATGGCATGTTAGAACCACGAGCCAGCCAGGTGTAACGTTCTTGACATAGTAGGTCATCGTCGAGCACCCAGTACTGGACACTTGCATGACCAGGTCTTCAACAATCCTCCGACGCCGCGACGAGGTAGTATTGTTAGAGCTACTGATACTATTAGTACATCTTCCACACCTGTGCTGAATCAATCTTGGAGCACGGCATCCGGGTTGGCATATGAGATGTGCTGTAGAATGGTTAAGGAAGTACGGCTTTTGGGAGTGCCGCTGACCCACCTCTAATCGAAAAGGGAGAGGTCTTTTTGCTGCGGTATCATCTGCCATAGCTCCTCCCACTTGAGAATAGTGCTATACTGACAGCGATTCAAGGTGATAACCCTCCTACGATGCATGCTTGCTCTATGTGGGAAAGTGTATCAGCTGAGCTCGACGTTGCTGCGGCTGCCGCCATAGATTCGCCGCCTAGCGTGTCCAGAGAGCAGAAACAAACTCTCAAGCTTGATTAATGACTTGCCCTGACACTGTACCGACCTTACATTCATCCGCTATGCCAACATGTCGAACAACGATCTCAGCGACCCCAATTTGGCCGCAGCGTACGAGCGCTTTCAACAATTCCAACACTGGCAGGAATTCCAACAATTGCAGCTGACGCAGAAGATGCAGCAGCAAGTACAGCAGCAAGTACAAAAGCAACTGCAGCAAATACCGTTGGGGCAGTAGAAGCAGCAGTAGCAACAGCAGCCCAACCCTGCTTCATTATCCCAGCCAATGCTTCAGCCGATGGTGCCGACATACATGGGTCCAGTGCCAATTCAACAACAGCCGCCACTGGTGATGTATCCTGCTCCAATGTTTCAGCCAATCGTGCCGACATATCTGCCAACATATGTACCTCCAATGCAATACCAGCAACAACCGGACGAGGGATATCTACTCGATTCCAAGCTCCCAATGCACCCAGCAACTGCCGGCGCACATTTTTACACCGTATGCTCAGAGAGCTGTAAGTGTGCTCCCCACATAGCGTACCCCGTTCTACATACGCTGATCACTCCTAAGAATCCGTTTGGACGCCATCAATTTCCGAGAACGGCACCGCACACAATGCACAGCCCGAGGAGACTTCTCAAGATCCTCCGACGATACATCGCTTCGCGATATCGGTACCTTCACACGCCCCAGCACTCAGGATTCCCAAACGGCCAAGAAATGTCCAGTTCCTCTTCAATTACACCTACAGATGGGGTTTAGGGCTCACTCAATCTGAGCTCGCAATTCGCAAGGAGCATGAAAAAGACGGATGGAGGGGCGCAGGTGCGCGATGCCATGCAAGGGGATTCAAGTGCAATCACGACGTCCAATGTGCACATTTTCTGGACAATAAAGTACAGTGTCAATATGGGCTGTGCGAGCAGCTTCCCTGCAATCGTACGAAATGCTCCATGCTGCATTACAGTGATATGGCAATGGCAACAAGCAAAGAAAGATTTTGTGCCTCCTCTCCACCAGATTCTTCACCGACGCCGACAGGGCTGGCAAACTCGTCAACGTGTATCATCTAGACCAACAGCGCCGTGATTTCCCTCGGAGTGGTGAAGCGTTGCCCTACGACCAAGCGGTCAACCGAAGAGGTTTTAACCATACGCATGGGCTCAATAGCTCGCAAGCAGACCCTTGGCAACCAGCTTTCGCGATCGCGCGTTGTGAGGAAATGGGTATAGTGGAGGACATCAGGAGGGTGAAACGCAATTTCGCCTACAATTCTCACGCCTTGCAAGAAGGTGACAGCAACTTCATCTTTCACGGCATCGATCAAAGGATGAGTTACAAGGTTTGCATACAGATCTTCCCGCGAAGCTCATCATCGTTAACTAAATCAACAGCCTTAGCGACGCAATATTGTAGACGAAAAGGCAGAGCGATAGGTCCTCACAATATGTGCCTCATCAGCATACCAATCTGATATGCTTGTGCTGATGCACCAACTCACATTCAACATGTCACCCTGCTGTTGTGCCTGCGCCAGCTACCTTGCGGTGAGGGGCGATTTGCGCACTCTCAACTTGAGTTACATACATAGCATCTCACGACGGCCTTCTGTCTGCAGCAGTCATCGCATTGCGATGGCTGAAGTGTGCCCAAGTTGTCGTGACAAATACATTTCACTGCTTCATCACAAACACTCCTCATGATCACGCCTCACTATGTGCAGCTACACAGCTCTTTAGTTTGGCTAACCGAGAGAGGGGTCAACAAGTAGCTGCATAGCAACTAAAAACAACACTCTTGGCAGCCTTGGCACCTTGACCATGCGCGTGTCGCTTTCCTTTCCAGTACGGACACCATGCTCTTGATGATCGATGGGATTTGCATCGATGATGCGCTAGAGATCGCACGTCTCACTCAGGACCACGACTTCCGGGATGGATCAATGGACTCCGAGACGCAGGAGCATGATCAACGACACTGAAAGTCCCACACGCTGGTAAAGTCGAGGAAGCCATGTCGCATGCTGCAGTCCGTGGCGCTCCTCGATAATCTAAGACGACGCCAGAATCAAGTCACGCAGCAGTCGTTTCGCTACTTTTTGCTATCTCGGGCTTGTCATGTGCAAGACTAGAACTACGTAGCAAAATACAACGAAGCGTTGTACTGATCTCTAGCTGCGCATAGAGAACATAAGAACTGGCCATGTACACAAATGCTAAGCTACACACGCCCGACTCCTGACATCTCACAACCACCATGAAGCTTCCATTGCTAGCTACTCTCCTAGGCGCATGCCTCGCAACACCATCTGGTCCTGTCTTGAACGGTGAGGATACACGCATCTTTCCAAAGACGATATCTGACGTGCTAGACAGAGCGGCAAACATGCACTGCAGGTACCGAGCCGTATGACTCCTGCCTCAATCCGTGCAAGTACAACTGTCGCGTTCAGTATCCACCTAGTCCATATGTTCCCGACTATCAGCGTCAAGAACGTCTTGGGAGGTGAGACCATGAAACTGAATATACTTCCTGCACACGCTAACACTCCGGTCAATCGCAGGTGTTATGCTGCGTGCCAGAATACCTGCAGTGGCTGCGGTTGCACAGGCTGCTCTTGAGGGAGTGGATTGATGGGTCAGTCGCATCGTGGTTTCGCTCAGCTTGGATGATAGCACCAAGAAGTCAGCAAGGGCAGTGGTCGAGGAGCATCTTCATACTCTGCTCGTAGCTTCAGGCAAAGATTTGGCTTCTCTAGCGGTCTACGGAACCGTCTCCTCAGCTTCGAAGCCAGCCTAGGCGTTCTTAATCGTGATTCTCTAGGCAGATGCGATAGGCTGTCGTATGAGCCCCTTGGCATCCTAATCACCCTCGCCATCGTCCATGATAGGCTCCTTGAGACACTGTCTGTATTGTGAAGACTGTCGAGCAATTCCAGTTCCTGCTTCGTCGATTGAAAGTCTGCTGCTTACGAGTGATATTGCCCCTGCTGTTGATATCTGCAAAGCGACAAGTATGCACCATGCTTTAGTCCAACGGGATGTAAACCATACGCTTTTAGCTCGCTAGCCAAGCTCGTCGGCGATCCATGACAGACTATATGTCTTTGGTGGATCAATACGGCTCAGCGGAAGGCGCAACGTTTTCGCTACTGCCTCTAGCTGATCTGTCTCCATAAATGTCACCCAGATCCTGTTCCTACCCATGTGGCCCTGACGATCGTCGACGTCCAATGTTTCGATGTTCGACTGACGTTGGTTCCTAGCAAGGCGGCTCTAAGCTTCTGGACCTTATCTGATCGACACGAGGGTCATGCCGACCCAGCTGGCCGAGTATTGAACGTCGAGTGGCAGTTGTCCAGTTAAAGATGCAAATACCAACCCTTCCAATTGCGATGCCGGAGCAATGACATATCCCCACTTCCGCTCCACCTCATACGGATGGCAGACCGCATACAAAGCAGCGTCCTATCAAACACTGGTTCAAGTACAATCCTGTTAGAGACCGAAACCGCACACGCAAACCACAAAATCATGACACAAGCCCATATTTTCGCTATCTTCACGCCAGCGAGCGGCAAAGCCGATAGGGCAAGCAGCCACTACAGCATTCGACAACGCAATAGCTAATTACACCTCTTGATAGCTGCGCAAGCTGCTCAAAGATCAAAGCTCTCAAGTCCATCAGAAAGAGGACTACGCCGTCCGCTTCCTCCTGACCGAATCACTCGACAAGCAGAACCCGGAGTTTTGGCTGTTTGAGACGTATGTTCACATACCAGCTCTGTTCGAGAACGACACTGATAGTCAGTACATAGCTACACTTCCGCAGAAGCGACCAACAAGCATACCGATGAGTCGCACTTCAAAACCATGACAGCTGCCTTTCAGAAGGAAGGTATTTTGGCCAAGCCTCCGCTCGTGGCGAAGACTTCGACAGTAGCTGGGTTCGATCTCGATCGGAAGCTCTTGTAGGCGTGAGAATGTAGCAATGCGGAAGTGAATGTCAGGCATTCTGTCTCATCCCACTTTCGTGCCAATTCCCACAAACACGCAATCCATCTCCTCAATCTTGCCTTCTTCGTTCGCGAGCCTAGCCCATTCTTCCTTGAAGATCTTCCTAGCCTCATTCTTGATCTCTGGGCGCGACAGTAACTCCGCGGCCCAGTGGTCAATATGCTTGTCGAACACATCGTCGGCATCCTCAATCGTGTAGAGCTTATCAAGACGTGGATGAGCCGGATCAGTCATGTACGCCATGATACCCTCACCCGCATTAGCTGCTTCGAGCTGCGATAGGGAAACAATGTGGTTGTCTCGCAAACCCGCCTGTTCCATCAAGAGCTGTAGATCCTCTGGTTTCTGGAAGGGTACTCGGTAGAAGGGAAGAGGACGATTGAGTCCTCTGCCCACTCGCTCAAAGGTTATGAGTGAAATCTGACTTGCTGGGTGCGTAACGTCTGTGATGAATTTGCCACCAGCTTTGAGATAGACCGCCCACGCCTTGATTGCCTGGCCTGGATTCTGGAGTAGTACCAGCACAGAAGCACACATGATAGCGTCGAATTCCTTTCCACGCAAGACGCTAAGAGTATCGAGATCGGTAATAGAGTGCTGATGGAACTCGACATTCTCAAGATCGTGATTCTCGAGTCTTGAGCGTGCTTGCTGAAGCATACCGCTGCTAATGTCGACGCCCGTAACGCTTCCGGTTTGACCAACAGCCATACTCGCCGCGAAAGTGACTAGTCCTGTGCCCGATGCCAAGTCGAGAACATGGTCGCCGGGCTTGAGATCAGCCAGCTGAACCATATGGTGGGCGAAGAGTGGATGCCAGCTGTCGTCGTAGTGAGCAGCGCGGTCATCGTAGAGCTTCTGGGCATCTTGAACTTGATGACGCGATGTTGTGCTTGCCATGACTAAAGACGAGGGATAATACTAAAGATCAGTAGCCACCAGGAAGGTGATGATGTTTGAGTATGGTCTCGACCAAACGAGATGCTTCGGATTGGGTCTGCCGACAGGGCTCGATCATTGCAATAGCAGACTACATCGGGTTCACAGAAGGTACTGATGCCTTGCCGTCTTACATAAGCTCTGATAACACCCCTCGCATGGCGGCCACATGTTTGGTGGAGGTGGAGAGTTCCAGAAACATGTGATGGGGTGGAGATGGTGATGCTTGGCACTCGTGACATCACTGCACTAGTTCTAGCGAACAAGTTGGTTACGAGACACACTCTTTCACACGCACGTACGCCGATAGCCGGAAACCACACCACTCCAGTCTATAGCCGACCACCTAGACATACCCCTTGCATAGCACGAACATGTCGGCCAAGATCCAAAAGGTTATTGCTAGACAGCAGGCAAAGTATGGCTATCAAGTGAGACGCAACGCAAGCAGGAACTGACCATCATGACAGAATCGAGGAAGGCGACTACTACGAAGCCCACCAGCAGATACGAACCATCGCCAACCGCTATGTCCGCTCCGCCGACTACACCAACGCCGTCGACCTGCTAGCGACCGGCGCCTCACTACTCCTCAAGGCCGGTCAGGGCGGGTCCGGGGCAGACCTGTGCAATTATCTCGTTGAAGTCTACCAAAAGGCGGAGCTGAAACCCGATGTACCGAACAAAGCACGGCTACTGGGCCTCCTACGCGCCTTCCCTCCCAATGAGCCCGCCAAGAAGAAGTTCGTAGGCGGGATAGTGGAGTGGTCGAGTAAAGAAGGCGAGTTTCCAGCTGGTGACCCAGAACTTCACCATGTCATCGGCACACTCTACGCAGAAGAAGGTGAGGCTTACGACGCGGAAAGACACCTCACGCTCGGCACCTCGGACTCGGCACAAGTCTTCAGCGATATGGAATATGAATGGTACAGCAGCGACGAGCCCTCGACAGCACCCTCCTATGTCGCACGAGCCGTCTTCCCCTACCTCCTCATCGGCAGCACCCGTGCAGCCAACAAGACTCTACTCCTCTTCACGAGCAGACTAAGCACCTCCCACCCGGGTCTGGGCGTCCAATCAATATCCTCACCCAGCAGCGACATCCGAATCTACCCCTCCCTCCCACTCCTCAACTTCCTTGGCCTCCTCCTCCTCGCAGTGCAACGTGGCAGCAGCGATCTTTTCAAGCAGCTAAAGACACACTACGCCAGCCACCTCAAAGAAGCCGGATGGGAAGAGCCACTAGCGCAGATCGGAGAGATGTACTTTGGGATCAAGATACCCAGCCAGAGCAATCCAATGTTTGACATGATGAGTAGCATGTTGATGGGAGGAAACAATCCATTTGCAGCGAAGAAGAAGGAGGATAAGCGGGTTAGTGCTGGCTCGGCTTCGACAGGGACGAGTAGTCCGGCTCCTGCGCCACCTGCTGTTGATTGATGTGCATAGCAATACATTCAGATCATGAATTTTTGGACGGCCGCTTCTGTCCAGCAATCTCAACAATGCTCGAGTTTCTGCAACAATGTACCGCCTTATGAAGCCAGCTATGATTCTTGCATCAAGGCGAAGGCGGACTAGTTTTGAGCAGGCAACTAGCAAAAGTTGTCAGATCGCGCAGCAGTCTCTCATAAAGCAGCTGCTGTGTTGTAATTCATAGTCACCACCAAATTTGTGCGCATATCATCGAGTAGATCAATGCCTTTTCCAGCTCCATCATGGTTTGCGATGTCGGAGCTGGACCTTGAAGGTACGTTCAATACCCAGAGCCTATTATGCGGCCACATATCTCATCTACATGAGTGCGTGGTGCCACAGACAGTGTAAGACAATGAGATAATGGAGGTCACGAAGTTGATCAGCACCAAGGAGATCGCCAAGCACAAGTCCACGTCCGACTGCTGGATTGTCGTCGACGACCAAGTATGGGACGTCACTGATTTCGCGCCAGAGCACCCTGGAGGCTCATCGCTCATAACGAGATATGGAGGTCGTGATGCTACCAAGGCGTATGCTGAATATCATGGTTGAGCATAATCGAGGACAACCTGCCACTAGACAACTTCATCGGCAACCTGGATCGATCAACAATCAACGTCGACTGGGCACAAGACCCGGCAAGCAATGTCAGTCCCTCTTCGAATCCAACACAAGTCAGATCAGACAACGAAAAGCCACCCTTACACTCCATAATCAACAGCTATGATTTCGAAAAGGTCGCTGCTGAGACGGCCTCGAAGAAAACATACGCCTTCTACTCGACCGCCGCGACCGATTGCTGGAGTCGAGATATGAACGAATCAATGTATAAACGCATCTGGTTCCGACCACGAGTGATGCGAGACGTCTCCAGAATCGACACTTCCACCACCATTCTAGGAAACAAGGTCAACGTACCACTCTTCATCTGCCCAACCGGTCTAGCCAAGATGATCCAACCCGAAGCCGAGAAAGCACTCGCTCGGGCCGCACAATCGACTGGTATACTCGAGATCTTATCGACCAGTGCCAGTCATCCCGTTGAGGACATCGTTGCCGAAGCACCAGGACATCCGTTCTTCTTCCAGCTGTACGTGAACAAGGATCGACGGAAGACGGAGGAGTTGATCGCAAGAGTCAACAAGCTGGGCTTCAAAGCCATCTTCGTGACGGTCGATGCTGCTGGGAGAGGCAAGCGGGAGAGCGATGAGAGGCTGGTGGTAGATGAGCTGGTCATGAGTCCCGTGACGGGCGAGCGTGCAAAGACGGATAAGAAAGGTGGTGGATTGACGAGAATGATGGGGTCTTTCATCGATCAGGCTTTGACGTGGGAGGATATTGCCTGGGTTCGTACGCTTACCGACTTGCCAATCGTGCTGAAAGGCATTACCACGGCAGCAGATGCGAAGTTGGCAATGAAGCACAAAGTTGATGGAATCCTGTTGAGTAACCACGGCGGGCGGAATCTCGACTACTCACCTCCGTCAATTCTGCTTCTACTTGAGATGCACAAATGCTGCCCCGAGATCTTCGACAAGATGGAAGTCTATGTCGACGGTGGGATACGTCGAGGTGGCGACATAATCAAAGCGCTCTGTCTAGGCGCCACAGCAGTAGGCGTAGGCCGGACATTTCTGTACTCTCTAGCCTACGGCACAGAAGGAGCAGAACATCTAGTCGAGATCTTGAAGGACGAGATGGACAGTTGCATGAAATTGCTAGGTGTCAGGGACTTGTCGGAAGTGCATCCGGGCTTGGTGAATACCAGTGACGTCGACCACTTAGTTCCAGGACCAGAGGCAGGAGAGGGATATCCGTATGCGAAGTGGAGGCCACGACCACGATCGAGATTATGAGGGTGTCGATGCAAGAGAACACCTTGCTAGCCATCAAGAAACCCACCTTCGAGCGCACTTCCTTTTCGGGTTGATGGCGGCCTGAACTTCCTAATCGGGCTTCCCGCTGTTCACTACAACGACCCCATCTCTTGCAGCCAAGCCATGCTTTACCGGAATGACACACTCCGACAGCGATGACTACCAGTGCTTGTGGGAATTGACACCGCATTCCCTGTCTCGAGATCGTCCTTGGTCAGCAAGAAGTGCTTTACAATGACTTTCGTACATTCCAGTGTGCGTCATGAGCGAACATGTGAGCACTTGTCCCTCTCTTCAGCGAAGGGAGGCGGGTAGCGCTATGAAGAGGGTGGATCGTCGGGACTTGTCACAATAGAGATCAGAGATAGATATAAAGGATGGAGGAGCACTCTCCATAATCCTCAGAGCGTCTCCTTTACACAAACGGACACAATTGACCTGCAACACATTGTACCTTGCACTGCCTCCGTCCATCCCAGAAAATTTTTCACAGCAAGCCATTGAGATGGGGAAGCACTACGGCACAATGTCAGCACCGGTCACACCACGCAAAGCATCCGCGTCAAGCACGAAAAGCACCGCCTCGAGCACTCCCTCAACCTCCACCTTCTCCTCCCCAACCTCCACCCGCTCAGACGGCTGTCCCTTCAGCCCCGGCATCGTCTTCGACCGCAAGCCCTCCTCACCCCTCCCAAATGCAAACACTCTCTACGTCGTCGTCAAACTCGCCGACCCCTTCAAGCTCGACGCCATAGCGGGCAGTACCGTACTACCAAGCAGGTAAACCCTCCAGTCCACCCGAAAGGCAGCCCGATATACCGCAATACTCACTAACGAGGTATCAGACCACCCAAGCGTCCCCTGCTCGCACGTCTGGGAACCCGCCTTTTCGGCCCAAAAGACACGCACACATACAAAGCGATCAAGATGCCCCGAAGCGCCTATAACGCGCACTTCCGGCGTGATGCTCGGCGTAATTACATCGAAAGTGAAGCAGAGCGGGAATGGACGGAGGAGGAATTGATGGCGGAGTTTGGCGAGTTTCAGGATCAGCCGTTGGGGAAGGTGGGGTTGTGTGCGATTTGATCCTCATTCGTCGTCGTTATCGAGGGCAAGGGTGTTGAAGGAGTGGAGGTGATAAGAATGCGAGTGCATTCCATATGTGTTGTAATTCACTCGCTCCCCTTACAGCTCGTACCTCCACAGGCCCATGGTCACCCTGCAGCGGAAAAGCTCTGTTTGAGATGTCTGCAGCATCTAGTCATAATCATTCCTCCCCCCCACCATCTCCGTCTTCTCATTCCCCCTCGCCCTCCTCCCACCCTTGAAATGCTTCTTCCCCACCCCCGCCCCCTTCATCTCCGCCGGATCAACCCCCTTCTCCATCGCCGCCACCATCTTGGCCTTCCGTCCCGTCAATTCTTTCCCTTGCTGAGAGTACTTATGATGGAAAGGCTGCACGACCCTGCTATCCCCCTGACCGGGCGCGAAGAAAGCTTTGTCGAGTCGTTTGCCCTTTGCACCGGAAGCTTGGGGAGGAGGGATGAGGTCCGGGTCGTCCATTAGGCTTATGTCGTCTGTACCGTTCAATGATGCCTCAGCTGCGGCGGCGAGGTGTGCGCGGCGTTTCTGCGGGAGATGCGCTTCGTCGTACAGTTCGCGATTGAACTCTCTGCCATCGATCGGTGGGTCCATAGGTGGTGGATGACAGAACAAGAGCTTCCCCTTGACATAATCCTTGAGCACACTCCTCGCAGCCCGACTCTCATCCGGTTGACCCTGCCCTTGCGTCATGAAACCTCGTGCTCTAGCATACGATCTTAACACTTCCTCGCCAGTTGGCATACCTGTACCACCTTCCTCGAGTGGTCGGGTGGCGATCTTCATACCGTAAATCGCCTCCAGGAATGCTTTTGGGACGCGCTGCGCAACCAGTGCACCAGGGCCAGTGTATTCTCTTAGCTGATCGATCGGAAGGACACCCGCACACACGAGTTCCGCCTTTGTAGTAGCGAAGTTGGGGAAGACGAGACCGGGACAATCGCACAAGATGACTCGGTCTGATAAGTGGATGGTTTGGAAATGCTTCGTTTTGCCAGGCGTTGCCGAAACGGACACCTTTTTCGCGCCGAGGAGGGCATTGATGGTGGAGGATTTACCAACATTTGGGTAGCCAACTAGACCGATTTGTGTTTTGCGTTGGCGGGTAGAGTCAGAAGTCTCTGTCGGTGCGGGGTGTTTGGGCGAGTGTTGTAGAAAAAGTTCTTCCAGGTCGTCCGTGGTGAGGATGCGAGTTTGCTCTTCGACGGGTAGAGAGACGCCGTCGAGTTCCTCATTCTCACCCTCCACATTCTCTTCATCTTCCCACTGATCGTCTTCTTCTTCCTCATCTTTCAGATCAACTTGCTCAAGATCGCGGTTTAGCTTATCATTTGGCAGATCGATCTCCTCCTCGACATCATCCTCATTAATCTCATCATCCTCGTCCTCTTCATCATCATCATCATCATCATCTTCCTCTCCCTCATCCTCCAACCCGTCAAACGCATTCCCTCTCGCCTCATTCATCTCCCTCGCCAATTCAGCAGAGAAAAAACGGAAATTAATCCCCCTCTCCACGAACCATTCAGCCCACTGTTTTCGTTGCTCCAGGGTCATCATATCCGCCTTGTTGACCAACAACAAATTCCTCTTCCTCTTGTCAACCTCCTTGACATATCTCTCCAGATCCTCACATCTGAAAAGTAAGGGATTCCTGGCATCCACAATCTGCACCACCAAATCACTCCGCTCAATCACCCGCCACAACTGCCTCCACACCTCCAGATTCCGCTCAAAGGGCGTCATGAGCAGATCGTCGATCTCCTGCAACTCCGCCAACCCTCGCCGCCAATCGAGCAGACTCGCCCTCTCACTCTCATCCAACTCCCTTGCCGTCGTATTCTCATCCCACTTCGGCCGTCTCGGGACCGTCAACCGTGCCCGCTTGGCATTCTGTTTCCTCACCACCCCTCGCTCCTCATCACGTGTGAGGAGGTAGGGGTTCTTCTGGTCGACATGGATGATTTTGACATTATTCATCTTCTCCGCCGTGAAATCCGTGCCGGCCAACTCTGCCGTACTCAAAAACTCGTCCAAGGCACCCTGTTCGGTGACGGAGCGCATCTTCATCCATTCCGCCTCCTTTTTGCCGGGGGTGACATAGTCGTTGCCATTCATGTCACGACGGACGATGGAGCCGGATTGTTGCGCTGATACACGATGTTGGTCCGTCTTTTTGTTGCGCCCGAAGCGGTCGTTCATGAGCGAATTGCCCAACCCGACCGCATTCTTACTCTTGGCTAGAGGCATATTGATTGATCGACTACACTGTTGTTGTGTAATGTATTGGGAGAGAAGAATTGGTCCGTGAAGGCGAATCTTCCTCCACCCCCACATGCGTCACCTCGCCGCCAAGATTTCACATTTCACATTTCACATGCAAAAAGTCCCTCCTCCATAACAATTTCCATGCCGGCACACAACAGTCACAGACACATCAACCGCCAACATGCCTCCCCGCCGCAAGTTCGACAAAAAGACAGCAACAACATTTCAACTCGTCCACCGCGCCCAAAATGATCCCCTCATCCACGACGAAAATGCCCAAATGGTCTTCCAAGAAAAGGCGTCCACCACCCGCCGACCAACCGAAGATGACTACGCCCACTCGGATGTCGCCTCGCAAATCTCCGGGACATCAGAATACCGAAGCGATAAGACACGACAGCGTGGCGATCTGGAAGATGAGTTCGGCATGGCTGTGAGGCGGAACGAGGGCGAGGCGGCAGAGCATGGAGTGTTTTACGATGATACTTCGTACGATTACATGCAGCATATGCGGGACTTGGGGGGTGGGGAAGGAGCGGTCACGTGGGTTGAGGCCAAGTCAGCAGCACCGCAGAAGAAGAAAGGGAAGCAGAGTCTAGCGGATGCGTTGCGTGGGATGGAGTTGGGTGAGGGTGAGGGTGAGGGTGAGCACTCGGTCAGAGGGAGTGTGGCGGGAGACAGTGTGGCGAGTAGTAGTGCGAGGAGTCTTTTGCCCGAAGAAGTGCTGCCGAGCGAGTTTGTGAAGAAATTCTCGTATCAAGACCAACAGGATGTGCCGGATGAAATTGCAGGTTTTCAACCCGACATGGATCCACGACTACGAGAAGTACTCGAAGCGCTGGAGGATGAGGAGTATGTGGACGACGACGAGGATCTACTAGCCGAGCTCACATCAGATGGATACGAAGTAGAACGCGACGAATGGGAGAGATTAGGCGAGCAACAAGTCTTTGATGATGAGGACGAAGAGGGCTGGGAAAGCGATCACACCATTCGAGCTGCTAGCCCACCGCCACCTCTCTCCACCGAGACTCTCCCTCTCGATCTACCAATAGGCGAAGCAGCGGTCCCACCAGAAGACGTCCAAGCCCAACCACCGGCCGATCCAACCCAGGGCGCCTGGCTAGACGAATTCAAAAAATTCAAACAAGCCGCCAAGACCGCAGATAGAGCTGCAGACACCAAACCAGCCGCCACACCCTCCGCCCTCGATGCCTCGGTCATGTCCTCGCTCGCGTCCGGTCGAAGGAAGAAGCGCAAGGGCGCCAAGACCAGCACGACGAATTACTCCATGACCTCCTCCGCACTCGCACGTACAGACCAGCAGAGTTTGCTGGACGATAGATTCGACAAACTAATCGACAAAGGAGACGCACTAGATGACATCTTTGAAGACGAGGAGTCCATCAGCGGTCTTCCGGACAATGCATCCCTCGCCTCAGGCCTAACATCTGCCTCCAAAGCGTCCCGCATAAGTCGCTACTCCACCACCAGCGGTATGAGCGGCATGTCCGGTATGAGCTCCTACTCCCGGGTCACAGACTCCGAAGCTCCGCAATTAATACGGACGGATTTTGATAATGTCATGGATGAGTTTCTCGGCGCGCACTCCAAGGCTGGGAAGCGCGGAAGGTATCTCAAGCGTGTTGGGCCTCAAAGCGGGATGGAGCAGTTGGATGAAGTACGCAAAGGCTTGGGACCGGCGAGGCTGAAGTCGAGGGTGGCGGGTTCGTGATGGAGGTTCTGTTCGCTATTTGCTCAGAGTCCAAGGCGTAAGGACATGGTTGCTTCATTTTAGCGTAGGCGTTCATTGTTCCCACATTGATAGTGATACCCAGACATTCAGTAGAGAAGTAATTCACCCAGAATCCGAGATGGTCGCTTTCACGAATTGAAGATCCGCGAATAAAGCAACTCATGCCTCCCCATCCACAAATCCATCATCGGCACCATGACAGCCGCATCCTCCACTTTCATCATGACCCCATGACCATTCCCACCACTCCCATCTCCATCCCGCTGCTCACAACACCTTCTAATCCATCCCTGCAACTTCGCGGATGCAAGGACACCCTGACTTTGATAAGGACCCATGACCCCCGCCCTCACAGCCGCCGAAAGCACGGCTTTAGCGTGGGAGAGCAGGAAAAGGTATTTCGTTTCTTCCACTCCAAGGCCAAGAGCACGACACACAAGGCCGAAGAGAGGCGGGAAATGGCCGTTGAGTTGGAGGCCGAGGCGGTCGGGTTTACTTGTTTTTAGGGCGGTGGCGAAGGATGTCAAGGTCAAACTAGCTTCTTCAGCTTCGAGATTCGATGGGGAGACAGAGGTGCTCAGCGCGCGCTCCCAGATTGTCAGTAAAGCGCGTCCTTGTGTTAGGCTGGCGCGGCGGGCGACGGTACACGGTGTACTTGCGTCGAAATCGTTATCTAGCCCTTCCATCACCTCGTATTTCGGAGAGTGGTAAGCAGCTAGAACATAAGGGAGGGCTGTGGATGAGAGGTTGAAGAGGGAGTGTTCTAGGAATTGCTCAAAGTCGTGTGACTTGTTAGTTGGTGGTGAGGATTTGCTGTTGAAGCTGGTAGTCTTGGCGTGGGCGAGGTAGGATTCTAGACCGGAGGAGAAGGCGAAGGAGCCGAGTGGGAGGGCGGAGTCTGAGAGTAGGAGAAGGGCGTGGAGGTTTGATGCTGCAGTCATATTGATTGGTGATGTTATTCGGGTTGCCGTGGAGTTTGAAGTGCGAGACGTTCACTACGCTGTCAAGAGGTCCGTGCCATTCACACTGCGTGAGGTTTGGTGATTCGAAATGTTCGAAAGCGTGAGGTCGCTCCTCACGCCTCACGCCTCACGCCTCACGCGACCTCAGCCTTACTCCGCCCCTTACGCGGCACGATTGATCTTTCGTTAACAGAGACGAAGCTGCTGAAATGTTCCGTCCCGGACCTGTGGACAGGTGATCTAACATACAGACTATGAGATGTGGCTGATCCACGTCGACACGCGAAAACTACATTGGCACGCCGGCGAGACGCTTCCTCGATATGCTATCCTCTCGCATACCTGGGGAGACAATGAGGTCACCTTCCAAGACATGCACCACCAGATCGACAGAAGCATTCACGACAAAGCTGGCTATCGCAAGATCGACTTCACCTGCAACCGTGCCAAAGCAGATGGTCTTTACTGGGCCTGGGTAGACACTTGCTGTATCGACAAGAGTAGCAGTGCCGAGCTTTCGGAAGCCATCAACTCCATGTTCAGATGGTACCACAATGCCAGGGTATGCTACGCTTATCTCGCAGACTTCATCCACAACACAACAGCAGACGGACCAACTTTCCGAGGACACGACTCCTTCAGCAATAGCAGGTGGTTCACTCGTGGATGGACACTGCAAGAATTGATCGCACCCGGATTTCTCAAATTCTACGATTGTACTTTCAACTTCATTTGCTCTCGTGGCCAGATCGTCTCACAGCTCGTGTCAATCACTGGTATACCCGGCGAATTGATGCACGTGATAGAGCCGACCCAGACCGACTCAACGAGACTTATCGAAGCCTCGCACGCTGTAGTATCGCACAACGAATGTCGTGGGCGTCTCGGAGACGATGTACCCGGGAGGAAGACCGGGCATACTCTCTCTTCGGCATATTCAGCGTCAATCTCCCCATGCTGTACGGAGAGGGACGCGGCGCCTTCACTCGATTGCAAGAAGAAATCCTCAGAACGTCCACAGACCACAGTATACTGGCTTGGCGGTACACTGCTGATACTGCGCAGCCCCATTGTCAGCGCTATCTCCTTGCGCCGTCTCCACAAGGTTTCTTCGATGGGAGCAGCGTCGCAATCAAGCCTAGCTTCACATATGCAGCTCGCCCTTACGACATGACCAACCTCGGCCTCAGAATGACGGTTCATGTGGCTGAAGTGACTTCCGATCGCTCGTATCCGGGTAAGAAGGCCTTGAGTGTGGCCTCGGACTGCATCGAGCCGGCTGACGGATCTGATGAACCACCCACAAGGTATTTCTTGACGCTCTTTCGAGTCGACGAGACAGCGGACGTTTACCATCTAAATCGATTTGCTGCACCGCTATATGCGGCGAAGAGGTCTCTTGACAATTACAAACAAGACACTATTTTCGTGCTACGTGACTTTGGGCAATCCTGGGAGTTCAAGAACGAGACTGAGTATGTGGACCCGACCACCGAGGGCTTGATCGGAAGCGGTGATAGTGCTCACTCGAAGCCGAACAGCCCAGGCCTTGCCCGTAGTGAGACGAGTCTCGTAGGCGCAAAGCGTCGGAAGCTATGAATAATCCATTGTGCAGTGTGTCAATGTGAGCTTCCCGACGATCGATCTCACGGCAGGAATTAGAAGCTGATCCGCAATGATCACACACCATACGCCAGCTCAAGCGAAGGGTCCTGAGGAGTGAGATGCTCAAGGACATCGTTCTGCTGAAATTTGCCAAAATGAGATAATTTCCAGACGTGAAATATCCCGCCCGTACGCTCTATAGTCATATCTTATATACGTAGCGATAATGACATCGTGTCATGGTCTTGTACTGCTTTGACAATGCAAGATGGTACGCTTCGTAAAGCTCGTATGTTCCTCGCTTGCAGCCCCACGCATATGATTTGCACATTCGTAAAACGAGTTGAGGCTGAGAACAGATCTCTAACGAGACGTACAAAGATGATGATCTCAGCAGCTGCTATTCTTATTTCTCTCACATCCAGACTCGCTATGTCATAGAGCTATTGAGACGAAGTGATGACCACAGCAACCATTCCTAGTGTCGCCGTGATTGGGCTAGGCGCCTTTGGATTGGTGACTGTCAAGAATTTACTTGAGGTATGTCTGGGATTCCATCAAGCAATTCCCGCCAGGTCGTAGTCTGACACAGTCGTACAGGAAGGCTTCGATGTCACAGGCTTTGATCGCAACAGCTCCGTCGGTGGACTCTGGAGCCTCTCACCCGAAGCGACCGTCTCAGCGCTGTCATCGACCAGTGTGAACGTTTCACGAGAGCGAGGATGCTTCACCGACTTCCCATTCCCAGACGAGACTGGATCCTATCCCACGGCTGGTGAGGTCAAGAAATACCTAAACGACTACTGCTCACACTTCAACCTCTGGCCGAATCTGCACCTGCAGACTTCGATTGCTGGTATTCAGCGAGATGAGGAAGCCAGGAAGTGGAGGCTTAATGTTGTGCGAAAGGGTGGCATCATTGAGAAACTGTCGTTCGACAAGCTCGTCATCGCCACTGGACCACAGAATGTGCCTGTCATACCCGACATACCCAACGCCAACGTCTTCAAAGGCACGATCACCCACTCAGCTACGTTTAAAGATCCCACCAAGTTTGCCGGTAAGAACGTCGTCGTCCTCGGCATCGGCAACTCAGCAGTAGACACTTCAACCTCCCTCATCGGCCACGCAAACAAGATCTACCTGGCGCACCGCAGTGGCTGCCTACTCCTGCCACGTATCTTAAACGATGGAACTTCACTCGACCATGCAGCCACTTATCGTACCTTCGCCATCCGTGACTTCCTCGAGACGTTTGTACCACAGCTTGCCGCGCGCTTCATCGACAATATGGTTGCCACGATACAGAAGACGCATTATGACTTTGACCCGCAGTGGCGAATCGATACTCCTACGCCATCGCTCACGAAACGAAACCCTACCGTGTCGTACTTTATCTACGATGCTCTACGTGAGGAGAAAGTGATCTCTACGCATGGGATCAAGAGGTATGCCGGGCCACGATCTTTGGAGATGGATGATGGTACAGTCCTGGAAGATGTCGATGCAGTCGTGTATTGTACTGGCTATCAACTCGAATTGAGCTGGCTCGGGAAGTATGACCCAACAGTCATCAACCCTGATACCGCTGATGAGAAGCAACACGATTACGCCGCACCTCGTTTGTACCAGAACATCATATCCCACGACCAACCAGACAGCCTTGCATTCATCGGTCTCGCACTTACAATCTTCCCAGCATTTGTAATCGCGGATTTGTCGGCCATGGCGCTAGCTCAGATGTGGAGCAAGCCAGAACTCCTACCTTCAGACCACGAGATGCAAGACCGGCTCGCGAAGCATAAAGCCTGGCGAGCTCGCGTCAATGTCATGGCCAATCCTGCTGGTAAAGGTCCGCCACCGCTGCAAGTCGAGACGGGACATTTCTTGGCTTGGGTTCAGGATGTAGCGGGCACGTGGGTCAATGAGCATCTGAGTTATAACAGTCTTGCAGCTTGGATATTGTGGTGGCAAGATCGGGAGTTGAGTAAGGTGCTGATGGATGGCGTCAATTCGCCTCATTCTTATAGGCTGTTTGACAGTCATGGTCGGAGGAAGGCCTGGGGTGGTGCACGAGATGCCGTCTTCCATGTCAACGAGGAAGTCAAGCGGAGGGTCGAGGCTAGGAAGGCCGATGGGAAAGTGAAGATCATATCTGGAGGTGTAATTGCCCATTCTTGACCTTGGTTGAACTTCCAGGACTGATACCTGAACATTTGAGACTCGGCGGAAACCTGAGTGGACAGATGACATGAGCCGTTCGAAGACCACAACGTGGAGGGAAGTCTGTCAAGCCACAATCGCATCTTCTATCTCATAGACCCAAGCTGCTTGTTAGTCTTTCTGGGTGCGGCCTTCCTGAGAAAGAGATAGTATAATTGTCGGGCAATGAATCCTGTACACCGTATACTCGATAGCAGATGCGTGGACATGATACGCTCTGCATCGAAGGCGATTCTTCCTCCATCATGAGGCTGCCAAGTTCGGCTCCTCCGCGGCATCTCTGCTTTCTGATTCGACGCAAGAAGAGGAGTTGTCCAAGGACTCGTAAGATGTCAACCATCTTCTTTCCCTTCCACTTCTATCGCCCGCGTGCTGGCGTCGAATAGCCAGGCGAGAGTATTCTACAAGGCAACAGAGTAGATGTTGGTGGGTCTAGGACCACTGCTCGCTATCTGCGCCGAATGTCGGACCCTCAAGACCGGCGCCGGTCCGGTCGAAAGCCCAGAATGGTGTCGAGTATATGCATCTGCCATTGTTGACTGTGCGGTGTGATATGTAACCCCCAAGAGCTTGATATGGCAATAGCCTGTCCATTCAACTTGCCCCAGCAATCACTTCACCGGTTGCACACCATCAACGCTCACAAGGACCAAGAATACCATGGCCAACCCTAAGAAACATGTCGTATTCGACGTTGTCGGAACCTGCGTATCATTTGATGCCTACTACGAAAGGATAGACAAGGTCATGGGCGCGAAGCTTCGCAAGCACACCGTCACGGCACAGCACTTTGGCTTTACGTGGCAGACTGCAGCCGAACTGGAGTTCACATTCCTATCGATTGCTGGAAGCTACAAGCCCTACCAAGATGTCCTGCGTGGCCTTTTCTATCGCACTCTCATGCTATGCGGTGTTTTGGGGCCGCGGAAACTCGCCACCGATGACGATCGCGAACAGTGCATCGAAGGATATTCCAACTTGCAGCTGCGTCCAGGCTGCCGGGAATGCTTCCAGTTGCTTCGCGACAATGGCTTCACGGTCTGGTGCTTCACTACTGGCGATATCAAGCGTGTCAGAGGCTACTTCGAAAGTGCTGGTGTCGACATGCCGCTGGACAATTTCATCACCTGTGACAGTGCAGGGGTGGCAAAGCCCGCTCTTCCGGCATATGAGGCTGTCTGGAAGAAGCTTGGTGCGAACGATGTGAAGTGGTTTGCGGCAGCTCACATGTGGGATGTGGCTGCGGCAACGAAGGTCGGCTTCCGCGGAGCCTGGACCGCAGTGTACGAGAAGGAGGCTTGTGTGGATGTTTTTAGTGACGCGAAGTTAGAGGTGGTCGCTGATGGACTCGTTGAGATGGCAGAGGGGATCGTATCAAAATCATGATCTGTCATGCTTAGCATATCTGTATCCCTTAATAGTGATCTGGCGTTGAGACAACGGTAGTCCTTTCGTAGTCGTCTGACTCGAGATACGGGCAAGGTGTTCAGGGGCGGTGCCGAAGAGTCGCAGCGAACTCTTCGCAAAGTAGCCGAAATGTTTGTGACCAACGTTGACCGAGACAATTCTGGAGAAAAGGCCTTTCTGCTGCTTGTTAATAACTCGACAGTAGCGTTGTGCTTCGAATGATTTAGACAAAACGAAGGACCGATTTTGCTTCGTGGCGTGCGGGGCAGCTCCACCATCGCTATCTGCATTGTTTGCTCCAAAGATACCACCGATAGGCATCGCATTCCCACGGGTCACGACTATCGCCTTGGGCGGTTCACCGTGGTCGAGTCATTGGTAGGCAGCGGACAATCTAAGACGTCCAATTCTGTAGGACACATTTCTAATCCTAGACATCTACAGCACTCACCATGGAGGATGCTGACAATAATCCACGCCCCGGCAAGAAGGCCCGAACAGGACCATCGTCACAAAGGCAACGGGCAGTTCGCGCGTATGCCCAGTCCGATGATTTCTCCACGACCTCCACCAAAGCAATACTGACAGATGTGTACTATGATACAGCTGCGACGAATGCCGTCGTCTCAAAGAGAAATGCGAGGGTGGCTTGCCATGCAGGCGATGCCAGCATCTTCGAAGACAATGCGAATTCAACGTCGGCCCAACCATCGAAAGGCGTTCATCAGCCTACGCCGACTCTGTCAAAGATGTGATGGATCGTGCACAGTACATGGAAATCCTCCTCAGGCACCATCTCCCAGACCTAGATTTGAGCACCGAGTCTCTGAAACGACTGTGTGATGCACTCTCTATGCCATCTCCCGGCTTATCACGATCCTCTCGAAGTGTTCAGACGACAGCAGCTGATAGTCTGAGCATTGACCAGCCATCGGACAGTCCGTCGATCGAAGACGAGGGCTGCACCATCGACAACGTTGATGGAACCATTGCACGTATGTCGTCTTGCATTGTCGCATTTAGACCAGACGCCCACCACTGATGTCAAGCAGACTACTCTGGCGAGTTCTCGCACTGGAACTTCTCGATGCACGTCAAACGCAACATCGACGATCTCATGGCCAAAGCCAACGTACCTGTACGTGCTCAGCCATGAGAAACCACTACTCCCTTACTAAACACATGTTACTGAGCAGCTCGTCGAGACTGAGAACGCGAAACGGGTCCCAACGTATATTCGTGTAGGGGAAGCACAACCGGATTCCACTTCAATGCTCGAGATTGTGGCCCTTCTTCCGCCTCGTCCAGTAGCGGACTTTCTGGCAAGTGTGGTGTTTCGTCATGCCACAAGCACTTACTTCATCATCGAACCGAATTGGGTCAATTCAATGATGGACGCACCGTACAACAAGCCAGCTGCGCTAAGCGCTAAGGATGTAAGCAGACAATCTCCCCGATACCTTCCATCATAGTGGAAGCACGGGCTCACCTCAGCCTTCAGGTCACGGGAGCGTGCACTGTGATAATGGTCCTAGCGGTCGGTACACAGTATGCTCATCTTGAGTCTTCCGAGCGCAATGCTAGCATCACGACGGATTCTCACACTAGTTGGGAGCTCGACATCGGCTCTGCATTCTATCAGCTTGTAGCGAAGCTTCTAGCAGAGATCATACATTCTGGCTCGCTTCTCAGCGTTCAAGCATGTCTTCTTCTTGGTCTGTATACTCTAGCCGTTGATGCTTCTGGGCTGGGTTACATCTACCTCAATTTGGCAATCAAACTCGCGATTCAGAATGGCATGCATCGTCGGTCCGCACCAGGCGCTTTCGATACGGGCAGCGAAGAAGTGAGGCGCTTGGTGTGGTGGTCTGCATATTGCATGGAAAGGTTATCTCGATGCTTCATGCTTTCTTGTGGCCATGCTGATTGGATACAGGAGGATAGGTATCTACCATGGAAGGCCCGCATCTATCCATCGCTCCGAGATCGATGTCAAGTTGCCTTCCAGTGAATGCGATGTCATTGGCCCTTCGACCGCATCTGGCACGTCGCATCTATTGCAGTCAATCCACCTCACCAGCCAGGCAGAAGCCTTTCTTTGTGAAATGTGAGTTTCTTGTCACTGATCAAGATCGTCACGGACAACGCACGATTCTGCTGATGCCGCTTACAGCTCGCTCCTCCGCAGATGCAAACGGTCTAGCATGATAGACATATTCCGGCGCATCAGGCAGCTCAAGATGGGCACCAGAGGCTGGCGACCACCAGGCAGCAGTGGACCCTCCCTAGCACCGGCCAGCACGCGCGCCGAGACGCATTCCCGACTGGATCGTTGTCTTTTGGAGATGTTTATCGGGCGCCCGTTCATTCTACTTCATCGTCGTACCAAAGCTAGCGGCCAAGTACGCAGAGGACATGACATCAACGCTAGTATGCCACCCGCTCCTGCTCCGCTTCAGTCGGACGAGGAGTGCGAATTTCTGGTCCAGGATTGTGTGGCTGCTGCAAGAGAGGCTATCGGAATCTGCCATGCCATGCAGGAAGGGGGCCTCGGACTTGCGCGATCATCTTACATCGAGTATAGCTCTTGTCGCGCCGGCTTGCTCGTATTGATAGCATACGGCATTTGCTACTGCACGAATGAGTATGTCGGCGTCTTGCAGAAAGGGCTCCAGGTGCTGCGTGAGATGGCTTCCGCGAGTGAGTCGGCACGCTCGGAGGTGTCTTTGCTGGAAACACTTGAGGCGTCGTTGCGGCGTCTCCGTGGCTCGACACAACCGGTACAGACTACGACAACGCCATCTAGCTTGATACAGGAAAGCTATGAGGGCTTCGCGGATTGGTACAAGAACCGAAACAAGGCCGCTGCTACAGGAGCAAGCAGCACACCAAGCGCCCTACTTCAGTCGTCAGTTTCGAATGTAACAAGAATTGGCGTTGAAGATTCCATGAGCATGCAGAACGAGCCCCAATACCACAGTGGACCTTTCGAGTTTGATCTCTTCGGAGATGGTACCTTCCCAACGCCAGATTACGGACAGTACAGCAATGCAGAGAAGGAGTTCCTGGACAGTCTTCCATGGATCCAAGACTAGGTGGCCGGAATAAACAATCATAGCGTGAGAGCGTACAATGGGTCTATGTATGTACTTGTCGTGAACACGAAACCACAAGTCACGCTTCAAAGTCTTGCGCGAGTGGCTGCTCTTTCGGAAACTGCTTGCCATTGCTGTAGAGATCCATGGATGCCCTGCCTCGACCACCTCTCTGGCGATGTATGGTACGGCAGTGGGAGGTCCACTTCTGCAGCTGGAACTCCAGTAATCACCATCTCTGCAATGGCCTTCGCACTGAGAAAGATCTGTGGCATGCCATGACCCGTAAAGCCAGCGCAGATGTACTGTCCAGGCTTGCCATTTACTGGGCCGACATAAGGGAAGCCATCATTGGAGTATCCCATGACTATACAGCAGACACTGGTTAGAGATGTGGTGGATCCAAAAATGATAGGAAGTGAGTGCGACTTACTCCCAGTCCAGATCTGATCTGTAAGAACATCGCAATTTTCCCAGCCAGAGAAATGCCGTTGCATGTAGCCATCGAAATATTGCGTCGCACCCTTCATAAGACGACTATCGTCGCACACATCATACCACTCATTGAGCTCGTCGTAAAAGTCACGCTTCGCACCTCCAACAATGATACTCCCATCTGGGCGCGAAATCATGTAGTCATACTCAAACTCCGAGAAACGCATCATGTAGCTGTCGTTCAAGAGCGGTGCGTCTGTTGCTGGCAGAAGGCGCGCGACCGTGCCTCTGACAGGAACAATTTTATCCTTGAGCTCCGGGACGAGGGCAGATGTATAAGCGTTTGTTGCGTAGATGACAGTACTGCACTCGATAGAGCCTCGAGACGTATTGACTGCCCAGAGACCGACGTCTGAGCCTTCTCCCGTAGGTCTGACACTGGTGACAGGTGTGTGAGTCTGCAGATTGATACCTCTGGATACGGCCTTCTCCAACATATGGCTTACGAGACGGTACGGCCATAATCGAGCAGCGTTGAACGTGAGACAGGACTTTGCTCCTTTCACCCCGGATATCTGCGCACGCAAGAGTCAGTAAGTCCAGCATGAGTCCTCGTCATGCAAATACGAATACCTCTTCGGCCTCTCTGTCAGAACTGTATTCAAGGCTTCTTGCGGTTGATATGTCGGCCTCGTTAAGAGCAACTAGGTCAGCCTCGATCTTGTCCCGGCCTGCTGGGTACAGGCAGACATCCCGCACTGTGACCTCTTCGAAATCACAATCGATCTCTTCGTAATCAACAAAGGCTCTGACTTCTTGGACTTGGCGGGCTTCAAAAGAGGCGACATGTTCTGCAACAGCCTTGCCATGCGTCTTGAGAACGTTTGCAGCTCTCGAAAACGGGTCTGGTTTGAGATGACCTCCTGAACAGCAAGTCAGTAACCTTGGAGCTATATCATCAGAAATTCCGACGATATTTCCATACCATTCCGTCCGGTGGCGCCGGAACACGCTTCCCGAGCTTCCAGAATCACTATGGATGGTAGCGACTGATCGTGATGGCTACTGTGTCGCTCGAGCAGATGATGTGCAATTGCAGCACCAGCATATCCGGCACCAATGATGACTAAATCCGCGTAAGATGGTATGCCTTCGGTGCTTCTATGCTCATCAATTGGCTTGACCTCATTCCTCCAATATGGTGTAGTTGAGTGTGATGTCGGGAAAGATGCTGCGCTGGTAGGCATGGCTTAAGATTCGGAATAACTGTGATTCTCTGCTGTGCTTGTTGACCTCGAACTTGACAACTGCTGCCACAATCTTGCCACTGGATGAGACATTTCCGGTCACTTTACAGTGGACCTTTGCATAGCCGGACAAACCGGTTGCGACTTGCAGATCTTGCGCCAGACCATTACTCGTCCATCAATACGATGAATCCATCACTAGGCATCATAGCCGTGCGAGTTGTAGAGCACGGCTTCATGTGCAGCGCGGAAGGATGCATGTTGAAGTATGTTGCGGGAAGACAATTAATGGTGAGCTTTTTAGGTGGGACAAATCTCAGATCACGTGACATACTTCCCGCCATTGCCACAGTCGCAGGGTTTGTCGAGATGTTTGATCATCTCCCCTGTGTATCATGGTCGACATTCATCGACGCAGGGTGGTGATCCATCGTTTACGTCAGCTCCAGCTTTAGCATCCTCCATACCGCACCTTATCAGTCATTACTACTCACCGCATTGTCGCATGGCTTCCATTAGTGGGGACAGGACCATTCTAGTGAAGATGCAGGATGATCTTGCAGCCATGAGCCAGCACGATGACATCCCCGTGAGGCTACATATGGAACTGAGGCGGACTAGTGGACCGGGTGTTCGACCACTCAACACGACCGTAAGAACAACATTGGACTGAAACTCGGCCATCAATGAAGACGACCTCGGGTGCTACCTGTTCAGGCATCTGCTGTTCGAAAGACTTTTGCAGCGGCTACATTACCTTCGACATCCCTAGCGATTCTCGCACCTGTACTTGAGTATCATGGCAGATATCCGGATCGTCGTTTGCTCATTGTGCACCGGGCCGGGAGCTAGCCATGTGTTCTCGCGAGGTGGACTCGTGATAAGAGCCGCGCTGCTGCACCGGTAGACCATGTACCTCGCAATGCCATATGGCACGGCTGACTCGCAAGATAGCAGATTAGGACACGGGCTTTGTCCATACATGATAGCTGAACCTATCAGTTCACCACCGAAGCCCCGCAAAATTCGAAGCAAGCCATAACCTTCAAGAATGCCGGTGCCGGTCCTACGCCCAGTACTCCGCATCCTTCAAACTCCGCCGGACTACACATGTCAGTCAGCCTATCCGTGCCACGTACTAGGATGCCTGTTGCAGTGCAAGCGGACGGATACAAATACGTTGACTATGCTCGTATCTTGAAACGCTTGCGACTATCTCCAGGCGAACGAACAACATGACTTCCCAACAGAAAGACGACAAGGCTCTATTCAAGACCACAACTACTAACAGCTTGGATGTTGCACCGGGGACACAAGAGCTGTTGAATACTCAGCATCTTCGTTCCTGGACGTCATGGCCTACATTCTATCGGAGCGTATTGCTACAGATGGTTCTTCTTGGATCGTAAGCACTGCTATGATCGCAAAATTATGATTAGTCGCTGACGTTCCGCAAGACTCTCCCTTGTCGGTCCAGCAATGGACGATGCCATATCGAACCTTGGAGGCGGCGGCTTGTCTAAACCATGGCTTGCAAACTTGGCGAATTGTCTCAATTATGCCTTCAGCTTCCTCATCACTCTTGCTGGTGGTCCGTTGATCAACAAGATCGGTATCAAATGGTCATGCTTCATCGCGGCGCTCTCGATGCCTCTCGGAGCGTCGTCATATTACACGAATGCAAAGTTCGACAATGAATGGTATCTTCTCACCGCCAATGTAAGCTTGCCAGGTTCCAGATCGCACCACACGAGACCATCGCTAACGATTGTAGCTCGTCAAAGGCATCGCTGGTGGGTTTCTCTACGTTGCCGAGTCCACGGCTATGATGTCGTACCCTAGGCTAGAGGATCGAGGGTTCTACCTAGGTAAGGATGCAGCAGCAGTCAACGCGTCGGTTTCCACTAACAGATTCTAGGCATATGGACCGCCATGCGGAACTCGGGCAGCGTGATTGGCGGCGCAATCAATTTCTCGACAGATTCCGAGAAATCGTCAGCAGGTGGGATCGCCACGTCGACATACCTGATCTTTCTTGCCATCCAGTGTACAGGCGTCATCTGGGCACTGCTACTATCACCAACAAGAGTGATACGACGTCGGGACGGTCAAAAGGTACCAATGGCTGAGATGATCTCGTGGAAACAAGAGTTCAAAGCTCTCTGGCGGTTCATGCAACGAAGAACGGTATGGACATTTACACATCCTTTCCAAGCCCGTACCCTCGCTGATTTGTGCGCAGTCTTTGTATATGCTTTTGCCCGCCTTCTACTCCTTCTTCTGTGGTGGCACGTTTGGCACCTATCTATCACTTCACTTCTCCGTCCGCGCACGAGCTTTGTCGTCCCTTCTTGTCCGTAAGTGAAACAATGTTAACCATCTATAACAATGGTGTGCTAATTCTATAGCGACGATTGTCATCCCATCGGTGCTGCTCTTTGGCAAGTTACTGGATGCTCAGTGGATCCCACGACAGCGCCGCGCCTGGCTTTCCTTCCTCTTATGGGCTGTCCCACAGGGTGGATGCTTGATCTGGGTCGCCGTTGAGTACAAGATACTCGGATCCAAGACAGCTTTGGACTACGAGCTGTAAGTCGTTCCAACCATCACTTTCTCAATCCCCTACTGACTTCTCCACAGAAACACCACACCATGGGCTAGGGCTTACATGCCATATCTCATCATGTTCGTGGGGTGCTACTGGACACAGCTCTCATTGTACTGGATCCTCAGCGCAACCTCCCGAGATGTTAAGGAGTCCGCGCGCGCGGGTGGTATGTTCCGTGCTGCTGAAACGGCGGGTCAGGCAATATCCTACGGTCTCAGCTCTGCCAGCGGCATCGCTGTAACGATCCCGCTTTACGTCCATTGTGGCATCTGGATTTTGACCATGCCCTCCATGGTCATGCTGATCCATTCAATGCCGGCAGAATCGTCGACCGAGATCAATGGTCTTGACAGAGTGGATGAGATTGAGGGAGTCAGAGACGCTCAGATAGCCAAAGTGTGAGATTTTGCGAAGGTAGATTTGGTTCAGCAACAGACGGGTTACGATTGTCACGACACCTATGTACTCTAGACAAGAGTGGATGAGATAGAGGGAGTCAGAGAGGCTCAAACAGCCAAAGTTTGAGACTTTGCTCGGGCAGATTTATGTCAGCAACAGACTGTTTACGATCCTCACGACACCTATGTACTCTAGATTAACACAACTATGCCGACTCTCAAACATTTCTATTTGTCATGCAGACCTTTCAATCGACTTATTCCATTTGTAGGTTGGGCTGTTCATATCGTTGATGCTCTGCCAGAGTACGAAATACAGTGCAAATGCGTTAACGCGAGGACCACGTTCTATATGAATCAAGCAAGTGGTACGGGTCAAGTGTAAGCCGTATGAACAGCTTGTACCATTTACATGTCCAGTTCGCCGCTCGTCAGCTTTGGATTCGTCAAGACAGTTCTACACGCTCGACTGAAACAAGCATGATGCTTCGAAGCGCGAGTGCACTGAGTCCCAATTACTAGAAGTGACGAATAGCTTATAAAATGGCACGCTTTACTCTACCGGGCTGTCCACGCGGCGAACTTTTGGCCTGCTCCTTTCGCCCAAACAAAATGACTTCCTTGCACTCTCGCCACAGCTAGCCCTGTAGGCCTTTGTCTTTGCAGCGAGGTCAAAAGTCTGAAGCTTCTCGACTCGTTCAGCAGTGACATGAAAAGCTTTCGGTAGTGGGGGATACGGCACCGCAAGCGCAGGCTGCTGGTACTCGAGACCGAGAGAGTCGAGAATTAGGGGAGTGATGTGCGCTGTCGAGAGCAGGATCCGTGGCATGCCTAGTCATTGTTAGCCTCAGTCGCTCTCTATTATCTGAGTATGACCGTCTGTACCGTGTCCGACAAAGCCTGCGGCGATGAAATGTCCGTCACGGTTGGGCAATGGTCCAACGAACGGCCAGGAATCTGCCGTCGAAGTTTCAACTGTACTTGTATCAGCAATCGTGAGGCCAACAATTTGTGCTGCGCCTCGACATACTCCCACTCCAGCAACCACCTTCGTTGTCTGCGAGGCTCAGTCCTGTAGAGCCCGGCCAATCCTTGACATCGGACGCACCCCAGCCCCTACAAAAGTCGGCCATGCCTTTAAATTGCTTGTTATTCTCGTCACTGGGAAAGCATTCATCTGCCTTATGAACCAAAAGTTGACGAGCGCCTCCGAGGATAATGGCATTGTATGGTTCAGGGAGTTGCAAATGGTAGTTCTACTCTTTGTGTCAGAAACCTTCTTTAGCTTTTCAAAGCTGATCACCTACATTGACACTAGCATCCCAGTGTTGGGCACCAGTGTGCTTAATGAAACCTGCAGGGGCGTTGACTGCAGCAAGAGTGCATCGTTCAGGCACGATCAGCTTCTCAAACTCAGGTAGTAGGTGTGAGGCAAAGGCATTGGTGGAGTGGATGACCGCTTTGGCTCGTATCGAACCCCGATCAGTTGTGACCGTGATCCAACCATCGGTGTCTCGCTCGGATATCTGCTGTGCAGGTGTATGTGCTTGTAAATTCAGGTTTCCTGCTTCGAGGAGTATTCTCAAGAGTGCTTGCACGAATTTGTATGGCCACCTGCAATGATGTTAGACAGCACTCAAGATTTAAGTATGGTGAAGCCGCTGACACTTGACCAGCAGGATGAACAATGGCCGCTATGGCATTTTTCATCTGTGTAAAACCTTCTGCGCTCGCAGCGTCTTCAATGACTCTGCACTGCCGGACGATCTCATTGTCGGCGCCATGATTCCTGCGCATGTTGTCGTATGAGCTCTTAAGACGAGACCAGGCCTCCTCAGTCATCGCGGCGTCGAACGTCTCACCAAATTTGAGGCATATATCATCAGTAATACCTTCTTCCTTGGCCAATTGCTCAAAAGCAGGTAGATGAGCCATCTCGTGTCGTATCAGTTCCATAGCGCCATCCTGACCGAAGGAGTCGGACCATTTGTTGTAGCGGGAATATGCATGCGGTCTAAGTTGTCCGCCTGGTCTTCGTCAGCATTTGTCTCAACGACAAGATTCTGAGCAGTACCATTTCGTCCAGTAGCACAGCCGCAAACATCACGTGCTTCTAATATAACCACCTGGGGCTGCTTGGCAGCGTGTTGTGTGTACTACGGTGCCGTCGTCAAAACAATGATCTTTCAGAGCGGCGCAGATGAAGATCACGCACTTTGTGAAGCCAATAGGCTGCAGATGCACCCGAGTAGCCACTTCCTATGATGACCACATCGGCTTCGTGTGGTAATTGCTCGGTCGAGCGCCAATCTCGCAACGGCGACTCGGCCGCCTCAATCCAGTATGATTTCGTGGGCTCAGCTCGAGGCAACACCATGATGAAAATAAACGATGAAGTAGACGTTGGACTGTATCAAGATGTGTTCAACCAAGATATTGTACGACGATAATTCAAGATGGTAGACGTTGTATGTTACTGAGGTGCATTCAGGTCTAGGCAGTCGAGAACCTTTCGGTGGCGACTTTGGTTTTGTTCGTGGTGTGATATCGGCCAACATGTCGTTGCCCATCAAGGTGTTGCAAGGTACGACGACAGCATTAAAGCCGGTCCGGTCGAGATAAGATCACAGGCCGGGCCGGTCGTCTTTACCCGTCACTTACCGATTATCCGAAGGCCACTTATCAGCAGTCGCATACGACTAAAAATTCGAGAGACTACACATCAGCTGCTTTGCTCGGGCTATCACAGGCATAGCGTCCGTATGAGGAACGAGCTATACGTGCTGGGTATTCAACTTATCCGCTTAGATTTGTGGCAGAATAGATGTCCGTGGCAATTCCAAGCCATCCGCAGGAAACGTCTATGGCAGATAGACATGCTGTCGACTTATATCAAGTGTAGCAGCCCAGATTACATGGCCAATCGCTGCAGAGACGCCAGCTTGATCACAACTCTACTCGGTGACGACGGGTTACGTGGTCGAAGAGGAGTTTAAAAGACGCAGGCCATCGCCTTGCAGATTCAAGGAGAGCGTGGGTGGAGCGGCTGATATGATCGGGATCGAGGTTTTGCTTCTTGTGCTCGGCCAGCTCGTTGTGATTGATATCTTCTTAGCTCAACTTAGCTCAACCCAGCATGATCGTACCCTCTGTGCTCGCATCACTCTATAGATTCAAGGGTGGCTTGTTCAAAGGTGGCCAGTAGTCCCTATCCCTGAGGCTCTCGCTTGTCCCGCCAGAAAGCAGAGCATTTGCTTCCGCTCTTGATAATACTGTTGTCGGCCATGCTACTTCTGGGGGACGGCGCTTGTCAAGGTGAAATCGGAAGAGGCATGCTGTATTTAGAGGACTCCCCTTGTCTTGAAGCTTGACATGAGAATGATCGACACCCGTGGATTCATATCAGACGGAGTAGTGCAATCTATCACCGCTATGTAGGTTGTCAAGGAGGCGGGAGTGGATTCGAATTGTACATCTACTAGCGTCATTTCGTACGCCACAAAACTGTAATCGTGCCTCGGTAGGGAGCTCCAGCCACGCATCATCGCGTGCTCTCAATGCGTTGATCAATCATACGTGACAAGACGCTTACTGATATATTCGCGGTCTCGATCTTCGAAGCATTGCCATCTGGAGTGGACACATGGTACGATGATCGCTGCAAGCCGCCGTTGGTTGCGGCGCAACAGAACCGGCCTTCTGGTCGGTGCTGGTGTATTGGGCGCTGGATATCTAGCTGGTCAATATGTCTTGGGCAAGATACAGGAGGCACGGCAGCGCTCGACTGAAGATCAGATGGCAAAGGAGAAGTACGCAGGATACCAAGAGTCTTTCATGCGCAACCACTGACGATTCAATGGTAGCCTTCGACGACGATTCGAGCAAAATCAAGAGGATTGCACATACACCGTACTCGCCCTCCTACCGACGATCAAAGAAGAGATCATCGATGCCTTACCCGTCGAACAAATAACCGAGCAACTGCAACAAGAACGAACCGACCGATTAAAGCGATTAGGAGGATCTGAGGCTGCGACAAGCGAGTATCCGTCCGTACCACCTAGCGTTGCAGACGAAAATGGCAAGAGCATGTCCAGCAGCAGCTTCGTGCATGCAAGTCAGATGGTATCCAGTGTGACGGATGGATCAAGCAGTGCGCCAAGGCCAAAGAGAAGTAAAGCGCAGTTGTGGCAGGATATGAAGATCCACTCGATCACGCGGGCCTTGACTCTTATTTACACGGTCTCGCTACTCGCAATGTTCACGCGGATACAGCTGAACCTACTTGGACGACGGACATATCTGTCGTCTGTAGTAAGTCTGGCTTCTCCACCGACAGCGCAACAGGCCTCCACGATATCACTAGAGAACCGGGACGATGATGGATATGACAATGTGTACGGAAACGATTTCGAGACGAATAGAAAGTACCTCACATTTAGCTGGTGGCTGCTGCATAGGGGCAGTAAGCGATTGATGGAGAATGTCATGGAAGCTGTAAAGGAGGTGTTTGGTCAGGTGAACATTCGAGAGGACATGACGATGGAGCGTTTATCCGAGCTGTTGATCGAAGTGAGACGTAAGATCGAAGGAGCAACATCCGAGGAGCGGTCCCAGATGAAATGGCTGTCATATCTGCTCCCACCGCGAGAGCAGGAGCTGGAAGTGATACGGCGAGCCAGAGCGTCAGAAAATGGAGAGTCGCCTTTACCAGGCGCACAGGATTCTGACTACATCGCGGTAGGCGGTACCGAAGTCAGTGCATCGCTACGTCGGTTGCTAGACGAGACGGCGGATCTGATCGACTCGCCAACCTTCTGCCAAGTCCTTACCCGTGTGCTGGATGCAGCATACTCACACCTCGTCGACTACCGGATCGCAACCGAGTCTTTCAATGTGACTGGGCCGACAGCACCAGGAACCGACCAGCCTAGGGTTACGGAGATCACGGAAAACAAATGCAAGCTCGCACACATTCTACCCGTGTTCTGCAAACAAGCATATCTGATGGCGGCGGGGAGTGGTGACCTTGAAATGTCCAGCATAGTGGCGCCGGAAGGACCAGGGAATGAGTATTTGGCTGCCATTGATGGCGTGCATGAGCTGGATGCGTTCGCGGCTGTGATTTATTCGAGTAATTTTGAGGCGGAGTTGGAGGAGCGGGAGACTGTCGCTGCACCGCTGGAGGAGAAGTCGACCAGAAGTCAGAGGAATGAGGAGCCTATGAGCTTTGAACGCGATGCTCCAGCCAACGACGAGCCGATCGTAGCTGGAGCTGAAGGTGAAGCTGAGACGACCGAAGATCCTGTACAGCCATTGGAGACCGTACCGGCTGTCACATCTTCAGAAGCCGGCCTCGAGGCGGCGTGGCAGAATGCTTTGGCGAAGGAAGACGGGAAGCTGTCAGTGGAAGCACCAGTGCCTGTCGAGGACGAGTAGCCATTTCTATAGCAAAGAACAATCTTCACGGTTCCTCGGTGCATACTCGGTCTCACAAATGCAGTCGGACGTCGCGATAAGCTTGAGTTGGCGCGCCATGATGTCACAATCGATTGCTTCGGCCGTCGGCTCTTCCAACGCCAAGGCCAGGAACAAATTTCAACATCGTTCTTTTCATCGCGTACTCCACAATCACATCACCTCTACCAATGAGCATAATCGTGTCGAATGAAGCACCGCTTTTCTCATTCACCGAGATGACAATTATCCAATCCCGCCCTCGGCGCTGGTAGGCGGCACCGCAACCTCGTCGGCTCCAACGTCGCCCACGGAGTCGCTATGGCCACTTTCCACAAAATTGCCCACGCCTCCATTGCACGAGAACAAGAACGCCTCTGGCACCTGGTAGGGTCTGACCGTGTGGAGAACGAATGACGTAGTATTCTTTATCCTCGGCGATTGCTACACGAGGAATCTCAACGCGAGTTGACAGCGAAGATCCTCTCAAACCTTCATGGACTTCTCTTTGCAGGTCCTTGCACCACCTTCTACGAGACGGTGTATGGTCCGACCATCTATGTGGATCTCAACATATGTCTGATCCGCATTTCTCCCACATGGCACAGGTTGGTACAAAACTCTTCTACCCTCCCGCTTTCTTTTGTCAAAACAGTCTTATCTTGCTGTTTTGTTGTGCTATCTATCCAGCACACTTCGACGCGCTGCTTGCAATCTCTATAGAACTTTGACAGATCTTTGAAAGGTCCACCTCCGCGATCATGGTTCTCAAGGCGAGATACAAGGTCGATGAGCAGAATGTTCCCAAATACAGTGGACTTACTGGCAAACGCCTCAACATTGCGATCTCTGTCATCGCCACATCTGGATTCTTGCTATTCGGTCAGTATCGATCAATTTTTGTTTGCGATTACACGCTGACTCGCAAACCAGGCTACGATCAAGGTGTCATGAGCGGTATCATCACAGGCGAGGACTTCAACAATTACTTTCCACAAACGAAAAACAACGCCACTTGGCAAGCTTTCGTGACAGCCATCTATGAAATTGGATGCTTATTCGGCGCCATCTTCTCCCTCATCTTCGCTGACAGGGTCGGTCGCCGCCGCTCGATCGTTCTGGGTGCTGCCATCATGGTCGTTGGGGTGCTCATTCAGATCACCGCCTTCACCGGACATTCTCCCACCGCACAATTTTTGATTGGACGAGTCGTTACTGGTGTCGGCAACGGTATCAACACGAGCACCATCCCCACCTACCAAGCCGAGTGCTCCAAGTCCCACAACCGTGGCCTGCTCATCTGCATCGAGGGTGGTGTCATTGCCTTTGGCACGCTCATCGCATACTGGATTGACTATGGTGCTTCTTATGGACCATCTGGCCTCACCTGGCGCTTCCCAATCGCCTTCCAGATTGTGTTCGGCCTTATCATCGCAATTGCCATGATCTGGCTACCTGAGTCTCCTCGCTGGCTCTTGAGCAAAGACCGAACTGAAGAAGCTACTGTTGTGCTTGCAGCTCTTGCAGGAGAATCTAAAGACCACGATGATGTTAAGCTTCAGATGGGCATCATCGTTGACTCTATCCGAGCTTCTGGCCACTCTAGCGGCAGCACTCCCTACAGCGCTCTGTTCACTGGTGGCAAGACACAGCATTTCCGTCGCATGATGCTTGGTGTTTCCAGCCAGTTCTTCCAGCAAATTGGAGGATGTAATGCTGTCATCGTATGTTGTCAATTATGGAAATAGGATTTGACCAAAGCTGACTTCGTCCACAGTATTACTTTCCTCTACTATTCCAGCAGTCAGTTGGAACCAGCCATAACCTCGCACTGCTCCTCGGTGGCGTCAACATGATCGTATATGCAGTCACCGCCACAGTCTCCTGGTTCTTGATCGAGCGTGTCGGCCGCCGCAAGCTCTTCATCATCGGCAGTGTCGGACAGTCGCTTTCCATGGTCCTGGCTTTCGCTTGCCTCATTCCTGGTACTCCGTCCGCCGCAATTGGTGCCGGTGTCGCATTCTTCTTGTACATCGGCTTCTTCGGTGCCACCTGGCTGCCTCTACCATGGCTCTACGCTGCGGAGATCAACCCAGTCAAGACTCGCGCCAGAGCCAATGCCGTCTCTACCGTCTCCAACTGGCTGTGGAACTGTAAGTCACACAATCGAGTTTGATCACTTGCAGTTGCTAATCTTTCCGCAGTCACCGTCGTCATGTTCACACCACCTTTTGTCGCCTCCTCCGCATGGGGCGCTTACCTCTTCTTCGCCGTGGTCAACATTCTATTCGTACCCGTCATCTACTTCTTCTATCCTGAGACGGCACGCCGATCGCTGGAAGAAATCGATCTCATCTTCGCCAAGGGCTACATCGAGAAGATGAACTACGTCCGCGCTGCCAAAGACCTCCCACACATGACAGAGCAAGAGGTCGAAGTCAAGGCTCGCGAGTATGGCTTCGTCAGCGATGACGAGGAAGCTGGTGGACACACCAAGGCACGATTTGGCGAGAAGGAAGATGATTTGGCACCTAATGCTGGTGGGTTGATGTGATGCATTTCTGCTGAGCAGGGGCATACGACATGGATGAAGATATTGCATTTTCAGGGCGTTAGGAAGATACTGAGACTCCGGCATGCGTACGCGCGGTCGGCATAGACTATAGACGATACATGAACTTGGCAGTCCAATGATGAGTCCTCAGTTGCAACTTGCGCGGACATGACAACCCACGAATGATGAGACTTCGAACGAGCGCACGGGAGTAGGATACCAATATGTCTTTATGACACGTATTGGGTTGGACATCCTTTTCTTGTCCCTCACGCGACTCGAGCATTGCGTACCATTTTATGTTGTCCACGATGCTGAGATTGGACATGACAGCTGGGAGGACACGACGATACATTGCAAGGCCTGCGGCATACCTGTCCATACCGAACATCTTGCTCAAACGCCCCAGGCCCCATCATTGAGGTTGTAGAATCCTGCTGGCTTGGGCTGAGTGCGTTGAGGACGGTCTGCCAAGCCAGTATGCTTAGTATTCGAGACATGGCCTTGCGCAGCCTGACTCCCTAAAGCAGGCGCATTAGGTGTAGAGTAAGTCATAGCCTGCTGCTTTGACGGAGAGTCATTGACAGGAGTCCATCCAAATCCGGGCCGTTTACATGGACGTTGCAGCAGCAGAGGTTCTTCGTCGTCCTCATCATCGCAGTCTCCATGTGGGAAGATTGGGTAGTGTGATGGACGTGGTTCATGCCGATCTGCAGCTGATACACGGTCACGGGGCGCCGAGGTGCCTTCTTCGCACGACGACAGTATGTTCTGAGCTGCTATGGCAATCTCTGGGAGTGACGCTTTGGCTGATGTTGTCGGAGCTTGTTGATTGGCCAGATCGATGGCAGTGTGTGGGCGGTGAGTGTCCCATAGCTCTTGTGTGTGCTCGTAGAATGTGCGGTATGGAGCATTCTCATCAACTTCGTTGGTGCAATATCCAGCTGGTTCAATGTTAGTACATATGGATTACCACCACAAAGAAGGAAGAGACTCACCAGCGCTCGTCTTGTACTGCACCCTCTCACCTGAGCACAAAAGCTTGATTGTAACCGTGATGTTCGTTTCGCTAGCGTTCATAGACAGGAGGCCAGCGACATGGTAGTACGCGGACTCCGTCTCGGTGTGCCCAGGCTGCTCTTTGAAACCATGATTCAAAAGATCACCAATATCAGCGAAAAGCATGGGGTACTGTGAAAAGTCCAATTTCACCTCCCCAGCGTCATCACGCAACGGGCCGTGCTTGTGATGCTTGTCTGGAAAGTAGTACACGTTGAAGCGGAGGCGAGGTGGTGAGTTGGCATCGAGCTGAAGATCAAGTGGTAGACAGCGAGTTTTGAGTGATTAGCCTGGCAACCTAGTCATGAACCGCGCCAATCTATCAATAACTTCTAGCTCGCCGTCGGCCAGAGGCGGCAAGGTGGGATTCTAGTTGCGTTGATACGTAGAGATTCATGCGACTTGCTCCAGTAAGCATGACGGCTCCAGTTTCACGTTGGTCGTCTTCTTTCAAAAACGTCAGCAGTCGCTCTGTCATTTTCAAAGTCCAGGATTCGAAGATGGCTTGCATGACACCCTGAGGCATGTTGATGACGAGATTTGGTTGGCGGTCTGGGACATGCGGCCAGCCCCAATGCACGTCGATGGTGATGTGGTAGGTTCCATCTTCAACGTCTCCCACGAACTGCTTCTTTGTGATCTCGAAACTGTCTGTGAAGCGACGATGAAACTCAGCATGAGCCATGTTGCCTAGCAGCCGACAAACTCCGTCGATTCCCGTAGCTCGACATCTTGGGTGACTTGGTATCCACGTCATCAGCAGCCACTTCGAAGCCTCCTCATTTTACTATCTGAGCACCTATATCAGCACCGTCCACCTGTCCGACTGTGGACAGCTCTGATCGCAGGCCTTCGGTGGCGCCTCGATTGAGTTTCACGGTAGCCAGGTCGAAGGTTCCCTTCCCAATATCGGCGAAGCATGGCTGGTCGCCGTGTTCCATTGCGCGCATCTGGCGTAGCTGCTCCATTTCAGAGGCTGCCGCGCACAACGGCTCCAGTCTGATGTCGATGTTAGGCATGCCGGCGTTGTGCGCAGCGTTTCGCCAAATGCCGCAAGCCTCGATGCGGCTATTTGCTGGGACTGTGATCATAGACTCGATATCGATAGCTTCCCAGTAGTCTTGCTGATGGCGCAGTCCCGAGGGATGGCTCGTGGAATAGTAGCGCTTGACGGCATCCAAGATCCAATTCAGATGCCTTGTAAGGAAAAGTTGAATAGCTGCAAGGTCACCAACTCTGGCGTCGAGAGCAGCATACACTCGCTCCGTGACGCGTGTGTCCTTCTAGCCTGTGCAAAGACAAAGCTTGGCTGGCTCGACGATCTTGTGCAGTTGATCGGGATGTTTCTCTGATTTTGGGGGAGCCACACAGAAGTCGGTCGCCATCTAGCACAATCTTTTGTTCGATTTCTTTCAAGCCAGGCTCCAATGGTATCACGATGATTGCGATGTTGTCGACTGACTGGCCAGCTAGCGCATGCTGTGCCGCGACTTTCAGGAATCCGCTTCCATACTCAATGATGACTCGCAGGGCGTTCGCCGCACGTACTGGCTTGGAAAGCGCCGCCATGAGGATACGAGGAAGGAAACTTGTTTTCAAAAGACTGCAGACTCACGAAATGTCTCCAGAGCTTGACTAAGTTATCGAGTGTAATGGTTAGTACCTAAGAGTGTGGCCAACGTTGAAGCTGTGTTTGCTCCGGCATGAAGCATCAACTCAATATGCCAAGGAGCTCTCGATCCGAACGATGGTTGTAGCCAACTATTGTCACAGAATGCATGCTTGCGTCCTCAGATTCGCCGTGATCGTCACGTACCCACCGATCGAGGCGAGAGTAAACGGAATGCAGGTGACCTCATGCTGGTGTTTGAGACTGGAACAGAGACTCTCTGATGATACGTAGCCCGCATCCTGCCGGCTCGGTACAGCTCGTGTTGCTGACGCACCTCGCCTCCGATCGAAAGCAGAGAGTCTTGGTTGACTGGCGCGTGGTAGACAGGCGCATGTGTACGCCTTCAAACCTCAGATTTAATCAATCAACTTGATACCGTCTGTCATGTTTAGTCGACCGCTGTCCAGACCCAATCACTTCGTTCGATACTCCCGTTCACGTTTGGCGAGGACGCCGTTAGACGGGTATGTGCGGGAGGTCCACAGTGGGCCAGACTTCGTGGCCCATCATCTTTATGCCATTCATCCGCAGCGTAGGCAACGATCCGGTCGGTAATGCATCCGTTGTCAAAGTATCGACAGTCGTGATGACAGGACCTGGTGAAAATTGAAGAACACTTGGTCAATCAGCCCCGGACCACCCAATCTGGTTAGTGCCTAAATGCCAAGAGATATCTGTTTGTAAATACATACAACTTCACCACGAGATCGTGCCCGGCTACCCGATCCACAGGACAGGTCAAATCAATGAGCACTAGCGAGGTACGGTGCCGATCATGCACATTGTAGCACGATGCGCACCGTGTGTACCGATGCTGCTTCCAACCATAACAGCGAGCCTACCATCGTGTTAGGACGGACTACGCCTGCTCGCTTCGCCATGCCCGGCTATCTGGATCTCTCGCACGCTGAGATGACGCGACAAGTACACTTCCGAAGCGCGATGCGGGTCTGAAACAGAGCTGATAGTGCGAGGTGACATTGATCAGATACCTTCGTTTGTAGGCGCAGCTGGTTTCACACGTACCATGTGGCGTCTGGCATATCAGTCATCCCGCCGTTTCTGATGGGTCTGAGGTCGAAGCCTGTTGATGGAATATTTATACGGTCTCTACAGTCATCTATCCGTAGTCTGCATTACACGTCTTCTAGTCTCCTTGGCTTCCAACCTCCTGGCTCACGATAGGTCTGAGAAACAAGATGCCTCTGATCATGCCTCCGCCAGGCCCAAGAGTGAATCAACGCGAACGAGCAACAGCCACTTGCGGCATCTTGTTTCTCCTCCAACACCATACGGACGAACTCCAGACCCGCGATGGCCAGCATAGAGCACTGGTCAAGCTGATCAATCGACACACGTTTCCACGCTTGAAAAACGAAGAAATATACAACATTGTGAAGCTCCGGATAGTGGGAGCTGAGCTTGCGGCAGAGCTTTCCATCGACAACACACAATTTGAAGATCCATTCGACATGCTTTGTCATCAAGGTATTGCTGCTGTACCGGATCACTTGCTGGAGTACTACGAATATGATTCCAACACCTTCACCGAAGCTGAACTACCGCCGTTCGATCCCTCAACAACTACTGAAACAGAAATTGGCTCAAATCGAGAGAGTGGCGGCAACAAGAGATCCTACGTCCAGCGTGCCACTTGGATCGTATTGCAGGATATCGACGAAGTGAAACACCTCTCAACTGATGCCGACTACAAGTATCGTTCAAGCAAGCATGTCATTGGGTCACTGAGACACCTCACCCTTCAATACGAGCTGCAAGAATGCCCCGCAGCGGATGGCAAGTCACACAAGTTCGATCCCATCAAGCTGATGAGGGCCGTAGCGCAAGTCACTCAACGAGTACTACGGGAGACAAGAATCGAAGGCCATATTCGCGTCAAGAAGATGTCTCGCCGACTGAACACTGTGTGGAGCAGAGGCACGGCGCGTCTCGGGGACAAGTACTTGAGCCAGCTGCGAAGCAGTGCACAGCACCGTGGAAGCGTTGATGGAAAGCGTTGATGGTACTTCAGCTTATGGTGTAGCTTCTGGCAGAACCATGTCTCGATATGCGGACGTCATCAAAGCCATGAAGAGACGCAATCAAGATTTGACAGCCGTTGAAACTGCTCCCTTCCAGCGGCGGAGCATGACCAAAGCCGCGATCGTCCAAAGTATCAAGGAGTCCAGAGAGAAGCACGATGACTCAGACAATGACATCGAGGTATACATCGAGCCTCCTCCATCAAGCAGTGCTGTTTCCGGCACCGCCACGGGGGCCGCCGAAGCTGAAATGTCCTTCGATACCGAATCCTTAAACTGTCGCTCCCGCAACCGTACGAGCAGCGAACTACCCAGGTCGCCGACGGTAGACTACGCCACCTTTATGGATGAGGTCGATATGCTGCGGCAGTCTAACGAACCACCAACATGTGGCCCGTCCCGCGCTACACGTCGTGGATGTCGCACTCGATCCAGTCTTCTGATCGATATTCGCGACGACACTCCAGCTCCAACTCCGTACCCAAAACCCCAGCGTATCGAAATTGATCTTCGTACGATCACGAAAAACATGCAACAGCTCAGTCTGCTCACCAGCAAGTTGGTCGAGAGCCTCTTCGGGACGTTGCAACTCGATCCGAGCTTGCCTGGGTTTGTCGAGTGGAATGCAGACACACATCTTGAGACGCTGTACAGACGTTGCCTGGGCGCTCCCTGGAAGGGGACGGTCGACGCCCTCAAGCAGGATCGTCTTGGTCTTGCGACAGACATTCTGTCATGCCTTGTGAGCGCCTGGATCTACGACGAAGTCTTTGTGGATGACGAACCGTGGCAAGATTTTCTGCAGTCGAGCTTGGGGCTTGCTAAAAGACTCAGCAATGCAATGGAGACAAACGGCGGTCAGTGATCATTACTGCTTGTACCACTCTTCCACCCTGCTAATTTGCTCAACAGGCCTTGCAAATCTTTTCGAAAAATACGTCGTGCCACACGTCACTCGGCAGAACCATGCCATCGACTTTGTTGGCAAACTTCAGGAAGAGTCAGTAGGTGACATGCTGCGCGGTTCGACGTTCAAGCGAGCCGCCGATACTCATGCCCGTGAAACCACCCGTCGGCTCACTTCGATCATCGATCCACACATGCGCCGGCTCAACGATGTTGCGAAATTGACGAGCGAAGGTGTTCGCGAGCATGGCTGGCAAACACAATGGCAGTCAGGCATAGAAGCCATCATCACGCAGGCCATCAAGCTCAAAACCAAGCTCTGCTACGCTACGTTCTCGAACTACCAACACCGTTTCGTCTGGCCGGAGCACAAGTCAGCGCTTGACACCGTCACGATGCAAGCTTGATGGGATCAGCCAGACGGTGAGATGGTCCTGACTTACGTCCCTGGACTGGAGGCATACTTCCCAGACGGCACGGTGAGCAATGTCTACCGCGCGCAAGTCATTGCTCGGCCAGGGCCCAAAGATGGAGATGAGATCCAGGTTATGGAGTAGAATGGTCAGCTTCCACCCGCATGACTCTTCGACTTTTGCTGACACAATGCCAGGCTTCCACTTGCGTGTTTTCCCAGTAATTTGTAAGTTTACCTTCCAGTAGTGATGAGATTGAGTGAACTTTCAATGTGTCGAGAATCCTCCGAGACACCAGCAAGCGAGGTATGTAACAACATAGCTGTGGCCGTGAAATGCGTTCTAACAGGAGTGACTCACAGTCATCATCACAGTGAGATGTTGTCGCTATCATCCCAAACCTCACCATGTCCTGCATGGATGCCTTAGCTTGGCATGCATAAATGCCTAAATCCTTCCTGTCTCCGCTCATGCGGCCGCTGCTCTGTCATCCAGCCTTAACACCATCTCATACAAGCTTGTGAACGAGATCGCCACCGTGCACGCTGACCACGCTCGCAGCATAACACTGCGTCTGCCAAGCTGCATATCTTCAACATCTCGGACTTTGGTCATACTGTCACGCGTCCTGTAGCATTGACGGACTTGGCTCGCACCACGTGACTTTGAACCTCCGTGGATGGCTTGTGAGGTATAAGTATGGGCACGCCGTCGATTTCTCACTCTCTGATCTCAACTCGACTTGTTCATCTCTCACCGCGAACACTTTGCGGGTCTTCCACAAGCACTACCCCTTGAATCACAGACCGCAATGTCTCGCTACGCCGAAGCACACATCAGCTGCAATGGACATGGTGATGCTCGTCCAACCGCCCTGCAGATCGTCGGAGATGAGAATCTTGTTGGCAAGCTGTCAGATAAGGTCTTCATTGTGACTGGCGTCTCGTCTGGAATCGGCATCGAGAACATGCGAGCGCTATACGCGACGGGAGGACATGTAATCGGGATCGTGAGGAAGTGAGTGGAGAAGCGAATGCTCGAAGCAGATTTTGACTGACTATCGACAGTCTTGAGAAAGGGCAGAAGGCAGTCGATGATGTAAAGGCCAAGACTCAAGGTGGGAAGATCACACTCATTGAGATGGATCTGGAGAGCCTGGCCAGTGTCAAAGCTGGAGCGGAAGAAATCCTCAAGCAGACTGACAACATCAACATCCTGATCAACAATGCTGGGTAGGTTTGACAGAAAGTACTCCTCACTCTCCGACGCTAACATCCTACCAGCGTCATGGCCACACCCCAAGGCAAAACCAACAACGGCTTCGAAACGCAATTCGGTACCTGCCACGTAGCACACTTCTATCTCTTCCAACTCCTCAAAGACACACTACTCAAATCAAGCACTCCAGACTTCCCATCCCGTGTAGTCTGCGTATCCTCCATCGGCCACCGCTGCGGTGAAGTCCGTTTCGACGACTACAATTTCGAGCAACCTGGCTCCTACGATCCCTGGGTTTCTTACGGTCAAGCCAAAACAGCGAACATCTACATGGCCAACGAGATCGAGCGTCGATATGGTGCTCGTGGTCTTCACGCCACTAGCTTGCACCCTGGCGGCATCGCCACGGGCCTAACAAAGCATCTCGACCCAGCGCAAGCAGCCGAATGGGCAACGCCAGAGATCGCTAGATATATGAAGTCGCCTGAGCAAGGAGCTGCAACGAGTGTCTATGCCGCTTTGAGTGGAGAGTGGAAGGATAAGGGTGGAAGGTATTTGAGTAACTGTGTTGAGCAGGAGGCGTGGAAGCCTCGCGATCTGAGTCAGCCGATTAGTGTTGATCATGATGGGTACCAGACGTGGGCGTACAATGAGACCAAGGAGAAAAGGTTGTGGCGGGATTCACTCAAGATGGTCGGGTTGGACAACGATGATTAGTGAAGTTAGCATGAAAGGTAGGAAATGTCAGTTCCTGCTTTTCTGTAGAAGAGCTCAAATGTTTGCGTCAGCAATAATTTCACTCATTTTGCGTGAAGCGCTTGGATTATGCTATGCTGATAGATTGATCTTGTCTTCCGCTCTCTCGGCGCCACATCCTTAGGAAAGCTGTAAGAACACTACCTCCCAGATCGAGTTCTCACGACCCATCCCTCCTCTTCACCACGCCATCGCCCATCGTCGATGACCTCCCTCCTCATTCTCCAGACGTAACAAGCAAACAAGTCTCTATCAAAACAAGAACTACCATCATTTGCCCAACGACCGAAGCCATGGCAAATCCCTCCAGATCGTCAGAAGAACAAAGTGCCGTAGTAAGACCAGCTCCAACTGACAGGTCTAGTAATCGCTTGGAGCACCCCTTCAGCACAGTTCTGTACTTGGTCTGACAAAGCATGAGTGCTAGTGTTCAGTCCAGCTTTTTGTTGCGTTGGGCGAAGAAGAAGAAGGTGGTGAGGATGTACAGGTGAGTGCTATAGTCGATGTCAATACTATAGTGGTCGAGGACGCCGATTGCGAGAAGAGGCATTGTTTATGTTCGTGTTGTCCTAGAGATGCAACCCGTGTAGTGTCCTCGTTGTACCTGTAACAGGTCCAGCAATCGAAGCTTTTTGACGAATGATCAAGTTTCCAGGCTCGGTCACTGTTGTGTGGCGATTGGTAGACGATGCCTGGGAGATGGTGAACAGACAAACGAGTCTCATCCACGACGCCGGTGCAAGGAGACTGCGACGTGAATGCTGGCATACCGCTCGCTATACGCCCTATGCAAACAAAAAAGACAGCACTATACACATCGTACCGCATCAGAGCACGCACTCGCACACACCACCTCGCTAATCGCACAAATCACATCCCGTCCCGGAGCGCACCACACTATACCATATCCCTCTTCACAAACTCATCATACAACGTCTTGCCCAACCTTGCCGGACTCCTCTCAACAGCCACACCCGCCGCCTCAAGCGCCGAGATCTTACTATCCGCCCCGCCCTTGCCACCAGACACGATCGCACCAGCATGGCCCATTCTTCGGCCTGGAGGAGCAGAGATACCCGCGATGAAGCTCACAACAGGCATGTTGTTCACGTTCTCTGCCTTCAGAAAGTCTGCAGCATCCTCCTCCGCACTACCACCAATTTCACCAATCATAATGATTCCCTCGGTTTCCGGGTCGGCAAGGAAGACACGCAAGCAATCGATAAAGTTCGTTCCGGAGAAGGGGTCACCACCGATGCCGACGACAAGGGATTGTCCGAGCCCGACTTGCGTGGTTTGGTTGACAGCTTCATAGGTCAAAGTACCAGAGCGGGAGACGATTCCAACGCGGCCGCGTTTGTGGATGAAGCCTGGCATGATGCCTATTTTGCATTGGCCCTGCGATGGAACATATTAGCTTCATGCCTCAGTGAAAGTAGAGTATCGCATTGGCTAGTGCTGCGCTGCTTATCAGAGTCCTTGTTTGGAGTAATCAAGCCCGTCATGTGACGGGTCATACTCTTCCTATCATGTAATTGTTAAAGTATCATCATTGTAGCAGCCATCTCACGTCATAGAAGGAAAGATGAGACTCACCGGCGCGATGATACCAGGACAATTCGGCCCAACCAATCGTGTCTTATCCTGCGTCTTCAGCATATCCGTAATCCGCACCATATCATGCTGCGGGATACCCTCCGTAATACACACCACCAACGGCATCTCCGCCTCGATCGCCTCCTCTATCCCCTTCGCCGCTACAGGCGGAGGTACGAAGATCGCACTAGCATCGGCATTGGTAGCTTTTCGAGCTTCTGATACGCTGGCGAAGACGGGTTTCCCGAGGTGTTCTTGGCCGGCTTTCTTGGGATTGGTGCCGCCGACGACATTCGTGCCGTATTCGATTGCTTGTTGGGCGTGGAAGGTACCTTGTCTGCCGGTGAAGCCTTGGAAGATTACGCGGGTGTCTTTTGTTAGGCGGAGGTTCGAGTTTGTGGAAGCATAGCCGGTGGGTTGAGCGACGGAGGCATAGGCGGAGCGGGTGAGGCCAGGGGTGGAGCGGAGGGCGCGGGTGAGTGGTTGTCGGACAGACTGCATGGTGAATTGCTGGAGCTCAGGCGAGCTTCAGGTGGGTGGGAGAGAGAGTGTGTGTTGTGATGTGGTCGTGGTCGTGGAACTGTCGGGGGAGCTTTTGCTTTCGCGAACACAAACCGGGAGAGCTTCACCAAATAGAGTTCCGCGTCGGTCCGTTTATCGCAGGACGCTAACCAGATACATAAATCTTGACACGTGAAGACGACTTCATCTCTCAAACATTAGACGATGAAGCAGAGAGTCACCTACTTCCCTCCTCCCGGCAGCGATGTGCCGCCAAGTTCAGTCAATGTCACGAGTGGCAATGTTGACTTCCCGTTGGGAATACTACCGGCCGTCGAGAAGAGGATCACAGTGGGATTAAGCGAGCTGCCTGTGGAAGTAGGTACGGCATTGCCATTGGATGTAGAATGTCTAGCTGTCGACTAACACTAATCAGCTTCGTGATCTACTGGATGATATACACGAGCTCCATATCCGCTATGTCTCTCGCTCGAACTATGCAGCCTTGACGCCACTGGTAGCTCGTCTACCGCCCGGAATCCATGTCTTCTTTACGCCAAGACGATCAGACACAAAGTACGGAATACGAAGTTACACCAACACTCACGACTGACACATATGCTAGCGCCGACATCTGCTCTCTGCTGAAAAGGCTCTTCTCACCGGACTTGAAGTGCAACACTGTCTCTGACTCCTTCAGTACCCCAGCAATACTCTCAGAACGCTTCTCCTCATCTTCCAGTTTCCAATACTACCACCGTCTACCCAAGCTCCTCCACTTCCAAACATTTCTAGCACGCACATTCTGTCCCGGACAATTCCGAGGCGACTGTCCGAATGAAGCGGCGAGTCTGAGTTATGCTAGCTACATCGATATCGATTTCGATGTCATCAGCCATGCTGTCACTACTACTGCGTTCTGGAGGGCTGGGATTGCTTCTCCTGCTGCAAGGACGCCGGCAAGGAAGTGGACAGAGAATGATAGCTTGGAGGTTGGTGTGCTGATGCCGGAGAAGGCTGATGAGGATGAGCCTGAGTCGATCAAGATGGGTGGGTTCTTGGCTGTTGTTGGGGAGGATGAGGGAGCTAGTCCGTTTATCTCGTTCATGATCGTGGTTGTCTCAAATTTGCTAATCGCTTACAGGCTCAACACTCTTCTCCTTTCCATCTCGCCATCACTCGCTACCACCATCCAGCTCAATGGCTTTCAAGGTCGACTTTCAACAACCCACTGGTCTGCACCCGAAGCTCGATATCGTCCTGCCACGGCAGCATCTCAACCCACCAAAGGACTCCTGCGCACTACACACCTACCTGACCTTACCATCCGCACTGTTCATCGACCGCTACCAGCTCTCAGACCCCGCCACTCTCGCCGAGCACAATCTCAAGACCTTGCACGGCTTAAGTGGCGAAGACGACCTTGAAGCACCGGATTGGGTCGTCCAACGCTGGGGTAGTGCAGCTTTGATCGAACTCGCGGCACCACAGGACAACGACAGGAGTACGCTAACCTCAAGAAAAGAGGTAGAGTGGAATGCTAAGATCCCACTACACCTCCGCTACCTCCAAGCCGAAGCCAACGCCACGAATGCTGGGTACACAGATCTCGAGATACCCTGGCCAATACTCTTCTGGGCTTGCGAGGCAGAAGAAGGATTGAAGATGGCTGTAAATCCCTTCGATCACGTGAATCTGGGGTATGATGGACTTTTTGGACCCAAGACTATGTTCTATCATGTTCCGCCGTCGACTGAGGTGGTGGCGCCGAACTTCTTGGAGGAGAGGATCACAGTGCCTGTTTTGCAGCCGCAGTGGGGCGAGTGGGTGCAGGTGGGTACGCTTGTGGCTGTTTTGGTGGGGTTTGCTTGGGTTTGTCGGGGGTTGGTCGAGGGTGTCGGGAGTGATGGTAGTAGTGGCAGGGGGATGAAAGCGGAGAAGAAGAAAGAGTAATCGAGAGCAAGAGGTCCTGTTCGAGGTACGCATACATGTTGTCCTCAATCGATCTGACTGCCCATCTCATCTTAGTCTCCACATGACATATCCAAGTACTATCGCAATGCTTCCACCGACTGTACCACCAATTTGAGCACCTGTCGCAAGATCATGCGACACAATGGCGGTGATGACTGCCACTGCAGCAGATCCTAGCAATGCGAGCACTATTGGGAGTAGCATGAGTGCTGGTACTGTCTCGTTGCCGACGAAGAGCACCTTGCGGACTTGGCCATGATAGTGAACCAGGAATTCGGGATTCTGGATGAAAAAGTCTTGTTCGTCTGCTAGGGATTGTGGATTTACCAGGGCGCGGGTCAGCATGTCGTTGCGGCCTATATTGCGGAATTGCGTTTCATGCGGATAATCGATTGTCGAGCCACAGATTGGAATCTATGGCTGAGTCAGCCCTGTACTCCCCACGGCAGCCATGACGTTGGACGATTGACAGGCGCGAGAGCTCCGACACAGACGCAAGCTCTTGAGCAAGACAGCATAAGCTTGACTCTGTGTCTCCACCCAGTGCTCCGTCGTCCCCACCATTCCTGCAGAGCCCGGATCTTGTCCACGGCATCGCCAGGCAGCGTAAGGATGTCAATGTATCCCTGGTCGCCGACCTGGTACCCAATCCAGATATCGTTGGTCGAAGGGTTCCGCATTGCGAGCTGAACAATACTAACATCTCGCACGACACAATGGATTCTGGGGCAATAGACGACATGATAACTTGAATCTCCAGATCTTTGCGGATGGCCACGAAGTGACTTTCTGAGGCTGGAAAGTCAACCACAAGTGGCTACAAAATGATCTTCAACGCGGAAGCGAAAAGAATGAGCATCTTTTGCTGTAACAACTTGTTGACCTGGATCTAGATGCGAAGGTGCCTCAGGCCTGATTAAACTATCTCCCTATTGGCAGTAACAATTGTGGCTGCATGCTGTGCCGTCCCGACTCTGCCGAACAACTTGTTAACACTTTGGCAGCCTAATCTTCAGCACACATGTTGCTCTCGCTCATTCGTGCTGTCTCCTGTATGCCGCAACGAACCTGCTCTGCAGCAGCATTCTAGATTTCTTCAGATTACTTGTCGATTTATGGCGCCACTGCATCGTCTTGCTTACAGTCGTCCGGCATGTCACGCCAGGAGAACAACAGACGTCAATGAGGTGCACTCATAATCATATCATCGCCACTAGAGCCCGACTATCCGAAAGTCAGTATCATCCACGACATTGCACAACTGCTGCTGACGACTATGTCGGCCGATCCGCAAGAAATTCATAGCGCGGGCCCTGATCGGAATGCCTCCCATCGCAGCCAAAAAAGCCAGCGCCCTCTATTTCCACTCTTCCTTGGGCCACGAGCGCACTCCTTCGCCGAATCTCGGGATCTGCGGCATCGTCTCGGTACCAGCGAGGACTTTCGTATTCAAGATGATGTAGGTCCTGATTCCCAGGGCCACGATAGCGGGTGCTGGTCCCCGTCACAGGACTATGCACAGGGATACCAACCATCCCAGCCTTTGGCACCAACACCATACGAACAGGCAGATTTCGGACACCGATATGTGGCCCAGCTTGAATCCGCCTATGTTCGCTCCCGTCCAAGCTCGCCGGTAAGGAAGTCCGAGACTATAGCAGAATATCGTGAAGCTATGCCACAAAGCTCCCGGTATTTTGGTTCATCGGGTTATTGCGAGGCTCATGGGCCAATACAGCAGCACTACAACATTCCAGGGCATTCCTTGCGCACTGGTCAGAGCATGTCAGGTATACCGGCCTCATCGTCCACGATCTGGGCGTCGAAAGAGTGGCCAAGACAAGCACGAGATTTGAAGGCTTCATTATACCAGGACCAGTCGCACTCTCTAGAACATAACCTCAGTTCTCGCAAAGGTACTCCAATTCATCGTATGCTCCCGCATGGGCAAGACGATGCTGGTACTTCTCCGAGTAGTCCTGGATATCATGACACAGACTCAGCATATCACTCAGCGCAGACATCGTGGGCGATAGAGGTTACACGAGAGCAAGATTACCAATGCGGCGTGGCCAGCTCGGCCAGCGCGTGCGGAAATCCGGTCGGCGACACGGACAAATCTGCCCTTCTTAGGCCGAGCAGCCGGCCAAGCTCAGCCAGACAGGTACTCCAGGTGAGCCCAGGACACGTAGAACTTTCAGATCTCGACCCGCGCTATATTCAGGCTGCATTATCACAAATACGGAGCTATACAGCTCCAGCAGCGTCAGACGCTCCGCCACTGACTGCTGCTACCTTTGACGACCATGAGCAGCACGCTTTTGATGCACTGGAACAAACAGATAAAGATGCGGCATTGGAAGAAGCTATGCTACATCCAGACATACCTCCAAGCGAGCACTCGGACGTCGCAGTCTTGTCGTCAGAGATCTACGGGTCTTCTCAGAGGCCAAGTACAAGCAGAGATGGTAGTAATGATAGCTTGGCTTTACCAGTGACTTCGAGGCTTGAAAACGTGCTTGCACATCTTCAAGAGCTCCTTCATTGCCAAGAAGGCAACGGTCCTATCTGTAGGAGCCCAAGAACTGAACAATTGACAGACGACCAAGCTTCTAGTCAGGGAACTCCTGTTACACCAACATCGTTGCAAAACGATATCATTCAGGGAATCCCAATTGTCCGTAAAACAGCCCCTGGAGCTACAAACGATCGAGCTAGTCAAGATACATCTAGCCAAGCTCCTAGCGGCGTTAGTGAAGGAAGTTTACGAGCCGGGGGTCGCAAGCATGGGCGTGAGAATGGAGAGTCTGATGCCGAAAGGGAATACAACCGAGCACGCCGCCCACGACATGGCCGGGTAAGATTTGGTATTGGAGATGATGATGATGAAGGCAACGCCGAGCAAATGCCTTGCATCATCGATGAATGTGCTGGAAGGAACGAACATGTTGCTGAGCTTCTGTAAGTTTGACAGAGAGCAGATTCCTAATCTCGCAGCATGGTTAACGATAGCACAGGAGACAGCTTGAACATCGCCACTCGATCTTTGTATGTATGCGATGCTGGCAAAGAGTTGACGACGATCAGATGTTACAGATACATAAGACAACAGGCGAGGGCTGTAAACCTCACTGTGTCTCTGCCACTTGCGGAGGCCAAGCTGTCTCGTCACAGCAACGCTCAGCCTCCACCCTAGACCAGGTCGACTGGAGGCATGAAAGGCTTGTGTCTTGTCCGTCTGATCGGAGCGTGTCTCGTTGTGATCGATGGCGTTATTTGCATCTACTCATACATCCAGATAGAGATATACCGCGCTTTAGTAAGGACTTCAGTCTATCATTGTCGCTCTGCAGAAACGTTTCCTTTTGCTGACCACCCTCAGAAACCGACGAAGGGCGACCACATCCGCATGGCTCTGCTAATTCCAGACGTACTCGCCCTTGTAGGAAACAGCGTACCAACCTCAATGACGTTGTCAAAGAGCTGGAAATAGCTCGTAGAGGGGCCCAGGATTTGCAGGATTCTATCGTTCGCCGGGACACTATCATAGCAGCACTTATAAGTACGCCAAGATTCGAGATTAAGCCATGGCTGGTGAGCATGATTCGACAGGATGCGCCTGGTGCGCTGACCCTTGCTGGACCCTTGAATGATGCATCGGAATCTCAGGAGACTGATGAGCGAGGTCTCGCGACCCCAGAAGACAGCGCAAAAGTAGGCGAGCAAGGTCCAATTGATGCTGAGAACATCCCACGAAGTCTGCAGGCTGAAAGCAACGGACTGAGGCCAGCATACTTGCTTGGTGAAGACATCGGGGCTATGCAGATGACACCACCAAGTGTCACGCAGCAGAGCACATTGCCAAATGAGGCTTTCTTACAACCAGACTTTACTGATCCATATTGGGACCCCTTCTCAAATCATCCGTGGTGTTCAGTCACACAATTTCAATTTCCGGACATGCGATTCGAAGACTCATTGGCGCAGCCGAAATCGTCCAAGAATTGAAAGAATGCTGAAATGGAGAGGTCTTGGACCTCGCAACAACCACAGGACGCAGAGAGTAATTAACTCGACCATTTCGAGTATTGATGGTAGTTATGGTTAGAACCTACAGTCCACGAGATTCCCATTGTACCGAACTGTCGTCCACGCAGAGCTGCGTACAAGTGCATGCAACGCAAGCCTTGCTACCATCTTCCTTTCGAGTCTTTCCTCCTGACCCAGATGGAAGCAGTAGTTCGATGTGTTCACGTGAATTCGCGACGCGTCCGGTGAGCACAAAGGCTCTACACTTATACACTTCCCATCGCCTCGCGTCTGCTTGGGCCTGTTCCCTCGATGCAAGTGCCAGCTCTGCGTAGTGTGTGCATGGAGAGATACCCTATGTTGCAGCCACCCAAATTCAACCTCAAGTTCCTTGACGCTCGGGCCGACACAGGCGGGCAGCACTTGATTTGACAACAGCATCATTGCCGACTGCGCACTCCTGCATCATGCCCTAGAGCAAGACACCATCGTTCTCAGCCTAGGATCATATGCAGACATGATGCCGCCAAGGCAACGAACTCAAGCTCTGACAGCTCTCGCCACCGCAACAACCATTGCCGGCCTGGCGGGGACACTATACTATCTTGACATCCCATCAATACTCCGCCAACGAGTGAAAAGCCGCAAAGTTGAGCCACGATGCTATGATCTGAACTCGCCACCCTCGTTGGCAGACCTCAAAATTTTGACACAAGAGTCTACGGTGAAGGAAACATATCCTCGAGCGACCAGAATTGAAACGAACATACCGATCTATGACTGCTCACAGTTCGATCTGGAAGACAAAGACTTCGTGAACAGGCTACAAGATGAATGGTACCACATCCTCCTCTCCGGCCCAGGCGTCTACATCCTCCAGAACTTCTACCCGGACACCACACTCATCGACAACACCAACGCCGCCTACGCCGCCATCGCCACCCGCGAGAAAGCAGAAAGCGGAACAAAAGGCGACCACTTTTCCGCCGCCCAAACCAACACTCGGATCTGGAACAGCTTGTCAAAACACTGCCTCCAAGATCCCACTTCCTTCATAAAGTACCACAGTAACCCGCACTTTCGTCTGGTGTGCGAATCCTGGCTCGGTCCAGCCTATCGGATAACAAGCCAGGTGAATATCGTCAAGCCTGGCGGCCAAGCACAGACGGTACATCGGGATTACCATCTCGGATTCCAGACGCCTCAAGGTAGTGTGAAATGGCCGAAACGTATGCACGTAGCTAGTCAATTCTTGACTTTACAAGGAGCGGTAGCGCATACGGATATGCCAATCGAGAGTGGACCGACGAGATTTCTGCCGTTCAGCCAGATGTTTGAGGAGGGGTATCTGGCTTATCGACTTCCGGAGTTCCAGAAGGATTTCCAGGCGGATCATGTCAGTTTGCCGCTGAAGAAAGGTGATGCTGTGTTCTTTAATCCCGCTCTGTTTCATGCAGCGGGAGAGAATACCACGAAGGATTTCGAGAGGAGTGCGAATCTGATCCAAGTCAGTTCGGCTTTTGGGAAGACCATGGAGGGTCTTGATAGCATACCGATGGTGGAGGCGTGCTGGGATTTGCTGGTGGAGAAGTACAAAGCTGAAGGATGCAGTCAAGAGGTGGATGCATTGATTAGAGCTATTGGCGAAGGCTACTCGTTTCCAACTAATCTGGATAGTCGGCCGCCTGCTCCTGGTGGTATGGCGCCGGAGAGTGAGCAAGATTTGCTGTCACGAGGGCTGGACGAGGGTTGGTCGAGAGATGAGGTTGTTCGTGCGTTGCGAGATATGCGGAGAGATAGTGTGGCGTAGTCAAACTCCAGCGCGATGATGCCGATAGTATCGAGGTAATACGCCACCCGAACTAGCCATACTTCTACGAGCTGGCCCGTAAACAAGATGGGGATCTTTGACCAGCTTCCTCTGGTCTCATTTCTTGAACAGATCAAGAAGCGCATTCTTCTGCTGCGGCGGTGGCGCGGGCTGAGGCTGAGCGATAGCCGGACTGCTGGTCTTGCGGAAGAAGTCTGTGTCGGTTGTCGCTGTGAACATTGCTGGTATGAAGGCAGGCGGAGGTACATCATTCACCATGCTCGGCTGAACTTGTAGTGTAGGCTGCTGCACTTCTTGTGCCGACTTGCTGCCAAACAATTGCAGTAAATCCAACTTCTGCTCGCTCTGCTGCGCCACAGCTTCTTCCTCCTGCGTCTGCTCCTCCGCTTGCGCAGTCCCATCCAAGCCGTAGTCCTGCTCCTCCACATGTCCATCATCAACGTCAGCCGTTCCCTCACGTGAGATCTGCGCCTGCAAAGCGCAAGCCTGGATCGTCTTGGCCATCACCTCCTTCGTACTAGGCACCGTCTCTCCATCCGAAAAGATCCAGATACCATAAATCTGCGGCTCGCCTCCAGAGTTAAGAGCCTGGAGTATTACATACTCGTCCGTGACCTGAATGTCATCGGCACTGACTAGCTCCGTAATGAAATTATCCAGGCTTTTGCGGTTCAGGATGATGGCATTATACCTCCCACCACTGAGCTGACAAGCGAAGAGTGTGCTTTCTATGCCGCACTTCTCCCATTGCTGGCTCTCGGCGCTGAAGATGTAGAGTACAGCGAACGGAGCTATGGCGAGGATGCGCTCGATATCCGGACTGTAGCGGTGGAGGACTGTGAGGTTGAGCTCTACATCACTTCGTGGTGGTGGTGGTGGGAGATTGGGTGGGTAGTCGGTGATGGCGTCTGTGTCATCAAAGTCCGACTGCACTGGTTGTGGTGCTGGCTGGGCATTACGCGTGCCTCCTCTTCGTTTCGGCGGCATGGTTGATCTTACGACTATGATGAAGCTGAGCTCAGCTCCAGTTGCTTCACGTTCAAGCTTCCAAACCAAGCTTCAGCCTCATGGCGTCAAGGTACATGCGCGCTGCAGATCCCCCGCGCTTGCCGTCCCGCTTGGTGGCGGCGATGATGATTGTCAACGCAGGAGACAGAAAGGCAATGGACGAGCCCCTGCACAGCCCACGTGCCGGGCAATTTGTGTGCCGTGTGCCTGGTGACATCCCACACTACTAGGGGTACTTGCTCATGAACCCGCCGCTATGCTGGTTCATATCCACCATTCACCTCACTCACCCAAAGCTTAGCGTCGACCAGTCATGGCAGGCACGCGACCACGTCCGGCCAGCACTTCGACTGCTAGTAGTCTGATGCAAGACGTCCCTGGAGCTTTCCCTGCTCGTAACAGTTCAGATGAGAATGCTCAGTCTGATTTCATCAGCTTGTCGCAGGCTATACACGCGAGACGGGCTGAGTATGTCAGGCCGAAGCACGTGAGAATCAAGGTCGGCAGCTGGAATGTGGCCGCATACAAGGGGGCAGAGAAGGACATCGGCGGATGGTTCGTGCAGGGCAAAGGCGTGACAGAGGCATCAGCTGGGTTGAAAGTCACGGATCAGGTGCAGTCGCATGGGAGTGGCATGCCATCACAGACAGGCCTAGACGAGCGAGAAGACGTCGCAGCACAGGAAGCACGATATGCCAAGAAGAAGGAGACCATACCCAAGGACGACCCTGGCTCACTACCTGGCGACGGCGACATCGGGCTCTACGTACTTAGTCTTCAAGAAGTCGTCGACATCAATTCCTTCACCGAAGCTCTACGCCCCTACACCGATCCACATGTTGCCAATAAATGGAAAGACGCTATGGCCGCAGCGCTGCCGGGAGACTACATCCTGGTCGCCGAACAACAACTCATCGGCATGCTGCTCCTAGTCTATGCCAGTGCGGACATCGCGAAAGATGTTCGGTCTGTATCGACCACCAGCGTCGGCACAGGCATAGCAGGATACATGGGCAATAAAGGTGCCGTGACTGCGAGAATAGTCCTGGGAGACACCACGAGGATGGTCTTCGTCAACAGTCATCTTTCTGCAGGGGCAGACAAAGCAAGCTTGGAGAGAAGGAACTGGGATGCTAGTCAAGTCATCGCACGAACACGATTCGAGCCCATCGTGGACCCATCTGGTGCAAAGCAAAGTGAAGGCGAGCAGATTGGCGATGAGGATATCGCTTTCTGGTGCGGTGATCTGAACTATCGACTCGAAGGCATTCCTGCTGATGATGTCCGACGATTACTCATGCTTCATACCCGCAACGAGTACGATCTCTCACAGCGTTCTGCTCGCAAAGTCGAGAAAGAGTTGCAGTCTGCCACGGAGTCGGTCAGGAGGCGAGTTGAAGATCGACTAAGCGTCCACTCAACAGGCTCGTCTGCACCATCTTCCCCTGCGCGCTCTACACACGAGATCAGAAGTAGTACGGACTCACGTGCGAGTACTGACACCACTCCGCCGACTACCATCATGGATGACATTGCCGCAAGCGACGACCCGACCTCCTTACAGACGACCTTATTATCCTTACTGCCTCACGACGAGCTACAGCAGCAGATGAAACTTCGCACAGCTTTCCACGATGGCTGGCGAGAAGGTCCGATCAAGTTCTTGCCAACCTACAAGTACGATGCAGGCAGTGTCGGTGTGTTCGATTCGAGCGAGAAGAAGAGGGCGCCAAGTTGGTGTGATCGTATCTTATACAGAACCAGACGAGACCGCCTGGCGTACGAAAGCAAGATTAAAGAGGAAGCGGATGCCAAGCGTAAAGACGAGGAGATGCGTGCGAGCGGTCTTGATAATGCTGGTAATGATGAGGAGATATTATACGACCTTTACGACCCTGAGACGGATGGCGCTGCGGAGGAATACAACGAGTATGATGAGTATGATGATGCTAATGAGAACGTTGTGGTTACGAAAGAAGGTTTCGAGGATGAGATCGAGCTGGAGTACTATATTGCTCATCAGAGAGTGCTTTCGAGTGACCATAAGCCGCTGGATGCTGTTTTCAAGCTGAAGTACGACTGTGTGATACCAGACTTGAAAGCAAAGGTGAGCAGAATATGTAAGAAGTGAGCTTGCCATAATTTCCAACTGATTAGGTGTTGTAGGTCCACGACGAAGTAGCAAAAGAGCTCGACAAAGCTGAGAACGAGAGCCGACCAGCTGTTACAGTAGTCGTCGATCGCCACCGCGACAGCGCAACCGAGGAATCCGACGCCGATCCCGCAACGTTCAGCGGTGTCTATTTTGGCGATGTGCGATATGCTCATGCAAGACATCGTACCCTCACCATCGCCAACACCGGCCGAGTATCCGCCACCTTTTCCTTTATGGAGCGACCACATGCCGCCAATAGTAATTCTGGACTCGCACCCAAATGGATCAATTTGACTTTGAACGACCAATATTCTGCAAGCTCGAGTTCGGCCAGCCAAAGCATTACTCTAGAGCCTGGAGAGACAGCGGGTGTGGAGTTGGAGGTCCGGATTTTCGACATGCATACTATGCATGACTTGAACGAAGGTCTGCAGGAATTAGACGATATCCTCGTCCTTCGGGTCGAAGGCGGCCGAGACCATTTCATCCCCGTCAGAGGCAAATGGCTGGAGAACACGCTAGGAAGGAGCATCAACCGTCTTGTCAAGATCCCAGAGGGTGGAATAAGGAAATTGCAGGGACAGAAACCGGGTGGGAAGTCGAGGCATTCGAGACTTTCGACCTCGAGTTCGGGATCGGCAAGCGAACGGCCAGTGAGTCCCTCTATGGAGCAAGTCTCGAGCGCGCCGCGAGAGCTTTGGAAGCTGACGGCTGCTGTAGAAGACTTGAGTGCGAGGGTGGTTGCGGAGTGGGAGATGACGCATCCGTCTGACGGTACAGATGCTGGGGAGAGTGTAGCTCCATGGCGAAGACATCCCGGTTGGCCATTTGATGAGCGTTGTTGGGTTGAGAGAGGTACAACACAATCGCAAGATGCTCTGGGTGATGCGCTGAATGCGCTGGACTGCGACGAGCCGCTCGAGGCTAGCATACCGGCTGCAATGCCAAAGATACAACGGCTCTACCTCCTCGCTGATCTGCTTTTGATTTTCTTGAAGGAGATGCCAGACGGTACCATCACATCCGAACAATGGGACGAGATCGACGCCCTACTCACAGCAATCGAGAAGAACAAGACCAAACCCAGTCTCGAGGAGCAGAAGACCGCAGTACAAGAGATCCTAGCAAAACAGCCAAGCCATAACATCTCCTTCATCTTCATCACATCAATGCTCGAACGCATCATGCAGGAGACCGCGAGCACGAAGAAACATGACGAGGTGCCGTCGAGTCCTGGCAAGAAGGCCGGGACCTTGAGACGGCTGGCGGGATTGGGCAAGTTGCCTGCTGTTGCTCCTAGTGAAAATGAGGGAAGTGCTCATGCGTTTGCGCAGCTCTTTGCTAGTGCGGCCATCAGATCGAAGGTTGTTGGCGGGGAAAAGGTGAGGGTAGTGCAGGAGAGGAGGAAGGTGGAGGTCATGACCTTGTTTCTTAAGAAAGCCGAGCCAGGCTAGGGAAAGAAATACCACCCATGGTAGCTCAAGAACTGCTTTGCGATGCACGATCATCATATCCTCATTCATGTGCTGAATCGTGTGTCTACCATGACTCAGCTCATAATTGCCGTCCTAGCCGTACCCCATAGGCTATCGACCGGCTAAAGCGGGATGAAATAGATTAATTCCTCCGATCTCCGTATGTCATCGACGTAGATCTCGTCTGAACGTCATGTAGATGCAAAGCCGATCGCAAGAGCCGTAGATGTGGACACGCGAGAGTGGTGCGTGGAGACGTGCGGAGAAACAAAAAGGTAGTGTTAGTGGAGGAGATGTATCTTGTCCGTGTAGACAAGCTTCCCATCTTGCATATCGCCAAGTCTCGGGAGTGCTTGTGTCTTTTTCACTTTCATACTCTGTCGTTGTTATTTCTGTTCTTCGATACTACCTTGCCTGCCAACGACAAGCATAGCAACACCCTCATCATGGCAGGGAAATCACCAACCTTTCTAGGTCTCAAAGGCCAACCATTAGTCTACGCTGTGGTCGCCTGCTCGAGTTTTGGCTTCTTGCTATGTATGATGAATCCCGAGTCTCGCCACCGCCGTCTCCACTGACATCCTCTCCAGTTGGCTATGATCTAGGCTTCATGGGAGGCTTGACAACAGCTCCAGTCTTTTTGGACCAATTCGGGAACCCCAACGCCTCACTTCTCGGCTTTCTGGTATCAAGCTACGAAGTCGGCGCTATGATCGGAGCCCTCTTCGTCTTCACTCTAGGTGACCGCTTCGGACGCAGGCCAATCAACATCGCCGGCGCCATCATCGTTGCTATCGGAGCAGCGATCCAGACGTCAAGTTTTGGCATTGCCCAATTCTTGGTTGGGAGACTCGTTGCTGGATTCGGACTAGGAATGATGACGACCGTGATCCCTGTCTGGCTAGCTGAATGTTCCATGCCACGAAACCGAGGCCGGATGATGGCTATGCAACTCTCGAACCTCATCATGGGCCTGATCATAGCCAACTGGGTCGACTATGGCATGAGCTTCTATGCTGGGTCGATCCAATGGCGGTTTAGTGCTGCACTGCAGATTGCTTTCTGCCTGATTGTCTGCTGTTTTATGCCTTGGCTGCCGGAGTCTCCTAGATATCTGGCAAATGTGGGCAGGATTGCCGAGGCCACAATAAGCCTCGCTGCCTTGAGAGGCGATCATCCGGACAACGAGGCGATTGCTACTGAGATGAAGGAGATCCGTTACGCGATCGAGATTGAGGCTGAAGAGCAAGGATCGTGGTCGGATGTTTTCAAAGATGGTGGTGTTTCTGGATTTACGAGGGTGTCGATTGCCTTTTCTGCCAACTTCTTCCAGCAGCTCAGTGGTGTGAACGTCATGTCGAGTCTTGGGCCCTACATATTCCAGGGTGAGTGTGAAGAAAGAGAGCGTGAGATATCCTTGACTCAGATGAGCTGACTTTCGCGAGTAGAGTCAATTGGCATGAGCAGATACGATGCACTATTGGTCTCTGGTGGTCTCCAGGTGTAAGTTGTGTTCACCTCGTGGCGTGATCAAGCTAATGTAAAGCAGCTTCTACTTCTTGAGCTCCCTCATCCCATGGATCGTCGTGGATAAAGCTGGGAGACGGCGACTATTCATGATCGGCTCACTTGGCATGGGAATCTGCATGATGCTTTCAGCCATCTTCGTTGGAATCGGTACGAAAGGTCTAGGCTACGCAGCTGCCGTCGTACTCTACCTCTTCCAGACATTCTTCACCCTTGGCTGGCAATCGAACATGTGGATCTACCCGTCAGAACTTCTGCCTCTCAAGCTACGTATACGTGGTGGAGCTCTTGCAGTAGTCTCCCAATGGCTATGGACCTTTCTTGTGGTCGAGATCACGCCTCCAATGATAACGAATATCGGCTATAAGTCATATATTGTGTTTGCCGTCATCAACTTCGTGACGGTACCGGTCGTCTACTTCTTCTATCCAGAGACTGCGCGACTACCGCTGGAAGCCGTTGATCTATTATTCGCGGACAGAAACGGCCAGCGACCGAGTATCTTCCAGGTGGTCAGGGATAGCAAAGATCCTGTCTTCATGGCAGAAGTGAATGCTACTCTCGAAGAAAGAGCGAGATCGAGTGCGGAGCATGCTGAGATGAAGAAGCCAGTGGTCAAGGGCGTCGAGGATGTGGCTAAGGTTTAATCAGACCTGTGTATAGTCTTCGAGTCGCCAACTTGTAGCATTGTCGTCGACCACGAGCTTGTGCGTACGGAAGTCGATGTGTTCGTAGAGGTCTTTCGACGCCATTCGAGCCCTGCGATGCCATGGACCACTACCGCCGGCAATGGCGTCCTCTTGGCATCGCCAGATGCCTAGCAAACGATCAGCTTCATCCATGAGTCGTTACTGCATGGCAAACGTACAAGTCGCCAGGTTTCGCATCTCAGAGTCACAGCTGCCGAACCAGTACTTCAACAATCCACCGCTCTCACAAGCCTCTCTATGTGATTGCTGGTCCAACCCTGACACCAAGTCGACATCTGCATTTCGCTTCCGTACTGACCGAAACGTCACGACGTAGAACTCTCGCTTCTGCCACTTCACGCCACTTATCTGACATAATGCTCGAAGGCGAGTGAACACAGTAGGCCAATTGAATGCTTCCGGCCATGGCGTTGTGGCGTAGTCTTCTCTCACAGGCTCCAGTGATGTGAGTGAAATCGCAAAGAGGCGGCTGTGAGCATCCAGATTCCGCAGGGTTAGGTGGTTGGTGAGGTCGTCGTACGGGGAACTCTTGACGTGAGTAGCCTCGAGGTCGAAGCTTTTCAGGCCGGAATGTCGAGATTGAACGCTACCACTGTTGGCAGAGAGCGAGAGCTTCTCGTGACGAATGGCCTGTAAAGTACCCATATCTGCAGAGGATCGCAGATTGGTGCTGCTCTTCAGCGGAAGTATCGAGGTAGCTTGCTTATCAGGTAGTTTACGACTTCTCGGAAAGAGAGGGCAGCGCTACTGGGGCAGCTTATCTGGAAATGACTGCGGAAAGTCATGTTGACGTGCTGGCTTGTGATGGTTGCAACATAGCAGCGGTATGGCGACAGGTTGCACCATAGTGGGACAAAGCTGAACTTTAGACTTCACTCATCTTTCTGGAAGTGCGATGCTTGCAATTGCTCTGCGCTTTCACTTGCCAGGACTGACGTCTGCGTATTCTCGTAGCGTGACATAGTGCACAAATCTTGGCTGCTGTCGTCGCCGATAAATTGATAATGCACCCGTGGCGACGAGTGATGATGCCTATCAGGGGCCCTCAGTGGAAGAAGATCACGTATGCCGGGCGTACTATGTCAAATCATGATGGGCGGCCTTACTGTGCCTGAAGAGTTGAAGATAGTGTTTTATTACGATGCAGGTACTTCGCTTGTATGAGGCATGTAAATGCCACGCTAGTAATGCTGCTAAGCTCGATGCGGACATATTTTTCGCGGATTTCTAGACGGCGTCTCTTCAGCATCTACCTAATCCGTCCTCATCGTTCAATATCCTGATCATGACACGCTTCCGCCCTTGCATAGACCTCCATGCTGGCGCTGTGAAGCAGATCGTTGGTGGTACTCTGACTACTGACGATGCTGGATTGAAAACGAACTTCACATCAGAGCATCCAGCAGCATACTACGCTAGTCTGTATCGAAAGCATGAGCTTGAGGGCGGCCATGTCATTATGCTCGGCCCCGGAAACGACACTGCGGCCCGTGAAGCTCTTTTAGCTTGGCCAGACGGGCTTCAGGTAGGTGGTGGTATCAAAGACAGCAATGCTGCAGACTGGATCAATGCTGGTGCCGAAAGGGTGGGGATCACCAGGAAGTCTAATGTGTTGTTTGGAGTCGTAGCTGATCTGGCGCAGTAGGTCATCATCACATCTTTTCTGTTCCCTTCTGGAGCCTTCAGCTTAAAACGTCTTCAATCTGTGCTCAAGACATTGGGTGGCGACAAGAACAAGCTTGTTATAGACTTGAGTTGCCGACGAGTAGGAGACGGCTGGAGAGTAGCCATGGACAGATGGCAGACGATCACGAACTTCGAAATTAACCAAGGTATGCTCTCCAGACTCCATGGAAGATGTGGCTAATGGTGTGTACAGAGAACATCGCCATGCTTGAGCCATACTGCAGCGAGTTTCTGATCCATGCTGCTGATGCCGAGGGCTTGCAAGCAGGGATTGACGAGAAACTGGTATCCCACCTAGCGAGCATATGCACGATACCGGTGACATATGCTGGAGGAGGCCGCAACATCGAAGACTTGGAGCTGGTAAAGCGCTTGAGCCAGGGTAAGGTGGACCTGACGATCGGCAGCGCTCTCGACATTTTCGGTGGGCAAGGCGTGACCTTCCATGAGTGCTGCGAATGGAATATGCGGCAAAATTGAATGCCCACAATCTGCTTGCACCGCGCTTTGCAGTAGGCTGGTACCTGGGCGAGGTCGAATAGGGAGCAGACCCACAGGAATTAGATTTGATTAGCGTTGATCGCTTCACCATGTACGAAGTCCCTGCAGCTTTCTGTCACTTCTTCAACAGCTCCGACAGACAAACATTGCTTTCAAATACTCAGATCACGAACATCTGCACCTCGCTATCTCGACAAGAAGAACAGCATGCAACACACCAAACTGCGACAAAATTAGATATTTCATCAAACCAGCGAACGAGGCACAAGATGGGCTACGATTACGCCGTCGCACAGCAGGTCTTAAATGAACAGGAGAAGAATCGCATCCTTGCAATCTACCTCAACAACGACATCACTGCTCTCAACAGCACCGTGGACTGGAAGGCTGCCGCAGAAGCCTTTGGCAGTGCCAGCGTCGAGAGCTTCAAGAAGATGCTAAACAACTCACTCAAGAAGTTGCAGGACAAGGGCGGCGAAGGTGGCGCTGCGCCGAGCCCGGTTAAGTCAGCTGGTGGTCGGAAGCATAAGGCTACTGGATAAGGCAGTGCTGAAGATAACCCGAAGAAGCGTGGCGGTGGGAGGAAGAAGAAGGTTGCTGAGAAGGTTGACGAGAAGGTTGAGCTGGTATGAGCTTTGCCCAGATGATTCAGTCATGAGATTGAGATTGACTATATCCATAGAAGAAGACAACGAGAACATCGCGGCTGGTGTCAAGGCAGAGGATGAGGATTGCTCGTAGTCGTGATCGAACTTATCCACTTCCGTACGCTGGCTAAGCTGGATGTATTCGGCTTGGCAATGAGGTAGAGATCATGTGAAAGTGCAGGCAGTGAGCGGCCCAGAGTTCATTCGACAGAATATGCATATGACTTACTTTTAGGCAGCTCTTTATCGAGCTACGAACAAGTCTTTCATCCTTTCAAGCTTCCACGTTCGCTGCCTCTCTCTCATCAAATCTTACCGAGGACACAAAAGTCATTCAAAACCACCTTCCAAGCAATATCTGCCCTTGAGACCACAAAGATGCCGTACGATTATCCCGCCGCGAAGACTGTGCTCTCGGAAACTGAGAAAGACCGTATCCTCGCACTCTACCTGAGCAGCAACACCACCGCTGTGAACGCAGTCGTAAGTGCTGCTGACAATCTGTAACACGAAACCCACTGACAAGATGCAGTTCGACTGGGAGAAGGCAACCACAGCATTCGGATCTGCCAGTGTGGCCAGCATGAAGATTTCTCTCAACAACTCACTCAAGAAGCTCACAAAGCTAGGCGACGGAGAGGAAGTGGTCCCGAGCTCAGTCAAAACCCCGGGCGGACGCAAGCGTAAAATCAAAGAAAGTGAAGGGAATGCTGCAGAGAGCACCCCGTCCAAGCATGGAGGAGGCAAGAAGAAGAATGTCAAGGCGGAGGTGGCAGGTGAGCGCTTCATCATTAGATTTCCCTCCTTCTTCCACTATCTACGGACCTCTTCTCCAGGAGATGTGCACGAGGAGGACGCAATCGGGGCCTTCAAAGGCGAATTTGATTGAGGATATAAAGGGGAGTCATAAGATGCAAAGGCTAGGAAGCGCATACGTGTTTCTGGCAAACCAAACTCTCTGATCTGGAGTATTGCTGGCAGTACGTATGCTCTTGCCGAAGCACTTGATAGACGTGCATCAACGTAGGAACAGTCTCTGCCATCTATCGGCGTTCCTTGCTCACAATGATGTTGAAAGCGCGATCTTGCAAAAGGAAGCACGAAGACCCAGGTTCGGTGAAGCGTGAGTCAGGCGAGGCAGGCAATGGTGGTGATTGTGTTACATCCAGAAAGCTACCGAACCTGAAGCATCAATAGTCCATGCGTGTTGCCAGTTGCCCGCTGATACTATGTAATCCTCGTTGCTCATGCCCCTTGACTTCGATGCTCAAGTAAATTCGCCATCACCACCCTTCTCTGTGCTCTCCACAGCTTCAGCTTCTTCAACGACCTCGTCCTTGACTGGTAGCCCGTCATGGTCCGGCTTCGTGGTCTTAGGCTTGCGCCCACGCTTCTTTGGGTTCGGAGCGCCGTTTTCAGCGTCATCGCCGTCCGTAGTCGCACCCTTGCGCTTCTTAGGAGTAGGATTGTCTCCAGTGGTGTTGATCTTCTTCCGCTTGATTTGACCCCATCGAGTCTTGGCAATGCTTGCATCCTTGTAGCCCATTTCCGCGGCAACGGCATCGTAGTCGGTCTGCAGGATGTGAGTACTGTGTCTGCAGCATACTAGGGTAAGGAACTTACAGGGATGTCGCCTTGAAGGTGCTTGATCATGCACATAAGAAGCTTGGTCTCGCCATCCGTGAAGCCCTTGACGCTGGTATCCTCGGAAGCCATGCTGATGGTGTGTTAGAAGTTGATTTCTGGGAGGGTGTGCTGTGGTAGTGATGATGTAAAGGTTGTTGTGAACAGCAAGTGCTAAACGTGCGTTGTATCTTTGAAGCCCAGCTCAGTGTGTGAAGTGATGTTATCACGATAGTGAAGTGATAGAACCAGGTATCACAGCTCAATTAGGCAGTTCACCTTGCCACTCCCTGAGCCTCGTGACAGTATCTGAAGCTGAACGCATTCTTTACTTCTTTCCACACTTGTTCATTCCACCTCGACTGTTCAAGCAACCCCACAGGATTGTCTCCACTACAACGAACAAAGTAGCATACCTCAAAGACACCATGTCATACACCAACGAGCATTTCTTGTTCTGCGTCCTGGACCACACGGTCAGCGGTAAAGTGTGTACATCCGCCATCCCGAAGTCTGCACTATGCTAACACTCGCTAGACTGACTGGAAGGCCGTAGGCGATGTCTTCGGGATCAAGGTCGGCGCAGCGTAAGTACCAATAGAGTGTAGTAGTGCCCAAGCGCCTCGACTGATACATAATATAGCTCCATGCGCTTCTGGCGCTTGAAGACCAAGTTCGGCGACTACGCTTCTGCAGCTGCAGCCTCTCCTGCCAAGGCTTCTGGTCAGCAGACTCCAAGGAAAGAGATTAAGTCTCCCAGTACCAAGTTCACCCCTTCCAAGAAGCGCAAGACGCAAGATGATGTTGACGACGAGGAGATGGCCGCTTCTCATTCCAGGGTGAAGGAGGTCAAGGCTGAGGCGGCGGCCAAGGAGGAGTCAGAGGATGATGGATGGGCTTAAGGATGCCATGTCTATTACCAGGCAGATCCTGCTTGGCTGTGATGCAGATCTTCTTGTTGTACTCGCAGGAGGGGTCCGTCCCGATTGCAATGGCAAAGTAGCTTCCGAGGCCTCGACGACTGCGGGATTCTAACTTTACTTGACTGCTCCACAACTTCTCATTGCATTTCGCAGGCTGCCAGTTAATCAGACCTTCCGAAATCCTGTGTGTAGAGAGTTACCAATGCTTTCGCCCATGTGCAGTGGCGCCGGGCATGTAAACGAGCTTACTACTGAATGTCGATTTAAGTCGGTCGCTCTGTGTCAAGCCGCTTCGTCTTGTCTGGCTAGCTCTAGAAGTCTACTAGTCGATGCCTTCCGGTTCTTGGTTCCCTGGAGGCGATGTCAGTATACGACATTCCCAGTGAGGAGGCCGATGACACTCACAACCCCACTCGTCTACCAAACTCCTGACAGTGACCTCGGTCGAGCATCCAGTATCCTGGCCAATAGCTTTCATCACCTGAAGCACGATTCTTCTCTCATCATCAATCTCCAGACAGCCACCTGCGATGTAGAGTGGTAGAAGCATCTCGACTCTGACAGCAGGATGAGGTCTTCCCAATGCAATGCTGATGATGGCTCTCGCATGCTTGATGGCATCGGTAGACACTTCTCGATAAGCCTTAAGCCTGCTAACACCCTTCTGATCTCGAGGCTTGTTGAGCAGGAGTAGTATTCGTGCAAAGTGGTACAGGTGGAGTGCTGCAGCACAAGAGTCGATGCTGAAGAACACCTCCGTCAGCTGCATGTTTGTGTTTCCAACAACTACCTGCTGCTGGAAAGGTATGTGTCTGATTCGAGCACAAGGTTGGAATGTCCCAGGCAACATGCTGTACCATTGATCTAGCTGTGATGTGAGTCTGTCCCAAGTCACCTGCTGTACTGCGGAGGAATATCCAGACTCCAAGGCACAGTAATTGGTGACTCCAAGGACAACCCAAAGCAGAGTATGAGCAACCAGCTGTGCTGTCCGTTGTGGGTGCTGGGAATCACCTTTGATGCTTGCCGGCTCAGCATATAGAGCACCGTTGTCCTGGAGCTCAAGCCCGCAGTTTCTCCACAACGCCAGATCTCCAGTATCAAGATACGTCATCCGTCTGTTGATGTACGCCGCTTGGTAATCGCCGCGAGCAAAGTTCCAGAACGAAGCTTTTCGACCACTTGTAATTTGAGACTGAAGCTGGCTTTGCTCCTGTTGATTCGTCCTGATAGCGGTAAGCAACGACTTCAAACCGCCTAGATGCCTGTCTCGGCGTCAACATCAGCCACTGGAAGTCCGACGATCTACTTACTGTGACCATCCAACTTCACGATTGTCCAACGACTCGTACAGCGAGAATATACTCACAGCCACCAGAAGATCATCTGAGTTGGCCACCGATAGTGTTGTCTGCGTGTTCGGACTGGCTGGCTGACTCAGGCTACCAGACAGCGCATCTAGATACATTCGCGAAAAGGCTATGGCCTTGTCGTAGTAGTTGGCAGCCTTATAGAACCAGTCGATTGGCAAGGCGTCACCTATGATTTCCATTGTAGCCGGTCGTTGACATTGAAGTCCAAGAAATGGCTTGACGCCCTTGACGCGGCCTAGCTGCTTTGCAGCGACCGCAGCTATGGCGTTACGTAGCAGTGCATCTCCCAGTGCCCGCAGCGGTACGATGTGCTGAAAGTGATTGTCATTGTCGAAGAGGTCCAGCCAAGGTGCCAGCGTCTCGGTGAAGTGTCTTATAAGATATGCCATTTCATGCTCTCGTTCGTCTGTGATGCGTGCACTTGTTCTCAACTGATCGCCAAGCGCCCACATATTGCTACTGTGATATGATCAGCCAGAACGCAAAGTTTTGATACGACTAGACACTGACTCTGTGGTGACTCCTGTCATCGAGTCTATAGAGTTCATGGCGCCTGTCATGGAAACAGGAGTGCCAGATGATGTTTCAGTAGTCAACTTGAATCTGTCACGATCTACCTCATCGACGATGTGCAGATTGGGTATGAATCTGGTTGGTGAGCATTAGCAATGACGACCTTCCCTATGGTTGATCTAGCAAATTTACATACCCGCAGCTGTTAGTGTTGTTGTCATCGTAGACCTCAGGATCTATATTGAACCATGTAGGGTCGTAGTCTGGAATATCGAGCAGGCTGTCTAGAGGCAAGTCAAGCGGCGCTGATGACTCTTCATCTAATGGCATGAAGATCGGATCAGCTGTATGATACGGCTTCGCAGCGTGAGGGTTCATATTGAATAAATCAGCTGTAGTGGATGCTGGCAGGGTATCATTGATTGCGGGAGGCACCCCTTCCACGTTGGATGGTGGTAGTCGCGACTGTGGATCTTGACTCTCACTAATTGGTGGCAGGATGCGAGTGTCATCTTCATGGCGCTCGGTTGCTGCTTCAAGGACGCTAAGCTGAGCGATTGTCAGCCTGACAGTGTTGTGACCAGCAGGATTCCAGCATAGCCACTTGCATCATTTTCCTCGGATTCGCCACCTGTAGCACCTTGAAACTTCTTGCGCAGCGAAACACCTTCGTCCACGAACTTTCGCTTCTTGTCGTAGCTGCAACATTCAGTATATGGCTTTTCTTAAACGAGCCATGCTTACCCAGGACACGGCTTTCCAAGCTTCGAGCACCGCAGACATGTAGGCAGTGTCTTATCACACTTGACTCTCCTCTCTCGACACCGATCGCACGCTCTCTCGGTCGTCGGCTGTGTCATGGTAAAGGGCTTGCCTCCAGGTGTCGTGTCTGCTGCGGGCTGGACTCATGGCTCTCTGGTAGCAGGCTGGTCAAACATGTCAATGCCTTGAGTCGACAGAGAAGCTGGTAGTACAATCGTCTACGCATCAGTCACTGCTGATTAAGAGTCCGTATCATCGAGGTCTTTCGTACTTCTCCCATTGTCGTGGAGACGGCGTCGAGTAAGCAAGAGACACGGTCGAGCTCTCGGTAAGTGTTCCGGCTGAAACCAGCCGCGGTGGCGATCATGAGGCGACGCCCGTGGAAACCCGGGCCGAACAGCTGATGGTGTACCACAAATCACCATCTCGACTTGTTCGGCGACCAAAAGCATACACGTATCCTTCAGCACATGAAACGCTGAAGTACTGTGCAAGGTGGGCCATCGAGCCTAAGCCTAAACCATGAAGATACAACGCGTTCGTTCAGTTGCATAAATCCATCATGAGTATGGACGCTGACAAAAGCAAATAGCTCTTCATATACCCTGTCAAATCACTCAGACCAGTCGAAGTCGCAACGGCAGAGATCACAAACGAAGGGCTACGCTTTGATCGGCAATACATTCTGGTCAAGGTAGATCATGCAGATGCCTTCTGTGAAATGGCAGATTCTGACTTCCACTCACTAGCCACCTACGGACAAACAACCACTCGCCGAGCACATCACAATCAAATGGCGGTTCGATCTCGGCCTCTTCCACACTGCAATCGACCGGACATGGTCAAAGTTGACCATTACGCACACGCAGGCTCAAGAACATGAAACACTGGTAGTGCCTCTATCTCCCTCTCCACTGAGTCTACTGGACGCAAAGACTTTCGAGGTCAGCATTTTCGGAACGAAAGCGCCTGGTATCGACATGGGCGAGGCTGCATCGGCATTCTTCAGTCATCATCTAGACATGCCTGTCAAGCTTCTATACATTGGTGGCAACGGCCAACGAGAAATTCCAGGCCGACCATTCATGGGACCGAAACATGCACGCTCTCTTTCGATTGCTGTTAATGACAAACTACAGCCGCAGAGGATCCGATTTGCGGATGCAGCACCATTACTAATCACAACGACAGCATCGGAAGAAGATGCGCGCCGCCGCCTCCCAGCTGCAGCTCGTGGTGAAGACGTGATTGTCCGCTTTCGACCGAATATGCATGTCGACGTCGGCACGGAGGCGGAAGCGTATGATGAGGATGGGTGGGGTATGCTTACCATCCGTTCACAAGTCGACAAGCAACAAGAGGTCTCTGTGCGATGTCTCTTTCGCACTGTAAGATGTCTGTCATTAAACGCGGACTTGGCTAAAGGGGGCATGATTGCCACGCCGAAACAGCTTTATGGTCTGCTAGCGAAGGATCGCAGGACGAATGAATACTTTCCGCGTAAGTTCTGCGATGAGCCCATACCCGCAATATACTAACAGTGACTGCAGAAAAACCAGTGTTCGGCCAGTATGCCTGTGCCGGCCCCAGCGGTGCTGTGCTCCGGGTTGGAGATGAAGTTGAGGTCACAGATCGAGTCAGTCGAGCTATCACACCTTCAAGTCCCGAAGTACTCAATGGCACACTGGTTAGCTGAAACAGATCTCGATCGTGATGTCTCACGAAAACGCCCAATTACACAAGCTGCGATAGGTGGGGGTTGGCAAGACCTTCCGTAAAATGCAAGACGATGTGGGATTGCAGGATCTGGACGACACCTCAGGGCCGGGATGTTGGGTGCTGCTCTATCTATGGTCGGGTCAAGGCTTGAACATCGCCGGCCTGAAAGCCGGTGGTATGTGAATGAAAGGAAGTGAGGAGATAGCGGACGCTGACGTATAAGTAGTAGCTTCTGACGACGTTACATAGCAGAAGACGTGAATACGCTAGTCAGCGGCGAAATTACGGCAGCATCGACCGCTAGGATGATAGCCGTACGATGCGTTCGAGCAAGAAGTAGTCAACGACGTAGCGGCATGTCATTCAACTAATAGCAGGCGAGCCAGGAGCTACAGATGCCGTGGGCGGCGCTTAATTGAGCTGCCGGTCCTGGAGTGACAGCACGAAGCGGAGTGGGCGGCAAGCAAAATGTGGCTGACACGGCATCATAGTTCCACACTGCACCCTCATCCACCCCACATCTTCTGCCGCACAGCCCTCGATCTCTTCGTACTCTTTGTCCTCATACGATACGCCATCAGGGTCGAGTAGGTCGTCCGTGTTAAAACTGCAATCTTGTTGCGATGTCGTGTCCTGTGGCCGCCATGCACCGTAGACCAGTTTCATCCAGCCTTCGGGTCCATCGTCCACTAAGCTCTGAAGTTAGGGCTCGATACAAAGGGCGTAGTCCTCTTTGAACGACGGATTGCATGGCGGCGGCTTGAATGAGGAATATCGTACTTGTGCCTCTTCATCGCGTCTTTGCTAGGCGCCTAGATATAGGCATCATCGTTGTACGTGTTTCTCCAGTGCTTATGGTCAGACGCCTTGTTCAATACAATCGCAATGAGTGAGTGGCAAGAGAGTGAAAGACTTATGATTCTCGCCGCCGGCCGGACATCGGTGAAACTGCATTCCAGCCCTATGGCGAGGCCTTGGTGAAGTTGACCTTATCCGGCTGAGCGCTTTGAGACACAGTACAAGGTGACTCGAGCCCTTAGGTCATCGTCGAAGGTAATCCCTCATTCTCGCTCGTTCCGCTATTCCCTTCCATCTTTCGCATTCACAATCTCATTTCCTTCATGTGAAGTCTCGAAGCACGCGTCTGCCTTGCTCGTGTAGCCTGAGAGCCGAGAACGGAAGCTGTGACCTTGGACTCAGACACAACCTCACATCCACAACCACATCACTTGCCGGCACGAACACACAGCACATTCACTCCTCTGACTCTCGTACCAAGATCTGATCTACTTGTACAATAAATCGCTACCACTCCAAACCACAGTCACTCGCTCCACCGGACATCACCATCATACAACACCCCACAGCCTGGACCACATCCACCACCACCACCACCCACCGCAATCATGGCGGACAAGATCCTGATGAGAGAGTTCAAAGAACTGTCAAAAGAAACCTGGACCCACATTTCCCTCATCAACGACAACGTCTTCGAATGGAGCGTCGCCCTTATCGTCCTCAATCCCGACTCAGCCTACTACGGCGGCTACTTCAAAGCGACCATGAAGTTCCCCAGTAACTACCCTTACACACCACCCGACTTCCGCTTCAACCGATCCCTCTGGCATCCGAACGTCTATTCCGACGGTCGTCTCTGCATAAGCATCCTCCACCAGCCAGGCGAAGACATGATGAGCGGCGAACTAGCCGGCGAACGCTGGTCTCCCGTTCAAAGGGTAGAAAGCGTCCTCATCTCCGTACTATCCCTCCTCGACGACGCCGAAGTAAGCAGTCCCGCCAACGTAGACGCGGGTGTGATGTTACGAAAAGACCCGGAGGCGTATAAGCAGAAGGTGCTGCAGGACAAGGAGACGAGTAAGCAGGATATCCCTGCTGGGTTCGAGATGCCGACCCATGAGATGGCGTTCAAAAAGGAGGAGAAGGTGGACACGTTCAGTTGGTCGGATAGTGAGGCCGAGGATGATTTTGGGAGCGAGAGTGATGAGGAGATGTTTGATGAGGATGAGGAGACGGATGGGGAGGAGGGTGGGGAGAAAGATGAGGAGGATGACTGAGAGGGCGTTTGACGTGTGTGTGGTTGAATGAGATACAAATGATTGTCTTGTTGTTTCCAGCGTTGGCGCGTGGCGTTAGTATGGCTTTGGCTTGGGGTGGTCGCTTTGCTGCATGCGTCGGCGTCATAGTAGTTTTTGCAAGCTAGGGCATGCATATGCGTCTGCAATAATCTGCAGTGTGCGCGCATCCACGACAGCTACTGAATTCCTCAATCATATGCCAAATTGTGTCAGGCGTGCTTTCCTAATCTTGAACAAGTGCTTTCTTGACCATTTGCTGGCCTTCTTTCTGCTCCTCAGCAGCTGTACAAGGCGGTTCTCAATATTGTGATGCGTATCATCTATGCAGTCTAGCCTTGTTGCCGCCATCGTGATCGTGGCATTATATAGTGGCGCATATGAAAGCGCGGACCCCAACTTTCGACTTCCAAATGATGTCGCCTGTCGCTACCAACAATAGCAATAGCAATAGCAGCAAGAATGGCCCGAACAAACGCAAGAGCCAGAAGCTGGTGACGTACGGCAGGAGCAAACGATTACGGCAGGTGGCGGCAGATATGTTTGCACCATCCAACGAACACACCAACTGGGACCAAACTCCACCCACTGTCCCTCCACGACCACCGCGGAGTCAGAAAGAGGCGACGATGGCGTTGACTAATGTCTTACCGGCGGATATCCAGACGGTGGTGGAGTTTACGGGCTGCTCGAGGGATGATGCTGAGAGGTATCTACGGGTGAGTTGGGTGATATGGTTTGGTAGCATGATTGAATGAAATGCTAATTGATTGATGATTAGGTAAAACGCAATGACATCCAACAAGCAGTCGGCGCCATCTTCGACGGCGAGGATATCAGCAAAGAAGAAGCGGGCATGACATGGGACGAGTCAGCATGGGGCAAGGATCGGGAAGGCGACACACGAGACAATACAGGCGACCAACATCTACATCCACTAGGTACTGCTACTGCTCCACCCTCTCGAGCTCCCTCGCGGAACTCCATGAGACCAACGAACCAGCAAGATGAGGATGCGCAATTACAGGAGGCTCTAGCCATGTCCAAGCAGGATCCGTCCTTTCAACAGCAGGAATCAGGTCGAATCGGGCAGGATGGCAAGGAGAGTCAATTTGGTCCGGCTACGCGAGCTCAATATGATGAGTCGAGTTGGGGATTGATTCGGACCACGCATCCTAGGGAGGTTGTGCCAGACGTGCCGATCGAGCAGTGCAAGCACGAACCTGGTCAGCCGCGGTTCTTGAAGCATATGTCGCCGGATGGAGACTACTTGCCCAATCTACTCACAATATGTCATGGTATTGCAAAGGTGCGAGAGGTTATGCTTATGCGAGAGCGAGTCCAGGCGTCTTATGGTGAGGATGGGGAGTGGTGGAAGGGTCATGCCATTGCTATGCCGAGGATCGTGCACACAGAGAGTGGTCAGCCTGTAAATGTGGACGCCGAGAACACCGACACTTTCCTTGGCGAGCTGCAGCGTCTCATGACGTTTCTGGATTGTAGTGAGAGGACGTACGCCACTGTGCTGTCGTTGACAGACACCCAGCTTCTGAAGGAGGTCACCAGCGACCGAACACGGCCTCATACACTCACTGGATCGTTCTTAGAGGCGTGGAATAGTGCTGCGAGAGTGCTACCCGACAGCGACGAGAAGACGAAGATGCTAGAACTATTCCGAACGAAGCTCTCTTCGAATAATCATCAAGGCTACGCGAACATGATCGACTTGTCCCCTGTTCTCATGACCGACGAGAAGGCAGATCTTGGCGAGCTGCTGGATGGCTACTTCTGGGGTACAGATGGTAACGCTTCACTTGGCAAAGGCGAGATCGCGGGGGATCCAGCTGATGTGCTTGTCCTTCGGCTGAAGAACAAGGCTTTGCAAGCACAGAAGCTTGCCGTCGATATCACACCCGAAATTCACATGGACAAGTATTTGCAAACCAATTCATCGGCTACAGCCGAGCTCAGAAGCAATATGGCAGAGGGTCGATCTCGGATCAAGAAGATCGAAGCTATTGAGAAGAAGCTTACTCTATGGAAGCACCCAAAGCAAGACAAGCAAATCGACCCAAGGCTCTTGCTCAAGCATTCGCAGGGCGTCTTCTCGGGCGAGAACAAGGTAGATGCTGATGCCGGCGGTCTTCCGAATGGTGTTGCCGTCGACATCGACCTGCCTCCACATTACGAGGACATTGCGCGTAAGCTCGAGGAGACGATCTCGAGCATCGACAAGAAACTTGAGACATTGGCGCTGGAGCGCGAGAAGACACGAAAAGCGATTGCCGACATGTCACGGAACCCACTACCATCACTTCCCGGCCAGCTCAAGCATCGATACACACTTCGTGGTGTCGCCACGAAGGCCAACATTTCTTACATCCTCCTACCAAAAGAAGAAGAAGACGAGGACCTCCTCATGGACGAGCGACAAGACGACGACAGTACACCAGAAGGCATGCAATGGTGGCGCATCGCCTACGAAGTCAACGCCGCCGGCACCGAGGGACAAATCAGCATGAACAAAACCCCCGACTACGATGTCATCCGTGCCGCCGAACTCGAACACGACTCCGCCCTCCTCGTCTACGCCAACGACCGTGCAAACGATATCGAGCAAGTCGATCCCAGTCTTCCTCAACCTCTGCTCGATTTCGTGAACAGAGATAATGCGCTTTTCCGCTCCGATTTGCAGGACGCAGTGCGGTTTACGCAACCCCCGGCTTATCACATCGAGGGTGGCATGGACGATGTACGACCCTCAATCGAACGCTCACTCCCTCACAACATCTCATCAGACTCCTTGCAAGCATTAGACGGTAACCCAGATGATCACGAGCTCGACCCACCGGGGTACGATCAAGATGGTTTCATGGCTCACCCGGGTTTTGGACTGGGTCCGGGGCATAAGGGTGATGATTTTGATCCTCCGGTTGATGAGATTAGGCTTGCTGGGGGGGATGATCAGGAGGAGGAGGAAGGGGATGCGGTGGAGAGTCGTGAGATGGAGATGATGGATAGTTATAAGTCGCTTGTGCCGAGTGTGAGTGGTGGAGGGCCGGATGGGACGGGTAATGATCGTGATGTACCGATGGAGGGGGCGGAGAGTCAGCAGGCGCGGTAGTGGAAGGGCGTGAGTGGGTAGTAGGTTGCTCCGCCATTCACCAATCCTTCATGCCTGCCTGACTGCGAGTGCTCAACGAGCGTCGCTAATCCTGCTTTGCTCTTGGTCGACGTACGTCCCATGGTAGCAAGAAGAAGACCGCGATGGCAGCCTTCTGCACTGCTATTCTGTCATACCACTCAGTCTTCCTCATGACGTCCACCCACTCTTGCCTTTCGTTTGCTAGTCTACGATCTGCTACAGATACCCTACAGACCGATGCCGGTTCGCCGGAACATCTCGAAGTCCGAATTTGCCGAGATCGGCGAGCGTACGACCTCTCGTCCTCACTCGCGCTGGACGATTATGAGCAAAGAATACCCCAATCAAATTCATTCTCGCAATAGCGAAAGCAGCGAGAGCTTGCGCTCACGGAGCACGACGTAGGTAGGATGTACGCTTCTCGCATCCCATCGAAGCTTATTCCAGCCCCGAATGATGAGATGGGAGCATGGTTCTGGATCTCGTAGTAATATAAGTATGTGAGGTAGGACATCCAGCATCATCTTCTACCAATTATCACATCACATCAGTTCAAGCAGATCCATTCCTAGGTGCCAGAAGATCTAAGCATTTGCAACCATGACGAAAGAGACCTTCCAACAGTTTGATATTGCCGAACGGAACGACAGACTCGCTATCTTCGATGGCGATTTCCTCAAAGACATCCCGCAGTACACCAATCAATGGAACACCAAGAAGATCGTTCTCGTCGTCAGCAAAGGTCTCTACACTGCTCACGACTACATCCAGCAACTCGAAAAAGTCCTACACTCAAAGATCGTGGCGACTAAAGTCGGCGTAGGAGCCCATTCGCCTTATCAGGATGTCATGGATATTGCCCACCTAATCCAACAACACGACGCAGACTGTCTCATCTCCATCGGCTCATCCTCCTACAGCGATGCCTGCAAGATCGGCGCTCAGCTGGCTGCTACCCTGCCTCCGAAATTCACTACAAAGGAGATGGAAAGCCTCATCGACCAGCAGAAAGGTAGCGGGATCACAAAACCGGCATCTATCAAAGTAATTCTCGTACCCACATCCCTCAGTGCAAGCGAATGGAACGGCTCAAGCTCCTGCACGAACGAAAGTGGGAAGAAACAGCATTTCAGCTCCGGTAGCCACCGCGCCGCAGCAGCAGATCTGATACTGATGGACCCAGTGCTTGCGTCTACCGCTCCAGAAGAGCTCTGGCTTTCTTCGGGAGTGAGATGTATTGACCACTGCGTCGAGACGATTTGCAATGAGCATTGTACTCCGGATGCTAGCAAGGACGCCCAAGCCGGTTTGGCCAGTATGCTCAAAGGTCTGCTTGAATACAAGGAAGGCGAAGGCAGGGACAAGGAGAGGCTGCTGAAGGGAATCTCAGACTGCCAGCGAGGATCGAGACAAGCTATCAAGGCCATGATCATCCATCGGAATAGTTTCGGTCCTAGTCATGCTATTGGGCATCAGCTAGGCAGTGTTGGGCATGTCATGCATGGAATAACGAGTTGTATCATGCTGGCGCCCGTACTCAAGTATCAGGCTCCTGATCGTCGGGAGCAACAATCTACAGTGCTGAAGGTATTCAATGAGACTTTGGGATGGCAAGAAAAGGATGCAGCTGATGCGGTGACGAGGTTTGTCAAGCTGCTGGGATTACCTACGAGATTGGCAGAGGTCAGAGTGACGCGAGAGGAGGATATCGAGAAGATTGCTGAGAAGACCATGACTGATATTTGGGGCGGTGGGAAGCCGCAGTTGTCTAGTCCACAGGAGGTCATGAAGATTCTGGATATGGCGAGATAGGTCGAACCACGAATGCTGCTGAAGCTGAAGCTCAGGACATCGTCTTATAGTATCTCGTATCACTGTCCTCGATGACAGAACTCCACAACACCATGCACGAGCGCAGCGCCCTTAAAGTCCCCCCCTTCTTGTCCTTTTTCAACTAATCTTCTTCCCATCAACCTCAATACTGATCCCCTGTAGCTGCGCCCGATCCACCCCACTACCCATACCCCTCGGCGCCGTCTTCGCCGGCAACCAAGCCAACGGATTACTATTGTAGAAAGGCCATGGCGGGACAGCAATCAGGAATGTAAGAGCCGTACCACCGAGCCCGATGTAAAGTGTACGGTAGATGTCTTGGGTGCTGAGGCCTATGAAGAAGGCGATGAGGCCGGTGAGGGTGAGGAGGGCGTAGGTCAGGTATTCGACTAGGCGTTGGCCTTTGAAGTCCTGTGAAGCGGGTCTGGTCAGTGGGCTGTATGATGTGGTTGACTGGAAGACGGACGTACGATCTCCCCTTCCCAAATCAAGCGGGCTTGGTCTAGTAGGGCGTCCATATTCGTGCGGTGCTGTGGTAGCTTGTTCGAGACTCGCAGGACACGTAAGTTACATGATCATTGTATGCTATACGACGTACGGTAAGGCTTTACGGGTATACCCGCCTAGAACGTTGTGGTACAGTATTGGTGCGATGCGAGAAAACTACTTAAAGTGGAATCAAGGAGACGACTGATTGATCTAATAACAGTACAATGTACATACGCCCCAGTGCTAGTCCGTGGCTGGGACTTCGCTTCAGTAGAAGTCCGGTTCCGAGAAAATCCGCAAATCCAAAACGTCCTAATCATCACAAATAACGCCACGCGTAGTGCCAATGGTCGAAGATGTGCGGCTCCCTGCTGCATATACTACAGCCATTTCCCAGCTCACCGATAGAGCCAGCGCTCAGTTGCTCTGAACATCCGCAACATTAGGAGTGTACTGGCTAGTAGGTGCCACATCACGCTTGCGCTTCAAGCCCGGCGTGTTCCTGCTCGTAGGAGCCTTGACAGCAGCATCATCGCGACGTGAGGTGCTTCCACTTTTGATCGCTCCCCAGACATCGCTGTTCTGTTGCGGGCTCGTGACCGAGTTCTTCAGGTAGCAGTAATGTCCGTGAAGAGCAACATCCAAACAGCCCTGGGTGCTGTCGCAAACTTCGAGACACTCCGCAAAGGTGTCAACATATGCGCTGCCCATGTCGCCTCCGTAGTAATCAACGCCACACTGGACGGTGAATTGTGCGCCGGACGAAGCGGTGTATGAAGCACCATTGCTGGCTGGGCAGGATAGGGTCGAAGCAGCAGCACCTTTTTCAGCAGAGGCGAGCACGGCACCCCATACATTGCTGTCTGATCGAGGAGATTGGAGAGAGTTCTTCAGATAGCAGTTCTTGCCGTTATATGCGACGTCGATGCATCCAATGGTGGAAGCACAGCTAGTCATGCAATCTTCGAATGTGTCGGAAGTAACACGGCTCAAGTCTCCGCCGTAATAGTCCGTGCCGCAGTGGATGTTGAATGTCGCCGCTCCGACAGTGAATTGTTGGCCGTCACTGCCGGGGCAGCTCACAACCTTTGGACCACAGGTGAAGCAGGCCTGATCGTAGCCGTAGTAGTAGGATCCGGAATTCTCGTAGAACCCAGCCGCGGCGATGGTGTCCGTGTGCCACTCGCAGAAGGGATAGCTGGATTTGCCGAAATAGTAGGACACACAGTTCGACCTTCTGAACAGCCTAATGCGCAGCCGGCGGGAGTGAGATATTGGGAGTCAAGGCTGTACGTGTCCAAGGAGTTTTCATTGGTGAGGTAGCCGGATGTACCGCAGACCGCCCCAGCAGGAGGGTTCGTCTTGAGGACGCATTGCATGTTGCTGTCGTCGGCTGCTGCCCTGCTGGCGAGGAGCATAGCGAGTCCGCTAATGAGAGTTGAGGTCATGGTGGGCATCTTGAATGAATGTGCTGAACTCAGAGTGTCGAAGGAAATTGATCTTAGAAGAAGCGTAAGGAGATGCGATGCAAGAGCAAGTTGGAGGTTTGAGATGGGAGATGTTCAGCCAGTGCAACGAGGACTCATCTCAATGTTATACCACCGCCGACTCGTCGAAGTGCGGTCGACCATTGCTCTCCCTACTCGATGGTAGGAAACGAGGAGCAGCTCAGCTGTCCACGTTCGCGTGATATTATCGAACTCTACCCAAGAATAGCGGCCGAGACAAGTCGCTCCTACGGTAGGGCGTTTGCGTAGTGTTATCCATTGTCCCGTGACAGGCATAGTATGAGAAAATGTTGTATGTTGTTGGTATAGGCGAGAGTGTGGAGATTACAGCCTTGGGCTTCTCAAAGGAGTCGTCCCATGCCAAGCTTTTGGCGAGCTATACTCGTTTTGGCAGCGCCAAGTCGTTTCTGGAACGACCTGCGCACGTGTTTGCGACGCCACATGGCAGCCACAAGCTCTTTTAAGCGAGAACGTCCTTTCGTGGCTGCTCGATAGTGCATCGCTGCGACCGTAGTGTACCACCGCCGACCACACGTTTCCAACACAGCAAGCTCCAGCGACAGACACGCTGTACAGCCTGCCTGCCACCCAGATGACTGATCGGCTTGTACACTAGAAAGGGTGGTGGCTGTGTATATCAGGATGCTCAAACCAACAGGCCTGGCGTGATGTGGGACCTTTGGCGAAAGCCAGGACCAGTACCCACGCCACACTCGTTCTAGAGCGAAGCATCGGCCTGTCAGTCTCCTACAAGGTCACCTGAGACCTCCTGGCTGAGGTCGACTACAGTGACCAAGCTTACGGGTCAAGCCAAAGGCGAATCAGACTACTGAGGCAGCCGAACATGAGCGCTACACCAAGTATACTACCGGCCTGAAGCAGCGACTCGAACCCGTCAGCTGTGCCCTGCAGTAGGCGTGCGATATCTTCTGAGAAGGGGATGAGACACGTCGAGTATACAATGGGCAATACTGCGCAGCCAATCCCGCCGAGAGGCTACCTAACATGGCGAGTAGCCTCCAATTCGGCAGAGATTGCTCGGACTGCAAGAGCACTGCCATGGACGACTCTTTACACTCAGCATACAGTTCCACGGTATCGACCTCTGGGCGATGGAGCGAATCATCTTCCCTCCCAAGTCACGACCGCGGAAGAGGATACATCAGCTACAAGGACTTCGACGTAGCTTGGCAGTTCTGCTGCATTGGGACGAACAACCTCACGATGCGGACTCTTTCATGAGTGTTACGATCACCTCTAGCAAGTCGGGTCGTACTTAGGTATTGTCGGCTTTAAGTCGTGCTACTTCTCAATCGTAGAAGCAGTCGGACAAGGGCCAGGATTTCTGGAAGATTTAGCATCGATCAAGGTAAGACGACGACGGTCTGTTAGCGATTTCTGAGCCTCGAGAGTCCTGCTCACAGTCTGCTGCTGGTGCAAAGGCTGAAGTCCTATTGAGTCGGCAGCCTTGCTTGCACTGGCCATGGAACACTGTATCATGTTGTACTTTGTTGCATTGCCGGTGCCTTGTTCTACCTTCGCATGGTAAGCTATTCTACAATCTCGCTCGTGTAGCCGCATCTCATGCACAAATCGGCGCTAGAAGATGCGTAGATGGCGGGATTCCTACCGAGTTGCATGCGATTGCCGAAGTCATCTTGTTGTCTTTGGTGCAGGATTTCAGTGCAGCGAGACATCATCTCACCGACGGCGGGACTGTATAGCATTCGCCACAGTGGCATTTGATACGGTCGCGCATGTGAACGGCTGAACACTTCAACTGTGTTTTTATAGTGACGGTAACCTGAGGCAAAGTATGACTGACTTTTTTGCGCGGCCCGTGATCGATCGCCGCCCAACGTCGAAGTCCCTTCTCTTGATCCAACCCTCCTCCTCCCCTTCGCCATACACCGTCGCTACGACTCCCAGACAACAACACATACAGCCCCCTCGACATGACCATCTGTTGACTATCCGTAGACGACTCGTTAACACGACCACCTTCCGGTCGCTGTCCAGCACTCAAAACACACTCACTAGCCGCCTGTCCAAAACTGGCTGCTGCACCCGAGCCATTCTTTGACTCCTCTAACCACGACCACCGTCGTCAAGGCGACTCCACACACACATCCATCAAGTTGGCGGGGCTTCAAGGACTCCAGTTCTCTCACATCCGTCCGTTGCTCGGACCTTGTTGGTTCGTCTACGGACTCGACATTAAGCAGCCACCATAATTGGACCGAACGACGCACAACATACCAAGCGCACGTTCGTTATTGTGCCAGAACATTACTCTGTATCCGATGGGTTAAACTGCCAGCTAGGAGCATCGTGTGTGCGAAGTGGTAAGGGATAAACGAGGATACACGATTTGCAATGGATCAGCCCTGGAATACAAATACAATAACCATAAAGTTGGAAGAACAAGACACGATGTCACACGGACACGAATACGAAGACGGGGCGCGTACCCGGTACAGCACACCCGAGCCGGACCTCGACGACCACCGTCAGCAGCCAGAGAGCCTACCACCAGCCGCTCAAGGAGGCAGGCGTGGAACCTTGGCCAGCCTTGCGGAGGAAGATCGTCCCAGGATGGATCAGCTTGAACTGCCGCCGATGGAGACACATGGATCTATCGCGAGAGACTTTGAGCATGCAATTGTCGATGATGAAGCCAAAAGTATCAAGAGTACCAAGTCTACAGGATCGAACCGCTCCAGGCACAGCCAAGATGAAGCGTGGCACAAGGACCGCAGAGACGCAAGCAGTCCAGTCGCTGCCAGACGCACTGAGTTCAGGCGTGCAGTACACAATCGCCAGCGCCAGGCTGGGCACGTCTCTAGGGATTCGTCCAGCGACAGGTCGACTTCGCCCCCGAACTCGGTCGATGCATTCGCGCCTCCAAGACCAAGAGCCCGAGCCGGGACTATCAACAGCCAGGCTGGGTCGGTGGACAATCTTAGTCTGCACCGCACCCTCTCAAACGCGACACACTCGCGACGCCGCCCAACTTTCGGCGAAGAGGGCACTGCAGGTCACCGCACAGACGTTGCCTCTGCTCGTAGCTCTGTCCAAGAAGATGTCTGTTTCCCAGCTGAGGAGCCATCGAACTCGTACACGATCGACTTTGAGGATCTGGAAGAGTTTGTTGCGCAGTCGCACACCAAGACGCCTGTGGCGCATCCGTTCATGCCGCACTTTAGTGGCCAGAAAGCTACGCCAGCCAAGAAAGTCTTTCATTTAATGCACCATGAGGCCGAGCATACTGTCCCTGTCAATGATGCAGAAGTCTACAACAGCGACATCCTGAGCGGCAGGACTGCCACGAACGAAAAGACCGAAGAGCCAGACTCATCCGAGGAAGAACTGGAGAAAGTTGTCAGCGCTGCAGACCAGCAGAACCGCTTCACATTCTTCTCCTCCGAGATCGAGGAGACCATCCATGCCCCGGAACTCGGCGGCCTCCTCATGCCAGGCGAGCGCTTCCGCGACATCTTCGAGCTCGGCCCCGAAGGCGGCGTCTGGTGGCTCGACATGCTCAACCCGTCCGAAGAAGAAATCTCCGCCATCTGCGGCGCCTTCCGCGTCCACCCCTTGACACGCGAAGACATCACGACGCAAGAGACGCGGGAGAAAGTCGAACTCTTCCGCAGCTACTACTTCGTCTGCTTCCGCAGCTTCTACGCCATCGACAAGACCCACGAAGACTACCTCGAGCCCATCAACATCTACGCCGTCGTCTTCCGCGAAGGTCTGCTCACCTTCAGTTTCTGCCAGAACCCTCACGCTGCGAACGTGCGCAAGCGTATCGGGCGACTGCGCGATTACGTCAACCTCTCTGCAGACTGGGTCTGCTATGCCCTCATCGACGAGATCGTGGACGAGTTCGCCCCTGTGCTCCGCGAACTCGAGCGCGAAACCGACGCGATCGAAGATGGCATTTTCACTGCTCGATTCGAGGACTCCCGCGCGATTTTGGAGCAGATTGGCGAGTGCAGGAAGAAGGTTATGAGTCTTATTCGCTTGCTAGGAGGGAAGGCAGATGTGATCCGGGGTTTTGCGAAGAAGTGCACCGAAGCCTACTCTGTCGCTCCGAGAGGGGATGTCGGGATGTATCTCTCTGACGTCCAGGACCATGTGGTGACTATGATGTCGAACCTCGCTCACTTCGAGAAGATGCTCGGCCGCAGCCACTCGAACCATCTTTCTCAGATCACTCTGGCGCAGATCGAGCAAGGCGGTAGGGCGAACCAGTTGTTGGGGAAGATTACGGTTTTCGCCACGATCTTGGTGCCGTTGAATCTGATTGCTGGGTTGTTTGGCATGAACGTTAATGTGCCGGGGAAGAACGCGGAGGGGTTGGGGTGGTGGTTTGGGATTGTTGGGGTGATTTTGGGGTTTACTACTATTTGTGTGGTTATTGCTAAGAGGATGAAGTTTGTTTGAGGGGAGGGGAGGGTATCAAAAAGCAGTTGTTGTTGGTTAGGGTGAAGGTATGAGCATGGTGATTATTCATCGCGTCGGGTATTTTTTATAGCATGTTGGAAATCTGTCGTTGACTATGTTGACTACGTGCCCGTCATGCCCTTGACCGGATCAAGGTTCTGTTGCTATTGCATTGGGTGGTCGGCGTTTAGAATGCCAAAGACTCAGGGCAGAGACTCGCGCTCGGAGTACCGATTTCTGACTGAGGCGAGCCACTTGACAGCACTTTTGCCGGCGGACCTCGTCGGGCATGATTGCAAACCGCTGAATCAGCATCACCGTCATGTCTTGTGTCACGCAACGAGGTTCATAGCAGCGGGAGCATACCATTAACCCATTTCCGAGTATCGACCCAAAACAGTCCCACTTGTTGCGTCCACACTCTATCAAAAGTAGAACTCGAATATTTGGTTTTCTGCCATTATTATCCGGAGCAATCGATATACGTCAGTGAAAGCTGCAGGACGGATTTTCTACGCAGTGCCCCACTCCCGTTGTAGCTAACACCGAAAGAACGTTGAGTTGGGGAGCAACAATTATTATCGCCTCACCTCTTAATTCACACATACCAATCTTCCACCTTTCTCCCACAACCGACACCATGTCCAATACCGTGATCAAGCACGAGGAGGAGCAGAATGCTGGGTGAGTGCATATCACCATTGTCGTCAATTGGAGACCTGCCAGCCGAACAAGCACTTTCCCTCATGATGAGACTATCATATTATTCTTGAATAATGCTCTATCCCAAGTAGAGTCTGGATTTCCGACTCGATGACCTATACTAACACCCTCTGATCTTTTACCTTGCCCTCCGCAACACATCGCTCTTGCCACTTCTTGCGGTCAGAAATGCTGACACATCTCCCACAGCACGATAGAGTTGAAGGACAACACCATCATCGTCGTCCTCGGCGCCTCAGGCGATCTGGCCAAGAAGAAGACCTTCCCAGCCCTCTTCGGCCTCTTCCGCAATGGTTTCCTGCCCAAAGACGTCAAGATCATCGGGTATGCCCGGACGAAGATGGATCACGAGGAGTACCTCAAGCGCGTGAAGAGCTACATCAAGACGCCGACGAAAGAGATTGAGCAGCAACTCGATGCCTTCTGCAAGTTCTGCACATACGTTAGCGGGCAGTACGATAAGGACGAGAGCTTCCAGGAGCTGGAGAAGCACGTGCAGGAGTTGGAGAAGGGCCAGAAGGAGACGAACAGGATCTTCTACATGGCTTTGCCGCCGTCCGTCTTCATTCCCGTCTCGGAACATCTGAAGAAGAACAACTACCCCAAGTCCGGCATCGCGCGCGTCATCATCGAGAAGCCGTTTGGCAAGGATCTTGGTTCCTCGCGGGAGCTCGACCGTGCGCTGCGACCGAACTGGAAGGAGGAGGAGATCTTCCGCATTGATCATTACTTGGGCAAGGAGATGGTCAAGAACATCCTCATCCTACGATTCGGCAATGAGTTCTTTGGTGCGACGTGGAACAGGAACCATATCGACAACGTGCAGATTACGTTCAAGGAGCCCTTTGGCACTGAGGGACGTGGTGGCTACTTTGACGAGTTTGGCATCATTCGCGACGTCATGCAGAACCATCTCCTTCAGGTCTTGACCCTGCTGGCTATGGAGCGACCAATCTCTTTCTCCGCCGAGGACATCCGTGACGAGAAGGTGCGCGTCCTGCGCGGCATGCCCAGCATCGAGCCCAAGAACGTCATCATCGGGCAATACGAGAAGTCGCTCGACGGCACCAAGCCAGGCTACAAGGAAGACGACACCGTACCCAAGGAGTCCCGCTGCCCCACCTTCGCCAGCATGGTCGCGTACATCAAGAACGAGCGCTGGGACGGCGTACCCTTCATCCTCAAGGCCGGCAAGGCGCTCAATGAGCAGAAGACCGAAGTCCGCATACAATACAAGGACGTCACGAGCGGCATCTTCAAAGACATCCCCCGGAACGAATTGGTCTTGCGCGTTCAGCCCAACGAATCCATCTACACGAAGATGAACTCGAAGTTGCCCGGTCTGAGCATGCAGACGGTGGTCACCGAGCTGGACTTGACGTACCGGAGACGTTTCTCCGACCTCAAGATCCCCGAAGCGTACGAGAGTTTGATCTTGGATTCGTTGAAAGGCGACCATAGCAATTTCGTGCGCGATGATGAGTTGGATGCTTCGTGGAGGATCTTCACCCCGTTGTTGCATTATTTGGATGAGAATAAGGAGATTATTCCTATGGGTTATCCTTACGGTGAGCCATCACAAACATCATTGACCCTGTGATAGCTTTGCTGACATTGTTTTGCAGGCTCTCGTGGCCCAGCCGTCCTCGACGACTTCACCGCTTCATACGGGTACAAGTTCTCCGACGCCGCTGGCTACCAATGGCCTCAGACGAGCGCGGAGCCCAACAAGCTCTGAACGCACTGTCAAAGTGATGACCGGCTTTGCACCAATCCTGGCTACTGCAGTGCAAATCACATAGTATCGGCCATGATCATGTTTTCGCTCATGGTGTATACTTGGCTGTGACAGGGCGAGGGAGCGGCAAGACAGAGCTGGATGGGGCAGGAAAGGCAAGGTAGATTCTTGTTCATGATACGCGCAGAGATGAGGTTATGGCGCACACAGATTAGACCACGACATATATAGATACTGGTACAGTTGACGAAGTAATAAATGAATTGTATCATCGTTGTCGGTACAAAAAGTTGAAGCAGAAGGCGCGTCAGAGCTTCGAAGCAACGGTTCACGCAAGGAACGCGACATCTTCCACTTTAGGCGTTTTGTAGTTTCATACATGCGCCACATCTACCACATATGACGACCAACACCCCAACCGGCGCCCCGACGCTTTACTATACAATGTCGCACCAGCGTCCATAAGTTCCATAACACAAACCGAAAACCACCCTCCCTCTTTCCAACCAACCTCACAACAAAACCCAACAGATGACCCTTCCAATGCCTTCCACCACCACCCCGAACCACGCCTCCTGGGTCGGCCTCCCCCGCATCAAAGGCTCCTCCGAAAGCCTCCAAATGGCCCTCCTAACCACCAGCATGATCGGCCTGGACTTCTGCTGGGGAACGGAAATGACCTATGCGACCCCTTATCTCCTCTCCCTCGGTCTGAGTAAGAGTCGATTATCTCTTGTCTGGATCGCGGGACCCCTGAGTGGATTGGTGATGCAGCCGGTCATTGGGATGGTGTCGGATAAGAGTACGTTGAGATGGGGGAGACGGCGGCCGTTCATGGTGGTTGGAACGGTGATGGTGGTGGTTTGTTTGTTGGTTTTGGGGTGGACGCAGGAGGTTGTCGGGCTGTTTGGGTTGGAGAGGGAGAGTGTATGGTATTTTCTGACAAGAGAGGTGCTGGGTGCTGGGATGATGAGTGCTGACTGTTCGGTGATTTTGTAGAGGAGGAAGGCGGCGATTGCTGTGGCGGTTGTGGATATTTATGTTCTGGATTTTGTGATCAATATTGGTGAGTAGTAGTTCGTATCCGGGTATGGATAGTGCTGACCTGTTTCCTAGCTCAATCGACTTGTCGGGCTCTTGTTGTCGATGCACTCCCGATCGAAAAGCAGCAGCTAGGCTCGGCCTGGGGTGAGAAAGAAACTGGGCTGATCTTTTTAAAGAGAGTAATACTGACTATTGCCAGTCAGCAGGATGTCTGGCGTCGGCAAGCTACTCATGTACGGACTCGGTGCACTGGACTTGAAGGCATTGACTGGCAATTTCCTCGGCGACTCACAGTTCAAGAAGGTCTGCCTTATAGCTGCAATAGCGATGGCTGTTGCGCAAGGCACGACTTGCTGGGCGGTATCTGAGCGTGTCTACGTTGCCAACACGTATGTCTCACAATTATGGCGAAAGGTTGATCATGAGCTGACGGAGGATCATAGTAAGGGCGGTGGCAATAGTGAGAGCATGCTACAGATAGTACGCCAAATCTTCACCACCACACTCCACGCACCAGAACGAATCAACGCGATATGTATGGTGCAGTTCTGGGCCTGGATCGGCTGGTTCCCTTTCCTCTTCTACGGCAGCACATGGGTCGGCGAGATCTATCTGCGCCACGAAGCGCCAAATGCTACAGGCGACGCCCTGACCAACGTCGGCCGGATAGGCAGTACAGCCTTCATCGTCTTCGCCATCATCTGCTTCGCTGCCTCGATCGTCCTACCCTGGCTAGTCCAGTCGCCAGATGAAGACAACGGCTATACACCACGGCCACCCGAGAACCTACATACCGTACTATCGACTCTGAAGAAGTCCAAACCAACCCTTCTCACAGCCTGGATGCTAGCGAACCTCATCTTCGCCGCTTCGATGATCTTCGCCCCTTTCGTCCGATCCGTGGGCTTTGCTACTGTCGTCATTGCACTCTGCGGCATACCGTATGCAGTCGGCAACTGGGCACCAGGCACATTCCTCGGAGTCGAAGTAAACAAAATGAGCTCGACACTCCCACTAGCCAACAGCATGAACGGAGGAACATACCGCCGCCTCTCCAACGACTCCATCGAAATGAACACCCCCCCATCCCCGCACTCCTCCCAACGCTCCTCCCCACGAACCCTCCACCTCCGCCACGCCTCCAACGCTTCAATCGTAGACAACACGTCCACCGGCGAGCTGTCAGGAATCTACCTCGGTATCCTAAACATCTACACCACGCTCCCCCAATTCGTCGGGACGGCGATTAGTTGGGTGGTGTTTTCCATTCTGGAGCCGGGCAAGAGTCCCGAGTTGGCTACTGAGGCGCCCGTGGAGGAACATCATGGGACGGACGGGGTGAGTGGGATTGCGGTTTGTTTGTTTATCGGGGCGATTAGTGCGCTGGTGGCTGCGTGGGCTACTAGGTGGTTGAAGCTGGCTGGGTAGGATGTTATGTACTTCAGAACATTATCAGCTGTAATACTGCCGTCGATCTCTACAAATGACCTAGCACGGCGAATGGTCGTTGTGCAAAGTGGTAACGTAGCTGTCCGCAGTGTTCCGACAAAGTGGGTGATCTGCCGGCTGGATGATCACCCCACGTTCCGCCAGCGCGTCACCAGCCCTGCCGTCATTCGTGACTTCTTTACTACCTGAACGACGAACATGCATGTCAGAAGTGGAAGGCACGCTGGTCGTGCTCCTGCTTGCTGATTGAAGTCTGTGTTCTTTGGTCATTTCTTCCCCAATTCGGAGTCACAAACACACTCATTACGAAAGCCCACAATGGCTGAAATCAAGCCCGTCCCTCCACCAAGATCGTCCACTACGGCTAGCCAGCCTGGAGGCTCTCAGGGCACGTCGGTGAGATACCGCATGCCTGCTCGACCGCCTACAATACCCGAGGACTCACAGTCGATTGACCCACCCTCACTTCCCCGCCGACCATCCAGTAAACAGAGCTTGTCGCCCACACGAGGTCAGCCACCTCAGCTACTTCGTCGAAGATCTTCGATACTCTCGGACGTGACATCTTTCAGTGAAGACATAATCAACCCTTCCGCGAGCAGGCGTCGAGAGGGTGACCATGAGGAAGCGGAGGTGACCCACTGGCATAGCACTCCGCTCGCATTTGCTATACTGCCTGCATTGGGAGGTCTACTATTCAAGAACGGTTCGGCTTTCGTGACGGACGTATTATTGCTTGGGCTTGCTGCCATTTTCTTGAATTGGAGTTTGAGGTTACCGTGGGATTGGTATCATGCTGCGCAGGAACAGCGACGGAGGGCAGATCCGAATATAGCATATAATGACGACCTGGATGAGGATGATATTGCGGTGCAGATGGCATCCTCCGCCGAGTACTCACCGAAACAGACTGCAGCCGATGGTCAGACGAATGAGAGTGGGGTGCAGAATACGGAGAGGAAAGCCAAGGCCGCAGCAGATCTTCGGGCACAAGAGAGACTCGCATTCCTGGCCACTTTCGCCTTCCCAGTCCTTTCAGCCTACCTACTACACGTCATCCGAGGTCAGCTGTCGAGACCGTCTAGTGGACTGATCTCCGACTACAACCTCTCCATCTTCCTCCTTGCCGCCGAGTTCCGACCTGCACGTCAGTTGATTCGCTTGATCAGTGCTCGGACAATGCACCTCCAGCGTACTGTGTCCGGCAATGAGGAGGGGTTTGGTAGCGAGCAATCTCCGGGAAGCGAGTTGTCCGTTCTGCGTGCTCGCCTGGCAGAGCTTGAAGCAAAGCTTTTGGATCATAGTCTCATCCCCGCCACTGTCGCAGTAGCGCAGAAAGAGGACGTGGCCGAGCTCAGCACGGAAATGCGTAAACGCTACGAACCACGTTTGGAAGGTCTAGAGCGTGCCGTTCGACGTTACGAGAAACGCAGTACAACTCTGACGATGATCACTGAGCAACGCCTAAACAGCCTAGAGACCCGATTACAAGACGCACTAAGCCTCGCAGCCGTGGCCGCTCAATCGTCACAGCGTCGCGGGATCTTTTCATACTTACTCGAGACGGCTAGTGCCATCATCGCGTTACCGATGAAGATAGCGTGGTCGATTTGTATCTGCCCGTTCTTGGTTCTGGAGCAAGGATGGGAGAAGCTGAGTGTTTTGCTCAGTGGGCCGGCGCCTGTGAGGAAGGATGGGAGTGTCAAGCGGAGTCGACATGGGTTGAAGGAGGGTGGTGCTGGTAGTTTGGATGAGAAGCAGAGGGTGAAAGGAGGCTTACGAAAACCTGTACGATAGAGGAGTATCTTGCCCGCGTTATTGCACGTGTATAATCCGTATCTACTCAGAATGCATTTCTGCAACTATAGTGAGTCTTCAGTGATCTCTGCGACTAGATTGATTGTTGCAGTCGACCACGCGAGGTAGGTCACGTAGTGTTTTGATATCGTGTGAGACCTCACAAATGTGATGGCCTGAGGCAAACGCGCTAGTCCGTGTCCAGACATGGAGGTGCTACAGATGAACGACCATGTTTCAACCAGCGATATTGAACACATTTGCAAGTTTTCTTCCCTTGAAAGACCTTGCGGTAGATTGAGTGAGTAGGACGTATAAGAGTTCCAGTGCTAAGGTATGTGACAATGTTGGCCTTGAGGACCTGAGAAAGTATACTGACAATATGAAACAGTATACAGAAGCCCACAGGTCAACAAGCGAAGATTGGCTATACCAGCCAGTCCTCTATCTGACCTTGCAGTATTAATTGCTGCGAGAAAGCATTTCCCTTCACTGTCCCCTTCATTCACTGTAACGTTTCATTTCGATTCAGGACTCTTCTTGCAGCCGCCTTGTGCGCAATACTGACGAGGACGATTAGCAAGGTATCGCACTCTTTACTGACAACCAAAAGTGGTTGACAAGGAGCGTGGAAACATCGAGGGTTGCGTTGGCTACTGGATCCAGCGATCAACTGCCCAGTCCAGGCATCGAGATCTCGCCGTGGCCAACCCTCTCCTTGGGCGTTCGCCATATCAAGCGGCCCGTGCATAAACGAAGCGCTCAAGCCTTCTTTCGAAGTTCAAAGCCCGGGAGCCCCGCAAGACGCGTTTCTCATCATCAAACAACAATCTAGACGCCGGACCGCTGCTGCATCGACATACACAACAACCACCCTGAAAGATATTAACAGGTCACCAGAACACATCGATAACATCCACGCAACCTCCGGTCATCGATAATCGCAATGGCAGGTGGAAAGGGTATGGAAAAGCTCGGATCCTCGCGCGACAGATAGGCAACCTCTGACAACATGACAGGCAAGACTGGCGGTAAGACCGGTGGCAAAGCTGGCGCCGACACGTCTGGCAAGTCGCAGAAGTCTCACTCGGCCAAGGCTGGTCTCCAGGTACGTTGTCGCCAGTCACAACATCCATCACCAAAACATGACTCGAGCGCGTCGCAAAGCGCATTCCTTCGCACTACGCGTCGCAAAGCGACTAATACCACTCCTCCCAGTTCCCCTGCGGTCGCGTCAAGCGTTTCCTCAAGTCCCAGACCCAGAACAAGATGCGCGTCGGTGCCAAAGCCGCCGTCTACGTCACCGCCGTCCTCGAGTACCTCACTGCCGAAGTCCTCGAACTCGCCGGCAACGCCGCCAAGGATCTGAAGGTCAAGCGTATCACGCCCCGTCACTTGCAGCTCGCCATCCGCGGTGATGAGGAGCTCGACACGCTCATCCGCGCCACGATCGCCTTTGGTGGTGTGCTGCCACACATCAACCGCGCTCTGTTGTTGAAGGTGGAGCAGAAGAAGGGCAAGAAGGTGGACGCTTAGGAGGCGTGAGGGGAGGCTTGATACCCGCGCGTGCTAGTTCTAGCATAGAGGACAATCTTCGCGCAAGTGCCGGATTATGAAGTGGACGTTATGGAGTTTGGTGGAAGGTACAACGGGGACTGCGATTTGTGCGGGTTCTGGTGCGGCGCTCCGTTCTTCTCGGCGCAGGATCCATTGTTCGGATCCCGTGGCTGTAGGGTGACTGCATGAAATTCTATCAAATTTTTCAGCATTTCGTGCAGAGTGCTTGGCCTCTCACAGTGTCAGTTGAGTACCCGATCTCTCCCATGCCAACGAGCTGCTTGACAGCCTACATTGTTAGCTGGGAAGTGCAGTCTGCCAGCTACCCAGCCATCTCCAGCTTTGCGCAGCCCCATCCAATTCTCGTAATGCTTGATTCACCGCACCACCTTGACCATCTGCGCGCTTCTGACCTACAAACTCGACGAAGAAGATGTAGTGCCATGTCGATTCGTCACTCGGTCGGCTGTTGATACTCGTCAGATTGAGCCGGTACCTGAGGCAGTATTAGCAGGGTTTTGCGTTGGAGGTGTGTATAAAATGGTCAGGATACTTCTTGAACACTGCCAGACAATCTGCCAAAGCACCCGTTTCTCCGTGAGCAACTGTGAAGGAGACCAGCGTTTTGTATCGTGTCTCATTTTCGTTTGCTTCTCCATCCGCTGCCACAAAAGTCTGGTCATCTTTCCGCCGGAGCACGAAAAACCTTGTGCTATTTCCAGCCTTGTCCTCGATGTTCTCACCCAGTACTTCTAGCCCGTTGAGATCCCCGGCGACTCGACTACTGATCGCTGCACTCGCTCCCGTAGTATCCTGTGCCACGACTTCAGCCGCTTTCGACGTTGACGAGACGTCTAGTCTCTCAATGCCCTTTAGGTATTTCGACAAGAAGATATTGCATTGGCCCCAGGCTTGAGGATGCGAGTAGAGTTTCTTGACACTGCTCAGATCGTATAGCGGCTTTGCCGGCGAGGTCGTACCCTCACCGTCAGTAGCTGTTCCATTGCTAGTGGATTTGTCGCTGAAGGAGGAATTGGCAGCATGACCGAGCAGGCAGTGGTGTACGAGTAGATAGATCTCGCCGCAGACCAGAATATCGGGATACTTTCCGGTCGGATCTGCAAAGAGGTCCAAGGTGAAGACCACGGAGCCATTAGAGGAGTTCTCGAACGGTACGACGCCTTGTTTGACCTGGCCGGATTGGACGGAGGCGAAAACGTCTTCTATTGTTGTTTGTGGGACGAGCTCATGTTCTGTTTCTGGGAAGCGGTCTAGGGCTGCCTGTCTACTGATCAGAGCTGATGCAAAGATTGTTCGGGATTGCCGGTCTGACCTGGTGAGTATATGAAGCTTTTGGCCCGAGATATGCTACGCTGTCTTTGTTCTGGGCCATGATGATGGCGGAATTCACTGTATCGACGATCAAGTCTTCTTGTATAACATGTTCCTGAATGTGACAACGCTGAAAAGATGCTCAAGTCCTTCCACGATGGATGCTGTGCGAGGGTTGAAAGGTCGAGTGAAGACATGAGGTGAGGTTCAGAATTTTGACACTCACACCATCTTGATAACGCCTGGCCCACGGCTCGAACACATTCATCCACTCACGCAGCATTCGGCAAGCTTAATGTACGTTACAAGCCATCCTGGACAATGGGGCCGTAACGATGACGATGCACAACTACACTGACTGAACGGCAATCTCAGCAAATCGCCAAATGTTGTAATACGCAGGTTGGGTCTGGCACGGTACAGATTCACAACAAGTATATTCGAGATCAATCTATGCTAGAGTACGCCAACAATGTAGTCAATCCTCTCTTGCATTGATCCACAAGCCTCAAGGACTACAGCCACCTCACTCCTTCTCATTACCGCCTTCGCGTAGCCGAGCCGTCCACGAAATCGATCAGTAGCCAGCCTCTACAGCGAAGCGATTGACATTCATGTGCAGAGCTGGGGACGCCGCGCGAGGTGGTAGCGGAGGCGGTTCGACCGTCATGCTTGCCTTAAGTGGCGACGATGTCTGCAAACGCGTCAGCACGACCAATGACAATTGCTAAAAGGGTAAAATATACCTTGGGACGGTGCGTAATGGTAGCCTTGAGCGCCTCTGTTTTCGCTATAGCTCGCTGGGCCATAGTCGCAGGCGGCGTCTCCTTCGTAGCCGCTGCTGCAGCACGGTCGTTGGTCTCATTATTTCCTGCTGAGACAGTGGCGGCCGCAGCATCTTGCTGCGTGGGAGGCGTCGGGACCTTCGTGTCGGAAAGCGGACTGCTCGCCTTTGTGGACTTGCTGGACGCCTCGCCCCCTGCGAGGTCGCTCAATTGTCAATCGTCGTAGAACTCATCTTCATCCTCGTCCACATCGACCAGCTGCTCAAAGTTGAGAGCATATCGCAGAATAGCACCGATACCACCGAAGCCACGCACAAACTGGTTGCCTTCCGACGATCTGTCCGAGACGAACTCGAGCTGGGCGCCAAAGTCGCGATACTTCTCAGCCAGCCACTCCAAGAATGGCAACTGCTCGATGACATCCATTTCCTGTCCAGTGGTCTTGTCGAGAAAGAGTGAACGATCGGTCTCTTGTTGCTTGGTAGTGTGAAGGATGACCTCAGGACCCTCACTGGCCTTGAGCTGCCAACGCGTCATCTCCAAATTCTCAAAGACGATCAGTGTCTCGGCTGCACCAGCCTCTAGAGCCTTGAGAGTATCGCTAATACCGTAGCATACTTTACCACTATCCTGGCTGATCTCATCGAAGTATTTGTTGATGAGCTTCTTCTCCTGGATGAATTTGACATTCGACAAAGTCTCGCCGGACAACTCTATAGCCTGGTTGAAACCATTCTCGCCACCGTAGCTGACATCGACGACCTTGATGACCTTGGTTTGCAGGCGGTTGTCGAAAAGATCCGACTGGTTGAGATCGTTCTTGAAATCGGCGGAACCGGCAAGAATGAGACCAGCACAGTTGACCTTGTCATTAGTGATGAAGTTCTGCACGGCCAGTTCGGCGACCTTGCGGACATAGTTGTGACGTTTCTCCTCACGCAGACGGGCGAAACGCAGAGCGGACTGACCACCACGGCCGTGCTTCTTCGGCAAGTCGACGGAGAACTTGTGCACAATCTCACGAGTGTTGCCGGATAGTGTTCCAAAAAGTGCACCATTTCCGTCCATGATGATGAAGCCGAACTTCTGGTCAGACTCGAGCAGCTCACTCAATGCTTCAGTGTGGAACTTGTTGTCGCACAAATAGAGCGAGGTGTTGATCGGCTTGAATGGCTCGAAGTCGATATTGATCTTCCGCTCCTTGCCTTCACTCGTGATGATTTCACCACAGTATACCACCAGTCCGTTCGGCGGAACCTTGCTGTACAACTTCAACCTCTGCTGGGTGGATGTAATGGCTCCCAACACTGATTGTCGATTGACACGAGACTTGATATTGGACGCCGTACCAAACTCTTCCGCCAACATCTTGGCGATCCGCGAGATCTGGTCCTTTGGCGGGATGATCAGACTGATCATGGATGTGCCGTTTCCACGGGCTTGTTCCAGGCGCTTGATCAGCTTCTTCACCTTCCACATCTCAATGTTCTTCTCCGCTTCGTTTGCTTGAGGTTGGGCCGACATGATTGCGGTGTTCGGAGCGTGTACACGCTCGCTGGTCGCAGAATCACTGTCAGTTCGGTGTTTGGTGGGAAGTGTATGCGCGAAGACGAAGACGGGATTTTGTGGTGGGGCTTATGTCATCCGCGTTCGTTTGTATGATTCGAGTTACGGAGATGACATGTAGAACGATTCATTCACTCACCTACAACACAAGTAATATCTTCCGCAATAAGTCAACTGCAATGATGTCGTTGGTGCCTGCTCGTACAAACTGCCGTGCGCTCACCAAATTTCGAAAACCCGCACAGCCGCAAAGACGCAGAGGCCCTTCGTCACGAATCTCGAATCTCACCATCAAACCCTTGTCGACGCCACAGTAATGACCCACAAAACGGAAGAGCCCCACTTCACATCTGAGAAGCAGACCCTCTTCGGCTGCCGGTTGAATTACTCAATAGCAATCACTTTACGTTTCGACGATCCGGGGAGGTCTCCAATCTAGCAGTATCAAGGATATATTCCCACTCCATCCACTCCTGCTATCACCCTCGCAGCTTCACTCTGATAACGGGACTCCACAGCCGTCATGCCTTGTCGACAATGGCGGCGATGCACAGAGCATGGCAATGCACGAAATCGCGGGCCGCAGGGAACGCAGAGCTAATGATATGAAAGGCTTGTGAAAGGTCTGGTCACGGATAAGGACGGTCCTGCCCTGGTCTGTAGGTACTTTGTCCTCTACAACGCAAGTAGATCTCTACACGCACGTGTCGGGCAGGTGCATGCCGACTTCGCCTCTGACAGCTGCACTTCCTCTTCCACTGCACAATCTTCTTTCTTCATATTACAGCAAAGCAAAGCATATCTGGAAGCTTCCAACAGCTCTAAGGCTTGCGAGTGGACGGCTTTTTTCAATACACAACCACTTGCAATGCCTTCACAACGCGGACAACTACCTGCCAGCTGGACGGCGTACGAGAATGGTGGAAGACAAGACTCGCACGATTCCGGTCTCAGTCACAACAGAGTCTTGTTCGATGAGGAGAGCGAGCAGCACCATGATCACTCCGAGGACGGGGAGAATGGCCACAGCACGCAGGAAGAGATGCGGAGACGAAGATCGTCCATGGCACTGCGAGTGGAAGCTTTGAGACAAGCTGGAGGTGTCAACTCCATAGACGTATGTCTGCGGGAATGATCTAGAGCTAGATAGGTACTGACACTCTACAGAACTTTGCAAGATCATGGCAGCGAGCAGCAGGCTTCTACGAGGTGACACCATTACGACCGAGCTTTAGATACGCAGACGAGGACGAAGTGCCACGGGACAGCGACGCTAGCCACGCGAAAGGGCAGAGATCATTGCTTAGACAGGCCCTGCAAGAGGATGAACAGGGTCGACAGCCAGATGTATTCGAGGATGAGGAAGACGACGAGACGACACCTACAGCTACGCCTAGCAAACGACAGATCCAACCACAGAAACCATACACGCCGCAAACTGGGGGTAGAGAGAATCAACCATTGCTTCAGCAAAGGTTGTCAGGCGTCCACGATGATAGTATCTTCGCCATCGAGCCCTCGCTCGCATCACCGTTCGGAGGAAGCTACGGTACGACATGGGGCTCGCTAGCGTCACGGGTCAATGAGCCATCTATGCGGCACGCCGGACGTCTATTTCGCCAGCAGCAGACGAAAGGCATCTCCGAGCCAGATAAGGAGCGAGAGCCATTGCTTGTCAAACAAGTACAAGAAGACAATGGCAAGGTGGTGAACGTTGTCGTCGGTCAGAGCACTCTGCCGCAGACCATCTTCAACAGTGTCAATGTCCTGATCGGCATTGGCCTCTTGGCCCTCCCACTCGCAGTGAAGATGAGCGGCTGGATTCCCGGGCTGATCTTCTTCGCCTTCGCCGGCGCCAGTACATGCTATACAGCTAAGCTTCTCGCGAAATGTGCCGATGTGGATACCAGTCTCATTACTTTCGCGGATCTGGCGTTCGTTTCTTTTGGTCCTTGGGCTCGGGTTGGAACGTCCATCCTCTTTGTTCTCGAACTGATAGGTGCCAATGTAGCTCTGGTAGTGCTGTTCGCGGATAGTCTCGACGCACTGATACCAGGCTGGGGTAATACGGAGTGGAAGGTCGTCTGCGGCATTCTTCTCACACCCCTCGGATTCGTCCCATTACGCCTCCTATCCTTCACTAGTATCCTCGGCATCCTCTCCTGCTTCGGCATCGTTATTGCTATACTGGTCGATGGCCTCATCAAACCCACCTCACCTGGTTCCCTCCGTCAACCAGCACAGACGCACCTCTTCCCAGCGAACTGGATGACCTTACCAGTAGCCTTTGGCATCCTCATGTCCCCCTGGGGCGGCCACAGCGTCTTCCCAAATATCTACCGCGACATGCGCCACCCCTACCGGTACCGACGAGGTGTGAATGTGACTTACTCGTTCGTCTTCACCCTCGATCTATTCATGGCCGTCATCGGGTTGATCATGTACGGCGATGGCGTCAAGGACGAGATCACTCGAAATGTGCTCACGACCGAAGGTTATCCGACCTGGATCGGCGTCTTCATCGTCGTCTGTGTGGCCATCATCCCACTCACGAAAGTCCCGCTCAACGCTCGTCCGATCGTCAGTACACTGGAACTGTTCATGGGTCTCGACGCCCGCGCCATGTCGGATAGCGCAGCCCTGACCGGCCTCTCGGGCTGGACTCGCGGCATCCTCAAGATCGTCATAAGAATCACATGCACCATCATTTTCGTCGTGCTGGCCATTGCGATACCCGAATTCGACACCATAATGTCTTTGCTTGGATCAGTGGCATGTTTCACCATTTGCATCATTCTGCCATGTGCGTTCCATCTCAAGCTTTTTGGCAAGGAGTTGAGTAAAAAGCAGAAGGCGTTGGATTGGTCTTTGATTGTTGTTAGCACGGTGTTGGCGGTCGTCAGTACGGCGTTCAATTTCATCCCGATATGAAGGCTGGAAAAGCAGGTGTCTTAGCGAGGCGTTCTCACTGATAGTGAGGATATTAGAATACAGTAGTTACGGATCTCGCAGACCAACCAGGATGGCCACAGTGCATTTTTACGTGAAGTCGAAGTCGAGGAGATAGCGGAGACGCTCGTGTCGACCAGAGGCAATTACACGTCTAGATTCGAGCGATCGATACTTCCTGGCTCGGTGACGACGGTGCCCTTCACAGCAAGCCCGCCTAGTGATCCATTAGCTTTGATCTCGGTCTCAAAACGTTCCCTCGAACTCAACATACCCTGCGGTGTCTGCGTCCAAATCTCCCACTTATTCTCCGCGACCTTCGTGCCACAGAAAGTGACAGCCTCATGCGCATACAACGGCGCCAGATTTCGATACTCCACCGACTTGACGACCTCATTCCCTTGCTTCCGCAATTGCTGCTGCAGGACCGTGATCATGAACACGAAGCTCAATGGGCCGTGGAAAAGCAGGCTTCGATGCCCTTCGACTTCTCTACAGTACTCTGGGTCCAAGTGGATCGCGTGGGCATTGAACGTCAAGGCGCTGAAGCGGAATAATAGTTTGGCGTCTGGGGTTATGGTATGCGTGAAATCGGGTTTATGTTGGGGCTGCAATTGCTTGCCAGCCGCTTTCTCCGTATCACGAGCGGCTTCTTCTTTCGATCGAGCGCGCATGAAGACGATGTTGCGGTTTTCTAGGATCGAGCAAGGACCGAAATCTGTGTCTTTGTCTCGCCATAGGCGTTGGCGGACGCGGTGTTCTAGTGTTTCCTTCTCTGATATGTTGGTTTGGGGTGGGCCAAGGAGCTGCATCTCCTCTTTCGTTGCTCGTGCCAGCCTCCTCTCGATCCGCACGAAGAGCTTCTCCTCTCCTGGCTTGCCTTTGACTGTAACTGAGCGGATGAATTCCGCGCAGACACCGCGTCCGGAGTCGAGCGTGAAAGGGTTGCCGTGGTTGTACAGCACATATCCACCAGCCCACATCCGACGTACGAAGGGGTCACCGGGTGATTGATCAGGGTTCGTGCCATCGGCTAGCATCTGCGATTGTCGTTTCGTCGGCTCGAAGTAGATCAGATGGTGTGGTATCGGCAGGACTTGTGCTGGTTCCGTTGGTGGGAGGACAGCAGGAGGCGTAACATCAGACAGGAAGTCGGCGAGGGTCGTGTTCAGTCGGTAGCTTGACTGTGGTGTCAGGTCGTCGAATATAGGCGGAATCTTGCGTTCTATCATCTCTTTCTCCAGATGCGAGAAGGAGGACTGCCATCGTGCTGAGGGTGCTCGTCGGACACTTCGTCTCAGCCATTGGGCTCGTAGGCATCGTGTCGTCGTCGCCATGATATCTGAGTAGCTCGAACAGTAGTGTCGGGGGTAGTGAGAATGGAAGCCATGGTTGGCATGTGCCTACGTGAGTTTACCTCAACTGATGGAGAGCTTTCCCCACAGACCACCCGGTCCTGCATGGAGTTGCAAAGACCGGCGTATAGCCTATCACGGTACTGCAGCCATGATACTAAGCACAAGGGTTCAACGCAGGCAAGACAGAAAGGATGAATGGGTTTATGCTGTGACTGGGGGTGAGGGCTTTCCTTTGTATACACGTATATGATACATCCCCTGCAACTTTTAATCGATCAGTCAGAACAAACCGCTAGGCTCAATACCCGCTGTTCTGCTCATGACCGCCCTCCCATGCACAACTCAACACAGCCACCTTCCACTGTACAACATTCTCCACCCACCGATCTCACTCCTTAGGCGCATAAACATACCCCACTACCTTCCTCTCAAGCTTCTTAGGGGGCCGACTAATCTTATGATCACACGAATTCTTACCAGCAGAGTCGCCACTGGCCTCGCTCTTCCCATTGACCTGCTTCTCCAAATTATCCAGCCGCTCGTGCATAGCCTTGAGCTGGTCGTCCCGAGGATCTGAAGTCGCGCCATTGGTCGTAGTCTTCTGTGCAGATCTGGGTTTAGACTGATTGGCGCGGGAGTCTGGTGTCTTCTCGGCATCGCCACCAGAAGACGTAGTTTTGCTGGCTGCGCTCTCCCGCTCCTTTAGTTGCTTCTCCCGCTCCTCGAGATTACTTTCACGCTCCTGTAAGTCCTTGAGCTTCTCATCAGCCTCCTTCGATTGCCTCTCTCGCTCCTCGAGATCACTTTCACGCTTCTGTACGTCCTTGGCCTTCTCCTCGGCCTCCCCCACTCGCCTCTTCTCTTCATCCACTAGCTTGGTCTCTCGTGCTTGGATCTCTTCTTGCTTGGACTTGTTGGACTCAGCAGAGTCTTTCTCTTTCGACGCCAGGCCCTGCTCTCTTGCTTCGAGATCCTTAAGCTTCTGCTCATAGTCTTGCGCCTTGCCATTATTCTCCTTCGCTGACTTCTCTCGCTCAGCGAGGTCTTTCTCCCGCTCAGATAACTGCTTGGTATCCTCCTCATTCTTCTTCTTCTGCTTCTCCTCCTCACTTGCCAGCTTAGTCTCCCTATCCTGCAACTCCTTCTGCCGAGCACTCAAATCTTCTTGCTGCTTACTATCCTTCTTGGCCATCTCAGCCTCCTTGTCTTCCACCTGCTTGTTCTTCTTGGCCAAATCAGCCTCCTTATCTTGTACCTGCTTATCCTTCTTCTGCACATCGCTCTCCCGGCTCGAAATGGCTGCTTCCCGCGCCTCGGGATCCTTGATCTTCTTCTCCGACTCCTCATTCGAAGCACTTGCCTGCCCCGTCGCCGCACCCAAAGCATCGAAATCTCCAGTCGTTCCTAAATACCAAACACTATTAATCTCCCATCGTTGCTAGAATGGCCTTGTCAGCATTGCTCCTCGCTCAACGCAGCAACCCTGCTCACCTCCCTGCCAAAAGTGTTAGCTTGAGCCCATCAATATACAGAGATGGGTTCACGCTATCGCGACTTGCCATTGCCACATATGGGCTTTTTGCCCTCGGTCGCCAAAATTCGTCCGATGAGGGCCATCGTGGTTGAGGAAGTACTTGTCGAAAGACTGTGGTTGTAACCGAACTCCACCTTGCGCATGAACGAAGTCTGGGCTATCGATCCGCCATAGCTGTTTCGCTCCAACTGCTACCTATGTACCCCGTCAGTGTCAATGCGCCATATCAAGCCCGGAATGGGATACTGCTCACTTTGCCGAAGTTCTTTGCCTCTTGGGTATTCAGGTATCCGCCATTCGCCGCGTTTCTGAGGGCGACCACATTCTTCTCATCGCTTGGCTCCACAACCCAACGCTGGGCTTTGCTAGTAGGGTCGCGCACTTGCACGACGGCTGGTCAATGATCAGTATATGCTTACTCCCGTCATTAGAGAGTGAGAGATACCGTAGCTTGGGCTACCAGCAGACTGCCATGCTAAAACGTAACCGTACGAGACGGAAGTGATGTAGATTTCTTTCTCTTCGGCCATGTTGTGTCTGTCAGGTCAGCCTGTTCTAGTATCAAAAGTATAACAGGTGTTGAGGAAGTGATGATGGAGAAGGTGAGAAGACTAGACGGATACTCTACTGGTCTTGACCTCACGGTATGCACATATATGATGGAATGTCCTCGTTCCTTGATCTGTGAATGCAGATCGATGAAGAAGGTTTATGTATTGCAGAGCTCGACAGCATCAGAGGGCGGGAATGTCGGTTGATCGACAGGGTCGGAGGTAGAGCTAACCCAAGAAAGGAAGTGGAGGGTTGGAGGTCTCGGGATATTGGAAGAGACCTACGTCTTTAATTTTGGGAGACATGTTGGCGAAAACTGTGTATGCAGGTCATGTCGCCCCAGTCAGGCAAGCACCCGAGGGCAGTGGCAGCCGTGATCAAAGCTCACCATGCGTCGGACGATGGACGAAGGCTTGGCAGCACATAAGTCCTGTTGATGCTCGTTGCTAATGACGGAAGAAAGTGGTATCATAGTAAATGGATTGGACATTGTCCTCCAGACTAGACGAAGCAAGCTACCGCCACACCTTGCCACAAGGAGCTAACATATGACTACGACGACGATTGAGCGACTCGAGCGTCATCGTCGAAGAAGGCGCTGTATAGCGTACCCGAGCTCATCACAAACCACAGGTTCACTGTTCGTAGTCAAAACATTGAGGTTCAAGCTAGCCGTCTGGGTGCTAGTAAATGCAACACTACTACTGCCATCAGCTGCAAGACTCATCGGTCTCGCTGATGACTGTGGTGCTTCCTGCTGGCTTGAGCGGTCGTGAGGCGACTAACACAGTGCCTCACAACCAAGACCGCATATCGGAGCCAGAGCCTCGTCGGACCACTCCAGATCAACATCGGTCACAGCCCGTTCAGTACATAGAATCTTGGCACTTAGACGAGTTGACGAAGCGGACGTGGCAGAGACATCCTTTCCCGGAGGATCGTAGTGGTCTCTTGACACCGTGTGAGGTGGCTGCTCCATCCAGACCCATGGACCGACAGATCAGGTAGGCGACCAATCGAATGATACACTGGGCCTGTGGGCAAAAGGCAGGAGCAATGTGTTATATGTTATTGCTTCACGCTAGCCCATGCAGGCTTAGTCATGCGCTTCGTCCCCCACCGGCCTGTCAAAATTCTTTGGCTTTCACCTTGAAATTGACAGAAGTTCCAGTCTCTGCACAAATCATGCAATGATGGCGGCGCTGGACACGGCCATACTGGCAGATAAGAACGATGAACACGAGGTGGAACTGTCCGACGAGCAGATCGAACAGCTGCTAGCGAAGGCCACGGCACGCCTCCAGCAAAACCCAGACCAGCATATGGTGAAGAGAAGGGAAAACTCTTACACCTTCCCCAAGCTCAATGCCGGCGAACTGGAGAAGCCATACCTACAGACTAAAGGCGATGTAGCCTCAGTGGATGGTAAAAGACTGTTGGAGGAGAAGCACAGAAAACAAGCCGACGGTATTCGCAAGGTCGAGGACCCCGTGGCGGCGAAGAAGGTTGCTCTTAAGGTATGTCTGCCTATATCATTCCATTCCACCTATTACTACCATCTTTTGCATGAGGAAAATAATCCCAATCTTCATAATCTCGAGCGGAGTCCGGGCACCGTTATGGATGCCTTTCCGTGTCATGAGAGCCTTTTATATTCATAGTTACTCTGACTTGCATTTCTACACTACCCCCTTTACCGCAACACTTCTCGTATACGCATGAGCTCGGCTAATATGAGTGAGCAGAAAAAGAAAGCCACCTCTGGCGCCGCCTGGTACGACCTCCCCGCCACCGACCTAACACCCCAGCTCAAACGCGACCTGCAACTCCTCAAAATGCGCAACGTCCTCGATCCGCATCGGCATTACAAGAAAGATGGCGGGAAGATGCAGGCGCCGGAGTATAGTCAGGTGGGTACTATTATCGAGGGGCCGACAGAATTCTACTCGGGTAGAGTGGAGAACAAGAAGCGGAAGAGGACTTTCGTGGAGGAGGTCTTGGCCGGTGAGCAGGAGACGGGGAGGTTTAGGCGGAAGTATGGGGAGTTGCAGGGAAAGAAGACGAGTGGGAAGAAGGGGTTCTACAAGGGTGTTATGAAGCAGAGGAAGGGTGGGTTTAAGAAGGGTCCTGGTTGAGGGCTGCATCCATGATATGTTTCCGCCATCGCTATGCTATTGTGAATCAAACAGACTACAGCCATCCATGAGGTATACAGTCACCACTGCCGACCATCTACAGCTCCGACACGATCCGCAACACCAACCCTTGCATATCAACCGCTGCCTGCCTACCAGCCTCAAGCACCTCTTCATGGCTCGCCCGTCCACGACTAAGATATTCATCTAACTGCTGCGGAGTCAAACCCTGTAACTCCATCGCATCAGCCCGCACAGTCGGCTCGAGCACAGCCTTATTCGTCACGAGACTAAAAGCCACCACCCGCATCCCACAATGCCTCGCCACAACAATCTCCGGCACGGTCGACATCCCCACCACATCCGCACCCAAGGACCGCAGCATCCGACATTCCGCTCTCGTCTCATACGTCGGACCCGCCACAAACGCATAAACACCCTCATGCATCCTCCTCTCGCTCGGCTGTTGACGTCGAAGATCTGTCCAAGAACGGTGTGCGAGTTGTCGGAGCCGGATATCATACGCGTCGCTCAGAGGTGGGAACCGCGTCCCAAACTCCTCTTCGTTCGGCCCACGTAAAGGGTGAAAGCCGACGAGGCCAGCGAGGTTGAGGTGGTCGTTCAGACAGACTATATCGCCTACTGCGTACTCTGGATTTAAGCCCCCGGCGGCGTTGGTCAAGATCATGGTTTCGACGCCGAGGAGTTTGCAGACGCGGGTGGTGAAGGTTACGGTGGGCATTTCGTGGCCTTCGTAGAAACTGAGTTGGAGAGAGAGAGAAAACGATCAGAATTGTGTACGATATCGAATGTTGTGGAGTTTGCTTGAGCTACATACTGTGCACGTCCTACTAGCAATACTACTGGTACTTTCTTCGCTCCCTCCCCCATCGTCCCGAAGATTAGTTTGCCCTCGTGTCCCGCCACGGTGGAAACAGGAAAGTTGGGCACATCTTTATAAGCCCATTCAACCCTCTCTGCACTCCCACTGATCGTGTCAGCGAGCCCGCCCAAGCCGGATCCGCAGATTATCGCTACTCTAGGCCGAGATAACTGGGGTGGGAGCTTCAGACGTAGGAACTCGACCGTTTCGGTTGCGCGATGGAATGTTGATGTGGTCATCTCGTCGTGGGCGTCTCCTAGAGTGTGACCGATGTGAGTGAATGAGTGGTAGAGCGAGGCGGCGTGGTGGAGGAGTTCCATTTCTCTTCTCCTACCCACGGGAGAGGAGTGAGGGGGGGTAGGGAGGGGAGGTAGGGAAGGTGGGAAGGTGGAGGTGGATGTTTGTGTGGGGCGTTTTTGTCCGACATGTGGCTGTGCTTTCCCGACATGCCGCACTTTTGATGGGTGATGGTACAGTATTGGATGGGTTAAATGATTGTAGGATATTGAGCTGCCATATATCTATCTGCGTCCGAAGTGAGTCAACATGTCGGGACCCTCGTGTGCTCGTGCACTCATCAGTGCGACGAAGAGAGTCAAGATATCTAGCCCTACCACCAACGGACAATGCTTGCCATTACCACGATGCACGATATCAGGCACAAATCAAAGACGACACGACAGTACAGTGGTAGAAGCCTCGCGCCACCTCGACCTGACACCGGGCGCAGCAGAAGCGCCTCCCACGTCAATTACACCCGCCAACATCGACCAAGAATTAGCAAATCTCCGCCTCCCCCGCGCAGTGCAAGCAACCTACCTCGACCCCCTCCGCCACCCCCCCACCTTGGGAATCAAAACCGCCGAACTCCAACTCCGCTCTTACAGCATCCGGAACCTCGAAGTCTTCACCGACTTCTGCCTGCGGGCTGCATATTACCTCAAACTCGCCGCCAAGGGTCCCATTGCGCTACCGCGACAGGTGGAACGCTGGACCGTGCCGAGGAGTAATTTCGTGCATAAGAAGTCGCAGGAGAATTTTGAGAGGAGGACTGTCAGTAGAGGGATCAAGATCCTGGATGGGCATCCGGAAGTCGTGGCCACGTGGTTGGCTTTTGTTAAGAAGCATCAGTATTATGGGGTGGGTATGAAGGCTAATGTGTGGGAGTATGGGAGTTTGGAAACGGGTAAGGATATGGATGCTGAAGCTGAGAGGATCGCAGGGAGGTTAGGAGAGCAGTTGGATTTGGTTGGGGGAAAGGAGGGGTTGATGGTGAAGCATGCGCAGACGGTGGAGGGGATGTTGGGGAGTGAGCCGTTCAAGGCGAGGTGGGGGGCTTATGCTGCTATGGGTGGGGCGGGGGGTGTGCCGAGTGCGGGGCGGAGGGTGGAGAGTGTTAGGGTTGGTAAGAAGGCTGCCCGGGCTAGGGCTGGGAAGGAAGTGGATGCCGCAAAGGCAGAATAGACCCGGCAATGCTGAAGCGTTGGTGGTCGGGTGGCTGGCAGGATGTGCTGGTCAGGTGTCCTGATCGAAGGGCGGTGCGAGCTCAGCTTTATTACGTCCTACGGTCGCAGGGAATATCAGAGACCACTTCGTGATAGTCTCCCGACAACCGGGTTATACATGCCAAGCGTCAGAAAGAGCGACGAGGCTAGAGGCAAAGACGAACCATGGAGCACCTTCGACACTGGAGCACCATCGACAGTGGGGCACATCAAAGGCACTAGGCGACCTATACGGAGACGTAGAGATGTCCACTCTCGACCTCGTGGTCTCTCTCACAAAATTAGTCTCTTGCTGAAAGGCTCCGAACACCGCCAGCACAGCGAGTTGAAATCACAAGGACGTTAATCTCGCTACGAAGCTGGAATACGATCTAGCCACGCTCTCGCCGGGAGCTGGACGTCCGCACGACGTGCACACCGGTTGCCGCAAGCGATAACTGCCCGCCCACAACAGCATCTAGCAATCGTTACGAGCTTGCTAGCTGGACACCTGGCTCCGCTGCAAACTTCCGCTGCCTTCATGCCTCGGCCTTTGACAATGCGATTGGAGGAGGAGCATGAGAAGCCTTTGCTTACCATGGGCGCCACTTCTGCAGGGGCGCTGGTTGCTGCATTTTCGTCGCGACGAAACGTCAACCCAAATTCGTACGTCTCTACAATCCGAGTAGGTAGTATGTACGCGATTTCAGACGATGTGCTACAAGTTCGTCGAACCCATCTTGGGCAAGGGTCGGTCTTGATCTTGACGAAGCTCTTCGTCCTGGGCGGAACTGACCTCGATGGTTCTTCATCCTTCTGCCCTTTTGAGAAGTTATACCTACCCATACTGATGTTCCCGTTTCATAACAATGAGACCTGTTTTGATTTCGAGAGTCACACGGAGAAGTGCACGTCAACAAAAGAACTTGGTGACACCGAGGCTTCTTTCTGCCATTCCACCTTTGAGTGAACTCAAATCCCGTAGATCTTCGGACGATCATTGCAGATCTTGGCCATCACAACCATATACCGAGGAGGACGTTACGCCAATTGCGAAACGAGTGGACCTTGATTTGGCACTTTTGGCGATGGAATTGGGAACTTCAGTCTTTAGACGTTGTGCTAGGCAATGGTTGTTTGGTGGTCCTGTGATCATCGATGGCGAATGATGCTTTGGGAGAATATGCTTATATCCACTGCTTAGTCGTTTAAGGTGACTACCTTTCCTATCCCTCGTTCTTTCTGGTAGAGAATTCAATAGAGGTCACTTCACACCACACAACCTGCAGTCCCATCTTTCTTGACATCCAAGATGCTGTCCTGCTTCACCCTCCCAGCAGCCGTTACGCTGGTCAGCTATGCAGCTGCTCTCGATATCCCAGGTCTCCTGTCCAGTCTCGGTCCAGCACCAGCCAACGATCTACGCTTCACCAATTTTCAGGCACCGGGCGCTGGCGATGGTACGATCACGACCCTCCAGCACCGAGATATAATCCTGCTAAACAAATCCCAGTCCGCTCCCCCTGCCCCGGCCTCAACACCCTCGCCAACCACGGCTTCATCCACCACAACGGCAAAAACATGACCATTCCCCATCTGATCGCCGGCCTCGCAGCAGGAATGAATATCGGAGCCGACTTCACCACAGTAATAGGAGCCGCTGGCTTGCTCTCCTCCCCAAACCCCCTAGCCGGCTCCTTCGACCTCAACGACCTAAACCAACACGATTTCCCCATCGAACACGACGCCTCGTTATCTCGTCAAGACGCCTATTTCGGAAACGATTATAGATTCTACAACCCCAACTGGCAGCAAGTTCTGAGTTTCTACAAGGGGATGGCATACACCAATATCCCCACCGCGTCGCAAGCGAAATACGCCCGGGTCAACGATAGTATGGTCAAGAACCCGACGTTCACGTATGGATTGAGGGAGTTCGTGCTGAGTTATGGCGAGACGGCGTTGTATCTCCAGACGATGAGCGATCCTGTCTCGGGGGTGGCCAAAGTCGATTACGTGCGGAGTATGTTCGAGCAGGAGAAGTTGCCTTATGCACTGGGTTGGAGGCCGAGTGCGCAGCCTGTTACGCTGCCGAGTCTGGGAAACATGATTCTGGAGCTGTATAATGCGAATCCGCAGAAGGTGCCGGAGGGGGCGACGATTACTGCGTAAGTCGTTCTTGTGTTGCGGAGCTATTATGCTTGTTTGGTGTTCCCTGAGACTGACTTGTTGCGTTTAGGGATTCGTACAAGGACGCCTTCGAGGTCATTGTTGGAGGATCCGAGATCTTGGCTAATTTGACCGGTGGGATCAGCTCGGCCTTGGGTCTGTGAGAGTAGATTGTTGAAGCTGGGTGGGGCTGTCACGGAATGAGCTCGGGATGGTATTGTGCGCAGTATGGAACAGGAGCCAGTGCACTGTCTCGTCCTTCCGCCTGCGCATTAAGTAGCAGAACAACGAATTATGATGAAGCCACCTTCACGACCCTGCTATGCTGACACCTAGATGATGCGGAACCGCTGCCTCTCAGCACTCTCTATTGCAGTCGAGCTGCAAGGTATGGTCTCAACAAGGCTCGATGCTGCGTGTGACATTTGACTCCAATCGTTGCTAGACATTGGGTCACGGTAGGTCATCTTCAGCCGTCGAGCAGTAACGAGAAGGAGCGAATTTATGCTGACGCATTCGTCCAAGCACGCCAGCGTGCACATGTGTACAGATTGAGCCCATCATAGTGACTTGATCTGCCTCCTCCACTAGAGTGTTCGGGTTGATTCAGATGGACTCAATGCAGACAGAGAATTCACAAGCGTAGTGCAGGCGGATATAATCTAAGGCGAACCGAGCATTTCGACGAACTTCAAGGAGGCATCCGTTGATCTTGAGTTCCTAAGTAGGACTCGATGCGCCCAAGTATATGTAATTGCCACATGAACCCTCGCTACGTCAAGATTGATTGTTCGGAGCGTGCTAGACACTCCATCGCCGTCTCTTCCCGGCCCAAGCCATACAACCCGAGCTAGCCGCTTCCACTGTTAGCCGCGTGACTGACTAGCACGTACATGAGGATTGAAAAGGGCGATGTATGGGCATACTCAATACCTGACTTTCGACTCCAGGGTGTGAATGCGGTCAACTGCTCAATGTTCAACAGACTAATTGCCAGCATCTTCGATATGCCGTTGAATAGTGCACTTAGCTTCTATGTACCGTCATCGACATCGATTCCAATTATGTCGCCCAGAGAGTACTGCCAGTTCACTGAAACAAAGGCGGCGATAACTGGCGAGATTCTAGCCAGGGTATGACAGTAGGTTGGAACCAATATAAGAGCGTCCCGAATATCCGGCCTTCGAAATATGTGAGATGCAGATGAAACTCATGGCACGCAATACTGACCACGGTACAAGATCGAAGCACAGCGAGTGCGGAACTTCTAATTGCGTCTCTGTTGGTCGCATAGAAGAAGGTATGCGGTGGTGATTCTCTATGCTTGGTAGTATCATCCACTGCTTGTGATCAGTACTGGCATCTTTCAACTGTTAGCCGAGGCTTCCTTACTTTGAGAAAGCATGTGATCAGGAAGTTGAAGCCGAGCCGTTCGGAAAAGCCAAGAGAGTCAAAGAACTTTGCTTCAGCAGCGAATCACTAAGCTAGTAGAACAGGTGGTACTTTGGGGACGGAGTCATTTAAGACGATGCCCAGATCAATGTCGGCTGAGCCAAGTACCATGTCAGGAGGCCAGCCTTGATCGATAAGGGCCCTGCATTCGTAGCAAATGTGAGTGCAGTCATGAGTACGAAGAGGTCGTTCGGAGCATTCCCCCTTATCCGCCAATTCTGATGCCTAAGGCGTTCAGCAGCCACACCAGAGCTGGGCTCAGCGATGAGCAGTAGCGAACGAATCCACCCTCAGTACTCAGAGCTTGCTCCGCTGTCGGCATCGTACCTCTCCTAACGTGACCAGCATCATTGAGCGTTAAAGAGATCAGCGTCGCGAACCACTTTGTTACAGCAGCCATGTAAGCGACAAGCTCAGAGCGACTTTGCACCCCCTTCCACGAACAGCGTCCAAACGGCACTGTAAGACTGCACGGTATGACATTCGACGATCTCAATAGGCGGCGCCTCGGTACCGTAAGCAAGGCTCAGACACAACACAACGCCAGTCCGTCGCCCCATCTCAACTAGGATGACGCAAGTACGCCTCTTCCGCCTTTTCCAGACCCTCTCTGAGAAGCGAAATTTTCGCTGACTGCTTGGCAGCGCTCTGGAAAATATCCGGCATGTGCTCGCTGTTGCGAAGCAAGCAATTCGCAATGCGTCCTCGATTTTCCCAGCGAGGGTGTCACGCGCATGCAGGATCTTCAACACAAACTAGATCCGAAGATACTTGAGCTTGATCGCGAGATGGGCGTCCTGGGAAGCTTCAAGATGGCAAGCTATAGTGAAGCCTCCAAAATGCTGGCTCACCTCAGGCTTGGCGAACCATTGGACAACGTCATGAATGCTGGGTCTGTGCCGCCACCATCGTTGCAAGAGTATGCTTAGTATGCCTATGCACCGTTGAGTCGAACTCGCCATTGCTTCCGGTGATGCGCTGACCAGTCTTCTGTAATAGGCTGCAATTTGAACGTGTTGCTTAAGAACCTCTTCGTCCAGAAATCCTTCTCGACACCGGCGACAGTTCTGATGAGTTCTCAACGATCTGATGTGGTTTTGGACATTTGACCATTGCGCAAGATACTCGTCACAACAGCTTTTTAGCATTGCAAAATACAGCAAGCAGAAAGCAACAATGTTCGCTCCTTCGGTGTAAGTGAAGATTGATTGCTACGGTATGGCTCGCAGAGAGGGAGCTCCTTGAACACAATCACGCTTCCCGTTGAATGGCCCAAGCTCCAGACACTGGTCGTGTACCAGATCTCCATCACACAGTCCCCAGCCCTCGTCGACCTTCGAGTTCTTCTGCATGATTCCGAACCCTATAGTACGGGATGCGGAGGATAGGCGACCAATAGCTGCAGCAGAGTGCGGCACCAGCGTCACCTCAACTGGGTCCGTTGATGGCAGAGTGGTTGATGTAAGTGGTGTAGCAGTAACAGTGGTCAGCACTGTCCACGAGCTGGTAAGAGTGACTTGAAGCGTCAACACGGATAGCGTAGTGCTCGGAATCAGGTTGTTGACCGTTGCCGATGTCTGACAGCAGTGAACCTCTGCGCTCACGTTGTGGGATATAGGTGAGCTATTCCAGCTGCAGTGTCGCCTTTCCAGATATGAAGGAGCCATACTGTATTCCGTACAGTTTACCTTGATCTGGTCGTCGCATAAGGTATGGCGTTGTACATCTTATATCCCCAACGCATTGCAGAAGGCGGCAGTGTATGCCATCCGACTGAATCGGAAACACAGCCATGATCGTGTTGAGAACGGGTCTAATGAAGAGCGCGCGTGCGGGGAACGTGAAGTTGGCTAACTGATTTGCCGGGACGGGCCGTGGTGAGCCACACCCCGAGCGCTAACAATGTAATAGAAGTGATTGGCTGCGCAAGAATATGTTCTATCCTCTTCTTCCAATCTTGGCGTTGCGTCTAGCATTCCTCGAAGCACAGCTACTTCAGCTACAATGATCGACAGACATCGTTCATTATGATCACTGCCCGGCGATGCCAACAGTCGTGCTGCTGGGCGGCGTGACTGCCGCGCCGCTGGCGCCTTTGGCTCCGTCACTATAACCACCTCTGCAACGATACCTTGCGTTGGTATTATCGCGCGCTTGATCAGACGCTCTCACACCGCAGGTAACTTCTACTGCCAATGGCTGCTCTTTCAGACCGCGCTTGTCCGATCAGCAAACCTGGAAATGTAATCTGTCAGTCGGCGGCTGAAAGAGGAGCATCGAGCTGAATGTGCTCGTGTTATACATGGATCGTAATTCATCAACGGAATCACAGAGCATAGTGCCTGGCCCACGAACGGACAGAAGCTCAATTGCTCTATGTCGAGTATCCCCTTCACACTGCTCAAGATCCAGAGCCGTGTTCGCTGAAGGAGCGTGCTATGCGTCACTGCTCTCGGAGCAGAGCAAGTACCCGATGCTCTGATAAGATCAAGTGCGCCGAGCGTTTCGTTCCTGAGTATTCGCTCCAGGACGTCGTTCGGTAAGCTGATGAGTACGCCCGTTGGTGGCACGTTTGCTTGACTCGACATGTGCGGCGCTGCTGTATGTTGGGATCATTTCACTCCCTATTTATCTTTGCATACTTTAGCGGGATTGTGTAGTGTGTTGCGAAGCAGAGTAGCAGTTAACAGAGCCGTGCAAGTGAGCAGCCAATACCCATATATCGTTGGCACCGAGGAGACCGACAAGCCGACAGCTCAATTGCTCGGATTCATGTCTCTGTGACACGATCTCCATCAACAAAGTAACAAAAATGGCTTCAGGACCATATTCTCTAATTGATCACTGCACGAGTCCCGAAGTGATCATGGATCTGGTCCGTACGGAACGTCGCACCAGCGAGACACGAGTGCTGGATGCCATAAGGACGAGACTTGGCGATCATCTTGGACAAACGACGGTGTGTCATACAGCCAAGGCTGTGTTTGCGACCCCTAATTTATTCGAACCAATCCTAGGCCCACTAAATGGCTACGATATCCTTCGTACTATGATAACTAAAAAGGCGTTCCATGACGACCTCGTTTGGGCGCAGGTGATACTCGGACACGACAAGGTATTGGCAACGGTGGGTTTTGATCGGTGATCGTGGGATTATCGGGATCCCCAGGAATTTCGTTATTGAGCGCTAGCTACTCCCTATATCAACGACCTTGCCTTCTTCGGCACACCTCCCCTCAGTAAGCCCCGACACGCTTCTGCCACGCCGGTTGCGGCGGGTACAGAGCAGGGCTCAGGTCAAAGTAACCCGTTGACTGCACCACATCATTAACCTGCAGGGCGAAGCTGCTAACGTGCGCCCCCTGCGCTTCGAGAGCCCATAGCGTCAGCGCAACCGTGTTCTCACCCTGGTAGTTCAGAACGCCTTGTGGCACGGGAAAGGCCGTCTGGGGGCCGAGGTTGTTGACTGCGATTGTTTCGTTAGCTATTGCTTTGAGGACGAGGCTTGAGTCATTAGTGCTGAGTGTTTTAAACGTACTGTAGATACCAAACTGATACCCGTTGACATACAGCTGGCAACGGTAGTAGTGTGAGTTGGGAATGCTATCCGAAGATGCAGTCTGGTTGAACACAAAGCTCATGGGGACATCGTAGCCCACGGGTACGTTTAGATTGAAGCTTGTCGTATAGAACCCGATTCCTGCGGACGAGATGCCAGTGAGGGGCGAAGCAACCTTCCATTGGGGTATAGAGGTTGGCGGATGGGGCTGGTGGTAGCCTTGACGTTCAGCGTATAGTCCACCTTCGTTCAGAGGACCACGGGTTTGGTCCTGGTATTGCTCGCCGCCAAGGTTACCCGTGAGCTTCCAGGAGACGTCCGACGCCGGGTGCCCAGAAAGAGTATAGTTCAAAATGCCGCGAGGCGTTTTCAAGAGATCGAGTCCGGGCGTCCAGTTGCCCTCAGAGCCCATGTGCTCGATGACGATGGTAAATGTGTAGCGCTTGCCCTTATCCAAGGGAGGGAGGATTACAGTTTGGTTATCTGCGGAACCTCCATAGCCGACGTAGGCACCCAAAAATTTCGACCCGAAGCCGCCTCGTGGCGAGGATAGCCATATTGCATGCGCATAACCGCCTCCACCTTGAGTGGAGACATTAAAGGTCGATTCCGCACCAGTCGCGGTGAAATGCCCTCGGTAGAGCAGAGTCCCCACTTCGTAACCGTAATCCTGGGAGAACAGCGAGGTGGGAGTCGTGCTATTCAATAACGTATTGTACGTCTTGGTGAGATTCGCAACATTCCATTTCGAGTCATCGTAATCGGGCTTAATTTCTGGCAGTGTGTCCAAGTAGTGCCACTCGAGGTTGGAGAAGTCCGGCACGCTAATTGCAGGTACGATGAACGGTACCGTGGCAGAGATGCGGCCGTTTGCATACTTTACATTTGCAACGGCCTCGTCATTGAACAGAACTTCGGGCCTTCCTGCAGGGTGGCCCGCAATGATCTCGAAAGTCGTCGTGGCATTTATGTCTCCGTAAAGCGAGATACAGCTACTCGTAATGGAAGCGTGGCGAAGCAGGTAGCCGCCTGCTACGATCAGAGAAGGTTTGGCATATCCCTCAGTGTTGCTTGTGGCGGTAGGTGACCCGGCGTACGGCACCCAGTAGTTGTATGCATCGTTGCGCCATAGGAGGTAGACGTCAAGCTTCTTACCAAAGTGTATGACGCGCCTGGCCGGCCCGACTTGGAAGTTGACAATGGTCGTGCCGTTCACTCTCTCATGCTCGACGTCAGTGCCTTCGACGGAAGTAATACCACCCAGCGAAGAAGACACCGCGAACTCATGTGTCTCGCCAGCACCACCGTAAAGTACGAGCACGGACTTTGAGCCGCTCTTCTGCCAGGTGAAAACCTCAGCACTGGAGTAGATCAGGTTGATTCCCCCAACGTCGTAGTCAGTCACATGAATCTTTGAATCCCTCCCGTTAAGCATTAACGAGCCGCCCAGTCGAGGAATGGTGACGACCCCAATACTCGTTTTCGCCGTGAGATTATACATGGTAGCCGCAGAAGACTTGAAATCCGCGTGTCGCACCACGTAGAAATTCGTCTTGTTGCCGTAGAGCGGAGTGGCTACCACGTCCGTACTGCTGACTATACCGGCCTCGGTCGAGTTAGCAGCATTTGCGGTGAGATAAGCCGGCGAAACTGCGAAGAATTGCGCTTCCAGCTTTGCTTCACTGTACTTTTCGCGCCAGACTGTGCGATCCTCTTTGATGGCTGCACCGTAATCGTACGAGGTGGGCCCACCGGGCTGTCCCAGATTTCCCCAGTTGGTGCCTCCATACGTCTGGCTAATGTCAGTGTAATGCCGAAAGGGAGCGACAGAGTTTACCAAGCTAACCATGTAAATGTTGAAGATGGTCATTCCAGCCGCGAAGTTGTTCTTCTGAAATACACGCTCGGCTTCTGGGCCAACCAATGCAGCGCATTGATCATAAAGCGTACCACCCCTTTTTTTGAAGTCAGATCATGAACATGTTGGCTCAGACTTGACACGAAGATCCTCACCAGTACTCAGGCGCGCCGCCTTGAAATTCGGCAATGGCGAAAGGCGTGTTTGGACTGATGTCAAGATGAGCTGTACGGAGGTCTCCATATATTTGGGCGGAAGACCAGTTAGACGGCTGCGAACCTAAACGTTCTATCAGCAACCAGCAGGCATTGGCTCGACGAGCAAGATTCCTTACAGTCGAAACTCATCGGATACAAGTCATGAGCGTATATATCAACACCTCCTGTAGTCCCAGGCACCCACAAGGCTGCTTTGTACCAAGCTTCGTTATTGATGAAAGGGACCACAACCCCTGCGTCCCTGTACTGCTGCAACACTGTTTCTTGATACCCAATGTCCGGAAAGAGGACGTTGGTGGCGCCATACGTATACTCGTTTTCGGGCTGGAACAGGATGATCGGACCACCGTTGGTGATCTGAGCCTTAGCAATGATGGCGCCGATATTTGAGACGTAGGTATGTGTGGCGTCAATGTATGCCGACTCGTTCGTCCTCAAAATAGCCGGATTGCGGGCCAGCCAGCCAGGAAATCCACCACCAGAGATTTCGGCATTTACGTACGGCCCAGGACGAGCGAGTAGATAAATTCCTGCTTCAGTTGCCGCCTCGAAGAATGGCTCGAATGCAAAGACTCCCTGTGCCGTAAAGTGCCCAGGATTACCCTCCAGGAGTGCCCAATCGACGTAGAAAGACACGCCATTGTATCCTAGAGCTCGAACCTTTTGGAAGACATCTCGCCAGAGAGGGGGACTTGGGAGCCTGAATGGGTGGAATTCGCCAGAATAGAAGAAGATCCGTTCCCCATGGACAAACAGAGAGTGCTCATCCCACGTTACCTGCAGCCGTCAGTCAAAGGCTTAACCAGATCGAACATCTTGTCGTACTAAATCCTGGAGCAGTTCTCTTTTATCGGATCGGATAATACCACTCAGCTCTCGACCTGGCAGAGCTGCAATGTTCAAAGAGAAGAGCAACAGCAACAGAATCTGAATTTGCTTGAAAAGGACCATGGTGGACGTCTACCGGCAGCCACACATTCGGCTACCGAAGGAGCGCTTGTAAAAGAGGCACCGCGACCACACATTGAAGTAGAGAACTGGGGCACATAGCCTCTTCAGACTCCCGATGTGGAGGAAGTGAAGGAAAGCGGGGACTTCGCAGTGAATTCGACTCGCTCCGGTCCATTCCTGGAAGTCCCGTCATCACCGCAAGCGACAGCACTCTGACGGAGAAATATTTAGACTAAGTAGGCTACCCCCTCCATTGCAGAACGAGCAACCGGGGGTGGAGCGAGCCGTCGTAATTGTTTCCGCGGAAGACGCACTGGTTGAAGATGTTGCGCTGACGGAAGAGGACTTTGACAAGATCGGCGCTGCCTGCGGCACCGCAAGGACAGACCCGAACCGAGTGAGGGGCGGACGAAGTGGTCCTCCCTACATCTATGCGGATTGTTGACAAGTTCTATCGACTGGGTCTGGCACTGGACCTGGCTGCGGCTTGGATGAGCTCCGACTTGGACTGGTGACGAGGCTTAGAATAGAATCCAATGCTAAAGGACGTAAACTAGAGCTGCATCACTAAAGTCGGAAGCCGCTGCACTTTATCCTGCAGCATCACGACTTCGAGTCTCCAACCGGTCGTCTATATCTCTTGCTTGTCTTCCAGATTGAAGGTATGAATTGACATAAGATGATCCGGTTTACCCTGAAGGCTCGCACCGGCCAAAGCTAACGGTTGCACTTGTCGGTCAATTAACATACACAGTCATGGCAACTTTCTCCGTAGCAGTGCCATGGTGATCTCCACATGTTTTTGCGTCACCGTGCTTCAGGCTCCTTGAAAAGTTTCCTCGCCTCCACCCCCCTTCTCCTCTCCTCACCCTTGTTTTCCCAGGCGAACGTCAACATCCTGTTACACAATAACAAAGATGTCCGAGAAAATGGTATCGATAGCATCGGCGAGTCTGGCAGGCAAGTTTCTGCTTGTGATTGTCTTCGTGATCGCCTATCATCGGCCACCTCCAACCAAAGCGAGCAATTCACATCCAGCGGACCAGGTCTCCTCCCACGGGGGTCCGCCTCCGGGCACTACCACTAAAATGGCGCCGACTGAAGAGGATCACACTCTCCTTCTGAACCTCGTTTCGGTACTTGCCAAAATCCGTCAAGAGGCCAATGATGCTGCCAAGGCACAGCTCGAAGAAACAAAGAAGATGACGGTTCTACTTGAGCAAGGCTATGCCGAGCTTCTCACTGTCCACAGAGCTCCTCTTCCGAGAGGTTGTGATGATGTTGGGCAGACTTAGATGAGTCACACAGATCCGTCAAGCAGGCAAAGAACGGATCCCTCTCCTCCATGAGGGTTGAGGTGCTGTGTGGTGCTTGTTACCGGCACCCGCAGTACGCCAGCGAAGAGCATGCACTTCTACGCAGTGCTGGCGACTAGTAGCTGCATCGGTAGCGAAGCTAAGATATGCTCACCAGTACATAGTGATGAACGTCTGTAAAACTGTTCCACATCTTCGGACCGCGTCCTCACTCCAATCTTACATTTGCTTACTCGCACGGTGGCGTGAATGTCCATGAAAGTGATGGTGGCAGTCGTGGATGCATCATGGGATCTCCAGGCTGATTACAGATAGCGATGTGGTGGTCTCAATAATTTTTCGTAGACCACGCAACTTCACAGCACGATCATGAAAAGTACCAATGTGGGCGACCAAAGGCAGGGGGTCTGTGTACTTTCCCGCGCCACGATATCGTAAGAGTGGCCGGCAGATATTGTGATCAGGTCGCGGTGTGTAACACGTAAACTGGAGGTCGCGAGAACGATGTTCCTGGCGGATTCGAAGTGAGGGGCGGTTCTGGCTCCATTTCACGCGTGTCAATACTGGCGACTCGAGACCCATCTCTATTGGCAGGTGTGGCACAGCGTGGTGTTGATGTTGTATACGATTCCAGGATTGCTCCTACTTTCCATACACCCTGTTCCCTGGCCTTTGGGGAGACCGTCAGCACGACGTGACTCACGTCTGCACCACAAGTCCCACGATCTGATAGGGCGGTTGACCTAAATCAGACAACGTCATGAAAAGCAGGCGAGATTCCATTGGAGTCCCTGCTGTCGAGTCATTTGTGCCAAGATTGTAGCTAAGCTCACCTCCAAGACTACAACTCTACCAAACTTGGCTTCACCCGAAAGTTGTAGCTGCTGCTCAAGCTTTGTCTCATTCCGAAGTGTGAGGCATGCTTGTGAAGTCGTCTCGGCATCTGCGAAGTCACGTTGAACATTGTTCAGTGGATCGACCTTGGTCAAGTGTGCCTTGGAATCAATATCAAAACGATATCGCCGCCATTGAGGCTCCTCTGGCGTCTCACACCTCCCTAGACTGAGCCACTTTGTGACTACCAGTGCTGCTAAGCCATGCACCGCGCCATTATCAACCCGAAACACTATGTTGCAAGTATCGCACTGTAGTAGGTCATGACACGTGTTGCAGTCTGGATCTGGGATGGAATGTTCTAGCGTGCATCGATAGAGACTTGACAGGTGGTCTCCTGGGTTGATATAGCTGACATGAGAGCAAATGCTCATGTTACGGGCAGTGTCCACATGGTCACCGCTCCCAGCCTCGAAAACCGTCCACTGCTGTATGCGTAGGGATAAGGCGTCAGCAAAGACCATCGGCTCTACGGAGAGTGCAGTCGTCACGCAGAAATCCCGAGAAGACTGCACTTCGCTGAAGGCGAGCGCTTGGACGTCCAAGCCTGGGCTTTCATCCCCAAGCCGATGCTGCATCATGGCGACCTGTACGTGTTTGAAGGTGACGAGGAAACGGGGACTGCAGAAATGTGTATTGAAGCAGTCGAGCGGCGCTTCTCTCAAAACGCGCTGCAATGTCGAAGCTGTCGAAGGGAGCCCAGGTGGCTTGATTAGGAGCTTGGAGTGTAGTTTGTGGCAAGTGTAGCAGTAAAACAGCGATGGCAGATCTCCTACAGTCGTCGCAGGAATCGAGAAGTTTCCTGCGGGTCTGCGAGGAGTGAGGTTCGAGAAGCTGAGCCAAAGGCGCCCCAGAAGTCGTGGTCGCAGACGGACAGCGAGGCTGTATCGCTGGCAGAAAGGTACTCGGTGATGTGGTTCAGTAGCTCGTTGGGCAGGCTACTCAGCCTCGACTGAGCCGGCGTGGTCCGATTGGAATGTTTTCGCGCGTCCATTGATGTGCTTGCGAGGCCCATGCATTGCAGTACGGATCTGAGGTACTCCATGACTTTGCAATGTTATGGACAGTCATCGAAGGTGCTCACCCGATCGGTATGACACTATTCGTAGTGGGTAGTAGGTGTGACGCTTGCCGGCTACTGCGTTCGATGGTTCCCACACCAGCTGATCATCGGATGCGTCAAGGTCACGTACAGCTTCCCGGTATGGAATTGATACATCTGGGGGAGTAGATGAGAAGATGAATGAGTGAATTGAGGAACGTGAATGCGGACCAAGGCCAGCTTGCTGGCCCGGTCCGGTCCGCTCTTCGCTGATTAGGGGTCCTCTCGTTAAAACGTTATGGCGACAAATGGTTTATTTTCTCTAGCGCAACTCAAGTGATACACCCGCGCTCCCGCTTCGTGCTAATTTCCGCGCATCCTACGGTCTGCATCATTACGTAACACATCTACTAATACTTTCTTATCTCCTTATCTCATCTTATCACAGTATACCGTTGTTAAGACCATACCGGTGGCACTATAACGTATCATACATTCCCTCATAGCCCGCAACAAGTGAAACGTTGCGAGCCTCTTACCACTTGAAGAGTGTACCTTGCAGTTGTACACATTCTACAGACATCATGGAACCACACCATTCGCCTCACCAGGTCCTTGCACGCCAACCAATGACTGGAAAGACAACAGAGGATTGGAACAATACAGACTAGGATGGCTTGTGGTGAGTTTCCGACAAAACCTGACTTCCGCTCCAACCGATCTCACCCGAGATTCACCATATCACGGCCTTCTCACCGATCCCTGCTCTTTACACGAAGGACTTCACCAGTGCTTCGCGTGCTTCGCGTAAGGATGACCTTGACAATTGCAAAAACACCACCGACGCTACTGTAGATGAGGGCGCTTGGTGGTCAGAGGTCGTGATGGTGAGAAGTCGCGCACTCTGTGCGCTGGGAACGTATTTCCTTCCTCTCCTCTTGTGTCCTGTATGGTATAATTTATTCAACGGTCACGACTGACGGCAGTGACACCGTATCTCACACTTATGCATACCGCATTAGCAATGTCAACAGCCATGGCGTGTCAAACCGACCTTCCGAGCATCGGGCTGGCTAGCCTGTCCACCCTCGAACGCCGCCACCTCAGCCATCAAGTCAACACAATCTCAGCAGTCCGCCGAAGAAACATGGAACGCCTCTCAATCCTCGAGCAACGAAGTACCCATTCCGACCTTGGCCTTATCATCCAAGGTCTCCGCGAAGACAACGACGCCTACGCCAAACTCGTCACGCAGCTGGCCGACCTTATCCCATCTGTCTATGGCCAAACAACCCGAGCAGCCACTCTAGCCAAACAGGTTTTCGGCACATTCGAGCTTCTCGAACTCATCCTACTCTTTCTCAAGCCAAGACGACTGCTGGTAGCCATGTGTGCCTCGAAGATCTTCCGTGACACCGCACTCGCGAGTCCTCCAACACTACGCCGTATGGGGCTCCTTCCCGAGTCCGGACTTCCCTGTATACCAATCGTGCAATACTGGCCCTTCGCCATCGACATCAAACCCGTAAGGCAGTACGTCCGAGATCGAGCGCCCGAAGCCTGGACAGTCCAATTCTCCATCACCACCTTATCAGCCGATTCAGCGAAACACCTCCATTTTGGCTCTCGCAGTCGAAAAGTACTGATCTGTCAACCTCCGCCAAAGTCTATGGATGTCTGGACGAATTGCTGTAGACCGGAGAACGCGGATCCGATATTGACTGGCCAGTGGCCTCCTCATCCTTTGGAGACTCTGCGATCAGAGGGAGGGATTACTGTCGGGCAGATCGTGGATGCTGCGATCCGCGTCATGGGGAAACATCGATCATGCTCGCTCGCGCCACGAGAGTTGTACGATGAGCGTGAAGCGGTGCGATGTGCGATCAACTTCAAAGCGACGGTGCAGATGTGAGGAGAGTGGACACGGCACTGCTAGGATCAAGAGCGGATGGCGCGATAGGCACGATTCTGCAGACCTGATAGCAGAGTTCTGCAAGCCTGTCAAGGAGGTGAAGTGGAGTGAGGCTTCCATCATCGGCATCAGCGCCGACATCACACATGCCGTGAGCATTTGGCCACAACGACGCATGTATCAGCATCATGCAATCCATCATTACAGCCATGCTATCCGCGGCCAAGGCACCCACCAGTCTCGTAAAAGTTTATCGTAATAGGAATTTCATGGTTGACATGACCCACTCCCTGTTAGCAATATCGACACGACGTGGACGCCCTCACGACTTCACGGCCCCCTAGGTCGCAAACAGCTGTTAGAGACCAGGCAGGAGCCAAGAAAACGCATCTAGGGCCCCGGTACAGCAGAGATTCTAGGCATAAGACGATGAATGAGCGGGAAGGCACGGCGTTCTGGATACGGTTTATAATCCGACTATCTAGACCCGATGAGACAAATGCAGCATTTCCACCAGGCCATGCAATGCAATCAGCACTTGATATGCAAACAAACCCTTCAACAGACCCATCAAACAGAAAACGCCCTAGAGACTCCTTTCCAGCACCATCGCTTCGTGAAAACCATGAACCTCATTTCACGTAACGTTATCATACTCATACCATTCCCATTCCCAACCATCAAAGCACCATCTACAAAATCTCCCTCAGTTTCTGCTTCTGCGCCGCGGTCAAGGAAGCGGGATACTTGATCCTCACCCCCACAACCAGATCCCCCCTCTTCTCCGGCGTCTTACTCTTCGGCATGCCCAACTGCGGGAACCTCTCCTCGAACGTCGGTTGCGTAGGCCCGGAACTCGAAACACTAACTTGTTTCCCATCGATCGTGCTCACCGTCCTCTTCCATCCCGTCAGCGCCTCCTTCAGATCGATTTCAGCAAAATGTTTCAAGTCGTCACCATCTCGCGTGAAGAGCGGGTGGTCTTTTTCTTTGATGATGAAATGGAGATCTTGAGTGCCGCCTTCGACTTGGTCGCCCATATCGGGATATTTTATCTTGGAACCGGCTTTGAGGCCGCGTTTTACAGGGACGGAGAGGATTTTGTCCTCGACGGCTTGTTTGCCGGTTGAGGAGTCGTAGGTTTTCCGTTGGACTTTGAGCTTCTTCGTCGTGCCGGCGAAGATGTCTTCGAGGGAGAGTTGGAGCGGTTTCTCAACGACTGTGGTTTCGACTTCCGGTTCTCGTCTCCTTGCGGCAGTGAAACCGGAGGATGTTCGCGATGTGCGGGGTTTGCCTCCTCCTCCCATTCCTCCTAGGCCGCCGTTCGTGAAGGCGGAGAAGATGTCGTCGTCGTCTCCGACTCCACCACCCATGGATGCACCACCTCCTCTCATGAACTCGCGGAAGATATCGTTTGGGTCGCTGAAGCCGCCGAAACCTCCACTACCTCCACCCCCACCGAAACTGAAATGTGCCGTTCTCGTTCCTCCAGACTGTCCACCGAACCCGAATCCACCGGGCATTCCTCCCGCAGCACCTCCTGCGAAGGGATTCCCTCCCATGTCCTCTGCTGACGGGGCTGGCCCAGCCTTGCCAGTAATAAAGTCGTAGCCATAATTATCGTAGTTCCGTCGTTTCTCCGGGTCGGAAAGGATCTCGTATGCTTCACTCGCTTCCTTGAACTTTTCCGCTCCGGCTGGGTTCTTGTCTGGGTGGTTCTTCAGAGCATTCTTGCGGTAGGCCTTTTTGATGTCATCGGCGCTAGCGGAGGAAGAGACGCCGAGGCGGTCGTAGAGTTTGGTGTCGGATACCATTGTTGAAAAATCGTGGGGTGTCAATGGTCAATGGTTAATGGTTGGTAGGAGTAGGGATATGTAGGTGAGACTGAAGAGTGTGGAGACATAATAGTTGGGCATGGTAAGTCATGGAAATCAGGCTTGTTGCTGCGGTTGTTCCATTTCCCCACACATATCGTGGAACATGCGCGTAGCTTCTATAAGCAACGAAACCATCTGGAAGAAGCTCGGGGTTACGAGACATTGTCGTCGACCACGAATATAGCCAGATGCTCCTTGTATGTGCTCAAGCCAGATAGCGACTCCAATGACACAGCCTCGTGAGCTTCGGCTCCGAGCTGCCTGGTCTAATTCAGCCATACATCCGATTCACTGTCATTCACTTGTCCCGAGACTTTTGTGGCGACTTCCCAAAGCGGCGATGACGTACAAGGTCCGTGCACCACACGATACGCGTCGGTCGCGACGCCGCTCCGTGCGAGCACTTCTCATCAACATACCACAATCACAATCTGGCACTTAAGAATGAATGGAAAGTAGGCCCCTCGACGAATCATGACCGCCTGCAATGGCCACATTCAACTTCTCCAGGCTTGAGCAATTCGCAGGCAATTCCACATCCATCAAACGGCCACGAGAATTTGGTTACTTCTCCTACGACGACGATCATGTATTGAAACCACTTTCTGCGGAGTCCCTCTCGTACTATTACCCGCCTACATTCGGTGCTCCTGGAACCTCCGATACACGTCCGGATCTCTCAACAGGTTTCGCGACATTCAGGAAGCGAGATGATTCGATCGACGAGCATCTCGACGGCTTGCTCGACACATTGCAATTGTATGAAGAACGCCTGCTGGAGAAGGTGCAATCTGGCGAATGCGAGCTGCGAGATGTCCGTGTCAAAGCAGATATCGTCACATATCGGGGCATGATGACCAAGGCAGGCATCCCATGTATGACTATTGTGAGCGTAGTCTGATAGTTATGTCCAGATCCTGACCGCCGCCTTCGAAGATCGTTTCGGAGATTTCGAAATGGACGCCACCTGTTACCAGGTGCGCACGCTCCCAACCAGCACATAAATTACTTGAGGCTGACTTTATGAAGGGTACAATGTAAGACATTCCTCAGCTAGGTCAGGTTGCCGTTTACTCACGTGAAGCAGCTTCATCGAGGAAAATCATGCATACAAGGCAGCCGAAAGACTCGGCAAGAAGACGCAACAGCCACGGCGTGGCGAGGCTTCACAGGAGATGATGCAGTATTGGGGTTGGCAAGCCTCGATCTACCTTACTGGTCTGTACTGATGACATCCAGGCTACCACTTCGAAATCCTCTCCGTCCTCCCAAAGCCATGGGCGGATTGCACACGCGAGGAAATCGAGTGCCGGGAATCAAAAGTCGTCAGCAACCACGCCCAGTACTGCAGCATAGCACGCACCAGTATCGGCACAACCAGCTTGATCCTCGCAGGCGAAGTCGACGCAGTCTTGGGTGAGAAGCCGGAGAATTCAGATACTCCCATCCCTTGGGTCGAGCTCAAGACTTCTGCGGAACCCAACTTCAATACTCCTCGAGGACCCGCGAACTACGAACGGAAGTTGCTCAAATACTGGGCTCAATCATTCTTACTCGGCGTACCCAAAATCATGGTCGGGTATCGCACGCAGGATGGACATCTGACACGGATAGAGGAACTGGACACGCAGCGTATACCCTCGCAAGTCAAGCGGGGTATTCATTCCTGGGATGGCAACATCTGTATCAACTTAAGCGCAGCATTTCTAGAGATGCTGAAGCAGACAGTGGTTGGAGATGGGGTGTGGCGGATCAGGCGGGCGAAGAATGTCCCTGCTATCGAAATCGTCAAAGTGGCTGAGACGGGGACTGGCGAGATATTGAAGGCGGGTTTCAAGGAGCACCGGGAGAAGCTGAGAGCACTGGAGATTTCTGCTGCGCTTGGGTAGTCGCAGTACTTCGACGGATCAGTTATCTCGGTCACATCGAAGCCAATAATCGCAGCAATGGTCCTTTGTCTTTGAAGCTCTTGTGGCTTGGCGACCCCACACTACGGGAACGAAACGAAATGAATTTCGATATCGGAAGATGGGCTTCTCCGTGTCGTCGCCGGAGGCAATGCTCTTGCGTGCCTTCCCATTCGTCCGCATCCCCATTCAATCACGTGATCACGCAACTTGTGACCAAGCTTTCGAGCATTAATAAGTTGTGGAATAGCGTCATTGCGCCTGCTTCCGCCGGCCTCAGGGTCCAGCGATGGAAGAGCTCGTCAGAGGCTTCATCCGTGTACAGCGAGGGCTGACACCGGGTCCTTGGGAAGTTGTGGACGCTATACAGGTACTTTATTCCGGAGGCAATGCCACGTACCTCGCACCAGAAATCCAACTTGGCGTGCTCGACCTCCCACCGGCCAACCAGCAGCAGGAGAACATCGCTGCGGTGACGTCGTCGAGCAAAGCAGAGCTGCTCCGCAAGGCCGTCAATGCACCAGACGCACTCACAGACGGAGAAATAAAGATACTCAAAGCTCGCTATTGGTCCGACGTGTCGTTGGCTGAGGAGGCCATCCGCGACAACGGTGAAAGTGCTTTGTTGGCCGTGTCCGAGGATCACGGCGCCAAACCACTGATGGGTTGAAAGCGGCGCGACTGAAGCTGTGCGAGAGTGATGAGGAAACAGCAATAGCAGAAGCTGCTATGGAGGAGTGGCGGCGAAGAATGGCAGGCTGGAAGCAAGAGCGTGCCACTGCGCGAGATGAGGAACATTCTAAAGCACAAGGCTGGGTACGACGGCTATGGGACGAGGAACGTGGAGAGCGTTCCTGGGGATATGCTGCATACATGGATCCAGCTGCCACCCCTACGCCCGAGGATCGCGAAGAATATTTCGGTCGACAGGACGCGCTGCTGTTCGGTGGAAAACTTGCCATTGGTTGCGGGCCTCTACTGTCTGCACAATGGACGATGCAATATCTCCCTTGGCCAACAATGGCTGTAGCCGAAGGGCCTGGATCTGAAGAGGACGTCAAGCAAAGCCACGGCGACGAATCATCACCCGGCAAGCTCGAACTGCTACGACAAGACTTTCGAGAGGCCCGAGACCGGCCTCCGGGTTCAGGCAAGTATTCCTACCAAAACATGCTGCAGCCCGGTTTAGTTGATGGCATACAGAGAAATGTCTTTCTGGTCATAGACAAAGCATCGGCGAGCACACTAATACCCACCCGAGCAAGCCGTGCAGATTACGTCTGGATATGGGCTGTCGATCCAGATTTTCAATCATCCGCTGACGACTCCTCGGGCAGAGCGTCGCGAGGTAGCGCACAGCCGGTCTACGCGGGATATCTACGAGTGCGGCTTCAGCAGTTAGTCAACAGTTTTTTCGAATCCCGCCGCTTCCGCGCGGAGGAGATCTCGATGGAGGATCTCTGGCGAGCGGCACAAGGAAGCTACGTTAGCACGGCTTCTATACTCAGAGTGCCTGGTGTCAGAGAGGAAGACAGCACCGTTTCAAGACTCTCCGAATGGAGTGATGGCCATAGTTTCGTGTCGTTGAAGAAGAAGGATTGGAATGACAATGCTGGAAATCGAGACGTCGGAGCTGCGATGAGGCTTGATAGTACTGGCTTATCCGGTTAGCTACGGCAGAGCGATTGAGCGATCGTCGAAGGAGACGTGGGACAGCATTCGCAGGTTTTCAATTGCGTGTAAGAGAAGCTGCACTCTCCCTCCACTGAGGGACTGTCATCGTGCTTATTTAGCCACATGCGGAAGTAGCTGAAGCCAGTGGTTAATGATGATATTGATCGTAACGTAGATAACTGGCTATTTGATGAATATGGAGCGTGAAACAACCAGATGAAAGCAAGGTGAGGTTCATGCCTAAGACCAGACCCTGAATAGCCTTGACAGGGACAAAGTTACCTGGTGGTCGAAACTCAAATCCTAACCAACGTACAATTGTGCGCAAAATGACTGTCGCATGCTAAGACCTAAAGTTATAGTATCCTCGAGGAGCGCCTATACCTAGGAAGCTACCTAAGGCTCCTTACGCCGCGTTTTAACGCGTACTAAAAGTAATAATACCTTTAACTTAACTATTATTATAATCCTTACTCTATTTAAGGCTTTATTAGGACGATAATTAGATATTTTAGGTATAGGCGCTCCTTAAGCGCTCCCCGAGGATACTACACTTTCCTTACTTTTGGTCTTAGCATGCGACAGTCATTTTGCGCACAATTGTATCTATCGCCGAAGTCAGTCGCCATGAGACGCTAAATCACCGGCACCGATAAACAACATCTGCTGTTGCAAGGCTTTCGACCATGCCTTGATTGTCAGACAATTTGTGAACCAAGTCTTTGGTACACCCACAGATCCTGGGCGGATGACCATTGCTTATCTGTTCCGAAGCACGTCTCTACTATACCGATGTGCTGTAAATGGCCACCATACATCCATTCTGGTAGAGCGCTCGACAAGACAGAGTGGACAAACAGAGTGATTGCACCAGCACGAACAATGGATTATCGCCTTCGCGGATACCACTTCGAGATCGAGGCGCAGCCAGGATCCATTGAGCTTGCCATGTCGAGACATAGCTTCTGCTTTATTTTCCATGGAGTCATACAAGCCTGCGCAACGTCGACACTCTTTATATCCGACAACATCGGGCATTCAGGCTTGTCATCATGGTTATAGTCCCCAGTCGACCTTTACCTTGGATACCCCGCGCGGTGACAACTGTGGCTCTAAGCTTGTATAATATTATGTGAATGAGCCGCTTAGAAGCTCGATCTAAGGATACTGCTTCAGAGTCTGGATGAGAATGACTTCGTGGAAACTCGGTTCCTAGCCATAGCGTACCCAAGTTAATTCATAGTCGTAGGCTTCAACATCAAGCCTCTTCCCACTCAGCATGCACCCCCCACCCTCCCGGAAATGATGAATCACTGCTGACTTTGACCTTACGCGTGTCTATGCACCGCAGCGAAGTCGCAACTATCATCGTCCATCACTAAGCGTAAAGCATCCCGATGCAAAGCATACCACGTGATTGCTGTGGCGAAATGTTTCGGGATTTCTAAGAGGCTTGATCAGGGCATCCTTCCAATTCATGGACACTCCGGTAGAAGATATTCGAGATTACGGGACTCGATCGACAACACCCTTCCCGAACGTCTAAGTACGTACGTATGCGCTCCTATTTAGTGACGACCTGTCGCCTAGGAAGCTTCTACCTTGTGGTCTCTCGTCCTGAAAACAGCCAGTAGACATTGGGCGCAACTGTCAGATACAAGGCCTTAGCGAAGTGATCATGGATCTTTCAGACTACCTTTGCCAGAACGAGATAGATCAATTGAATCAGGTTTTCGAGATCTCCCTTCGCCATGATTCTGCACTCGTCTTCTGGACCGGCATATCTCAACAGCTCGCTCAGGATTGGGCCCGTAGAAACGACCTAAAGACGCTCACTATTGCTATGGGTTCATTATATGCCAAAGGCAGTCAAGGCAGGCCAAAGTCTCGAAAGTCTAAGAAGGCGTGGTCCAAATATATGAAAGGCGCATCCTGGATATTTGCACAACAGGCTTGCCAAAACAGGTATGCCATCGTACTCACAAATGCACCGCCGAATGTCTACAGCACGCGCGAAGACTCAAGTTTCCGCGAAATTGAAGAGCCGATACTCAAAGGAATTGAGAGCGATCGACATACAATACAAATCGAGTATGTGCATCCAAAATTTTCGGGTGCTGCGAGCTTTCGTTATCAGACATGGCCTGAGAATCGTTCTTCGGAATGGCATAGCTTCTTGGAATGCATCACCATCAAGGATATGGTGAAAAGGTTCGTCCAGCGTGCTAAATTAAGGCGATCAGAAGTAATAGTGGAATTGGAGAATATGACGCCTCTACACAATTCAGAGCACTCGGTTTCTCTTGACACCGTATATAGAGACGGACAACAGGAGAGTGCGCAGCAGGTTAGGGCGGCCGGGCGAGCCCAGGTTGCGGGAGAGCAGCAGACAGCGCGAGCGAAGAAGGCAGCAAAGCAACTCAAGGTCGAGAGAGAGCAGCAGGCAGCGCGAGCGAAGAAGGCAGCAAAGCAACTAAAGGTCGAGAGAGAGCAGCAGGCGGCGCAAGCGAAGAAGGCGGCAAAGCAACTCAAGGTCGAGAGAGAGCAGCAGCAGGCAGCGCGAGCGGAGAAGGCTACAAAGCAACTCAAGGTCGCGAAGGTTTTGACTTGCAAGGTTCCCGGAGCAACGTTTCTGCCATGCCTAGGGTGATACTGTGCGGTATTGATCGTGCTCGGCGAAAGGAAACCAATGGCGCGCTTCCAAAGATCTATCGGGCTGCCGCTCTGTACTACCATCATGGACAAATCAACCACGTTAGCATGAGTTCAAAAAGACTTTCGAGCTTCGAAAAAATATGGAACAGATCTTGCTCATCACCATCGACGAGAAATACAGGAAATGGCTAAGGGGACAGCATTCCTATCACAGCTGCCGTAGGGATTAGCAAGGCTGAGCTCCTGCATGCATGCGCGGTGTTTCGTTAGTTTGCAACGTCAGCAAGGCTCTTGAGTCGCGAAGCACAGGAAATCGCAGACCAAGGAGGCCGACTTCTTCCATACGCAAGAAAATCACTAATCGCTTTTCAGTGCTCCGTAGTCTTGCTCACCAGATATCCTGATTCCTGTGCTGCTAGCTACACAATATTGTCGACAAGAAAGTCATAACCTATGCTGCATCGCCTTCACACATGGAGAGCAGGTTACTGGGCCTCTAGATCACAAAACCCTGCGAGGTTCGTAACGAAGGCAAGAGCTTCGCCTCTGTCTCCTTCACAGACAGGTAGTTCAAAGGATTGTGCACTGTTCAAATATACGTCAGGTCGATGGATATGAGGCTACAGCTGACACTCATCGTCCCGAATATTGACCGTCGGCAAGATACAATGAGCAATAACGCTTGGCAGAACGGGAACGAGGATTCAATGTCTTTGAATTGCGGCGTCTCGCTGCGACGGCAGTGTCGAGGACGGTCAAAGACATCCTTTCCTTCGAATAACTAGGCGAAGGAGCATCCCATCAGGCCTTCGTCATTCAGTTTCGTACCGGTTTCAAACTCGTCGTCCGCATCCCCTACCCGGCCACAGAACCCACACATTTAGTCGTGGCCAGTGAGGCAGCAACATTGATCTATCTTCGTTCGGAAGGCATACCAGTTCCAGAAGTGTACGGTTACTCAGCATTGGCGGATAACCCGGCCGAGACAAAATACATCCTCATGGAGTTCAGCCCTGGCGAAAATCTTGGTAGCTCATGGTTTGAGATGGGCGAGCAAGATCGGCTTCGCATTGTCACAAGCCTGGTCGATATAGAAGCTCGCATATTCAACCTGCGTCTTCCAGCCAGTGGGAGCCTATACTTTGCCCGAGACTTGCCTGCAGGTGTCAAGACTATAGCAGTGGACTCTGATTATGACGGCAGGTTGGACTCATTGTGCGTTGGTCCTAGCACAAGTCTCGAATTGTGGCATGGTGAAAGGAGTGGACCTCATATTGATCGCGGTCCTTGTAAGTAGAGTACTTCTCAAGCTGTTGGTCATCGCGCTGACATAGGCAAGATACCAAGACAGGGGCCGTGTTGAATGCTGGTGCGACTAAGGAGATCCATTATTTAGAGCACTATGGTTGACCACTACTTCCGTTTGGTCGTACGCGCCGGGAGACTTTCCATCTAGAGAAGCAATCACCATCAGCCCATCGTGATAGCATGCAAAAGTATCTGCAGATCTCGAAGCACTTGACGCCACGGAGCAAAAGCGTGCTTGCGCGACCAGTCTTGAGACATCCCGATTTGCGACCGAGCAACATCTTCGTTTCGGAAGACTACGAGATCACGTCGCTCATCGACTGGCAGAACTGTATACTTCTTCCTCTGTGCTTACACTCTAGCATCCCAGAGGACCTGGATAACTCCATGGATACGTTTTCGAGGTCTTTGGATCTGCCTCAATTACCGAGTGAGGCTTCAAACTTGACAGAAGAAGAGAGGTCAGAGCAGATCGAAGTTTTCCGCAGGCAGCAACTTCATTACTTCTATATGAGAGAGACGGTTACAAACAACCATCTGCACTTTGAAGCGCTATCTCGCCCCTTCTCAATCGGTACGCGCAAGATCTATCAACTGTCCGGTGCTCCCTGGCAAGGCGATCTCATTCCACTAAAGTCAAGTTTGATATTCATAAAGCAGCAATGGCATCAGATAGCCGCTTCGCCCAGTTTCCCATGCCCAATCAGCTTCACAGAGGAAGAAGAGCACGAATGTCTTCGCCTAGATGAACTTGAGCGCAAGGCGGTCGAACAGCTGGAAGCTTCCAAGGAATTACTAACTTAGGTCCAGAAGGTTGGGTATCTTGCGACAACTACGAAGCTGCTAAGGAAAGCATCAAGACACATGTCAAGCCAGCACGGAAGTTGAGAGGGTCGCGGTACGAGATCACTGGGTCTACGACGATATGGATGAGGATGAGTATCTTTGATCTGCAGCCCAGGTTGTGTATCACGAGGGATATCGTCGTCCTACACATCGATACGATCGTCTACTGCCACTGTGACTCACGCACCTAGACTCTCAATTGCAGCAAAGGGCTGGTCACGATGGACGTGAGGGGCCATGGTACTCTGCCATGTCCTTGTGGGCCAACTCTGTGAAAGCAGATTCCACTGATATCCTGCAGAAACTTGTTTGTCGCGCTCCTTAAGGTGTTCAGCAAGCATCCCTCAAGTTTCAGTCACCTTCCAAAGCGTTCCCATAACTAATGTGCTTGGAAGTGAACCTCGGAGGTTTTGGTTCTTCATTTGTTACATCGCACGTTACTCATGTCCATCACATTTCATCTACATTTACGCCTTCGCCGCACCGTTATCACCGACATGCGTGGCACCCTGCGCCAAGCTCTTCTTGCTCACGATCTTATATCCACCAACCAACAAAATCAGCGCCTCCAATCCAAGCACAATAGCCAGCGTAACCATAGCGCCAATCACACCATTAACAGCCGGGCTCAATCCATTTCCAGACTTCGCAGACGCAGATGGCGATGAGCTGGAAGAGCTTCCACCGCTAGTGCCAGTAGCCTGGTAAGCAGCGCAGGTTCCAGTAGTATTACCACAGGCCGAGCACCACTCCTTCGTAGTACCCACGGCAAACTTATTCATACCATTCGTGAAGTCGTTCCAGCTAAGCACATCCTGGCCGCTACCGAAGAGCGGGTAAACAGTCGGCTCGGAGATATTGCTCGTAGTACCGTTATGGAACATCGTGCGGACGAAGATCTCATCAGTGCTGGGGTAGCTCGAGCTGCTGACAGCCGTGCTGGAGTTGGTGAACATCTCGAAGGTCAAAGCGGAAGCATAATCAGCTACGCCCTTGAGTTCCGGAGCCACGGTATCGATGTCTGGGATGGCGAGGCCGAAGAAAGATGCAAAGCTGCCGTAGGCGCCGAACTGGATGCTGATCTTCTGCTTGCCTGCACCAGTGATTGTGCCGTTCAGGTATTGGACGACTTCTGCTCCGAGAACCATACCGCTGATGGCTCGCATGTTGTCGCTGCTGTTGTATGCCAAACCCCACTCGTGCGCGTCGGCGAGGGTACGGAGTTGATAGAAAACTTCATCGGTGATAATGTCGGTTGGGTCGAAGGAGGCGTTGTGGATCTCGGCGACGTTGATCAGGTCGTAGACTGTAAGAAGCGTTAGCAACTTCTCCATACGACAGAGTGCTCGGTCAGACTTACTGGTGTAGGCATTCTTGAAGCTGCTCTGGCTGCTGTTATATGTGCCGTTAATAGTGGGTGCAATGGTCTGATAGAAGCCTTCGGTGCTGTTCAAGTAGTTCATATACTCCGCACTGGTGAAGTAGTTGTTCGAGGAAATGGTGGCCTTCGCACAGCCAGATGCGCTCTGTAGCCAGCTGTTATCCTCGCTGCCACTGCCAGAAGTTACAAGCGAGATCGGGATGAGCTGGTAGCCATTCATGGGCGAAGTTATCACTGTGCCATTCTTCAATGTCTCGGTATCGAGGTTGGTGCCCACGGGAGGGTAGAGTGCTTGAAGGAAGCCCTCGGCGCTATTCTGGAGAACGGTATCGGCCGGTGCTGATACAGCGATCTGAGACTGCTTGACCAGATCCGCGTTGACGCCATTGATCTTGTATGCAGCATTGCTGGAGATGTATCGATTGCGGTAGTACTGGCCCGATGTATAGACTTCTTGGTATCCAAGATCTGTGAGGTTCGCAGGAGGTGTCATCTTCGCGGTACGATCGCCATGGCTGTATCGAGAATTACCTCATTAGTTTATGCTTCGTGAAGTGAGCTCCTGACATGGACTGCATACCGGTGGAACATGTAGACACCAAGGACAGTCTCATTGTTCTCAGTCTGCGCATAGGCGACAGGTAGAGCTGCACTGAGCGCTGCTACTGCTGTGGTAGTCCTCATGATGGCGGTCGTGGCAGCAGGATAGCAGACTCCGACGTTGGGTTAGGTGAATGGAAGATGATCAGAAGTCGAAGACAGCAATAAGATTAATCAGATACGATGGAATAACATGGACCCACTGCTACCCTACCTGCGCGTGGCGCCAATCGCACATGGCCGGCGAGCGGTCCCACGCCAAAAGGCAGTTCCTATCAGTGCCTGGTATTGCCCTTGGTATGGTCCCGTGGTCGGTGACCTGCAGTAGTGGAAATGAGCTCTGCTCAGAATTTACGGCGGGGTCGAGCGGGTACCTATCTTCTTCAGTCATAGCGGAGTGCAAGCGAACGGTCTAGGCAAGATGTGGGAACAGTCTTTTCTTTCAACTGCCGCTTGTAACTTCTGCTTCTCCGGAGTGCTTGTACTTCGGCGAGTTCAGGCCGAGCAAAGCTTGAAGCGCTTGATGAATTTCTGGGCAGACATTGTTTGACTGACGATGATAGACCACAATAGCAAGCGGTGTAGAAGCGATTCCTGGCTTTATTGAGCCGAAAAGATCCCTGATGGTAGCTCAAGATGTAGTTACGCTAAATTCAAATGTTCAAGCCAGCCCATATTTACACAATCCTCACCAGATCGTTTACAACTTCGGCCCAGAGTGAGCAGCCATACCCTTCGGCGCCAATGTGATATCCAGCTGCAACTCTCTTGTAGCCCTGCCACCCGGTCCCTTGTGCTCACTCATACCCGCCGGTGTATCCTTGATCGGCACAAAGTCAACCACCAAATCATCCTTCACGGCGAAAACAGTATCTGTCGCAAGCCATGGGTCGTCTTTGGGGTAGATCTGGGTGATGACAGGCTTGTAGTCGTCGTGGGTGACCATTAAGTGAATATGTGCTGGTCGCATGGGATGTCTATCGAGCGCCTGCAGGAGTTGCCACGAGGGCCCATCTTGAGGTAGAGAGTAGGCAGTCGGTCGTAAGCAGTACAGCTTATACTCGCCATTCTCATCCGTCTTGTACTTGCCGCGGAGGTTGTTGTCGGACTGGCTGTCTGGGTCTTGGAAGTCGTATTTGCCATTGCTGCTTGCTTGCCACATGTCGAAAGTCACATTAGGAATTGGCTTTTGTGTCTTCAAGTCCCGAATAATGCCGTGCATGTATGTGACTGTTCCCTCGTGTGGGTCTTGAATGATCGAGTCGCCGAGTGTCCTCCATGGTGCGTTTGGTGACCAGAAGGGACCGAGGATGGCGGCGGAGGTTGGTGAGTAGTCGGGGTTGTCGGTTTGAACGTAATTTGCGATTTCTGTGACAAGGCTGGATGCTGTTAGCTGAGGTTCCCCCGGTCGTCAGTTGCAGATATACTCACGATTCTAGGCCAACAATGTCGGACAATCTGTGCATCTCATTTCTCTTGCCCTCGGACTCTGCCCAGATCTTGCCAGTCTCGTTGAAGAACTGGACGCCCGCTAACCATTCTTCGGGTGTAAGATCGATTTCTCTAGCAAAGTTGTGTAAATGTTTCATTGCCGCAGCGAAGATGGTCTTCATGCGAGGGCTAGTGTTGGGTCCGCAAGTGTCGATGACATGCTGGGTGAATTGAGGATCGTAGTTCTTCTCGCCTTGAGGCATGGTAGCGGTGGTATATGGCTTGGTCTTGCTTATCAACTTGTCGTAATCTTGTGAGGATTCGATTTTGGATGACGGTAGATAGTGTTACGATAGAACGGATGGTAGACAAGAGTAATAAGTGATCACGACAGCAGGCATTGCGACCTTAAAAGCTCACCATTACTACAGTACAACGCGTCGAACGGCACTTCGATCGGCCATGACGTTCGGCACAGCACGCGGCTCACACGTACATGTGATCAAATCGCAATGATTCCGTTGCCATCCAAAGGGTAGAGGCAAGGCTTCGTCTCGTCCCCGCAGTGGGTTGCATGAAGCGACGATCGGAAGACGTGGGCGGCTTTCGTCTGGGCGGCAGAGACTTCTTCCGGCCACGATCTAGCGTTCACTCGCAAATCTCTTGTCATCAAGGCACAGGCTGTACGAGAATACTTCGTGACATTTTACGACGGGTAGTAAGAGGTATGCTCCTTGGCTCCGTCAACGCTGTTCAAGGCAACGCCTTGTGCCTTCAACCTCTCCAGCTCCTTCTGCTTCATCGCCATCTGCTCCTGTGAGGTGGTTAGCTGGCCTAATATCTCAACAGAATGCGAATCGAACTCACTCTAACACGATCAGGAATGATTCTCTCTCGTGGTTCGGTGATCTTCCAGTCTGGAATGCCTTCAGGATGACCTAGATCTCGAAGTGTCTTCTTCTCGACCAAACTTGGATTCTTGCCATCATAATTAAACGGCTCTTTGAGCGACACTGGCGGATTCGTGATGATGCGGATATCGCGTCGCAGATTACGAGAGGCAGAGTGCAGCATGAATGGATGGAGAATGTAGACATCTCCAATCTCACCTGTGGCCTCGACGAAGCTCGCATCGCGAGTTTTGGCTGGATTCGTAGCCCACTCTCGCCAAATCCTCCGGCGTTCTGGGTTGGTCTTGGGAATATCTGGACTACCTCGAGGCATCAGGAACGGCGTCATGCCTTGTGGGTGGTCGTACTAAGCTTTGTCAAGATCGATTACGCTAGCACCACATTACCGTACTTACCAGCCGCTCGGCAACCAGTTTGATCCCATCCGTACACAACACGGTGCCGCCACCCTTCGGCTTGATATCCGAGAACAGCGGGATGACCAAGAGAGCCTGCTCAGGACTGTCTAGAAAGTGGGTAAACCAGTCACCGTCGTTATGCCAGTTGTCCAACGTCCGAAACTCCAGCGGGTCTTCAGGCTTGAACTCCGGTTTGCCAAGATTCACTATCCACCCGTCCTTCCAGTCTCGACACCAATCCGACACCTTCTCCTCGCCACCCACCAGTTCACACATCGCCGCCCAAGCCTTAGGCGCAAATTCCTTGGCCGAGACGGCAGAGTGGCCGGGCATGTTCATCTTGTCCGGCGGCCATGTAGACTTGTCATTTGGATCGGCACCTAGTCGTGTCCAGACAGTAGATGTGAAAGCGTCAGACTTCTCCCGCGAGAAGCATTGTGGAATCTTGATATAGCCATGCTCGAGCCAGAATTGCTTCTGCTCCTCTGTAAGGGCAGGGATGTCACTGTCAATGTATGGCATCTTGAACTGACATTTATTGTACCGAATCGTTGGATTGGCAATCTACAACAGTTTGCTTGGCTATCTATATGTGTACTCCTGCAGGTAAGCGATGCGGAGCGTCATCATCCGTGGTAGAGTTGATCATCGTGGAGCGCTATTTAGCCAGACCGCCTAGGTCGGCATACCGAGCTATAAGGCTATAGCTATCCCGCGACTGCTTTCCTTATCTAACCGGATGAGCTGTACGCGAACAAGGGCGAATCGTGCTCATAAATCTCGGTCTTCGTGACGAAATCGACTCCGGGTTGCTAGTCAAGGGTCACCTTGAGAACGACGACTGATCGTGGTACTGATGCATCATGAGCCAGCCAGACTTGAGACGCATGATGCCTTCGATGCTGATATACTCAAGCAATGGCTAGGGTTATGCGTTGGCTGTGCAAAATTATCTGAATGCCTGCAGACACTTCGCAAAGTACAACATTGTCAAGCTATGCTATTGCTTTTGAAGGTGCTGATGATTGGAGTCGATGAGCTTGGCTCTATGACCTCGCAATATGGGATTCTGTTGACATCCTCTTTCAATAAACCATCGCACACTTAGCAGTCTTACCATCAACCCACATACAAATGACGAACATTCTTGCACTCCTTCAGCCAGCCATCGCACGCCCAGCAGCTTCGCCAACCAAGCCAGCGTACTCACTGAAGAGCACACCTAGAAGAACCTTCTCACCCTCGCCCTCCGCCCATCTTCCAGCACGCACAAGTCGCTGCTTCCAGCTCGCCTGCTGCTCAGCACTAAGCTCCTCCCAATGCTTAGCCTTAGCATCCGCCTTAAGATACTCCTCACGATCGGGATGAACGTCAACAGACAGGTCGGTACTATCGCCCGCGTCGCGTACAACTAGCGCTTTCGAGCGCGATTCTGAGTGCGAAAGGTGCGTGGCGATAAGGTCGCGCAGTCGTCCTGCGCCTGGTACAGCAGTGGGAATATTGTGCTCGATTGCCGAGGAGACTGTAGACTCCACACCATGGCCAACGGCTCGAACAGCTGCGACTGGCTGGTCGAGGTAATTTTTCACATTCTGTGGTAGAAGGCTGAATGGTCCCGATGAGGAGCCCGAGAAGCCGGAGGTGAAAGACTGCAGCAGAAAAGCTGTGACGAGAACCATGATCGTGGCAATAGCGATGTATGCAATTGTCCAGAATCGTTCGTCCCGAGGATGGCTGAGGACGTATCGGCTGTGCTTGTCTTTGGGCTTGAAAGGCGCGAGTGGGAGGGTGTCCACGACGACTGTATTGCCGAAAGAGATCGAGGCGAGGCGGACGTATTGAGGTCCGGGATGGCTCGCTTTCTGCTTGATATCTGCACCATCTACTGCGTCTGCAGCTCGTGTCGGTGAGTAGAATGGCGAGAGGCAGATCTTGGTGATCTGGTGTTCATGCACATCTCGCAGAGTCATGTAGCTCTTGAATGGTGAGAAGGTGTCCGTGGCACGCTGGTAGTTCGTGGTGTAGACTTCGATGCTGATGTCCTGGCCAGCCACAGCCACAATGACTTGCTGATCGCCATTCTTATCTACGTCCAGGGCGCAGATGTCCATGCTGACAGCAGACTTGATGTGTGATGGCAAGCTCTTCTGGAGAAGTGCTGTAGCTGGGCCGGTAGGATACAGATGGTAGACACGGAGCTCGGCACCGCTCTTGTTGTATTTGTTGACCAGCGCCACGATATTCTGGGAGTTCAAGAATCGCACCGAGCGGAACTTTGGTCTTGCCTTGATATTGGCATCTGTATCTGGCTGCGGCATCTGATGAATACGACGAGGTCCCTTCGGCGTCTTCTCTGTTTTCTTCGAACCAAAATCATACTTATAGGTCTGCTCGTAAACATCGTAGTCCGTGCAGTATACCAGACTGAACTCAGACTGCTCTGGCTCGGTAATGTCGATATCGGCGGCTTCGTCGCCTTCAGGCAAGTCGATTCGAGCGATCACGTCGGCGTCACTAGGTGTAGCACTCGTAGCGCTGAACACCACTACCTCGCTATCCCTTGCCATGCCCGTTGCGACAGCACCAATCCGCTTACTGCCATTGTCCCGCTTCTGCGCAGGGGATAGGCGCAAGACGCGCTGATATGTCTCACTCTTGTCCTTGGCAGGCCTGAAGAGGGAGCGCTGTCCTAGCGGCTTGACTGTGCCAGTGGCTACCTCTCCTTCCTTCTCGGTTTTCTGCTTCTTGCGAGGAGGATACGAGATCTCGAATGATCTCAAATGCTCGTTCTTGCCTGCAGCTTGCGCGTCCCGTGACGAGTTGACACCAGCAAACGTGATCAGACCTTCCTTGGTAGCAAGATTACCCAAAGACTGCACCGAGTCTTCATCGCGGGAGAGGTCTATCTCGGCCGCGGTCTCGATTGAAGCACGATTCGATATATCGAGGACAGTCTACATTCGTCAGCTGTGCCGAAACAAAGTCCTACGACCTCACTCACCAGTCTGTTGGGCACACCAGTCTTGCTCTCTCCACCTCCACCACCGACTACAAGGTAGCCACGATTATATGGATCGAAGTCGGCTGCAAACAGGGGATATGGCAGTGTCGCTTTCGCAAACGAGACACGCGGTTGACTGAACATGGCGAAGTGGGTGTTCGGGGAGGCGCTCTAAACGCAGGAAGAGAAGTGGTAGGATGATTTTTGTGTCCGGCAGCTAGAATATCTACAGGTTGAGTGCTCCTACTACACGTCCTTCTTGCTTGAACGAAAGCGCGCCTAAAATAGTGACGTCGAACTTGGCCCAATCGGGAAGGTAGAGCGCGACCAAGAACACGTGGGAGATATATCAATTCAGACCTGCCACCCAACAAAGCTCTCATCCAACGTCGGCTGCCTGATCCTGCTCTGACTCAAACGCTGATGGCTCCGACTACGAGACAAGTGCATCGAGCCATCGATCGCTGCCTTACTCTCCACCAGAGAATGATCAAGATGATGTAGCTCATGCAACTGCTGCAGCTCCTTGTTCGCCCAGTGAGCAGCGGCGCCTTGCGGAAAGGTCAGCACCCATAGCCACTTCCCAAAAACCTCGAGTCGATCCCAGCACATGGCGACGAAGACGCAGGCGAAAGCGAACGAGAGACCAATCCCAAAGATGTACTTGCTAGTATCACATTAGCAGGTTTCAAACGCTACAGTCATGACTCGAACTTACGAAGCAAACGCCAAAGACAACTCCTGGGCGCCTCCAGGATGCGGCAGCTCAATAATCTGCAAGTTGAAAAAGGATGCGATGAATGACAGCGGCAGGAAGACGACCGTGGCAATCGTGAACACCATCAGCGTCTGACCCTGCCTAGCACCCTCACGTCCTTGCGAAGCCATCTCTGAGCTTTGCTTGTAGCTGAACTCTGCTTGCACTCGGGAGTACCGCGCCTCGATAGCATTAGCATATTTCTGCTTCAGATCCAGCAGGTCACGCATAGACTTATAGATCCGATCGGCTTGCTTGTCCATGCGCTCGACTTCTCGTATCGAATGATCGACAGCCCGACGATTCTGCTCCAAGCGTTTCGAGATCTTTCGTTTCTTCAAGGCGATTTCAGGATTACCTTCCAACTCATCTTCGGACCCGAGAATAATTTCCATGGCTGAATATGCTTGGTTCAGTACTTGATGCTGTTGCTCAAACACCATCTTCAACATATCAAGCTCATCCCGGATATCCTTTACCTCGGAAAGAAGTGCCGTCTCCTGGCCAATATCAAGCAGTGTATCAAAGGCGCGCTCCTTCCTATTCGAATATGATCGTACTTCGTCCGAAGCCTTCCAGATCTCCTCCACTTGTTCTTTGCCACTTGGAGCGTGTTCGAGCTGCTCAGCACGCTGTAAAGACTGCTGCCGCCGCCGTAGATCGAGCGACACTTGCTGTGAGGCATCTGTAAAGGCCTTGAACAGATTTGTCTCGGACTCCATAGCTCGTCCAATCTCGCTCTCGAACATGTCCAGAAATCTAGAGCCATCTCGTGTAATGCTTGAACGATCAAAGGTACCGAAGCATCGACCACCAATCAGCACAGCAAGGTCGTAAATGCTATCCACGGCATCCCCAGTATTGGAGTTGATCTCTTCGATCGTGCTTTCCAGCACGTTCAGTGGATCTTCTCGCGGCTGTCGCCATCGTTGCGGAAAACTGGTGACTAGCAGATCTTTCCCAACCACCCACATCCACAATTGATCGACCATCAGGACTTTGAGTTGATCGGGAGGTATACCGTAGCGCTTAGCATATCGATATACCACCTGCGTGTTGTCGCGATACTCGGTATCGATTGTGCGATAAAAGGACTGGTCGAGTGTTCGACGCATGTGTAGCTCAGATATCGGTGGCTTGAGATGAGCTCGGATGAGTAGCTCATCGGCACTCATCTGGTGTACCGGATTCCGTGGTGAAAAGTTGACCTGCTTCTCTCCCCTCTCCCCTCCAGCAGTGGCTGAGAAAGCGACTGCTTGCATCTCCTGACGTTCTAGATCGGTCTCGAAGTGTAGGTATGGCGCGAACATGTAGACGCTGTGGTCCGCAGAAGAGTTGATATTACTGATCACCACCTTCCGCGATGGCGGCCGTGAATCTAAAGCGGCTTGTGAGTTGATTGTGGAGGATCGTCGAAGTAGTCTGGCATTTTGTGGCTCGTGTGCATTAGGCTGGAGACCTCCGTTGTTCTGCAGATGGCCGCCTTGGACAGAACCATCTCGCGCAGCGCCGAGAGATGCAGATAGCTCGGTGTCTAACCTTCGCATGGAAGGTCCGGAGGGTTGTGCGGGCTCGTCGGCTCGCAGAGAAGAGCTGTGGACGGTTGTGTCGGGTGGCGCCCGGTCGTCCTCCGACATTTGAGAAGACGTCTCGGATTGAGCAGCAAAGCTGACTGATAGCCTTGGTGCTGGCGTTGATAGAGGCGGAGCTGGAGGCATGGTTTCGTTGGGCTTCGAGCGAGCAACAGTGACGCACTGTGCTCGCATGTAATTCGAATGAAGCTTTGTTCCTAGTGCTCGGTCAGTCTCTGAGTTCTGCAAGCATCAGTGATATAGTCCTCACCGCCATGTTGGTGCAGGAAGGAGCGCTGTAGAGCTTTGAAACCTGGACCATCTTCCGCGCCTTCTTCGATAAATCGTTTAGTCAGTAGATCTTGACACCAGGTGACATTGTTCGACGGTAGATGTATCCAGCGGAATCGGGTTGAGCCGGAGCAGAGCGTGCTTGTCGACATCTTCTCCGCTGGGCTCGTGCCCGGAGCTTTGTAGAGAAGGTCGAAGACCTTGACCTTCTTCACCTCGTTGCCTCTTTTGTATTCACCAAAGTCCACTACAGTAGCTTGGAACTGTTCGGCTGCTGCTTTAGCTTCTTGTGAGAGAGCGCTAGCTTGTCTGCGCGACCAGGGCGCCAGAAGTTGTATGATCTCTTTGTGGCCACAAGATGCCAAGGGAGATGTTCGAATATGACCGCACGATGCCGCGGACAGTAATGGTGTGTTACCCGAGTTATCTCTCGTCAACACCTTCACGTTCGTATTCGATAATAAGTGCTCCACGACCTTGACATTGCCGGCATCACAGGCAATGTGGAAAGCAGTTCTGCCAGTATGTGTCCGCTGGTCAACACTCCTTGTCTTGGCAAGGAGCAGCTCGATCACCTCAACAGCATATTGCTCTCGACACGCAACATGGAGAGGCGTCCAGCCTCCTTCCGCCTCTGCATCCACATCAGCCTTGTGCTCAAGAAGTAAGGACACGACCTCTTTAAGTCTTCGTAGCAGCTCCGCTCGTTTCTGCTGCTCTTCCAACCTCTGCTTCTCCCGCATCTTCTGTTGTTGTTCGAATCTAGCTTTATCACGGGATGTGACGAAACCACCTGGAGGTGGGACATGAACTGATCCTGCGTCACTTTTGGGCTGGTCAGTGTCGGTTCCGTCCAACGAAGGCGCCAATCTGACAGCCAAGTGAAGCGCAGTCTTGGACTTGTGCTCTCGCGCATCTACGTCAACGCCGGTGTGACCTAAAAGTGTTCTCACGGCAAAAAGATGGCCTATCGAGGCCGCCCAATGTAGCGGCGTCCTTTTACGCGAGTCCCAGGTCTTGAGATCTCCTGGTTCAACTTTGGCAAGCAGAAGGCGAAATATCATCGGACCTGGACCATCCTCATCTTCAAGCCTGCGATCACTGTCACCGGTGAAATGATGCAGGACGTTTCGACCCCGATTGTCTTTCTTACTGACATTGGCTCCCTGTTCTATGAGCTTCGTCACCACTGCAAGCCGATTCTTCCAGACTGCTGTTACAAGCACTGTCCGGCCCATCTCGTCCGCAGCTTCTATGCCAGCATTTCGAAGAGAATTTCCGAGCCCATGGCGCTTGATCAATAGTAAGGCGACTGCTGGATCCTCGTCCTCAACGATGGACAGTATCAGAGCCGTCCTTTGGTAATCATCCCGGGCATCAATATCGGCGCCGTGGTCAAGCAGCTTCTCTGCACACTCGGCCTGGCGAGCGTACATCAGAGCCGTCCTGCCTTCGTGATCCTTCGGCGACGGATCCGCACCATGGTCGAGCAGCATCTGCATGACTGTGATACTCTTGGCAAGCATGAGTGGCGTCCGCTTTTTGTCATCTGGAGAATTCGGGTCCGCATTATGAACCAGCAACAGCTCCAGGATGCGGTGGCGATCAGTATCTTCTTTTTGTAGACGGTCGTTCTCCAATCGCAGCTTTTCCATCCTGGCAATTCCTTGCCTTGCGCGCTCCTCTTCGAACTTGTCCGGATTACGCACATTGTGCTTGGTCAGTCTTGGGGCATCTAGTTTGGTCTGTTGCTGCTTCTGAGGTCCTCGATCTGTTTCTACAGCCTGCAATAGAGGTAGTAAAGGTCGGCCTTTGACGGCGGCATTCGGGTTCGCTCCAGCGTCCAGCAGGTATTTAACAAGATCGAGCCTGCCTTTGTGACAGCACATGGACAGCGCAATTGCAAGAATATCATCGCGTGGTAGATCAAAGCTCGAGGCATCAATCACCTCTTTTAGACGGTCAAGGCTCCCATTGCTGCGGATGACAGTCTGCAATGCGCTCATGGCATTCGGTGGCTTCGGTGCATTGTTACCAGGCGTTATGCTGGGCTTGCGCTTGCTGGCCATCCTGAGACTTTCGCGCAGCGCTCGTCACGCTATATTCCGAAGGCACGCATCATGATCGCGATCACTTTCGTCGCGAAGTGGTGTCGACCATCTGGTTTAGTGATCGAGCAACGCGACCAAGCCATCGCGGCAGGGTGCGCTGATCTCGTCCGACAGTAGTACTCGGTCGCTAGCTGCAGATATGGCGCCACAGCGATCATGCTAATCATTTTGGGGGCCAAAGATGAGAGACCGCAGGAGAGGCCTTGGTGAACTATTCGCACCGATCTTCGGATTACTTGACGACGCAACCAAACAAATATCCTCGAGCAGTACCGTTAGACGGAGGATACATAGCCATTGTGGCCAATGTAATAACGGACGAGGATTGATCGCTCATGGCAAGAATGACAATCGCCCCAGGCTCCACTTTGGCATTGGCACGGCACGAGCCACTCGGGCATTCGGGCGCGACCGTACGAAGCGCACCTCCTTCGCAGGATCTCCACTTGGGCGTGTTTGGACTCCTGGACATAGCATGATGAGTCTTTTTCCCAACTCAGGCCAATGAGTAGATCATGTTGAACCGGATTATCAGCTACATCCCGCTGCCTCGAGCACATGACGTCTTGAATGAAAGATGGCATTATCAACGTGTTTGATAACCACTGATGCAGCTGTACTTGACGGCTCGAACATGGTGCATGATGTCTGTGTAAGCCACATTCCAGATGGCTAATAACGCGCTGTTTTGACACTCGCGTGTCCCTGCTACCGAGGAATTTAGCTTGCCCCTCCCAGAGGACCCTCAGCATCGTGAATGGAAATGTCTTTCGACGAGCTCGTCCTTTGTAGGTCGATTTCTGGCTGTTATCGCAGACATGAAGCTCATCCTCCCATGGGTAGCCATTGGGCTGACCGTACTACCTGGATCCGACGCATTCTGGCGTATCAACTGCGAGATCATTCAGACTGGCCGTGTCGACCCCCTTGTAAACCCAGGCACGGTAGCCGCACACGCCCATACCATCACTGGAGGCTCTAGTACGTCGGCGTCAAGCGCATAATCATGACCCAGCTAATCAGGAACAGACATCGGTGTCAACTCGACTCCGGCGGATATGGTCAACTCAGAATGCACCTCTTGCGAAGTCACAGCAGACAAATCAGCATACTGGACACCCCTATTATACTACTGGTACCCAAATGGATCATTCTTCCAAGTGCCGCACAGCGGTGCTGTCGTGTACTATCTTGGGCGTGGGCCGAACGTCAATAACACCGTGCCATTCCCACCTGGTTTTAAGATCTTGTCTGGTAACAAGGCGTTGCGGAGTTATGATACCCAGTCTTTGACATATGGGAATGCTCAATATCCAGGTCGTCCGATCGCGGATCGAGTGAGCTTCGCATGTCTGGTCGCCTTCGGCCTCAAATTACCGCCCAATCAGCCTTATATGTACAATGCCACACAGTGTGTCAATGGGCTGCGCGCGCAGATTGGATTCCAGTCCTGCTGGAACGGTATCGATCTGTACAAAACAGACAACAGCCACGTGGCCTACCAAAGTGGCATCGACAATGGCGTCTGTCCGCCTTCCCATCCAGTACAGCTCCCTATCATCTTCGTTGAGACCAACTATGCGGTCGGTCAAGTCCCGAATGCGACAGATGATAACAGATTCGTCTTTTCACAAGGTGATCCAACGGGCTACGGCTTTCACGGCGACTTCATCAATGGGTGGGACCCGGTCGTGCAAACAAACGCAGTCAACAATTGCTTGTACAACGGTGCACCAGATGGGGTCATCCAAGAATGTCCGTACCTCAACGAGGTCGACACCACTGGTGCAGCTGCCAATTGTCCAGAGCGGCGACAACAGGTTAGGGAAAACGTCACGGGTATGCTGGATCATTTGCCAGGCTGTGTGCAAGTGACCTACGGACCCGGTAGCGCCACTGCTGCACAAATGGAGTGTAATGCTAGTGTCCCAATACCATACATAACACCAACGCCAATGGGAACACCCCTGCCAACTGCCACACCCGTTATTGGGCAACAATATGGTCTGCCCACTTTCCAATACCTTGGATGCTACAACGATACTGGCCCTGGTGGTGGATACCGTACGCTCAGCAGTCTGGCATACAGCAACTATTCTTTCATGACAATCGAGTTTTGTCAGCAGTACTGCACTTCTAAGGGGTATCAATATGCAGGCCTGGAGTATGCCCAAGAATGTCACTGTGATAACAACCTCAATCCCACTGCTCAGCTGACTACTGCTGTTACCATGAATGAGTGCACATGGACTTGTGGTGGTACGCTGACCCAAGGTGGTACACAAGAGTAAGCATGTTCTATCTCAGCGTGACTATGGTGCATCAGCTAACAGATCTACCAGGTTCTGTGGCGGCTTGTCTTATATGAGTGTCTATAACAACACGAACAGTAGCTTCGTTGGCTTCGGAGACAACAGCAACACTGCTGGGAACACCCAGCCTTATGGTAAGTCCAGCCATGCACGCACAAAAGCCGCCCAGGTGACAAACATCCCTCAACAGTACCGGCCGCCGGATTTGCCTCGAACTATCTCGGCTGCTATTCCGACAATCATGGCGGGCGGGCTCTTGCGAACGGCGGCATAAGCTGGAACAACATGTCCGTCGAGGTCTGGGGACAGTACTGCGCTACCACGCAGAACGTCATCGGCGGCATTGGATATCAATACTATGGCCTCGAATACACTTCTCAGTGCTTTTGCGGCAATCAGCTTGGCGGGAACAACTCATTCCTTACGCCGTTCACAACGCCGAGTAATTTGACCTGCCAGACCAGATGCAAAGGGAAAGGCGCAGAGGTAAGCGCTCACGAATCTTATTGGTGTGTCGTTCGCCCTCGTTGACCATCCACAGATATGTCAGTACCACAGCATGAAACCAGACTGAGCTCAGTACCGTCCATGAATCCTAACAATGGCGTTTAGGTGGTGGCGCCAACGCACTGAGCTTGTATAACAATACTGGATACAATCCGCCGGCGAACAAACCCAGCGTCGGGAAGTTCCAAAGCCAGACATGCCTCAAGGACCCGTAAGCGATTTTATATGTTCGTCGAGAGAATTCTTACTAACAAGATGCGAAGAACCATTGGCGGAGGCCGTGCGCTGCAACCCGGTGTCCTGCGGAACAACAACATGACTGTCGAGATGTGCATCAAGTATTGCCTCGGCAATTACTACAATTATGCTGGGTACGCAACCTTTCAATCCAAAGATACACCGCTGACGAAGCTGTAGGATCGAGTACGGCGTGGAGTGCTGTAGGTAATGGCGTGCGTTAGACATAGAAGCTGCTGACACTCATCAACAGATTGCGGCAACCAGATCCTTGCATCAACTGGAGCCGTTATTCAAGCTTGTCCCGCCACCACGCAGAAATTGTGCCCAGGAAATCCTACAGTATGTCCATCAGTATTATGTGGAGGCGAAATAGGATGCTAACAGTTCTCGTAGGAGTATTGTGGCGGACCAGGTCAGCAGTCTACCAATCGGATCCGTCGTCTTCACATACTGACTATTTGGCAGGATATATGAAACTTTATTACAGCCCGACGCTATAGACGAGGCGAGAGCAGTAGATAGCCGTGGTATGCTTGAACTGTCCTTGACAAGAACCTCACTGGTTGAGTGAGGTACATGCTGCGTCAGTCAATCTCACTCCAAGGTACTTTACTGTTTGGAAGTGGTATTGAACCTTGCCAATTCACTTACCTAGCACCTTACCATCGCTTGAGCTTTCTCGCTCTACCTCACACACAAACAAGACGTCGACAAATCACGAATCGACCACCTCGGCACACTATGGCGCAAGCAACCGACAAGATCAGCGATGAGCGCTTCCTGCTTATTCTATTCGAGCACAAGAGCTCCAAGGTGTGACGTCCTCAATTACAGTATGAATGCAAGCTAACAGCATGAAGATGGAGTGGAAATCGATTGCTGAGCAGTGCGGCATGCGCAACGGAAAATCAGTGTAGGTTGAGTCCGTGTGAATCGTGTATCCGCTAACATGAAGTAGCCAAAATCGGCTGTACAGTCTGAAGAAGCGTATCGAGGCTTCCAAAGGTGTCGTTGGCACTGTCAACAGTGATGGCACTCCCAAGTCGGGCAAGAAAGGGAATGGCAGTAAGGCGAGCTCCATGCCTTCGAAAAGGAGAGCCGCTTCTGGGAATGGAGACGAAGATGACGAGGAGAGTACCCCACTCAAGATCAAGTCTCAGGGAATCAAGAAGGCTAAGCTTGAGGCTTGCGAGGAGGCTATCACGAAAGCTGAGACAGGCAGCGATGACGGGTGGGCTTGAGATTTGCGACGAGCAACGATGTAATGCATTGGGCGTGAAGGCGAGGTCTCCTCGGAACAGCCTGTCTGTCAGCTGACCAGCACCCGCTGAGACACATGATAGTGGGCTGGTTGCTCCGGAGATGTGCCTTCCTTACAAAGCCAGGTCACATGGACATAGCTTCTGCAGCTTCAGACACTTGAAAGCTTGTGCCCGATCACGAATTCCATTAACATTTGCTGCCTTGACACTTGACACTCTTCACAAACATCACCATCCCCCGTGGCGATAGCTTCTCTCACACAGACACCCAGAGTCCTTGCCAGTAAGACTCAAGCAGTGCCTCTGACTTGCAGTCGATAAAGCAACAACATCATGGCCAAAGACAAGGATGCCACTACGCCACCTGCCGTAACCGAGGAGAAGTTTTTTATGGCTATCATCGGACGGCTTGATGGCAAGATCGACTGGAAGAAGGTCGCCAATGAGTGCAGCATTGTCAGCCCCGCTGCTGCGTAGGTATGCACATGCCGAGCACGACAGTTCTTCGCTGACACAATATATTAGGCAGAAGCGCTTCTCGCGTCTCAAGGCCAAGCACGGCCAACTCGGTACAGCATCTTCGAAAAAGGCCAGCACTCCGGTCGTGGAGAGCGACGACCCAGAGGAGAAGCCGAAGAAGAAGAAGGCGCCACGCAAGACCACCAACAAGAAGCGGAAGGTCGAGGTGACTGAGGCCGAGGACGGTGAGGAGGAGATGCCGGTCAAAGGCGAGGACGGAGAGGTAAGCTTTACAATGTGCTATCACTTGTGTCTACATAATCTGACTGACCATATGCAGGCTTGAATGGCTCACGGCAGTGTCACACGATATGCCAGTGCTGGTAGAGGCATTTAAGCCAGGTTGCGAGAGACGACTGTTTTCTGCGACATGCTTGAGAATGCTTGAGGATGCGATGCGATGCAATGCGATGCGATGCGAGGACATGCTACTGCTTTGCTCTGAGAACATGCTTCTGCTTCTGCTGTCTACTTACTACGAGGAAGGGCGGCAAGTCCACTTTAAGCATAGTCCGTGGAGAAAGTGGATACCTTCAAACGACTTCACTTCTTGTTTCGTTTCCATTCTACATTCACGTCGAGCAAGACCTCGTGGTATTGGCAGAATCATCATGGATACTGTCGACGGGTATGTTCGTGAGGCTGCGATACATATACACGTCATACATGTCGGCAGCCATGGTAGGACGGTCGTCACGCGGCAACAGGCAGCATCTGCACCTGAAGTAGCAGAATACGCAGCAAGTGAGCATATTCCACAGTGATGCAGCTCACGTTCTCATCATCTCTTGCGGCAACTTCACTTCTCTCGTGAGACTCAGGTGTCGCGGGAACGGTACCTTGTTAGTTCCCGATCAGGCTATAAAACCTTCTCACCCCTGGCACCTTACTTCAACCTTTGGAAGCCGGAAACAAGAACACCGTCACCACCTCCCCCCCAACAATTTCCTGCTTGTGCGTCGAGCGTTCTATCCACCAACCGATAGCTCAAGAAGCCTGGCTACCTCCATCGTCTCACAATCCAGACTCCACCCGAAGAGCAAACATCAGAATGGGTGGCAACGGTAACATGACCTGGGATGGTATGCTTTCTCTGTTGTTCGATGCTATGGATGTAGCTGACTATGGTCAGCTGTGGCGGACCGCAAGCTTCTCCTCGGTGTCCTTAAGGTCCACGACATCAAGGTCGACTACGAAAGCCTTGCGAAATACATGGCCACGGACGAGCACAAACCAACCGCTCTCAGTGTCTCCAAGCGTCTCATCAAGCTCAAAGCTATAGCCAAGGACGAGTAAGTTCCTCCTTACATCGCAGCATTCCTGTACTGACGAATGCTAGCAACGCTGGTGGTGGCAACACCGAAGACACCGCCGAGAAGACTCCTCGGAAGCGTGGGAAGGCTGATACCACAAGCACGCCTCGCAAGCGCGCAGCCAAGGGAAAGAAGACTCAAGACGTGAGTGATCATCAGGAGGATGAGGACGACAATGAGGTGATCAAGGGGCAGGGCAAGGATGACTCGGAGGAAAGGCTGGATGATAATGTGTTTACCTGAGCGAGGGACACCCTGCCAGAGTTGAAGCTGCTTGGTTACAATATGGATGGAAGAAATCAAGGAGTGCTCCCGATGAGGACGAGTGAATGGACTGACTTGGCTGCGATGCGGGCTGATAGTAGGATCATAGTCCCACAATCCTCCTGGACTGGCCATGCTCGATCCTCCACTCCAAGCTCACTACCATAGATAGTCACGTGCTATTTCGGTGATTGCGCCAAAAGTACCTTGCGCTGATTGGCCATATCAACGCAATAGTGGAGCCGTTGAGCATTTTCGCAACTTCACCATTGCCTGGCACTTGCCATTTTCGGAACAGATCACGCCGCGCTAGCGCCACCATGGTCATCCGCAGGCGATATGGCTGGTCCGAGCTTTGTTGAGCTTCACGGCAAGGTGGTATAAGTTCCTAAGGTCTTTTCGTTAACGCATCTTGCTCTTGCAACAACTAATCAGTCCTTTCAGCTTGCGAGTCTGCTTTGATCTTTGCCATCTTTGGCAGCAACCTCTGTAACACCATGCTATCACGCCATCAACTCCGCCACATCATCAGGTATGTTCCTCTGCGCGTTCCTAGATCTGTTGGGTCAGACAGGAGCTCCACGGTACCTTCCAAAAGATTTGCTCTCTTCGCAACCCCAACTGCTCTCTCGATGTACCTCTCAAGCAAAGCACTAACACTTCTCCAGCCAGTATGAGCTACGCTAGCGACACAGAGCTGGAAGACTACCTCCCACTCGTGGGAAAGTCTCAGCGCAAGAGCGCAGCGGGTCGTGAGCTGATCCGCTGGGACCGTAAGTTGAAGCATACACTGATCCTTTCGAGCTACTACTAACACCCTCCCAGCTGAGAAGGACCAGCTTGCGCTTTTGTGTACCGACTATGTCTGCACCACCGAAGGCGTTGCCATCCCATGGGACAAGATCGCCGAGCTCATGGGCCGCTTGGTAGGCAAGCACAGCATGACCGGTGAGGCGATCAAGCAGCATCTTGCCAAGCTGCACAGATTCCGTGACGAGGCCGATCAATTAGTCCCACCGAAGCTCGACCGCCATCAGCGCCGCAAGCCAGTGACGGCTGCCAAGGCTCACGGCACTTCTGCTGCTCCTCGTGGTCGCAGACGCGCACGCAACGATGACGAAGATGAGGATGCAGCGCTAGTCGCTCCTGTTCAGCCGGGCAAGAGCCTTCTCTACTCCAAACCCGTTGCCAAGTCCAAGAAGAGTCCGAGAACACCAGCTACTGGTCGTAATGGTAGACGCAAGAGTCGAGCCATCGATGAGTTCCAAGACGATGGTGGGGACGACTACGATCACGATCCAGTGCCCAAGAGGCGTGTTGCAGCAGCAAATTACAGTAGCAGCAAGCGAGGTCGCAAAGCAAAGAGCAATGTCCGAGTTGAGGACGATGAGCAAGATACAGCTTTCCCAACACCAGCCCGGACGCCGAAGAGGCTTCGCCCACAGGCTGAGGTCAACTACTCTGAGCAGGCCTTTGAGGATCACGACGATCAGGATGTCACGCCAGAGCACAGCTTCAAGCAGGAGCAGTGTGAGTAGCATAGCATGGCATTATATTTCGAGACCATACTGACTGTTTGCTTAGATCATTCGCCGCCCAATAATGACTACTATCAGAGTTCTACGCAGTACCTCGGCAGAGTCCTCCCCTCCAACGGCTACGACGGCGTCCACCAAGCCAACTATGTGTTTGGTGCGGTCGAGGATACTTCACCTTTCCGTTCCTCATCCAGCAGTGGAAACACGCCAGGTACGGCCAGTGGTGGCCTCCGCTACGACCAGCAAACGCCATACCAGCTGCAGACACCACGCTCTATTACCACACCCACCGACCTTGGTGACTCTGCCACGTTTCCGCGATTCGGCCAGGGACATCTCAATGGGTACCCGGGCTTCGAGTTTCCCATTCTGCCACAATTCTCAATGAACGACATCGGTCGCGCCGCCAATCTCATGCTCGACTCTCAGCCGGAACGCAACTCCAACGTTTTCGGCCACGCCTTTGCCGAGCCGAAGCAGACGAGTAGTGCTCAACACGACTCCGACAATACGCCTGCTCAGTACGACCATACGAACACTTACCTTCCGGCCTACGGCATCGATGCCCTGCAATCCGCTGATCACTTCTTGGCCGTCCATCCCCCTAGAACCAAAGTCAAACGCAACGGCAACGGCGACATTGACGAGCATCTGACCACTTCGCATGAGCATGGAGTTTCACCACCCCACTACAGCTTCGACAGCGGCCTTTTCGACATCGGTGACGGTGACTCCAAGGGTGCGCTTGACGAGTCGTTCGGTCAGCTGCTGAACGACCAAGCGAGCTTTACGTAGGACTGCACTGGTCGAGTGAACTCTGATCAGCACCCAGAGCTACACACCCAGGGCATCTTCACGCGAGCAACGACTTACGACTAACGACGACATGAGCTATACTTACCTTGGCATACCTATCTATCTGCCAACGTCGGGGGTGTTCTTTGCATTACGCCACTGGCCGTGGCGAAGGTGAATCCTTCATCTCTGCTTCTTCTGCTCTTTTAATTTTCCGTTAGTGCTTTGACATTCTCAGAGGTAGCCAAATGCAACCCCAACTGGTCGCGACTCCTTTGGGAGATGCAAGGCAGGAGTTCAGCAGGAGGAGGATGCTTCTGCTCCTATTCGGAATGTTTGTATATTATCAAAAGTATTACCACTCAGTCCATGCGAAAAGCCGCATGTACGAGGATGTAGTCCTTGTAGAGTTTTGCATGTCGTGATGTTCCGAATGTGCAGAAACAGGTGTTGTCTGTCGTACAAGAACGTTTCGTCCACCAAGTGAACGCCAACCAAAAGTGCCCCACATTGAATCATGAATATCGATTGCTCCAGCCAAAACTTTCGACAGCACGTATGTATGTACTTGACAAGCCCCTGTGATCGACTAAGGAAGAGGCTGCCTAGCCTTGTGCTCTACGAACCATGGCGACCATGACAGAGACGATGACCCAAACAATCAAGAAGAATCGTCTTCCAGCGGCCAAACTCGCCAAACTCGCACCAGAAAATGAAAGATATATGCGAGCATGCGCCGACGTCGCCAACGCCCTCGTCGAAGACCACGAGAAGTCACAGCAAGCAGGAGCAGTACGGAAGGATATCAATCTCAACTCACTCCGAGGACAAGTCGCAAAGAAGCACTTCCTATCCCGCCAACCACCCTTGACAGATATCATCGCAGCGGTGCCGGAGCAGTACAAGAAGTACATCTTGCCAAAGCTCATAGCGAAGCCAATCAGGAGTGCCAGTGGAATAGCTGTGGTGGCTGTCATGTGCAAACCTCATCGATGCCCACACATCGCATATACCGGCAATATCTGTGTCTACTGCCCTGGAGGACCAGACAGCGATTTCGAGTACAGCACACAGTCATATACTGGCTATGAGCCCACGAGCATGCGAGCGATAAGAGCGAGGTATGATCCTTTCGAGCAGGCGAGAGGAAGGGTGGATCAGATACGGAATCTGGGCCACAGTGTGGACAAGGTGGAGTATATCATCATGGGCGGTACGTTCATGTCGTTGGCCCCGAAGTATCGGGAAGAGTTCATCAGTCAGCTGCATAATGCTCTGTCAGGATATCAGACTAGCAACGTGGATGAGGCTGTCATGGCCGGCGAGCAGAGCACGACGAAGTGCGTTGGTATCACAATTGAGACGAGACCGGATTACTGTCTTCCGCCACATCTGACGGATATGCTACGGTATGGTTGTACGCGACTGGAGATTGGTGTACAGTCGCTATATGAGGACGTTGCAAGAGACACGAACAGAGGCCATACTGTAAAGGCTGTCTGCGAGACTTTCGCTATGGCCAAGGACGCAGGATTCAAGGTCGTCTCACACATGATGCCGGATCTGCCCAATGTCGGCCTCGAACGAGACCTCTTTCAGTTCCAGGAGTATTTTGAAAATCCGGCTTTCAGGACAGATGGCTTGAAGCTTTACCCAACTCTTGTCATCCGAGGGACTGGCCTCTACGAGCTGTGGCGAACGGGTCGGTACAAGAACTACACACCCAACGTCCTTGTTGACCTTGTCGCCCGTATCTTGGCCCTCATACCGCCATGGACACGTATCTACCGTGTCCAGCGTGATATTCCTATGCCACTCGTCACCTCTGGTGTGGAAAACGGCAATCTGCGCGAGCTTGCGCTGGCTCGCATGAAGGACTTTGGCACTACATGTCGTGACGTTCGTACCCGCGAAGTCGGCATCAACGAAGTCAAGCACAAGATCCGGCCGAATCAGGTTGAGCTCGTGCGACGAGACTATGTTGCTAATGGAGGCTGGGAAACATTCCTTGCGTATGAGGACCCGAAGCAAGATATTCTTATCGCTCTGCTGCGCCTGCGGAAGTGTACGGAGAAGTACACATATCGTGAAGAGCTCACTGGACAGCCCACCAGTCTTGTTCGCGAATTACATGTATATGGCTCAGCCGTACCGATTCACGAGCGTGTGAAAGGCAAGAGCCAGCATCAAGGCTATGGTACATTGCTGATGGAAGAAGCTGAGCGCATTGCCCGCAACGAGCACGGCTCGACGAAGATCGCTGTCATTTCTGGTGTCGGTGTCCGCGGGTACTACAAGCGACTCGGGTACTGGCTTGATGGTCCATATATGTCGAAGATACTCGGTGAGGAAGATGAAGACAGTGACGATGATTAAAGCCTCAGCCCATGAGGTACGAATTCACACTCTGCAGAGTGGCCCGACTAGGCGCGGCATCCGGCATGGAAACCATGATCCAGCTCAGACGCTGCTTGATCAGTGCTTTGTTCAGCACGCGCACTTCCTCGAAGCCTTGGGAAGGTAGATCGAGCTTGCCGGAATCATCACACAGCCGGCATATCATGGCGAGAGCCACGCCGACTGCGAGATCCTTGCCTGTTGCGCAGGTCACGAGAATATTTCCACCCTCCTTTAGCAGTTTTGGCAGGACCTCTAGCTTCGCCAACTGCGGTCTGACTTGACGGCTACCATTCTTGCCCGTATCGCAGGCAAGATGGATGTACCGCGTGCCCAGCATATCGGCAAGACTAGAATTTGCAGTTGTACCGCATTGCACGACAATGTCGTAATCCTTCGAGTTCTCCTCGACAGCAGCATTATTCGCTATCCAGATATTGGTGGTGGGCCGTACTAACACTGGCTTGCGCGAAGCGACCTTCATGCGGCTCGCTACCATCGCCCTGATGATGGACGGCATATCTTCCTCCGGCTTGTGTAAGAGCTCACTGCCCCACATCCAGTACGTCTGGGCGTCGAGGCCACACGCCCAGGTCTCGCTATCATCTGCTGCACCCTGGACGTAGCCTGATGAGTGATGCATTGCTTGACTAGAGGCACTGGAGGCTGTGCACAAGACGATATTGTGATGGGTGTCGGTGACCTCGAGGGGAGTGAAGGTGGGCTCGTCCTCTGGAGTGATCCAAATAGATTGCATTGGCTTGGACAGCAGCTTGCGCAGGCCCTCACAATCGATCTTCAGACTACTGAGATCCTGCACGAAGCCTGGCAGTCTTGCTTCGATCTGTGCATGCTCTGATGACGAGACGAAACTGGATGGTGTACGAAGGTCATGATAAGTAGGGAGCTCAGGAAAGAGGTAGCGATTGAGAGTCGCGATCCAGATCGGGACCGTCTTCGATAATGCATCAGGCATGCTTTTGCCTCGCCGAGTCGAGTCCACGATCATACATCTAGACCATAGACTCAGCAAATACAGACATGACCACAGTACAATATCGACGTACCCTCCATGCTTCGCAACAACATCAATAACCTGTAAATTGAGCCGCCGTAGACTAAAGCCCCACTGTCCATGATGTCCATCTGTAGACTTGAAGTACGCAGATCCAGCTTTGAGATGACGCGGTACATACCAGCTCCCACATCGTTCATTCGCGATTACTGGGAGCTGGGTCACTGCTGCCATCCGCCCTACGAAATCTGCATCTTGTCTGATTGACCGTAGACGGTTGTGTATGGATAGATTCGTCCGTTTGAGCTCGCCTAGGGTTTCTGTAATACTTGTTGATGCTGAGGAGAATATGACGTCTGATTCTCGGAGTGGTTCGTTGGAGCCCATAATCGTGCTCAATATTGCTGTCGACCACGAAATAGCCTTGAATGTTTGACTTCAGTTTTGGTGGCGTGGCTGACTCAGCGCGTTGTGCATAATTCGGACTTTTTGGACGCCACAGCCACGAAGTTACAAACTTGATCATCGAAAAGTTATGGCTGTCACGCTTGGCAAGAGGAAAAGATATGTGGAGAGTCGGGAAGATGAGGCTGAGGTTGACTTGGATGCTGAAGCTCGAGCGCTCTTCCAACGAGCGTTTGAAGCAAAATTCAACGCCCTTGAAAAGCCAGTCGTGATCAGCCAACCGGAAGTGGAAGAAGATGATAGCGAAGAACTTGACGGAGAAAGCGAAGGGTCAGACTGGGGTGGACTTTCAGATGGTGGGGACGTAGCTGTTCAAGTGATCGATCATGGTATTAGCAGTGGGCCTGCGAATGAGATGACGAGGGACGAACTCCGAGCATTTATGGTCGGTGTATTTACTACATGGTGTGCTACCATCGCTAACAAGCGACAGTCATCGAAGCCGCCGAGCGCAGCAAAGGTAGTCAAATCGAGTAAGCTGCCAGCAAATCCGAAAACAGCAGACAACGACGACGATGAAGGAGAGGCGGGCAATCTCAAGCACGACTTAGCACTACAGCGACTGCTCAAAGAATCACATCTACTGGACGCATCTACATTTTCAGGACCATCAGCAGCACCAGAAGGCAAAAGTCGACTCAAAGCTCTGGACCTCCGGCTGAAAGATCTGGGTGCCAAGAAAGATGCATCCGAGCAAGTCAAGATGCCACTTTCACACCGAAGAGGCATCGTTGCAAAGGCCACCTCGCGCGAAGCCTCTCGGAGGAAGAATGCTACCGAGAATGGCATTATTCTTGAGAAGGCAAAAAGTACTTTCAAAGCGCCGGCAAAACGGGAGCGAGCAGTGGCTGTGCCTTCTGTTGGTAAGTTTCGAGGCGGGACCTTAAAGCTCAGCGAGAGAGACGTGAAGTCCATTGAAGGGCCGAAGAAGCGGGCGGGAGGCAAAGGGCGAAGGCGGTGATCAAGCAAAGTCCATGGTTGGTCAGATGTGCGTATGTGTTGGCAGAGAGGCATGAGCCGATGTGGCACCATACACTCGAGGGAGACCTATAGCTTGTGCTGGACAAGGATGATCGCCGTGCAGGGTTCCTTAGTACCTCGCCCCGCTGCAACACGAGTCGTACACATGGCTTGCTGGCAGCGTGCGGTGTTCTACTTGTTGGATGAGAGATGCATCAATATTGTCCTACGCGGCTAATGGCTTGCGGAGATGCCATCATGCCAATACCAGTGGCTGATCATGAGTTCTAGCGCCGACGACGTGGCTCTTGCGGTAGGCATGAGGCTTGAATTGCCGTAGCAGGCTTCAGGTGACGTTCTCAACCTTGTTGTGCGGAGGTCAGGGAAGCGGCTGGGGCTGCGTGAGCTGCTAGATCTGTTGCTCTGTTCCGAGGGCATTGCGTTCTTCAGGCGTTTCACCCGTACGAAACAGGTCGGGATCGGCAGGTTGGTCTTTCTGCGTGCCGCATTGCTTCTGCTCTCCACTCGAGTCGAAGGGGCTCAGCGATACATGTTGGTCGACATACACTTCGGCTCGGTAGTCATCGGCTCGTATCCATGGTCTTCCAGCAAAGTAGATTGCCGGCCATGTTCAAGGCAAAGAGAATTGACCAGCCCCGGCTTCTAATCGCTGAACCAACGAACGAGCACTAAATTGTTTAATGAAGAATGACATTATCCTACTATTGTTCGCGGACACAAATCCTACATGCATCGACGACACCGTCAAAGCTATGTCCGAGCATGAATATGCGGCTTCAGCCTATCTGCCACTGCGTAGCCCAACAAACTATTTGAAGCAGTTTCATGATAGCCTTAACGGCTCTACGGATCTGCGCGGGCCGGCCATGACTCCAGGTGGTTGATTCTATTCGAGTACTTCTCAGCTGAAAAGCGTACTTCTGAAGCAGACTATGTGCATTGATCGGGGAGCACAACGAGCAATGTTCTGCGAGTCGAGGATGAAGCGGACGAATGGCGGTATCTGCACAAGGGGACTGGCATATAGCCTCTACTGTAGTGATTTTCGGGTTTTGCGCCAAAGTACTTTGTCTGCAAGCTCGTGAGATCTGTGCATTGCTAGAGTAATGATGAGCAGCTGAGCTATAGAAAAGCTCGTGACAGAGTACAATAAGTGCATGTTGAGAATGATCGCCTATGCCAGCGATAGCTAGTCTGCGCGACTCATGGGCAGCTGCGGCACCGCCATCAGCTAGGATCGACTTGGGAAGTCAAAAAGAGACTTCACCTAGAAGCACATAGCATTACACATGAATGTCGTCTTATTTAGCATGATGTCCAAGCGTAAAATCGCCGAAAGATCGTCAAGCGTGGTCAACGGCTGATCATCAAACACGCGATGCTTGCGCGAGATGCCGTCTGGTCTGGCTTTCGCAGGTATTCTTGGCAGATGTTTCAGATTGACTGGGTTGTCGATCAAACAGGCACGAACATGCAGGTACAATGCATTTTATCACGGCTTCATCACGGTCGTGATTGCTATTTCCCCGCTCGAGAACGTAGACGAGTGCTCGCACGCTGGGTATATGCCGCATTTTATAGGGGCATGGTCAAGTGGCGGGAGATTGCGGTCGCGGCAAAAGTTGACTGCTATACAAGTGATCTGAGACACTTCCATTAAGCGATGGCGATAGGCTTGGTTGAACTCACGCAAGCGATGCGACTCGTGTTTGATCGAGCGTGGAGATGGCGAACATTGCCGTGATCGAATCGCTAGCGTACAGACGTGCGATAGTCGAGCGCAATGGCATCGTGGCGATCCTCAGGCCAGAAGCACGCCCTCGATGGCTGGAGGGTCTTCCCAGTTGCACATCGGGCAGCATGTCTTTCTGGGAAAGGTGCGCCTTGCAAGACAGACGGAAGCCAGCCGGCGGTCTGTCAAGCGGGTGCTGACTCTTACAAATTGGCGTTACAGCCGGTAAGAAATTGTGGTGGAGATTCGCGAGAGCACAGCGAGCGACGCGCCGGTCTTTGGAATTGAGATTGAGCGTGGTGAGCGCGGCGACGAGGACGATTCGACCTGCGATCTCGGGCGCAATGGGATGTGCTCAAGACGTCGGCGCTTGCAGGCCCTCGTAGCCTCGCAAGTCGGTGTTGGCCCTGGCGAGGCCACGCGCTCAGACTCGACTCCACTTCTGCTTCATCTTCCCGATGCCGGTTAGCGCCTGTACTACTTAGATGGGCCTAGTGCGGTTTGAGAGCGGCCGTGCGCTGCTGTTCCAGCAGTTCCAAGGTTTCGAAACTCCTCTCTCTCCCAGTACATGTTTCACCTCTGTCCTCCCTCCTCACCACCTCACATTCACCTCTATCAACGTCTTTGCAGGCCTCTACAACGAGCCGGTCTCGTCCTAGATCCGCTTCTTTGCTCTTCATATCTGACACGGTTGCTGTCGCTCGTTTAATTCACTCAAGCACGCCAATCCCCCATTCTCTCCCATCCGCGACAAACTATTGCTGCGTCTCGAGTACGATACTGGCTGTCGTACCAAGCCCGCATAGTCTCTCACCGCACTCTCCGTCTTGTCACAGATTAGAGGCAGGGCCTCAGCTCTACCCACCCGACGCGCAGAGCTCCCTTCGGCCGCGACGCCTGTCCGCATCTTATCATGTATCCGAACAACCAACATCCGTCTATGCCACCGCCGCAGCAACGAAGCGTGGTCCCAGAGACCTTTCTCCTCGACCACGATGCGCAGCAGAGCTTGCCAGCAGACTCTGTGGTCGCTCTCCAACAAGTAGATAACCGTACGTATCGACACATGGGCTGCGTGTAAACAAACACTAAGCGCGATCCTGCTCACCATTTGCTGACACCATTGATGCAGTCAAGTATTTCCTCATATCAGCACCGGTAGACTGGAGCCAGGATCAATATATTAGACGGTTCCTGCTGCCCACTGGAGAATACGTCTCCTGCGTTTTATGGTGCGTCTGCATTGCATGCGGTTGGAAGCCGAGCTACATATCCGCTGCACATACTAATCGACATACAGGAACAATCTCTTCCATATCTCCGGCACTGACATTGTGAGATGTCTTGCTTTCCGCTTCCAGGCATTCGGCCGTCCGGTCAAGAACTCGAAAAAGTTCGAGGAGGGCATATTCTCAGACTTGCGCAACTTGAAGTCCGGTACCGATGCTTCACTTGAGGAGCCAAAGAGCGCGTTCCTGGACTTCATGTACAAGAACAACTGTATTCGTACACAGAAGAAGCAGAAAGTATTTTACTGGTACAGCGTGCCGCACGACCGGCTCTTCCTGGATGCGCTCGAACGAGACCTGAAGAGGGAGAAGATGGGACAAGAGCCAACCACGGTGGCTGTCAGCGAGCCTGCTCTGTCTTTCGAGTTCGACTCTTCGCAGTCGCTGTTCGAGCAGCTCACCAAGGCTCAGCAAAGCAACCAATCTACCTTCAACGCCCAACCTTCATCTATGCCACCATCACACTCGGCATCGCCTGTCCTTCGACCGGCCGATTCAATGCCACCACCTTCGATGCTCCCACAGCAACATGCCTCTGGACTACCGCCGCCACCACCAACCTCAATACCAATGCCACAACACAGTATGGCACCAGCAATGCATAACGAGCCCATGACACAGATGCCAACATACTCTCAGATGGCAATGCCCCCGATGCCTTCGCAGATACAAAAGACTCGTGAGCATTCGATAGGCCCAGTCTTCGATCGCAACGGTGTGCCCTTGTCACAAGTGGCAAATAGGCACAGCTCGATGCCCGCGTATATGGAATACTCACCAGCGCCGTCTTTCGTTTCCTCACATTTCGAGGACTACAGCCAACGCGGCTTGTCGTTCGAGCCCCTCACGCCACCGCAACACTCCATGGGTATGCTACATGAGCCCGCTTACGTCGGCAACGAAGATACTGGCCTGTACACCGCGATTCCTGATCTGGGCATGCAACAGCCTTTTAACCCACTTATGTCTGGACCTCAGGGCATGGCCGGAGCTCACTACCCATCTATGGCTCGCAGCTACCAGCCTCAGCAAGCCTACTCCATCCTCGAAGGCTCACCGACGTATAAGCAGCGTCGACGAAGACCCTCGCTCACACAGGGTGGCATGGCGCCTGTCAGCGTCACATCAGCTGGCATGGTATCTGCCCATGCTGTACACAGGCCGAGCGATCTGAGGCGCTCTATGTCAAGCTCTGTCGTGCCGCAAGCCATTCCCGAAGGTCACGAAGTCGTTTCTTACGACGATTCGCCTGCTAGCATGCATACATCGCACCACCCCAATGCTATCCACGGCGAGCACAAGGAGCTCATGAACCTGTCGCGGCATAGCACGCCACAGCAGGCAATGGAGGGTGCTTACCCTGGCGACCACACTACTCCGTCGCACGCACATTCCCACATGCCCATGTCGATGCACGCGGAGGATTTTGCCAGCTTCAATGGAAGCCCGAGCCAGATGTATCCTCATGGTCCTATGCAACTTCAACACCACGCTGTACAACGCACTGCCAATGGTGTCTACCGCCGAGCTCGTAGTGCGACGGTCAGCGAGATGGCACCATACCCACAGAAGTCGCATTCGTGCCCGATCCCGATGTGCGGTCGTCTCTTCAAGAGATTAGAGCATCTAAAGCGCCACGTACGCACCCATACACAAGAGCGACCTTACATTTGCAATTTGTGCAACAAGGCCTTTTCGCGGTCGGACAACCTCGCGCAGCACAAGCGCACGCATGAGACGAGTGCTGATGGGACCGCGCCTTCGGAAGAGGAGATGGATTTTGAGGAGATGGCCGGCGATGACGCCGAAGCTGAAGACGCCGCTGTCACCTCAGCATCTGCTTACGAGTCTATCACCATGACGACTGGTGCCGAAATGCCTACTCACGTCGCCATGCGTAGCTTGACTCACGACGATATGGGTCCGCCACAGATGCTGCATACTGGCCACTACCAATAGTCATAGCCGCGACGAAGCCAAAAAAGCGACCGACCAATACCCTTTCCATTTCTTGTTCAACATCAATAGATTCGACAGTAATTTCCTCACAAACCAGTGCTCTTCTTCACGCCGACGGACGAGAGATCGGATGGATCGCAGCCCGCACCCATCCTTATGATTGTATGATTGGGGCTCGCATTTCCCTCTGTTCTGGTTCATGCGAAGAGTCACAGTCCTGCAGTGGACAGATGCGCAGACTTGAGCACAAATGAAAGGCTTAGCGATAGCGATAGCGATAGCGGGGAGTCGGTGCAGTATGTAGTCTTAGCAATGCATACATGATATCACTCATAATTTGTCGCTTCTCATTCAGATATTGAATCACTCCCCGACAAGTTAGACGAACATGGGAGAAGCACAATTTGCCTGCGATCGACGATGTGATTTCCACACACAGGAGACGCCGGACTGGGCCAAGAGTTCTGCAATCATCTCGGAGAGGATCTGTACGTATTCCGTCTTCGCTACGTTGTTCTGGCTTTTAATGACAATGTCAACCATAGCATCTATGCTCTGCTGTTCAGATGGCCAAGCGTAACGTCTGGCATATCGTCGTGGATGTATGCTCGCTCCTCAAGCAAGCGTCTTCTCCTTCAGCTCGATACCATACTCCTTCTGCAGCTTCACTCGAATAGGCTCAGCAAGCTCGTGAGTCACGGGCGCTAGTACACCACGGTCCTTGATCTCGCCATTCAGCACCATCTGCACCGCGACTGCACAAGGCACACCGACCAGCTTAGCCATGGCGCTGTACTTGCCACTACCCTCGGGCTCACCATACTCCGCCAAGGTCGATGTCCGCATCTCGCGCTTGCCATCCGCCCACTCGATCTCGAATTTGTGCTGAAGCAGAACAAAGTCGCGCTCGCCTTTCTCGTACTGCATCTTCTTCTCGAGTGTGGCGCAGAGGCAGTCGAGTGCCGTACCACGAGGCTCGATCTTCTCATCGCTGAAGAGACCAATCCAGCGAAGACCGGCGAGGATACGATCCTTCTCTTCGTTATTGGCGAACTCGGTCTTCGAGCTCACAGCCCAGACGAGATCCTTCTCGGTGCTGGAGCTGGATCCGATGATCTTTGCAAAGGCTTCTTGCCATGTCGTTGCTGTTTTGAGGTATTCTTGTGGCTCCTCGCTCAGAAGACCCAGATCACGGAGTTTCTGGACAAAGGCAGGATTGCCTTGGTAGCGCAGTGTGCCGCGAACGAGGTTGCGGGCTTCGGGGATGCTGTAGCGTGCTCGGAAGGGTGTGCTGTCTCTGTTTGGGTATGCTTCGGTGGCGTAGCCAGGGTAGATCAGGTAGGGTTTGGCGGTGCTCATGAGCTTCTCGCCAGGGGTCGTCTCGACTTTGTCATCTTTGTAGTAGACACCGGTATTGCGGGCAGCCAGAAGGACACCGCGAGGCGACCAGGAGAACTTGTAGCCGAGAGGGTTGTCTGAGTTCTCTGGTGCGGGGAGACCGCCACAGTACGACCAGAACCCGAGAACACGTCCACCCTGCTCATGTACTTCGTGGATGGTCTTGACAGCGTAGAGATGATCAAGACCTGGATCCAGACCGATCTCGTTGAAGACTGTGATTCCTGCGTCCTTCGCCTCCCGGTCGAGTGCCATCATGGCGTCCGAAACGTAGGAAGTAGTGACGCAGTGCTTCTTCGTCTTGATAGCAGCCTTGATGACTTGGGCATGGAAGGTATAAGGAATGAGCGAAATGACAAGACCGACTTTGCCGACTTCTCGCTCCAGAGCTGCATCGTCCGAGACATCCAGGGAGATAGCATTGGCATATCGAAGACCGTCGCACAGCTTCTTGGCACTCTCCAGAGTTCGGCAAGCAACTGTGACATAGATGCCGGCCTTGTCCAGTTCAACAGCAGTCGGTCGTGTGACGAAGCCTGCACCAAGCAGCAATACTGACCTAAAAGTTCATTAACATTCATAGTTGTTGAGATCAAGAGTTCATTCGAATGTTGACCTACTTGGAGGTGCCCATGGAGGGCAGCATAGAATCCATATTTGCGTTTTGATTGTCTGGTATCGAATGAGATTACTGTTGTTGTCTTGCAATTGAAGAAATTGAAGGTTATAAGTGATTTTAATGTTGTTTGACGAGCATTACTGCACCGATGACGGAGTTGTGGAGGAATTCGTGTTCAGGCAGCAAGGCACCAACAATTTCTCTGCTTGCACACGTTGCTTAATGAGCTGCAACATAATTTCTGATATGCTACCACCAGCATCAGCTTGATCATCGATTGAAGGCATCAGAGAACACAGACATCATGTCAGCAGTCGACATGTTCTGGGCTGCTCCGCCAGTCGCCAGGTACGCAGTCGCCTCTCACCTATGTATCCGCACAGTAGTGGCGGCAAGTAACAGCTTCTGATACTGATGCAGAAACCTTACTTTAGAACCATCACAGCTGCAGCAGTCCTCCTCTCCGTACCAACATGGATGGGTCTGATAAGCCCCTACTACTCCGTCTTCGTCCGAGATCGGATATTCACCCTCACGAGAATACCTGAGATCTGGCGACTCGTCACCCCATTCATCCTCACGGGACCCAAATTCGGCCTACTCATGGACCCGTACTTCCTGTACACGTACGGAAGCCAGCTGGAAACAGAAGCAGCGCGGTTCACTCAGCCCGGCGACTTCTTCATGTACCTCGTCTTCGTGGCGGTAATAATACTGGTAAGCCTTTCACCAAGAGAAAACACCCCCGGCCCTATCTCTTTCCCCCGTCACCCTCCCTCACCCTAGCATGTCCTGCACGAACCTCGAAATATCTGCCCGGCCAGCCCAAAACTAGCTGTGAACGGTTCCTGAATAGAGGAAGAGAACCCCTCGTACTGCGCGAAGCTCGTCATTCGCAAAACATAAGAGAGCCTAGCGGAGTGCGAGCACGGTGGGATGCCGAATTGAGAAAGCTGTCTACCTTGAAATTCTGTGGTGCGACGGTGGTTTCTGGACCCTACATTTCTTTCTGCACAACATCCACATTTCGCCACTTGCAACGGTTACTACGCAATACCATGTTACGCCTCTATGACGATGGCATTTACTAACACAAACCCCCCAGCTCCTCGGCGGCATCTACCTCCAAGGCGTCTTCCTCCTCTCCCCCCTCACCCTAGCTCTAGCCTACACCTACGCGCAAGAAAACCCCAACCGCCAACTAAGCTACTTCATCGTCACCTTCTCCAGCAAATGGCTGCCCTACGCCATGCTAGCCATGACCTTCGTCACCGCCTCGCCGCAGGAAGCCCTGCTCCAAGCCACGGGCCTCGTGGCCGCACATGCCTATGACTTCGTCACGAAGATCTGGCCGCAGTATGGGGGTGGGAGGCAGTTCCTCACTACCCCGGTGGTGGTGAAGGGGTGGTTTGCGAAGCTGGGGGGGACGGCGCAGGCGAGAGGTGCGGGGACGGCTTTCGCGGCGAGGTCTGGCGGGACGGGGCCGGGGGCGAATGTGCCGCCGGCACAGACGGGGAGTGGTGGGGGTTGGGCGAGTGGGTTTAGTGGTGGTGGGAATACTGCGTGGGGTGGCCGGAGTTCGGGGAGACGTCTCGGTAGCGACTAGACTTGTCATTGTCTTGAGATAGTAGCAGTACAGTGCACGACTTGACAGCTACATTGTTGTATCACATCACGAACTTTCACTCTCAACGCCGCCACATTTCCATGTTCTTGAATGAATTCACCATAGCGGCGTCTGCCCGACGCAAAAGGCACGTGCTCGATGTTGTGAGGTAGATCGTGTCACATTTTGCGTACCGGATACAATGGAGAAGTTTTGAACAGCCACTAGGATCTGTAAGATATCCTGATACAAGAAAGTCGCTTGAACGCCAACAACAATTCGATAAGTCCACTTAATGAGCATGTCCATTCATTCTGGGCTTCACATTCTCGTCATCATCATCGCTCATCAGACCCTCCAGCTCGAATTCCTGCGCGTCGTGCGCTTGCCTATCCATGGCGTTGGGCACTCGAGCATGGCCGTTCACTGGTCTCGAGGACTCCTCGTCGTCGCTGGGCTTAGCCCCTATTGTTGTCTTGCCGCCTGAGGACTGCGCGCTGTAGAGGTGGAGGAGCATGAGGACGACTATCAAGGTAGTCAGCAAGGCAAGATACGATTAGTATGGGTTGGCGCTGTGGACTTACATAGAAACAGGAGGAAGCTGATGCTGTATAGGATCAGGATGTAGGACACGTGTGTCACGCCTGCATCGGAAAGCATCTGCATTTGCTCCTCTGTGGCGCCCATGAAGAGGAAGCCGCTGGCGTAGAGGAGGAAAGGCGGAAGATACTGGAAGCTGTTGATCTCCGAGTCGATGTCGTCTGGTCTCTCCGGTGCTACTTTGTCTCGCAGCACGAATGCGATCTCGATCAGGCGAGTGATGCCGGCAGACATCAGGGTGTAGCCGAAGACACCATGCACTTTCGTGGATAGCATGAGAGACTGAGGATGCGCGCTCATGGCCCAGCCGGTCATGAAGATGACGATAGCTGGGATGAGGTTGCGTTTCGGTCTGCCGGCACGATCTCGTGAGAGCCAGATGCCGACGAGGCCGGCTGCCCACCAGATGATGCCCATGCTTGTGTGCTGCAGATCGTTGTGGACCCATGGTCCTCCCCATCGATGTTCGGTGAACGTGTTCACGCAACCCCAGAGTGCGATGATAAGACTGTCCCAAAATTCTTGACTCCTGCCCGTCCGTGCCAACCACGCTTGTCCGCAGAGAAGCAATATGGTGAGCACAATCCCATAAGCGATAAAAGCCGAACCCATAATAAAATGCGCCAGACACTGTCCCAAATGATCACCCTGACAAAACCCCTGCGTCGCAATCCCCCCAAGCAACATCTGCACCCATGCCGCCACAGGAATGATCCCACCCAAGATAGCATGGCCTTTAACCTGCCACTTCCTCACCCTCCCCAAAAACCCCCTCTCCAGATGCAAGCGCAGATAAGCTCCCAACACCACCTGCGCAATCAACAAAAACATCAACCAATTCGCAAAAGCACTATGCGCATTCTTCGAGAACTGGCGTCCCTTATGCAGATGTCCGAGAAAGTAACCCGCGAGCGCGATGATCGAGGCTAGAGTTTGGGTGGGGACGTGCCAGCGATTGCGGACGAGGCCTAGGACCATGCCGGTTGGGAAGAGGATGCCCCAGGCGAGACATTGGAGGAGGATGTGGGACCAGAGGATGGAGTCGATGGGGTCGGCGGAGATGGCGAGGCCTTCTTCTAGGTGGGAGTGGTCGCCGTGGGCGGAGGTGTGGGTGGCAAGGAGGAGGATAATGGGGAGGGGGAGGAGGGGTCTGGTGCGGAAGGTGGCCATCTTTGAACGATAGTTAGGTATCGTTTCGTGTACGGTGTCAGGTAGGATGGCAAATGCGTGCAGTAGCAGGAGGTAAGACACTTGCACGTGCTTCGGAAGCTCGGAAGTGGGGATTGCCGAATCCGGGGTGAACAGAAGTGGAAGGGACGCGTGAGGTGAGTTAAACGCGAAACAGCACGACTTCATTGCTCACGACGACATCTGATTGAGTTCAACACAAGATCGGTCTAGCAATGTCGAGGCGACTGTACGGAGTAGCATACACACATCTACCGGCAACATGACGACACAGGGAGAGAATGCTACTGCACCTTCACAGCCAACCTCAGACAGCATCCCCCCATCTTCAGAGGCACCAGCACCAAGTTCACCTTCACCTGTCAAGACCTCACAACCAGAGACCTCAACCCCAGCACCAACAAACCCCCGCCTGACAGCTCTAGCAACCAAGAAAGCCACTCTCGAACAAACCCTCGCCGACCTCCAAGCCCAACGCTCCGCAATAGTCGCTCAAACCACACTCCCCTCAGGTCTAGCAATGCCCGCAGACTGGAACGAAGAACAGCGGACCAAACAGGCTCTCAGTGGCGCGAACAGTATCATCAAGGAGCATATTGCTCTTCTGCACAAGTACAATGAAATGAAGGATATCGGGCAAGGACTCATGGGTCTGATTGCCGAGCAGAGGGGTGTGAGGGTCAGTGAGGTGATGGAGGATTTCGATATGGGGCGGAAGGATTAATTGGGTGCTACGAGAAGACTTCCTAATTAACGATTCCGCGGCATGATCGTGAACACGATCGAGCGAGTTGTGGCCCTCGGGGAGATTCTGCCTCCTATCGCCCATAACTCACATGACCGTACGAGTCATGAATAAGCGAGCTGCCTGGAGACGTGTTCTCAAACCACCGTATAGCATCGTGGGAGGTAAGCCTAGAAGCTTAGACTCGCGATCCTCGCATACGCATGCTGACATGTCCTGTCCGGTCAAGTCTGCCTGCTTCCAAGAAGCCGCCACCACGACCGAGAGAGAAATGGTTCCATGGCCGAAGTGCAGCCCGACTTCTCTGGCCGGGGACACGCTGTAGAGAGAGTGAGGTACCGTCACTGCCACTGGATGTTGAGCTGGCAGTGAGGCACATAGCGACTCAGCATACCCTGTTCGCTGAAGACAAAATCATCGTTACCCACGCTCCTCAACTCAAACAGCCCACTCGTCCCTATCATCCTTATCCGTCACAAACGGCAAATCCACCATCCTAACAGCCAACTCATCACAAAGCACACACCCCCCCGCCACCAACCCATCCAACTCCCTAACCATCCCCTCCCTCTTCCTCCCCAAAGCAACCCCCCTCCCAATCTCCCTCTGCAACTCCCTCACCCTCTTCTGCCTCCCTACCGCAATCCTCGCCAACACCATCTCCCCAAGACAATCCGCATGAAAAGAGTGCTGGCACGGAAACACGAAGAACTGCCTCATCAAGAGCGGTAACCGACACTTCCAGCACCGTTCCCCTGGTTCCACGATCGCATACCGTGTATCCAAAGCTTGAATATCGTCCTTGATATGCGCGGCCGTAGAAGCACTCTCATCCATCTCCCGCTTCAACCCCTCAATTTGCCGGGAATACTCCTCCAACGCCGCGCAAATCTCCTCTTTGAAATCATCAATGACGACGAAGTCCGGGAAGAAGGGGATGAGGTCCTCGATATGCAATAAATCGCAACGTTTCAGGAACTCGATTGCCGCTTTGATGCCTTTTGCTTGTCCAATCACTTTCTTGGCGACTTTGAGCCAGAGTTTCTTGCGCAGGGCTTCGTCGTTGCCCGGGCGATCGGCCACGGTGGCGGCGAGGTCGACGTGGTTGTGTTTTAGGGCGAGGTCGACGGCGGAGGCGTATTGTTGCATTGTGCAGTAGACGTGGACGGCGCTCTGGACGCGCTGATGGGCTATACACAGCCGAAGAGCGAAGTCGGCGTCGTAGTTTTGTTCGTGGGATTGGGATTGCGTTTCTAGGTAGGATAGTAGTGCTGTTTCGTCCTTTGAGCGATGCGAGGCGTAGAGGGAGAGGAGGGTGTTGTGGACGGCGGGTTCGGTGGAGTGGGCGTGGTTGATGCAGAAGAGGAGGTAGCGGATTGCTTGGTTTTGACTCAAGGACACGCTGTCGCCGAGGACTTTGTTGTAGTTTAGTAGAGCTGGGATGAGCTTTTTGGCGTCCAGGTTTGGTTGGCGCATGAGGACTTCGGTTAGTTCGACGGCGACGTGGGCCATGAGGACTGTGCTATATTTGTAGAACATTTCGGCGGAGGTTTGTTTCTTGAGGACGTTCATGGCTTCTTGCCAGCGTTCGCGTTGAACCCAGTAGGAGAGCACGTAGTTGTAGTCGTCGATTACGTTGGCGTAGAAGAGGAGTTCTTCCTCTCTGCCGTGCGCGCTTATGATTTCGTAGACTGTCTTTGCATCCAAGTCTGCTTTGTTGCGGGCACAGAAGTCTTGGAATTCCTTGCGCATGGCTGGAAGCTGCTTTTGTGTCTCGGCGGCTGAGGCGGTTGTCCTTCCACCATCGGCATTTGTGGTGAGCTCTGCTTTCGTGCTGATTGTATCGTCTAGCTGATTGAGCTTGGCCATAAACAACTCTATAAGCCACGCAGCGACCATTGTTCGTTGCATGACAGCTTTCTTCGACAAATTCGAGAGCTTGACCAGTAGATACTTTCTCAGCGCATCGTGCTCGCCCTTGTCAATGAAGCTGAGAGCGACGTCCTCGAACGCTTTAGTGCTCTTGCCTAGCACCACAGCTGCTTCCCCATACTGACCAGAGCTGATCAGATGATCGCCAGTCATTGATGCAACCGCATCCTTTTGATCAGTAGTCTTGGCATAGCGCTGAGCAGCCTCATATCGGCCCTGCTTGAGCATGATGCGCCAGACATCGCGAGCTTCGTCGGTGACTACGACCTCGAAGATCTCGTTGGCTGTGAAAAGCCAATATGTGTTCTTCTGGTGATCGGCGAAGAGGCCAAGGCTGCCTGTACCTGGCTCAAGGACTTGTTGGTTATACACTACTGATTCGTCCAACCTGTTCACACCAGTAATCCGTCCTTCGACCAAAGCCAGGATGTGGAACTGCGTGAGGATGGCAGAAGCGATCGGTGGCTGCTGAGTCCTGGGTCGACCACCAGATGTCTGCAGCGGCGGTAGTTTCGACTGAGGCAACAGCTTAGATTCTCGGAAAATCTGTCTGCCTAACACAGCGGGGTCAGGAGCTGAAGTCAGAAGCTCGCCACTGAGGATGCCTTGCGCAGATAGCCACGCGAACGCTCTTTGAGCGTCCTCGCTATCGACTGCTGATGCCGAAGCTTCAGGGGAGTCTGGCGACACGGCCAGACTTGCAGGCACTGCCACACCAGTCCTGTCCACTTCATGAACAGCAGGCGTCTCGCTCTCGAAGAGCTTCGCATAGACACTACCACTGCCCTCTGATCCTTGCCTTCCAGTCCGTCCAGCGAAATGCAGAAGCTTGTGTGCTGTAGCTATCATGACTCGTCTCGTCTCCGGCCTGGTCGAAAGCACATCGGCGTATATACCGATCACCGCGCCATCCTGAGGATTGTATAGATTCCGCACATACTTCTCCTGCCGTCTGTAAAACTCGCTCGTAGGCTCGATGAACGTCTCGTATATGTTGCCGTCGGCAGCTCCAACCAGTATCTCCCTTGTCGAAGCTGTAGGTTGTGAAGGACTCCATGCTATGCTCTCGACCTGCACTCCCTTCAGTCCTGCTAATGCTTTCGGCTGCCGCGACTGGGTATGCAGGTAGAAGTTCTCGCCGAGAGTCGTGCTGATGATCAGGTGTGATGCTGAGGGATCAAGGAAGAGTCTCCGTATAAGGCCAATCTCGGCAGGTCGTTTGGGAAGGTCTATATCATCGATGTCCTCGGGATTGTCCAAGTCGAATCGAAGTATGCGACCGGTCGACAAGGCGAGGACAAGGACATTGTTGGCTACCTGGGCTGCAACAAAGTCCGCTGATATTGGGAATTGCAGCTGCACCTTCTGCACGTCGAAGATGGGGATTTGGCCGTCATCGTTTCCGCCGGCAGCATAACCACTTGCCGGATCAAGTGACATTGTTATCGCATCGCTGCGGTGATCGTGAGAACCACTTGAGACGCTTCTCGCCGAGGTTCCAGCGTGACATGCAGCGAGGAGCTTGGGCCACCAGGCATCAGATGAGGCTCAAAAAGTTTCACGATGCACACGCAAGAAACATGATCGATCGGTGGCACTCTTCGAAAGAAAAGAAGACTTCGGTGCTGAGATGGCCACCAGGCAGGATACCGCTGGCCCTCAAGCAACCTTGCGCACCATCACCTATCGGCTGTCCACAGCCTCACCGAAATCATTGCCTCAAGTTGCAGCGCAAGTTGCAGGTCTTCTATGGAGCTGCAAAGAACTTCTGTCTTCGTCCAGTACCGCAAAGCAAGGCTCGGCGGCAGCCACTACCGTGCACCGCTTCAGGACCTATCTGTCAACTCTACTCCAAGATAGGACCATCGAAGGACGATGGGCAGCAGTCGTCCTGGTCAAAGCCACGATCGAAGCTGGAGGACTGGAGGTGCTAAGCAAAAGCAATGGCTGGGTCAAGAACCTGCTTGGTATCCTCAAGCGACCAGATCCTCCCACTACTCGGATACTGGCTACCATTAACTTGATACGCATTTTCATGTTGACATGGGATCACTCAAATCTGGTGCGCGAGACAACGACACCAGCTCTGCCCGGCTTCGTGGCAACATGCCTTAGCAATGCCAATCATCAGCGCTGCTCTTCAGCTGAATTGCATACTACTCTCGAGGCTTTCGCGACTTTGCTACCACGACATCCGACCATTTTCCGGACGAACGAGACACAAATCCGAGCGCTACTGACGCGAATATTATCATCTGGCTCGATAAATGTCTCCGAAAGCCACTACTCGGCCGAACACCAAGATGTGGCTCGGCGTGTGCTAGTCCTGCTCCATCATTGCTCGCCCAAGCAAGGTGCAGGGGCCAAGTGGGATGAGACATTGAAAGCCACAATCACTGCCACTCATGCAACCTGCGATCGAGTGTTCAGATCTGTGGTGGAGAACTGGCAGTCTAGTAGTGGCGTACAGCCCTCAGTGAACGCGAATGTACTTCTACAAGGCGAGGCGCAGATGGAAGTTGATGATGCTGCTGGGTTACATGGCTGGACAGGCATCTTTGCTGGTAGTGAGCGACTGATATCGCTGCTCGGCATTCTCGAGGCAGATATGGAGACAGAAACTTCTGGCGTAGTAACGGTCCGTGTTGGAGCCGTGCTCGATCTGGTGTCACGAATCCTCAATCTGCGGATACCATCCGCAAAGCATGGCTCGGCAACACTGAATCATCAGGTATCGAAAGATGAAAGAGATGCGCTGTATGTCAACCTACCGAGCGTCCATGTTGCTGCAATTGCCTTAGTACAGAGCTTACTGCAGCGCTTTGGCAAAGCAGCGACGTCCACAGTACAGACCCTACTTGGTGAGGTCACGTGGCTATTTGCTACAGAGTCGACAGAGCTCGATGTCCGCACCGGCATCTACAGTGTGACTTCAAACATCCTCGAGCTACAAGGTTCCAGCCTCACGAAGGACGATGTAATAGACATCGAGAGCATCATCAAGAAATGCTGCGAGGACCTGCTACCCATCGGTCAGCATGGCTCGACACAGATATTGATGGTCAATGCGGGTGACATCGGCACACAGCAGGCGAATACAGCGTCCAGCCACGCAACAAGGCATGCCAAATTAGATGTTGCAGCAAAAGCTCTGCTTCGAAATTGCTTCGCGAAGCTCTACCCACCACATATCCCTGGTCGACTTCGAACACTCATGGAGAGGACAGCTGTGCTGACACAGGACAAAGAGGCCTTGGTTTCGTGCGTACTCAATCCTGCGGTGAGCAGTAATCGATCCAAGGTTCAGCCTAGTCTGCTTCCTTTGCTGGCTCAACAGCACGCGAATGCTGCTGAGGTGGAAGCAATTCTGCGCCCTCGTATGCCTGTCGTACGCACTGGACGGAAGCAAGCAGACGAGGACGAGCTCGAGGAGGATAAGTACGAAGCCGACGATCATGCAGAAGAAGATGTCACGGTGATTGATGACAACGCAGAAGCAGACGCTCAAGGTGGCGCTGATCAGCAAGCTATTGAGCCTACAGCTGACCTGCTAGCTGCTCTTGTCCAGCAAGATGCTGCGGCGGATAGTGAAGATTTGTACTCGGTCTCACCACAAATCATCGCCAAGACACGTCAGGAAGAGGCTGTTGTACTGGGAATCACATCCGAGAAGCGAAGAGCAGAAGAATTTCCAACAGAAACCGGAGCGCAGAAGCGTGCGAAGACTAATGCCGTCGAGGAAGGATCACCGGGACACGGCGAGGTGCAGGCCACAACGATATCAGAGCACCCGCCTAGCAGCTTCGTGACCGCACCTGAGCCGTCGCAGCAGGTGGTAGCTGAAACAAAGACTGTCTCTTCGACCGCAGTCACCAATACTGTCGACATGGGTAGTGATGACAGTGACTTCGAGATGCCTCCTTTGACCATGGAGCAGGATACTGAGGATGAGGACGATGAGGGCGAGGAGTAGCTGGGGATTCGTAGACAGGGCTGTTTGTATCAAGAATTCATGTAGCGCAATAACCTGCAAGCTAGTCGTGGCACCATTCGTCGGCAGTGAGGTGAAACGAAATGACTTCCCGCACAGACCAACTTGTCGCGCTTGAAACGCGTTGATCCTTCGAATGTCGCGGTCGCATATACGGTCGCTTTAATTCACAGATCTCGCGCACTCGTCCAAAGCACATTAAACATTCACCATCGCTCACTCACATACCATCCACATCACCGCCGCAATGTACACACTCCGCGCCGCCCGCGCCGTCCCAACAGCGACCCGCACCTTCTCGACAACAACCCCTCGAGCTCTCGCCAAGATGCAACTCATAGGACGTCTGGCAGATACTCCCGAGGCCGTGCCCACATCGACAGGACGAGAACTGATCAAGTACTCACTCGGTGTGCAAGGTGGACCAAGAGACGAGAATGGCAATCGGGCTGTGAGCTGGTTCAAGGTGGCTAGTTTCGCAGAGGGAGCGCAAAGAGATCTGCTTTTGAGTCTGCCTAAGGGGTGAGTAGTGTCACGCAACTGGCGCGACGAAGGATATCTGGAGGTCATTACGGATCGTGAGACGGAGCTGATGCGCGTGGCTTTACAGAACACAAATGTACGTCGAGGCTGAGGCGAAGATGGACAAATACCAGACTCAAGACGGAAGCGAAAGGACGGCGCTGAACTTGCTACAACGTGCGTACAGGATTCCAATCACGTCTAGTGTCCACGACCGTGTGGTCCCTCTAACATGCTACAGGCAACTTCGAAGCCCTCTCACGACCGCAGAACCGTGCTAACGAGTCAACGACCGGTGCCGAGTCCAATACCAATGCTGCTGAGGAGCCCTTGAGTGGTATCGGCGCATCTTGAAAGTATCGGAAGCAGTCTGTGTAATTCTACATTGTCTCGTACAGTGCGCGAATAGTGTATAGGCTCGTGTGAAGCCCTCGGGAGTTAGGACTGCCTGGACTTGGATTTGATGATGATGGAATGATACCTGGTTCACTCTACTCTGTATAGCGAATATACTGTACGTCTTACTCTCCACTCACAGCTCAAAGTAGCTTCCGGATAGGAAGCAGCATTTGCAGTGCTTGATCCTGTGTCATATGACGGAGGCGAGTACACATGAAGACTACCTGCGCACCACTCGGCTATGGTCTGGAAAGCAACGCTCAGCTTACAATCTGCACTCTGTAGATCCACGTAGGTACGGTAACATCTCACGATTAAGACTAGACTTGGCGGATCGCCGGCTCAGCGGCAGATCTCATATGAGGTATTTACTGGCTTGCATTGCATCGACAGTCTAAAGCTGAACGCCGCTTGACATGATTACAAATGGGAGCTGGGTGTCAGGCGTGCCGTCGTCGGTCGTCGAAGTAGTTCGGATGTGATCAGACGGTAGTAGGCACGACATCGAATGTTCGAAGAGACATCCAGGAATGCGGTCCGCTGCGTTCATGCGATAGTGGAACCTGGACAAAGCATATCGGTTACACTTGACCCGTCCCGCGGTCAAGCATCGCAAGAACTGCGCCATTGGCGGGCAGACGGCGGGTCAGAGGAGATTTTCTGTCGGCTGCGGTTAGTGGAGATGGAGCTTGAGTCTCGTGGAGTCGTGCATATGGCAAGTCTACTCGGCATCGTCGGTGTGAGCAGATTTCGGTGGACACTACTTCGCTGTCAACTGGCATGCACAATAATATGGGCAGATGAGCCTCGAATATGCGGTGTACGAGTCGCGATACCGCCACCTGATGCACGTGGTGAGCATTGCTCGTCGAAAGGACTCTCTTGGCAAGGGTTTGCCAGCAGGAGCACTTTCAATTTCTTCGGCGTCGGTGAACCAGCTTGTTTCCTCCTGTCCTGACACACGCAATGTCATTACTGCAACAAGCGTTCGCGGCACTTGGCAATTTCTTTCCTACACCATGCTACCACTACATCAGGGAGACTTCCCGACTCCGTACTTGTATCCGCTGACCGCAACCATTCCTTTTTGACATTACTCTGAAGAGGCTAGCCTAGCCAGAATGGACAGCACCATAGAAATAAATCGCGCTTGAGGGGTCTCTGTCGCTCTGCCGAGACCGCGCTTTTCGTCAGCAATATTCACGCGACCTTTGAGAGAACGAAATCCTGCTTGCTGCGCGTGCTGCATTGAAACGTGCTCTTCCTTCGACGATATGTTTCTTCCACTGCACGAGTGAGCCTGAGGCAAAGCGTTTTTGAGCCTTACCAAACCGCTCTGCCGGAAGTGTCTCGTCGGCACTGCTTCGTCATCCAGCCGGCTTTCCAACCTCACTGCCGTTCTACAGAACAACCCGCCTCGCTGGGCCTTGGCTCGCTCGCCACTCGTGATACGCAAACGAGTGTGGCTGAATACCCAATATCACATCACTCGCATCCGTTCTCTGACGAACTCTCTTATCATTCCAACCCAGGCAACAGCATACATCTCGTGGATATAATACACAATTCGACATAACCGCGGCGACCGTCACTGCGGCTGTCGTCGCCAAGCACGACACCAGCAGCTTAGATTTGCCTATACATATTGAATATTCAGTCGAACACCATCAGCATGGCTGTCGAGGCTGTCTCACAGCACTCGCCCGAGGTCAGCTCGGGCGCATCCTCCGAAAATGTCAGCACCAACGGCCACATCAAACCATCCTCAACCCACGACTCCCACGATATGATCCCCAACGGCGAATCACGACCAGTACGACCAGCGCCCATGCAAAAGAAGTCCACGCTCTCGAGATTAAGCAGGATGTTCTCACAGAAGGATGCCAACGCCGAGACTCGAGATCTGCCTAAGCAGGTGAACGTGCCAGAGACTGCAGTCGAAGAGGCGGAGGATGTGGACACAGGTGAAAAACGACCCGCGGTACCTTCGAGACAATCGTCAAAAGCAGGTCTACCTCCCGGCGCAGTGACCCGGACCGGCTCCGACTCGAAGAAGGAGAAGGAGAAGGAGAAGAGCCATGACCAGGCAGCTCCGGGACCAAAGCGATTTTGGGTTGACGACGACGGCGACCATCACCACACTCTGAAAAGCGCGAAGAGACAGGAGAAGCTTACGGACATGGTGCGAGACTTCTTGGGCGGCAAGAAGAAGGAACACCACGACGATCCTCAGCAACTCTCATTGATGTCGTCGTGGGTGGATCAGATTAAGAATGAACGGAATAAGTACGCGGGTGAGAAGACAGGAGGCCCAAATGCATCCGCTTCGTTAGTGCAGAAGTATGGTAAATGCCAGGAAATTGTTGGACGGGGCGCATTTGGTATCGTGCGGATAGCACACAAGGCCGACCCAAAGGATGCGAAACACGAGCAATTATACGCTGTCAAGGAGTTCCGGAGAAGACCTCAAGAAGACGCCAAGAAGTACAGCAAGCGACTGAACTCGGAATTCTGCATCTCTTCGTCATTACGGCATCCGAATGTTATTCACACTCTGGACTTGCTAGAAGATGCCAAAGGCGACTACTGCGAAGTGATGGAGTTCTGTGGTGGTGGCGATCTGTACTCTCTCGTTCTCGCTGCCGGCAAGCTCGAAGTGGTTGAAGCCGACTGCTACTTTCTTCAACTCATGCGTGGCGTGGAGTACATTCACGAAATGGGGGTGGCGCATCGCGATCTCAAACCCGAGAACCTCCTTCTCACCACCCACGGCGCTCTCAAGTTGGCCGACTTTGGCAACGGCGAGTGCTTCCGCATGGCGTGGGAGACGGAGCCGCACATGACGCAGGGTCTTTGTGGTAGCGCACCATACATTGCGCCTGAGGAGTACACCGACAAGGAGTTTGACCCACGGGCAGTGGACGTGTGGGCGTGTGGCGTGATATACATGGCTATGCGAACTGGCAGGCATTTGTGGCGTGTGGCGAAGAAGGATGAGGACGAATTCTACGAAAACTACATTCGTGGACGGAAAAGTGAAGAGGGCTATGCGCCGATTGAGACGTTGCATAGGGTGAGTTGTGGCGAACAAGATTTTGCAGAGATACGATACTGACAATCTTGACTAGGCACGTTGCAGAAACGTCATATACAGCATACTCGATCCAAATGCCGGCCGACGCATAAGTGCCCACCAAGTCCTAAATTCAGAATGGGGCAAGGGCATCAAAACCTGCAAGGCTGGCGAAGAGGGTCTGTAACACTCTCCGCCGGGCACAGAGTTGGCTTGTCATTCGTTACACCATCGAGACTTCGGCCCCATCTACCACTTTGATGGTAGCCATCTATCTTTCAGCACATACGGCACGACAGCATGGATTCATCTTCGAAAGCGACTGCCATGGCAGCGCACATTTGGGTTAAGGGCATTTTGGATGAAATGAGCGTTCTAGCGAGCACGGGCACGAGCATGGCATGCAGACAGATTTAAAGCACGCATTTGACGAATGACGGCCGAGACTCACGCTCGGAGGCACGTATGCCAAACGTGTGGCATGAAGTGTGCTCATTGGGCAACTGTACTTAGAATGAATAGTTCGGCTAGCATTCGATGCCTCCTCACAAGTTCTATAAGGACATCTTCAGAACCGGTTCTGCCACACATTTGATGTTTGGACTTGCGACTGACTCCCGCTAGTGATCGATGCTGTACTCGCGATGTCGCTATACCACCAAAGTGACGGTCATCAAACGAAGCCTGATCGTCAACTTGATCACGTGCATGACTCAGCCTCCGACCAGCAAGCGATCGGCATGCTCAGCCTCTTCCTTCCACAATCGCGTCGCGGGAACCTCAGCCTTGTGATGGCTTCCGTCACAAAGCAAAAGCAACCTCCCATGTGACGACTGGCTTGCAAGGGAATGGCGCAGGCAGCGAATAACGCATCTTCGAATAATCCTCCAGAGGCACATCTGGTCATGCTTGACCGGGTAGACAACTAAGCCCTGCGATCGGCCTCCATGTCGCTGCGCATGTTGGAGTCCAGTCTAGCCAACACACTTGTGCATATCACGCCAGATAACAGATAAGAACGCTAAGTGAGTAGCATGACCACACCTTTGTGTAACAACTCTTTCCCAATTTCACTGCAAGACGAACACCGCGATTCAAGCTAGCCCTTGGGCACCAACACATTTACCTCATTCCTTGAGCTCGCTACAACACTTCAAGTCCTAGCAGACGACCATGGGCTGCATTCCCTCCTCCTACTCCGCTCCCGCACCAGGCCTTCGCGACGCAGGTGTCGGAGATCCAAGGATTGCAAATGATAAAATCGATAGCGAGCGCAAAGCCCGCAAGACACGAAGGCGTCGACGCGGCAATGCTGGAGCTTTCGCTGCGATGGGTGGTGCTGCAGCGGCTAGGTAAGTTGTTTTCTGGCGCCCCGCCTGTACGACAGAAGAATGTTGGGGTTGGTGGGCATGGTGTTTGATATGTGCTGACGGGGTTTCTTGTAGTAGTGCAGGCGGAGGCGGTGGTGGCGGTGGCGGCGGATGCTAGAATGGTCCTGCGAGTAGTATCTTGACAACGATTCGATGGGTGGTGTGGTTCCTTCTCCCTGTGGTATCGACGACCTTCATCGATGCAGTTGATGCTCAGACTGTGGTGGACGGTGTACTAGCAGACTGCCAATTGCTCTGTGCGGTGGACGGGGCGTTCAATCGGTTTGATACATCGGTGTATCGTCTTATCTCGAATGTAGCTACCAGACAGCCAACTCGTTGATACAACAGCTGCCCAACATGTTGCGCTCGGGGGCAGATACGTTCGGCCTTCAACCAGGTTTCATATCTCCTCCTATTCTGTCATTTTGGTGCTAACCTTGCATACCAGCTGGTGGGTAAAACCTCATAGCATCTGGCTTTATAATCTCCGAGCGTGTGGAGGTCGAAGTGGTCAAAAGAACGGCGGGTATGTTCGCAAGTTCAGTGGCAATCCTAATGTACAGGTATGGACGTTTCACATGGATAGGCTTCGGGCCGTGTCCGGCGCTAGCGAGTCGGTGAGACGTCACTCCGATTGGGCATGAAATGCGCGAGCTTGCGACTCGCGTGAATTGCTCCAACATGCCATATCATGACCTAGTTGCTCACAGCATACACGACCCCAGTACGAGAAGACACTTGCAAGTCGCGACGCCTTCGACCTTCGACCGACTCTGAAGTCTCTGGAGACCAGCCTTGACACACAGTCCATTGGATCATACGACCAGCCGAAGCCTTCCGCCAGCCTTGGGTTGCTACGCACGAAGGACATTTATCGCATCAACCCCGACGTAAGAGCACAGAAGAGGTTCTGGATACACCTCTAGAACATGCGGCATAGCAAGGCTTATTAGGCTCCTGTCTCGGCTCGCTGCCTGACCGTTCAACACAGCGTAGAGAAGCGCTTAGTGACGCACTTCCTCTTCCCGTTCTCGACCTCATTCGTGCGCACATTACAGCGGTGTGGGTCGGAGTATACCTCAACATCTCGTGGGAGGGAGGGCACACAAACGGCCCTTCCTGAGCCAGGACGGCGACATGCAGACGAATCAAGCATCGCGTAAGAGAGCTGCACCGGGCACGTCACCTATGCCACCACTCGCGCCCCAGCAGCAGAACTTAAATTTTCAGCAGCCCACAGGCAATGCAGATTTTGGCAGTTACGATTTCTCGCAACCATTCAATGCCGAGCAGACCTTTGGCGACGCCTCGATAGCGATACCGCAAGATGCCAACAACTTCTCGTATATGCAGGATGCAGCGCTGCAACCCGCGTATGGCACAGCTGTCGCACCAGTACCCGTACAATCTACCGATCTTGTGCGACGGGCCCGAAACCATCCGCTTGCACCGCAGAATGGGCAGGATCAAGACCAATGGATGAGCATGGGTGGTAACAGTAGGGGTGCGACCGTGAGCGATGAGGATGAACAAGATCTGGATATGAAAGTTGCACTGGCCAAGAGGGATGCGCAAGGCAAGCGGAAGCAGATTCCGCCATTTGTGCAGAAGCTTAGCAGGTAAATAATTGCTTCATGACAGAGACGTTGGTGATGGCATGCTGATGATTACTATAGCTTCTTGGATAGTAGCCACACAGATCTGATTAGATGGTCAGATGACGGACGTTCGTTCATTGTTCTGGACGAGGACGAATTCGCACGGACATTGATACCGGAACTATTCAAACACAACAACTATGCCTCATTTGTTCGCCAGCTGAACATGTACGGCTTTCACAAGACAGTAAACATTACCGACGGCTCGCTCAGGCAGTCCGAAAAGGCTCGAAAAGGGGTGAAGCCTCCTAGCATGTACTCACATCCATATTTTCGAAAGAATAGACCGGATCTGTTGTGGCTTATACAGAAGCCAACTACCAAGCCTGGTGTCAAGAGGAAGCGGGATGGAACAGTCAAGGATCAATTCGACAGCGACGATGAGCGGCAGTATTCACCTCCTGTCGGCGGAAATCCCATCAGTGGTGTCATCGGAGAAGTTAGTGGGTCTGGCGCAAGTCAGGACGTGGCGACTCTTCCACGTAACGAACTGGTGACTGTACGCCGAGAGCTGCAAAAGCTACAAAATCAGCAACGATATATCTCGCAAATGATTTCGTCTCTAAAGGAGCAGAACGACCAATTCTACCGACAAGCAAGTGCCTTCCAAGCACTGCATGATCGACACGAGAACAGTATCAACGCCATTCTGACATTCCTCGCAACCTTCTACAACAGAAGCCTCGAAGGTCATGGCGCGCAAAACCTGGTCAACATGTTCAATAACGTTGCGCAAAGTCAGCAACCTCAGGGAAGTGTCGAGGAAGTGCCCGAAGGCGCAACAGATAGTGGCAACAGAATGCCACGGTTCTTCAAAAAACAACCGCTACTACTACCTGGCCCCGTAACAAATCTGCAAAGCCAAAGTCCGCAACAGCCTGGCATAGCGGTCACAGCGCCACCATCAGCACGAACGTCCATAAGCCCACCTCATGATGGTTCGAAGCGTGATAGCACATCTAGCGTGCCACCACAAAATGCTTGGAAAGCCAGTACGAGTACCAATCCCGTCATCAAAGATGACGCGCCAACGCCAAACCTCCTCAACACTGTGCCAGAGAACGATGAGATGATGAGCCTGATCAATGGTATCAATGCCACGAACGCCTCCACTCCAAGCACAGCCGCACCTGCCTTTGACTTCAGCTCAGCACTAGAACACTATCAGAACGCCAACGGTAACGCACCGCTAACTCCACAACAACGGGATACCATGCTAGCACTCATGGCCAATCAACAAGCGAGCACCAACACAGCCGGCAGTAACGGCAACAACGCTCTCGTCTCCCCTACACCACCCACAATGCCCGATCTGAACCAATTGAAAGAGACACAGCAACAACTCGAAATGCTCACCAACCTCCAGAAAGTCCAAGACGAGAAGGTGCAAGAGCTCAATCGCAGACTTCAGCCTCTCAGCCCTACGGGTAGTATCCCGGGTATAGCGAAGTACGGCGACGAGGACCCATTCAACATCACCGGTGCCCCAGGCGATTACGATCCCAACGCCTTCGTGAACTTCGACGATGAAGGCTGGGGCGACATTTCCGCCGCGAATAGTGCAAATCCAAATTTCGACTTCAGTGCTGGCAATAGCGGCGGCGAGATGGGCGATGGGATCGACTGGGACTTCGGCAATAATGCAGCAGGCGACGATATGTTTCAACTTAACAACGATGCTGTTTCTCAGGCTCAGGCTCACGCAGCAGCGGGGGGGTCGGCGCCGCCTATGGAGGATCATCATCATGGCGGAAGTGGGCATGGAAGGGTGGAGAGTTTGAGTAGTGAGGCAACGAGCCCGGCGCATACTGTGGCTGAGCAGGAGGAGCCTGGGTCGACGCCTAGGAAGCGGGCGAGGAGATCTTAGTGAGAGATCGAAATCTTCTGCTAGTTTGGGGTGGGAAGATGTGGATAGGTCTGTTCTTCGCTTGTCGTGATATACACGCTGTGCATAAATGCAAGTACAAATACAGAGACGAAGTCTTGATGTCCTCCATGACGAAAGCCACATCCAGATCACACATATTCTGCTCTGCGAACGTATTGTTGGAGGCTGATGAAGCCTGAGTATGGCGTTGACTTGTGAATAGGGGCACCAAATGACTGTACGTCACGAACAGAAGATGCTGCATCAGTACCATGACAGCTATGGATACAAGACCCCACTGCTTTCCATCCGACGCAACGCTAATGCTACAAATGCCTCGGTGGCGGAAGTTCCAAGGACCAATCTAGATGAAATTCCCGATCAATCCGAATCAGCATTCACGTCCCCAACCTCACCAACCGGCACCTCGACTCCCTGCAACCCCATCCCATTCTCCATCTCCATCTCTCCGTCCCCCTCATCATCATCGTCCAACACCCTCGCGGCCTTCTTCCTCTGACCAGGAGCCGCTGCCGCCTCCACATCGTCACCATCCCCATCCACCACATCATCGTCATCCGCAGCTGGCGTCCCACTAGCAGCAGGAACATCATCGTCCTCGCTCTCCTCCACCACCTCAGCAGATTTGAACTTCGAACTCTTAGCCGCCTGCCCCTTCCGCTCAAGCTTCCTCTTTTTCTTCTGCCTGGGTCTAGCCTCCGCCTCGCCATCCGAGCCCGTGCCGGTAAATGGCGTGGTACTCGCTCCCCGACTCCTACCACCTTTCCCACCACCTTCAACATCAGTCCCCCCGGCAACTTCACCATCACTATCATCCTCCGTCTTCTTCTTCCGCTTCTGCCTCTTCTCCCTCGGCTTCTTCTCCCTCTTCTTCTTCTCCCCCGTCTCAGCATCAGTAGTATACTCTGCCTCCTCCCGCCTCTTGTCCTCATCTTCCCTCAACACCCTCGCCTCCCGATCTTCCTCCGCCATGCGTGCGCGCTCCTCCTTGATCTTGCGCTCGCGTTCCTGCATCTCACCCAGTGCCTTCTCGCGCTCCATCTCCCGCTTCTTGATCTCCTCGTCCCGTCTCCTCTTCGCCTCCTCCAATCGCTCTTTGTTCTTGCGCTCGAAGTCGGCTTGTCTCTCCACGGCACCCAAAACTTGCCTCTTCATCGTATTCCGACCCATATTGGCACGAGCCTCCAAATCACCTCGTGGGAAAGGAGCATTAGGTTCCTTAGCAATAGCACCGAAAGCCTCAATCGCCTCATCCAACCCCTGCGCCGCATCCTCGACCTCTTCCGACGTCTTCTGCGTCTCCCCCAACCCAATAAGCAACTGCGCAAGCTGGATCTGCACAAACGCCACATTAAACCTCAAATTAATATTCTCCGGCGCCAGCTTTAAAGCCTGCTTCGACAAATCCAAACTCATCTTATACGCCTCCAACTTCTTCTCCTGCCGTCCACGCTGCAACCACACCCGCCCTAGACAAGCCAAGATCTGCGGGTCCACGTTCCCATCACCGCGTTCCTTCGCACTGCGGCCGAGCGCAAGTTCGTAATTCTCAATGGATCGCGACCATTGCTTCATCTCGGCAAACACGTGCCCTAGGTTCAGGTACACGGATGCGCTGATCCCCTTCAACGACTCGCGGACTTTGGAGAAGATCTGGATGGCATCTTGCGTTCCTTTCTTTTCCTCTACCATGGCGATGCCCATTCCTTGCGCTGCCCATGCGTTACGAGGGTCGATACTAAGAACTTTGTCGAAAAACTCGATGGCGCGGATGTATGTCTTACTGCGCTTCTCCTTGTCCTGATCCGTTTCCCGTCGCATCTCACGGGCGATGGTCAAGTGCAGGTTACCCATACCGATGAGCGAGTAGAGATCGTGTTTGTCGTGTTTTTGCAGTGTCTCCTTGAGGTGGCGTTGTTCTGGATCCTCGGCCAGATTGGCTGTGCGTTTCTTCGTGCGATGTAGATGCCATGTCTGCAGCGCGCGGAGGTCGAGGTTGCCTGGTTCGGATTGTAGTAGTTGTCTGAGGTTTTCTGTGGCTTCGCCTTGTGTGGTGGGGTCGAGTATGGCAGTGTATAGCAAGCGGGCACGAGCATCAGTATAGTCGGGATGTCTCTCGAGCAAACCAGAGTAGATGTTGGTTGCTTCCTGCGCCATGCCTTCGGCTTCATAGGTACGGGCGAGGTTAAAGGATATACTTGTTACGAGTGCGTCAGTGTCCAGGGAGTCGTCGCGTTCTCCCATCTTGACGCAGCTGTTAAGTGCGGTCTGGAAGTCTTCTCGCGCTTGCGTGTACTTGTCTGCCTGGTAGTGGAAGCAGCCAATATTGTGGAGAAGTTGCGGGCTGAGCAGCTCTCGTCGTGCTCTCCTCTCTTCGGCTTCATCACCAATGTCATCAGGTAAACGATCGTCGTCTTCTGCAATATCATCCAGCTCCATCTGCTCGACTTGCAACAAGCAGCCTAGTGCTCGATCCGGCGCTTCTTGCTCATAGAGCCTTGCCAGATTCAGCAGCACAGCAGAGTCAGGCGAAACTTTCCGCTTTGGATCTTTCCAAGCCACTCGTACCTGCTCAAGGAGCCCGATCGCTCTCTTCGCTTCTATAGACCTGTCCTCCTTCCCACCAGCAGCCTGGTTGGCGAACACCTCCTCGGCGTGCAGTATACCCAATAAAGTCATCGCTTCGGTACTCTTCTGCCCACCTGCTGCAGCTTGCGTCGGAGCCGAGATGATCTTGTCGAGCCTGAACTTCGCACCATCCAGATCTGCCATTAGTGTTTTGAGCTGTGCTGCGCCAAACTTGGCTGGTAGGTAGCCTTTCTCATCACCTCCTCGGGCTTGATCAGCTTTGCTATAGTAGTCGGCGGCCTTGGCAAGATCGGTGCCCTCATAATGCTCCTTTCGTGCCAGAAGATACCAGCCGTCTGATGCTACAGCGTTGACATCGGTCTGTTCGATCGCTCTCCGTGCCAGTCGCTCGACGTTTGCCCAGGCCTTACGAAGAAGAAAGTAGGATCCGAAAGTTGCGCAGGCCAAAGCGTGCATCCCGTTGAGCTTGAATGCAGTCTGTGTGTGCGTAGTCATTGCCTTCTTATAGATCTCCGCGAACTGTGGATCGGCCGTAGTGTACTGGCTCGACTCGTCGAGGTATGACAGACCAAGGAGTATATTCGCGGGGATGTTACGCTCTGAGTTGATGTCCAGACTTCGTTGCCAGGCAGCACAAGCGTGCTCCTTGTGCCCCAAAGCCCACAGACAACAGCCAATACCAATCCGGGGATCTGGGTCTTGCATATCAGGCGCCAGTGTGAGGACTTGCTGGTAGATGGCTAGAGACTCAGCATACCGGCCAAGCGAGAATTGTACCTTGGCCTTGCCCAGCATAGCCATAACATTCTTGCCCTTCGAACTCTTGTATGCATCGTCAAAGCACTTTGCAGCCTGCTTCAACGTGTCCATGCGCTCGCTGTTGTCCACTCCGCCTGATCCGCTCTTGCTGGGTTGTAGAGATGCTCGCAGCAAGTATAGTGTACCTCGCGCAAGGAACAATGGTGGATACTGTGGACTGATGCGTGATGCTTCGTTCAAGGTAGTCGTCGCGGCATGCAGCCAATGATCTTTGGTCCGATCATCGTCCGTGACCTGTGTCGGCTTCACACGAGGCGCATTCCTGCACTTCCACAGATACAGCCAGCATTGACATGACAGCAATACCAGCTTGTCCTCACTCCGACCTCGTGCGACTGCGCCTAGTCCCTTTTGTAGTATGTCGATGGCAATATTCACTTTATTGTGCTTCGCATATGCCAGAGCGATCGTCACCCAGTAGTTCCGCGCAGCGTTTTCTCCTTCGAGAAGATCGCACAGCTCGTCCGTCTCGTCCATGAGCTCGGTGAGGTCGAGGTTGACTGCTTCGTCGCCATCCTCGCCGCGGACAGGGATATCGATGACGGCGGGGATGTCACTGAAGCGCGCATATTGTTGATCGGCGTGGCCATTGATGCCATTCGTGTGCCCGTTCGTTACCGCGGCCATACTTTCGATTCAACGGTAGGGGTCGAAGCCAATGCTCAATGGAGGTCGGTGTAGGTGCTCAAGGGGTCATCATCGTCAGGGGCGTCGCGGCATGAAGAGAATGTCGAAGAGCACAGTTGTTGAACTTGTTGAGGTTTACTGCGAGTGAGTGATGAGATAACCAAAAGTTCTCGAACATATGAACGAACGCGATCGGGAGAGCGCCGCGACGAGAGCCGCTAATGCACCCCGCAAGGATCCACCCGCAGAGCCTCGGAACTCTAACAGGGATCAGTCGGCAGGAGGTCGTGGCCAAGATCCGAGGCGCAGTACAATGAAATAATGAATTACATTCGATGTCTAAGCATCACGACTACAAGTCAAGGACATGCTTGGAAAGCATTCGACTCTACGATGACGTTGACGGTGACGAAGCGAAGACAGGCTGTGAATAGGTAGCCAACCTGTAGCACCATCGCCATCCAGCATGTCTTACTCGCAGAGACCGTACGCCAATGGCACCACCAACGGAAACAACAATGGCAACCACCATAACGTCAGCTATATGAATGGAGCCTCACTCGCCGCTAACAGCGACCGACTTCGACGCTTCGATTTCGAGACGACACCCGACACCTCCGCAGACGAACGATCACGGTCCAGGGGACCCGGAGGTTATGGAGGCTTCGGCGCACAGCAACAGAGCAGTCAGATCCAAGCGCCCTCGCACCTGGATCGGCGGCAAGCCAACCGGAGGAGTCGCGACCAAGCAGGATATGGCTGGGACAGTTCACGAAGTCGTTCGCGAGGTGCACCTGCATTGCGCCGTGGACCTCAAGGCAACAATGTCGACGAGATATTGCGGTATATCGGCCAACACTGGTCCTTCATGGCCAATGATAGCTGTATACCGATCAAAGTTGCTCTACAACTCATGGACCCGTCGAGTCTAGGACTAGCGGACCAGTATGATCAGTTCCAAGATGTGCACCAGCAGCTACAGAACGCATTGAAGGTCATCGTCAATGAGCACCATCAGGGCTTCAACAGCAGTATAGGTACTTTCCACAAGATCCAAGCTGCTATCCATGCTTCGCAGCAACGTGTGAGGACACTGCGGGCGTCTCTTGTGCAGGCGAAGGAGAGTCTGTCAACCGCAAAGCCTGAGCTGCGGACACATGCAGCGAGCAGTCAGAGCTACGATCAGATGCTGCAGACAATCGCCGACATTGAGACACTACAGGGCATTCCGGATCTACTGGACGCTCAGACGAACGAGAAAAGGTTCCTTGGAGCTGTGACGACTCTGCAAGAAGGATTGACACTGATCCGAAAACCGGAGATGGAAGATATTGGTGCGTTGTCCGAGCTAAGGCTACGGCTTAGCAACCAAGAACAGTATTTGTCAGATCACCTGATTGAGGAATTGCATAACCATCTCTACCTCAAATCACCGTACTGCGAAGAGAGGTGGAAGAGCCACAGTAAACGAGATCTTGCCGAGAGCGCCACAGTTTCTGACGACGATCGCGCGATGTGGACATTCCTAGATGGCTACGACGGCCGACAGGAGATGCAAGAAGACACCACACGGAATCCCGAAGCCGGCAGCTTTTACTACATACAGGTGTTAGTAGAGTCGCTGAATCGTATGGGCAGACTAGAGCAGGCCGTCGATGAGATCGAGCGAAGACTACCTGTTGAGCTGTTTAGAGTGGTAGAGCGTTCACATGGGGAAGTCGAGCAGAGACATCCAACCACAATGCGGAGCGCGGCAGCTCGAAAACGCCAACAAGAATTAAGCGCTGGCCAAGGACCAGACGGTGAGCAACGAGCAATATTGGAAGATCTCCTGCGTACACTGTACGCAAAGTTCGAGGCTATCACCGAAGGCCATCGTGTCTTGCACGACGTCACCGCGGCGATCACGAGGCGAGAAGCGCATCTTGCTCACGGCGACACAAGCTCGGTCAACAGGAGCTTCCGCGAACTCTGGAAGCTCCTCCAATCTGAAATTCGTTCGCTGCTCCATGACCACCTCACCATAACCGGCGCCTCTGGCCTCGCAGGCCGTACGAACCGTGAGAATGATATCAATCTCAACATGTTCCGCCCGACACCACGAGACAAGACGAAGAAACTCTTCCGCGCAGCAGAGACAGCTGACGCCAAGGCCGGAGGGGACTCGGACATGGCGATCGAGAAGGAGGATTTGATGAATATGCTTAAAGACTCTGTGCCTGGACTTGTGAATACGGACTTGCAGACTTCACAAGCGAGCAGGGATCGTCTGGAGTCCGAACGCGTGATGGCGGAGAAGAGCGCGACAGGGCATAAACTCCTGGTCGAGCCGCGACTGTTCAACATGTCCACACTGCTGCCTCCCTCTCTATCATTCCTGCATCGTTTACGCACAATCGTTCCTGCATCTGGCGGCGTAATACCTAGCACGTTGACTTCCTTCCTCGACGACTTTCTCATCAACGTCTTCTACCCTCAACTAGACGAGACACTACTCGATCTCTGCTCCGCAGCAACAAGCGACGCGGAAGCATTCACAATCGACCCCGAATGGGCGAAGTTCAGCGCGAGACCCGTGTTTAAGGGAGCAGTCAGAGTGCTGCAAGTAATCGAGGGCGTGTGTGAGATGCTAGACGCGCTGCCGCACGAGCAGAGCTTCTCCTCCTTAGTGGTCGGGCAATTGAGCGAGTACTATGATCGATGTTATGTCTGGAGCAAAGGACTCTTACAGCGTGCTGCCAGTGCTCCAGGCAGTAACGGGACGACGGCAGCTGGTGGTGGTGCGGAGAACGTGGTGATGAGGATGAGACTAGCGGCCGATCTTGCCACAGCTGGGGATATCAACGATACTATCATAGAGATCCTCACGCTGGACACGAAACCCGATCTTGAAGGAGGCGATGCCACGCGCGATCGGACGGTGCTGGTGGAGAAGGAGAGCGCGCTCCTACTGAACCTTGTCCGCGATCGACAGGTCGAAGAGGCGGATCTCATTAATGACCGCAAAGCTTTGTCGGCTTTGTGCACGATGCACGTTAGTATGAAGTGGCTTGCCGCCAAGTGTCAGAAGCTGCGGTATCTGAGTCCAAGGGCAATCGATATGGGATCCGCTGACCCTGCGGCGAATATCTCCAGCGCTAATGCAGGTGGGAAGAGTAAGAGATGGACGCAGAATACCGCTGGTTCATTACAACATCTACCTGGCGAGCCCACAGGGCCATATCTCCCGCTCGATCCTACCACCGCCCCGCAATTAGACGCCGTGGTCGTGTCTTTTACAGAGCTTTCGCATCTTCTGCTAAGGACATTGCATGTGGACCTTCGACTCCAACTCCTGTATGGCCTGACGCAAGCGATGAGTAGTACCTACGCTCTCGGCCAACCATATAACGACCCCGACCCAGCGATCCTGGACCTAGCGAAGAACTTATCAACATACGACGCAGCTGTAGCGCCAAATCTCATGGCGCAGCAACACGAATTCCTACTCAACGGCCTCGAAGTGCTAGCAGGAAATGCCGTGGTCTCAATGGTGAAGCTAATACCAGGTCTAGACGACCACGGTCTCGCGCGGCTCCAACTCAATATCCTCGTGCTACAGCAGACGCTTAAGACGCTCTCGCCTGCATCCACCACATCAACCGCTATCATGCCACCTTCTGGAAGCACCAACAGCAGCAGTCTGACAAAAGCAGCCTCATTCTACGCCCTGCCCACACCTCCACCGGGCCTCAATAGTAATACAGGCTGTGATAACATCCTCAACGCGGGCAAGAAAAACAACACCTTCAGTAAAGACGACCTGGAAGCGCTAGTCCGCTTATGCTGGAGAGCGGATCGCGAGGGCACGACGGGGGTCGGGGATGTAGAGGCGTATGTTGCACGGCTTAGATCTGAAGGTGCTGGCGCTGGTGGTGCTGGAGGTGCGGGCGGAGCGTTTCCGAAGAGAGGGGTGAGTTTGAGTAGGAAGAGGTCTGAGCAGATGGTTCGACGGGCTGGTGGTGGGACGGGGACAGGGACAGGGACAGGGACAGGGACAGGGGCTAGTACGCCAACTGCGGGAGCGTAGGCGAAGCTGAGCGCTTTGAGCAAGACTACTGACACTGGGTTGTTGTGAGCATTCTGTAGTATACCACTTTGTCAAAAACCAGAGAAATCTTTGAGTAAAGGCACACATTTGCACTTTCCAAAATCCTTCAGCTAGCTCGAGAATATCTGAGGCACCGCGCATCGCAGTGTGTAATAAGCAAAGCTGTGGTATCCAAAACAATCTCGGCGAGAGACGCAGACAGGAGAGACAAAGGCAAAGCATAAGCAAATTCATCCCCACGCGAGCCCGGTTTCCGTCCCACGAGGAAACACCATCATCAGGAGGGCTACCAGCCACTCGACTGTAGTATACCCTTGTCCATCCCTCCCAGCCCAAACATACAAAATTAGAGATATGGACATGTTCCGCTGCGGACTGTCAATGCACCCATTCCCCCATGTGCCTCGCTGCGTCGACTTCGTGGTGCACGTTACGTCTTGACGTCTTTGCCGTTCTCTCTTTCCATCCTCCACTCACTCATTCATGTTATAAGGCGTCCATCGCCACAGCATTGGGCAGACCCCCCATGTTCACATGCGCACTTAGATTGCCGAATTTGGACATACTGATCTCGTCCTCCATCAACGACATGCCAATCCCACTGTCGTCGATATCAGTCTCATGCTGCTGAGACTGCTGTGATAGCTGCGAAGGTTTCTGAACAGCGAAAGCCATGTTATGGCTCGGTGGCAAGTGGTGATTGTTCATCGGAGCAGTGGGCTGGAACGTCTGCTGCTGTTGCTGGCCATTTGGGCCACCATAAGCTGAGTGCGGATGGTAGCTATTTCCGTTGCTGTCGGGTGCCATGCTACTTCGGTGGCTGCTGTATTGGCTTGCTGGCGGTCCGTTGTCCATGACTGGTGATTGGTACATGGGCACGCCATGCTGCATCATTTGGCCACTCATTGTGGGTTCGAGGAAGCCACCCATTTCTGCTAGCCAGAGAGCCATCTCGTCGACAAAGATCTTGAGGACCCACCAGTGACCGTATGACTGGCCGTTCATGATAGTGATGTCTCGCAGTGCCGCTGTGCCCATGGCGGAAATGCAGTGCAAGATCGTCCTCGCCGAGGCTTGTGGAAAGCGGCCTGGTATTGAGGAGATGAATGTTGACCATCGATCAAGCACATTCTCGGTCGAGACACCCGACGCTCCATCTCGCGATCCAGTCTGGTTTTGCAGGAATTGTGCGAAGGAGCCGTTGTCCTCGAAGTTGTAAGGAGTGAAGCCGTACGGATCGTCCTGGAATGCTGGAGCTTGAAGTGGCTCAAGCAGACTTCGCATCTCGGATGTCATGATCTTATAGACTTCTTCGTAGCCACAGTCTGGCAGCTCAGCCTCCATAACACGCTTCGGGTTGACGGTCTTGACCCACTCCACCCACATTTGCTCGCGATTCTGGTCGATGGTGAGCAAATTCGCAGCAGCGTGAGCAGACTGATTGACCCGGATGAGACGGTACAGCAGCCCAGCAAACACGGTGGCAGGTCGTAGCTTTGCTTCAAGCACATGTGCAGGTTGCTGTGCGAATGTCTTCGCGATGTGGCCATGGAGGCTGGCAGATATGTTCGACAAGATGTTAATAACAACCACGGGAGCCGCCTGCAAAGTCAGACGACTGACGAATCGTACCATCGTCCGGTACATGACGAGATCACACTCCTCGATCCATCCAGCCAGATTTGGGTGTGTAAAGAGCTTCTGTACGGGCACAGTAAGCGTGCCATGAAACGAGGTATATAGTCGGAAGAACTGTTTCTCCTTGCAAAAGCGAATGCTGTCGATGAGGGACGTGACGTGTGTACGGTATAGCGCCACAAGTGACTCGGCTGTGTCGTAATCGGTCCGGTATGGTAAGTACGATGCTATGGGTGGGAGATTGACTGGCTCGTTCTCGGAAAATGGTGGAAGATTTGCTGATGGGAAGCGCAGGCAGTGTGAGTATGACATTGACTCTTGCGTCCCAGCCTGCATGCCTCGACTGTCTGGGTATGCAAAAGCTCGTGCTTGTGAGGGTGGTCCGCGAGGTATCGCTGATCGAGGAGGCTGAAAGTCGAAGGCTTGGTCTGCAGCTGGGAACGCGGCAGTGTCGGCCTGCAGGCGAGGCATGTTGTTGAAATCAATCTGCTGTGTGCTGGCAGACTCGCTACGATGCGATCGTACGTCCATATGCGGCTGCTGTCCGAAGTCTGGGTTTGTGATTGGGTTCATATTCTCGTCTTCGAGTGCCAGGTCGACATAATGATACTTGCTCTCGCCACGCACACCCAGTCTTCGGGTCTGGATGCCTGGGAAGATCACACGTACGAGCTTTCCAAACGATGCTGGATTAAGCGGCACAACGCGCTCAGTACCACAGCGATTAGCATACTGGGAGTAGACCCGGTTTCGTGGTACGGATGACTTTGCAGGTTTGCACACAGCGCGAAGCCTGTGAAGTGTCAGTCGCACGTCCTTCGTTGTATCTAGACCAGTCAAGCATACCATAGCATTGCGAAAAGCTGCTTTGTCTTCTCCGCCATCGGCGTACGCTCCTTCTGGATCACCTCTTGCGCAACGTCGCGTAAAGGTCTTCCCTCGTTCCTGGTGAGCATCTCGCGAAGCTCCTTGTCGTTCGTAGCAGTTGCAGCAGATCCCTTCCTTCTCTTGTCGTCACCCATTTCAGCTCCACTGCCTGCTGCCACTGACTCGAGTCGCGCGTGGCCCGCGTACGTTGGCTCTTGTCCTTGCATATATGGAGAGTCGTGTGAGAAGGACAGACTATGCTGCATCGCGTATGGCGGGCCTGGTACATTCGGGATGCCATGTTGTTGCGCATCAACGAAGCCATGCATCGGTTGTTGATTGTTGGCTTGATATTGGAGCAACTGCGCCTCGGGCGTAGGCTGAACATGTTGCGACATGAACATTGAGCTGTCCTCGTGTCGCTGAGAGGTGGCGCTGGTTGTAGAGGCTCGTGACTGTGGTCTGCTAAGCGCTGAGACAGAGACTGATGGTCGATGTCGTACCGCCATGACTGCGAGCTTGTGTTGTTCCACCCGGCTTTTAAGTACGCTAAGAGACGACAAGGCCAAAGGTGTATAGACCAGCGAGGTCGTCCACACCCGGTGTCGTATATTCGTTTGTCTTCTTAGCGATACCCGATCTCGTAAGTCCAGATGTGAGCCTCGAGAGCGAGGTCCGGACAGTCTCAGTGGTCTTCTGGAATACCACAAACAACAAACTGCGCAGCGACAGTGTTCGTGGATGCGCAGGCTCGAAACGCGATAAAGATGCTATGTGTTATTGTCAGTACGCCCTGCAGCTCCGCACTGGTGAACAACAATCCCAGTTTGTGTCGAGTCTCTTCGCGCTGCAGATGCGATATGCGCCGGGAGTGGTTGGAGCTGCGACTTGAATTGTTTTGATCAACAGTCGGCACGGCAATCATCCGCAGCCACAGCTGCCAAGATAACGCTTTGACCAAGCACATCACCTGACTTCACATGTCTAATTCGATTTTCGACATCCAACGGTTCGATGTCAATGTGATCGCGAAACACCGATGAATCTCCCTTCACTGCTGATTGCCACCCTCGCCTAAAGCACAATTGTCTCGTCGTGAAGAGAGACGCGTTGGCTGTCGCAGCATCAGGCCAATCACGAGAAGCGTGGACCACGTCATAATTCGTTCCCCACCGCAATTGTGCCTCTCAGCCCAGACCTCAATCTTGCTCTCTTCCTCGTCCCATCCACCCACCGTGCGCTTTCACTGTCCCGGAACACCTTTCGTATCTCTTGAGACAATCAAACCATAACCACCTTCAACAACACCGCCAAAATGAGTTCAGGCCAGAGCAACCAGTCTATCCAAGGCAAGCTATCGCAAACACAATCGGCAGTCCGGAGACAATGCTAACAGCTGTATAGAGCGCGCACAGCAGCAACTCGGTGCTCTTGATGTAAGAAGATCTGAGCAACGCCCTGGTACCACACGCAGCTGACCATCTTCCAGAAAGAGCTATCGAGGTATGGACCCCTCAATCAATTCGAGCAGCAGACGAGCGTGCCCAAGGTATACGTCGTGCTCGGCCTCGGCGCCCTCTACTTCTTCCTTGTCTTCTTCAACATCGCCGGCGAATTCCTGGTGAACACTGCTGGCTTCGCTATCCCGGCATACTACTCTCTGGAGGCCCTGTTCTCAGCTGGCAAGTCAGACGATACTCAGTGGCTTACGGTATGTGGCAGCCTTTCCAATCGCCGACATTATGTTGTGCTGATCATGTGAATAGTACTGGGTCGTCTACGCGTTCTTCACCGTGATTGAGTCAGCCATCAATGCTGTCTACTGGTTCCCCTTCTACTACGTCTTCAAGTTTGTTTTTGTGCTTTGGATGGCACTCCCCCAGACTGGGTATGCGTTTTCTCTCACCTACTCATCTCGCTTGTGCTGACATTAGCCTAGTGGCGCTCAACTTGTTTTCCGCTCCCTCCTCCAGCCTCTCTTCGCCAAGTTCTTCGACGGCGGCAATACCACCTCTGGCAATCTCCGTGCCCAGGCCGACAAGGCTACGGGCAAGAGCTTGTAAGCACTCCAGGAGATGTGCGAGGAAGGGCTTGGGATGCAGTAAGCAAGTTTTGATGCGAAGGAAGAGCGCATACTTGAGTGCAAGATGTAGAGGGGAGACAGGTAATCTGGTGATGATGAATTGTGGAGGATGGGAAAATGATCTATGACGGTCATGATTGACGGCTTTGTGAATTTTGCGACTACCAGGAACGGCATGCTTCGGCCCAGGTTGATGCAGATACGGCGATAGATTGATAGCGGTATGTCAAGGTGGTTTCATTGTACGTGAAGTCTCAACAAAGTCACATTGGATCCATGATGTGACATCGCAGGGCCTGGCCGCGATTGACGTCCAGCGGGTAAGAGCGACGGACTCACGGTCGTGCTTCCCTTGAATTTACACAGAGTGAGCACAGACCTTCGACTTCTTATCATCACCACTCACTCCCTGCAGATTTCTCGTTTGCTCACTACTTCAGTACATACACGACTACATCTTTTCAACACCTACGATATACCATGGCGACTGCCGTAGGCCTGTCACAGTCTCAGCTGAGCAGGATGCTCGTACTGCAGCTTGACCAACTCATATCAACACTGCACATGGTCCGCGGTGCACGAGAAGACTATTACAACATGGTCAGAGCCAACTGCTATATGAGAGGAGTAGCTGTGCCACGCTTGCTGCAAGAAGAATTGAATGCCTCTCGCCATGCACTTACGATTGCCCTTATAACAGCACATCTGTGCGTACGGGGTGACAAGCGATCATTCTGGCGTTTGCAGAGACTGCAGAAGCTCGTGACGAGTTGCTTGAGTAATGTTCGGCTCATCGAGAGCGACCGCTGGCAGATGAACACCGCTTCGAACAAGGACGAGTGGATATGTGTGGCTCGCAGGGCTCGCTTTCGAGACTCGCAAAGTCTTCTCGGGGCTTCGTTGACTGGCTATCTTGCCGCGGCCACCCCTTTTGTGGATGCAGGGGATCCAAATAAAATCGCCTCGCCAATCCATTCGCTCTTAGCAGCCCTTGCGAGCCGCGACCCCTACTTGAAGCCGCGCCGATATGGCGGCCAAAGCAGGCTCTCGACATCTTCGAAAACACAGCAAAGCAACACCTAGTCACTATGCGGTCTGTCGACTTCTCTATTGTCACTTTCCCAGTACCAACGACCTCGTTGTGGCCACGAGACGCCGCTGATCCATGCGAATTGCTACTGAGATATGACTTCTTCAACTCGCTGTGTCAGTCATGCACGCCGCCCAACATCCTACAAGGTGACAACCGCAAGGTCTACCTCAGTCTCGGTGCTGTTGCCCGTGAGAAGTGGGTAGCAGACGGACACCCGACTATTTGGGAGCAGGATGAAGCTTTCTCTTACAGTCCATTACTTTGGGCCAAGACCCTATGCGAAGTCGGCTTCGCGGTCGGCTTCATCTTTGACGATGATCCTAGCGTCGTAGTATGGCCCACGGGTGATACGGATCTGGTAGGCGGCCACTCGGCCGTCGTCTACTGCGCACAAGTCCGGCCTTCGCTATGGCACTACAAGCCCTTTGCAATCTCTGATGCAGTCAGCACTACCGTTGCGAAGACCGCTCGCACAGTCGATCTGCAGCCACAGAAGGGCACATTGTTGAACCTGCCTTCGGAGCTACGCAATCTCATATACGACGCAAGCCTCGAGCATAACGAGCTAGACTGCGGACCGGACCCTGCGCCATGTCTGCTTGAGATGAGAGTCCCTGCACTGTGTTCGACCTGCCATCAGATTAGGGACGAATTCGCGCCCATCTACCTGTCTTCCAGACAGTGGTCGATCGGGGCACAGATCGATGGACAAGAGGGCCCGAGAAAACCTGCTGACAGTATCTTCTCGCCGGCCAATTACTGGTTAATGCACTTACCAGTTGAGGTAAGCTTCAAACAAATCAGGATCAGCTTGATGTTCGTTTACCCGCCCCATGGGTCTCGCCAGGAGTGTGTTTTGGTATTCGATATCGATGTTGCCACGACGAGGAAGGTGAGCAGAGCAGAATTGGCGTTTCGGAAATCCTCATGGAGCCGGACGACGAGGATAGAACAGTACGAAGACTTGCTTAGAGAACTCATCGATATGCTGCTGGAGGATGGCGATAAGAGAGGCCTGACGATGACGGATCTGGTCGCCATCATGGATTTTTGCTTACAGTATCATGGGCCACCCGATTGACGAGATTGAACGATAACGAGGAGGTGCATTGTCGAGGCAAGTGCTGTAGCAGCAGAGTCGCCCCCTGAAGGGACTCCGAGATCTTGGGAAGGCAGAGCGTGTGAATGAAGTTCCACCGCGCCTTTGAGCTGATATGCGATTGCCTTGTTGACGTGATGCGGCGCATAGGGCCATCTCTCTCTCCAGGGCAAGTGCGCATCCCATAGTAGCGATAAGAGTCACTAGGAGGCAGCTATCTTAGTAACTTTCCGACGTCGCCAGGAGATCCGCACAGCTAGTGAGGGATGGAGAAAGGTAGGTATAGAATTACATGAAGTACAAGATCTACAATCGTAAGAATGCTCCTTCAGATCTTCAATCCATGAGGGGTGGTGGAAGCATACCTAGACGTTCCGCTGCTCATACAAAAAAAAACGCCATTTCTATATCCCCTGCATCCCATCGCCCAGAACGCCTGCAGCAAGCTCCTTCTGCTCGACACAAACAACTACGATGTCCCGAAGAACACCTCCACTCAGGACTTGCGAAAAAGCACACTTTCTCACCCCAAACACCAACAAAGTCCTTGCAATGCAAACTAACCACCACGATTTCCAACCCCAACAAACGAATCCTACGACTTCAGCGAATCCCGCATACTCTGCACACTCGCACTCGTAGTCGGCAACACACTCCCGCCCGCCGGCCCACCCTTAGAAGCGGCATCCTTCTTCTGCCTAACCTTCGCCACCGCATAAACCAACCCACTCACAAACCCGACCCCGATCGCACTAACACTCGGAATCGTAACGGGCGCATCAAAGAAAACCAAGCCGGAGATCGCAATGGGAAGTTTATTCAACGCGCCGACCATGGAGTATGTAGTGGAGGAAGTGATGCGGACGCACCAGGCCGAGGTGTAGGAGATGAAGACGGAGCTGAGGCCGGAAATGACCATGGTGGAGAAGATCCAGGTTCGGGTTTCTGGGGGAAAGACAGTGGAGAGGTTGGCCGAGGACCAGTTTTCCAGGAAGAGGGAGCAGAGGAGGAGGATGGGGATGGAGAGGAGGTTGTTGTAGTACATTGCTAAAAGTTCATCTGAGTCAGTCTCGCCGTTGTCGACGTTGCAAGGAAGGTGGGAAGTCAAACGACTTACTGTCGTAGTCGGAGAAATTGGTCAACTTGATCCTCTTCCGCATCGCCAACAGGAACGTCGCCGAGCAGAAACAATTGAACATCATCCACAAATACCCAGCATTCAACGTGGAGATCTTCTCCGCCGCCTCCCCGCTCACCGCATCCCCGCCATAACTCGTAAGCGCATGCTGGATATCCGCCCACGCCGCAATCACGGAACTCGCCACCATCAAACCAAACGAAAGCAGCGCCATGCTCGTCACGCTGCCGCCGAACCAGAGGACTTCGCCGTAGGCTATGAGGATGATGGTGAGGTTCTTGAAGATGGTGTAGACGGGTATGCTCAGGTATTGGAGGGCTTTGGTGGAGGTGTAGATCATGCCGATGAGGAGGAGGGAGATGGGGAACCATTTCCGGGCTTCGTCGCGGTGGAAGTCGCGGAAGGAGATGAGGGAGGCGGATTTGGCGGTTTGGATGGCGAGGATGCAGACGATGGACTGTAGCCATAACATTTCACACAAGTCAGCACTGCCATCACGTCATACAAAAAAAGCATCGTGCATAATGCTAGGAGTTTTTGTGGGATGAGGTTGAGACTTACCTGTACGGCGAGCAGCAAGAAATTCATATTGAACCCGTTGCCGCTCAGGACATATTTGTTCGTCACCGTCATGAGGATGCTGCTCCCACAGTATGCGGTTATGGCTATGACGGGGTTGTTCGTGACGCTACCAGCTAACACGTTCTTCGCGGGTCGTGGCTCGAGGGGTTTGGGTTGGGCGTCGAAGTGGGCGCTGCCGTTACCGTTGGGCATCTTCTCGCCCATTTCGATGGTGGCATCGCGTTTTTTATCGTCGGCCATGTTGATGTGTGGGTGTGGGTGTGGGTGTGGGTGTGGTGGAAGGGTGGAAGTGGGTGTGGACGGAGGAGAGGTCCGCGGCGCAAAGGCTGAGGCGGGTTTCCAAGCTCGGGTTTGGGGGAAGCCGATGCGGGTCGTCGTGGTGGGTGGTTGGGGGGTGCGCTGGGCGCAGTCAGTGGATGATGTGGATGCTGTGGATGATGTGGATGATGTGGATGATGTGGATGATGTGGAAGGAGTGGTATGACTGAATAGTAAATAAATGGACAGGAAGGGAGGTGGATGGATGATGGGAGGTGAGGTTGTGCCTTTCTCTCTCCTGCTTTCCGCTGCGAGTGCAAGGGTCTTCCCCCAAACGTTTGGGTTCAAGGCGGGATGGGATATCCACGTGGCTTTCTTCTCGTATATCTCAACGAGACAACGAATGCCAAGATGCAGGATGTTTGAAGGAGGAAAGTAGTAATATGAGGTTGTTGCTACAAGCTGCTTCACGGCCCAAATCAGCCAACACTGCTGGATTTCCCCGTCATCCAAGATTATTTTATGGACGTATACGAGGCCTCAGCTCAGCCCTGCAGGCGATCTCCCACTAGCGTGCCACACAACGCGTCTCCCGACTTTCCCCTCCACGTGCCCGCTATCAGAAATTCCCCAGAAATTCCCCCAATGCCACACAATACCGCTCCCTCGACAAATAAATCCGCCATACCACCACCACCACCATCACCACTTCGATCATGCCCGCCCTCGACCCCCACGTCGCCACCCTCCTCGACAAACACGTCACCACCCACGACTCGGACGACGAAGACGCGCTAATCGCCGAACTCGAAGCCGAAGACAACGACGACAATACCACGCTCGCCCACCTCCGCTCCGAAAGGATAAACCAGCTCCACGCCGAATACACGCGCACCAAGACTCTTAAGGAACAACCGGGTCATGGCAAATACATGGAGATCAAAGACGAAAAAGAAGTCCTCTCCATCACCACCAGCACGAAATTATGTGTAGTCCACTTCATGAAACCCGACTTCAACCGGTGCAGGATCATGGACGAGAAATTGGCTGTGTTAGCCGAACGACACCTGGACACCCGCTTCGTATCTGTCAATGTAGACAATGCTCCTTTTCTGGTAGTGAAACTGGGGATTCAGATTTTGCCTTGCGTGCTGGCGTTTATTGATGGGGTGGGGGTGGATCGGGTGTTGGGGTTTGAGGGGCTGGGGAGTAGGACGGATACTTTTACCGTCAGGGAGTTGGAGGTGAGGTTGTTGGGGACGGGGGTGTTGGTAAGGGGGAGTATGGCTGAGGGGGAGGAGAGGAGAAGCAAGAGAGAGGTGGAGGATGTGGTTGATGAGGGGGATGACTGGGATTGAAGTTGAAAGCCTGTTGTTATTCGAGGCTGCTTATCGTAAGCGTGGGACTGCGATGATCGGCTGTAAATCGAACCTGCTGGACGGAGTTCCCTTTTCTGGAAGGCTACACCTGATCGACTTGGCGCAGTGCCACCGCAAATCCACCCTCGTCCGCATGCGCAGTATACGTCCATCATCTACAATCCTCGAATCTCCGGCTCCGGCATCCCCCCCGCACTCGGCCAGAAACACTCGTCCTTATCATCGCCCCTCCGACACTTCCGAACATAAACACCCATCTCCTTCGCAACACTCTTCGGCGTCTCGCAGGTCCACTACACAAGCAATCACGAAAAGTCAGCAAACGACTCACACGCCAAACCAACTTCATCTCCGACACGGATCAAAGTGGAAAGAAGAACAACTCACCCCGGCCTTGCCGAACCGACAAACCCAAGGACTCCTCCCAGCTTCACCCTCCCCACTACTATGAACAAAACCACCCTTCCTCGCCCCCATCATCCTAACCCAACATCCCGGCCCCGCATCCCCATCGTTTCCACAGACAAAACTCCTAGATTCATGCCGACGAGCGAAAAGGCCTATCATCGCGCCGAAAAGGAGGACGAAGATGATGACCGCGACGAGGTATTGACCCAGTTGGGAGGATCTGGGTTGGTGGGGAGGGGGCCGGGGATGAGGTCGGTGGGTGCGGGTGCGGGTGATGAGGAAGGCTGTTAGGGCGGGGTTTGTGGGGTTAGGGTTTAGGTAGGATGGTGGGTTTGTTGATGAGGGTGGGGATGAAGTGCCGTCCTCGAGGGCGGAGGCTGAGAGATGCCCACCTGGATTTCTTGTGGTGGCGGAATTAGGGCAGAAGGCTTTAGATGGGTAAGCCGGTCGCGCTGGCGGTAGTGGTGGTGGTGCGGAGGAAGAGGCGTTGGTGATTTTGTAATCGACGAATGCGTACGCCGGTGGCTCCAAATTCTCGAGGTCTTCGACCGCATCCTGCATCTTCAGCGTCAGCTCTCCTCTTTTCATGCTGCATAGACACCTTCTGATGGATTTGCCGGAATTCGGGCTGGACGGTGTGGTGGACTTACGCAGCACCGGGATTCGCGGCACGGTCGTGTCGTTACGATAAAGCCGGGACTGGCAGGGGTTGCTCGGCGCAGGAGCAGTTGTGGTGGGTTGTTGCCATTATGAGTGGTGCTGTGGTGATGTGCTTGGGAGCTGTGGCGGCGGGGGGGGGCGCGCGGATAGTGGTGACGAAGTACTCGGCTTGGAGGAGGGCCGGACTCGAAAAGAGCAGGATTCGGGGGAGAGGGGAGGTGGTGTGGGAGTTCTCGCTTATATACGAGCGCCGAAAGCGTCTGAACGGCGTGTGCTAGAGAGAGAAGCATGGCCATGTTGTTTTACACAGCACGAATTGATTGGAGGTGGGTGGTCAGCCTGTTGTCCTCTTTACTTTCTCGTGACTGCTTACCAGCAAGTCCTGAAGAAAGGCGAGTAAGCTAAGTTAAGCTAAGCATTCCATATCGGAGCTATGTAGTGAGAAAATTAGGCTTCTTGAATATGACTGCTCTCGTCACCATACCATGGGCATGGTCACCTGCCTTGCCCTTCCTCGGACCACTTCAGCAATAGCACCATCAGCCCGAATTCAGGCTCATGTGCATACCGCGAACGAGGTCGATAACCTCATGACCTCACGTATCCTCATGGACTGCGTCTTCACCTTAGTCAGCCACCGAGGTGGTCCGCGAGAAGAAGCTTGTACCATAAGGTCTGCTTGTATCTTATCAGCAATAGCAATAGCCAACAGGACCTTGTGCAATGGAAGTACATCTTGTAACTACTCAAGATCCTCGCTCTTCCTTTCTCTTCGGCTTTCTCGCATTTGACAAGTCGAGTCAGGGTCTTTTGCAAGCTGGCTCGGGGGTATGAATAGTGTCTTGGGAAGTGGTGAAGAGGTGATGAGGTGTATTACCATGCGCAATAGTTTAGGACATATGCAGTGTGCCGAGACGGGGGCGCCCTTCCCTCCCCACTAGTAGGTCGTATCTGAATGTGTTTGCTTTTGTGGGTAGTTCTGAGTGGCAAGTCGCAACGACTTGGAGGACGCTAGCAAGAAATCTCCTTCCAAAAGGGCGCCCAGGGCAAGATCGTAGTGTACATGTATGGATCATCCGACACGAACATCCCGAGCGGATATGCTCTTGCTCTTGTTTCCCCTTCTGTCTTTCCTTTTCTTTCGTCTCCGATAGGCTCCTTCCTGTTCTCATTCCAGAAGGCGTGATTGCTAGAACATCGTGCATACCTTGTCCAAACATATGCGGCGACTCGTCCGCATCCCCCCAAATCGTAACACGATCATGATCTCACTTTATGAACCCGGGACTGCATATCGAGTGCCACTACTGCTGCTGCTGCTGCTGCTCCTGCTGCCGCAACTGGTCGATCCTGAACCCAATACCTGACGGCCCACCACAAATCATCTGGCTTCCGGACTTCGAGGTCACGCGACCAGATACCACTTCGGACACAGTCCTTCTCTTGCTCCTCTTCATAGCAGCCGCTTGCCTCATCCTCAGCGCAATTAACGAATACTTCCGCTTCAGCGAGGCCGATCCTACACTATTCCCACCGTTCGAAGCAACATTTGAAGACCACGAGAGTAACACCGCGATGATCGCAGCCGAGACGAGCGAAGAAGCCGTCCGCGGTACCCTCCAGATCAATCATGGAAGAGACGCCAGCTCTGACGACTTCATGCACGGAGGCGACAACCAGTGGCGCGCGAGTAGTCAGGGACGCAATCCTCTGCCTGCTGAGCCGACAGAGCGAGATATTTACGACTCCCACGTACCTCGCAATGAGCCCCTCCCGCCGTATGAACGACTGTGGTCCATGGCTTTCAATGCTTATTTCCTGGTGCTTGTCCTGGATATGCTCGTGCTGGGATATATAATGTATCCGCAAGAGCTGCACGAGCAGTCGACAGCGAAGTGGTATGAAAGTGCGAGTCGGTTCATCATTGCGGAGTGTGTCGTGTACGAGGTTGGGGTGGCGATAGCGGGATATTGTCTTTGGAAACGCGTCGAGTTGATACTGGAAGAGGACGGTGCGAGCAAAGGTGAGAAGAAACAAGAGCGGCAGAGGGTAGTGCGTGATCGCCGCGACGCTTTAAGGGCGTGATGCGGCTGTGCTGACCATGGACGGGTTGGGCTGCGTGGTCTAAGGAGTTTGCTGAGTGCGTGCATATACAAAGCAGTACAACGGCAATGCCAGTTCGATCCTGATCTTATATTCGTACAATATCCAGTATCCACCAAAAGTAATACACCAACACCTGCGCTTCCCAAAGCAACCGACCAATGCGCAAACATTATCATCCCATAATCTCATCCTCCAAAACGTCATCCTCCTCATCCACCCCATCAATCCCCGGATCCGGAATCACGAAGTCCAAACCCATGAAACCCGTCCTCCTCAACCCAATAACCCTCACCTCCTTCCCCTCCCTCTCACAACCCCGATTCCACTCCTCCAAAAACCCCTCAATCCCCTTCTCCGCCCTCTTCGCCCCCGTCAAGCCCAGATCGTCCCAGACCCATCCTGTCAACACGCCCATCACAGTATCCACCCAGCTTCTGCTCGCGAAGGGATCGAAAGCGGCTTTGAGTCTGCTGTTCAGGTTCGAGACGAGGTACCGGAAGTCGCTGTCGCTGACTAGTGGGTCCAGGATCTCGGGGTAGAGGTTCGCGTATTGTGGGTACAGATCTCCTGATTGCAGCCAGTCGCGCTTGACTCTTATCACTCGTGTGTTGAGGTACTCAGGGCTATTGGGACTGCAATGTGGATTCGGATGTGGGAAGCAAGGGTGCCAGGGACCCCAGGCAAAGTCCTCGGTACCTGTAGTCGCAGTCGCTATGCTATCGTGTGAAGGTCGCGAGGCAGGGATCGCCGTCTGATGGTCTGGCTCATCTTGCGCTGATGACGACGATGTACCGACGCCTCCGCCGAACTCTTTCTGCGTGGCTGATGGCGGAGCGGGATAGTCTTCTGGTGCGCCGACGGGACTGTGGGGTCTGCTCTTTGCGCCTCGTGATCGAGAGCTATTGAAGGATTTGTGTGAGGCGCGACGATTGAGGGGGAGCGAGGCGCGGGAGGCTCGTTGGAAGGTATCTCGCTGCGATGACTCGCCGTAGTGATCGTCTTTGGCTGGGACTGGCGGGGGGACTACTTGAGGTTGCGATGGGCGTTCGTTCCAGGAGGACTGCAAGTCAGAAGCGTCTTGCACACCGGCGAGCTTGTGTAGTGTCTCCATCTCGGTCGGTCCAAGTATGGCAGTCTGGCGATGGCGAGTAGAATATCGGCGGTGACCGTACGCTCTTTATCCTCTTGCTACACTGGTGTATACTCCATAGTTCATACGCAGGCGTCAATCGGCTGCTCGGACCCAGATCCGAATAACCCTGAGCTAAGCCGAATACAGGAAGAACGCTTTAGCATGTTGCAGCGGCGACGACGACTACGCAGTGCCAAAATCTACACAGGACATACTGGCCTTGTGGCTATAATGACCTCCTGTCTAGCCCCTCTACCATTGCATGTGCATCCTTAAGATACTCATACAACAGCGAGGATGGTACGTTTCGGACTTTACGACGAATAGCTATATATCCTTCTAGCGTATAGGAGTGTTACACACGCACAACATCGAGTTACGTAGCAGATCATATCGTGCCGTGCTCAACGGTTGCATCGAATATGCAATTACAGCACCTGTGCGACGTTCGAAGTCTATCTAGGCACAGTCTCCGATGCCATGGGTCGAGTGAGACACAGTCTCATGTTCTTGTAACTACTGCCAGCTGCCGCGCTGCGGTGTGATCGTGCACTGCATGAATATTTAGAAAGGCTACCTCCGTCAATGTCACGCTTGTCTCGACTCCCGCCTCTGCATCGTGGGCGCCTTTCCTGCTCGGCTGCGCATGTCACGACGCACGATTGCGGGGAGGCATATCCGGTCTGCGAGGGAGATGGGCTGAAGTGTTAGGAGACGGCGGGCAAGGAACACGCCGCGGATAGCACTGTGAAGTAAGTATGTGCTGGGCGATGGTTGTCGGCTTGTAGGTCTATATCTAGTGCATGCAAGAAATAGCACGCTGTAGCAATCGTTTCTCCAGTACAGCCCTGTCAATCTAGAAAACAGCTGGTAGAAGAAAGTGAGGTTGCAGCGGCACGGGATCCACTCCATATATTAGCTCCTGTAGACCGTTCGCTTATTCCAAGTAGGTTCAGTGGCTGCATATAGACTCGCATGCTGCATGGGGCCCGTTGCTTGCCGCATGTATCGCACCAAAAAGGCTGCACTACTTTGCTCGTCTGTCCGCCCGACCATCTACCTGCTTTGCCTACTTGATTCCCCCCCGCTTGGGCGACACTCGCGCTTCCATCTCATCCATCCATCAATCCGACATTGACGCACCACGAAAAGGCCGACAACACTAGAGGAGCGCGCAGAACGTGGACACGAGTGACGAGTATTGCGATTGGCGTGCGGCTGCGCGTATGCGACAAGCTTCGAGGTGGTAGAGGACAAATCTCACTTCGCGCCACAGCCGGCCGCCAACGAGCTCTTCGAGTCCATCTACGAAACACGCGACCTGAGATCACGGCAGTACCAGCAGCAGAAGAGATCGCACCCGTACAAAGACAAGATGTATCCACATCGAGCTCAGCAACCGCCGAACAGGCTCGGAGAGCTGCTCGACCAAGTGCGCGCCGAGTTCGAGGCACAAGCACACCGCTCCAATGATTACGACCAGCAATGTGAGTGTACTCATGGGAACTTGACGTGAGGTCGGAGGAGATGAGACGCCGTGCCTGCTACATTCGGCAATCGCATATCGGACGCGCATTATACTGACACGTGATTCTTACAGTAGCGACCCAAATCCATGAGATGGAACTGGTCCGTACCAAGATCTTTCAGCTCGAACAGACTCACCTCACCATGAAGGGAAAGTATGTATATTGCACAACAAGTCTGGTCATGTTAGGATCATGCTAACAACACCAAGGTACGAGGAGGAAATCTCGCGTCTGCGCCATGAGCTTGAGCAGCGTGGTGGACCTTCGCAGGGCGGTCATGCTGGTCCATCTCAACCTCAGCCGCCAGTCATTGGGCATGGCCCAAGAGACCTCTTTCAAGGTATCATGGCTGGTGGGGGACAAGGCGGCCCAGGTCTTGCCCCTCCACCACAAGAGCAGCAAGGTCAACCTGGTATGCCAGGCCACATGCAGGGACAAGGCCCTCCAGGTCTGAACCAGCCTCCACCTGGACCGCACAATCCTTTCAATTATGGTCAGCCCCAAGGCCCAGGTCTGAACGGTAGGTAGTTCTTATCACGGTTTCAGCGAAAGTTAATACTAACTTTACATACGCAGGCTACGGCGGTCCTCAGCCACCACCACAAGCAGCATCTCCAGGACCGGGTAATAAGCCTCGCGTGGGTCCACCCGGGCTTCGTGGCCCAGCAACACCTCAGCAGGGCCAAGCAAATCCATACCCAGGATCGCCTGGCATCGCACGACCAACCCCACCACCTCAGAACCAACAGCTGGCGCCAGACTTCCAATACACACGCGAGCAATTGGAGGCAATCGGCAACCAGCTCAGCGAGCTTGATCCAGAAAAGCTCCCACCTCACCTCAAGCGTCAAGGAGAGGACTGGCACGCCGTATTCAACCCTCGTGTGCCGCGCAGGCTCGACGTGAATCTCGAGCACAATCTCGCCCATCAGAGTGTGGTGTGCTGTGTCCGCTTCAGCCATGATGGTCGTTTCGTCGCGACTGGTTGCAATAGATCTGCCCAGATCTTCGACGTCCAGACTGGAAAGCAGGTGTGCCACTTGCAGGATTCGGCCACCACGCAGGATGGTGATCTCTATATTCGTAGTGTGTGCTTTAGTCCTAATGGCTTGTTTTTGGCTACTGGTGCGGAGGACAAGATTATCAGGGTGAGCTACGATTTTGTCATCAAAGGTTTTCACGCAGAGACTAACGCGTTCGCAGGTATGGGACATTGCCTCGCGATCAATCCGTCATAGCTTCGCAGGTCACGATCAAGACATCTACTCCCTCGACTTCGCCTCCGATGGCCGCTACATCGCGTCTGGATCAGGCGATCGCACCATCCGTCTCTGGGACATTCAAGAGAACCAATGCGTTCTCACCCTTCAAATCGAAGATGGCGTCACCACCGTCGCCATCTCGCCCGACGGCCGCTACGTCGCTGCCGGATCCCTCGACAAGAGCGTCCGCATCTGGGACACCACGACTGGCGTCCTGGTCGAGCGCACGGAAGGCGAGCAAGGCCACAAGGACAGCGTCTACTCTGTCGCTTTCGCACCACATGGCAACCATCTCGTCTCCGGCTCTCTGGACAAGACGATCCGAATGTGGCGTCTCAGCCCCCGGGAGTTCCCCGGCCGACAAGGTGCTCCCGGACCGAAGTCTGGAGAGTGTATCCGTGTGTTTGAAGGGCATAAGGACTTTGTGCTCTCGGTTGCGCTCACGCCTGATGGCGCTTGGGTCATGTCTGGGTCCAAGGACCGAGGCGTGCAGTTCTGGGACCCTGAGAATGGGCAGGCGCAGTTGATGTTGCAGGGGCATAAGAATAGTGGTGAGTCTGATTTAGAGATATTGATGTTACGTACTGGCTAACTTTCGTGCGTAGTTATTTCTGTGGCGCCTTCGCCGACGGGTGCGCTGTTTGCTACGGGATCTGGGGATATGAAGGCGAGGATTTGGAGGTATGGGCCTTATAATGGGCCGTAGGGGGTTTGATGAGCTGAGGAGGCTAGGAATCGTTTCGGCTGTTTTATCAGGGCTCGCCTGCATGATCGCGAAATATGGACGAGCAGGAGTGCTGAGAAGCTGAGGCTGTACCAGGGACTGTGTCAGGTGTCGCGAGGCCGGCCACGCGGTTTCACTGGCGCGCCTCTGCTCTAGGCCATGTCAAAGACGAGAACCAGCTGTATGTCGGCCTATGCACTAGCCTCCTGGCTACGATCACGAACGCCCTCCACTCCGCATAACGATGGACAGCAGTATCCGACAAGTAAGGTGCATTGTCAGCAATCTGCTGCCCAAGCTGGTATGGTGCGCAACGCCACTGGACAATTTATATGTTCTCTTTGTATCCGCAGTACCTTATGTATTTATCCAAAATATATCCTCACAGTTCTCCACGCCCACGAACATGTCTTGCCGAATCTTCTTGCCTAAAGCCATGTCTCGTAGCGTGGCATCGGCGTACTTGTTAAATTCGACATGTGAGAAAATCATAGCTCGTACAGAACTCATATTTATATGTCCCTAGATCGTTACTTCCTCATTATTGCGCCTGCTCCTGCCTTCACTAGCCACGCGGCCACCGCGCACCTGCCCCATCAGCGTCATGGTGAAAAAGCGGAAGGCGCGACCCTGACTCGCCAAATTCGCATCAGCACGGACCACTCACACACTGGTATAAAAGTTTTCGTTCCCTTCCAACACAAACCACTTCTCTCGGAAGCTCTCTTTGCCTGTAAGCTACCTACCCATACACTGGGCCGCCATGCTGCACGACATCTCGCTAACACTCTCTATAGTTTGGCTTAGATCAAGTGTAGTATCTGTTCTTATTAGTTTAATCACTAATACGACCTCATCGAGGTCTTTTACGATTAATCTTCTTTTTGGCCCGAGCCTCTCGGCCGCTGGGGCTTGCTCCATGTCGAGGGCACCGTGTCGCTGCTATCGCACTACCTCCGGCTGACGCGAACCTCCTCTTTTTTCATCAGTTTGGTCGTGCTTCGGCAGGGCTCTGGAGAAGAAATATCGTTGGCGAGTGTTGTGCAAACAACGGCGAGAATCCCGATGGCAGTCATGGACGGTGATGGTAGTGAGACGCGCTTCTGACAGTCATCAAGGCGCGTAGGCGGTGGGAGAGAACAAGACGCTGCCGTTTCTACAGTATCGATTGTAACACCGTCACAAAACGATACGCATAATGCCACCCACTCGCCAACCACCCCACGACCCCTTCACAGATGCACCACTCCGCCCAACAACCGGCAACCCCTCCTTCCGCTCCCAAACCTCTCAATCCAGCCTCCGCTCAAACGCCAGTAACGCGTCTGCACGTCCTCGTCCACCACAGCAGACACGCGACCTCTTCGCACCCGCTCTATCACGCCGGCCAACGAGCAGAACAACACCGAGGGTGGAAGACGATGTCCTCGCCGACCCCGACTCGGAGGAAGAGATAGCAGTGATGCAGAGGCAGCGGCAGCGGCGACGGCAAGCACAAGATGGGTTGAGGACGGCAAGGCAAGGCTCGCCGGAGAAAGGTGGTGCACAATACCATGGCAGGAGAGGCGCTACGAGACGCGAAGAGGAAGATGTGGACATCGTTAATAGGCAGGCTGATGGGAATTATATGCTTGATGTTAGTGGTATGAATGAGGGTCTGGCGATGGGCGTGCCTTTGAATTATCCTTCTGCTGAGATGGGTGGTGATGGTGTGGAAGACGAGGATGCTAGTAAGTGATTCCAAGAGTGCTAGAAGCGCGACGACGATTTCTGATGGATTTTGGTAGGCACAGATACGTACTACGCAGCCGTAGCACGTCAATACTTCACATCAGGTCGAACGATGGGTGGGCGAAGTGTTAAGGGCGGCGCGGGAGATGGTGAGTACTCGCACAACGCCCGACTGAGCAGATTTGTTACAGATCGCTTTCTGACTTGGCCACAGACGTGGAAGAACTCGTTCCTGAGATGATGGCACATCTCCGTCGGCAGGCTACGCGTAAGCTGGAAGATGAGCGATGGATGTATGAGCCTACACCTGCGGGTAGCACGTACTAGTGCCGCCTATCAAGTAGTATGCTGTCACTATTCGATAAAGCAGAGAATTGATTGTTACCAATGCTGTGCCTTCCTAGAGATCTGCTGAGCACAGGCACTATACACCATCGGTGGTCTTCATTACAGTTTTGGTTGCGGTTCCTGTCGTGCGAACGCCACAAATTGACGAAGCGGTCTCTTTGTGGGACGTCCATACCAAATCTCAACTTGCAAGCAATAATAGAGCGGCTCGTCAAATTTAACTACAGTACAGCCATCGTACACCGAGGCAGCACAAGATCTGTCAACGACGTGATCGTCCATGATCTCCGATCTGCTGAGATCTGCGCAAGGTCATGAAGCACTTCACGAACCGCGGATGCGGCGCGGATGCGGGCATACCACGATCAGGCTTTATCATTCCGCCTTCAACACGGAAACAGGTCGGAAACCATCACCCTCACTGGTGGAGCCTGCGTGCCAGCCTTGCAGTCCCTGGCGGCACCAAACTCCGGACTTGTCTTCCAGAACATAGCTGCATAACAGCACTTCCGGGGCGGCGACCCTCAACGGCCTTCGCCCTTCGCGATATACATGGAGCGAACGTGGGTATGGGCTTGGTCATAGAGTCGTAAAGCGATGCGTAAAGAGATTCCCGGGTGAAGTGAAGCACCCCACGCAGTCTGCGACCTCGGCGTGAAGTCGGCGCTGCAACCCGTCGGCAAATCTTCGATCCGCAATTGGTGGACGATCACGACAGGTCCTCCGCGACGAGATGGAGGTGTAGTATGTAGCGAATGTGCATCGTTGGCTGCCTCGGATCAGGCATTGCACAACAATATCTGCAGGCGCATGACGCGGCGGGTATGTTGCCACTCCAGCTCAACAGCGTGGGATTTGTGAGGCGAGCGCCGACGACATCACGTCCCTCGTGTGCTTCGGAGATGAGAGTTCCTACTGTCCTGGTCGGGGCGTGCTGTTGGGGTTTGCCAGTCGTCTTTTCGTCGTCCGAAGACGCAATAGTCTCCTTCTAGTAGTGTAGCGTACCGCCTACGTGGGTTGAGAGAGCAGGTGTGGCTCGTGGCAGCGGACGGGGTCAACGTAGCCGAGCGGCGGTCATTGGTTGGCTGTCATAATTCGATCTCGTAGGTTGCGCCGCAAGCTGGAGATATTGCCTATCGAGTACCGATACCACGGTAATCGAGGATCCAGTCAGCCCGTACCTTGCTCGTCGGCAGACAAGGAGTCCTTCGCGAAAGCATGGGAGCCGTCGACTGGCAGGCATATTCGTGATATCCGCTCAGCGGATCAAGGTGGGCAGTCTCACAAGGCGTATGGCATCAAGGTTTGACTTTGGCTCAGTGGCTTGCGACTTCACTTCCCATCTCCGAGCACGTGGGCAGTCGATGTAGCCTGTCAGGCCTTGCTGCGAGCCTTCTCCGGACTACCAGGCCAAATGTGAATATTGACATTGACCAGACGAGCAATAGCGTGCCGCCCAAGGTCCCGATCCAGCAGCGTCCTACACGGCACATTGTCTGCCCCAGGCATATCCGCCGTCTGATCTACGAAGCGGCGCTGTGTGATTGTCCAGAGCTCCGCAACAAGATCTACGGCTAGGACGTAAGAGGCCAAAGCTGCCTATCTTAACCGAGCATGAGGGCCCAGGATATGCAAACTCACATCATTTTGAGCCGTCTCTGCATCCGCCTTGCGCTCCCACCCACGACTCTGTCAAGATGGTGCCGCATCTGTCGCGATCGCTTTACGCATTCATCCCGCCGAATCCTACCCTGGCCACTTTAGCCTTCCGTCCGTCGTCGCTCCTCCTGCAGATGGGGTCTGTTCGTCGCGGGATGGACTCCTCCCCACATACTCTCGTCATCCCAGAACCTCACCGTTGCTTGACGGCGAGCGGCTACTGGTTGAACCTTGAGCTTATTAGGTATATTGCGGATAGGTTTGAAGACGAAGCGTGGTGACTCGCTTCTTTCTCATCAAAGTCCTGTTGTACATACAGTGCGGTCGACCGGTCTCAGTCCTTCCGGCTTGCGACTGAATCCTTCCGCCCATCCTACGACTCAAATCTCCCGGCGAATACGATAACATAGCAAAGTCAGGAAGTGTGCTACCACAACGACCAGGTCTCGACAACCTCACATCATGGCCGCGGTACTAGCTCCAGCAGCGCCAAGTGACTTGCTACGGCGCAGATTCAATCATCCACCGTACGATAACATCAACATGTCCGACCTCATGCCCGGCTTCAACATACCGTTTCGACCAGATACAGCTGCTGCTGCCGCTGCGGCATCGTCGACCATGCCTTTTCTACATAATCAAATGCAATCACATTTGCCACAAGTTCAACCACAATTCCAGCAACAATTACGGCCCCAATTCCATCAAATACCACAGCACAATCCACCATCGATGGCCCCAGGTGAGATGTTCAGCCACCTGTCAATGCCGGAGGCCGCAATGCTGGGTGGACCAACCTACGCGGATGCTTACATGCTTGGAACCGACTTCTCTGGCGCCACTTTCGGCTCGTTGAGTTGGCCCGTGGGCTCGAGTACCGCTCCAAGCTTGATACAACCACTACATGACCACCACGACCTCAGCTACAGTAGCACCGAGAGCGAGCCATATATCAAGTCCGAAGAGCAATCTCCAACTTTCGCCACTCACCTGTTCACCGAAGCACAGTCTTACCTCTCATCACCAGACACCTTGAGCTTAGCAGACTCCTCTGACGAAAGCAAGCCGGCCGTCTTCTCTACTGACATTGATGTGCTCATGCGAGCTATTCAAGCCAAGTGTCAGCCATCAGGGCAGCAGCCTAGTGAGAGGGTCAAGTCGACAGAAGCACGGCCCACGCCAAGTAAGATCAAGAAGCGTTACCACTGCCAGATTGCTGGCTGTGGCAAAGCCTTTTACCAGAAGACCCATTTAGAGATCCACACCAGAGCACACACTGGCGTCAAGCCTTTTCTTTGCAAGGAGCCTACATGTGGACAACGTTTCAGCCAGCTCGGTAATCTCAAGACTCACGAACGTCGGCACACAGGTGAACGGCCATACCACTGCGATATATGTGGCAAGACTTTTGCGCAGCATGGCAACGTCCGAGCTCACAAAATCGTCCATACTGCTGCTAAGCCATTCACATGCAAGCTGGACAATTGCAACAAGCAATTCACTCAGCTAGGCAACCTCAAGTCCCACCAGAACAAGTTCCACGTCGAGACGATCCGACGACTAAAGGCACGTTTCGAGAATATCAAGGAAGGCGATGTCGTGCAGGAGTGGGAGAAAAAGCTCTGGGAGTACTTCGCAGGCTTGTACAAGAACTGCAACAAGGGCATCAAAGGTCGAGGCAAGGACAGACGGATTAGCAACACCGCCTACGCGTCGCCAGACAGTACATGTATATCGCCCAGCCAGAGAAGAGACAGCATCATCAGCACAGCTTCAGGAGGAGGGACTGTATCACTGGGTATGCCGCTGCCTCCTGCCATGTTCATGCAATAATGGTTGTCAAGCGAAGAGAGAGGTCGGCATTCAAAGGCGTTCGAGATACCCTCGTCATTCACAATATATTAAGGTCGGACTTATGATGTGTTGTACAGTCTGTATATACTTGTAGCAACCTCTGTGCATCCAGAAGTTTCACGTCTAGGGAATTCCACCACCGACTGACATCAATCATTTTGAGACCTGAATCCAGCAACGCTATATCCACGTCTTACGACCCCACGACATGCATATCTTCGCCAATGGCGTCGGCTAAGCGGTTCCGCATTGCAAGCTATCTCGATGGCGCAAGATAAGATCTATACGATAACGTCTCGCAACAATCTCCTGTACGCTTCGCACTTGCGAGTACAGTTCGTGAAATCGTTCTCCGCGAAGCCAAGCAAGGCTGACGAAAGCACTTATTACTGATAAGCTACTTACAGTACATGTATAATGACACGATATATCTCAGACGTCGTCATACCCGACAAACTTCGCAATCGAGAGAGACCGAGTCCCAGACATAAAAGACTTCCATCTCGTCGCTGGCTTGGCTCTGAATAGTCTGTAAGGTGGAGACAACCTCCTCAGCTTCCACACGCCGGGCTCATATACTTCCGATGGTTGCCGTCCTTTCCATGAGGTTCTAATTCATACTTGCGGCACGCTTGCGATAACGTTGGACTTGATGATGAGCTGGCTCAATGACCGATAGGCTCAGTACAATCAAGTGAGACAAGGCTGTGAAACGACAAGACACGACTGGAGGAGTTGGTGTGAGCAAACACGCGGTAGAAGAGGTGGGATCCAAGAATCTACTGGCTCTATTGTGGGTAACTACCCAAAGGTTATTTACATATAAATAAAGTCTACCGTCGCAGTTATTATATTAGAAATCGACGTGGCATTTTGGAGCGTAACGCGTGGAGAAGCGCCGTCGCTAATGTGATATAGCCTTGCTCTTCAATGGTCGATGGAAGCCTCGTATCTCGAATTGATCCTTTAGAGACCAGAATCGATCTCGGGCACGACATGGCCACCGTCTGTCCAGCCATTCCAGTCACGGCATGTCTGAGCCATTGTACTAGGGATTTGCATCTTGTTCTTGATGTCATCGGGACCTTCGAGAACGTTGATGTAGAGGCCGCCAGATACATGCCAAGCAATGTGGCAGTGGAAAGGCCAGACACCCGCATTGTCAGCGTCGAATTGGATGACCATGAATCCCGGGTCACCTCCCAGGCTAACGGAGTTGGGAAGGAGCTGGACGTCACGCCTCTGAGGATTGCCGGGGTTGACGACTGTTCCATCCCAGGTACCGGTGCCGGTGGCAAGGACATACATGTTGTGGCCGTGCAAATGCATTGGGTGGGCGCCCGTGAAAGCGTAATTGTAGACCACAAACCGAACGGAAGAGGCAGATCCAAAATTGTAGACATTATACTCTGCTGGAAAGTCGGTCTTGCCGAGCTTTGCGTCCAATAACACTGGGTCGTTGTAGTTGGCGCGGAAAGTGGAGTTGTTCATGTAGAACAGATTCGTCGTTCCGTTGGATTGATAGGTGATGTTGATAACCTGTGTCGTAGACGGTACAACAGGCGGTGTGATCGAGTAGGAGGGCTGAGTCATAGACAAATCATCATTCTGGCAACGTAGGATCTCCGAGAGCGGGATAGAGGAGTTGGTAGTCGGGATCGCAGACTGGTTTGCGTGTTGGTAGTAGATCGCGGCAACGGCCTCGGGTGAGATCCCATCGTTGAGTGTGCAGCCACCGACAAACGCAGAAGGGCCAAGCGTAGAACGCATCCAGACTGCGTCAGTCGGCTTGCCATTAGCCTTGAAGATAACGTCCTATATATGTCGTTAGTCTCATAGTCATGCTAATAAATGCCGACAAGCCAACATACCGATCTCTGGCCGATGGCCAATGTAACCACGTCGACATCGTATGGTGTTACTGGGACGAAGTCGTTGGCAATGACAGTCAACTTAGCGCCATCGATGCTGAACTTCTGAATACCCTCGGATCCAGTGTTCATGAGACGCAGACGGTAGCTTTGGCCGGAAGTGACGTTGAACTTCGAGATACCGGCGTTGGGCGTGCACTTCAGACCTGTAGCGTTCGCGCAAGGATAGTTCATCTTGCCGTTGATCAAGTTGTTCTGACTGATTGGTGGTAGTGCGTTCGCGGCAATTGGAGCCATTGTCTGCTCGACCAGATCGTAGTAGCTGGTATGGTACCAGTCGGAAAGCAGGACAGGGCCAAGATCGACATCGTAGCTGCTATCGTGTGGGCCGTAAATAATCTAGCATGAGCGTTAGCGGTATTCAGTCGAGGTCGAGTATCATTAAAATGGCGCATACCATTGGACCCAGGATGCCACCTGCATATTGCGCAGAATAATGGGCGTGCCACCAAGATGTACCATACAGATCAGCCTTGAATCGGTAGGTGAATGTGCCGCCATTAGGGGAGATGGGACACTGCATCACAGCTGGAATACCATCCATCCATGGAGTAGCAGTCTGGAGCAGACCGTGCCAGTGGATCGTGGTGCCTTCTACTGGAAGATTGTTTGTTACTTCGACCTCGATCCAGTCTCCCCAGTTGGCCTCAACCGTCGGACCAGGGAATGCTCCATTAACCAACAGAGCAGCTCGCTCAACACCGTCAGGTGCGATTGTGCCTTCAGCAATGTTGAACTGGTACTTCCTGGTCACACCGGTCTCTGGTGGGCTGTTGTATGGGTTGGTATTGTAAGGGTCTCTGCCACCCCAAGGTGACTGACCGCCTTCAAAAGGACCGCTGAGCCATGGGGGCAAGCGAGGAGCATCGAAAGTCCCAAGTGGGCTATTGCCGTTGGTTTGCCATTGAGGAAGACCTGGCGCTAGGCTGTGGCCAGGAGGCAAAAAGGCTGGACCACGGTACGACCCTCTCGCCGGACCACCGAATGGTGAAGGCGATGGCTTGATCTGTGTCGCTAGCCCTGTCGAAGCTGGAGTGTTGCCACTGACATTAATAGTGGCGGTCCCGTGTTGCGCAGTGTCGACTTTCGTCACCGTAGCAGTAACTGTAGCAGCAACTGTCGATATATGTGTCGACACAACCGTTGTGCCTTGTGGCGAAGATGCCCCGGATGATGTGGCAGATGTCTTGGTGCCGGTTGCGGATGTACCTAACGTTGATGTGCTACCGACATCTGATGCGGCGGACTGGAGAGCCTTGAAAGCAGGAAGAAAGTCGATCGAAAAGCGTCCCAGTGCCGGTCCTGGTCGAGGATGCGAAAAGGGCGCAGGATGAAGTTGTGGTGCGGCTGCTGCAAAGCCAGAAAGAAGCAGGACAGTGCCTGTGCTAAGGAAATTGGCGACCATCTTGGTTGAAAGGGAAGAATGAGTCGGTCATAGATCGCAAGAAGATCCAGAAGGAGGGCGCAAACAGGAAAGATTACAATTAAGAGTGCACGACAGGTCAGACCTAAGCCGGCTGCAACGAGGGACAGGGAACCGGACTTGACGATCACTTGGGGCGAAGTCTTGTCGTTGGATGAGGTAAAGGAAAGGGTCGTGAAGAGCGCGGCAAACCGCCAAGAGCAAAAGATGAAAGATCGAAGTGCAAGAGAGAAGGCAGCCTTCGGTTAAGAACCCGTCAACGTTCGTCCGTCGTTTGCTGATCGTTGGCCAACAACGTGGAAGGTGTGGACTAATCGTTGCGGCTGTCGTTAGGCTCACCTTTGTTCAGCGTAGGGCGCCGAGCTTCCAGTTCACAGGACGCCTATTTCAGACACAAATCGTAACCGCACGGATCAGCGGTGCATACGGACCTGCATTCTACGGAAGTATTGTCTGACCAGTGCAGACGGGCGAGGCCGTAAGGCGGTGCTTAGGCGACAAAATCAATACAACCTCGAGGCTACTGTTACGGGCCCTGAACTCTGGTCAGCCTCATTCCGTATCCAGCGGCTGCTAATTTAATTAATGTCCCGGTATAAGATTTCGGTGGCATGATGGTCCGGCCAGGGACAAGAAAGTGTGTGATGTTGCTTGTGATTGATCAGACCGATCCAGTTGGCCGTATCCTGATGCTCAAAGGAACCATCATTCATACGTATCGGGCGAGCACATCACACATATTACCCCTGTACATCCTGCCGTAGGCCGTCTTGTCAAGTCCACGAACCGATACTCACAGCCACAAACTGCAGTATGTGGGTCTGCATATTCTTCCAGTCTTCTGAGCTGCCACATGGAGCCTAAGCGTGTACGAGCTGAGTCGATGATACCAGTCCAATCGGTCGGGACGGCAGCATGTAGTCAACAAGGCTCGTGAAGCTAGTGTGAGCCAAGCGAAGACGGCACAGGGGGGTTCTAGCCATACTCGCCGATCCACCACCGTTTATGTCTCCGCCCCCGAGGCCTCCATGCGGTAGGCGCTTCTCCTTACAGGTGGTACAAGCAATTTGATCGGTATCAGGGCCGATTTGATGTTATGACGAAAGATGGGGAGGCGTGAGTCTCGAACCAAACTTCTCTCTCGCCCTCCTGCTGTGTACCTGTCTCTCAAGCTCGTTTGTCTGGTATGGTCACAAGCGGTGGAGTCTCGCTTCCGCACGCAGACAGCCGCACATGGTCGCGCTTAAAATAGCAGCTCACCCGCAGAAGATGAACACTCGTATTTGCAGTGAAGAAATACCCGATGCGACGTGTGGGACAAGGTTCTCGCTCCCCACCATATAGCCTCGCAGCATGGAGGTACACAACAGCAACTCCATCTTTGATGCAGGCTGTCATCACTTTAACAGCGTTGCTTGTCTGCACTCCAAGGCCAAGATACCACCGTACGCCCACTGGAAATACTGTAAGATTGGCGTGGCGCAGCCTCAAAGTCAAGCCAAATCCCACGAAAGCGTATTCGATTAAGCTCAGGAGCCTATTGGCAGAGCGCCAGTCCATATTTCCCTCACGACCTCCTTCGCGCCTCGGATCCTACTTCCGCTCTGATCCGCTAGAAGTTGGACAATAGGTGTAATTGCTGAAAATCGAGGAGCGTACAGCCAACTCCGCTAGACATCTGAAAGGCTGTACGGTGGAGCAATAACAATATTCCACGCATCAGTACCGCGACAGGGCTGCACACTACAGCTCAAGACATCAGCGTTATCGCCTGCTCCTTCCCGGCCTTGTAAAGACGTAGCAAAGCATGCTATTGGATGCGCTGCCAATATCCGAGTCCTCATGCTAGATATATGAGATAAGCGCATGATGAATCACCGTAATATAATACATTCTTACTACATCCGGTCTTAAATACTTCTCAACCAGGAACGTGCATAGACTTCGCTACAGGGTAACAGGCAGAAGGTATTCAGCCGCTGGATCTACATTGCATCTCACTCGCCACTCAGCACGATCGAAGGCTGCCAGCAAGGAGATGCCTTGGCATCAGGATCTCAGCCGCACGCCTGGCGTAAAGCGTTCGTGAGATCAGCATCATTACTCATCATGACCGCCCACGCTGTGCTGATGTCTCATCCTGAGTACTGGTCAGACATAATGCTCGTCGGGCCCGAACATGGTGTTCTTCACCATCTACACTCCCTGCTCAAAGCTGTCCTCCATTTCTACTGACACACTGTACCGATATTTTGAGTGGCTTCTGCGTCAACTGGGAAACCTGTGATCGCTACGTTACGAGCTTGTATTCACCAGACTAGACTTTCAGAAGTGTCGTGACCGACCCGAGGGCTCCTTGAGAAGAGAGGTTCAATACAGTATGGCTAGAAACGGCTGTTCTTACATCGTACTGTGAATTTCCTCATACATCACGTATTCGACTGGTCGAGGATGTGGGTGCAATTCCAATACCGTGTTCTTACGCCTTTCCCAGCCCAGGCAGTACTCTGTACACCTGGTATGTTGTTGCACTAAATCGATACACGACATCCTCCTCACGATGAAGCGTGAGCACTTTCTTTCTTCACTGCGCCCAGCCCCGTCATACTCCTACGTTTTCCCTCTTGTTTGTGCCACGGAGGAATAGCATTTCAAGCTGTGGCAAGTCAAGCTTGTGGCTATCTACCCATCGCAACTCTGTCCTTCCCTCTTGCATGCTTTGGTCGGCCAGCACCTGCTTCACTGCCTCAAATCAAGCGTTGCCTGGCAAGTCTATAGCCATACCATTATCAACTCCTGGCAGTCATGCGATGTAGGCAAGCATGACTAAGAGAAGCGTAATACCTTCACAGCGGCGCACTTGTGATTTAAATGGATTGAGCGCCCCGTCAGTCTTGCCAGGCCATGCCAAGACTCGAAGGCTCTCGCTGCTCACAACAGTGAACACCACCCGCGACAACTATCCTCCCGTCGCACTCGCAATCAATGGCCGCGCCCGAGTGCCCCAAATTGTGCTGCACACCAAGTCTCAGCATCCATGTATCGACTTGGGCCAGAACCCAGCATTTCACCTCCAGGCTTATAGGCACGACCAAGAACCTTCCATTTCCTGAACCCTTGATGCTAGTCTAACTGCAATGCTCGTTTAAAATGTCTGTTATGTCTGGCCATGAAGCTTCGAGCTCACGATCAAGGACTAAGAGAGTGCTGATGAGGTTTCTCCGGTTCGGCGAATGTAATAATGGGTTCGAGTGGGAGGATTCAGTAGGTGGATGATTTCTTGGTGGCATAGCATTTCCTGTTTGTCGCAACATACAGCTAGCCATAACGTGGATAGGAAAAAGGAGACCAATAGAGAAGTAAGGATGCTACCTATCTACCTTGTGTCAATATCGATGATTGAGAGTAGGCAACGTGCAATGTATTCCCACATCATTCCTGGTAGTGGACGCGGCAGGCGGTCTCTGCGTAGACCCAGAAGGACCTATACTCGACCTCTTGATACTCCACGGCCGTCAGATGTTCTTGTTGGTTTATAGACACGGGTTCTCGTGAAGGCAGATGTGAAGCACGTCCGAACAGAAGTGTTGAGGATGAGTCAGGCAGCGGAGCGGGTGGACCCTGGTGACGAGGTGGGTTTTGAGGTTAGAAAATGTCCCGCAGCACAAACTCTCAGAGTGAAAACTGGTGCGGCGGCTTTCCCTATTCACGGCTGTAAAGATTCCCAGATACCAATCATCCGTAGCAGCAGGTCTGCCATACAATAGTCTCCCGTCGGCATCTTCACCGAACTCGCCACCACTTCTTACAGGCAGAAGAGTGGTATCGATTAGCCCCACCAACAACGAAAGAAAGCGGGCAAGGCGCTGCCGTATTTGGGTATCACATTTTTCTTAACCACAACACCACACACATCTACACCTTTGAAAATGTCTGTCTCTGCATCCAAAGCAGCGCGCCAGGCCAAGAAAGCCGAGAAGGCCGCTGCCACCGGCAAGAAGACTCCCACCTCCCGCCTGGCTTCCAAAAACGCCTCGAAGAATACTTCAGCAGCCAATAGCGACGATGAGATCGAAAATGGCGTCAGCGAGTCCGTCGCCAAGATGGCAATGCAAGAGGATAAGGACGGCATTTCAGACCGAGTCACAACGGGTGTGCTCGCCTCCCTGGAAGCCAGCCGCGATGTCAAGATCACATCTGCCTCCTTGACCTTCCACGGCAAAGTACTCGTCACAGACTCGACACTCGAAGTCAACTATGGGCGACGATACGGTCTGTTGGGCGAGAACGGCTGCGGAAAGTCTACAATCCTCAAGGCCATTGCGAAGCGAGAGTACCCGTTCCCAGAGCACATCGACATTTACCTACTGAACGAGGGCGCCGAGCCTTCGAATACTGGTGCGCTCGAGTGGGTCGTGCAGCAAGCAGAGAAGGCGCTGAAGGATATGGAGTCACTGGCCGAGAAGATCTTGGAAGACGATGGTCCAGACAGCCCGAAGCTCGAAATCCTCTACGAACAAATCGACGGCATGGACCCAAGCACCTTCCACACCCGCGCCGGCCAGATCTTGACAGGTCTCGGCTTCAATAAAAAAACAATGGACAAGAAGACCAAGGACATGTCAGGAGGCTGGCGTATGCGTGTCGCCCTTGCCAAAGCCCTCTTCGTCCGCCCATCTCTCCTCCTCCTCGACGATCCCACCGCTCATTTGGACCTCGAAGCCTGTGTCTGGCTGGAAGAGTACCTCAAGAAATGGGACCGTACTCTCATCCTCGTCTCTCACTCCATGGATTTCCTCAACGGCGTTTGCACAAACATGATTGATATGCGGATGCAATCCCTGATCTACTACGGTGGTAACTACGATTCTTACATGAAGACCCGATCCGAGAACGAGGTAAATCAGCACAAGGCGTATGAGAAGCAGCAAGATGAGATCAAGCATATCAAGGAATTCATTGCCAAAGCCGGTACCTATGCCAACTTGGTTCGTCAAGCGAAGAGTAGGCAGAAGATTTTGGATAAGATGGAGGCGGATGGCTTCATCCAGCCCGTCAAAGTCGATCGAGTCTTCAGTTTCCGCTTCGCGGACGTTGAGAAACTTCCTCCTCCTGTTCTGTCGCTGGATAACGTCACATTCTCCTACTCCGGCAAGAAAGAAGACAACCTCTACGAAAACCTCGATTTCGGTGTCGACATGGATTCCCGTACCGCTCTTGTCGGACCCAACGGTGTTGGAAAGTCGACTCTCCTCCGTATCTTCACCGGCAAACTCTCTCCTACCTCCGGCTCTGTGAGCAGACACACTCATTTGAAGCTTGGAATGTACAGCCAACACAGCGCGGAACAACTCGACCTCAACAAATCCGCTCTCGATTTCGTCCGCGACAAATACCCTGCCATCAGTCAAGATTACCAGTACTGGCGCCAACAGATGGGTCGGTACGGCTTGAGTGGTGAATCGCAGACTGCGCTCATGGGTACGCTGTCAGAAGGTCAGAAGTCAAGGATCGTGTTCGCACTACTCGCCATTGAGAGCCCGAATATGTTGTTGCTGGACGAGCCAACGAATGGATTGGATATCCCTACTATTGATAGTTTGGCGGATGCTATTAACTCTTTCTCGGGCGGTGTGGTGGTTGTTTCCCACGATTTCAGGTACGTTTGGATAATCCCCTCGGGCCAGTTTTACAGATTTGGAATGCTGACGTGTTTACTGCAGATTGCTTGACAAGATTGCCAAGGATATTATGGTGTGTGAGAACAAGACTGTGACGAGGTGGGATGGCAGCATCGGTGCGTACAAGAACTCGCTGAGGAAGAAGTTGTTGGCGAGGGGTGGTGTGTAAGTGCGTGGCTATGCTATGGACTCTTACGCGCACATCACAAGGCATCAAGGCGCCCGAGGTTGACGAGGTGATATTGGGGTAGCACGCCTATCTGTGTGGACTATGCGCCATGCCAGAGGCGAGAGCTCCATGCTCCTGCCATCGTCTTCATTTGAAAAAGCATGCATGAGGGTCGTGTGGGAAGCGGTGCATTTGGCAGGATAGACCTAAAGGCGTTCCCCTCTTCTCGTCCTTCGTAGATTATGAATTACTCATCAAGAATGAACATGATTATCTTGAATTCCCCCCGTGTTCTAGATCAACGCCTCCAGATTCTACAACGGCGTAAGTGCAGGAGAACGTTGCGACGTGCGGGAGAGAATTCCAAAGGGTGTCTCGTTGGCGGTGAGACATGGAGGATCTCGGTAGGCTATATACGGAGTCAAGCCCGAGGATTGTCTTACAGCCTCAGCTGATGTGGCGTCTCGGGAAATTATGCTGATTTGCATCATAGCTGTTGTGGCGCGCGACTCGAGATGAGTATGATAAATAACACACACAGTCAAGAGAGCAAAGCGAAGTGGAGAGAAGAGTGAATGGGTTTGATGTGGTTTTCTTTAGCTATAGTAAGCTAATTTTGCTGGCCAAGCCTGGCCGCCGATGTACTGCAAAAGCAGCAATACAACTGCACGGAGCCGAGGAAGGCAGCATCATGTCATGAATATCATTACGCCTCAAGTAAAGCTGAGCGTGAACCAGCCTCGCCCATGGACGCCTGCTTATGATTGTGATGTGGCACACAACTCCTCACCGCATCGCATCGCATCGCATCGCCCTCTGCTCAGCGCATCGCGAACCACCCAGCACCTCGTATTTTAAGCACACTCGCACTTAACGATCCTCAGCCCACTCATTCTCGCGACGGATCTGCTCCTCCTCCTCTGGTGTGAAGTCGTTCTGAATGTTGAACGTCTTGCGGATCTCCTCGGGGCTCTTGCCCTTGATCATGTTGGCGACGGTCTTGCAGCCGACGTCCAGAAGAGCCTTAATGTCCATGTAGTTGGCGGCAAGGATGATCTCGAATAGCATCTCCTGGTCAACCTGCATGAACTTCTGGTCCCAGTCGTCGATGTCGGTCGTCTTCTTGCGGGAATCGGCGTCGTCGTCTTGGGTCGGCGCGGGGTCGTTCTTGTGGTGGGTGCACCATTCGAGGACTTTGCGTAGGACGGCTTCGGAGACCTATGGGAGTGAGGTTAGCACGTGAGCTTGAAGGTGAGTGAGGTTGAGTCGGTGAAGAAGCGCAACTCACGTTCATAATTGGGATGGGCTCCTCGCCTGGCGCGCCAAGGTCCTCGATCATATTCTTGATGAGCATGGAGCGCTCAGCCACCTTGCGCTCTGTGAGGGTAGGTCAGTAAGCGGTCAAATGTATAAGATCATAAGCAAAGGAATGACATACCAGTGAGGATCTCGACATTGTCACTGCTGACGAGCTTGACCTGTTGGTCGGCGGCTTCGGCAGACATGGCACTGGTACTCGATGTGGTAGATGTGGTAGATGTGGTAGATGTGGTTGATATGTGTTGTAGTTAATGTGGAAGGTTGTTGCCGCGGATAGCAAGAAGTTGGAGATTTGTGTGTTGCAGAAGTGTCGAGGTCGGTCGGGAGTTGATTCTTATAGTAGAGTGGTCGATGCCGACGAGCTTGGACCGGAGCTTACTCGATATGTTTGCTGTGAAGGTGAGAACAATAATAATGAAGCAATCGATGCAATCGGTGCCTGCGTTTGAATGAGGTTTGCGGTCACTGGAAGGCAGCAGGCGGGGCTGTCCGCACTAGTGAGGCTGACTCACGCGATGCACCATTACATTCACTTCAAAGTTGCATTGAATCTTTAAACACGTGACAATCTGCAGATATGTCGTACGGCTCACGTTTGGCTACACGCTGCCAGCATCTATTTGCTAGTCGCTCTCAAGTACGGCGTAGACAGATGGCGGCCTTCCGATAGAGTCGCATAGTCGAGCCTGTCGTTACTAAGCATGCAAGTGATCTACGCCGTGAGAGAGCCGCAAGGATCCACAGTATTGTGATCGACAGGCGGTATCATCTTCTGTATCAACTGCCATCTAATAAACTGACAATATATATCTTGTTGTACGATCTCTCGCCCAGCGATGGCCTCGTTCTGGAAATGTGGCTCGTGCTCACGCGACGCGTCGAAGACACGGAACCTCAGGTTTGCTCGCATGTAGTATCACCAATTCCAACCCACAATGGCATTCCGTCTGTCACACTCCTGGCCCTCCTGACAACTCGATCGCAAAATGTCGCGCAGACTATATCTCTTCCTCGTCCTGGTCAGGCTGTACTTCGCGCTGTCGCGCAGCTACATCCACCCAGATGAGCACTTCCAGGGTCCCGAGATAATTGCTGGTATCGTTCCATAGCCTCCCACAGTCAAAGAAGCCGCTCTGATGGCAAGGTAGGTGAAATCTTCGGCTGGCCTGTCTACAAGACCTGGGAGTTTACCTCCGAGCATCCTATCCGCAGCATATTTCCGTTACGCCTCATCTACGCACCGTCTCTCATCATCTTCAAATGGCTATGTCATGGTATGGGCTACGAAGCTACGCCGATGGCTGCCTTCTACGTGTTGAGGGGATTCATGTTCTTGTTAAGCTTCGTACTTGAGGACTGGGCCTTACATGAATTACTGCCAGATAAGCAGGAACGTGCCAGTGCTTTGCTTCTGGTGGCCTCATCATACGTCACCTGGACATTCCAGATGCATACTTTCTCCAACAGCATCGAGACGATTATTGTGCTATGGTGCTTAGTCCTTATGCGCCGCATGCAGCATGATCCGGAGCACACACAGGTCACACTGTGCATCGCGCTGGCATTCCTTGGAGTCCTGGGAGTCTTCAATCGCATCACATTCCCAGCGTTCCTCGTTGTAGCAGGTGTTCAGCTTCTACCACACCTATGGGCGAAGCCACTACGCATACCAATTCTACTAGGTGTAGCCGCATCCACGACAGTCATAGCTTTGGCTCTTGACACCGAGTACTATCATGGCCACCAGTTACGTTTCTGGCAATTATTCAGTACTGCAGTGTTCACACCAGTGAACAATCTGACCTACAACCTGGATCCAGCGAACCTCGCCCAGCACGGCATTCATCCATACTGGCAGCACTTTGTTGCGAACCTTCCACAACTGTTGGGTCCACTCTTCCCACTGGTATTTGCTCCAGGCCCCCGGAACACTCTATTCTGGTCGGGCATATCCGGTACGGCACTGCTATCCTGCTTCAAGCATCAAGAACCACGTTTCCTACTCCCAGCAGTTCCGCTCCTCCTCTCATCCATCCAGCTACCGAAACGCTTTGCTAAGATCTGGATAGCCACATGGATCGGCTTTAATGTACTAGCGGTCATCATATTCGGTCGCTACCACCAAGCAGGCGTCGTACCAGTACAAGCATGGCTGGCACAACAGGAGAATGTATCCGAAGTCTTCTGGTGGAAAACATACAGCCCACCTCGCTGGATTTCCGGAGAAGCAAACAACCACCTGAACACCACAGATCTGATGGGCATGGACGGCGACGAGATGTTCAAGCTCACCCAACACACAGCCGAGTGTCGTAGTCGGAAGCTCAACTTGCTGGTTGCGCCCTCGAGCGCGAGCTACCTGGATCAGTATAAGCATCGTTCTGGCTTAGTAACTTACCCGGAGTCAGCGGTGCCATTGGATCTTCTGTATCATTATTCGCGACATATCGGACTGGATGATCTGGATTGGAGTGAGGATGGCGTGTGGGGGACTTTGTATAAAGTGATCGGGAGGAGAGGGTTGGATGTTTGGGATGTTTCCTTGCGATGTTAAGTCTACGTCCTACGCTATAAGATGTCGGAGTCCGTGTCGACGCGCTTCATCCGGCTGCACTCTTCTCAATCGGATATGACGTTGCCTGCAATATGGCCGGCTCTCGCTCTCTGTGTATTCATGATACGGGTATGACCCAACGCTACGCCTGCCATTTGACTTTTGACCGCGTGATAGGGAACAATATGCGGCATAGCTATCCCACACCTGACTTTGCTCCTTTTCGCTCGCTCGGTTTGATCGCAAAACCCACCTACATGGCTGCAACAACGCCTTGTAACAGAGACAAACAACAAAGCCGCCAGAACCATCTCCAGCAATCGCAGCCTCTTACTCGTCGTGGCTGGCGCTCTGTAGATCCGCGGACGAGGTCGCTGCCTCTCTTCGCGGATACGAGGAATGTTGCGTCCGACCTGTGAGCGTGGTTCGTGGCTGACTACCAGTACAGGAGGCAGCAGAGCAAGGCTTTTATCAACCAGTCTGTAGTGTGGGAACAGGCTCGATGGGCAATGAGGCGGAGGCTTGGGGTGTTCTTGAGGCGGTGAGGCTGAGCGCGATTCGCGACATGTGTGGATGTATGGGCTTGGGGTTGAGACACTTGACATGCTGGCGTGAGGAGGGCCTCAAAGCACGAGTTGACGGTCAAGCAGAACTCGATGCAAGGCTGCCTGGCATTTGAGAAAAGGTAGGGTGAATCAGGTTCGACGGCCGCGCAGCCTTGTGGCATCTCAAATTACTGGTGAGGCTGCAGAAAATTCTGCTTCTGTCTTGCTTCGGAAGCGTGGACATGATGCTGAACCTGGTTTAGGATTCTACCAACGATGCAGAGTTACGGACCTGAATCATGCTGTCAAGGAACACCCTTCGTGCGTTTCTTTCATCTCTTCTGTATACGTGCTTCGTGCCTGCTGTTGTGGCGCAATGTTTAGCTATACAATCAGCGCCTGATTAAGCCAACCAGAGCCAAGACCACAGGCCAACCTAACACTAACGCCAGGACAATCACGATTACCAAAAAGGCACACCATTTTCGTGCCATTGGCGACTTCCGCCGAGCAGGAGGTATGTCGTGGGCCAGCAGCCGTCAAGCCTCGCGTGCCGCAGTGCCGCGTAGATGGTCGCTGGACTCGTCGTGAATGTTCGCCGCTGTGGTGTTGACTCGTGAATGCCAAGGCGTGTCGTCTGTATTGTGGTACTTGAACAGCGGTTCGGTGTATATGGGAGGAGTTCCTGTCCTTGCGTTGAGGTATGAAGCAGCAGGATACTGCGAATATGGTGGCGGGGGCTCCGGTGGCTCCGACACACCTGGCATCCTCAATATCCGTCCCTGCGATGTCGCCGGATCAAGCAATAAATACAAAGTGCCGATGACGGTGTGGTGTTATATGACATTGTTAGTCCATAAGTTTGATGCCGAGCTTAGCCTTGCGAGGACGTGATCTGGTTGCTGACGATCACAAGGCTTGTGGGTAAGGCAGCCTTGCATCGGGGCTGAGTCAAAAGCTCGCTACCAGTTGTGATGGCGAGACTAATCATCAGAAAGTGTCGCTGGCCACTTTGCCGGCAATTGCTGCGACGATGACGACCACAATCAGTACCGATGCGATACAGATCCAGTGACAAGAACTGCAGCCCTTGCGACGAGCTTGGTACGGCGTAGCTTGTATGTGCTGCGTTGGCCGCTGCTGCTCAAGGTCCTCGACAAAATGGCTCGTCGAGGCTTCGCGGCTTCGTCCTGAGGCCGTGTCTGCATGAGGCTTCGTGACGACACCGCGGTTTGTTGGAGGTGGATCTCGTGAGTAAAGAGGTAGAGCCTCGGGATCTGTGTTATGTGATAATGCTGGCTCATCGAATGAAGCCGGACGAGCTGAGTATGGTGGTGGGAGACGGCCGTCTGGCGTGGAGTGAACTTGTCGAAGTGGTGGCGAATGGTCAGCAATGTGGGCGGCTCGAGGTGTGGACACTCGTTGTTGTATTGGTAGCACGAACATGACTGAAGAAGCGATACGATTTGATGACAACTTCGAGTACTGAAACACGGCGACTGTCTAGAAGTACGAGCGGTGTCTATAGAACATGTTGCCGCCTTGCCATGGAATACCAAGATTGCACGGACCTCTTGAGGCCGCGCCTTCCGTAGTGGCTGTGTCTTCCTTTCACAACCGCAGCATGCTCATCTACAGCCCACATTAATATCTTTCGCTGCCTGTGCAATTCTGCTCTTGTAATATCTGGCGTGTGATCATCCTCGCAGTGGCCCAGGCAGCGGCCGTAGCATCCGGACAGTTTTGATGGTCGCATCTGCCATGACTGAGGTGCAAAACGCCACCAACATGCCAAGCTCCAAGAAACCGGATGACAGCCTCGTTTACTGAAGGAAGATCTGCGTGGTGCTCTCCATCAGTCGTAACGGTTTCGAGCCATGATGTTTCGTGACCCCTTCAGCCGCTCTCACCAACCCGCCCTCAAATACAGGATCCCGAAGATACCCATCAATAGCAAAAAGAATAAGAAGAAGCACGCGCAACCAGCACAACCCTTCTTCCTTGCAGCTGGTGCTCGTCTGACTTGCTGCTGTCGTTCGAGATCGAGCACCGGCGCTTCGACAGGAGGTTGCTTGTCATTGAGCCCGACTTCGTGGTGCGGGAACAGTGGTTCTGAGTAGCCGGGTAGTTGCTCCACCACGAGATCATGTGATGACGAAGATGTAGCGTTTGGGTGAGCATTGTAGGCTGGCGGGGGGACTTGGATGTCGGCCATGGTCAGTGGCGTTACTAAGGCAGTACTCGCGGACCTCTGTGGTTTCCTCAGTGTATTCTTCATTGATCAGTGAATGCAGGACTGCACTTTGTGAATGCAAGAGATACTCCAGCTAATCTATAGCTTAGCAGGTCTTTATGCCCTGCTTGACCGGCCGCAAGGCTGCGTGAGGGGGATTTAGGGCCACCTTCGTGGCTGTGCATAAAAATGTGACACCACAGCCCGACTTCAGGCATCATTGCGTGATTAGTATCCAAAAACTTCTGTCTGTGAGGAAGCCACATCGGTCTATCAAATTACCATCGTGCTGACATCTCTATTGGCCCCCAGCTTGCTCCGTAGCTGCAACGACCTTGGCAAGATTTCGCTTACACAGCTCTTCTTCCTACCCTTCGGTGACTCCATTGAGACATGCAAGCCGTGACTAGGATGGGGAGGTACTCGACGGTGCCTAACGGCAACACGATGAGGCAAGATGATGAGATTCACTTTTACAAAGCTAACGAGATCATTTGTCTGTGTAAGAGGCATAATGATAGAGTTTGTAAAAGCTCAGTAATTTGCCTCAATCGAGCTCGCAAGTCCGAAAATTTGTCGTCAGCTGCAGTCATACGATGGTGGTAATCCTCGAAGTACATAGCAAATCCTCCGTCCACACCACCTTCCGACCCTTCCTGCTGTACAGTCTAACCATCCACTTCATCTCACGACATCAATCAGCTTTGTCAACGAGACCCATGCTTTTCCATAAGTCAGACATACCATGCTAGCTATATAAACCATTGACCCTTAAGCAGACCATCTACTCAAACCACAGTCGCTATCATTTCTTTGGCGATTCTTCGTCTTCCTTGGATGGGTTTTTATCATCTTCTTCTTCCCTCAACGGATTTACACAGTTCTCGTCTTTTTTGGGCGGCTTGTGTCCACATCCATCCTTCTCATCTGTCCCGGTAGGCCCAGCAGCATTCCATCCGGGCTTATCACCACCCGTCGATACCGCTCCATCGGATGGCTGCGATGGATCCGCAGCAGAAGAGGAGGCACGCACTATCACTCCGTTTGCGACCAACGTTCCCGGCCCATTGTAAGCTGAATGTGCAGGAAGTGGAGCGGCAGGCGGAGCGGGAGCAGGAATCCACATCCAGGCCGGCTGGCCGCCATTCACCGTGACAGGCCCATGATATACTCCGGCTCCTAGGCCGGCTCCTGCCAAGGGTACACTAAATCCCATTCGTATTTGGGGTTGAGTTGGTGCTGGAGGTGGTGGCGCAAGCTCAGTGTCCTCAAGAGCCGAATCTCGACGCGGCGCCGTGGTCACCATATGTGTAGATTTTATGCAGGAATGCAGAGGTACTGTTGGTCTCCCTGAGTCCTGCTTCAAGATCAGCGAGGAGTACCAGGATGGTGAGCTCTTGTTAATGATACTGGTACAGCAGTGACTAGCGAGTCGTGAGATGGGTACTGGTCGTGTCCACGAACCTTGAAGATAAGTGCTTTTGTCCCTAGTCAAAGACGATATTGACAGAGCACAACGAAGGCAGGATTGAGTGGCGGAGTTTTGTGGCGAGGAAGAAAATCAAGCAGCAGAGGAGGAGCTACATGAAGATCTCGTTCGTGAAATTAAACCTACCTTCCTACCATGTTGGCATGGAAAAGTGCCTGAGGCCAGACGCTAGCACGCCAGGAGAGCATGATAGCTTAAACAGACTGGTACCCATTTCGCTACCCAACCTGACCAAACGGCGGATCAGAAGATGAGGACTTCCGAAGTCACGTTGTCACATATGCACCACACGCCAGGGGGCTAGAGATCAGACACCTCGACTCACGACAGCGGAAGTAGACAAGAGCCGCGCTGCGTCCCAGTCTGGGTTCGAAGAAGCTTGGAAAGATCTTCTTGGCGCCAGCCAATATTATGGCACCAGGGCCTTGATCACGAATCCGTGGAGCTTGACGCGTTGATACAATCGCCAATTGACTATTCACGGAGCTTGCAGTCATCATATCCTCTCCAGAATGAGGAATGGACGATCACATGCCACTCTGATCCATCGAAGGCGCGCTCAACGAACCACGGAAGGAGCTTCGGAAGCTATAAGCTACGTGATTGAGCTCGAAGACTGATATGAAGGCTTTTGTCGCAACCTCGGTGATTTTGCCGTTCTAGGCTGCGCAAGCTCTTCCTGTGTACTCCCTTTGTACAGGCCTTCCAGAGTGCCGGCCTTGAGTGCCGGCGACCGATCGCGAGGCGCGAAGCGTGGGTCTGACAAGCTACCAAGCAATTCCGCATTACGAGCTCTAGAAGGTCGGACCGGCAAGAAGTATTCCGACGATAGCAGCTGTTGAGTTGTGTGTTGTGCCCGGTCATTCAAGTCGACTTAAGCGGATCAGAAGTGGTTGAGAATATTGCGCAGAAGAGACATCTCACGAAACATCCAGACGAGTCGCCAGGCCAAGATTACAAGCTGTGCAGCATCAATCCGGCGATTCGAGTGTTGGTGACATACGCTTCCTCTTGTCGCACTATTGTGCTTTCGAGATTTTGAGATCAAGCGAAATCAGCAGAAGATCAAGAACGACTCCTGGAGCATTTTGAGAAACTCAGAAAGTCGCAAAAACACAAAGGCCAGGCGCGTTTCCGAAATCACAGGTCGAGTGATCTAGAGTGCAAGTTCCGGATGCAACAGCTCTTGTGGTGCACACCAGCACTTCCAACCTCTTCCTCATGGTGTCCGACTAACCACCGCCATTCCCAGGCCCTCTCTGACCCACCCTGTATATCCACACCGCACACACCAGATCCGACCATAAATGTCCGACGGCCTCCTTTCGAACATTCCCTCCTCAGCCGCCGCCAACGCAGCAAATCCAACAATGTCCTGTCTCCCTCCCTCCGTCTATCGCACCCTCACAAACATCGTCCTGGCAAACTACATCTGCCTGATCCTGACCACAATCATCCTCTTCATCGCCACGTTATACCGCATATACTCCCTCATGAATCGAGGTTTGCGCTCTCTAGCGAATGGCACAGAGGGTTTTGTGACGGCACTGTGGTTGATCATCGCGAGCACGATTTTCGAATCTCTGCTTGCGATCATCTCGGGAAGGTGGCATGAGTGTTTAGAGTGGGTTGGTGTTGGTACTAGAGTGGCGACGTTCATGACTTTATGGCGGTTGTGTTCATTTGTGGAACGGTTGTTCTGGGTATCTTGGTTGTGGTGGCGAATGATAGGCGGGGTGGCCGTGGTTTGGCGTAAAAGCTTAGATCGGTGAAGAGACGCAGATTACTGAGTATTGATGGTGAGAGAATCTCGCGGAACCGGAGTGATGATGGGGTAGAGCTGCAAAGTGTGCAAGTGCAAGAGCCGAGTGTACACTGTGGTAGAGTATACAGACGATATCGTAGCTTTGAGGCCAGTGCAAAAGGTTGATGCTGCTCAAGAGACCTCATACTCCAATTCCCTGATCTGATCAAAAACACTCTTCTCCCACGTTTTATATTCTGCTCTGCGTTCGTCGCTCAGCCAGTCGACAGCAGGCTGGAACATGGTGCCCAGTCCAGGTAGAAGACCGGCAGCACCCACATCTTCGGGTCCGTCAGGTCGCGATGCGTGTTTCTCTTTGCGCCGAAGTGGTGTCTTGGATGGTCGTTTCACCAGTGTGAGGACGTTGTCATCCTCTTCTTCTTCTTCTTCGTCCGGTTGCAATGGCACTGGTATTTCTTTCGGCGGCTCCCGCTCGGGCTCCGGTGCTGCAGCAGAGGCAGCAGGTGTTCGCTTGACCCTCTTCGATGGCGTGTCGTCCACTTGCAACGTGCGCTTGACAGGCGTTCTCCTCAGCCCCTCTCCACCACTGCCAGACGCCTTGGCCTCTCCTGCCTTCTTCGCTGAACCATCCTCACCTGTCTTTGCCTCGAGCTTGTCGACTACCCTTGCTGCTCTTGGTGTGTTCGCGGGTGTCCTGAGCACAGTTCCCAGATAAGTCTTCAGTTTGTTGTACACTTTCGGTGCACAAGGCGGTACGGGCCTGCCGATCTCAAGGGCAAGCTTCTTGCCTAGCCTCTCGCATGCTATATGGCAGCAAGCGTACGTCCGCCCAATCTCTTCTTCCTGCTTCAACGAAGATGCCTTGGACCGAGATTGTGCGACGAGTGATGTTGCCAGCTCGAGGAGTTGTGCTGGCAAAGGCGATACAGTAGGTAGCAGAGATGAGAGACTGCTCTCTATCTGCCGTGACATGTCGGCCGGTCCGAAGAGTATGAGTCTGCTATGTCAGTAAGATAGAATAGGAAGGATTGTATTGGTTAGAAGAGGTGATGTTGGATGTGGAGAAGGCGCGAAAGTGACGCGAGGAAGCGTGACCGTCAGACTTGATATTCACCTACTCGACATCTTAAAAGGATGATAATTGGATAGTCAACGGAGAGGCCTCTCTGGTTGCGATGAGCCTCATCCTATTGGTTTGGACGCGCACAGGTTGGAAGGCACGAGAGGAAACGATCACGCCATGAAGAAGCAGCCGTCCACTAGCCGACCTCGGACGACAATCCGAACTTTTGTCAGCAGAGTCAACATATATCAACAGCCGGAGGAAGACATCTTGAAGGATCGCAGCGGACTTGGCTCAACCGATGCAATGGCAACTCAGGTCTATCCAAACTACCCACCGGATCTGACCCCAGAACAAGAGCATTACCTCCTCGCAAACCTGAAGGACTGGTCGATAGCCCATGGCTTGGCAGTACGACCGACGACAGCATATGTACCAACAAAACAAGATCCTTCAGTAGCACTAGCAACAACCGCGCCCATTACATTGTATCCCAGCCTTTTCCCGCGAATATGCTTCGAGCAGGCGCGGTCAGTGGCGAAAGCATACAATGAGCTCTACTCCGCAATTGCTAGTGATGAGGAGTGGTTGAAGGGGACTGTCGAAGAGTAGGTGCGCTTCCCCAACGAGGTTCATCTTCGCCGTCCATGCTTTGCGCTTGGTTCCATCCTTGTAGACTGCATGATATACATGAGAACACGGAGCTGACTATCTAATCTCAAGGCTGCTAGACATCGATGACTTCATTGCCGAGTTATGGAAGGTGCATCTCGACGTGAAGAAAGAGGGCTACGCACAAGTGAACTATCCACTCGTTCACGGCCGAGACCAGGTAGCTGATCTCATATTAGCCTCTCAACCTTGGCCTCTTCCGCTCAGACTACATGGTCCACATTGATCCGTCAGATCCTACAAGCAGACCGACCGTGAAGCAAGTCGAATTCAACACTATCGCATCCTCGTTCGGCGGCCTATCGACCCAAGTATCAGCTCTTCACAAGCATCTACACTCGATCGAAGCCTATCCTGACAGCACTTCGTCAGTCATCGCTGACACCGCACTACCCGATGCCACCTCCGTGCCCAAGCTAGCCCATGGAATGGCAGCAGCTCATCAAGCCTATGGTCCATCGTCTTCCGGTCACCCGACTTGCGTCATCTTCCTCGTCCAAGAACCCGAACGAAATGTCTTCGATCAAAGGCACGTTGAGTACGCTCTGAACAAGAATCACGGCGTGCGAACGTTCCGTCTACCATTCCATCGAGTGCTAAAGGACACCAGAGTCGACTCGGAGCGTAGATTACTCTATGCGCCACCACATAAGCCCGACAAACCTTTCGAAGTATCCTTGGTCTACTTCCGAGCAGGCTACTCACCAGACGAGTACACAACCCCTGATCACTGGAAAGGCCGTCTACAAATCGAACGAAGTGCTGCGATAAAATGTCCAAGTGTCTTGACGCAATTGGCTGGCACGAAAAAAGTGCAACAAGTCCTCGCTACACCACACTCACCTCACCTCGCCAAATTCCTTCCAGACAAGGATCAAGCCTCAGAAGTCCTAAAGACTTTCGCTCCCATCTACCCAATGGACAAAAGCGAAGCAGGTCTCGAAGCACGAAGCTTCGCTCAAGATGCAGAAAAGTGCAAACGCTACGTCCTGAAACCTCAGCGCGAAGGCGGAGGCAACAATATCTACCGCAGCAATATCCCCGGCTTTCTGCAGGAGATCCCCGAGGAGAAATGGCCGGCGCATATCTTGATGGAGATGATCGAGCCGCCAGCGCAGCAGAATGTCATCTTTAGGAATGGAGAAGTGCAGAGTGGTGGTGTGATCTGTGAGTTGGGTGTTTATGGGGCATGTCTGTGGGAGCAGGGAGACGGTGATGGGAAGAGGGAGGTTGTGGAGAGCTCTGAGGCGGGATATCTGCTCAGAACCAAAGGATCGGGAAGTGAGGAGGGCGGCGTAGCCGTGAGTAGTGTAAAGGTATGGGTATGACGAGAAGTGCTAACATGTTTGCAGGCTGGCTTCGGATCTGTTGACTCAGCTTGTCTGGTCGATGTCTAGATTCGCACAGAAGAGGCCATTGAGATGTCACGATGGCGAACAGATGCGTGAATAGGGATAGTAAGCCGTCTTCTGCTTGGACCTTCATACTGGTCATCTCGTTGAGCCTCTTACAGCCAGATACCTTTCGTCAGAGCGTAGGGCATGGTGAATTAGTTCAGGCGAGCCTCTTTGTTTCACTCGCTATCCTCAGGTCGAGTACAGCTGATCCAAGGCATCGAGCAGATCCAACCGCTTTTGCCATTGCTTCTTACTCCGCCTAGGCAGATGCTCCTGGCTTGCTGACCTAGCATCTAGCGCCCCGATCTTCCGCTGCAGATTCTGCGCCGTATTCAACACAAGTTCAACCTCTACATCTGATACCCTGAGCCGACTCTCAGTACGTCGCTTGAGATACTCGATCGCCATCTCCAATTCCACATCGTCCGGGAAGTCTGTCAAGGCTGAAAGCTCGCTATGATGTTTGACAGATCGGAGCCATACAGCCCGGCCCTCCTTTCCGGCGATGAGCTGGTCTTGTACTTCCCGGACTGTGACCGCGGATGTATAGTGCACCGTACGGTTGTCGTCGGGACCCGGATGATCGCGCAGGTTCATACTGGCCATCGTTGCGGGCATCAGTACGACTGAGGTTCTGTCTTGCCTCTCGGCCGACCAGGGGTACTCCTTCAGATGGTGGGACACCTGAAGATGAATTATGGCTGCATATGGTTTCGGATCTTGTCCGCATTTCGGATCGTGCGCCATGGTCGAAAAGGAGGTTGATGCGAGTGGACGTCATGGTCCGCTGTGTCTTCTGGCTAATTGCGGCTTGTGACACTCTGATCTTATAGCCATACATTCCATGGTGTAATGACGGCTAGTCGATCGTGAGTCATCCCCATCATTTGCTTGTAGCAAACGATCTGGGATCGTATGATGAACCTGTTGGCAAAGGATCGAACAGACGAGCCTATCTCTGCAAGTCGTCGATGCACAACGCGATCATACCTAGGCCATAGGAACGGGACCGTGCTTCTGAATGACTCAACCCGGTCGAGCATAGACAGTAACGTTAGCACTCCTACAGCGTAAGTAGGGGCAGAAATGAGAGCAAAGGTGTAGAGAACGCGACTATGTCAGACCGGTACTCCAGAACAGACTATTTACGATTCCAACCCACAACTTTTACCTCATACCTGTCTGCCACAACTGGCCCTCGGGCTCCAACTCTCCGCCACGGTCTAGTGCACGCCATCGCCTTCTCTCCCGCCGCCCTTCCCGCCTCCCATCATCCCCATCGCTCCGCCTACCTGAGAGTCGATCGAAAGCCTCATTCGTAGCCAGCACCAGCTCAATCTCACCAGGTCTCCGTCCCAGCTCAAAAGCAACAGCATCCTTATATTCCTTGATAAAGTCCTCCAGCCCCAGGCCATCAACAAATCCAGACAGAAGGCTGAATTCCTTTCGATGGCTGAGCACATTCAGTGCCAGAACCACGTCGGGACGGCCAGATGGGAGAAGTTGAAGCTTCGCGTCCCTGATGCTGAGACCGGCAGGATAGTAGACAGTGCGACTAGTGCCGTGCACACGGTCATGGAGCTGGACAGTCTTTACATGTGTTGGCATGAGGAGAATGGGGTCCGAGGTGGGTGGGCTCTCCACCGTGCTCCGATACCCGTCCGGGCTGCTGGACACTTGTAGATGAAATACCATGGTACCAGGAACGGGTTGTTGGCATAGTGGCTGCCGTGACTGCTGCTGCTGCTGCTGCTGTGACGGACCTCGGGTTGCCGTGGAAGATGTCGATGGAGCTCGCTGCGTAACTAGCGGAGCCTGATTCCTTGGCGACATGGGCGACTGTTGCGATGCAGCGCCCTGTATAGAGGAACTGCGACTTGTGTCGTAAGCCTGACCCTGACTTGGTGATAGATGAGCCGGCAGGAAGACCACCCTACCATAACGATCGCGCGCCCATGGGTTTCGATAAGCCATGGCTTGAGCTGAAGACAATTGCGCTGAGGTGATGTCGCCAGACAGTCACCCGGAGCACGGCTGATAAGCATTTCTGCCTGGTCTGTTTTTGTGATTTGCTCAGTGACTACTTCTGAACCCCTTCAAAGCCATGACTCCACGCCACCGCAGTCATGCAAGCAGAAGGACAAATATCTTGAGAGCTTGTGTAGCAATCATGCGCCTCACGTCCTTGCTGAGCAAGTGTGTACGTAACACTGCTTACTCTTGCCTCCTCACAGCGCGACCGGTGACTTAACATCATGGCCTTCAAGATCAGCATATTAAGAAGGGGATTGAGCTCGATAGCCCGAAGCCCCCACTCTTTGCAAACCAGTGCCACTACCCTCTGCGCACCCACCGCGCTGCAATTGTCCCCCTTCCCACCCCCTGACAACAACAAACTCAACACAAACCCCCTTGACATCCCAACATCCCAAGGCAGCGCCCCCCAAACAACACCAACCCTTCTCAGACACTCCACAACCCCCTCCGGCGTCCACGCCTCCCACTCCACCGTAAGCCAAATAACCGGTTCCGGCCACCCTACCAAGCTCAGCCCCAGCGCCGCATTACCACCAGCGTCAGAGGTCAAAGAGCTGGGGAAAAGTATGTGGTGCTTCAGTTCGTGAATAGGGGGTCCAGAGAGGACAGTAGATAGTGCGTGATGTTATGTTTGAGTAACCGTTTGGGTGGGTCTTGGAAGTGTAATCCCAGAGTACGTACCCACGAACGTTGGAAGAGGGCAGGAAGACCGGGTCCGAGGTTCCAGGTGCCGCAGCCAGTGTCGGGGCAAGAGACAGTGCTTCAGCTGACCAGGAGTAGTCCGTATACTTTCCAGGAACGCGGAGATGAATGATCGCTGTATCGTCGCCCATGGACGGCTGTGTGCAGATTGGTGGCGGTCCTGACGAAGTAACAGAAGCTGGACCGTACCTGCTAAGCGCCGGAGGACCCGTAGGCACATTCGGTGGTAAGACCAGGTGGCTACTCGATGGCCCGCTGGCCCTTTGTCCCTGAGCCACATCGTCCGCACGATGATTAGTACGACCATTGTGTTGACGAGCAGCACCACCACCTCTGCCTCCGCTTCTGGCTCCACCTCTACCTCCCTGACCTCATCTACCTCCGTCCCCCTGACTACCTCCACCTCTGTCTCCACGACCACGACCACGACCCAGACTACCCAAAGGCCGAAAATAACGTGCTTGATCTCCACCACGCATATTGAGAAGGGCCAAACTCTCGCTGCTTGTCTTCCAGAATCCGGGACGCCACGGTCCGTTGTCGCGGCGCCGTACGACCTCAGATGCACGTCTGGCATCTACGATCAGAATCGAAATGATCTGGATCTGAATCTCATCTTGGTTCAGTATGCTTGGCATAAGCTACATCTCCATCAGTAGAATCATCAGTTCCAATCTAATCGCGCGGTCAGTACTACTGCCTCCCCATCATCGCAGACCACAAGAGAAGGATAAGAGGAGCGGCGCCATGGACAGAAGAGAAGGGGATGAATGCAAGACGTGAGTCGTACGGCATTCTGGTAGCCTTTCTATCCCACCGCCTATTGCGCCCGCTAATCTCATAACCCGAAATCCAGAAGTTACACCGTCGTCTTGATTGTGCCAACCTACTGCACCTTCTTACTCCCCAGCAACGGCTCCTCCGTCCCATAAGTCCTCTCATCCCTGCCCTCAACCTCCACAACCATCTTCTCCATCTCCTGACTCTGCCTCGACCACTCCACCTCACTCATCTTCTTCTCCTTCTCAAACAACTCCGGGTTCGGCTGGCGATAACTCCCGCCCAACCGATCCCACAACGTAGTAAACTGCCCATAATTATAATTGAAATAAAGGTGATGCATGGTATGACACGCCGCCCCGTTGATCACGGGACTATTGGCCACATACTCCCCATCGTGAATCATGACGGTCCAGATCTGGATGAAGGTGAATAAGGCGATGTAGGCGAATTTCTGCAGGGGGAAGAGGAAGGGGAAGAGGTGGTAGGGCACACTCTGCGCGTAGCCGTCGAGCGGGTGGAAAGCGTGGGAGGCGAAGGGCGTGGGCATGATCCATTTATGATGCGGTTTGTGCAGGCGTTTATATAGCATTTTGGAGTGCAACCCGCGATGGATCCAATAGATGCCGCAATCGGTGAACATGATGAAGAGCGGGAATTGGATCCAGTTATACCAGGAACCGAAGAGGCTGAGCATGGGGTGGGTGAAGCCTGGCGCCAGGGCGTCGTCGTACATGTAGCCGTGACCGCGGACCTCGAGCAGGAAGAAGGGGACGGTGAGGACGGCCATGATGGGGATGGAGCGTTGGGTCTGGGCGATTTCCATGCGGATTTGGTTCTTGAGGTATTTGGGGTGGTTGAAGGTGGTTTTGTCGAAGACGAAGAGGTAGGAGAGGGTGGCGCAGAGGAAGTAGATGGCGGCGCCGAAGAACCTATAATTAACCAACCCAGGCTGATTAGAACGAGGTGTGCTTATGTGTGGTGTGGATGTTTGTTACGGACTTACCAAGTAATCACATATAATGTCAACATCTGCCGCCACACATTATCCCGATCCCACCGACTCATCCACGCAAATTCACTCGGCTGCACACTAAACCACTCGCTCGAAGGTTGGAAACTCCATGCTGACCGGGCCAGACTCGCATCGCCTGCTAGTGCTGCGGAAGAGGCGGCGTTGTATGTGGCATTATAATCGAAACCCTTGAAGCCGGCGGTGATGGTGGAGATGGGGTCAAAGTTGGCGACGGCCGGGTTGATGGGGAGGAGGTTGGCCCAGAGGCGGTCGAAGAGGAAGGTGTCTGCGAGCTCGAGGACGACGTCCATTGCCTTTGTGGTAGTGGTAGTGGTGGTGGTGGTGGTGGCGTCCTGTTGTGTTGCGCGGAGCTTGTCCCTGAGACGTCTGTCGTGCTTATGCGCTCTCCTCTTACCGAAGCTTTCCAATCACTCCACCTAACACTCAGTACGACTCGACAGATCCAAGAGAGTGGTATGAGGTAGCAGGACAGTGCAGACAATCAAAATCCAACAACACACCAACCCATTTGAACACAAACCCTCCTCGGCCCAGCTCGGAGATAATAATATTCTACTTTGAATGTGGTCTGATTTCCCTCCTCCCCAAAATTAATATTCGAGGTGGAGCAACAGCTTCCAGAACCCTTGCCGCCTCCCATTCGCCGCACGTTCCCCAGGGTCGAACCTTATTTGTTCGGCCCTGACCGATTATGCACGATTGAGGAATTATGTCGGTGGGGTATGAAAGAGCAATGGAGTAGATAGATTGAAGATAGTAATATACATCCAGCACGACGCAGCTAGAGCTCACGCCATACTCATCAGCCGTCGTTCCACTGACGCGCGCGCAGCTGCCAGTATCCCAGCTAGTCTCATCCCATCGTGGTATCTTTCCATGCCCCCGCAGACGCCTCGCTACCATATACGCCCCATCATCGCTTCACCCATTGCCTAAAAAACGGGAAAGAAGCACCATCACATAAGCATGATATCAAGAAGCAGTCTCCACTGCGGCAGTACTCCATTTCCCATAGCACTTGGCAAGCTACCCAGGACTCCCCGAATAACTCCCATCGCTCCTCCACCCCCCATAAAAACTATCCTGCGGCAGAGGCGGAGGCGGTAGTGCAGACCCATAATGTGATGTGCTCGGCGCCTCCGTCTGGATGGGCGGTAATCGCATGCCCTGTCCACCCGTAGCCGGCGGACTCGTGACGCCCGAATACTGGTATCCGCCAGGTGAAGGCGGTGGTCGAATAGCGAAATGCTGTGTGCCATTGGCAGGATGAAGTGATGATGATGAAGCGGGTCGCGAGTTCTGTTGATAAGATCCAGCCCATTGAGCCCGTGAACTGTACGGGGAATCTAGTGGTGCGGGTGAATGCGAGGTACTCGATAAATTGCCATTGGTGTATGACTGCTGATAGGATGTTGTGTTGTTGTTGTTGTGTGGACTGCCAGGCACATGCAAGAAACCATTGCCCTGGCCACCGGCATGTCTATAACTATCATTCACAAGCCTGATGCTATCATTGCCTGCCGTCGTAGTAGTAGTAGATCTATAATCCTCCCCACTCAAGGGTCTAAAACTGTCAGCTTGGCGGAACCCTTGCACTGTCGGCGGAAGAGGTTGAGACTGGTAGAAACGGCCATAGTCCGATAAGGATGATGGTGTGGTATACGACTGTTGTGCGGGAGCGGGAGCAGAATGGGAAGAGCTTGTGGTACCTTGCTTGTGCGTTGTGGACGATGTTGTAGGAGCGTGCCTCTTGGCTGGCCGTGGCGGCTGATCTTCGTCGTCAGAAAGAGTGAGGTCAATCACCGCGCCTGCTGTTCGTTTGTTACCGGCTCGTGCTACAGAAGCTGTTGATTGCGCTACTGATGCTTCTCGTGATGACAGTGGTGGGGTGTTGAAGGAGTATGCAGCCGGTGCACCAATCGGTGGCATTGACTCTGTCTTGACGCCGTTCACTGCCTTGTTTGTAGGACCATCCAGCTCAACAATGTCATCATCGAAGTCATCATCGTATGGTGCTCTCGCTTTGCCACTGGTGCCATTGGTGTGGTCATCGTCTTCGTCCTTGATCATCTTCCATTCACCGTCAGGCTCGACGTCTACCTTCTCGATACTTGGCGGCGTCCGCTTCAGTATATCCTCGAAATACTTGTCGACGCACAGATCTTTGAACTGCAGGACTTTGTTACACACTGGACAGTTCCATTGCGGAGCTTGCTCGACCAGCTGCATGAACATGGCTCCATCGAAGCACTGCGTATGTGCGCACACAGTCGATCTGACTGGCAGAGTAATCCGCACAGTCGACACCGGATCGCGAAGTGACATTCGTGTTGACGTTGCCTCGATGTCTGGATCGGCATTGGCTCTTCGCATCTCCTTGATGACACTATCTCGTGGTATCACACTCTGTGTTTTGATGCGGTCCGTGAGGATCCCAGCACTGACATACCGCACAAGATATATGCAAAAGGCATACCTCTTCGTGGTCAGCGCATAGGTGATCGTGATTTGGTTTGGATAGTTTGCCTTTGTGCGGACTTTTGGTGTTAGATCTGCTGGTTTGGTGGAGCCGGGCTTATTTTTCAAGCCTTTGTAGTTTGCTTTGACATCGTCATCGTTGACTTTCACCTCAATCTGGTTCGGGAATGCGATGTCGATGGGATGGTTCGAATAGACAGACTGAGCGAGGCCGCAGTACATGAGCAAGCGCATGTCGCTGTTAGCTAGACGTTGCGATTGCTCTGTGGTCAGAGTGATGCTGCACTTGACAGTGTTCCGATTCTGCGGCATTTCTGTACGAGCCACTAGTCAGATTCGTGAGTGGGGTCGAAAAGGTGGGAAGATGGCGTGGACGTACCAGGAATGTCGGTCAATGGCAGCACAGTTTCTGCGATCTCGTAGAACGGACTGTCCTTGAAATCTGCTTCCGAGTCAGCTGATCTGCTGGCGCCGAAATCTGGAATATGGGACGTACATTGCTTGGGGTTCTGCCTGTTCGGAAGTGTCGCATTGCCTCTGCCAGGTGCCATTGAGTACGCACTACGAACGGGTGCAGGTGAGCTGTAGGTGTTTGCCGGTGAGTCCAGAGTCTGGGTAGAGGGTCCTCGTCCTTCATTCGTGAGTCGATACTTGAAGTTGTCAAGTGCCACTGGGTCGCCTCTGGCCGCAATATCGTTGAGAACTGTGAAAGTCAGTATCGTCAATATCAATCATGCTATGCTGTGACCTTGCTGCTCCTTCACTGCCATCTCTGCCTAGGGGTTGTCCAAGACTTACTTTCTATGCATCTCCTCTGCAACTCGGCCTTGTTGCCCGAAACTGCCTTGCCATATGCTCTACATATCTCCTTAAGCACCTGGTTAATGGCTCTCTTCAGCTGCGTCTCGATATTCGTCCTCTGTGCTTGCAGTATGTGGCCGCCAGACGCCATAATGCTCTTTGCGCCTCAGCACAGGCTCGTGGTAGTGCAGGTAAGTCACCGGAGCGGTGTTGGGCAGGAGCGCGCGTATGATCGAGTCCTCGGGCGGAGCATGAGTGACGGGTAAGTAGTGTAGATAGCGATGGTGTCGGTGTGGTGATCAGTCAATCAGCTGAAGATAAGTTATTGAAAAAGAAAGCCTTAAAGTTGTCTCATGAAGTTGAGGCGCTCTGAGGAAGGTGCGATGGTTCACGGCAATCGCTTCCCGCCTTCGATCACGTGTCTTCGCATCACGCCAACACTCACCAGAGAGCAGGAGAATGAAAAGACATGTAGTGAAGAGAGCACAGCATATGCCGGCACGCACTGCATCACTTCGACAAAGCCAACGCCAAAGCCTGACGACGAAAGCCATTCGGGGTGCATAATCGCTATCAGATCCTAGCGTGGACGGGAGCGGGATCGGTACCGAGGAGCGGCAAGATCTGGACATTTCATTTTCGTTCACATGCAAGAATTTGAAATCGTGGTGCAGTATTGAACAGATAGCAACGCAGCCATGGCCAAGAGCTCAAGAAGCAGTGCGCTCAAGAAGAACAACAAACAGCTGAAGAAAAAGGTCTTCGGTCCTGCTGAAGCAGCTCGTCAAGAGAGACTGAATGCAAAGTTGATGGCACTGGCAAGCCAGCCAAAACCACCAAGAGCTGAGATGGAGGTCGAGACTGAGGGTGCGCTTAGTAGGATGCTCACGCCATGGTACGCACCGACTAACACTACAGACAGAAACTGTGAAGGACGCAAAAGCCGGCAACGAGATGCAGGTCGAAGAGGAAGGCACGACAAGCAAGACGAAGGAGCCGACGAGGGCTTCAGGTGTCTTCGACTATGGTCCGGATGCCAAGAAGACGCCCAGAGCCTCTCGCTCTGCCTCCAGGGTGCAGAAGACGAGGCATCGGAGGAACAGGAATGATATTGTCTTTGCGCCCACCGGGATTGCAAAAGCCAAGGCGAATGCCAGAAAGCGGAGCAAGCGATGAACAACAGCAGGACTCTTTCGTGCCAGATACCTGTTTCTTGACATGGGGCACGACCAGGACCAGCAACGAGACTTCTCTACGGATCTGGGAGGGCCATCCGCAGCCTGAAGTGGGGCATGCGAGCATCGATCGATTCCGAATCAATAGTGTGGCCACGCTTACCGCTTTACACGATCAACCACGGGCTCCCCGTTTCGCAGAATCGTCTCCCTAGCCAGTGTAGCGCCTGACGGCAGATAGTAGAACAGGTCGAGAGAATGGAAGCCCCTCTTCTTCTCTTCAACAAGTCAAGCACCGAGCCCAATGAGACCATGACGACCGAGCGGGGCGAACATTGCTAGCCATCGTGCAGTAATGCGACCGCGAACTTCTCCGACCAGGAGCGGATCAAGACACACATGCTTCGCCAGAGCTAATGCCAAACTCCGGTTGAGAACATGGAGCAGGCGAATATGTATATACGAGCAGTCCATTGCAGTTAATTTGATAACATTACTATACTCATCAAATCATGCCTTGTAGCCGTATGTGCCCCATCCATGGCTATATCCAAAGCCCCTGATATGTCTTTTATTTGCCTGGCTTTCCCGCCGGTCCTGTTTGTTGCCCATCCCACCTGTCATCCCACCCCCTCCCTTCCTGTGACCCAAAACCCATAACCCACTATCCCGCCCCTTAGCGAAAAAACTCCAAAACGAAAGTCTGAATCAGAAAAGGGTATCACATCGAACCAAAAAGAAAAAACCTCACCCGTCTCCTCCACCCTCAATCCTCATAAACGGCACCAATCCCATCCATCAACCACACTCACTCCCTCACTGCGTCGACTCCCTAGCCTTGGCCTGCATCCTCCTCAAAGCATCCCTATGCGCCCCATGCAACTGCCCCGTCCTCATAGCAACATCAACAGCACTCTCCCGCCTCTTCCTCTCCGCCTGCCTGTTCTGTAACTGGAACTCCGCCATCTGCCTCTGATTCAACATCGCCTGCCGCGCTGCATGATTCTCAACCAGAGGTTGTTTGGCCGCAGTTTCCTGTTGGATGGAAGCGCGCCATTGGGTGAGCATATTGGCTTGGTGGGCTTTGTCGACCGTGTTAGTGCGTTTGGGTTGGTGGGAGTCGTAGATTAGGGTGCTGTGGTTTGTTTCTGCTGGGGCGATGGGTGAGGAGGTTCCGAGGGACCGGGCGCTTTGGCGGCTGGAGGACTGGTCGCGGAAGGTCGGGGATTGCATTGTTTCGCGTTGTTGTATCACGGCTTTGCGTTCTGCGAGGGTCATGTCCTCCTCCGCGACGAATTGCTGACGTTCTGAGCCGGGACTATAGACGGTCTCGTTTCGTGCGTCTAGGCTGTCTGTGTTGCCGCTATCGCCTGCGGTGAGCTGCGCGGCAAGAACGTTGAAGTTTGTGCTTGTTGGCTTCCTCTTGAGACGTGTCTGGCGCTCGCCCATCAGGTTACTCATGCTGGCCATACTCATGGCGGAATGTAGGACACGAGAAGGACCAGGATCTGCCGCATCTTCAAGTTGGTCTTCCTCCATAGGCGACTCGATCAATGGCTGGCTTGTGAGTGGCGCAAAGACGTTTCGCAGACCTTGTACGGATGCTCTTGGTTTGGCGGACATGCTGTTGCTGCTGTTCTGCCTGTTCAGGGTCATAGCTGAGCTGCTTCGCATGACTTGATTAGTATTGCCACTGCTTCCTCTATTCAGCGACATTGATGAGCCGCTTCGGAAAGCGTAGATAGGGGTCGCTGCGCCGCTACTTGTCCTCGCTAGTGGCTTTGGCGTGGCTTGGATACTCTCGCGATATGGGTTCTTGCTCGAGCTTTGCGAAGTATTGCGGACCATCACTGGTGATGCTGGTGTCAGTGCCTCGACGTCCACTGGTTTGGCAGCCTCCTCAGCAAAAGCGGTGTCCACCTGAATCCCTGGCGATTGGCTACCCAACTCCGTCTCTGGTGCGACTGGCTCGTCAGCATCTGCAATGTGCTTCGCCCATTCGTTCGTCCGATAAGTCATGGCGACCTTTGAGAGCTTTCCGGGAAGGTGATCCGTCAGGTTTCCACTGACAGTGATGTCGTCTGCACCGCCATCCGACAGCCTACGCCCAGGTAGGGCGCTGCTGCTCGACTCTTCGACCGATCTTCGTCGTTGCGGCTTCAGAGCGGTTACAGTTGGCAGAGGATGCTCATCAAGGGATGTCGGTGACCTTACGATAGCCTCATCGTCCTCTTCGTTGACCGGCAGCTCCACGACGGAACGCCTAGGGTCTGGCGAGCGATCTCGAGGAAGAGGAGGTACCGGGACGGTCAGCTCGTGGTCGTGGTCCCGGATGTAGATAGAGTTCGGCATAGAAAGATGCTTCCTCGACGCGGCATCGTCGACAGCAGCGACAGAAGATGCCCGGTCGTCGTCGTCATCATCTTCTTCATTCTGAATTCGTCCCAATGCAAGCTTTGTGAGTGGCATGACTTGCCGTTCATGCACAGCGGCTTTGCCGAGCGTCGTGACCCAATAGACTCAGCGTCGGAATCTGCCTCGTTGTGCTTTTCAGCTCCGGGTATAGTGAACGGAAGAGGAACAACAGCGGGTCCCTCCTGGGCAGCAGGCGGTTCCTCGAGTGACTGTCTTGCTGACGGAGTCCGGGAGCCATCCTCAGAATCATCCACTGTGCCATCATGTTTGCTTAGCAAATTCTCGACAGACTCCAACCCTAGCACTGGGCTATCTGCCCTCTCTGACGCATCCTCGAGCACTACCGCAGGCACGCCGCTCTGCACAGTCGTACGCTTGGATGCAGATCGTGGTACTGGATCCATCTCAATCTCATCTATCTGTCGCTCGCTGATCGTTGTAGACTGCTTACGAGGGCCGCTTGCAATCGATGAACCAACTCCAGAATCGATATGGAGAGTGGAGGCATTCTTGTCGCCATAGACAGCTTCCCACTGCTTGAGCTCTTTGCCGTTGCTCGCCTCAATGTCTCGTCCGACTTCAGATTCTTCTTGAGCACGTTGCTCCTCGGCTTGCAGACGAGCTGCGTCCTTCTTCTCTCGCTGCTCCTTGACGATTTTCCAGATCTTAAATTGTGACATCACACCAAAGAGGCAGATTATGATGGTGCATGCCAGTTCGACTCGTATGCCACGAGTGATCGGGTACGTGTTTGTGTTAAGAGGAAAGACATTCTTGTTAAGATCTGTGAAATGTCAGCATTATGCAATATACAAATGTCTCTTCACACTTCAACTTACTCCAAATGTACATCCAGAATTCCTTGAGTCCAGCTCGGCTGAAGCAATCGATGCCAATGATCGAAATCTGAGCTCCGGCGAATGCGGTGCAGAATATAAGGCCGTAAGTTCGTGTATAATAGCTAAAGTAAAGGCCAAGGAAAGCAAGGCAAAAGACCGCGATCATGATCGCCCTTCCACTCGTGGAGGAAACGAGGCCACCGGGGGCGAGCGTAAGGAACCACATTGACAAGCAGAAGCCACCTAGTAGACAGCCAAGACCTTCAGCCACTTCTTTGAAGACCAGGGCTAGCGAACCAAATATCAGACCAGTCATGACAGCGGCGACCACATATGCTCCTTGAATAGCGTTGGGGACGGGCGGATTCATGACATAGACGATGAGCACTGTCACCGCCAGCGCAGTGAGTAAAGCAGTACTCAGGAAGACATGAAGCCATTGGTGCTTAATGCCGACAAGAGCCAGTGCGATTCCAGTTGCCATTAGGATGACACCCGCAATGCCGAGTCCAGGTGTGATCACGGGCTGGATTGGTAGCGTGGCTGCTTCACTTGTAGCATTGGCCGCTCCAGATTCTGTGGGCATAGCTGTCGAGGCGACAGTGCCGGTCGATATATCAGACGAGATAATCGAGCTGGTCGTTGATGTGGCGCTACTAGCTGCCGTTGTCTGTTGCGCACTGCTGGTGGTCGATGCTGCGTTGATTGATGAAGTCGCTGTCGAGGACGCAGCATTATTAGACGATGGCGACGATGAAGCATTGTCGCTACTTGACGCTTGGGATGCTGAGGAACTTCGAGTCGTCGACACTTCTGTGGAGTCTTGTCGTTTAATCAGGCCAACGCGGCCGACCAAATTCTCAGCGCAGCATGATGCGAGCAGTATCGAGAATAAAGCATATGTGACCTTCATCTTGCTGTGCTGCCCGCGTTGCACTTCGCCAGGCGCACAAGCAGTACTGAGGACGTGCTACTGCTGGGAGAGTCTAGCACTTCTTCCCAAGCCCAGATCCAGAAAGTAGCTTGAATTGAAGGTCGACGAGCAGCATATGCGTCCAGTAATCGCGTCGTGAGAATCGTGACGTGTAGTGACGAGAGGTGGGAGTAGCAGTGCTATATCGCCGGATCCTTGCGCATAGCAAGGATCAGATCACATCAAAGACATTCGACAGAAGAGACCCTACATTTTCGAGCCCTCCACCGCATGGCTGGTCAGACAATCCGGCTTAAGAACCTTCTGTCCGAGGTCTCCACCACCAAGTCCGCGAAACAACGCATTGTGCGCACTCGCGTATGGCGGCCGTTGCGACTCGAAGGACAAATTGGCTTCTTGGGAGGAGGATTGGCCGTGGGATCGCCAAAATGCCAGAGCATAAAGTCAGCACGGTTGAGGATAAGAGCCGTGTAGCTCTCACTAAGCCTGGTCGGTGTGAATGGCAAGCCACCTCTTGGAGTGCAGCGAGCGGCAAGGTAAAATTTGGCCCCGGAACAGTCTGCTTTCACCCCAAGCAGGGTAGAGAAGAGGGTACCGCAGTGGACATCAGATTTTATTGCTCAAATATAGGCTCGCAGCCCTGTGCATATATGCAGATATATATGCAGGTGTTGATGGGATCACTGCACCTCACCCGCATACAGTACAGCAGCATCGGATTTGGCTGCGCGGATGTCTTGAAGTTTTCAACGAGGACGAGGAGTCTCCGTTACGTCTGTCGACCGGGTTGACCTCCGTTGCCGTCAGATTGCAGGCGCGATTTGCCTTGCGCCTTGCTGATATTTCTGGGCTGGAGGGGAGATTGAAGTCGTCTGAGAGAAGGTTAGACGCAACGGTCGTCACACCCGGGTTCCCGAGCGCCCGCGCGGATCTTCCAGGGGTCATCTGTCGGTACATGCATCTTTGAGGTACGTGGTGCCTTCATCTGTTTCATGTGGCTATTATGATGGCATTGCACGGTGGACCGGCATGGTTTGCGTCGATAGCAGAAGCTGCCTTGTCGATATCGTAGGCCGCATCAACCGAACATGGTGACAAGAGCAAAGCTGCGAGGATTGTACCGAGGGCAAGTGCTCGGGAAATTTGTGAACCCTATTCTGCTTCCCAAATGAACGGCGTCGAGCTTAAGGGAAGTCACGAGAGCCAATGGTTCGTGAAGTAGCTTTAAACGTGACAACGGCCAAGCAACGTCCAAGCAACGTCTCGCTATGCCATCATGCCAGACGTTGATGATCTCGCGACGCGTGAGTGTCGCGTGTTGCGGGCAGATGTGCGCCACTGTTCAAAGACAGATTGATCGCTGTTATCGCAATGTGACGACTTCTCGCCAGATAAAGGAAACCATGCTCATCGACGCGGAAGACTACCAGTGGTTGCTAAACGCAGACTGTCCTGTGGCGGAATACTATGTAGACTCGACCCGGCTGGCAGGAGGACCCAGACATGTTCAAAACACCCAGATCGTTGGATAATCAGCCTCATGGGCTTGCAGGGTCCTTCTCACCTGACATGTGTGGCGACTAGACGAGTATCGGTAGAGGAAATATGACTTATGAAGCTACACAACACGTTGTCCAAGAGGATCTGGATGCCGAGCAGGAGGCAGAGGCAGCATGAACGAATGAGGCGTTTTCTGGCTAAGCCTGCCCTCCACAACGAAGCTTATCAAGTCACAGTATGCAGATGCTCACGTCGCGAGTTTAAGCATCATGGTGTGCTGCCTCAAGGCAAGTGGCGCATGCAATATCTTGCCAAAAATTCTGCATGCAGCTACAGCAATATGCAGATGCTGCTGCTGCTGCGCCACACCAGCATCAATTCTCAGCTGCGTAGCTCCCCTGCCACAGCTCTTCGACAATATGAAATACTGCTACATTATTGACCATGTGAAGTGACCGCGGCCGTCCGGACAAGACACTATCACATCGCTCACAATGCTTGACCCTCTCAGCGCCATCAGCTTGGCTTCTGCTATCGTTCAACTTGTAGACTTCAGCAGCAAACTCTTGATCGAAGGCTATGGCATATACATATCCGAGACTGGCGCGACAGAAGAGGCCCAGGAGGTGCAAAGGGCTACTGAAAGGCTCCATGAGCTTGCCAATCGCCCGTCCGGTCCACGGAGAGTATGGAAGACTTCAGAGGAGCTTGCTTTGTGGGAACTGGCAGCAGAAGCTCAGCAAGTATCAGAACAGCTGCTAGATCTGCTAGAAGACTGCAAGATCAGCTCGGCGGGTCTCATGCACACCTGTGATGCTGTACGCAAAACTATCAAGCGACATGTCAAAGCAGAAAAGTACGCCAATCTGCAACACAGACTTGATCGCATACAACGAAATGTCTCCGTACATCTCCTTGCCAGCCTCAGGTACTGATAAGTCGACGGCTACCATGGCGATTGACGTTTGCTATCGCATGTTCAGAGATGATCAGAGCGCTGTTAGACAGTCTCTCAAGAACATCGAGGTCACGAGCGAGAAGTTGCGTGCTCTGCAAATGAATCGCATCGGGAATCGTACGCGTGAGCTTCGGACAGTACTGGAACGTCAAGGCAACTCGAAGCAGGCATTGCTGTCATCGAATAAGTCGAGCAGCGAAGCACAGGCAGCAGCCGCCCAGCGCTTAGAGGCGCCCCTGCAGAAACTCGACGAGAAGCTCACGGCGTTACAGCAGGAAGGAGCGGCTCTTACAACCTCAAAATGTATCCTCGATAGCCTTATGTTCGCTGAAATGCACCAGCGGAAATGTGACATCCACAAGCAGTACCCTGATACAATCTCCTGGATGTTTGACGAGGTCCGCACGCCATTCAAGACTTGGCTTTCTTCAGTCAGTGGTATATTTTGGGTTTCTGGCAAAGCGGGAAGTGGCAAGTCTACCCTGATGGAATACAAGACGGACAGCGACCAGGCCACTCATACACTGCACCAGTGGGCCAGGAGCAAGCAGAAAGACCTCGTCATCGGCAGTTTTTACTGCTGGAATGCTGGCAGCGATATGCAGAACTCACAAGAAGGCCTTCTTCGAAGTCTTGCTTACCAAACTTTCCTGCAGTGCCCAGACATGATCAAGCAAGCAGCGACAAAGAAGCGCCGGCATGCTCCAGATAGTTACCATGCAAGTCCTCGACCGTGGGAACTAGATGAGCTGTGCGAGACCGTCGAGAATATTGCACGGCATAGCAAAACGTTATCAAAATGCTTTTGCTTTTTCGTGGACGGTCTTGATGAGTACAATGGCCATAACTTCACCACTCTTATCGACCTCTTTGATGAATTGACGGTCTCCGACAGCGTCAAGATGTGCGTCTCGAAGCGCCCATGGACGGTGTTCGAGGCCACTCATGGCAACGACAAGTCGGAGAAACTTGCACTGCAAGATCTCACGGTTGGTGATATGGACAAGAACATCAACGGAATGCTCGGAAAGAATCGCGAATTTCACAAGCTCACTCAAAGGACTCCCGAGGCTTGGCTATTGGCAAGAACGACCCGCGAACGCGCAAAAGGTGTCTTTCTCTGGGTGTATCTCGTGTTGCGACGTCTGCTTCGCCTGCTTGAAGAAAGACTCAAGGATCCGGATCTGCTGCAGGCTGCTCTGGATGAGCTGCCCTCCGACCTGGACAAGTATTTCAGAGATATCATCGACACCATTGAGGTTGCACATCGTACCCACACCGCCGGTATCTTTTCGCCGGCCTTGTATGCTGCGCCTCTACCACTGATCGCTTTCTGGTTCTTACCTTCGGTTCTGAGGGACCCTGATGCAGTTTACAGCTTGCCCATTGGCTGTGCCGACGAGGATGACGCTGACGACGGGAGTCTTGTCAGTAGGACCATGGAAGCCATCAATTCCTGGTGCAAAGATCTGCTCGAGGTGCGCAGCACTAAAGCCGCAGCCGACATCGTGAACGAGCGAGACTACCAGATCGACTTCCTCCACCGGACAGTTCGTGACTTTCTCTCTACGAACGGTGAAGTTAGGCGCATATTTGCCGATAATCTATCACCAAATTCTAACGCTGGCCACACGCTGACCTGTCTATATGTTGTGCAAGCAATGACTGGCCGGCCTAGGTCTGCAGATTCGAAGGATGTAAAGGCTTTCGCAGTCGCCGTACTCTACGTTATGATGATCGCAAGACGTTCCGAGCTTGCCAAGATTCCTGTCAGCCCACGAATGCTTGATTACGTTAGCGGCGAGATGATGCTTCCCTGCAAAGACTGCGCCATTGGCTTCATTCTTGTCTGCAGCTGCTCTGCGCGGACCATTCGGACTACGCTGTTGGAGAAGGGCGCTTCTTGGGCGTTGCAGTGGCATGTGACTTGACATCCTATGTTCACTTTCAGCTGAACAAGTCGCCATCCATCATTGAAGGCAGAAGTGGAGCAATACTACTTGATATAGCCTTCCATCGGCTTATCATACATCCTACTCTATCGACGGACCGGCTGCCTTGCTACGATATGGTCATGCTTCTATTAGGCATGGGAGCTGACCCAAACATGCCGTCAAGCAAAAGCACGAAAACATCGACTTCATGGCACCACTTCCTGAAGCACTGCCACCTAGTTCCCGGCTCGTCCGACTCGGGAATGTGGCCCTATGCCAAACTTCTTCTCAATTTCGGTGCTGATCCCTATGCTGAGATACCCGACGGCACGAAAGTCGTGCAGCAAATCCGCAAAAATGCTCGACATACTGTCGTTCCAAGCATGTTATTATCAACAGAGCAGCGTCTACTGAAAGTCTGCAGCGGCAATCTTCTGCCTAAGCTATGTGCGTGCCTAGAAGAGGCTCGTGAGCAAAGGGCACGGAAGATTGTGGAGAAGAAGGCGGCTGAGCAGACTCAAGGGAAGCTCTTCGTCAACGCCTTGTGGAACAGTTTCGGTAGTAACCTAGTCTCCAGCAGGAAAGCACGAGGGTAGGCAGCTTAGTGCTGGAACTCGTCCAAGCCTGTCCGCCTCTAAAGCGTCAGATCTATTGCACGCGAGATACTTTGGCGATTGTACTCGAAGCATGGACCAATAAAGCGACAGGACAGGCCCGCATGCGTGACGCCCCCACTCTGCAGTATCCTGCAGTCCTCGACTTGATCGCTTAGTCGACTGTATCTTCGCCCGTCATGGGTGGCTTGATCTGCTAGGTGGACGCTTCCGAAAAACTGAGTGTCTGTTATTCGAATCCGGGGCATTGACAAACGCTAAATCCGGTCTATGCCTTTCGTTCTGCAGAAAATGGCACGGCGGTTGCAAGAGTACTGGGCTCGATGGGTGATGCAGCATACGAAGCGGTCGCGGAACTTCGAAGCTGCTGAAGAGTCACTCATTGCGTGGGTGTGAGCTCATAGACTGCGGCCTAAGCTGCTGCCTAAAGCCACTGGCTATCAGAAAGGTGAGCCGGCGACGCGCAGATCTGCTTCTTCTGCTGCACCCTACCCTCTTGAACCCTCCAACCCTTGCGAACTTCCCAACGGTCCTTACAGCAGCTCGTAGAGGGCAAGACGCGGAAAAGTCCTCTGCTCCACACGCCACCGAGGGCATGTCGACTGCCACAGACCTCCAGAGTCAGGAAGACCTTGCGCATAGCCACCAACAGCAAGGCAGACCTGCAGAGTCAGAGGCCTTACTCCGCACAGTACTATCATCCCGCCTCCAAACGCTCGATCCTCACCATGCAGATGTCGTCCGAGCGAAGAACAATCTAGCAGCAAGTCTGAATTCGCAACACAAAGACCTTGACTATGCCGAGACCCTCCAGCTCGACGTGATCGCTGCGGACCGTGACAGCCTTGGACCCGAGCACCCGGATACGCTCGTCAGCCTCAACAATCTAGGGAATATTTATATGCATCAAGGGCGTTTCGAAAAAGCTGTCGAAACTCAGCGAAATGCCCTCGCCACGAGTGAACGGGTGAATGGCGAAGCGCACGAGAATACGATGACGTTGAAGCATAATCTGGACAATACACTTCGTCATCAGCGAGAGGCTGCGGGCACGGGAAGTCAGTAGCTGAGGGCATGAGTGTGGTCTTGCGATGATGTCGTTAATGGCTAAGCTTGAGGGCGCCAATATGAGATTGGGAAATCAATATGCCTACGGTAGACTGGAGACGGACGTACGCACGCTAGCCAGAAGTTGTCTATGGTATTTCAGCGCAGGACAGGGCCTTAAGGCGTCTCGAAGGTACATGAACGAGATACGAAACAGAATGAGAACCTCTATAGTGCAACCTCAAGATTGGATTCTGGAACTCATTGTCTAGTTGTGACAAGGGCGAGAATGCGCGTACGTAGCTCTATAATCGAGATTGTAGAACGACATCACATTGAGGACCTTGCATTGAATTCCTATGCGCAGGTGCTGCGAGGCTCTCCGATCAAATGTCCATGGCACGAGCAATCTCTGCTCCGAAAGCTGCCACCAGTAACATAAAAGCACGATCTGCAGGCTTGCCGAGTACCTTTCGCAATCACAACGTTTGGAACTATGGGTATTAAATCTAGTTTTCGTCGAGATGCATAAATCCTCATCTCGATAGGTAGCAGAGCGAGGGCGCACATGGTAAAAAAGTAGTATACAACAGAGCGGCCGCATAAGCTAGATAACCGGCAAACGAGACCAGCTTGCCGGACTCAAGGAGACGCACGACAGGTTTGGCGTCCTCAAGCAACCTGATCCATATCCCCATACTCTTCTCCCACCGCCGCCTCCTCCTCCTGCCCAACAACATCCAACTCCAGCTCCCCCTCGACCAACTCCCCAATAAAACCCTCCCCCACCACCGCCTCCTCAACAGCATTCTTCCTCTTCCACACCCTCGTCCACCTCACCCCCCACCTCTTCACCAGCTCCTCCTCTGCCTCCCCACCCTCGAACCTCTCCACCATCTCATCCTGCGCCCCAGCCGCCACACCCGTTACCGCATCCTCAATAGCGGCGAAAAGATCCCTCATGCCCTCCCTCTCCCTCGGCAGCGCCTCATCAATTTGTTGACGCTGGGAGTAAGGTAAAGTCATATTATTCCTTTCCCGCACGACCTGACGGACACGATTCGTGACTTTGAACATGGTGAGGAACACCAGCTCATAAGTCCGAAGGTTCGCGAGAGCACGCCCACGATCCATGTGGTCTTGGAGTGCCCATTGGATTACGGACATGGGTGTGACGATGGTGTAGTTCAGGAGTTTGTCGACGAGATTCACCGCTGTGCCTGGGTGATCGGCCCAGAAGTTCATAACAGAGGTGATGATTTGACGGCGCGCGGCTTCGGATTGTGGGCCGACGGCTAGTAGGCGGTCTTTGCAGCGGTCGATGGTGGAAAGGACGTGCGATAAGCTCTTCGAACCGATGGAGAGGATGGACGTCATATAGATGTCCATAATCGGGACCAGTGGATCTTCGATACCGTGAGCGAGGGCCTGATCGCGGACGATGTCCAATACAGTCTGGACATCGGCCTCCGGAGCTTTCTTCTTCAGCATAGTCAAGACCTCGCGGCCTTCTTTGGCGTAAGGTGTGTTCTCGTCATCGTACTTGAATTTTGGGACCTCGTTCTCTTTGCTCGTGGGGATGAGAGGGTGGTAGTCTTCGGGCAGCGTATCGCGGACGCGTTTGGCGAAGGAGAGTTGGATTTCTTTCTCCAGTGTGCCGAGTATGAAGGCCTTCTTGGGTGTGAGGTCGGAGAGAGTCAGCTCGGGGATCCTATTGTTATGTTAGTAGCTGACAGGTTTGGAGCATAAATCATCACGACATACCACTCAGCCCACTTCCATCTGAACTCGAAATTACTCAGATGATGAGCGAACCAATCCATGAAACGATACCCGAGCTCCATATCCATGGTATCCACACTGCGGAACAGGAACCTGATCGCACGACCAAGACTAGGTGCGACAGCACCTGGAGAGATCTTGCAGGACTCTGTGATCAGGGAATGGTAGTAGACTAGTCGATGCTCAGGGGTGGGTAGCTGAAAGACCTGTGAGAAGATGGCATCGATAGCGACGTCCTCGGGTTTCCATGTCGGCTTGCCCGCTGCCTGTATGTCGCGCAGCTTGTCGAAGGCGGTAGAGCGTTTAACGAAAGTGTCTGGTGCCCAATAGCAGTCTATCTCGTTCAGGAAGCGAGCCGTGGCGTTGCGGTTGAAGTCGAGGATGTTGATTGTGTCAACGATGGCGTCGCGCACGATACAGCTGGCGATGTTGGTGGTTGGTGGCACGGACTCGACCTCCTGGTCGGCGTAGAGGGAGAAGTACAGATCCGGGAACAGTGCTCGTGGGCCGGTATTGACAGTCGCTGGCACTATGATGCCTGGGAAAGTGTGCTTGGTAGGTGTTTTGGTCTCGCCGTTGCCATTCGCTTCGATCTCGAGGTCGCCGTCGCCATTAGCTTTGACGGGCTTCAGTGTGGGGTCGTAAACACGCGGGATACATTTCAGAGGCCAGCCATTTGCCTCTTCTTCCTGGAGCTGACGCTGCAGCATGGAGATGGTGCTTGCGCAAGGCATCGCCTTCTCATCTTGGGCATTATTGTCCGGGTAAGGATCGACAAGCGGCTCGATCGGGCTCTGCGTGGACGCCACAATGTCCGTGCGACTGAGTAGGTCACTCACAGTCTGTCGTAAGGTCTCGTCGTTGTTGGCGGCTAGCAGGTATGGGACGGTAAGCAAGATGACCTTGATCAACTCTAGACCGAGTGTATCGTCCTGCGAAGCCGTCTGCAGATCCACCGCACGATCGAACAACTGATCCAAGATCGGCGAGATTGCATCCTCCTCATACAGTGGGCTCAAACATGCCAGAAACCTCAGGACAAGCTTGAATTCCCTCCACTGCCCAGCCTCCAAATACTCCTGCAGGCGCGGCACAGTCTTCGCAATAGCATCCCTGGCAACCTCGGCATTTTCTGCATTGGCATACAGCACTACTGCGGCCACAAAGGGGATCTTAAAGGGCTGTTCGACGATGAGCTTGAGTGCGACGGTGGCGAAGATGTCCTTCACATATTCGTCCTCATAGTTGTCGGCTGTGAGCTTGGCGAGGTTCTGCGCCACTTCGTGTGGGAGACGGAGGGGGTCTTCGGCGATCTCGAGGAGGCCTTTGCGGATGCGCGTTCCTGGTGGTGCATCACCTCGAGGGCGGTGATTGGGGTAGCCTTGGTCGAAGTCGTCGTCCTCTGTTTATTACAACTGTTAGTCACGGAGCATTACTTGCTGGCATGATTGCAAGTGTTCGCACCTCTTCCACGTTTGCGCTTGTTGAAGCCTCCTGATCTCCTGTCATTGCGGTAGCCACCACCTCTACCACCGCCTCCTCCTCCATAATCGCGGCGTGAATCTGTGTCTGCCATTATCGCGATCTCGTCCACAAGCAGCTTGCTATTGTGTTGTTCGATCACAGGCTATGCTGTCAACCAAACAGTTGAACGAATTGAAGCTTGGTCGCGTTGCAGAGCGGACTTTCGCGAGCCTCCGCCGAAGCTTCATTGCCTCACTTTCTATTGTGTACCTGAATCGTTACATTAACCACCGCTTCTTCAGTATCCACCACACTACACACTACACGGTGCACCTATACATCGCAGAGCCTACAAACCAATCGCAACCATGCCAGCGATCCGCAGTGCCCGCGGCAAAAAGGCTCCTCCAGAAGGCTTCGACGACATTGAAGACACCCTCCTCGAATTCTCCAACAAAATGAAAGATGCCGAGAATGCGAGCCACGAGGGCAAAAAAAAGCACGAGATGCAGTGGCCCATCTTCCAGATCACGCATCAGCGTATGTACTGCCCAGGTTGAAATACACAGCCTAGCAAAGCACAAAGCACACAAATGTGTTATTGGATGCCGGTCGTGATTATAATTATACTGGCGTCGGACTGCCCGCCTCAAGGGCCGCAAAGGTGAGAGCAGTCATCTCTTTGACCTGAGCGGACTGCGCGGGTGTAGTGGGTTGAGTACTGACTTTCTATGGTATGGGCAGGTTCGAGATATATCTACGATCTCTATTACGAGAAGGAAGCCATCGACAAGAAGCTCTACGATTGGCTGCTGAAGAACGGGTATGCCGACGCGAATCTGATTGCGAAGTGGAAGAAGCAGGGGTATGAGAAGGTGAGCATTTGTGCCGAGGTTTGAAGGTGTGTTGTGTGATGGGACTGATTCTTGATCTAGCTGTGTTGTTTACGCTGCATCCAAACCAAGGAGACCAACTTCAATAGCACATGTATTTGCCGTGTGCCGCGACAGCAATTGAAGGAGGATCAGGAGATTGAGTGTGTTAGCTGCGGGTGTCGGGGATGTTCGAGTGGCGACTGAGTGGTGTGTGAGCTCACAGTCTGAACCATGAGATCGACGGTGTTCGTTCACTCGGCGAGAGAATACAGATCTACGTGCTAGCTAGACAGTAAATGCCTTGCAAACGTACTATGGGATGAGTTTTGATTAATGGTATTCCAATAAGCTTGCTATATGACAACCCTAGACGGCCATGTTCTTAGTATCTGAGTACCTCCAACCTCCATGGTCTGTAGGTAACTATTCCGTATCGTTCTGCAGCACAATCAACGTGCCTTATATGAATGTACGCTGTTTAGTGAATAGTGAAAGTGACTCGTGACCAAAGTCCTGAGCCTCAACCTCAGGCGATAACGCTCGGACCCACAGGCGCGGACAAGTTGCTCACAGTGAGTTAGGCGATGATACGCCTTGTTACAAAGAGGTCGCCGAGGCTCTACACCATTGAACGCCGGCTCTATTACGCGACTGGACGCGCTGAGACGTGCGCGGCCACATTTGGTACGCCTTTTACGATATACACGACTATCTCTCCCACCCACCCAAATCGCGACATAGCCTGGTGACTACGACCACCAACGAGCCTCCTGCGCGCAGCTGGACCCGAAGCTTGGCGTTCACAAGCAGCTTTGCGCCGGACATTGTAAACCACAATTGTCCCCAAGCTCGCATTACATGCCGAGAGGATACCATAACTCGGAGTAGTTGTGCGCGTGGTCTGGGAAGGTCGGTGCCTGGAGTCACGTGAAAGGTGGTCAAGAGCAGGCCGGCCCATCATCACACACACAAGTCAAGATGGCCGCGGTACAACCAGCTCAAGGCATTCCTCAGCAGCAGCAGGGGGCGAATGTCAACAATGGCGCACAGAATGCCAATGGGATCCTGCCGCCTGGCATGACCAAGGAGCAGGTGCAGGTCCTGTACAAGAAATACCAGGCGATGAAGGCGAGTGGAGTGTCTGAGACCGACCCGGAACTCATGAAAGCGCGGGCTGTGCTGCAGTCGATACAACAGCGTACGGAAGTGGTCAAGAGGCAGCAGGCTTGGCGTCAACAACAGCTGAAGCAGCAGCAACAGGCGGCTCTTCAAGCACAGAATGCTAGTATGAATGCGGCATCGCAGCAAGGTACCAACGCCACGCCGACGACCGAGACCGACCAGACCGTCTCGGCACAAGCAAATGGTGCCTCTGGGGTCACGAACGGCCAAGAGCATACCGTTGCTGCGACACCTGTGCAAGCTGATGGCTCGAGCGAGGCCCCCTTCAACAAGGATCAGATCAGGACTCTCAAGGCTCAGATGCAAGCTTTCGGCCACTTGCAGAAGAACATGCCTATCCCCCAAAACGTCCAGGACATGATCTTTCAGTCAAAACAGGATCAGAAGCCTGTAAGCCCGGGCGCAGCTGTTGCTGCTGCTGGGAAGGTACTTGACGATGTAGCCAAGGGAAAGGCGACTACGAATCTCATGCCCGATGGCAAGCCTCGCCACCGTTTCGAGACTTTCACCGACCCGCACTCTCTCATGGTCAAGCATATAAGCTATGCGGATCATACGCACCGTCCATATCGATCTATCATCCCAAGCTTCATGCCTATCGGTGTTGATCCAGAGCGTGTTCGCGAGGAGCGTGAGAACATCGTCTACAACCGCGTACTAGCACGGAGGAACGAGCTCGGGAAGATGAGCGCTAACATGGGTGCGTGGGATGTCACCAAGTCTGATGTGCCACAGGACAACGCGAACCTCAAGCTGAGGGCACTCATCGAGTACAAGATGCTAGCTCTCCTTCCCAAGCAGCGCGAGCTGCGGCAGAAAGTTGGCAAGGAGATGATGAACTCAGACAACCTCTCCATGACTGCCAACCGAGCAATGTACCGACGTGTCAAGAAGCAGTCTCTTCGTGAAGCGCGTGTGACCGAGAAGCTTGAGAAGCAACAACGTGATGCAGCCGAGAACAAGGAGAAGAAGAAGCACAACGATTTTGTCAATTCTATCGTGCGCCACGCAGAAGACATGCGTAATGCAGCCCAGCAACATCGCGCTCGGAACCTCAAGCTTGGTCGTCTCATGGTGCAGACACACGCCAACATCGAGAAAGAAGAGCAGAAGCGGATCGAGCGCACAGCCAAGCAGCGTCTCCAAGCTCTCAAGGCCAACGATGAAGAGACTTACCTCAAATTGCTTGGTCAAGCTAAGGATAGTCGTATCTCGCACTTGCTCAAGCAGACTGATGGTTTCTTGAACCAGCTCGCCACCTCCGTCAAGGAGCAGCAGAGGTCGATGTCGCGGCGGTTTGGTGCTGCCGAAGCGCCCGAGGAGCCAGAGGAAGAGGACCCGGAACCGGACTCAGAAGATGAGAGCAAGCCGAAAGTCGATTACTACGAGGTCGCTCACAAGATCAAGGAAGAGGTGCACGTGCAGTCCTCGAATCTGGTTGGCGGTATGCTGAAGGAGTACCAAGTCAAGGGTCTGCAGTGGATGATTTCGCTGTACAACAACAATCTGAATGGTATCTTGGCCGATGAAATGGGTTTGGGCAAGACAATTCAGACCATCTCCCTCATCACGTACCTCATCGAGAAGAAGCGACAACATGGTCCTTACTTGGTAATCGTGCCGCTCTCTACTCTCACGAACTGGAACAGCGAATTCGAGAAGTGGGCTCCCAGTGTGCAGCGGATCGTGTACAAGGGTCCTCCAAATCAGCGCAAGAACTTCGCGCAGCAGATTCGATACGGCAACTTCCAGGTCCTCCTCACGACATACGAGTTCATCATCAAGGATCGCCCAATTCTTAGCAAGATCAAGTGGCTGCACATGATTGTGGACGAAGGTCATCGTATGAAGAACGCCGGTTCGAAGTTGTCAAGCACGATAACGCAGTACTACCACACACGCTATCGCCTTATCTTGACTGGTACACCTCTCCAGAACAACCTACCGGAGCTGTGGGCGCTGCTCAATTTCGTACTACCCAACATCTTCAAGTCCGTCAAGTCTTTCGACGAGTGGTTCAACACTCCGTTCGCAAACACTGGTAACCAAGACTCGATGTCGCTGTCGGAAGAAGAGTCGCTGCTCGTCATCAGGCGTCTTCACAAAGTTCTGCGGCCTTTCTTGCTCCGTCGCCTGAAGAAGGACGTCGAGAAGGATCTTCCAGACAAGCAGGAACGTGTCGTCAAATGCAACTTCTCCGCTCTGCAGAAGAAGCTGTACCAGCAATTGCTCACACACAACAGGATGTTCGTATCCGACAAGGATGGCAAGAAAGCTGGCATGCGCGGTCTTTCCAACATGCTCATGCAATTGCGCAAACTCTGTAACCACCCCTTCGTTTTTGAGGAAGTAGAGGACCAGATGAACCCTGCGAGACTGACCAACGATCTCATCTGGCGTACGGCTGGCAAGTTCGAGCTTCTTGATCGTGTGCTACCGAAGTTCCAGGCTACCGGTCACAGAGTGCTTATGTTCTTTCAGATGACGCAAATCATGAATATCATGGAGGACTATATGCGTTTCCGTGGAATGACATATCTTCGTCTTGATGGTTCGACCAAGGCAGATGATCGGTCTGAGCTGCTGAAGGAGTTCAACAAGCCTGATTCGCCTTACTTCTGCTTCTTGCTTTCGACTCGTGCTGGTGGGTTAGGCTTGAATCTGCAGTCGGCCGATACTGTCATCATCTACGACTCCGACTGGAATCCGCATCAAGATCTACAGGCTCAGGATCGTGCCCATCGTATTGGTCAGAAGAATGAGGTGCGGATCCTGCGACTCATCAGCTCCAACTCCGTTGAAGAGAAGATCCTCGAGCGGGCACAGTACAAGCTCGATATGGACGGCAAGGTCATCCAGGCTGGTAAATTCGATAACAAGTCTACGAACGAGGAGCGTGATGAGATGTTGCGTGTTATGCTTGAGACCGCAGAGGCGGCCGAGGCATTCGAGCAGGATGAGATGGATGACGACGACCTCAATCTGATTATGGCGCGTAGCGATGGGGAGCTCGAGCTTTTCGCACAGATGGACGCGGATCGTACGGCGAACCAGCGATACGGACCTGACAAGAAATTACCTCGTTTACTTGGCGAGAGTGAGCTGCCGGACATTTACATGCAAGAAGATAATCCTGTTGAGGAGAAGGAGGACAAGTTCAACTTTGGTCGTGGTGCGCGCGAGCGCACGAAGGTCAAGTATGATGATGGTCTTACTGAGGAACAGTGGCTTGATGCCGTCGATGCGGACGACGACACTATTGAGGATGCGACCAAGCGGAAACAAGATCGTATTGCCCGGCGTGCAGCGAAGAAGGAGTCCAGACTGCGTGGCGAGTTCGATCTGGGTGATTCGCCTCCTGCTTCGCGAGACAGTTCCGAGGAGCCGGCACCCAAGAAGCGTGGGCGGAAACCTGCCAAGGCGCCGGAGAAACGCAAGGCGGACGAGGCATCGCTCGATGGCGTCGAGGCACCGCCGAAGAAACGTGGGCGCCAGTCCAAGGTCGCGGAGACGTTGAGCAGGCAGGAGCGCGACACGATCCAGAAGATCATGGACAGTGTGCACGACGCTCTGCAAGATCTCGAGGTCACATCGGAGGATCCTGATGTTCCGCCTCGAGGCATCATCGATCCTTTCTTGGATTTGCCGCCTAGAGCAAGCTATCCGGATTACTACCAACTCATCGTTAAGCCGATCGCGATGAAGCAGATTGAGAAGAAGATCAATCAGAAGCAGTATCAGAGTCTACGGGAATTCAGGCAGGATATCGGCCTGCTCTGCAATAATTGTCGGCAGTATAATGAGGATGGGAGTGTGCTTTATAATGATGCTCATATGATTGAGGTAAGCCAAGCCAACAAAATGAAATCAAAGACTACGGTATATTGACTTCTGCCACAGCGCGCCTGCCTCGACAAACTTCGCGAGGAAACCGCCGCACACCCCGGACTCCAAGACTTTGACGAAGCAAGCGTGGATGGTACTTCGACGCGCCCGATCTCGAGCGTCAGTACGCCGCAGCCGCCGCAGAAGTCGGGCTTCAAGCTTAAGCTTAATGGGCGAGGTGCGAATGGTCATAGTTCGAGGGGCGGCACGGAGAGTCTGGTGCCCAGTGATGAAGAGTAGAGTTCTAGCAGCCAGGAGTCTATCTTTGATGATATCGACTGTGACCCAAAGGATCACCGCTGAGGTTAGTGCGGGTTGGGGGCAAGAGGTCGCGGAGTAAGGTGCATTATTTGCGGGTAAGGGTTCTTTCGTGCAAGAGATGTATTACGACGAGGATTACAGGAAATCGGGGATGAGGAGTCCGTGGTGCGCAGGCGTTCTACAGTCTGCTTGACCACTTCTTCGTGTCTATTGGAACTCTTGCTGTAAGAGTAGAAGCTAGCGTAGCAGCATTATCATATCCACATCCACATCCACATCCACATCCACCCCGACTCACGTCTACCCACCCTCTAGAACAACACACCCTTAGTACTAGGTACCTCGCCCTCCCTCCCCACAACAGGACTACACGCCATCCTTAACGCCACGGCCAAAGCCTTGAACGCACTCTCCGCCCGATGATGATCATTGTCCCCGCGCAAACAGTCCACATGCATCGTAATCCCCGCGCCCTGCGCAAAGCTCTGCAGACAATGCGGGATCATCTCGCAGCTCAGATCGCCCAGTTTCTCCCTCTTCAAACCCAAGTCTACTACGCTGAACGGTCGGTTCGACAAATCTACCACTGCCCTGCTGAGAGCTTCGTCCAGAGGACAATAAGCGTACCCGAACCTCGCCAAGCCGGAAATCGTCCCCAACGCAGTCTTGAGCGCTTGTCCGAGAGCGATGAAGGTATCTTCAGCCGTATGATGGTCATCTATATGCAAATCGCCACGGGTGCGAAGGTGGAGAGACCAGCCGCTGTGTTTTGCCAGGGCGTGCAACATATGGTCTAGAAAACCTATCCCGGTGTCTACGCTTATTTGCTGGGATTTGGATTGTTGTGAGGCGTGGTCTTTCTCGTTAGATGAGGCTTCGCTGTTCGAGCCTTCGGTGGTTTGGAGGGGGCCGCCGTCTATGCAGAGGGAGAGGTCGATTTTGGTCTCGTTGGTGTCTCGTTTTATGGCTGCTGTGCGGGTGCGTTTCTCGGAGGCCATGGTGGATGAAATGATGGGTCAGGTGCTTCGATATCTGTGTTGGAGGTACTGATCTGCTTTGTAGCTGGATATATATTTATCGTCTGTTGTGGTAAGTGCTGTAGACGATGACCCAATGGCAGCTCCATCGCATAAATGTTCGGGCTACTGCATGACGTTCACTAGCGTGGAAGGTTAAATATTCTTCGAAGACGAGTATTTGTCCAAACCACTCTTGAGACCATACCAGTCCGACCAGTCAACAAACCACGCAAAATTAGATCATGGCGCAAGAAACTGTGGATGAGCCCATGGAAGATGCTCCTGCAGGCGCCGAAGCCAACGATGCCGACTTCGTCTACGAGAAGCAGAGATTGAGAGTGGTATGCGCCACAATTGAACGGCCGAGTAGAACGTCCATATGCTGAGTACTTGCAGCTTCCTGGTAGTTCCGACACAGCAGCCTCGTTTGCTTTCGAAAGGGAAGACCACACTCTAGGCAATGCACTACGATATATGATCATGAAGAAGTATCCAGACATCAAGTGGCCGGCTCGTCTATTCACTAACATCACGGCAGCCCTGAAGTGGAATTCTGCGGCTACTCAATACCTCATCCATCCGAAGCCGTCATGAACTTGCGCATACAGACGTGGGGTACGTCTGCAGTTCCTAGTATGGCTCAGAGGCCAGGAGACTAACGTGCTGTCCAGACGGTGCCAATGTCAACGATGTCCTACGCAAAGGCCTTGACGACCTGGCAGACCTCTGCGATGTGGTTGAGGACAAGTTCACAGCAGCACGAGATGAGTTCAATGCCACACATCCTGATCGTACCACGGATAAACGATGAGGCGAAGGCTGGACGTTGAAGGTTTTGTTTTGTGCTTGCTGAGATGCTATATTTACAGAAGTACAGTGCACAAAAGCATGAGCTTAGTTTCGGCCCTGAAGGTACATATTAGCGATGGCGTTTTGGGAAGGGAGGGTGAGGTAGATGCCGAGGGTCATGTACATACCTCAAGGAAACCTTGTATAAAAGTCTTAGGCAACGCCGCCTTCGGATCCTCCTCTGATCGAAAGTACTTGAGCACATGTGTGAGTTGTTTCCAGAAATTGAGCGTTTCCTGTCAAGCCATCGTATCAGTCCTGTCCCATCGTCACACCTGCGCCAACCACCACAGCTTTAGGTCCTGCTGTCTGTTGCCCTCTACCCATTAAACGTACCTGAAACTCCTGATGACTGTTAAACAACAACACATCCACCGTCTTCAACTGCGAAACATATCGATGCCGCTCAAACTCCTGCCGTATCTTGGTTCGGATCGCGGAAACGGGCATGTTGAGGGAGTACATCTGTTGGACTTCGGGTGCCTGTGTAGTCCCTCAGAATCAGCTTACACTTCCCGCTCTATCCCACATCCCCTCGTTCCATCTCTTTTTACTACTCAGTCTAACTCGGTGCGTACATACCGATCGTACCCAATCCCGATAGGACTTGATCACTCGCTTGTGAGCATCGTTCCAGTTGACGGCTATGTGTGTGGTCAGTATAAGCCTGGGCTTAGCGGTTGTGGAGACATACATGAACGCGTTCTCTGCGCGAGATAGGTAGGGTTAATCACCATGGTCGTAGTGCTGGTCTTCGCGACCAATGGCCAATTGCTCTATCACTGATGTTCAAGTGAATGCCAAATGTGGAGTGCCCGAGCTTGAATGGGTGACTCAGCCAGTATCACGTGATGAGCCCATCTTGAGGCATTCAGATGCCGATTCATAGGCTTGGTAGACGGGAAAGTACATGTTGATCATGATGACATGCTTTCCATTCGTGGGATATCTAAACACAGCTAATCGTGACCAAGCCTCACGGGCCACTTTTGCATGCTCCACGCCCAGGCGACACTTTTACTAAAAGTACTTTCGTGCTCCTCGTCCCAGGCAGAGAACAGCAACCCAAGCTTCTGCTGTGTTGCCTTACGCCATTGCATCCCATGCATGAGAGAGCTCCCATGCTCATTAGCTGAACGGCTGCCCAGTCTCCATGTTACCCAGTTCGCCGGTTCTTCGTGAGAGCATCAGCTCCCCAGTATGAGCATGGCCGGTAGGTTCATACCCATCAGAATAGACATCTACGTGTCCAGGCCAGCGCGCACCTTTGAGTAAATTGCACTCGTCGAAATCTAGCTTCATCATGCTTCGAGTATGAGGGACTCGCGCCAAAGACGCCAGGCCCATCAGCGCCGCGCTTGTGAGGTAAGTTGAGAAGAACATCGCTGCGTTACTTCATGATGTATGACTCGTTTTTGAGCTTGCGTAAATGCTGGTAAGTCATCTCAGCAGATACCTCAATCCAAACGAGCCATCATCTGATCGCGTGTCAAAGGCGTCAGATTGTCGATATCGAGTCCCTTGGAGACCAAGATCGGTCGAATGTGGGCTGGGACCAGCTTCTCATTCAGCTGGGGTGCGATCGACAGCTCGTGATGAGTGAAGTCGAAGAGGACCGGGAGATCTCTTGACGCACCGCTCGAGTGGCGAGAGTCGGGCAGGCGGGTGCTTGGGTCACGAATCTCGTCGAAGAATGGATGTACCATGGCCTCCACCGCGGACAAGCGAGAGGTAGGAGTGTACTCAAGCAATCTTGCGATCAGATCAATAGCGTTGGCATCGGCCTTACGGAATACCTGTATAGTGTCAGTAGATGGTTCACAGGCTCACATCAAGCGAGAAGAGTATACCTTGCTGAACGGATGCGGCTTGATCTGTGGGAACTTGTGCTCCATGTAGTTCGGGTTCATGGTGCGGATCTGGTCACGGGTCGGCGTGCCAAGGACTTTGATGATCTCGACAAGCTGATCAATGCCGGACTCTCCAGGAAACAGAGGTTGACCGAGCATCAACTCAGCCATGACGCAGCCAGTGGACCAGACATCTGTCAAATGTTAAACTAGCTCCTCAGAAGTGCTTGAATTTGTGCATACCAATTTTCGTCGTATAGTTAGTAGCGCCGAAAATGAGCTCCGGAGCACGGTAGTACCGCGAGCAGATATAAGACACATTCGGCTCGTTCTCCACCAGAATCTTCGCGCTACCGAAATCGCACAGCTTCAGGACGCCGGTTGCTGGGTCGAGGAGGAGATTTTGGGGTTTGATATCCCTGTGGCAGATGCCCTGTGAGTGAATGTAGGCGAGCGAGCGAAACAGCTGGTAGATGTACAGCTTGACTTCGAGAATCGGCATGGTCGTCTTCAGCTTGTTGAAGTGTCGGGAGGCACGGTATACGGTTTCCGGCACGTATTCCAGCACCAGGTTCAAATACACCTCATCTTTCTGTACTTCCATCAGAGCTGTTTGCACACCCATAAGGTTATCGAGTTCTCTAACCCTGTCTCCATTGCTGTAATAGAACGCTTTCAATTCCACGATGTTCGGGTGACGGACGATGCGCATGATTTGCAGTTCGCGGTTCTAAGAGGTATTGTCAGCATATTGCCAGTGACTGCAAAGGTGTGCCACCTCACCTTGAAGCGCTTGTCTTGCAAAACACGCTTGATGGCCGCATCTTCTCCCGACGGCGAGAGCTTGGTCTGGAACACCACGCCAAAGGACCCATTGCCCACAATCTTGCACTGAGTGTATTGCATCTCCTTTGTCTCTCCTGTCAGGCCATCTTGGACTTTCTCGCGTATCACCTCTGCATGTCATGGTCAGCTCACTTCCTCACACCTCACTCCACAGCTGCCATTGGAGTGTCTTACCGCCCATGCGTAGGCCCGAAAAGGCTGAAGGCCTGTTCTGCGACATCATGCGCTCTTGACGTCAAAACACGCGCTCTTGCGGCAGACTAGTGAGGGAGTTGTGATTAGTTATTGTGTCCACCGTGGTGTAGACGTCGAGGTGATGAAGTGAATCCGTGGCGGGCAGCAGTCCGGTAGTCCAGAGCGGTCCAGCAGCAAAAGGTTGATGTTGCTGATATGAAGTTGGGGATGTTTGTTCGACCAGGTGGTGGAGAAGGTCTAGTGACTAAAACTGATGTCGGGGGCAGGTGCGACTGCTGAGTCTGGAGGCAGGTGCGCCAGGTGTTGGAGAGGCAGGAGCGATGTTGACAAGCTGATATGAGGCTGAGAGACAACTTTCGACCAATCAACACTGTCCACGAGACTGACGTGATGAGGTATGGTCTTGCTCGAGGGATCTAATACGATTGTCGCAAAGCACTTCGTCCTCGTCTGGGAATGGGTATGAGGAGGGTATGCCGTCGACCACCCCGCGCCTAGCAGATTTAGGTACGTACAATTTGGTCCGTGCCCTTGCTCTTTTTGAAACCTAAGTGTCTGATGAGGTTTGACAGATGGAAAATACTCATACACGCAACTCGAGGAATATCAACGCGAGTCAAGAAAGTCGCAAGCAGAAATGCTGAGCACGAAGTCCGCGACAGTCATTCCATACTGTGACGTCTACCGAGCAGAGTAATACCCGGCTCTCGACATCTAATATTACGACTCCGCAGACGATGGCTTGGACCCACTCAGTAGCAGGATCAGATCACGAGAGCACTGGTGCCGCTGGGGGGAATACAGAGGTCTTGGCGGAGGGTAATCACAATTTCCAGGGCAAGAGCAAAGCATTGAAACACCACAAACGTCTGCCGCTGATGCGAAGTCTCCTTGAAATCGTTGAGATGCAGTCCTTCACGTGCTCGTGTGCCCACGCCCTGCCCGCATGATTTTGCATGTCATGCGGGCAAGCAGAGCCTACCTTAGTCGAGCTAGCGTCGTACATCCAACGAATGCCCATGAGCTTGTCGGTAAGCTCACAAGAGACCGCATCCGAGCAATACCGCGTGCCTACGCATAAGGAAGTGGCACAACACAAAACGTGCTCAGCCATCCTCCATCCATGTGCTTGTGTCGCATACTCTACGCTTGATCGCATAGACTGCCGCTCCGCGCCTCTCGGCAGCCGCTCCAATGCAATGCACAAAATAAAGGCTTGACGCTAGAGGGCCGCGTCCTCCAGACTGCCCAAACGCCCCCTCCGCAGCCTGCAAAAGCGGCCACCACGGCGAGAGCTTCGTCCAGTTAGCATAAGCTAAGCACGTCTCGAAAAGTCGCGCCGCATGTATCCCTGGTCCAGATGACGATTCGAGCTGCCAGATCTCGCCAACTTGCAGGCTCTCCAGCCAATGAGAACTAAGTGCCGCACAAAACACCACCTCAGGTCTGCTGGTCTCGTAAGCACGACTACGGGAAAGATCTCATGTGGCCACGTGAGGCTGCTCCAGGAAGTGGGTCAGTATAAAAGTGGACGACATCTTGTGACGAGTGTTAAGCAACGGCTCGAGCTTCTCACCGGCAGCGTTTATGCTGTGGTCGCGATGCTGTGCGAAAGAGATGCATGCTTAGATCATATGCAAAAGCAGAGCTACACTATCGTGATATGAGCTCGTGTTGCACCAAGGCAACCAAGTCGTATTCATACAGCTATAAAATAACACACATGGAGTCGCATATCATCGCTTGGTAATAGAAGGTCGGCAGGTGAACTATGCCCAATGCGGCCTCCTCGATGATCTCAAGACTCTGGTATCCGTTCCCCAGAGAGCAAAAAGGATACTCGCTATTGCGGAGAGCCTTGCTACCTTACAGAGAAGTGTAGCGCTACGGGATACAAGCTTCCATTCTGGCTTCCGCACCGAGATATCGCCCTCTGCTCCCGCTTCCTCCACAGTGTCAGCTCAAACGTACACAGTTTCAATTTCCAGGCACGCCTCGCGCGAACAGTTCGTCCTGCAAGAGCCGCGTCTGCACATTAGCAGTAAACGTTTCCCTAGTCGCAGTCACACTGACCACTACGTCGAAACATCCGTTCTCGATCTGACGGCCTAGAAAGCATAACTGTTGTACGACTCCACGCTTGCGCTGGAAGCGACATGTGATGAAATCGGAGGTCGTGTCCATGTTGTGGTAGATGATATCGAGCTCTCTATCACTTTCGGTTGCAGTGTTTGGGTCGGGCCTCTGCTGCGTGCTCGTAGCATTTGCTTGATTTGAGATGGTGTATATCTCCGCTTTCCAAATCAACGAAGGTAGCAAAGCCGTGACAAGGCGATTCCCCGACAGTGTAGAGCTTCGAATGCCGTCTAGATGGTACGCCAGACAGCCAAGAGAGGTATGCCTTGCTGGGATCTTCCACAATGACGCCACTCTGCATCAGTTCGCAGATGGTCCCACGGCGAAATTGCAGCATCGGAAGATTGGTCCTTGTTGGCAATGGGAAAATGCGGTCCGGGTATCGACTATCTGTTTCGGTATATCAGTCTGTTTGTTGGTATGTCGAAAGGCGGAGGGTACTACCTGTCTATTTGGGTTTTGGTAGCAATGCAGCATGAGATGGGCTCAGGTGAGCTCCTACCGTAGCGTGTGCGTCTGGTCAGGCGGAGGGTACGGTTCCTCGAATTACAGATCGCTGGCCTGCTCCGCTAGGTTACAGCAAAGAGGCGTTCCCACCCTAAGCAAATATGCCATGTATCTCAAGCAGGTCTTTGCCAGTTCGTAATCCTCACGTTTAAACGAGAGCTTCAACTTCACGTCCGGGAGGCTGGCACTCGAATGTCTCTTTGTATATGCGGTCCTTTTGTGTTCGCCGCCACTCATTCTTCACATAAGCGAGTAGCCTCAGCGCGCCTGCTGGTGTCATACCTTCGATTCGTCGAGCCTGTCCTACAGACTCTGGTCGTGTATCACTGAGGACTTTCTTCTCCTCGAAGCTCAACCCGTGAATGGCTTGGTAGTTCAAGTCGCCGGGCAGGAGGAGGCTCTCGTCGCGTGCGAAAGCTGCAGCTGAAGCTTCTTGCTGTGTAATGTATGGTGCATATGTCCCTTCGACATCAAGTCGTGCTTGTATGCATTCAGAGTATTGCGCAATCTCTGGAATGAGTTCTACAAGCTTGCTCGTGGTAACGCCAGTGTGGCGCAGCAGATCGAACCCACTTCTCCTGACACTATCACTACGCACAGGAAAGCCATGTTCAATCCAGTCCGTAGAGCTTAACTTCTTCGCCTCCAGCAACGCACGCAGCTCTTCCATTTGCGTCTGCTCATCTGTATACGCGGTCCAGCGCTTATCGCCTACGACCCCAGCCTGTCGACCCTTGGCTGTAAGGCGGACGTCCGCATTGTCAGCTCGTGCAGACATGCGATACTCGCTGCGGCTAGTGAACATGCGATAAGGCTCGCTGACACCTTTTGTCACCAGATCATCGATCATGATGCCGATGTAGCCATCTGCGCGGGAGATCGTGAATGGTGCTCTACCAATGGCAGAGTTGCCAGCGTTGATCCCTGCTAGCACACCTTGCGCAGCTGCCTCTTCATAGCCAGTCGTGCCGTTAATTTGTCCAGCCAGAAACAGACCACTGATAGCCTTCGTCTCGAGTGTACGCCTGAGGCTTCGTGGATCGACATAGTCGTATTCAACGCCATAACCAGCTTGTAGCATTTTGGCGTTCTCAAGACCAACAATAGTCTTTAGCATAGCCTCCTGCGCCTCGACAGGCACGGTCATGCTGATCCCGTTCGGGTAGATCACATCGTTGTCAAAGCCCTCCGGTTCGAGCCAGATTAGATGCTGCTCTTTGTCCGCGAATCTGAGAACCTTGCTCTCTAGGGACGGGCAGTATCGAGGTCCCTTTACAGATTCACGAATGTGAATGCTCTTGTCGAGATTTGCTCGTATTACATCATGTGTTGCGGCGTTGGTATAGGTACTCCAGCAATTGAGCTGTTCCTTGACACTCACTCGATCGTTGAGGTATGAGAAGGGCATAGGGTTGTCGTCTCCAGGCTGGACTTGCAGCTTATCGAAATCAATGGTCTTCCTGTCTAGTCGTGGTGGTGTGCCTGTCTTGAGCCGACCAAGCTTGAAACCTGCATCTTTTAACGAAGCAGAAAGTCCGAAAGTCGCAGCCTCGCCCATGCGACCAGATGGAAAGACCTCGAGGCCAATATGTATCTCGCCACCAAGAAACGTGCCTGTGGTGATGACCACGTTGTCCGTCTCAACGACCTCGCCAGACTCCAGCCTGACACCTGTGATCTTGCCATGTCTACCGTCCAATCTAGATTCCGGCGACTGATCGAGAATGATATCCGCGACTTTGCCTTCCTTCACACTAAGCCCAGGATAGTCCATCATCTCATCTCGCATATGCTTCTTGTACAGTGCCCGATCGATCTGTGCCCGTGGTCCCCATACCGCTGGCCCCTTCTTCCGATTGAGAACCCTGAACTGTACTCCTGCTTTGTCCGTGATCCGACCAACTAGTCCATCCAATGCATCGATCTCCCGCAGCATCGTCCCCTTCCCAATCCCTCCAAAGGACGGGTTACAGCTGCATACTCCAAGATTATCGTACGAAGGCGTGACCAATGTCGTTCGAGCACCCGTCCGCGCTGCTGCTGCTGATGCCTCGCATCCTGCATGGCCGCCTCCTATCACGACTACATCGACATGTGGGCGTTGTCGAGTTCGTGGGAGATCGGCGATGGTCGCAAGGCCTTGTCGTCTTACGTGTGATGATCGCACACGAGGTGCATGGCCCCAGAGCATGCGTGCCCGGGCGGGGGACACCAGAGGCATGTTCACTGCTATGTATAGAGAACCCGGCACACATTAACAAGACGAATGCTATCCTGTTCGGATACTGGACCCTGGAGAATATCGTTTCGTTATAGAGTACTCCGTCTGGCTCGCCTCTTGCAAACCACCCTACTGAAGCCAAATGGGATGGACTAGGGTGTTCCGATGATTACTCTTATCAGGGGCTGTATGAAAGCTTGAATCTGAACGCTTCCCGCTAAGCCCAATATCACCCGAACATCTTCCTTCACATGCAAGGTGTCAAATAGTCCAAGTGTCGCGTGCGTCTTCGATAACCGCCTCTCTACTGGACATCAGCGAGGTCAGTTGTCGACAATGCAGAGCGAAGCATGGCACGCATGTTGCGAGTTGCGAACCTGTTAATATGGCTGGCCGGCATCATTTCCTTACCTCATGCAACGGCGGATAATAACAATGATACATCTGGAATCAGTGCGGCTGCACCGGCAGTCGCCACTGCGAATACGACAGATGCCTCCTTCATACAATCTGGCTTTGTACCAGCCGGCACACGCTCTTCGACATGTGTGAGCGGGACAGTGAATTATATCACCCATACCTTGCCACAGCAATGCCTTCCGACTGATCGATCATCTGCTACCACGAATGTATCCCTTCAAGCAGCCAACACCACAGGACTGGCAGCTGGCTTGCCTGTGACAATACCGTCCGTTAATGGTAGCTGGATTACTGAGAGGGACCAGCAGGCCACCCGTCTAAGCGAGGAAGGCTCGGCCGAGCCCACTGCGACAGTCTCAGCACCTACATCGTCAACACTATCGAGTGCCGAAAGCAGTCGCAGCAGTTCACCTGCTATAGAGGAAGGAAGTTCTGATGAAATCGATTCACTCCTCGACTCTGTCAGCTTCCTATCCTTTGAGGACTGGAAGAAGCAGAACCTTGCGAGGACTGGACAATCTCCAGAGAACGTAGGGAAGGAGAGGCAGTCTACCGGACAGCAAACCAGGCCAGGTAATGATCTCGACACACTTGGCGAAGAGAGTGAGATCGATCTGGATTTCTCCGGCTTCGGGACTGGCGGCTCAGCGAAGCAAGAGCATGACAGCAGCAGGACGATTTCAGAGTCTACAAAAGACAGCTCCTTAACAGATTCGCCGAATGATCCAACTCCTGCAACTTTACGATCCAGAGATGCAGGCAAGACGTGTAAAGAGCGCACCAATTACGCCTCCTTTGACTGTGCTGCCAACATACTCAAGAACAACAAAGAGTGCAAGCATGCGTCTTCCATATTGGTAGAGAACAAGGACAGCTATATGCTGAATAAGTGCTCGGCCAACAACAAATTTCTCATCGTCGAACTCTGTAACGATATCCACATCGACACCATTGTGCTTGCCAACTACGAGTTCTTCTCGAGCAGTTTCCGCCACTTCCGGATCTCTGTGTCAGACCGCTACCCTGTCAAAGAGGAGAAGTGGAAGCAACTTGGGACTTTCGAGGCGCGCAACACGCGCGAGGTGCAAGCCTTCTTGGTCGAGGAGCCACAGATATGGGCGCGATATCTTCGGATCGAGTTTCTGACCCACTATGGCAGCGAGTACTACTGTCCAATCAGCCTGCTTCGAGTGCACGGTAAGACCATGATGCAGGAATTTAGACAAGAAGAGGAGATGGCTCGTGGAGAACTTTCGGACGACGATACATCTTTCGAGACTGTGCGCAGCGAAATCTTGGAACTTCCTGTTTCAATACCAAGTGAGGAAGCGATCACGGCTAGAAGTGTGCTCGAGAACAAGACTCTGGACGTGGGAACCATGATCTCCCCGCCTGATATAACCGTGGTAGCAAACGAGCACAATGCAACCTCTCAGGGAGAGCACACTCCGACTACGAAAACGGTGCTGGATGATATCATCGCTGCGACTGACAGTGTTACGTGCGCAGCCTCAATGACCCTGGATAGCATCGTGCCTACCATTGAGCAGCATGTTGTTAGCGAAGACACCAGCGTAGCAGCTCTAGCTGAGAGTAGTACCACCGTGCCCGCTGTCCCGACTACATACGCGCAAGTCTCCAATACATCCAGCTCCGTTATAACGACGCAGACGTCGTCCACTATCGACAAAGCAATCGCCCCCAATGATTTCTCCTCACAGACGGCGCTTAACGAGAGCATTCCTACCGTCTTGCCTCCTCGTGCCGATGTCTCCGCCAGTGCCTCCACCGATACCAGCGCATCTAGCCAAACAGATGTAACCATCTCTAGCACTCTGGCGGCTGCTTCAGGTGATGGTAATAATACAACCACGAACAGCACACGCAGTGTAGCATCCAGCACTTCCGCTACCTCTCAGGCACCAGCACAACCATCTTCACAAGAATCATTCTTCAAGTCCATTTCCAAGCGACTACAACAGCTCGAGAGCAACAGCACCCTCAGCCTGCAGTACATCGAAGAGCAGTCCCGCATCCTCCGCGAAGCCTTTAACAAAGTCGAGAAGCGCCAGGTCACAGCCACGTCGACTTTCCTCACCACTCTGAACAGCACAGTCATGACCGAGCTGCAAGGCTTCCGACAGGCGTACGACCAGCTATGGCAAAGCACCGTCATCGAGCTCGAAGGCCAGCGAGCGCAATATCAGCGCGAGATGCTCGCGTTGAGCACGCGTTTGACACTGGTGGCAGACGAGCTGGTGTGGCAAAAGCGAATGGGTATCGTGCAGTCCACTCTCCTGCTACTTTGCCTGGGTCTCGTGCTCTTCGCGAGACAAGGCAACGGAGTGGTGGACATGACGCTAGCACAATCACTCGTGAACCGCTCGCAAGCAGCTCTGAAGGTAGGCTGGGAGAGCGACCCGGCTAGTCCTTCTTCACCAGCGAGCAGGAGTCCGGTATCGGTGTTGCGACGCAGGATCTGGCGTAGTAGCACTGAGCCTGTTAGCAATGTGGCTAGTGAGGATGATAGTAGGCCGCAGACTAGAGACGGTGATGCTGGGCTGGATATTGAGGTTGAGCCACCTACACCTCCACGAGAGAACCGGGTGGTCGATGGGACGTTCGAGGGCTCTGGGGATGAAGATTCGGATGTCGAGAACCAGCCTGCACGGTCTCACAGCAGTCCAGCTGTGCCTGTAAAGTTGTATGGTGACGCTGGTAATGGTGTGCGTAGTAGACCTGGGAGCCCATTGCGGTATTCATGATAGCGTTCTATAGACATACAAGTACACTATACTACACTCTCTTCCCCTTACTCGATTACTATAACCCTTGTACCAGTCGAAATAGCCTTATCAATGCTCCTTCGAATCTCCACTGATAGAGTGTGCCTTGCGGAAGGAGACTCTCGTCTGTATCCTACATCGCTAGAATCTACCACATCACCCATCTTCGCCAAACGGGTAATTGAACTTCAAGAGGCCATTCAACCCACCAACCCAATGGTCCTCGCCGTCTGCTGCGCCGCCCGACCGTACAATGCTCGGCACACCGCCCATCCAGTCCCTTGCACCAGGCGCACCAGGCGTCCTGACCTCCTCACCCACGACTCTGACTTCCATGCCCGCCTTCAGACCCTCCTTCCGCCTAACACCGTCGACAGAGACCTCTATCTCCTTGCCGCGGTTCTCGGCCTCGATGCGTAAGGTCACAGGCGTATTGGCCGGTAGCACAACAGGTCTGAATGAAAGACTGCGAGGGCAGATTGGCGTGAGGAGAAGACTCGAGACGAGCGGATGCACAATACAGCCTCCACTCGAAAGACTGTATGCTGTCGAGCCAGTAGGTGTGCTAACCAGGAAGCCATCGGCTATTGCTGTCGTTAAGATACGCTGGTGGGGCGGAGTGCCGATGAGGATGGTGATATGCGCTAGATGTGGTAGTGCTCCACGATGAAGCAGGACTTCGTTCAGGGCGAAGATATCCTCGCATTTATTGTTCGCATGCGCGAATGGTGGTTCATGAGGTAGGCGATTGCCGTCAGAGTCGAAGATGCCAATGCGAAGACGATTACGCATTAGCACGCGAGAGCTTCGTGACGCTCCCATACTTTTGCCTTTGATGTTCGCCCAGGCTGAGGCATCTGTGGTGACCCGTGGTCCGCTGCCGCCGTCTGTCACCTCGTTGCCGATACGCTCCGGTAGTGGCGATGGGTGGCCTGAGACGTAGACTTCACGAAATGCTCGTTTGTAGTCTTTAAACTTCCATTCACCGAGAAAGCCTAGAGTGCCCATGCTAAAGGAGAGCATGGGCGGAACACTAGTTGCAGTGGCGAAAAGGGAGGCAGCATGGAGGATTGTGCCATCGCCGCCAAGCGTGGTAGTCAGATCGGCCTTTTCGTGATATGGCACGTTACTATCGTCTTCGCTGACGGTGTAGATCGGGAAGTCGAAGATCTTGTGCAGTTGTTTTGCGAGGTAAGGCTCAAAGATCAGATTCGTCTCCGGGTAGTCCCTTTTGATATGCGTGATGTATTCCAGCAATGCGCTATGGACCTGATCATCGTCATCCTTGCGGATGCACAGTATGTTTCGTGGCGGAGCGGGCCATTTCAAGGCCAGAAGGTCGTGATGGCTTGTCTCTGAAGTTCCATATCAGCATGTAGGTTCGTGATGCTTTTTACGAGGCGTCTGACGTGCCTCGATAGCCAGGAAAGGCGCGTGGTGGAAGCTCTGCGATGCTTCGAATCTCGTGTCTTCGCGACGTGATGGCAAAGCCTCTTCTGCATGATGCCTTCGCCGGCCATGTGACTCCTGCTACATAGTGTTTTTGTCCTACTGACGGACGGCTAGTCGTGCTCCGAAAGCATCTCCATACCGTGGTCATCGCCGGTCCATTCTCTACACCTCGCTCATAACATCGCCATTACCATCAATATGCATCAGTCTTTGTGCATAAAAGGACGCGCTTTTGTGTACTGATTACCCAATCAAATAGATTATCCGGGATGACGTGCGTGCTTGGGACAAAAGAGTCATCACCCTTTGAGCTGTTCCGAGTGAACCCGTCCACGTGCCATTTATTCGGTCTTATAGTACCAGGCAGCAACGTCTCGAGTCTCTCCCTCCGGCTCAACAGAAGCTGTAGGTATGCGCCTCTCATAGTCCACTCGCTACCATGGCATCTCAAGCCAACGGAAGCGTCCACCAGCGCAAGCCGACTCGTCCGGATCTGGATCGCGTCCCTAGTAATCTCGCAACAGAATGGCAGGCTTGGATGGGCAGTGGCCCGAAAGAAGTAGAGGAGACTCTAGGAGGACCTAAACATGGCCCCTGGCTACAAACTCTTCGTATCATCGGCTTCTTCCTCCACTTCATCACCTCATGCCTGTTCATCCACTTCACGCAGCTGCTCGGCAGCCCGCTGTACTTCATAGACAAAGACTGGTTCTACGCCTGGATGGCCATGACGAAGCAGTACTTTGGGCTCTTTGTGACGACGATGACGCAGTGGTGGAGTCCGACGGTGATCAGAATTAGTGGCGACAAGAGCATGAAGGGCTTGATCAAGCAGAGTGAGGATGGGCAGGTGAGGATGAACTTTGAGGAGCGCGCGGTGTTGATGGCCAATCATCAAATCTATACCGACTGGTTGTACCTGTGGTGGGTCAGCTATACCAATACGCCGCCCATGCACGGTCACATCTATATCATCCTCAAAGAGAGTCTGAAATGGGCGCCTATACTCGGGCCAGCCATGCAGTTCTATGGCTTCATCTTCATGGCCAGGAAATGGTCGAAGGACCAAGAGCGCATGCGATATCGCATACAGAAGCTTAGCACACGACACTCGGGTCCCACGTCAGGCACTCATGGAGGCGCACAGTTAGATCCAATGTGGCTCCTCATCTTTCCCGAAGGCACAAACACCAGCTCTAATACTCGTGCCGGGAGCACGAAGTACGCCGAGAAGAGCGGCATATCAGATATGCGACACCAGCTCCTCCCTCGCAGCACCGGCATGCAATTCTGCTTACAGGAGCTGAAAGGAACGGTCGAATACCTCTACGACTGCACAATAGGCTACGAAGGTATCCCGCCAGGCCTCTACGGCCAGGACGTCTTCACACTGCGATCCGTCTACTTTCAAGGACGGCCGCCAAAGAGCGTGAACTTGCACTGGCGAAGATACAAGATCTCGGATCTACCTATTACGGATCATGATGCGATGGCGGAGTGGGTCCTGGATCGATGGCGGGAAAAGGATGATATGCTGGAGCTGTTCTACAAGACTGGGAAATTCCCTGGTGATGTCGAGGCGGTACATATTGAAGGTGGACCGCAAGAGAAGGATTGGAAGACTGCATATATCAACACTGAGGTAAAGGCTCGTAGTCCTTTCGAGTTCTTGCAGATGTTTGCGCCTGTGGCGGCGGCGGGATTGGTTGGGTCGGTTTTAGTCCGGGCCATCGATATGGTCACTGGGCACAAGTGATGATCTATGGTCGCAAATATGGGGCTGGCGGCTTGTCCGAAACGAGAAGCACGACTTATGGCCGACAGATATATGATGGGAGGGCAGATTTTACGGTGGCGTTGGTCTGGTGTTGACTTATTTTCCTGCTAGACCGATACCCCTTTAGAGTGTTCATATATTCGATGCGCATACGCAGATCTGCCTCCACTACTGGCCACATCGTCTCTTCACAGCCTACTTCAATGCGACTATTGTTTGGGCACCTTTTGGCGCCCCCAATAATGAGCTGTTATGCCTGGGTAGGCTATCCCTCGACGCCCAATCTGCGCCGACAAACTTACACTGATGCATGATGGTGTTTGACAGCTACCATGCATATCAGCAACGGTTAACGGGTTCACACTTCCTCGTTCGAGTCGTTGAAACTACATTGCTTGGACATACCCTGTTGCGGTTTGGTATCTTCTCGGAATGCACTTCTCGCTCCATACATTCGACGGTCGATGCAACTACACCATGCCATCATCATGCGCTGTCATGATCATCAGTGCTCAACTTGGTGTCCCTCATCATCCTACACTTCCCATCCCTCGAAGATCAACATGTTCTATGCTAGACCTGCAAAGTCATGCGACGCACATGCAACCAGTGTGGTTGGTTTTCTTAATTCTCTCTCTTATCGCCACTGACTCGTTACACTTTCGACAACGACAAAGCTTACACGGTTGACTTCTGCCAACCTCAAGAGTTTGTTTGAGTGCTAAAACGATCGGATAAGTGAGCCTAAAGCTTGTCGCATGCCCCTCTTTGACCTCATCTGTCGTCCATTGTGCACATGGAGTCATGTTGGGCATGGATTTGTGGTCCGAGTCGCTGGCTTGCTGGTCGACACGGTCAATCTCACCATTTTGAACGAAAGCCTCCGCGATGGCGACTCATACAAGGTTTGTAGGATGCTTACGCTTCACCTGCTTTCGTTGCAATGATTCTGATATCGAGTCGTTGCACAAACGCCTTGAACATGACATGCTTACAGCCGCCGCAGTAGCCGCTAGGCCGCGCTACGGTGGTTGGAGGAGCATGACGGCCATGTCCCTGACAAAAAGATGACAGGTTATCCTTGCGACACGAATATTGAGTGAGGATCTTGTGCTTTCCAAGAGCCACTACTGCCATCTGGGGACATCCGTTTGTCCGTTCATCCACATATCAACAACAGTGCTCGTACCAGGCCGAGGCAATGAGGTATGCGATAAAGAGGAGTACGAGTGCGATAAAGTGGAAATCCTCGACATATCCACGGAGATGTAACAAGAATCGTGGTCGAAAAGATCGACAGCACTCCGTGGTAGCGGCGCCACCTTGCAGGCGTGAGTTGCCTGCCGCAGAACTGTACCTTTCAGCTGGGTCGATGCCGTCAGTAGCGTCAATTTGCATATAGTAAGAAATGTCTTAGAGTTATGCAGATAGGAAGGTCGATCCGCTCGGCGGGGAACGTAATACAGCCTCCGTACCATTGTTACCCTGCTGTCTGTCTGCGACAAGCCATATCACGGTCTAGACAAGCATGTCAGGGCAAGTGACTGTGAACCAAGGATACCGACATGTCTCACCCATCCCAAATAGCTGACCGAGACATTGTGGAAGTTCCATCTCGACTGTGGGTTTAGATTATGGATGATACCAAAGTTTCAAAGTATCATCTCCGACGGGTGGTAGGAGGGTCTCTGGTTGTGTCGAACATCTACTGAGACCAGTGCCATTTGAGTCGGTCTTGGCGTTGCCTTTGCGGTCCCTCCGTGGCCACGTCGGATCTCAAATCACATTGCTCGCCACGTTCGCAGAGGATGGCAGGAATCTCGCACACATCGTCGCGCTGTGCATGACGACCACCCGTCCCTCAGCCAGACCGCAGCAAGGCCATGAACAGCCGTCCAAGCTGATGGTTGCTGGGAGCACAATGTGGTCATAATCGCAGCTTTGCACGAGTTCGGCGACGATAAGTTCCTGCGTCTCGCTGCGTCGAGACGCAGTCAAGGCTCCTCGGTCTCATCGCATCGCATCTCGCGTGGCCGGTTATATGACCTCGGCCTTCCCTTTTGATCTCGCATGCAGATCGTAACAATACGCTACTGCTGGTACATTAATATGAGTGAAATGGGGTCTCATGATTCCTCGGCTCACGCCACCGTGAGCCAGAACTGCAGCATACATGATGTCGCCATCTTGCTGTTTCCAGAACGCGTCGTCGTGCACGAAGAGTGGTATGGACTCGAGTCTTGTGCCAGTAGACACTCTCATCAACCGTGATTGGTCTCGTGAATGTGACCCGCGACATCACCTGTTAGCCTAGGAGTGATACGTATTTTCGTGCCACCGACTCCGCCAGGAACAAGCCAAGGTGACCAGCTTTTGTGCATCCCGGTGGAGAGACCGGTCTAGACGCTCCAAGCAGCGGTGCCAGCTCCGGTCCCGGCTCACGACGGCGATCGGCATGCTGTATTACGGCATGTAGATGTCGCGCTGTGCAACAACGCTATCATGCAATTATGACATTAGCAAAATATGGTAAGCCGCGTCTCAGTACGCCAACTGCAGGTCGAGCGGGTTGTATCGTAGGTCAGTGGATCTGCTCAAAATCAGTAGTAGACACGCTCGATCCTGGGTACATGTGAATATCGATCGGCAAGTGCCGAGACGGCCGCAGCTTCCGTTCAATGGTGATCTGCAGGTGCTCGACGGAGTGTGCATTGATGCACCTCCGCTCATGGCAAAAGATAGCGATTGGGTAGGGTGCCGGTCTGACCGAGCAGAGCAGGACTTGCGAAAGATAGGAGCAGCCCAGCTGCTCGCATCGTGTATGGGTGATTAGGTGGCAGTTGAAGGCTACGCCAGCGACACATTGCCGCGCGGTGTCTAGCCCGGCGAAAGTCTGCTTGGCCTGACACACTAGAACGACTTCTGTGTGTGCGCGAGTTGTGTGGCGCGTAGTGGATAGTTTGTGGCTACAGTAGAATTGAGCCCCTAGACTGGACTGACGCCGCTAGCCGCAGACTCGCGCAACAGCACTGCGCGTATCGTGGCGGAAGCTTATGTGGCTGGACGTGAGAGTGTACCTGGCCTCTGGGAACAAGGGAAAAGCTGAGTCGGCACCCTAGCTATACTAGTCAGGACGCTTGGGCATAGTCCGTGACAGGCTACCTTGAATGCATGAAGACGGGGCCATGCGCTTGGCTCCATTGATGTCCAGCAGCGTCACGCTAGGAGAAAGAGGCCGTGGTGGACTGTTGGTCGTAGTGGTGCGCTTACTGAAGGTGTTTGTAGACCACACATCGTCATCCACGTCTTCATCAAAGGATGTCACCACATCCTCCGGATTGAATACGAGTGAATATAAATCGCAAGCTTCCCGGCACAGGCGGAGCACGACTCGTGGAGCGCAAAACTAGACTCGGCGCATCAGACCGTTGTGCAGGCACCAGATTCACCAACCAGACCCCGGATATCTTGGAGCGATAGTGTTGCGGGAGCGCAAAGCAAAACCTGCATCCTCTCTAACCACATCAGACAAGCCAGCCAAAGGCACCGTATTTCTCCGAGGCTCGTTCGTGCGGACGAGCGCAACCGCCAACGTCGGTGGTACATTTGAGATTCTTACGAAGTCGGTCCGAGCCAATCCAGGGCGTAGCTGCGAATAGAGGCATTATTATTGTGCTCGCTGCTCCGGTTCAAGCTTGCCGAGAAGATCGACAGAGGTAAGTGGGCAGGTTCCCGACCTGATTATGTCAAGGCGAACGATGATTGACTGTGCTCGTCAGACACCGCGGATTTAGAAGTGGAGGCTACCGATTTATTCCCAGTCTTGCCGTACTCGGCGAGCCGAAAGATCTGATCGACCAATCCTGCACCGCCGGCGAGCGATTTGGCATGCCCTAGACACTTTTTCTTAGTAGTACCCAGTACAAGTGGTGAGACCTGGTTGAGGCTTGTCTTGCCTCTCTCGCCCAGCTATCTCCAGCTACCCAGCACCTGCGGACAGCGACTACTTGACATTGGCCCAGTGCTTCCGTGGACCGTGGCCGCGCACGTACAGCGAGCTCGAAGCTTTCTGGCCACTGCCACCTCCCACTTTGGAAGTGCGACCCACGTCCTGATCAGGAGTGCTGCGCGGCCCCAAACCGTCTGCGACGAACCCAAGCCGATCTAATTACCTTACTCACCACCCCGACTTGACCGTTGTGCACCCAACTCTATTTATCGAAACAGGTACGGCCACAAACTCTCTCCATTTTATGCTTAACAGCTTTGTCGTCACACCTTCTAATCCTCGGCGTTCTACCCGTCAAACAAACTCATTTACGCAGCCTACCCCCGCCATCCGCGACTGCATACATATCTCCAATTGGGTTCGAGCGAGATTCGCTCTTGCCAACCTTTCTCTACACGATTCGTCTTCGCCGATAACCTTGAGCATCTTGTTGACAGAGTCTCTGCTGCCAGGTACATCAAGTCTTGAGTTCGCAACATACTTCCGAAACCTTCCGACATCCTTACGGCAGTCGACTACCGAGCTTGTCAGCGCAGCAGCAGTACCCTTGTCACTGGCTTCGCATCGATCCTCTCAAACGGCCAAGTACTCCTCCCGTTCAAGTCCAGCGAGAGCAGCATTATCGCGAGACTGCCCAGACGTGACAGCATCGAAGGTTCACCTACGCTTCATCCGGAACGTTCTTGCTTCAGCTCGGCGCAACATTAGCAGCGCACGCAGGTCTGGCCGTCTACGCGCTTGATTCACATATCTGCTACCTGGCAGATCAACCTAGACCTCGTCATAGGCTAGGATTTGTCCGTCTTCAGACGCGTTGAGGTCATCTTTACGAACGTTCGATCGGACGCAAGATGAGCGGCGGAGGTGCGGGCCCACTGGTCCCAACTTTCCATGGCTTCGTGCACAACACCATGGACGGCCTGGTCCTGTTCGAAGCGTGCTTGAGCGGGAAGCTTCACCACGTTCCCAGGCGACCACACGACAGAGAACGCTCGTCCCTCATCAAGAGCGGCAGTATCTTCATCTACGAGGAGAACGCGTCCGGCATCAAGCGCTGGACGGATGGCGTTGCCTGGAGCCCCAGTCGTATTCTAGGAAACTTTCTCATCTATCGCGAGCTAGAGAAGCCTTTTCCACCAGGCGAGAAGAAGCGCGCAATCAAGAGGAAACGTACAAGCTTGGCTGGAGAGCCATATCCGCGACGCGACTCGGATGAGAACGAGGCCGCAGAACTGCCAACACCGCTGACTCCACCCACGCCAAACCCAACCGGCGATGGCAAGTCCGAACTTCCAAGCAGTGACCAAGACAAGGAGCTGGAGCGCTCTCTCATCGGTTCCCTCGTGGATAGCTATGGCTTCCGACCTGACGGCTTGGTGAAGAAGACGATGAGTGTATCTGTCAACGGCATCTCGCATCATATGGTATCTTATTACAAGGTGGACGATGTGAAGAACCAGCTGCTTCCGCGCCCATTGACCGATCCACGCCTGCAGAATATCTCTGTTCGGCCAGATCTTTATCTCAAGCAGAACTTCAGAGCGCCTGTTGAGGAGACCGAGCATTACGCGATCGACAATCACATGCACGCGCATCCTCAATCCATGTACTCTGGCATGGTCGGCGGCTATGGCGTTCGACCTGGTCAGTATATGGGTCAACCCTACAGTGGTCTTTACGGGCTACAACCAAGCACCGCAGCAGGTGTGTACGGCGGCATGACTGGAACCTCTTGGCCTGGACAACAATCACCAGCAACAGCTATGGCCTACAGCAATCGAGGTTACAACGGTCAAAGTTACGGCGGAAGTTACTATCCTGGTGCACCTGCCAGCACTGCGACAGCGCCGCCAGTCAAGGCTGAGGATCACCAGCAACCTCCACAACAATCCAGCTACGGTGGGCACTATGCTTCTTCCTATGGTGCCATCCAGCGCAATGGCTCGCAGAGCACGCCAACCATGATGCAGCCTGCATATAACAGCACTCCTGTGCAGCAGCAGACCGCATCCTCCTTTGGGTCGATGAGTGCTCACAACAACAGAGCATCTTACGGAAACGTCATGAACAGTCCTTCGTCGCATGCACAGCCGCCTCATTCGTACGCAAGCGCGCCTACTCAGCAGTATGCTGTTCGCTCGCCCGTGCAGAATTATGCCATGCACAGCGCGCCCCCGAATGCTGTTGCGCAGTCACCTCATCCGGATCTCAAGAGCCCGATGTCTGCATCACATCAGACAAATCCCGCAGCAGACCAGATGCCGTACCGCCCTGGCTCATATTCAGTGCAAGCACCGCACTCCGCTACGACCTCTTCCGATATGCACGGTCTTGGTATCAGCGGCAATTCGAGTTACCAGCAGGCGGCACATAACGGTCAGCCATATCAACAATACGGATCCTCGCAGCAAGCTTTCCGTGCCGATCCTGTGCCATCTGGCGGAGGACATTACGCACAGTAACCATATCAATTCTATTTTTATTAGGACTTTCTTCACTAGGAGCGTCGGTTCAACCTGTTATCAGCCTCATCGGGGCTTTGCTCGGAGTTTTGGGCAATTATGATTATGCTGGCAGAGCATGCGTAGGAGGCGTTGACGTGCCATCAGTATCGCGGAAATGATAAAACGAAGTCATTGAGGAGGTAATCTGAGTTTTTTCTCGCACTTGCGTGTATCATATGCGACACGATGCGAGAGAGGAAAAGCGCCATGTGCTGTATCACTCAGCTGCATGACTGGAGGCTTGACGTTGATCGAATCAAGTTGTAATAGTCCTGCTACGATATCATCAAGCAATAAAAGCATCATTCGACATGTTGTGACACGACGTGCATCTGCCTGCCTGCCTGTCTGCTTGGCTACAGTATCTTCGAGCTCGGTATTTCGCCCCCAATTCGGGCTAGGGCAACAACAAGATTCACGTGCTCAGGAACAGGCTCAGGTGACAGGTTGCACAAGAATGACAAGATGCGCTGACCGCTGACTAGCAAGCATGAGCCGGAAGTAAGGAAGCCTGCCATCGATCGGCTACTGCAACTGCACTGCCTACCATACTCCACCGCTCAGAGCAGCCTAGAAGAAGTGATCGACACCGTAATCGATGAAACCGTTGCGCTATTGTCGCTGCGCCGCTCGTAATCCGAGGCATTGTGATTCGATGTCATTCGTGAACCTGTGACACGTAGGATAAGCTGGTGCGATGTGTACCCAGACCCACCGTGCTCCAGATGCTCATCACACCTACGTGATTACAATTTGCGTGTCGTATTAACATGCCGACTCTACCTCATTAACATGTCGTTGACAAAGATAAACACACCGGACGCGCGCCGGCGGACGTGCGTTGCAGATGTGCAAAGGCAGACGCCTCCAACGAACCCAGAGTTTTGGCCAGCGATCATGCACGCGCGATCAGCGACAGGGATCAGCCACACATCTGGAAGATCTCTTCCACCTCACCTTTTCCTCCTCCACGCGCGAAATGGCTTGATCGGACTATGGCACGATTGGTCCTCCGGCAGCTTTTGCGCGCTCGCTGCTATGTGACATCTCGCACGTCTCCGGTCCTTGGTGGCACCTTCGGGCGTGGACCTGCCCTCTCCTCAGCTATACCCCTTACTCCTGCGGGCGTGCGTGGCGGCCTTTCTGTCATCACAGCTCGATCCTTTTGCGGCCACACATGTCGACCAATTGCCAGCCTGTGGTGGTAAGCATCGGGCCTTTGTTCTCGGCGCCCTCATCGAACCCCGACTGATTTGCCAGCCGCAGCTCGTTGAAAGGAACGGCCGCATCCACGAGATCGTATTCACACGCATCAGTAAAGCCGTACCCCCCGCAAAAGCCCACGGAGCTCGAAAAGGTAAACGCTATCTCTCTTTGTCATAGCTGCCGCCGCTATCACTCGTCACCACCGCGGACACACTATGGTATTTGAGGTCTACGATCTGTGTTTGTCTCAGAGCGCGGACGCCTCATGCGCTCGCCAATTTCTGCCAATCCTCATTTCACAGGAGGAGTCGAGCCGTGCAAATCCGTCCCAGGCAACGAGTACGCAGTAGCCCTTGGCGCCGATCACACCGACACCGTTGAGCTTCAGGATCAGCATGGCTGCCAAATGCGCATTCGCAATAACAAGTTATGCTGCTGACTGGTCCTTCGGCAGCTGCTGCACACACGTGGCCACCGGGGTACACAAGCTGTGCGCTTGACGCCGCATCGATGTGTGCCCAATCGTAACCTCAAGGAAACGAGCATGTGCCTTTACACTCCATCCTTCAAGGCACATGTTCTTGATACTGCCACCATACACCGCCAATTGTGACTGTGTTGCTAGCATCATGCAGGACTCCACATCGACTGACAATAGCGCAATTAGGAACCAGAGACAGAACCTATCGCCAACAGCATCAAGAATGCTCGTGAGAGTACTAAAGCCGTGACGGCCAAAGTACGGTCCTCGCTGACCAGCTTGACGCCACGCGAGAACATCTACAATCTCCCAAACCTCCTCACCGTCACTCGCCTCGTCGCAGCACCAGTGACGGCATATCTCCTCTTGCATGACCATTACAAGTGGGCACTGGCACTCTTCGCTTACGCCGGCATTACCGATTTGGTAGATGGCTGGTTGGCGCGAAGATGGAAGCTGCAGACGGTGGCCGGCAGCGTCATGGATCCTATGGCTGACAAGGCTCTCATGATTATCCTGACTGTCACGTTGGCTGTCAAAGGTGCGCTGCCATTGTACCTCGCTACGCTTATCCTTGGGAGAGATGCTTCGTTGGCTGTTGCGGCGATTTACTATCGATATGCTTCTTTGCCTGCACCCAAGACGTTCGCGCGGTACTGGGACTTCTCCTTGCCATCGGCAGAAGTGCATCCGACTACCGTATCGAAGTACAACACCTTCCTGCAGTTGATGTTGATCGGCTCGACTTTGGCCTTGCCTGTGGTGACTGTGGGTGGGCAAGGAGCTGCAGTGTTGCAAAGTCTTGGGATAGGTGACCTTGACTTGCATCAGAGCATGCAATACTACCAGTGGCTTGTGGCGGGTACGACTGCATGGAGCGGGCTGAGCTACGCCTTCCTCAAGAACGCTGTCACGATCATGGGCACGGATGAGAAGCTCAAGGCGAAGCAGGGCGCTCGTGGACGTGCAGTCATTGGCGTCACCTTCGGGAGTGTGGTTGCTGCTGCGACGTGGATTGCTATCAATGTAGATGAGGCTGTAGATGTGGATGCTGTGGAGGTAGAGATGAAGTAGGTACGATGTGTAGACCAATATGTTACAGTTCCCAGTCTATTCAGTGGCTGCTTCATTAGCTAGGAGGATTTGCGATTGAAGTGCGCTGCGCTGGCGACCACGACGGACCCGCTAACATTGTTGCTGTGACTTCAACTAGGCGTATCAAGTCGTCTGTCAACCCGCTTTCTCAGTTGTGGGCTGACATCGATGGATCGGTGTTCATCTCGGCATAGAGCAACAACTCGGAGTATCGGTCGAATGCAATGCTATCGAGACCACGACTTCGCCTATGGCGTATGGCTGCAAAGTGCTCCACTTGTCTGCCGGAGTGGACGTTGATTCGTCCACGCAGCACGAACAGATCTGTATGTCCATAAGTTGCATACGGCGCGGATGTTGAGGTTTCAATAATGTCGTGCTGCGCAAAGCACGTTACCCAACCCCTAACCCTAACCCTGTTGAAAGTAACCGCACACGTACCCGACCACTTCTCATCTAGGTTTACGCAGACCTTGAGGTCATGCTTGATTATGCAGCTTATCCAAAAGCATTCGTTCACCATGGTCCCGAATGTTCGAGGAGTCAGGGACAAGGTAAAGGCCGAGGTTGGAGCTTACAGAAGGCCGCTCGGATGCACTACCAGCGGACTGACAGCTTCGACCACCAGAGCATCGTCTACATGTATAAAGCCCTCCTCGACATTGAGCCAAGCCATTTCGTCTCTCATCATAGCCGACCGAGCAGATGCTTACATGTCAAGCATAGTACAAGCCATCAATGATCACCTCGCGATAGTATCAAGCCAAAGCAGAACCCCCCCTGAACGCCTCGCTATGCCCTTCCGCAAGATCACAAAGCAACCAGCTGCGACCAGGCTTGATGCTCAAGCAAACAACACCCTCTCATCCAACTCATCCACCTGCCGCCTACCCTCTCCTGTCCGTAGGCCAAGATCCCTCTTCTTGACCTTCCTCTCGAGCGTCCCTTCAGCACGAGAATTATACCTCCCAGCCTTCTTCCGCCTCAGATCGGATCGGATCTGGTTGGGAGAGATGAACTCCTTATTCTCATATATCACCGGCCCACCAAACGATCCTTCCAGAATCACAATAGGCGTAAGAACGAATCTTGGCCCGACTTCCACTAGAGAGACGTTTGTCTCGCCTCTGCCTGCCTCACTTGGTGCCGATATACTCGCCGCCGCCGTCGCCGCCGCATCACCATTCGCTTTCCCGGCCGCAACATCTTTCTTACTGACTTCGGTCTCCGAGATTTGATAAACCCGTACCCACACCTTGCCGCCCACAATCGTAAAGCCCATAACATGGTCCACAAACGGTTTCACCTTCCTGCTTCCCTCCGGCACCCCAAAGACCTGCGTTAGCATCTCCTTCACTAACCTCCAATGCGCCTGTCCCTCGAAAGTCTTGTCAAAGCTTAGGATCGCTCTACTGCCTCTGAGACAGTTTCCAGTGAAGTTTAGTTCTTCCATCGTATGGATGTTCTGGCAGTGGAACTTGAGCGTTGGTCCATTGGGAGGTTTCGAAAGCCAGAGGTAGAGGTCTTTGGCTTTGCGGGCTTCGAAGAACAGGATGTTGTTGGTGTTGTAGAGGTCCGCTAGTTCGTTTAGTTGGTTCAGGTGGGTTTTTGTGTCTAGTTTTGCGTCTTTGCGGGACTACCGAGGAAAGTCAGTACTGCTTCTTTGGGTGGACGAGCCGACGTACGTGAGGTAGGAGGGAGTAGAGGTCGTTCAGTAGGTGGCGCTGGGAGTGTGTGACCCCTCTCGACGTCAAAATGAGAAGTCTTTGGCGGTTCGGTCGAAGTTTGTCCTGTTTACTGTCTTGTGAAGGGGCTGTCTTGCTCTTCTTGGAGAGCGAACGATAGACTGAGGCCATTGCAGCAGGTTGGTTGTAGATATGTCGTCTAGAAAGGTTTCTTTAAAAGTCTCCAAATAAATTCACATGCTAGCTTGCTGAGGCTTGTAACACGGTCTGTAAGGATATTTGATATCGCTGCAGGAAATCTACTTTCTCATACGCTGCATGGTGACTATAATGTATACCAAGATGTACGCTAGCACAAAAGGGAAGTATATCCGATCTCAGCTCTGTTACTACTGGTCAACAGTTGGTATGCTCTCCGCGACAGAATCGGAATAGTCACGAGTCCTATCGGGCCAAATTGTGACTATCGATTTCTGCACCAGATCAGAACACCCTAAAGGCGGAAGCTGTGTGGGAAGTGAAAGCAGCTGGACGAACGAGGAACGCGAAAAGCCGTGCCTTCATTCCAGCAATGTTTCGATCTCCGGCACTGGAGGGGAAACTACGACAACAAGATGGAATGTCTTGTAAGGAAGGATAGTGCAAGAAGATGAAACGGACGCCGCCATATGTATTGTATTGTATATATCTACGTGGAATTGCGTTCTGCGTCGCGTACTGCATGCTCGCGTAAAATAGAGAAGAGAGAGGCTAGGGCGAAGGGCAGAAGCATCCGCTCGGGTCATTATTGCGATCAGATAGAATCAAGCTGGCTGACTCCATACGCTCAATTGCCGAGTGCTGGACAGTGCAATATGATTGCTTATTCCACACTGCCAAAGATTAGGCATCACTTCCCTGATCCCATCGCCATCACATGACTGACTATATGCCATCACCTCCGTGACATTGCCAGGATATACACGCGGAACAAGGGCTGCGCGCTGTGGACGAGACGTCAGCCATCCACTAACGCTATTGCGGTCGCAAGAGCTTGTCGATAGCATCATTCCTACTGTCGACAGAGCCGTCCCGACGATGATGGATGGTCAATAGATTGGCACATGAACGACAGTCATAAGGACAATAGCCAGGATGTATCAATCACCCACACAGGGCGCCGCACATGCTGCCTACTCGCCCACACACGACCGTCACGGCCGATCAAGAGCTGCCTCATACACCGCAACCGACTCACCTTCGATGGCGAGACTCCCACCACCACCCTCACCTTCCCGCGATCGGCCGACGTCAAGCTATTACGACCCTATCAGCGAGACACGGGCCAACACACGAGACATCAGCGCGCACAGCACACCATACCACATGAGGTCGCCGGTGCAGAGCCGATTCCCACCGGACTCGATACCCCTTCCACCACAACCACACTACGCGAATGACTCGAACATGTCTCGACCTCACGGCCAATCGTCTCCTCCAGCTTCGAGCCATGCACATCCAGCTCAACCACCTCTTGATGCACGATCTCCTCCCATGTACCATCCACCACGGACTAACGGCACGCACTCACATACCATGAGCGCCGAACTGCCATCTGCATCCATCGCTCAGCCCACGTCGGTACCCACGCGCATGTCGAACCCCATGTCGATGAATAACTTGTTGTCGGAGGACACCCCCACAGCTCCACCACCAGAGCCGACCCCAGCGAAGCCTCCCACTCCAGTCGAGATTGCCCCGCCTGCGCCAAAAAGCACGCCTCGCAAGGCTAGCCGCAACTCGAGTGCATCTCACCAGGGTCATCCGCGCGTGAAGGAGGAGCAGCTAGACCCACTGCGGTCACGGGCTGACAAAGTAGCCATTCCGCCTGCACACGCCACTGTCATTCGTCCGCCCCGACCCCAAGCACCAATCCAGACAGGACCACCGGGTCTCACAATCCGCGATACCGAGGCAGCGTGGGTGGAGATACAGGCCCAGGATATGAGCGATTTGGAAGAAGAAGTGCCTGGTATGGAGCCACAAAAGCAGGAATGGCATCAGAAGTCGCGAAAGCGGACTCTCGAGCTAGGAGTAACGGAGGGTATGAAGAGGAAACGTAGAAGGATGAACTTGATGCAGAAATATCACGAGCACTTTAACGCGGCTGCTGAGGCTGAAAGGGCTGCATATCTCCAGGCGCACGAGGACGAGGTTGCGGAAGAAGTTCGAGCCAAGGAGGTGGAGGAGGACAAGGAGCGCAAGAAGGACCAGCAGCGGAAGAGACGGCGTGAGAAGGCTATTGCTGATGAGCAGATCAAGCGTGATGAAGCCTTTCGGTCACTCGAGACGATCACAGACGAGGAAGAGCGAATCAAGGTCGAGAAAGACATTCAGCGGTTTGACAAGAAGATTCGCGATACACAGAGCCGACTGCAGGGCATCACGCCAACCAAGGATTTCCGCCACGAAAGTCCTACAAATGGCGTACCCAGCCGCAAAGACCGCGATGTGCCCATGGAACACAGTTTCATGAACTCCTTCGCAGCTGGCAGCCATGGCGCAGACGAGGCGCAAACACCCGAGTTCTCCGGGGCAGTCGGTAAGAGGGGCGGGCGTGGAGGTCGTGGAGGCATGAGCGGCGGCGGTAGAGCTCGCAAGAGCAAAGAGCAGAAGGAGGCGGAAAAAGCTCGCGCTGCTGGTGCCCAGGCTCAACTCGACCAAGGTCAGGAGCTACCACTCATTGCTCCAAAGGAGGAAGAGAGACTGCAAGGCTATGCTAGGCCTGTGCCATCGTCTGCGCGCGACGACTCTGAGGAGCCGAGTGAGATGACTCCGGTGGCATTTGAGACACTGCAGCCTACCGCTGGATTGACTGGAATGGCGAGGTTTGAAAGTAAAGGCTATCTCCAAATCTACGAGCAGATTTCACGAGAGTTGGCCAAACAGGTGCCCAAGGTTGCCCGCATCAAAAACAACAGCCTGGACACCAAACAATCGAACGCACGCAAGACCGCACAGCTTGCGGCGAAAGAGGCTCGAAGGTGGCAGCTGCGCACCAACAAGTCAACGAAAGAGGTCGCTGCACGAGCGAAGCGTGCCATGCGAGAAATGCTTGGCTTCTGGAAGCGCAATGAACGTGACGAGCGCGAAGGTCGCAAGGTCGCAGAACGTGCCGAGCTCGATAAGGCAAAGAAGGCCGAAGCTGAGCGCGAAGCCAACAGGCAGAAGCGGAAGCTGAACTTCTTGATCTCCCAGACTGAGCTCTACTCGCATTTCATTGGCAAGAAAGTCAAGACTGATGAGATTGAGCGGCATGGTTCTGATCCTGATGGCACGACGCCTAGTGGGCAGACTATAGTCGGCAATGAGGACGCAGAGCATTCAGTCGACTTGGGTGACTCGCTTGGCAAGCTAGGCACGAAGGTAACGAATTTCGAGGATCTGGACTTTGATGCCGAAGATGAGACGGAGCTGAAGAAGGCCGCTATGATCAACGCACAGCATGCGGTCCAGGAAGCCCAAGACCGTGCTCGCGCTTTCGATCGAGGTGGAGAGGAGTTGTCTGGTGCTCAGGAGAGCTTCGACGAAGGAGAGATGAACTTCCAGAATCCAACTTCGTTGCAATCTATGGATGTCGCCCAGCCGAAGATGCTCAATTGTCAGTTGAAGGAGTACCAGCTCAAGGGTCTCAATTGGCTGGTCAATCTGTACGAGCAAGGCATCAACGGTATCCTTGCTGATGAGATGGGTTTGGGCAAGACCGTGCAGTCGATCTCCGTCATGGCGTATCTGGCTGAAGTGCATGACATCTGGGGACCCTTCCTCGTCATCGCGCCTGCGAGTACCCTCCACAACTGGCAGCAAGAGATCACAAGGTTCGTGCCTAACATCAAGGTCTTGCCGTACTGGGGCTCTGCGAAAGATCGAAAAGTGTTGCGCAAGTTCTGGGATCGCAAGCACATCACTTACAACAAGGACTCGCCTTTCCATGTTTTAGTTACGTCTTACCAGCTGGTCGTGGCGGACGCAGCGTACTTTCAGAAAGTGAAGTGGCAGTACATGATTCTCGACGAGGCGCAAGCGATCAAGAGCTCGCAGTCCAGTCGGTGGAAGAGCTTGCTGGGGTTCCACTGCCGCAATCGACTCTTGCTTACTGGTACACCAATCCAGAACAATATGCAGGAATTGTGGGCGCTTCTGCACTTTATCATGCCTTCGCTCTTTGACAACCACGACGAGTTCTCCGAGTGGTTTTCCAAGGATATCGAGAACCATGCTCAGTCGAACACGAAACTCAATGAGGATCAGCTTCGTCGTCTGCACATGATCCTCAAACCTTTCATGCTGCGGCGTGTCAAGAAACATGTCCAGAAGGAACTAGGCGACAAGATTGAGGAGGACGTGTTCTGCGACCTCACGTATCGTCAACGAGCTTACTACACCAATCTTCGCAACAAAATCAGTATTCTCGACCTCATTGAGAAGGCTGCCGTGGGCGATGATCAAGATACCGCGACTCTTATGAACCTCGTCATGCAGTTCAGGAAGGTTTGTAATCATCCAGACCTTTTCGAGCGAGCGGAGATAAAGTCCCCTATGGCTATGACAAGGTATGCGGAGACTGCCAGCTTCATGCGCGAGGGCAGCTTTGTCCAAGTAGCTTATTCTGTGAGGAGCATGATTGAGTATTGGTTGCCTAGTATGCTTGGCGAGGATGCTGGGAGATTGGACGTGGCGGGCCCTGGTAATGCGAGGATTGGGTGGAGGAAGAAGGCGCTGGCCACGGATTTGAGTATCTGGGACGAGAGGAATGTCGTTGCTGGTCAGAAAGACAGAGGAGCATTTTCGTGGCTGCGATTTGCGGATGCTTCGGCTGGTGAAGTCGCAGACGTGGCAAGGAAGCCTCTGATGGATCGAGCGGTGGAGTTGGCTAAGAAGGACAACCATCGTCTCGGCAAGCTCAAAGTGGCGTTTGATGATGATGAGGACGAGCAGGAGAACCAAGGCTACATACCTGTCCACGCCATGCTCAACATTGTCAAGCGTAACGACCGCAAGCCGCTCGCCGAGGTAACAGAGCAAGGCTACCTGAGCCAGCTCATGAATATCTCGCAGAACAAGATTGACGATCAGGGCTACGGAGTCATCGAAGCCCTCTACTTGCCATCAGCCGCTGCACCACCAATCGAGCTCGTCTGCCCAAGCCAGCAAGCCTCAGCAGAACAGGATACAGCACTCTTCGATGTGCCCTTCCGCAAGGCACTTTACCCCATGTCCCTCTCCACCGAGGCGGCCTTACTGGACAAGAAACTCCCACCATCCAAATGGCCCACCACCGGCCTGCTCCCAGCTCCAGAAGCTCAGAAACAGCGCTTCACTTCCATCCGAGTACCAAGTATGCGCCGCTTCGTCACCGATTCCGGCAAACTCGCCCAACTCGACCGTCTTCTCCGCCAACTGAAAGAAGGCGGTCATCGCGTCCTGCTCTACTTCCAAATGACGCGCATGATCGATTTGATGGAGGAGTATCTCACGTATCGCAACTACAAGTACTGTCGTCTGGACGGTAGCACGAAACTTGAAGACCGCCGTGACACGGTGGCGGCTTTCCAGAGTAGTCCGGATCTCTTCGTCTTCTTGCTCTCGACCAGAGCTGGTGGTTTGGGTATTAATTTGACAGCTGCGGATACGGTCATCTTCTATGACTCGGATTGGAACCCTACGATAGATAGTCAGGCTATGGATCGTGCTCATCGGCTTGGTCAAACGAGGCAGGTCACTGTCTATCGTCTCATCACACGTGGCACTATCGAAGAGCGGATTCGCAAGCGTGCGTTGCAGAAGGAGGAGGTGCAGCGGGTCGTCATTTCTGGTCAAGCTGGTGGTGACAGGGTTGTAGACTTCAACAACCGGAGTCGTGAAAACAATCGGACGAAGGAGATGGCTATGTGGCTTGCGGATGATGACCAGGCTGCTCTCATCGAGCGACGGGAAGCTGAAGTCCTTGCGGAGGAGGAAAGCAAAGCAGGTGCCAATGCTGGTGGTGCTAACAAGAAGAAACGCAAGACTGGCCCAACGACGGGAGGCAAGAAGAAAGAAGTTAGTATGGATGATATGTATCATGAAGGTGAGCAAGAAACACTACCTAGAGACTTCCTGCAATGTGGACCAAGCTGACTTTGAATCTACAGGCGAAGGTACATTCGACGATGGTCCTTCGCATGAGCCTTCGGGCGCTGCGACGCCGGTCTCGGCTATGGAGGGTCCACCAGCTAAGAAGAAGAAGGGTATGAGCAAGAAGGCGAAGACGGTGCAGCAGCGGCTTGCTGTTGTTGACGGTGATGCTTAGACCTGCAGGGACGATGTTGATTGGGCTGCCGGGCCGTGGTCGTCTATGAGATATGGCCATTACCCGGCGTGAAGGCTACTAAGATATGATTGGTGTATTAGTAGACATAGACAGACGTTGACGAGTTCAGCGTCTATAGGCCCTCGCGATCAGAAAATGCTTTAGGACACGAGGAAGGTATCTTGTATTACTATAGCTTGCATTTCAAAATTGAGCGTGCTACAAGGTGGAAAGGTGCACAAGTGGTCATGCTGCGCTCTGTACATGATTCGTCCCATATCTACATTCGTCAATTCCTATATTACAAGATCCGGTCGTGCTACACTCGGCACGGCTGTACTGCGAGCGCGGCTCAAAATGAACAATCGTTCTATAATTATACTCACACCTCGTCTTCGCGTTCAATCAAATAGACCGCACGAAAGCTCACTACAGCGCGAACTTCGCCTGCGTAGGCGTCCCAGGCTCCTCCATGCTCTGTCCCAAATCCTTCGTATCTAGTCTCAACTGCTTCATGCGTTCGGAAGCCAGATCATCATCATCAGGCGTCCCGGGTCCTGATTCCAAAATGAAATGCTTAAAGCTCATCTTCCCAGCTTCCCTTTCGGACATTTCAGTCACCTTAGCTCCTTGACGGGAGGACGCGGTAAACTGGTCTTCTAGCCCTGCTCCATCTTGCTGTTGCGGCGAGTCGAAATAAATCGGCTTTTCGGCTCGGGGTGTAGTGTCGTGTTTGACTTGTGCTAGGATCTTGCCTATCGAGCCTGTTGAGGAGGGGCGTCCGGAGTGGATTTCTCCTTCTTCTTCTTCTTCGACAAGGGGAGGAGGCGCATTCGTGTCTAGGCCGTTGAGGAGACACCAATTCCGCTCCAGATACTGTGCGAGACGTTCGCATTGGCGGTCCCATTGTTCGTCTAGCAGGCGATGCGTTGATTGGATGTCTTGTACTGTGAAGGACATCGGTGCTGGGACGGACGCCTGGGAGCTCTGCCTGTTCCGTGGTGCCGGGAGAGTGAAAGACATTGGTGAGGATGTGCGAGTGAGGGGCGAGGAAGAAGTACGATCCGACATATGTGGGATGTACGACGAAGCTGACCGTGTCGCCGACCTTCTGATCGAGGTCAGGCTGCGCTTAACAGACGACCCGCTCTCGAATGGTGCTGGACTGTGCGAGGTCGGCGAGCGTGGTGAAAGAGACATGTCGTCGGACATTGACTTCATCGTCACATCTGCTGAGCGGAAGGCGGCAGCCCGTCCGTCATCCATCATAGGAAGTAAGATGAGAGTTGTGTTGTCCACTAATGAGTTGATCAGGTCCGTGAACCCATGCAGCGGGATCTCATTATTGCCACAGTGCAGTTCTCTCAGTGTGCTGTTGGCTTTCAGGACATCTGCCAAAGTGCTTGCGCCCTGCAGGCCAAGCTTCTGCTTCTCGATGCGGAAACATTGCAAAGTCTTGTTCCGTTTGAGACCGGACAGGGCTTGATTGATATTGCTTCCAAATCGTGATGATGCTAGCCTGGACTCTTCGCCCGATATGTTGAGTTCCACAAGCGTATCATTCTCTCCCAGTAATCGCTCCAAAGCGCGTGCAGTATCCTCGCCAATCTCGCCTGGAAGTGCTGTGTGCGACATGTCAAGATATCTGATGGATCTGTTGGTGGCTAGTGCGTTCAGCAGCTTGCGGAAGGATGCTTCGTCCCGATATTCAATAGCCTTCATGGTCAGATGCGTAGGCGTAAGTCCGCTAGAGACGGCCTTAGTGATCACCAGAAGGTCGTCACTGAGATGACTCTGGCTGATATCCAGGTGCAAATCTCGTGCTTCGAAGGGATTGTGCGACATGCTCTGGAACAGCGTAGCAACATCTTTCCCACTGAGATATGAATTGTCCAGATATAGACCGTGCAGGCTGCTCGATTGTGGATGTGCAAGGTACGTCGCAATAGCATCGATTGTGGCACGATTCAGTGCTGTACCACTCAGACGCAATTCTTGCAGTCGCCACATCAGTAACGTCTCTGCCTGCAGTAGTGGCTCGGAGTCGGATGTCCTGGAGACATAGGAGAGGTCGAGCTTGCGGATGAAACCGAACATGGCCATTTGACTGTCAAAAGCCGCTGGGTTGAGACGTGCAGCATTGCCAGCTATGTCGATTGCCTCCAGCGTGTTGTCCTGAGCTCGAAGCGCATCGAGCACAAGACCCATGCTACGGTCGTTAAGTCCACACCGGTTCAGTTCCACCGCGCGGAAATGACAAGACTTCTCCACCGCAGCTCCGACAAGGTAGTCGAGGTCAGTCTCGCTCAATATGATACCGTTCAAGCATATCCAGTCCACATTCGTCGTCTGATGTTTGCAGAGTGGAAAAAGCGCCTCCACGACTCCGCAACCCAGGTCCTTCCTTGGTGGACCTTCCTCCTCAATAGTGTTATGCTGTGGTACAGACTTGTTCGTGACACAACCCGAGAAATCCATACGACGAAGCTTCTTGCTCGTCGCAGCCAGTGCACGAATCTCCTGCACCAGCAAGCAAGATCGACCGAGCTCCGTGGCACTGAGTTTGATGGGTGTTCCCTTTTTCGTTTTCGAACAGACGTGCTCCTCTCCATAGTTGTCATGTAGTCCGTTCAGGCTGTCAAGCGATATTCCTGCGAGCGACATACTGCCAAAACTCTCATTATATCGCAGCGCTCGTGTAATCGCCAGTAGTTCGATAGGGCCATACTCAGGTCTTCGATGATCGGTAGGCGGAAGTAGCTCGAAACGTGGTGCGTCTTCGCATTGGTAGTTGATAGTGTAACAGACTCTGCTCGAATTGACGCCATACGCCACACAGTAAGCAATGAGTGTCCGGTCCAGGCAGGAATTGTCTTTGTTGGACGCCACCGGTGGTTGTAAGATAGCCTCAACCTCAGCAGGCGCCTGCCACTCGAACAGTCGCTGGCCGCATTCAGGTCGCAGATAGTTCTCTGCGAAATGTAACTGTGCAGCTATTTCGTGAGAGGCTAGCGATGCCAGAAATATTGAGCGAGGCCTCTGAAGTGGCTGTCGGAAGGTCAATTCGAAAGTGTCATCGGTGTTGCTGACCTTGACACCAACGAGCGTCAGGACACCATAGGAGGATGTAGTGTTGTTGACCACGAGCGATGGGCTTGATGACCGTACAACAGGTTTAACCAGCTGGATCAGGTGGACCTTATGCACGCCGATTGCGAGAAAGCAGACGTTAGAAGCAACTTTCGTGAGATCGTCCGACGAAGATCGTCCAGTAGACTTAGAAGACTGCCGTTGTACCACCTTGTATATCGAGCAATTGTTCGGATCATAGTCGTTGTCGCGCTCGATAATCCGCGCAGCATTCTCCAGATTGTAAGGTGAGATACTGGTTGCTGCTACATGTGGGTTGTATCGTACTGTATTCCGTATACCCCTCAACCACATATCTCGTTCTTCAGGTATGCTGAATTGCAGTGTCAGAGCCGATGCTTGTCCAGACTCCTCGTCCAGATAGGAGACCTCAATGGCAAAGTATGGCTTTCCGTCGTCTAACCGGTGCACAGCGACGACCTGTCGCAGTGACACTCGTCCATCTTTGTCGCCAGAGGAGTCGGACATGGTCTGCAGATCGCTGTAAGACCCGGCAGAAGGCATCGAGCCATGTCGGATCACAGGACTGCGTCCGAGCGGGTGGGATATAGCTGTAAAGGTTTCTGCTGCCTTCGTTTGCGATTTGTATCGTATTATGTTGGTCTCCGTCAGGACCAGATATTCCTTCTTCTTCCTGAACATTCCCGCGCTCGTTTGCACCTCGCCATGGTATACCACATTCCGTCCCGATGGTCCGCCATCCATGCCGGTATCTGACCAACCAACTGAAGGCGCGGTTGACGAGGTTGTCGACAAGGGCTCTAACGTCTCGTCTTCCTTGACATCGCCGGTGCTCGTCTCGGTGCTTGTTCGTAGGGAGGATCGCAATGAGCCAAACACAGATGGTGGTCGGCGTAGTGAACCCTTCATACTCAGAGGTGGACGCTGTTGACGAGCTTGATCAGGCGTGACAGGACTGGAGGGAGTAGAACTGCTGGTTTGACGAGAGAGATCCGGCCGATCGACATGCGCAGGTACCCGCGCACTTAGTGTCCTGCTGTGCTTTGGCAGCTTCTTCAGTCGTCTGATTGCTCCATCGTCGTCTCCGCTGCTGCTGCTGCTGGGGTTCAGTGCAGACAGAGCAAACAGGCTCCGTCGCTTGCCCCACGAGCTGTCGTTGCTGCTTCGCGACATGTTTGCCGACGTCTCGCTCCTATCCTCGTCCACGCCAGCGCACGCGAGATTGGTGTTAGGACCTTAAGTCCATGTGATATTGCTCCCTGCGATTCCGTTGTAGCCAATCATTCAACCAGGCACGGTATATGAGAAGTGGAGTATCATGTCCACGTGGAACGGCGCCAGCACCGGTATGATATGATGGAGTGCATATGGAGAGTCAAGATGTCACTACTGGTGAGAGGAAGTCCGTTGGTTTACCCGGCATGTCTTTCTTTCACCCCAGTGAACACAACTTTGGCCATGTATTAAGGTTAATCTATCTGGCTAGTCTATTAGGGTTGTTGGTAAAGCCCGCTGACGTAACGACAGGGATCTTGTTCAGGACAAATCCTGGTCTCCGTCTTGGTCTCAGACGTCTGCATTACACCAAAGACTGCTTGAAGTTTGCTGGAGTGATATGAGACACAGTAGGCGTAGCAACATCTTCGCCAGACGAGCTGTTCGCCATGGAAAAAGTCGTATCGTGGCTGCCTTCTAGCTAGGCTCGTATTTGATATGCGCGTCGCGTTGATGGCAAGGCTACGGAAGTCTACATAGCCGTACGATCCCGCGGGGAGCAACACATTCGATAGTGGCAAAACTGCTACGACTGACTGAGTCAAGGATGGCATGTGAGGAACACTCCGTTTGGGAGATTCTCGGATATCGTAGGCGTGATTTGATTGAGGTAATGCTGTCCCCGTCACGTCTAGATTTGAGGGACCAATATCCTGCAGTGGTGCCATGTGAAGGCTTTGATTCAGCTGTTTGGTCGGTCTCCCGAACGAATCAAGGACCGTGATATGATCTCAGTAATTGCGACAAGGTTAGGAGCCATGCGCAGGCATGGAGTCGATCGTTTTCGCATTGTGTAGGCTAGAAGTATGAGCCAGAGGCCGTCCTCAGACCATGAGAGATATGTTCACGTCGATAACATGAACGGACTTCCCGAACCAGGATTTCGTGTTCACTATTTCGCTTCGTGATCGCTTTGCTGCGTTGGCACCGGAAGAACAAGAGTACGTGTAGTGAATTGGGTAGTTTGAAAAGAGTTGAGACGAGACTCGAGAGGATGGACATGCTCAATTCCAGCTTAGCGGCGGACGCTTCCGCTTCGGATTAGAATGTCTTGGCGCACGAATTCGAAGAACACCTCCACCAGCCGGCATTCGCGAACGACCACACGCACGCCCAGCAATACTTCTTGTCGCCACACACACCCAACGACAACCACAATGCCTTCGTCAGAGAGCTCGAGCAGCAGCCACAGGCTATATGTGAAGGCGAGGCATCTGTCGTACCAGCGGGTAAGACCCACCACCACCAAAACACAATCCACACGGAAAGAGATATACAGGCAGGCAGACAGACAGGTTCTAATATGATTGTGTGTGTTTACAGGGCAAGCGCAACACCAACCCCAACACTTCCCTCATCAAGATCGAAGGCGTCGACAGCCCCAAGGACGCCACATTCTACAACGGCAAGAAGATCGCCTACGTATACCGCGCGAAGAAGGAGATCCGGGGCACGAAGATACGGGTGATTTGGGGCAAGGTGACGAGGCCACATGGTAAGCGATGCGCCTCAATACAAGAGACGACGTACAATTTACGATGACTTGGAATGAGGGCTAATATATATGGATACAGGCAACTCCGGCGTAGTAAGGGCACAGTTCAAGCACAACCTCCCACCGCAGTCCTTCGGCGGCATGGTGCGCGTCATGCTCTACCCCAGCGCGATATAGACGGGACATCCGATCAGTGATGAACGAGAATGCGAGGATCGACCCCGACCGTTGAACCTGCAGAGAGCATGCTTTGAGGATATGGCAAGGCGTTTTTCGTTGCCGGGGATTGGGAAAGCCGGTGGCTTGCAAATTCGGCAATTACCTCTGTCTACCTGCACTGCTATTGCAGCCGTCTACTACCATTGATGCATGTCGCTTAGCAGCGATCACAACACCAACAAATACCAAATCTTCACAAACGCCAATACGCTTACTCGTGCAGCTTCAAAATTCTTACCCATGGTAGTACTCGATCATTTGTCGTGACTCAATGTCGCTCCACTCGAATCTGACAGCTTCCGAGCTTTGCAAGACCGTCTAAGCAGCAGGGCTAGCTGTCCATTGTGCCTCAGCGCAGCATGAATCAATGAGTGACTGGAGTTGGTCATCTATCGACTAATTACACTAAGATGCAGGCTCGTGGCTTACTCGGCCAGCTTTCTCCTAATACTGCTGTCCGCCCTCGCTCGGCATATGGCCAACCTACAGGCAAGCAAAGACTCCAGGCCTTAGCTCATGAGTCGTCGGAGTCGGTACCGTGATCATGCCACCCAAGACCAACCTCAGCAAAGTGCATGCTATGTGCGCCGTTCCTTTCAAAAACAAGATCTTGCCCCAGAGCGCCACGCTATGCTAACATAATCCTCAAACCCAAGCCTCCCCTTGCGAGTACACCGTCTATCCCGAAACATTAAGATTCAACATCCGCATTAGGTTCTCCTGCATCGTTTTCGGCGAGTGCGGTGCGCCGTTGGTATGTGGTGGCGGCGGACGACCTTGCAGGGTATTATTATTACCAGAACTCCCATTGTACATACCGTTTGGTGCGTGTTGTGGCTGCTGACCGTTACCATTACCATAGGCAGACCCAGCGCTGAAAGGTCTGGTGTCTCCTTGATATTGTTGCTGGTGCGCTGATGGCGGTCTGCCTCCTCCTCCACCATGACCATTATCATAAGGAAATTGAGGAAACTCTGACGGTACTGCAGCTTGTGCTTGCTGGTTGAGAAACCCACGCATGAAATCATTGGGATCGTTGAGAGGTAGATGTCGTAGTGGTGGCGGTGGCGGGTTTTGTGGGGGAGACGAGTATGTGCCGTCCTGGCCAGGAAGCTCCTGGCGTAGTTCCGACGGACGGCTGGGCGTATCGTTACCGGTGCGCGCGGCTTGAAATAGTGGGGAGAGGTTGCGGTTACCGTAGTGGAGGGCGTAGTTGTTTGCTGGGTCGGCTGGCGGAGCGGGTGTAGACGGTCCGGAACCTGAGGCAGGACGGTTGAATGGTGAAGGTCTGTTGAAGTGCTGCGTGTTTGATGGTGGTGTGGGAAGCTGTTGTTGCTGAGGTGGGGTACGGTTCTGGGCAGGGCTACCGTGTGCGGCTGTGTTGAAGAGTATGTCCTTGAGGGACTGTGTGTATACGTGCCGCTGCTCGCCTTCTTGAGCTGGTAGCTGCATGCCTGGCGAGGAATGTGCTCTACTAATCGGCGCTGGCTTCTTGTTCTTTGGTACGGTCTTCGGGCTGGGTATCGATTCGTTGTTGCCGTCTAGCTCGTGAAGGAAGATGCTTTTCTGATTGTGCAGCATCGCGTTGCGTGGTTCGGTGGCTGGTACGGGCCGCCTCGTGGCCATCTCGGGAGATAACATGCCGCCACTGCTCGCTCTATGCTCTCGCTCCTGCTTGTCTGCTTGAAAGAACATGTCCAGGGGTGATTGAATAGCATTTCGAGGTGGTATTGGTGAAACTACCTCTGGCTCTGGAGACGAATCTGTCTTCTCTGGCGTCTTCTCGCCTTCCATTCTGGCTGCCAAAGGATTACCCTTACCAGGTACGGACCGCGAAAAGAATTTTGGCATGGGTAGAGTAGACGGCGCAGGTGAATTGTGGAATGTTGGGCCAGCGTAGGCCTGCTCTTTCGCGGGAGTGGCCGGAAGCATTGGTCCGCCCATGGACACTGGTCGCGGCTTCACTGCTGCAACAGTCGCTTTACCCATCTGACCGTTGTGCTGAGGAGCACTACTCGGTGTTGGTTCTCTTACTTTCTGTGGCTTCTTTGTCCTCGGCGACACTGCTGCGCCGGTCACCGAGTCAGAGACTGTTCCGTCCTGTTGTGGTATTGCTTGCGGTGGTCTTTGTCTTCTGTTGCGGTGGTTCACTCGCTTCTGCTGCATCTCGCGGGAGATTTCAGTAGGTGCAGGTTGGCTCTTGCCGTTGCTGCCTGCCGTAGGAGGCAAGGGTGAGGCGGTGGCTTGATCTGCCATGGTCGCTCTGTGAGCGAGTGGGTGAATTGGAGGTGAAGTGAAGGTTCTCTTCCGTCGCGCTCGACTGTTGCACTATGCGATGCGCTTAGGTGGGCACAGCGGCCTACGCTATCTTGGGGACGGCGCGTATCGCCAGGGAATTGATGGTGCTTGTTCAATGTGTGCTTTGCTGTTGAGGATTGAGTTCGACATTTGGGTAATATTTGATTGTTGTCTGGTCAATACCGGCGGAAGTCTTAAGTGATAGTCAGCGGTTGTTTCGGAAGTGTGACCGTTGTTGTTGTCAGACATGTGCTGTCGAAACGAAGGGACAGCGAGTCGCGAAGTGCTCGGTGAGTCGTCACTGCTGCGGCTTTGTCTCGGATCCCAGCCTTTCTGTGGCGCTGTGGCTGACAAGGAATGGAAGCCGCAATCGATAGATGACTAACAGGTGGTTGATGCCTTCGCCAGAAGATGAGCTCGACAGCATCATTCCAGACACACACACACACACAATTCTCCAGACCACCACCCTGCGGCACACACACCTCTGCCATCACATGTCAAACTCTGGCCATTCAGCACAACCGCCCCGCTCGTCGCTCACACCGGGTACATCCTAAAGAACAACTCCTTCACATCCTCTACATCGAGACACATCCTAGCAACTCCACCTGAGCATATATCATCCTGCACCACGACCACCCCAGCATCGACCGCTCCCCCTAGTCTGTACTGAACATCTACCACAGCGAAGCGGGTCGTGTCAACAACCTCCAACGCCAGTGACTCACAGCTGTCACTCACCGCAGCCTCTTTCAGTCCTGGACAAATTGCTCATCAGACATCTTACATCACCAAGAAGACCAAGATCATGGCGGACGTGGAGATGACTGATGCCTCGGCTTCGGCTGTGGCGCCCAAGGTAAAGAGCAAGAGTGGACCGAGTGGTGGTGATGTGGATGGGAAGAAGAAGTTTGAGGTGAAGAAGGTACGTTTACAGCTTCTTAATACCTGCACTTGATATGGTAGGCTGATCAGAGATGTACAGTGGAATGCCGTCGCACTATGGGCTTGGGACATCGTCGTCGACAACTGTGCCATCTGTCGCAACCACATCATGGATCTTTGCATCGACTGCCAGGCCAACCAGGCTTCCGCTACCAGCGAGGAGTGCACGGTCGCCTGGGGTATCTGCAATGTCAGTCATATTGCTACAAGATCTAATACTCCATTGTGAAGCTAATTTCTTCTACAGCACGCCTTCCACTTCCACTGCATCTCGCGTTGGCTCAAGACCCGTCAAGTCTGTCCGCTCGACAACAGGGACTGGGAGTTCCAGAAGTATGGTCGTTAAATACAGTCGGGAGGCAAAGGTATCGAGAAACGAAGTCGTGATGAATACGGCTGCAGGGATGTCTGGATGCACTTACGTGGCATGAATGGCGTTTGAGGCGTACCATTGTCACGATACCACAGCATCATGGGAGGCCTATCTTCCTTATGCTTCCAAATTACGAAAGTATTGAATTGAGATATGAGAATACATCATGTCGTCGTATCACATCACACGGCAAACATACTCCTGGCTAGCAGATCTCTATTCGCTGCCTAAACGTCTATCACATGCACTCTACCACATCACATCATCCCTTCTAAGCCCGATAATCACCATTAATAGTGACATAATCATGACTGAAATCACAAGTCCACACCTTGGACTCAAAAGTCTTCGCTGCCTCCGTCATGCCTAGACGAGCCGGATCCGCTCCATCTTCCAACCTGACCAAGATCTCCAGATCCTCCATCTCAAGGATCTGCTTCGCCCGCACCTCATCCACGACTTGCGGCTCGCCTCGCACAAGAAGTTCGAGTACTTCACTTCCATCGACGGGGATGAAGGAGACGGAGGTTCGTTCGGGAGTCACTTGGCCAGTACCCGGTGATGAGGCTGGTAGTTCCGTCGAGCCCATGATTCCCGGCGCGTAGCCCACGGCGCAGAGGATCCGACCCCAGTTGGCGTCTTTACCGTACAGAGCTGTCTTGACCAGAGCGGAGCGGGCGATGCTCATGGCGGCGCGCTTGGCTACCTGGGCATTGACGTCCGAGATCACACGAATGGTGACGAATTTCGTTGCTCCTTCGCCGTCGCGGACGACAAGTTTGGCGAGGTCCGTCATGAAGGCTATGAAGACCTCGGTGAAGGCTATCATGTCTGGGCTCTGTTTATAGTGGTCGAGTTTTCGGTTGCCCATGCGCGGCTTTTGGATGAAGTCTTCTGGCAGGGTCAGAGGCTGAACGCCTTTGGGAGTGGCAGCGCCATTAGCGAAGAGGGTGACGGTGTCGTTTGTGCTCGTGTCGCCGTCGATGGAGATACAATTGAAGGATCGATTTGCTGAGTGGCGCAGGATGGAAGTGATGGCTTTGGGGTCGATGGAGACGTCTGTGCAGACTATGCCGAGGAGGGTGGCCATGTTGGGGTGGATCATGCCGGCCCCTTTGGTCATGCCGGCGATGCGATATTCGATCTCTGGGTGTGAGGGTAGGCTGAACGTGCGAGAGATGAGTTTGGGGAACGTGTCGGTCGTACAGATTGCTTTTGCGGCGTCGAGCCAGTGGTCGTGTGTTGAGCCCAGCGCTGAGTGGGCTTTAGGGATCGCAGCCGTGATCTTCTCAATCGGTAGTTGCTGGCCAATGACTCCGGTACTCATGACTAGCGTTTGTGGCGAGTCCTGTGCAGAGCTCGAATGTTCTGGGTCTTTGAAGCATCTGTCGGCCTCCTTGGCCATGGCATCGGCGTGCTCCAGACCTAATCTCCCAGTAACGGCATTGGCGCAACCAGAATTGACCACAACACCTCGAATTCCATTGTGCTGTCTTTGTATCAGCGTCGCGAGAGAGGCTTGTACGGGAGCGGCCTTGAAGATGTTCTTGGTGAAGATCCCAGCGGCAACACATGGTTGCTTGGAGATGACTAACGCAACATCGTCATGCTGTGTATTTGATACCTTGACACCAGCATGGGATGACCCGGCCAAGAAGCCTTTTGGATACGTTCCAGATGTGGGGACATACTTTTGCTTAGCGGGTGGTATTGATCCGTTGCCCGGGGCAGAGTAGTGGCGGATTTGTGAGCATTTGCATGCTAATCGTTTTATCCTAGACGGTGTTCCTGGGATCATCCTCTCCATGGTGAATGAGCTCAGTAGAGAGGCGGGCTGATATGACGACAGAGCTCGCCTCGAGAATATCTCGAGGGTCACGGGTAGTAAGAACGGGATCCAATAGTACTAATAGAGATAGTGGTCCTGACTTGTGTGCAGCACGTTGACACTGTCCCGAGTGATTCCAGTTAAAAGTAATCCACTTTGATTGAATATCAGAGCATCGATACGAGCCAGGTGTGTATGCTGTCCAGCAGCAGGAGACTTATCAATTGTGATGTAACTTAAAGAGAAGGCACGCGACAAGATCATGCTTCAATGGCTCCGGAACATCGTTCGGCCGACCGTCTGTCCTCAAGAGGCAGCTTCATCGCCTGCTTGTGTCCACATTAGCTCTCACTTGACTGTCCACCTCACAAATGCTCGCACGAATATCACGACTCCTGAACAACACATCGACTGGCTCGATACGTAGATTTACCACCATCTCCAATTTCAGGCCACCACCCGACATGGAGCAAGTCGACACAAGCGATCGTCTACGCCAATTGAGGGATCTGATGCGGCAGCATAAGGTAGACATCTACAGTACGAAGCAAAGCATTCACCAGACCATGTCGGCTGACTGACATGCTGCAGTCGTGCCTTCCCAAGACGCACATTCGAGCGAATACATAGCTCCAACAGATGCAAGACGGGAATTCATATCTGGCTTCTCTGGCTCGGCGGGCACAGCAGTGATCACCCACGATAAGGCTGCTTTAGCTACAGATGGACGCTATTTCAACCAGGCGAGCAAGCAATTGGATAGTAATTGGGAGCTTCTGAAGCAAGGATTACAAGATGTGCCCACATGGCAGGAGTGGACGATCGATCGAGCGGCAGCGACTGCCGAGCAAGCAGGCTTGACGGTGGGTGTCGACCCGACCACTATCACCGCTCCAGATGGCAGGAAGCTTGGTGAGAAGATCAAGAAGAAGGGTGGAAAGGGTCTCGTGGGCATTGCGGAGAATCTGGTCGATCAGGTCTGGGACAAGCAGAAACCAGCAAGACCCAACAACCCTGCTAAAGTGTTAGGGCTCGAGTATGCTGGCAAGCAGTTCCAAGATAAGATCGAGGAACTGCGGAAAGAGCTCGATAAGAAGAAAGCCGCCGGGTTCGTGGTGAGCATGCTGGATGAGATTGCCTGGCTGTTCAATCTGCGAGGAAGTGATATCCCATATAACCCGGTCTTCTTCTCATACGCTGTGGTTACGCCTACTACGGTCACGCTCTACATCGACGAGTCGAAGCTGGACGAGAGCGCGAAAGCACATCTGATCGGCATCAACATTCGACCCTACGACGCCATATTCTCAGACATCACAGCACTTACACGACAACACCCTCCTGGAGTGAATGGCGATGCAAAATCTGCCGGTGTCCCGAAAAGGAAATATCTTATCTCGACGCAAGCCTCCTGGGCTCTCGCACAAGCCCTAGGTGGCGAAGAAAACGTGGAGGAAATCCGCTCCCTCATCGGCGACGCCAAAGCCATCAAAAACATCACCGAGCTAGAAGGCATGCGAAAATGCCACATCCGTGACGGCGCTGCCCTGGTCGAGTATTTCGCCTGGCTCGAAGACGAACTCCTCAATAAGAAGACCACTCTCGACGAAGTCCAAGGCGCCGATAAACTCGAGGAGATCCGAAGTAAACACGAGAAATTCGTCGGCTTGTCTTTTGACACAATCAGTAGTACAGGCGCCAATGCGGCAGTCATCCATTATAAACCTGAGGTCGGTAATTGCTCGACCATCGATCCTGGTAAGATATATCTTTGCGATTCCGGTGCTCAATACTTTGACGGCACGACGGATACGACGCGGACGCTGCATTTTGGAGAGCCCACGGAGATGGAGCGGGAATCTTATACGCTTGTGCTCAAAGGCCACATCGCTCTCGATCTCGCTGTTTTCCCGAAAGGTACGTCTGGCTTCGCGATCGATACGCTTGCGCGGCAACATCTTTGGGCACATGGTCTTGAGTATCGACACGGCACTGGTCACGGGGTAGGCTCGTACCTCAATGTCCATGAAGGGCCGATAGGGATCGGTACGCGCATCCAGTACAGCGAGGTACCCCTCTCTGTCGGCAACGTCATCTCCAACGAGCCAGGATACTACGAGGATGGAAACTTCGGTATTCGGATAGAAAATGTGGTTATGGTGAAGGAGGTCCAGACAAAGCATAAATTTGGCGATAAACCATATCTGGGTTTCGAGCATGTTACTATGGTGCCCATGTGTCGGAAGCTGGTTGATGTGGCTATGCTCTTGAATGTGGAGAAGGAATGGCTGAATGCTTACCATCAGGAGGTGAAGGAGAAGACTTCGTCGTTCTTCAAGGACGATGAAAGAAGTCGGAAGTGGTTGGAGAGGGAGTGTGCGACGTACTGATACCGTAGCACATATTAGTGTTGCAGCTGGCCAGTCGACTTCCACTCTCTGAATTTTAGCTTTTGCTGTGATGCCTAGAGCCCCGCCATCTAGTGATTTCCGAGTCCTTTGGCGGCGATGAAGCAGTCTTCTGATTCTCCAGATCGCGGTCATTCGAAGTTTGGGAGCTGGGTGGCGCCGGTGCCACGGTGGGAACGAGAGGCGCAGACGCTGGTGGAGGTGTTTTCGCGGTCGGTGGTTTCGCTGTTGTTGCCCATAAACCTCGCCACCACAGCCTGGTTGATCGTTGCATATGGATACGGAGGATGTCCAACTTTTCAGCCGACCAAGCAAAGATTACACACAGCAGCGCGATCGCAGATCCAATCCCGAAGACATAGCTTGATACATATGATAGTGACATCTGGAGACCGCCATCTTTGCCTTGGTGCGGGAACTGTGTTACATTGATTGCGAAGAACGCAGCCAAGAATGACAAGGGCAGGAAGATGACTGTCACGATCGTGAAGACCATTAGGGTCTTGCCTTGTCTCGCAGTGTCGGTTGCCTGCATGGCATTTGCATGCTTCTGTTTGAGGTCGAGTAGGTCGCGGATGGAGTTGTATATTCGCTCTGCTTGCGTAGTCATTCTTTTAATATCACGTAGTGGGTACGTGATATGCCGGACTTGGTCCTGGTGAAGCTCTTCAATCCGTTTGCGTTGCTCGTCGCGCTCTGGCAGCAAGCCAACAAGGTGGTCGAACATCTCTGGTACGTGGGTCTCTTGCGTCTCGTAGATCATCTTCAGCATGTCGAGTTCGTCTCTGATATCCTTGACCTCTCGCAGCAGACGTGTCTCCGCACCAATATCCAGCAAGGTCTGTACGAAAGCAGGCTCGGCATTCGATGCCTTGTTCTGCTGCCCGGTATCATCCTCCTCTGCTTCGTCATCAAGATCGGGTACAGACATGGCGTAGCGCTCGTACATCGTCTGCCGTAACGGCTCTACTGGATGCCCGCGGATCTCTTTCAGCCACACTGACGCTTTCTCCGAAGCCTTTTGGAATGCCCTGAACAGTCGGACTTCCTCCTCCATAGCATATCCAAGGGATGACTCAAACATGTTCATGAACAGGAGATTACTGTCGCTCGCGTCGCGCCTGTCCACCCATCCGTAGCAGTGTCCGGTAATTATGGTGGCAAGCTCGTGAACGCCTAGGACAGGCTGACGACCAGGACGCTGCAGATCGTTACATATTGCCTGCCACACTCCGTGCTCGTCGTTGTCATGGTCCTTGTTCCAACCACGAGGGAAGCTGGTGACAATGAGATCATCACGGACAATCCATAACCACAACTGATCCACCATGATGATGTTGGCGTTGCGATGTATATCTCTCACCTTACTCCTGGCTTCAGGAGCCGAAAGTTTAGCAGTTGTATCGAACTCGACATCATCCCAGGCTTGTCTCTTCTGCTCTCTGTAGATTACCTGATCGATGTCACGCTGGCTCGTGTCTATTGTGCGATAGAAGAATTGGTCAAGAGTCCGCCTGATTTGTAGGGTTGCCAACGATGGCATGGCGTGGGCGTAGATCAGGTTCTCGTCCGCAGTGGGCTCAGGTGCCGACTGGTGCTGCTTTCCGCCCGAGCTAACTCGCTTCTTGGTGCCCAGTAGTGCACTACCACTGATCGTCGACATGTTGGAACATATCCTTGGATGGTGACGATGTGACCGCGGTAGGCCTTGTCCTGGGTCTTTATCGTGTGCTTTGCATACAGCCCTAAGCATTAGGTCACGATTGCCAAGCGTCTCGTAGTGCAAGTACGGCATGAATAGGTAGACATTGTCAGGAACCCAAAGCTCTTCACGCAGCCCTGAGATCTGCTCGTCAATGACTTTGCGATCCTGCAGCGAGTCGTGTGTCGCACCCAGTGACTTGGCTCTGACATGAGAATGTCGACGTGATGATTGATGCGTTCCTTGGCCCCCTTGACTATGCGTCCCTGCGTCACTGGTATCTTCAACATCGTCATCGTAGATAGCATGCTCCTCGTCGTCGATAGGTGCTTTCTTCCGAGACACACTTGGGTTGTGATGGCAAGTGGGCCGCATGTAGCAGGCATGTAGGTGTTTTCCTCTCTGCTGATGATCGAACGACTGCTCGAGAGCCTTGAAGGTCTCAAAGTGCACTTTACTGTCTTCCTCCAGAAGAAGTTTCAAGAACAGTCGTTTACACCAGGTCACATCATTTGCAGGGAGATGAACCCAGCGAAATCGAGCTATGTCTTGCTCGTCATCGTCGACCGTAATGGCATCTTCACCTGTTGAACGTTGCAACTCTGCCTTGAGGGAGACTGTCGGTGATGAGTACGATCGATCATAAACCAGGTCATGCACTCGTCGAGAGGTGACTTTGATGTTGACGCCAACAAAGTCGACCACGGTCGCAGTGGTCCCTGCCGCGGCCTTACTTTCTTCTGATGACACAGTAGCACTAGATGTACTCAGTGGTAGCAGTGGTAGGAGTAAGTGCACGATAGCGGTATGGCCAGATCTTGCCGCACATAGTAGGGCGCTGTCTCCGAAGTCATCCTTTGCATTGACGATAGGATCGACAAAGTATTTGAGTAAGTACTCCGTGGTTGCGAGGTTGCCAATTTCTGCTGCCAGGTGCAGTGCGGTTTTGCTGTGTCCTGTCTTTCTGAATATGTCGCTACCAGGTCGAAGTTGTTCCAACGTCTTCACGGCATCTCCTCGAAATCTAGCAGCAAGCTGGAAGGGCGTCTGTCCATCTGCTGTCTCGACATCTGCAACGGTGGCGGTCTTGAGGAGTCTTGTTACGAGCTCGTGCATGCCAACCGAAGCAGCAAAGTGTAAGGCTGACCACTTCCTGCTATCCAACAGAGTCAAGTCCAGAGGTCTCTTGGAATCAAGTAGCTTGATAGCCAGCACTTGGTTTCGAGAGATCAAAGCGCAGTGCAACGGAGTCCTACCAACTATGTCTTCACGTTTGTTGAGATTGATGTCACTGGCGAGCAGTAAATTTGCTATGTCCTCGTCATCTTGATCTGCACAATTGTTTCGATATCGCTCTGCTCTGACAGCATCTTCGCATAGATGATGCAGCACCTGTTATGAGAATGATCAGCAGGTGTATCGGAGGTGGTAATGCTCGTGCTTGACGGGGATTCGGAACTTGTGGGACAAGTGCCGGAGTAGACATTGAGGGCAAGGCTCACATTTCTGCCGCGAACGTCAGGTTTATTGATATGGATCCGCGGATCTTCCAGCAAGTGACGGACAACATCGGGCTCGTTCCTCCAAACAGCAGTCATCAAGACTGTGCGGCCTTGAGGGTCAGCGGCGTTGATGTCTACTTCGGCATTGTCAATCAGCAAGATCGCTATACGTTTGGACGCGTCTCTCAAATCTCTCCTACAGTCTAGGAGCACGTTGACGAGTGCAGTGTGACCCTCGTTGTCGCAGAGCGTGACATCAGCTTTGGTCTGCTCGACGAGATATTTTGAGACATCGTAGTGCCTGGACAGCATAAGTGCCGTCTTTCCATCCCTGTCCCGAGCGTTGATGTCCGCATGTGCGTGCCTCAGGAACTCCACGACAGCGACGGAAGTCGCTCGCATCATTGGCGTTCGACGATGTCGTGACTCGCGACAATTTGGTGAGACGTTGATGTCGAGTAGATAGCGAGCATGATCCAATTTTCCGTGAATACAAGCTTCATGAAAAGCATCCGTCAATACTGGATGATGGGTAGGGAGTGGTGTACGCCGACTGTCGAACAGCACCTCCAGCTTGTCGGCATCCTCCTGTCGAACAGCATGGAGGACATCTGCTCTAAACGTATGATGTTTACCCATGATCGCGTTGGGCCAAGTTGAATGGAGGTATGCTGCTTTCCAATGGTAGTCTTTAGTCGTCTTTCAGTGCTGTCCGCACATCAGACTATCTATTCCAGACCTTGTGTCAGACTTGTATTCGCAAGTCCGTAGCAGTCCCGCAGTGGAGTTCTCTGTTGAAGATCTCGAAGACATCACAAGGCCACTCAGGCCCAGCTCCGGGTCGCAACATTGTACTTATCTGCTCCTGCGCAGCCTTGCCACCTCAATGGCACATTTGAAGATGGCGTGAGCTGTTGAGGCCACCGGTCAACCTGCATCGAAACGAGCCGTCAATGTTCAGCTTGCCCTTTGGGGTCAAGCTGTTCGCTCCGCCCCACGTCAATCAGAATGAGGTGTTCGGGCGAGCCTTGTGATTCGTGGCCATCGAGGGTCTGCTCCGACCGCCCATAGGTGGTGTGAGTAGACAGTAGCAGAGCCTCATCGTGCTCATGATCTTTCATTTCCAGGTCGATTTCATTCAGATGGAAGTCGGTTCGCTGATGAGTAGCAGTAGCAGTGTCGCGGTCATGTTCCGTGCATAGCGCCACCTCACTTTCGAGTTCCTTGTTCTCGCTTCCTCCGCTTCTGCTCTTTCACACCTCATCAACCACGAGTCTGGTTTCGCAAACCACGTTATGTCTATCTACGAACGTCTATCTACGAATGTCAGACTACCCCCAATGCTCATGATTGGGGAAGGCCAGGCTTGTAGACTACGCCCTTGGAACCCTGGCACTTCTGGAAGCCCATCTGCACGTAGGATTGCTGCGCCACCAATGTTGGTATGAAGTGCCCCACTTTGGCGCAAAATGTCAGCAGATATTTATTGCGGTCCAGAGACTAGCTTATCGTTGAGACTGGTGCGGCTGGAGTATACCACGAGAATTCTTGAGCACAATCATAGCTAGCAACCATGCCAATCCGACTTCTCCATACAAAAGACTTGACCTTCAAGGACTGCAGAGGGACGAGGATCCCACGCTATGCTATTCTCTCCCATCGATGGCGAGATTCCGAGATCAGCTACCAGGACTTCATGGAACGCCAAAGCAATCGTGGACATGGCCAGGTCGGATTTCATCAAGGCCACGACAAAGTCAAGAACTTCTGTCAGATGGCATCAGACCGCGGCTTCTACTACGTCTGGATCGACACATGCTGCATCGATAAGAAAAGCAGTGCCGAGTTGACCGAAGCATTGAATTCCATGTGGGAGTGGTATCGTCAGGCAGACGAATGCTATGCCTTTCTCTGGGACTTGCCGAATCTGCAAAGGACTAGAGGTCAGCCATCAACTCCAGAAATCGATAAGGCTCTGCGAGTCAGTGACTGGTTCACGCGCGCCTGGACCTTGCAAGAACTACTCGCGCCGACAAAATTGTACATCGTGACCCGGGAATGGCAAATCCTAGGTTCCAGAGATGGTGGGCTCACACCTATCTTGTCCGAGATCACTGGGATCGCGCCGCAGTATCTGACCGGACATACGAATGTACATTCCGCGAGTATCGCCACACGTATGAGCTGGGCAGCTAGAAGGACTGCCACAGAGATCGAGGACACGGCATATTGCTTACTAGGTATCTTTGATGTGAACATGCCTCTACTGTATGGTGAGCGGGAGAAAGCATTCATGAGACTACAGCGAGAAATCATTCTCAAATCTGACGACGAGTCAATCTTTGCCTGGCGAGACTCGGGACGTACCAGTGGCATGCTAGCACGATGGCCCACTTGCTTCGCTGACTCGGGCCACGTCGTTGTGTTGAGTGTCAGCCCTACATTGAGACTACACTATCATATAAGCAATAAAGGTCTGGAGCTGCAAGTGCCAAGAAATGAGGTCGAGCCGCGCGAGATAAAGCAACGTGAGATCAATCCTGCACGGGACGATTTCGTGTACGAACCAGCGCCAATGTTCGTAAACAAGGCAGGCAGCAAGACTGTCCACCTTGCTTGCGAAGCTGTGACGAACGAGAGGGGATCGTCCAGACGTATTATTGGTATTCAGCTCAGGTCGCAGGGCCATGCATGGCACAGGGTTAATTGCGATAAGTGGGAAGAAGTACGACAAACGCCCATGAGAAGTGAAACTTTAAAAGCCAAGTATTATGTTATACAGCCTGGTATGTGATACCAAGTCGGTCGAAACTTTCCTTCTGTGCTTATGGAAGATTGTCCAGTGCTGCTTTGTGCAGACGCGGTCTGCGGCATCGTTGCGTATAACATCTATCAACCATGCCATCCCCTCTGCATTTGTCCAGTCTTTGTGGACGAAGACCTGCCCATAACGAGCCAGTCGAATGCTTGGTATGGTATACCTCGTCGTGCATACGGCTTAGGGGTGGATTCGTTTAGAAGAGCCAAGGAGGGCATGCAGATCTAGTCAATGGGCGTCCTGACACGTAGCTGGCATTCGAGTTCGTGGCCGTTCAAGCTCTGCGTAAACGCCATACACACTCCATCATGATTTCTCGAGTGCTTTGTTGATATCCCGGCTTAGAGTCTCCAGCTCACCAACGTTCTGCTTGTCTGGTCCGGCCTTCTCGAATTCTAGCCCCGTTTTCACCCATTCCGCAGCCTCCTCCAACCTCCCCATCTCCTTCAAACAGTGCCCTCTTCTCCACCAACCCTTGATATTGCCCACCCGCTTCAGCTCAACACTGCACTCCGCATCCACAGCACCTTCTGCCCAGTTCTGTTGCGCAATGAAAGCCTGCGCTCGATTGCCGTACAGCGCACTAAGCTCTTCACGCACAAGTCCGCTTGCTTCCCATGTCGGCCGATCTGAGGCCATGCGAATGGCGAGGTTGTAAAGATTGATGGCTTCCGGGAAAGTGCCCTTCTTGTAAGCGGCATTGCCACTTTCTCGAAGTTTCGTGATTTGGACGCTGCGCTTTGGGTTGACTGGCATTGGTGGGAGTGGTATTTGATTTGGTGTGTCGAGTCCTACAATGTTCCGGTGGAGCTTGTTGAGTTCTTCTATGTCTGACGATAGATTTGGGTCATCGCAACTGATGGCCTTGCTGGCGGGATCTATATTCAACGACAGCTGGGTGAAAGTCTCTGGGACTTCCATGGTGGTGTGAGTTGATAGCTCTTATGGTTGTGCCTCAAAATGATCCTGCTGTTTCCTGATGCTTTCACTGATCGTATGGCTGGTAGGACATATTTTGTACCGTTAGTTAATTATCGACAGCTGTGCTGCCCCCCACCAAACCCTAGATCTCGCTTGCACGTGCGCGGCCTCTGCCACAACGCCATCTCCTTAACCTTATCGGCAGATCAGCCGGTTGCTATTTACAGCGATCCACATCCAAATGCAGCTTCGATCTTACCAAGCGGTCTTGGGGCAAGTCGAAACAGGCTGAGACACTACTCAGAGTGTTACAGCCTGTCGCTCGCTGTCCATTCATCATCGACAGCCTGCTGTGTCATGTCTTAGCCTTCCAACAGGCTGAGAAGTCCTTGTATATACTGAACGAAGCTGATGATCTGACCTACTTCCTGCACATAGTAAACAGATCGACAGACCGAGATCGTAAAAATGAGGGTCGCTCAGGACAAGCTGCAGAGTATCAAGACTGGTCTACACGGTGCTCAGGGTGTCTGCATCTTCATAGTGGGATGCCTGGCCTTGGGTGTTCTCACCAAAGATGGGGGGACAGGTAGTGCCATAGGCTTCCTGTTCGGCCTGGTACGTATTGACAACGATCCAGCGACTATTAAATAGCTAAATGAGTACACCTAGTGCTTCCTTAGCATACCTGCCCTCATCTACCAGATTATGGTGCCCATGTGGTCCCGAGCATCGCGTTTCGCCAATGTCTACGCATACACAGCCATCGACCTTGCCTTCACGATCTTCTGGTTCGCAGCCTTTGTAGCAGTCGCAGTATGGAACAACAGTGGAAATCAAATCAAAGATGAGAAAGATCAGAAGCAGGCCTCTGGTACTGGCACATGCGGCAAATTTGCCCATGGCAGTGTTGCGAAATGCGAAGTGAGCAGAGCGAGTGCTGGTTTCGCGTTCATTACGTGCTTGCTCTTCGCTGCAACAAGTGCACTGAGCATCCTGAATGTCATCAAGCACCGGCGGCCAGGCGGTATAAAACAGAGCAGGCCAAAAAGACTGCCGATGGACGAGACGGCGAAGGATATCTGGAACACGAACACGGACGAGCTGGACCCGTCCCGTCAGTCAGAAGAGAACCCTTTCGACGAAAGACATGCTTATGGCCAGGTTTCTCAAATTGATTTGAACTGTGGCGGTGTATCACCAATCAACAGCAGCGATGATGTGCGAAGCGTGAGTGCTCATCCTGGCCGCCCTCTCAGCTACGGTTCGTCGACGAATCTGTCAATCGCGCCACCAACAATATATGTCGAGACGGAAGCGCCCAGTGCATTAAGCCCGAACGGCTACGAGCAGACACCACGGGGGAGGTTCAGCTTCCCGAACGGCAATTACAACGAGGCTTTCAGGTAGTGTGCGCAGCACAGGGCTGGCAGGATCTTTGTTGTGCTGCGTTTGAGCTTTGTTGTGTTGCGTTGGAGCGATTTATGTGTATACGTATCTATGTATCCAGTACAAGTCATTCTGTTGTCACCTCCAAATCTACCTTCGGGTGAGCCAAAGGGCAGAGAACATGAGCACGGCCCCTCCCATTGCGAATCTGGCAGTCACGCTAGCAAATCATGTTTCCCGAGCTCGTCGGCAATACCGCTTTGGGCAAGTCCGCGCCAGAAATTAATTATTTATCGACCTCAGCATTTCATGACCACGTTCCTGTCAACTACAACGAAGATGGAGTACGATACCAAAGTCCGTGAGTGCAAATGAATGACGATCAGCACCGTAGCTGCTGACGTTTCAAGCGCTGTCGAATACTGGCGACAAGACTTCATTTGCTTATATTTCTGCGAGAGAACGATGGCCCATAATATTGGTATGTCATCGGTGATCGATGTGATGGAGAGCATATGCTGATATAGCACTCTTAAGACTGGTTCCATTGATGATCTGCACAAAGCTGTTTCGAAGGACAGCAATGCTGAGAAGCAGCAAGAAGGCAAGAAGATCACGGAAGGTCTTGCGACGCTCAAGTACGAGTTGCAACATGATAGGCAGTTAACGTACGTAAGAAAGGCGTATCAGCAGATTGAAGGCGCTGACGATGCACAAGCCCACTCATCGATGATGGCCAACCAGATATCGAAGGCTACAATACCGAGCTCTCCCAACGAGGCAACCCAAATTGGCACTCCGTCCCCTGGCTCTACGCGGAATGTTACTTGTATCGCCGCATGGCCACACTCTTCTCCACGTCGACACACTGGAAAAGCTACGACGTATTCCACGCCCAGAAGACCAGCACTTTCCGCTCCTCTCGCCCCGCTGTGCTAGAACTCGCTGCTCGATACAATCAAATGATTGAGCAATTCTCTTCCCCTGATAGTGCCCTCACCGAAGCCACCGAAGAGCAGCGCACGACTGCCGAGAAAGCTCTTTTCACGGAGATGTGCGAGATTTGTCTTTGGGGTAATGCGACTGACCTGTCCCTGCTGACGAGTTTGTCATACGAGAATATTCAGAAATTACAGGGTGCAGAAAGTAGGAAGAAGAACGAGGAGAAGATCCTCGTCAATGACTTTCCTGCTGCTTTTGCTTGCCTCAAGAATGCTCAGAAGTCTGGCTCGAAGGAGAGGAGAATTGATATCGTGCTCGATAATGCCAGCTTCGAGCTATTCGTCGACCTGGTACTCGCAGGCTATCTACTCGAATCCGGTCTAGCGACGCACATCGTGCTTCACCCAAAGAATATCCCTTGGTTCGTGTCAGACGTCATACCCAAAGATTTCGCGGATCTACTGAGCATGCTCATCAACGCCAAGAGCTTCTACGAAACACCGTCGGAAGACGAGAAGGCAGAAAGCAAGACACCAGCATCACTCTCGGAAAAGGACCAGTCGAATTTGCAGGCTCTATTTCAGAACTGGAGCACTCTCTACGCCGAAGGCAAGATTCTGCTACGTCCAAACACTTTCTGGACGGAAGGCGGATCTTATTGGCGGCTTCCCAAAGTTGCTCCTTCGCTCCACGAGGACTTGAAAGACAGCGAGCTCGTCATCTTCAAGGGTGATCTGAACTACCGCAAACTCACTGGTGATGCTATGTGGGATGCAGCTACGCCTTTCACGGAAGCCATTGGGCCAATGGGTCCTGGTAGTGGTGTCAAGGTCCTGGCGCTGAGGACATGCAAAGCAGATGTTGTTGTTGGTCTGCCGAAGGGCAGGGATGAGGAGCTTAGGGCCATGGAGGGTGGTGGTGGGGACAGTGGAGCGAGGAAGTGGGCTTGGAGTGGGAAGTGGGCTGTTGTTAGCTTTTGCGATGGCAAGGCTTGAGATGTTGGTGATGCGCCACCCGACGCTCTTAGATATGTGCTGAGCAGTTGCGGATTAAGCAGCTTACACCTTGGATGGCGTATGCGGTGCTTCGTTCGGACTAGAGACATAGATGCTAAAATATGGTTCATAGACTCTGTATCACGAACTACCTTCTCTGCCACGGCGTGAGTTCCAGCATGTAGGCAGATGGCAAAAGATGCGCCGGTATATGAAGGGAGAGCAACCATTAACAAGATTGGTTTAGACCGTTGACTAATCGCTCGCCGCATAGCCCTCAACCTTACCAAAATCTGGGGAGAGCTCAAGCCTCGGCGGCGATGAATTCGAGCTCGGCTTCCCGTTCTACTTTCCTCCCACACAGTACGCGATCTTCAACAAGGTTTAAGCGCCGTCTCGGACGGAAGGGCAAACGGTCTGCACAACTACGACGCCAAGTGCCGTACCTGCAGACAATATGAGCGACGCCGGATCGCGCCGTGACGAGACATCACCACCGCCGCCGCGTCTGTATCGCATTTCGACGTTGAAAGACTTCCTTCCACTCTCTGAGGCGTCACCTTTATCTACCCGTTCCGCCGGACTACAGGGTTTGATCCAGTCTCGCTCGAGCACTAACATCAACGCGCAACGTGGCCCATGGACGAACAAGCGGAGGAGAAGTAGCTTCGGCAACGAAGAAGCGCCTCGACGTAGCCAAGACAGCGAACGACCAGACGAGACGAGACCACGACGCCGCGGATCTGCCGTCAACAGCGGCATGGAAAGCGGCGATGAATATTACGACGAACATGATCGCAGAATGAGCAACGCGGGACATATATTGTACACACCACAGATGCGCAGCCAGCGGTTGATTGGCAACAGCAACCCAAGATACAGGTGGGAGCAGTACTGGAAGACGGACGAAGATCTCAAGCCGCTTCCAAAGAAGTTACGCGCATACTATGAGCGGTGTAATGATCTGATCCAGCGGTATCTGTACATCGATCGGCTTTTGGACAGCAGTCTACCACATCATCTGATACAGGAGTACCAACAAGTCACGTCCAACACCCGCGGGTTCAGTCCGTCTGACGTGCCGACGACCATCTCCGAGGAGCCTACGCCACATGACTCGCCCGAGCTAAATGGTCAACGACAGAGTTCCATAGATGAGGGACATGCTACCACGCCCAATGGCACTGCGCCGAAGGTCAAGAGGACGCCAAGAGACATTTACCGTGTCAAGGCCGATGAATCCCCAAACGGCGAACTTGAGCCACTACTCAAGAAGACGAATACAAGAGGTGATGAGGAAGCACTGCCCATGCCCCCGGAACTGGAGGACGAGGAGGAAGCCGACTCAAGCTCGCGCGTAGTCACTATTGCCATTTGGGTCAACACTATCGCAAACACTATCCTGCTTATTCTGAAGATCATAGTGGCAGTACTGACGAGTAGTGTGTCGGTCTTGGCATCTCTTGTGGACGCTGCGCTGGACTGGCTGTCTACGGTCATTATCTGGACGACTACCTACATGATCGCCAACACTGACCAGTATGCGTATCCCATCGGTCGAAGACGTCTTGAGCCAGTCGGCGTTATGGTTTTCGCGGTCATCATGATCGTCTCGTTCGTCCAGGTTGCTTCGGAAGGTGGTAAGAAGCTTCTTGGAGATGACCACACGGTCGTCCAGCTCTCGCCATCCGCTATTGTTATCATGGCAAGCACTGTCGCGATCAAAGGCTGCTGCTGGCTGTATTGCCGCTTGATCAACAACAGTTCTGTCCAAGCTCTCGCACAAGATGCTGTCACGGATGTGGTGTTCAACACTTTCTCCATCATCTTTCCACTCATTGGATATTATGCTGGTATCTGGTGGCTCGATCCCTTAGGTGGTGTCTTGCTGTCGTGTTACGTAATCGTCCAATGGAGCAGAGTCTGTCTGGGCCATATCCGGAACCTGACTGGCTGCGCTGCGACTGCCGACGAACGCAATATTCTGCTCTACCTCACCATGCGCTTCGCGAAGACGATCAAACACATTCAAGGCCTCCAAGCCTATCATGCCGGCGACAAGCTCAACGTGGAAGTCGATATCGTGCTTGACGAGCATACAAGTCTGCGGGACAGTCACGATCTGGGTGAGAGTTTGCAGTATGTGTTGGAAAGTGTACCTTACGGTGAGTCAAGCCATGTTGACCCTGTAGTGACTGGTGTTCATCTCGTTTTGTGTCCTGTTTGCTGACATATGACTACAGTGGATCGTGCATTCGTGCACATGGACTATTCTAGCTATAATTTGCCGAGCCATATGCAGCAGGACTCTTAGGATAAGTCCTTCTCTGTGTGGTGGCCTTGTCAGGACTACAACTAAAACAATCTTGATGCTAATTGTATAAATCTTGTGCTGTGGATTCCGATTCCAGACTCAACGCTTAAACAACCGACTTGCATAAACGCATTGGGCTGTTAGCTAGTTTGTGCTGGACGTGGTACCTGGTTCCCCATTCAACCTTGTTCCAAGTCCAAGGATGCATGCCAGCAGGTAAGCGACATTAACCACAGCAAGAAGGCCACTGTGCATCAGTGACCAAGAGCGCTATAACGTAATTATATGCACCCGGGACTGTTCTTTCGAAGCCATCTGCCTATCCACCTGCTCCTGCTAACGCGACCGCAAGCGCAGCACTCCTGGGCATAGTTTATAACGATTCTGCTTACCACGGTTGGAACAGAGATCATCGTACCAGGATTAGCCACAGTAACATATCATCTTCGTTGGACTACATTACTCCATTCTGTAGTCATGTATCCCAGGCGTACGAGCAACGCTCAAGGCGGCCAGAGCAGCCAATATGGACAAATGCAGGTTCAGGAGAGCACGACGACGACCACCACGACCACCAAGACCGACAACACGAAGCAGGCGATGGCCGACGCTCAGGCTGCGATGATGGTTGAGAAACGTGAAGCCGTTGTCAACCACTTTATTGAGCAAGCTGCGGAGACCGGCACTCCTGAGGCGGAAGTCATCAAGATCCGCGACAATATCTATGCTGGAAAGGCAGATGCACTGGTCAAGCAACAGTGGGAGCTCATCAAGTCTGGTAAGACTGCAAAGGCAAAGGCACATGCACCTGCGCAAGCTCAACAGCCTATGCAGCAGTATGCGCAACCACAGATCGGATATCTGCAACCACTTTACCAAGGGTACCAGCAGACAGCCCCGCCTATGCAGCAAACAGTGCAGTATCAGCAGCAGCCTCAGCAGGCGTACCAGCAGATCACGGCTCCCACGTCGCAGAACACTTCGTATACTCAACCAAGGCACCAAGGACACCAGCAGGTGACTCCGCCAGCACAACAGATAGCGGCCTATCCACAGCAAGCGTGTCAAGGCGCTCAACAAAAGGTGGCTCATCAGGTGGCCGTCGCCAAACAGGTGCCACAAGCTGCCACATACTTGCAGCAGCCGACCAAGAGCAAGAGCAAGCAGAAAGCGGCTTCTCCACCTGCACAGCAATATGCCCAGTACCAACAGTACCCGCAACAACAGCAACAACAGCAACAACCGCAACAACCGCAAGGTAGCACTGCCCTACAGGCCTACCATCAGCAAGCTACTCCAGCAGCTTCGAGGCAGAGCGCAGCCCAAAATGTCGAGCCGTACGGTGGCTACATGGTCCAACAGACGACCACAACCACGACGAGTTGCTCGTCTGACGGCGGACAGCAGAATCGAGTGCAGCCTGACAACGCGACTTGTGCCCAGCAGCTGTATGCTGAGCAGCCAACTCAGCAGCGGCTTCAAGCAGCCGGCGCGCAGCAAGGCTACACACAGCAGCCCACACACCAACAGCTGCAGGATGCAAGTCAGCCACTGCAGCTGACGCAGAGCCCGCACGACCCGCACTTGATTGCGCCGTACACCCAACAGATGCAGGTCGCGCAACAACTCGCACTTGCTCAACAGCAGGCCCAATTGGCATATGCAGGGCAGCAGCAGTACTCGCCTCACGGGCAGATCGCATATACATCACCAGGCCAGCAGCAAGTGGCGAGCCAGCAGCAGTATCAGATGACTGCTGTGTCTCAATATGCTCCTTATCCGCAGTATAACCAGCAGCAACTCCCGGCGCTTGCTTCGAGCTCGACGGCTGTGGCGAGTTCATCGAAGCCAGTCAAGCATTCGAGACATGACAAAGATAAGAAGGAGAAGAAGGAAAAAAAGAACAAAGAGAGAAAAGGCAAGAAGTGACAGATCAGCCTTTATACTTTTGCTTATGTTTTCTCCTCGGACCGAGAGGCCTCCTATACCAGCAGTGGACGCCTACACAGCAATATCAGCGGGTCTGTAGGCTTGCAAATATGATCTTTTCCGCAACTAACATTTCTACGACAATAGAAAGCAGTCACTGTCGTCTGGGAGCAGTAAAGAGCACTATATCAGGAGTACGCCCTCGATCGCTACGCTCCCTCCTACTAGGTATTCACTACGACGGTCATCCTTCATAAGCGACCAGTGACTAGCACCGATCTCGTCCTCCATAGTCACGCGCGTCTACAATTATGGCGCTGACCCTACTTATCATTACACATATCCCTCCTGCTTCTTCTAAAATCCCCAAAGCATATCTTGTGCGCCATCAATACAGCAAACTGCTTGGAAGCCTGTATCGTGGACACTACCGTGATCACAGCCTCACTCCAGTCAAATCCACCAAACTCGCACGAGCACAACACCATAGACCCGGACTTGTTCAACAAGCTCTTGCAGAGCGGTGGAAACATCGCCGAGCCAGCCCAGGCTCAAGATCCGGCAGAATTACAGCAGACTCAACGGCCAGGGATTCCACAGCGACCGCAATCGCTGCCATTTCAACAGCCTCAGAGGCCAAAAGCGCCTGCAGCTTACCAAAAGCCTTCGCCACCCGCTATAAGGTCCCAGAGCAATATAGTCGCAACGCAGGCTAAATTGCCTGTACAGTCTATGTCAACACGGCCCATGCCGCAAGCTACATCGATCAGTCAGGGCGGCACACCTGGCACTCAGGCCATAAAGCAAGCGTTCGCAGCTGCGATGCAGATGGCGTTCGATGATCCATTCATAAGCGCACGTACGGCTCGGAAAACACAATCTCTCGCTGCTCAGAGTATCCGCAGGATGAATGCGGTGATTGACCGCGAAGGCGAAGCTGCGTTGCCCCTAGTCGTCGCAAAACTCCACGAGCTCGACATCGATCCAGCTATTGTGGGACTCGAGGATGGAATTGTAGATTTGAGAGGTTATCCTGGTATCATGCCTTATATTCCATTCGGTGCCTATCCGGCGGCTTTACCATATGGCGGTCGATATCCTGAATTTCCACCTTACGGCGGCTATGGAGGCTATGGCTTCTAGATATAGTGGTCACTGAGGCGATACGGCGGATATGGCGGCTGGTGGCCTCCTTGAAGGCGTGCAAGGGATTGTAGCTGGTAGCCATGAGACCCTAGCTGGAGCGAGTCAGACAAAAAGCGGCATTGAATAAACAGCGGGTGATGCCGATGCATGTGAACAATTCCAGCTTCTCTCAATGCCTCGATCTTAGAACCACAAATCCAGTTTCATGTTCTCCGTCTCCCAGATAGATCGTTGGATGGTAGATGTACCTCGAGCTAGGGGCCCAGTATGAGCATAATTAACACGCGAGATCATTGAGTAACATGAACAAATTGTCCAGAGCATCATTTTGAAGACTAAGCTGTGCGAGTCATTACCTTCACGAAATCGGGCTGACCGACGACGAGCTATAGTTTCACGCTGCCTCGCACTCGTGGGCAAAAGAGTCTTAGTACATTTTCACAGTGCAGATAGCTTGACACATTCAATATTATTGCAGCATTCGCTCCACAAGCAAAAGTTGTCACCCCGATTGCTGAGGCGGCTGCCCTACCAACTCAGACCCTTCAGCGCCTTGCTCTTCTGACCAATTGATCTCTGATACTGACGGCTCCACTCACCATGAGGAGAGCCGATCAGCCCGCCAGGTGGAGCCCAGCCATAAGGTGCCATCCTATACAAATATCAGCATTACTCCGCTGTCTCGGAGCAAACGAGCACAAGGCTCACCAGGGAGGCAAAGCAACAGCACCATGAGGACCCAATCCTGGAGCTTGCAGCATCGGACCCACAAGCCCTTCACGCTGCAGCCGGCGAATTTCTCTTCTGCTAGGACCCATCCCTGAGACTGTCCATTCGCCGTCTGCCTCCTCGTCCTCGGCACAATACATCGAAGCGAAGTTGGGCAGGACGCCAGCTTGAGGGAACAGCATTGGGCTGCCAAACCAGCCTCCTGCGAGAAAGGGTGATGGGAAGATTGGAAACATGTTGAGATTGTGGGTACGGGCCAAGCTGCGCTGATGGGAGTCGTGAAGTGATGATACCGGTCAAGATTGCCTCTTTTCGATGAATTCAATAATCAGTCGATGGTTAGGGACAGGAGAGATTCGTATGTGGTGTAAAGGTAGAAGTAAGAATTTGCAGGAAAATTTACTTAAGTATGTCTCTCCTCGACGGATTCAGTGACTGAAGACCAGACGTTCTGGCCACGCAGTGCATCGAAGAGATAGACAGTCAAGGTAGCAATGGGTCGATGAAGCTGGCTATTCAGCATTCACCATCGTGGAACCGGTTTGGTTCGTATTTTATGATCAAAACATCCTGCTCTCAACAGTAGTACCACATTTCTTACCACGATTCTATCAACACACTCAGACAGCTACCTCAACAGTACACAGAATTTGTGATTGACACCCGGTCAAGGTTGATATGCCAAATCAATTCTTCAACAGCTTTAAGATCGACGGCGGAGCTGAACGTGTCTACGAGCGCCAGGCCTGGGTGATGCATCGAGGGGGCAAAAAGAAGAAAGGATCTAGAGACGATCCATGGGGTATGATGGGCGGTATGCAAGGCTCGCCACAGATGATGGATCCTCGAATGGGCGGTATGGGTGGTGGCGGTACGCCTGGCATGCCCGGAATGCCTGGAATGATGGGAGGGCAAGTGTTACATCACCTTCAAGTTATGGTCCGTGTTGACAGCTTTTCAGATTCGGTAGTGGACCACCTTCGCCGGCGGGACTTCCGCCGGGGATGACGGGAGGTCTACCGGGAGGTCGTCTAGGTATGATGGGAGGTCCGCCGGGCATGATGGGAGGCCCGCCAGGTGTGATGGGTGGAGGTATGCCTGGTATGATGCCTGGGTCAGTGTTGTCTCCCTCTGTGACTTTACTTCTGCTAATTAAGGTCAAGGCTTGGTTCCGGCCCACCATCTCTGATACTAGGACCGCCAGGAATGATGGGAGGCGGGCCCATGGGCGGAGGAATGCCCGGGATGCCGCCTGGGATTGGGATGCCCGGGATGAGAACTCGGTAGAAGTCCACATCGCTCTCAGTCTGTTCACCGAGCTGACAAGGAGGCAGAATGCGACCTGGCATGCCCATGCCGGGTATGATGCCTGGTTTGAGGGGAGGTCTACCAGGCATGGGTTTCCCAGGAATGGGTATGCCAGGTATGGGAATGGGAGGTCCTATGAGCGGAGGCATGCCGGGGATGGGATTGCCAGGAATTGGCTTGCGCGGCATGGGAATGGGAGGTCCTCCCGGCGGCAGTCCAATGGCCGGTGGTGGCGGCAATCCCATGGCGGGAGCACAAGGCGGAGGCGGCGCTGCTGCACCGGCTGCCGATGACGATGATGACGAATAGGCTCCCTAGCGATTACCGATTGGATTCCGCGGGGCGGCACTAGAACTGCTCGATAGACGGTCGATCCTTCAGACTTCCCCCCTTGCCGCTAGTCACTACATTTTGGGTGATCGTGTCATGCATCCTCGCCGGCGCTTATCGCAGAACTTCCAGTGATTAAGGTGATCATCAAGACTGTGTTGTCAAAGGTAGTGAACTCGGCCTCCTATCTGCGAGGATATAAGTAAGCCGGTGGGTTTGGTTCTGCTCAGCAACAACACCAATACCCACACTAAAAGATTGCACAAAACACACACGAGCAGCATCCCACTTCCCACTTGCCACAAATACTCAACCCAGAATCGTTTCTATTATGGGCAGGAGATCCAGGTGGGGTATCCATCATCAAGCCCCATCAGCCGACCCGTACATGCAAGCAGCCATGTACGGATATGGAATGCCATACCCCGACCCGCTCGCCATGCAGCAACAGAGCGCGGCCAAGTTCGAGCCATCAAAGTCGTTACGAACGCTTATCACGGACCGCATGGACGAGCAGCAGCAGTGCCTGACCATCCGGCAGGACCAAGTGAGCCACTTTCTGCAGCTCAGCTTCACCGCCGATGCGAATCCAAACCGCAAGAAAGGTCCCGGTGATGAACAAATCTCTGCTGAGACTTCGCAGACTATTACTGGGTATGGGTACAGTGTTATTGGCATGTTGCAGTATACACCCGCCTGGCCGAATTACGATCCGTACGGCCTGGGTCTTGCCGCTGACGGGAGATCAGGGCCGCCGCCAAAGAAGAAGATCTCCAAGCAGAAGGATCCAATGGGTCGATATGCGCAGCTGGAGGGGGAGATCCAGGCACTCATGACTCTCAGCCCGGCTCTGATGGATCCACTGCCGAACTCGATGAAGACACCACAAGCTCTGTCGGCGACTCTGCATAAGAATGTCCTGACTAGGATTCTGGGGACAGGTAATCTTGAAGAAGACGATGATGATAGTGATGATGATGGCGGCCAGGCAGCTGCTCCGGCAGTGCAGCATATGATCGGTGGTCCAGCTCAGGCGTTGTCGCCCATGCCTCAGACGCCACAGGGCTTACCGGCGATGCCGATGAATATGCCGATGCCAATGGGTCCGCCAATGGGACAGCCGATGATGGGACCCCCAGGTATGAACCTGTTTGCTCCTATGGGACCACCAGATCCGGGGACTGGATGATCAAGGAGGGAAGCGCAGAAATCTAGGTGGGTTTTGGCCTGTCGAAGTAAAGCCAGACACGTGTGATCATAGTGATCTTGAGCTCGACTACGAAGCAAGTGCTTGATATGGTGGGCCAGTCACATAGTCAGCAATCAGCAGATTGCTCATGAAACCTTTGCTCTCGGTGCTCAGCGTGCCTGGCCATTGTTGTGGTCCGAAGTGTCGCGAGATGACACAACGTGTTGCTCTCGAGCCCGTGGGCAATCGAGCTCGTGGCTAAAGCAGCATGGCTCTACGTATCCTGCTGTAGTGGTTTTGACAAATGCTAAGCGTCCAAGAGGCTATCATGTGTCGTTTGTAGGAGAAGTGAAGTTGAGGTTCAGAGTAGATATATGCCATAGTTGGACCGTGCAGCCACGCGATTCAGCGACCAATAACGTTCGGTTTACTATAATCGTGCTCGGGAAGCCACATGGGGGGACATTGGCACATTTTGTGGAGGCAGAGGAAAGGTTTCCAACATCTTGTTACAGCAGACAATCTTGGCCGGAGAGGGAGGACTAGGACTAGGACGGCGATGTATTTGCGATAGCATACTACGAGCAACACAAGCCACCCCGAGCCACGCACGACATGAGCGTCACCTTGAAGGCACCCAATCCGGAAAAGGGCAAGAGATATCTGGCGTCATTAGACCAGGCATTATGCGATGGAAGATGGTCGGAGGCACCGGAACTGGCGCGGAAGACAGATAAGCATGCACCGGAGAGATCATGCTTCACCCTGGTAGCGCGAACAGAGGCGCAGATAGCTTCCGCCTCGCATCGGCCAACATCTGCTTCATCTACAGGCACTGCGAGTCTACATAGTCTTGGCGAGGCGATACCGAGGCTTGAGCAGGCTATTACTGGTCCTAAGACCACACCCGACGAGGCATACTGCGCCAGTGCATGTATAGCGGAGATACATTGGTTGCAGGAGGATGCTACTGCTGCGTTGAAAGCACTGCCTCGTGATGTTCAATCGTCAAATACGAGCGGTGGCAGGAGTACACCACTGGGTTGGCTGGAAGTATGCGAGGCCAAGGCTGCGTATATCAGAGCCGCTGCGCTCGAGACAACAGGACACGCGGAGGAGGCGCAAAGCGTATATCGAGCGGCAGGAGCTCAGGCTCCAGGCACACGTACACAGGAGCTTCGAAGATGGACCGAACGACTTATTGCACGAGGATGTATGTACAGCTACAGGGCGGCTAGCCAGCCTTCCCCGGCGGCATTGAACGAGTCCCTGGTATCATTTCGATCATGGGCGAGCTTCTGGCAAAGAGCGCCTGCGCCCGTGTCAGGTAGCGGTGGCACTCCCTCAAGAGTAGACATCCCGAGACGCGGTGTATGGAAAGCATACTACGACATTCTGTCTACCATCCTCCGACACGGTATTATTTACAATACTGCTGCTAGCTCGGGACAGGCATTACTACTTGCTTCCAGCAACGGAATGACTGATGAGCGGCTGGTCGAGGCTAGAAAACGGCAGCGAGCGGAGCTGAAGCAGGTGGAAGTAGAGTACGAGACCCAGCTTCTCAACCATACACAATTTCCCAAAGCAAGCGAGTCGAACATCGAAGTGGAGAGCTGGGCTGAGGAGGCGATGGTAAACTGGAGATTACTATGCGGCGCAGATTGGTCTGACGAGGAGCTCGGCGAGGGTGGTAAGGTTGCATTGGGACGTGGTATGCTCGATATACTTTACCGCGCTGCGACAAAGACCTTCCACTCGACTGCCATTCTGCGCCAGCTGTTCACGGTCCACGCTGCACTCGGCGAGTATGATTTAGCCATGCATGCTTTCAACAGCTATGTCGAAATAATCGGCAAAGCCAAAGCACGAGCAGAGAAGACAGCAGAGCACGAGCTGGGTTTTGACGACGATGACGCAGCCGTCTTAACTGCTGTCGAAGCTGTGCGTGTGCTGTGCAAGTACGGTGACCGCGAACAAGCGGAGAAGGCACTGGAGGTTGGTACGCAGATACAAAAGTGGTTGGGCGAGCAAGCGCCACAGGTGGCAAACGAGATCGAAGCTAGCAACGATACCCGACCTGCTGGGATCGATTCGCCAAGTCGATCCACTGTCACAGAACTCCAGCCGTACACGATAGCAGCTGCATATAAAGCTATTGGCATCAGCAAAGCGGAATGGTCGAGGACAACGTACGACTCGGATGCACGACTTGCATTACAGACACACGCTATCGAGACACTGAAGCAATCACTTGCACAGAACTCTAGCGACCTGGAAACAATCTTCGCGTTAGGCCGGCTGCTCGCCGAAGCGCATGATGTATCCTCAGCGATCGCACTACTGAAAGGTGCCCTCGCAGCATCCAGAGCTTCTATCGAGGACGACGGTGACTACAGCAAACAAAGACAGCTCGTACCGCTGTGGCATCTCTTCGCGTTATGCTTGACGGCTACCGATGAATACGATGGTGCAATCAAGATGTGCGACGCCGCTTTTGAGCAGTTCGGCGAGCCTCAAAACTTGTATGGGCAGAGTTTGGCGAGCGTAGGTTCTGCGACTAGACCTCGTGTTCAGCGAGGTGTTGTGGATCACATGGATGGTTTCGAAAAGGAGGCGCTTCTACAGCTCAAGATGAGCCAACTTGCGCTTCTAGAGCTTACGGAAGGGCCGGAGCAGACTGTGGACTCTAGCAATGAGCTCTTACGGCTGTATGCAAGGCTCTTTGGCAGTATTGAGGACTTGAAAGTGCCTGCTAAGCGGCCTGCCACGGCTGCCACGATGGTACCACCGCCTTCGAAAGCCGGCGGTGGCACACTTCGCAGTATAGCGGGCAGTATACGACCGCGATCAAATCGCAATAGTGCCGAGAAGGAAGGCCAGAAAGTTGTTTCCGGCAGCACAGTGAACATAGCCAATACAAGTACTGCTAGATCGCCAGCGTCTAATGGTCATACTACAGGAGCGCCTATCGCCATCACCGTGACTAACGAGGACGGCGAAGCAGCGGGAAAGGAGAAGTCTGGCCATCATCATCACGACCATCACGTGCATCTGCCATTCAAAGTACGCGGACACAACGGCGAATTCAGTAAAACTGGCAGCCTGCGCTCGAAGAAGAGCACAAAGGGTTTGAATGAGAAGAACGGCGCAGCATACGAACAGTCACCTGCGGTACCGCCCAAAGGCTCTGCTGTGACTGACCATGCACAAACGAACACCATGACATCTGGTCCACAGCAACCGCTCAAGGAGATTCCTCACGATCGATCTCCTAATGATTGGCCAGAACCGGTTGTACACGACCAGAGCCCTCCAGAGCAAGATGTGCGAATACCAGCACCACCACCCACATCCCACGGCAGAACGGCATTACCGCATGCCAACCTGCTGCAAGAGCGACAACATAAGACTAGCGTGCTGGTCAATGTCTGGTTGTTCGTAGCCGGCCTGTACGTACGAGCCGGCTTCTACGATGACGCTGCCGGTGCTGTGGAGGAGTCGGTCAGACTTGTCGAAGCTTTTGAGGCGGAGAAGGAAGCTCAGCAGGTTAGTGCTCTGGCGTTGTACCAGAAGGGATGGGGTGGTGGGAAGAGCGTTGACGAGTTGTGGGGGAATGTATTGGCTGCTGTAAGTCCATGCATACGAGTGCATCGTGTCTTGGAGATCGAAATCGTGGGATTGCGCTAATTGATATACAGAAAGGCGACCTGGCATCTGCCCGCGAACTGCCCTTCGAAGCGATGGAGTACTACGAACACGCGCTCAGCTACTTTCCGGATCATGCAGACGGCATCATCGGGCTTTCGAACCTGCTTATGGATATCTATGAGCAGAAAATGCCTGCTGAACCACCTCAACCACCGCTGTATCAACCAACCTCCAGCTCCAACTCCCTCCTCCCCAATCCCACGGCCCAGCATAATATCCCGACCACCCAGTCCTCAGCAACAGCAGGTTCTCACCTCGCCTCTCCCGGCCGCAGCGCACCTCCTCCTCGCAACAGCAGTAGTAAAAAGGACCCCTCCCCCGCTGAGCTCAATCGGCTGGCTGCGAGGGATCGAGCATACATGCTCCTCTCTTCCCTCACGAAGTTGGGAACCGGATGGAATTTGCCTGAGGCGTGGCTCGTGCTTGCGAGGGCTTACGAGTTGAGTGGGCAGCTTGGGAAGGCGAAGGAGGCGCTTTGGTGGGTTGTGGAGTTGGAGGAGGGGAGAGGGATCAGGGGGTTTGAGGGGGTTCTGGGGGGTGGTGGGTATGTTTTGTGATGGATGGGGATGGGGATGGGTATGGGTGTGGGTGCGGGTGCTGGGGGTGTAGATAGATAGGGTGGCGGTCTGCTTTGTTAGCTTATCTGGTGCTTGCATTATATACCCTTGGCGCGAGTGGCTGCGAAAGGAACAGTGATTTGATCAATTCGATCTCTCGTAAAAACTATCTTTCTTCGTCCTCGTCGTCGCCGCCCAAAGCAGTTAGTTCAGCGGCATGGTGCATGAAATTAGTGGGGCGGCCTCGACCCGAAACTTTGGACGCTACCCTACGGCAAAAAGTCGCGTGCAACATCATCGTCGCAAATGCTTCATGCTTACGCTTTTATCGGATCCCTATGATGAGCTGACATCGCCAAAGTAGAGACATCGGTCTCGATAGGGTGAAGTACTATGTCCTCCAACTCCACAACCATGGTCGGCAGCCGGCAATCCTCCATGGACGAAAACGAATGGGCGCGCCAGAACCGGCAGCGTGGCAGCACAATGTACCGCCGCGAGAGCAACATGAGCGAGTGAGTCTACGCCTTCGTACCACCACATACATATATACATGTCTATGGCGAGCCACTAATCACATGACACCTCTACCCGCAGAGCCAGCTTCCTTACCGACGTCGAAATGGCGCAAGACGAAGTATTCTCCGGTCCCATGTCGGAGAGTGTGCCCACCGCCACCTCGGCCTTTTCCCATCGCCGAAGCCGGGCGGATTCGAATGCGAGTTTTGCTTTTTATGAGGAGGAGAGGGATTTTGATAGTACGGAGGAGGTGCCTGAGGATGCTTTGATGGACGAGGGCGAGTACGACTTGGAGAATGGGAGTCTAGCGCCGGAGGATTTGTTTGACGGGGACGGGGATGATGCTAATGGTGGGGTGGAGAGGGATGGCGGGGAGGAGAGCGAGAGTTTGGTTGGGGATGGAGAGAGTGAGGGGAGCAGGAGACCGAGTATCGGACGGAAGAGGAAGAGCTCGGGGTTCTCGAGGATGTCTCGTGGTTCACGGGGTTCGAGACGGAGTACGGATAGTCGACGTTCTGTCGATGCGCCGTTGTTGAAGAGACATACTTCGGCGGACTCGGGAGGTAGTGGGTATGGGAGAGGAGGGGAGAAGGTCAGCCAGAAAATTTATATCCTGACCGAGGATATGACGATTGTGGTTGCCGGATTCAGTACTTCGTTGTTTGGGTTCGCGGTGTACGTCACGCTTTGCGTGCTTACAGGTGGATTGGGCTATTTGTTGCTTAGGTGGCTGCCGAGATGGTATGTCAAGATTGTCGGAAGAGTCACGCCGTTAGGGAAGTGCGATTGGGTCGTCATTGAGAATCAATGGGGTGAGATGATCATCCAGAACCTCAGCAAACAGGACTTCGGGCACTCGCTCTCCGCCGTCTTCGGCGATCCAGAAAAGAGCAAGTTTAGAGACTACGACGAAATGGACGACCCAGTGCTCGACGAGCTCAGGATCCTGGACTACCGCTACATCCGCTTCTGCTACCACCCGGTCAAAGACAAGTTCGTCCTAGGCAATACCTGGCAAGATCCAGCCTGGACGGACATGGCCGCCGTACGCGAAGGCATCGATACAGACGAAGCCGAGAACCGTGAAAAGATCTTTGGCAAGAATGCTATCGATATCGAACAGAGAACTACTGGTCAACTCCTCATGGATGAAGCTTTTCACCCCTTTTACGTTTTCCAGATCGCTAGTTTGGTCCTCTGGTCACTGGATGAGTACTACTACTATGCTGCTTGCATCTTCGTCATTTCCGCCATGAGTATCACAACCACTCTGATCGAAACAAAACAGACTATGAAACGTCTTCGCGAAATTTCCCGCTTCGAATGTGATATTCGAGTCTTCCGCGGTGGATTCTGGCGGTACGTCGAGTCCTCTGAACTAGTTCCGGGCGATGTTTACGAGGTCACGGATCCGAATCTCGGGCAGTTCCCTTGCGATAGTCTGTTGCTTTCTGGTGATTGTATCGTCAATGAATCTATGCTTACTGGAGAATCGGTACCGGTCTCCAAGACGGCTTCGAGCGATGAGACGCTGGAGTTGTTGAACTTGAGCGCTTCGGCTATTCATCCTGAGGTGGCTAAGCATATGCTCTTTTCGGGGACGAAGATCATCCGCGCCAGACGGCCGCAGGATGATAAGAGTGATGAGGCTGCTGCTTTGGCGCTGGTGGTGCGAACAGGGTTTAATACGACTAAGGGCGCACTGGTGCGGTCGATGTTGTTTCCTAAGCCATCTGGCTTCAAGTTCTATCGGGATTCGTTCAGGTATATCTCCGTCATGGGTGGGATTGCAGGCATTGGTTTCCTGGCCACGCTGGTCAACTTCATTCGGCTGGGGATTCATCCGGGATTGATTATTGTGAGGGCGTTGGATCTCATTACCATTGTCGTTCCGCCTGCGCTCCCAGCTACACTGACTATTGGAACAAATTTCGCTCTGCAGAGACTGAAGTCGAAGTTGATCTTCTGCATTAGTCCACAGCGCGTCAATGTCGGAGGCAAAATCGACGTCATGTGCTTTGACAAAACTGGCACGCTTACGGAAGATGGTCTGGATGTTCTTGGTGTTCGGGTCGTTTCGAGGCCGCTGAATAGATTCAGCGATATCCTGTCTGACTCTACTGCTCTCCTCCCTGGAGGCCAGTACGAAAGGGATCCGACGATTGATTACAATGCCAACAAGGCTATCCTGTATACAATGGCTACATGTCACAGCCTCCGTATCGTAGACGACGAATTCATCGGCGATCCGCTGGATCTGAAGATGTTCGAGTATACGCGCTGGCAGTACGAGGAAGGATCCGAGAGGCCTTCGGCTGGTGCGGAGGATGACGAGGATAAATCTCTCACGCCTTCGGTTGCGCGCCCGCCCCCGGGAATGGAATTCGACATTGATGAGGAGGAGGACTCACCTAATCGCGGTCGACCTATCGAACTCGGGGTGCTAAAGCAGTTCGAGTTTGTTTCGCAGTTGAGGCGCGCGAGTGTGGTGGTCAGGCAGTTTGGGGACAAGAGCGGAGATGTTTACGTCAAAGGTGCGCCGGAGGCTATGAAGGATATTTGTCGACCGGACAGCTTCCCGCCGGATTACGATGAGCTGCTGGCTTATTACACGCATCGGGGCTTTCGGGTGATTGCGTGTGCAACGAAGCATATTTTCAAGCTGAATTGGTTGAAGGTGCAGAAGATGAAGCGGGAGGAGGCGGAGTCGAATCTTGAGTTTGTGGGCTTCATTATCTTTGAGAACAAGCTTAAGGAGCGCACGACGGAGATTATTGAGGAGTTGGTTGAGGCTAATATTCGTACGGTCATGTGCACGGGCGACAATATCCTTACCGCTATCAGTGTGGCAAGGGAGTGCGGCGTCGTTGACCGCACGGCCCATTGTTTCGTCCCGCATTTCGTCGAAGGGGACGCACATACGCCACTCTCGAAACTCGCCTGGGAAAGCGTAGACAACCCGGTCTACACCCTCGACGAGTCCACTCTCAAACCTCTTCCGCCTCCCGCCGAACACGACTCCTCTCTTCCCTACGATGTCTCGAACCTCCGGAATTACAGCGTGGCTGTGTCGGGAGACGTCTTCCGCTGGCTCGTGGACTTCGCCTCCCCTAAAGTCCTGCGCGAAATGCTCGTCGTCGGCCAGGTCTTCGCCCGTATGTCGCCCGATGAGAAACATGAGCTCGTGGAGAAATTGCAGAGTCTGGACTACTGCGCCGGATTCTGCGGCGATGGAGCGAACGATTGCGGAGCCCTCAAAGCCGCGGACGTGGGGATCTCGTTATCGGAGGCGGAGGCTTCGGTCGCGGCGCCTTTTACTAGTCGGGTCTTTGATATCTCTTGTGTTCCCGAGGTCATAAGAGAGGGGAGAGCGGCGCTCGTGACGAGTTTCTCTTGCTTCAAGTACATGAGTCTGTACTCGGCGATTCAATTCACGAGTGTCAGCTTCTTGTACGCTTCGGCGAGCAATCTGGGGGATTTTCAGTTCTTGTACATTGATTTGCTGCTGATCTTGCCGATTGCCATCTTCATGGGCTGGAGCGGGCCTTATCCGGAGTTGGCGAAGAAACGACCTACGGCTTCTTTGGTGAGCAGGAAGGTCCTTACGCCGCTTCTAGGCCAGATCGCTCTGTGCGTGATTACACAACTTATTGGCTGGATTGTGGTCAGACAGCAGCCGTGGTATCAGCCCCCGGTTCTGGATAAGGGACATTCGAACTCCTTAAACTCGGAGAACACGACGCTCTTTCTGCTGAGCTGCTACCAGTACATCCTCTCCGCCGTCGTCCTCTCGGTTGGAAAGCCGTTCCGGCAGAGTATGGCGGAGAACCTGCCGTTTGTCATTACGTTGTTGGTGGCTTTGGCGGTAACGTCGTATATGCTTTTTGATCCGGCGCCTTGGCTTACGGATCTGATGGAGTTGACGTGGATGTCGCAAGGCTTCCGAGTCTTCGTGTTGGTGCTGGGTGGCGGGGCTTTTGTCGTCAGTTATGCTTGCGAGCGAAACGTGTTCCCTGTGCTAGCACGATGGATTGGCAAGGCGAGGAGGGGTAGTAAGGTTAGGAAGCAGTATAAGGTTGTTAGGGAGGATATGAGGATATAGTGCCGAGGTGGATGGTGTGGTATAGATATTGTACAATGATGATACACGAAGGCTTGCGTGACAAGCAATGATCATCGTCGTGAGCTTCGTCGGGCGGAGATTTCCTCTAGCTCTTTATGCAAGTGGACGCATCTCTTCTCTTGTTCTACGTTATTGATCTTTTTATGCATCGCAGCGCCTGCCTACATGTCAAGCAGGCCGCTGTCGTGAGATTGCCCTATGCCTCGTTGCCATGAGCGTACAAGATTGATGACGTAGGGGAAAATACCAAAACCGCCTAGTTTGCAGACTCCGTTGAAAAGGAACAGTGGCACTATTGAAACCACATATATCGACACCTCTCTGAAGAAAAGACCACCGCTAAAGATCGATATTGACTTCAAACGGTGACGATTAAATTAGCGAAGCCACCATGAACTACGGCAAGTGACGGTTGTAGAGTCCATCCCAATAGTAGACTGACGATTGTGAATAGACTCCATAATCGAAGCCGTGGTCGATGGCGGCTACCTACCAGAATTCGTCCTTCGAAGAGGCATCAGACAACAGCTCCAGCAACGTATCAATATTATCAAGTCCACTTCGCTATCAGAAAGCTATGCCACGAAAATGAAGTATGTCGAGCTTCTACGGTCAAGACCCATTGCCATTGAGACCGCGGCAGCGAACTCACAGCACTACGAGGTAGGCACTGGAGTGCTTTCGGCGTGTCTTGGTCCACGCATGAAGTATTCGTGTTGTCTGTATCCGAAGGGAACCGAGACGTTGGCGCAGGCTGAGATTGCTATGCTGGAGAGTTATGTTGAGAAGGCACAACTCAGGGATGGCATGAGAATATTCGACCTTGGGTATGGCGTTCGTGTCTATCAAGTCGTCTGTGACAGTGTACTAACAGGATCAAAAGTTGTGGATGGGGCTCTTTATCACTCTACCTGGCAGAAGTCTTCCCAAACGCCAAGATCACAGCACTTTCAAACTCAAAGACACAAAAGCAGTATATCGATTCCGAGGCCAGTCGAAAAGGACTTTCAAATCTCAACGTAGTAACAGCAGACATTGCCGAGCACACTTTCACTGCCACAGAACTGGAAGGCGCCTTTGACCGAGTCTTGAGCATCGAGCTCTTCGAACACATGAAAAACTACGAGCTCCTCCTAGCCAAAGTCTCCACCCTACTCAAACCAGGAGGTAAACTCTTCGTACATCTCTTCGCTCACAAGGACTCCCCCTACGATTTTGAGACGGGCTGGATGACGGATTTCTTCTTCACCGGTGGCACGATGCCCTCGGCTGATCTGATGCTGTATTTCCAGCGCGATCTGCAAGTCACTCAGCAATGGTGGGTCAGTGGCAAGCATTACGCCCAGACGTGCAATGACTGGTTGAAGAAGATGAACGCGAGTAAGGTGGAGATCTGGCCGCATTTGGAGGAGACGTATGGGAAGGAGGAGACGTTGAAGTGGTTTCACCGGTGGCAGGTGTTTTATATGGCTTGTGCGGAGTTGTTCGATTGGGCGGATGGTGATACTTGGGGTGTGTGTCATTATCTGTTTGAGAAGCCTGCGCGGTGAGTCGTTATTCGTCCCAGCGCTTCGTCAGCCCGGTAGATGAGATAGTTCGCCTTATGTGGCTCGAACGAGGTGGAGGAGGTTGGCCTCAAGCCTGAGGCATTTGGCATGACAAGCTGCAGCCTCGAAATACCCATACCAGATATGTGACTACTTGGTCGGCTGCGCTCCATGCCCGTTAGCAAAAGCCTTCGCGCCCGCCGCATTTCCCTCCAATCCCACCAATTGCTTTGGATCACCCGGAATAATCATCTCAAACATAGTATCTTTTCTCACAACAGTGTACTGATGATACCCACACCTCGCGATCGGCCTTACCTTATCCAGATCAATCATCCCGTCCGTAAGCACTTTCTCATCGATATGAATTGCCGCCACTTTCCCAATGACCACGTCCACCGATCCCATGGGTGGGTTTCCTGGTAGACGGAGCGTAGTATAGTACTTGCATTCAAACTTGATAGGACTCTGTTTGACCATAGGCACATTAACAGTCCTGGCTTGTTCCTTCTCCAGACCAGCTCGTTGAAACTCATCGACATCACGGTCGAACCACTCAGCTGATGCATTGACGGCTTCTCGCAGATCCCAGGTGGCGACATTCCAGCAGAATTCTCCTGTACTTTCAGCGTTGACGGTGGAGTCCTTTCGATTCTCGTTCATGTCCGTGTTGGCTGCAAACATCACGTATGGCGGGTCAAAGGTAAGGTTATTGAACTGTGAATACGGCGCCAGATTGTCCACGCCGTTCTTGCTGCGTGTGGAGATCCAGCCTATGGGTCGCGGTGTTACGCACGACTGCTTCTTGTTAGCTTTTACGTGTTTTTGGACAGAATGCATCTGACCTTGAATGGATCTCGTGGTAGCCCATGGGACGTCTTTCCCGGCTCGTAGAAGACACTCATGTTCCGATATCTCTTTCTACCGGGCTTGAAATGTGTGTATCGATGTTATCGCGGCTGAGAGAATTGCGATCTATGTTTGCATTAGAAAAGTGTGGTGTATATTGAGTCGGATCGTGGTTGATGAAGTGGATCCGTTGTCGGCACTTCACAAGTGATCGGCTATTGTGCACGGCTGGCTGTTCCCTACAAACTCTACTCGTACAGACGATATGTGGTCTTATACGACATGCTTGGGTTGTGACCAGTGTACTTATCGATACTCTTCACTTCATAGCTACACTTACCACGGCACGACTCGCACATTGTGCCACCCACCACCAGCACCCGACTTCATCCCACCCCGCCCGCCAACTCGACCATGATGCCTTCCATTCCACGTAACATTTCCGTCGCAGCCAGCAGGCAAAGAAGGCAGCGTAACACTCCCCGTCGTGCCCTCTGGCACCTTCCACGAAGCCTCATATCCCCGTCCGCCATCCGTCACATTCCACAACGCTTGGAACTACAAGCAGCGAAGAATAAAATTAGCTCATGCTTGAGAGTTTCTCTCACGATAAAGAGCAAGACTTACCACCCCAAGCTTCGTCATAAACCCACCCTGCACACTAGTCAAGTCTCCGAACTGCGGCGCAAACCTCCACTCACTACCCGCTGGCCCCGTAACCTCAAGCCCAAGAATATAATTCGTCAATGCGCTCGTCGGACCCGACGACCAGCCATGAGCGTGGCTCACATATGAGCTATCGTAATTATACCTGCCACCAAGTCAGTATAAACCACCTCACAGTTCGCAACCCAGCCGAGCCAGGTAAGGGAAGCTAAGAACGAACCCTCGATAATTCCTATACCCGAAACTCCCGTTAGTCAAATACCCCTCAATAACCGTACTCTGCGTCCCATTCGGATTGTTCAAATACCAGCCCCAACTCCTCCTAATCAGGTCCAACGCACGATCGGTCTGTCCGATAGTAAAATGACCCTGGATCTCGAAACTGCTGATGAAGGGACTGATATTGTTCACCAGCTCTGGCGCCTCAGCACCAATGGGTGTCCAGTTATCTGTTAGGCGCTCGGAGACAGATTGAGCTTGAGAGGAGGTGTTGGAGAGGACACCGAAGAGGAGCGCCATGCTGTTCGCGTCTTGAGGATGCAGGGTCGTGTCCGTGTTATTGTCTTTGAACGCACCGTAGGCGGTATCATAGGTGTTCTTGATGATATTGCCTGCTAACGTCTCTGCTCGCGCCGTGTACGTCGAAGCGAGAGAGCTGTTGCCTGCCCATGTCGCGAGAGAAGAGCCAGTGATTAAGGTGCGGTACAATATCATATTGGCCTCGGTGTTATTGCCACCTTGCTGATTGCGAGCCCAATCACGGGTACCGGTTACATTGAGCAGACCATCCGGCTGCAAGACCTTCTTGTAGACATATTCCATAGCGAACTGGTACTGGCCCCAGATATGCTGTAGGAAAGCTGTATCATTTGTGTAAAGCACGTAGTTGTACGTCCTGCCCGAATCAGTCAGCGCACTATGGCCAATATGTAGTCCAAGACTCACCCAATCATAGTCCACATATGATAAGTATCACTCCCTTGCTGCAACAACGGTGGCCCAGCCTCAGGAAAGCTCCCATCCTTATTCTGATGTGCATACATGGTCAATAGCGCATTAACCACACTCTCCAAGTCACCGATCGAGACAAAAGTGGAAGGGACAGCGATTCCCATGTCGCCCGGCCAGACGGCACGATCACGCTTCGCACCATCGACTATCACCGTCGAGCCATTGGACAGTGTCCCATTGTTTGCCCAACCAGAAGTCAGCGCGGGGATCCACCTTCCAGTATCGGTAGGGACGTTGTTGGTCTGGAGGGTGTAGGCGCCGCTGTACCAGATTTTGTTGAGCTCGGCGTCGTCGGAGTGGAAGTAGCCTTGATAGGCGCGGAGGTTGGACCAGGTAGGTTGGAAGCCGATTTCGAGCGTCACGTCGTTAATATCAAGGGCTGTGCCACTGCTGTTTGTAAGCAGAAACAAGGTGAGATATCTAAACCCGCCTCGGAGATGTGGCAAGTCCATCGTATAGCTGTGATTGCCAGCACTGGTGAAGTAGTCGTGAAGAGCTCCCTCGTTGCAGCCTTGGTCGATGTTGTTCCTCAGAGACGCATTCGAGCTGCCGAAAGCGCCATTGGATGAATCGCTTGCTAGACCGATCCAGTTTCTTGCTTCTGTGAAAGCGAGACCTAGGGATCCAGAGCCGCCTGTTGTGCTGTATTTGACTGTCACGATCCCGCCCACTTCAATGCCGAAATCGTAGACTAGTGCGGTGCCGTTGCCTTCTAGTTGAGAGGTTCCTCGGTAGGGTGTGGTGGCGGATGTGTCGTCCAACGAGAACACCGTGGCTGGAGAGACAGTACGGCTTGCGGGCGAGAAGTTGTTCGCTTCCCATGGTCCTGGGAAAGCTGTGTCGGTTGGGCCTGTGCAGTTGGTGTCCCGCCAGCATGTCAGGGATGAGGCAAGTGGTACAAGAGCCAATGCTGCAAGTCCCAGGCCTGCCATGGTCGATCGAGATCCCATCCTCAATCTACGTGTATGGCGAGAGTAGTGAGGATTCGTAGAGGAAATATTGTGGCAATAGAAAGGAACTCGACTTACATACTTGCCTACTTGACACTACTACGCCATGAGTGCTCTCGTACTCGCGCCATATTCGACCGAAAGCTTGCCCATTCAGCCAATTCTTCCGTAGGATGTTCCTGCAGTGCTGATCTCTACTGTACCCCGCAAGGAAGACACGGAGATGGAATGCGAGTCTTGACATGACGTGAGTCGAAATACGCCGCAGCTTACAAGGCGCAGAGACTGACGCGACATGACCAGGACGGCCGCTGGCACTGCCTGTGGTAGCGGAGCAGTTTACTTTCGATGTATCCGTGGTGTAGTGACGCTGAAATAGAAGATGCGGCGAACTTCGGAGGTCTGCTGCATGACTAGTGCGGTCACATGCTGCCAAGAAACATGAGTCTGGATCTCCAATAGTTCTGTAGATTGAACACATACACTTTCATGCCTTCACCACATATCACACTCCGCAACACTCTACGATATGGCCGACGTTGGATCACCAGTCCCGGACTCTCTCCCAGCAGCAGCCTTCGAAGACACCACCGCACCACCCACCACCTCATCCACCGAACTCACCACCACCACCAACACCGATGGCACCGTAACCAAAGTCAAAAGGACCAAAATCATAAAACGTAAACGACGACCCGCCCGGCCCCAACAAGATCCCGCCCTCTTCAAATCCATACCGCCACCGCAAACAGGCACAATCTTCAACATCTGGTACAACAAATGGTCCGGCGGCGACCGCGAGGACTCTCTAAGCAGCAAATCCCAAGCCAAAGGCCGATGCAACGTAGCAACCGACAGCGGCTACACGCGCGCCGATAAAGTCCCCGGATCCTACTTCTGTCTCTTTTTCGCTCGAGGATTGTGTCCTCGGGGTCAGGATTGCGAGTACCTGCACCGCTTACCCAACAGCCGGTCAGCTAAAGAGGGTGGCTTGGGAGATATTTATCCTAGTAATGTGGACTGTTTTGGACGGGATAAGTTTAGTGATTACCGGGATGATATGGGAGGGGTGGGGTCTTTTATGAGGGTGAACAGGACGTTGTACATTGGCCGCATACACGTCACAGACGATATCGAGGAAGTCGTGGCCCGCCACTTCCAGGAATGGGGACAGGTGGAGCGGACTCGTGTTTTACCCAGTCGCGGTGTGGCTTTCGTCACGTATACACATCTCGCAAACGCCGAGTTCGCGAAAGAAGCCATGGCGCATCAGATGCTGGACAACAACGAGACCCTCAACGTGCGTTGGGCGACAGTCGATCCTAACCCCGTCGCGCAGAAACGAGAGGCGAGGCGCGTGGAGGAGCAGGCTGCGGAGGCGATCAGAAGGGCGCTGCCGGCCAGTTATGTGGCGGAGTTGGAGGGGAGGAGGTGGGAGGGTGCGGATCCGCAGGAGGAGAGGAAGAGGAGGAAGATTGAGGGGAGTTTTGGACTGCAGGGGTATGAGGCGCCGGATGATGTGTGGTATGCTTCTGAGAAGGCTAGGCTGGATGCGCCGGAGGAGAAGAGGATGCTCGAGGCGCCTGAGGCGGAAGATGGGGATGAGGAGGAGATGGTGGGAGGGGTGGCAATCCAGGACGAAAAGGTCGAGAGTGGGCTGCTTGGGGCGTCAACGTTGGCTGCATTGCGAGGGTTCAAAGCTACGAGCACAGAGACGAAAGCGCCTGACAGACCTTCTGGTGCATTGGTGGGCTATGGAAGTGATAGCGAAGATGATGATGATGATTGATCGTCCATGTACGCGAGAACGTAAAGGTCGATCATGGCAGCAGTACTTTGGACCCGCGCTTAACGGCCTGTGTATACCTTTAGCGAGCGGCGCTGGTTCTGGGACTCATATCAGCCATCTTTCCCACGATTCTCCATGACTGTAGCATACCTATCGAGTGAAGCGAAAGCTTTTCACTAAGACGGCCACTTCCAGCTTTTCTGCCAGCTGTCCAAAGCGACTTCACGTTTGCATTCAGTGTTGGCAGATTATTGAGCGGTCGCTGAACGCTGATCGTAAGCTCATCCCCTTGCAGTCTGTCCCTCATCCGACATGTCCAAAATCCAAATGTTCACCCCCTCAATGATTGTTGCGGTGGTTTGGAAATGGGACCTCTCAGCCTAAAAGTATTGCCACAAGCGCCAGGCATGCCATCACCCACAACCTCGAACCACCAAGCCGTACAGCAAAAGACTTTTTCGCCTTCTGCGTACCACTAGCCACCGCTTGTGTTGGGCCTCCTGCCGCAGCAGCCGCGCTCAACGACACTTGCGTCGTCACCGCCGTCGCCTTACTCGTCAAGCCTTGCAGCAAGCTAGCACTCACAGTCTGTCCATCTACCACAAGCCCATCCGCAACAGCAGAAATCGTTTCGCCAGCTATCGTAGCTACTAAATCCCCCGCTGTCAGAGTCACGGTACCTATGGCGAAGACTCCGGGTCCGATCTCTGTTGCTGTTGTTTGCTTGAAGGATTCGGTGAGCAGGACACCAAATGTAGGACGAGGAACGAGCGTAGAGGCGGTGAGGCTTTGACCATTGATTACAAGACCTTTGTCCGCAGCTGAGAGAGTCTGGCCAGATATCATTGCGGCCGGTCCTCCCACGGAAAGTGTTGCGGTACCGAAGACGAAGATTCCAGGAGCCATCTCTGTGGCTGTGGCGAGGATTGAGCCTTGAGTGAAGACCACGCCAGTTGGTGCTGGTGGCAAGCCTGAGGCAGTGCAAGAAGTACCGTCCACCAAGAGACCACTTGGTCCAGCAGAAATCGTGCGGCCAGATATCGACATGGCTGGGCCTCCTGCTTTGAGAATCGCTGTGCCTACAGCAAAGATGCCCGGAGCGATTTCTGTGGCCGTAGCAAGACTTGTCTCTTCTGTGAAGACCACTCCGGTCGAAAGAGCTGGAAGGCTAGATGCTTTGTATGAGGTACCATCAACAACCAGACCAGAAGCGCCAACTGAGACAATGTGACCCAATACAGTCATAGCCGGACCATCAGCAGACAAAGTTGTCAAGCCTATTGAGAAAACACCTCGACTGATCTCCGTAGCTGTAGGAAGATTCAGACTTGCTGGAAAGCGAACGCCGCTCACAGCGGGACTCGTTCTTGGTGGAGCAGAAGCTGCTATGGTCTGTCCCTCAACAACGATCCCAGAGTCCACTGCAGATGCTTTTAGATCAGAGATCGTGGCAGCGGGCCCACCAGCACTTATTGTCTTCGAGCCGATCGCAAAGACGCCAGGGCTTATCTCGATCGCTGTGACGGATAGGGCACCTTGAAAAAGCACAATTCCACTGGGCGTGGCAGTCGGTAATGCAGACGCCAAACAAACTTGTTCGCCCGTTTACAATGAGACCCGAAGGAATGGCCGAGAAGGACTCCCCAGCGGCAGCAATAGCTGGTCCACCAGCAGTGACAAGTGCCGTTCCAATTGCAAACACACCTGGCTCCACTTCTGCGGCTGTAACCACGCGCGAGCTTGCGGACAATACGACACCTGACTGTGACGAACCAGCGGCTTCGACCGTCAGCGTCTGTCCATTGACGAGTAGTCCAGAACTCGCTGCAGAGAAAATCTGGCCAGATATAGTCGCCGCTGCGCCGCCTGCACTGAATGTGACAGAGCCGAGTACAAAGGTGCCAGAACCGAGCTCGGCAGCTGTCAATGTCTGCGAGCCTAGCGTCACGGGAATTGCGCGTGCCAAGGTGGTTGATGCTGGACTCAGAGGAGTTGTACTTAGTGACTTCCCGCCGCCCAGAAGTACTAAGCCTGCTGCTCCAAGACTAACGACTTGCCCAGATATGGTAGCTGGTGGGCCTCCGACTGATAATATAGAGTCACCAAGTCTGACAGTGCTCGGAGAGCCAACCTGAACAGCTGTGAAGGTTTGACCGCCGATCGTGACGAGGGCACCTTGCGTAGTTGGTGCAAGAGTCCTGGGAGCGCTGTACGAAACTGTTTGGCCATTGACTATAACACCACCAGAGGCAGCGCTGATCGTCTGTCCATCAAGCAATTGAGCTTGGCCGCCCACGGTCAGCGTAGCAGCGCCTATGACAGCGAAGTTTTTGTTTTCACTAGCGCTCGCTGTGTATGCAGTCCGAGCGATTGTCACAACAGCGATAGACGCCTGCGACACCTGTGCGCCTTGATTCAGGGCGGTCTGCACGGCTTTTACGATGCTCATTGCGGTGCCAGTGACCGGGACCTCATCTGGTGATTTCAGGGCCGAACCACTTGATGCTCCAGGCTTAAAGACTGCTTCAGGCGTGCTACCCACGATGCCTCCGTCACTTCCAGAGCCTGCTTGTTCTGTTTGATCGGCTGAATGCCCCACCGCCTCGGTCTGTAACGCCGCTGAGAGTATCGAGACAGCATTTGGATGGCTGATTAGCGCTGGAGCAGCTTGTCCGGTGGTTACAGCAGGACTCGCGATCGTGGTAGTTGCCACGCCTGCTCCGTTATTCATATCTCCCTCGGCGGCTCCGAATGAAAGAAAGCTCATAATGATGGCAGCTGGCGAGGATTCCAGCGTTTGATCTGTTGCAATAGCTGGGTCATCGTCCAGCAAAGGACTACTATCTCCTGTTGTGACAGGAGCCGGGATATTCGTGGGAGCATTGTCGTGAGTTTGAAGTTGCGTTTCCGAACCACAGCTGTTCGAAAAACTGGGGTTTGTTGCTGGTGGTAGGCTTGACAATATTTGTGGTGCCGAGGGCCCGATGTCTCCTCCTGGCATACAGCAACCTCGGCATGTAGAAGTACATGGAGTATCCACAGTTGAGACAGAAGTGTGAACCGCTTCAGGATGTCTAACATAGGAGGGTCCGTACTGGTAGCCCGACGAGATAGGCTCTGGTGGCTCGAAACTGCCGAGCAAGGCAATGGCACAGTCTGCAAAACTTGGATGGAAGGCTCGAACCTGTGTCGGCACTGCTAGTTGCGGTACATACGCACCGTTGAAGATGGTGCTACACTCAGGATGAGGACCTCGTAAGTTGCAGCCAGGCGCACCATCCGGACGAAGATAGTAGGCTTCCGCGGGCGGTGCGCCCAAGCCGCGGTAATTGACTGGTTCCACACGATAGGATGCAGTGGTTGAATTGTTCCATAGCACAGTATTGCTCGCAATACGCTGCATCCACTGTTCGTAGTCTCGGCCACCATGTGCAATGGCACTGACAGCACTAGCTGTGTTTACTCCGGGGCCCAGATCCCTGACAAGGCTCGACAGCGCAGTGGTTTGCAGCTCTAAAAGAGTCCAGCCCAACGTGAAAGCTCGGGGTTTCTTTGACGCCGAGCTGTTCTCCACCACTTTGGGCAATGCGCCAAGAGGAGCGCTGGTGATACAATGCTTGCTCGATGCTGTTGGCGTACGAGCAGATACCTCGTACAGAAACAGGTACACTGAGGGGTACGTCATCTTGACAGTCCCAAACAAGGCCGTCATGGGTTCCGATGTGTTGTAGTACTGGGTTCCGGTGGTATTGCCCTTGGCGTCGACGACAAACGAAGGCCAATAGAATAGTCGACCGAGGACAGCCTCGATCTGACATTGTCCGTCAGCAGACGATGGACTGCTGCAGGTAGCCTGGGTATTGTCCAATGCACAGCGCGGCCTATTCGTTGGCATTGGTGTAATCATTGGCTCTGTCGCATTGGCGACGTTCGTTGGTAGTCCAAGGCTATTAAGGTAGCTCTGCCACATGCTGCTACACTGAGCAGTGGCAATAGCGCATGTCGGACGCGGACTCGTCAATGTTGCGTTTCTGGTGGATGTATATGTCTGTGTTTCGATGCTGGTCTGCAGATAGCGTGTAATGTACTGTGTGACCGAGGTTGGTGTCAGCGTACCATGCGCTCGCGGATAGCCGTTCACAGTCGTATGAACATTAGCATGCCCGTATGTGGCATGGAAAGTTAGGCTGTGGTTGCTTTCGATGCGTGTGACGACTGAGGTTGTAAGCTCGGGCTCGAAGGCGTTACTCCAGGCAACATAGCTGGCCTGACAAGCTTCCCAGTGCGAAGCATTCACGTTATGAGGATGTAGCGAAGCATTGCCAGATGGACATGGTAAGTACATGCTGGCTCTTGACGTGGAATTCTGGGTCTCGATGGCGGCACTATGCGTAGCATTCAGTATCATGTGTGCTGTCGGCACGACAGATGCTGATGATACCATAGTCCCAGAAAGGTGTGCCGCAAGTGTCGTGTTGGCCCCAACCACGGTGGAATATGGAGACGAGCTATGTATCGCAGACGTCGCAGTGCTCGCGAGTATCATGCTAGGGTTCGAACTGCCATTTAGTATGTTTGCTGGAAAGAACGAGACAGAGGCATGTCCATATATGCTGCCGTGCATAGATGCACTTGTCGAGGACGAAGCAGCCATAGTGACGGTGCCGGTTACGGAGTGTATGGTCTGGTTCGATGATACCCCTAGACCATTTAAGATGTATGCACCAATGTTTGCTGATGACGACGGCAATGGCATCTGAACACTAGTCGGGCCAAAACTGCCATCCTCAGCGGTAACATTCCCGACGGTGATTATGCTATCGAGGCTGGAGGTCGCATCGCTCGATATGTCAGCTTTTGACGGTCCTGTGAACAGCGTTTCGTTCGACAATGCCGACGAGCCTCCTGTGGCCGGCGAAGGAACTGTTGGTGGGTCAGACTGCGTAGAAAGCTCGATTGATGTGGCGATCTGAGTCTTCCAAGTCGTACTCGTAAAGCTAATCTGCTGGGTCGAGTTGGCATAATATACAGTGCCTGATATCGTTAGCAGAAAGACTGGTAGACTGAAGAGGAGATGGCCGGATATAATTAGCGACAGTTGCGACAGAAATTCTTGCTTGCAGAATGCAGAAAGTGAAGCAGAATGCTGTGTAGGTATGCATGATGACGATAGGAGATCACGAAACGAGTGTATAGAAGGGAGACTTTGCCACGAGATAACGAGAGCTCGACAGAATGAACGTCGAAGATTGGCATGTATACTTCGACTTACTGTGTCCTAGGTATACCATACGCTGAGGGCCTAAAAACTCGCCACTCTCCAGTATGTCGTTCGACAGGCATGAAGGGACAGGGCTGCGCAAGCCACGACTGCAGCATGCATATGGAAACTGAATGCACTTACATGTACAAGAAGGCGTCGAAGCATTTTGTACCTCTCATTGCTGGTCCGATCTGCTTCTATGAAAGACGGGTTGTTCAGCTGAACCTCCCCATTCCGCCCCAGCAGCCAATGAAAGCTCGGTATCCAGTCTTACCTCACGGCCTTGACCTTTAGGCGATGAGTCTTGCCGTTTCGCTGGGTTACATCGCGTTACAGCCTTGAGGCAGCCCGCGCTATTCGGGAGAAAGGCTCCTGCATTTCCCACGTGTTTGGGATGAAGTGGGTCCAGACTTCAGATCAGTTTGTCTGTTTTACTACACACCCACGACGGCCAGATCGGGTTCCATGTGACAGCCTACGTCCATGTATGGCGGCAGCGCTGGCCGAGTAAGGTTCCCGTAGCGTCTCGAAGGGACGCACGATGGATGTGTTGCGTTTGATGAAGAGAAGAAAATCATGTTGGCAAGCGTGAAGGTGTGCCAAGACCATAAGGCTGAGTGGTTGGTTCCAGATCGTGACCGAGGCCAACGTAGCAATCTTCCCGTGAATGTAGACCAGACAGCAAATACAAAATGTCGGACTTCATATGGAATTGAAGCATGGCGAAACACGATGAGAGAGAAGTACAAGCTCATCACATGTAGGGCAGGAATGCGGCTGCAGAGCTTGAGAGGAGGTTGTCCGGCTCATGTTACCCGCTTGCCGAAAGGACAAGAGATAGGGCATATGTACGGCTGAACGAAAGTATAGTATCTTGACGATTCCTCCAGCTCGTATGAACATCTTGTCAAGGTCTCCAGATCATAACTTGCCACTGAGCTGTATGAGAAAAGTCGACGTCCACTCTAACATCCTTCCGCCACGCCAACCATGGCATCCTTCCAAAACAAAGCAATAGCAATTACAGGTGGCGCATCAGGCATCGGCCTTTCCCTCGCCAGACTCCTCGCCCAACGGGGTGCCAAGCTCAGCATAGCGGACGTATCACAACAGAACCTCGACAACGCCTCTTCAACGCTAAGGGAGCACACGTCAAGCTCAGACGACGTCTTGGCCACGAAATGTGATGTCCGCGACTACTCATCCGTACAGCACTGGCTCCAAGCGACCGTTGAGAAATTCGGGCAGATCGACGGCGCGGCGAATTTGGCGGGAGTGTTCAAGAGGGCAGAGCTGACGGCTACGGAGGCGGATATGTGGGATTTTATCATTGGAGTAAATCTGACTGTGAGCATTCTTATCCTTTTCGTAGTCGATTGATGCGACTGACGTAGATTTACAGGGTGTAATGCACTGCCTCAAAGCCGAGCTCAACATCATGAAGAAAGGCTCCAGTATCGTCAACGCAGCCTCGATCGCAGGTCTTCGTGGCCAGGCTGGGAGTGGAGCATATGCAGCATCCAAGCACGGAGTCATCGGCCTGACTAGGGTTGCAGCTGTCGAAAGTGGTCCGAAGGGTATCCGTGTCAATGCGGTGGCGCCGGTACGTCCTTGTAAACGTCCCATATGGTAGCCCGAATTTGTTAACTGACTTCTACGTTGTAGGGCTATATCAACACTCCAATGCTGGACCAGGCGACCGGAGGTGCCAACATCCAGGAAGGTCTCGACAAGGTGCCGATTTCGAGGAAAGCTGACCCGGAGGAAGTCGCAAAGGTCATTGCATTCCTGCTATCAGATGAGAGCTCTTTCGTGACGGGTGCAATATACAGTGTCGATGGTGGGTGGAACACCTAGGTAAATGTTCGTACAGCTTGAATGTTTGTCCTCATATCTGCATCGAAACCTCACCCCTTGCGCCTCGCTGGAAACGCTGCAAACTTGTAATCGGTCAAGAGGCGCAGCTCTTTATGTCCCTGCCCTCTCCATCATGCCCACGCCATTACGTATCACACCGACGAGTCCACCAGTCTGCACAGTCTCACTGCCGCCACCACTTAACCTGTATTCAATATCTGCTAGCCCTTCCAGCCACGACACTCTCGTCTGTGCCGGGACATCGACCTCGCTTAGCTGCTCGCCAAGGGCAGTAAGGATGTCTGCCAGAGCGAGACCTTTCGCGCGCTTGAGTGTGTTGATCGTCGTTAAGCACGACCCGATATTGCTGGTCGTAAGTAGTGTCTGGGCAATGGTCTGGATGTCTGCTGGATGTGGCGCAGCTATGCAGTCGTAGATGGTTTCCTGTGTGATGAGATCGCGCTTAATGTCTTTCGACTCCTTGACAGGCTTGCCGGGCACGTGAAGTGGAGTAGAAGAGGCATGACATGCTTGAAGCACGTTCAGAGCACGACGCATATCACCCTTAGACAGTGTCACGAGGCTGTCGGTCGCATCAGGTGCGATGTTAACGCGCTCCTCATCGATGACTTTGTCAACCAGACGTCTGATATCGGGTTCCTTTAGTGGCGAAAATCTGAAGCGGGTGCATCTTGACAAGAGAGCAGGCGACAATTTGTGCGAGTAGTTGGCAATGATGCAGAAGCGAGTATTCGCAGTGTACTTCTCCATAATCCGACGCAAGGCCATCTGAGCAGTACCTGTCATGGCATCTGCTTCGTCGAGGATGATGAGCTTGTAGCTTGCAATGCTCTCGGACTGCGCTTTGTCGAAGCTCCCAGCAAAGATCTGCTTGGTGGACGAGAACGTCTTGATTTGCTCTCGAACTACGTCGATACCTCTATCATCGGATGCATTGAGCTCCAGGACCATTTGCCGCATATTCTTGTTGCCATATATCCTTCTGGCAAGGGCCAGGACTGTGCTGGTCTTGCCAGTACCAGGCGGCCCGTATAACAGCAGGTGCGGTAATCGATTTGTGTCTACGAATCTGTTGATCGTCGCCAGAATGTCCTGGTGTCCACTGACATCTGCCAGCGACGCTGGTCTGTATTTCTCCACCCATGGTAATGTGTCTTCCGCTTCTACCGGCAGGTTGGCGGCGCTGCGTTTTCCTTTTGTGTCTGTTGCGGAGGAAAATTGGATGTCAGAGGTCGCCTTGGACGCATCCTCCATATCGATGTCATCTTCGTAGTCTGACATTGTGATGTCTGTCGATGTTGTGGACTTGATCTGATGTTCGAGAAAGACGCGTCGTGCACGCGTACAGTGCAGTGCCTGAGGCCACCACAAATCCAACCCACCTTGGGATGACGACTTTCCACAGGCCACAGCAATGGCCAAACAGTAACAAACACATAGAAAGCTTCGCAGACTCACAGCCACCCCGATTGGATACGTCACGAAATTAGCACCGCGAATCGGGCCAGTGTCCAGCTGAAGCGCATACCTTCGCGACCATGCCGGCTTACCACAGCGTCTTCCTCGATGAGCCAAACCAGCAGATCATAGGCAACTTCGCCCTCCTACCACTACGAACAAAGACCCGAGGACCGGCACAACAGCTACAACAACTCACGGACACAACCGAGCTCGACATCGAACCCTCACACACAGCGTACGACCCTCTAGACGAGATCCTCAGCCTATTCCGCGCCAACACATTCTTTCGCAACTTCGAGATCAAAGGTCCCGCTGATCGCGTACTAATCTATGGCATCCTCTTCGTCTCAGAAGCGCTATCGAAGATCCGACCAGGAATGTCACGGCGAGACGCGGAGAAGAACGTCATGAACGTGGCATTGGACAACAACTTTGCTATCCCTGGCGATGCTGCTTTCCCTCTCAACCAAGCGTTTGAACCACCGAGGGATAGGAACGAGGCGGAGGTGCTGAGGCAGTATATCATGCAGATGAGGCAGGAATTGGCTGCGCGATTGTTGAACCGAGTGTATGCGGATGGGAGTGGACAGCCGAGCAAGGTATGTACGGTCACGCGCGCATGGGCATGGTTTGGGGGGCAAGCAATGTGCTGACAGTCTCGACAGTGGTGGCTTAGCTTCCAGAAGCGAAAATTCATGGGCAAGCAGCTGTGAGCTCGATCGGACCCTGCACGCAGTGTACATACATGATGGCACAACGAGACGAAGCCGAAGCCGCGCAGATCGAATACGAGCTGTAGCTCATGATATATTCCATCATGACAATAGGGCTCTTGACCGTTGTGATGATGCGGCATCTGACGCGCAGTCTAGCTATCAATGGCTATGCAGGTTCTGAGGAAGACTGCCAGACATAGTACACGGATTATTGCACTGCACAGCCATAAGATGGGGTGTTCCTTCAGTGACCAGACGGATCGTTTGCGATAGTAGTGTGCTGCATGCAAGCAGTCCTCGTGTAGATCTAGCAATGCCCTGCACTATCTACAAGCACAAGCATGGCACCGTATCGTGTCAAGACCCTTTCCGCATAGATCTCTCCAGTGTCACAGTGCGAAGCCTTGTTGTCCGGCAGCCAACCCGTCTTCGCCTACGTCAAGCATCGAATGGAGTGTCTTGTACTTCACGTGCAGCTCCTCATCGGGACAAGCGGATCTCTAAGCCTCGATGCCAAGCCGCCTCCGCCCAAACGACGATCGCGCTAGAAGTTGCGAAGAATGACTCTATTCGTCTCGTAGATGGTTGCTTCGATCACGCCCTGCTTGTGCCTCGTCGTCTGACCACTTAGCTGTCCGCAATGGCACTCGAAGGATTCGTTCAAGTTAAGTAGCTACTCGGTTCGTAAGTCGTATGTGGTTGCCGCTCGAACCTCAGGCCACAGCTTCGCCACCTTTTGATCAGCAGGCTGAATTACTCTACTCCGTTTCGCTACGGCTTTGTCGTGGAGGCATATCTATCTCTTTCAGCTCTACCTTGTACTGTCTTATCTTCTTGCGAGCTCCTTCTAACTATCGAGTTTCCGTTAAAACCTGATAACATTTTGAAGCAACCAATACGTCCAACCATGCCTTCAAGGCTATCCAAGTTGTTTCGGTCCGAGAAGTTGGACAAGGAGAAAGAAGCAGAGGCTGATGCAGAACGTAGTCGCTCTAGCGGCGACGTTGCTCCTCCAGCCTACGCGCCACCCGAATACGACCAGGACAATGTCCTCGACCCACCAGACATGACAGCCGGCTTTGCCAATCTGAAGCTCAGCTCGAAGAACAAAGATGGCGTACCCACGATCGACGAGTGTGCTGCGCACCTGAAGCTCCTCGAGTGCTTCTACCGCCTCAAGCAGTCCATCGGCTCACGAGATGGGATCTATGGAATCTCGGACAGTGTTGTGACCCAACACATTGCCAGCGGCGACAAGGCGAATGAGCTACTAGCCAAGCTTGCTGAGAAGCGCTGGGCTATCTACCTACATCAAGCCGTCGACCGTTTCGATGCATGGCTACACGCTCTCATGCCCGATGCTAAGCCCATTACCTATACCGAGTATCAGACGACGGCTGAGAACGGATCACTGTGCCATCCCAGCCCTGCCAACCCACCTTTCGTGCTCGAACAGGAGCACTTACCGCCAGTCGATGTGCTCATGGTCTGGCATTCGTATATGCTCAACCCTAGAGCTTACCTGGAAGACTGTCTGCGACTCGGACGTATGCGACTATGGCATACAGACATGCCGTGGCACAGCATCTCGTCCAGTATCAATGCCGGAACCTTCAAGTACGAGCCTGGCGAAGTCACTGAAGGAGTCTTTGCCGGCATGACTGGTCTTAAATGGGACAGCGCTTCATCCGATGTCAAGGACAAGTCTATCGTATGCCCCTCGTGCCAGAGTCAGCTCTCAGTGCCATGGACGGCGATGTCTGAACCAACTAGAGCAGTCACCGAGTCGACCCTCCCCGACATCATCGACGGAATGCTCTCTACAGGCACAGGGTATTGTGACAAGGATCTCTTAGCATCCTGCCCAAGCTGCAAGACGACCGTCACGCACGAACGTCTGCGTGCTGGCAAGTTCTGCTCAGACATCAAGAAGTTGTTGAACAATGACACACCTATGGGTGGTACGATGCTCGGAACAAGTGGACTCCCGGGTAAAGCAGCCGGACAGCGCGACATCCTCTTCAAATACGTTACGCTACCGCCAAACAATATCTTGAGAGATGGTCTAGGTGGGAAGCTGCTCGCCTCCACCAAGGCGGAAGGTGACGGCTTCAGCGAGAGCATGCAGGGCATTCGAGATGTCATTGAGGCTGCTACACAAGACAAAGCTTACATGCGGAAGGTGCGCGGGAGTGCAAGCCATCGCTTGACGCGCGCAGAGAAGATTGGCATCCGACGCATGATGAGCAGGTATTGGGACAATAGCTCACCATTCGCTCTCGACTTGGTCGGAGCTGTTGTACGACAAGGCTCCTTCATCGAGAAGATGCATAACATCGACTGGTAAGAGAACTATCGACTGGCGTGTGGAGTGAAATGGTGCTGACTTCTTGTCCCTACAGGCTACACTCACCCGCACTTCCCAGCACCATGAAACGACTACTGACCAAGTACGAACGCTTCGTGCAAATCATGGCAGACCAGCACAACATGGCGGTACCAACTCTCGACGTCGACCTAGCATGGCATAGCCACCAACTCAGCCCGTCTGGGTATATGGAGTACACAATCAAAGCCACAAAGCAATTCATCGACCATGATGACAAGGTCGCCGAGACGAAGCTCAACGATGCCTTCGCCTGGACAAGCAAGACCTATCAGCGCCTCTTCAACGAGCCGTACAGTGAGTGTACATGTTGGTATTGCGAAGCTGTCCGCGAGAGCCACACAAGCACCGCCAGCCGTCTCTTCCATGGATCACAATCGCGAGTCACGGACAGCATGGTCCACAAAGTTGAGACCGATTCCGCGAAGAGCGTACACATCTCCAGCCACAACGCCGTCCGCCCATCGGATGACACGAACAAGTACCAAATAACAGCTTCCAGACAAGCTGACGAGCTCGACAAAGCATATCGTAAGGCTTGCATACGCGCCAGCAAGAACGGCAAGCCAGCACCAAAACGCGAGAACTACTCCTATTCCGATGCTTGGGGGTACCCGGTCTACATGCCTGCTTATGCTCCTTATATTGGATATGCTGGGTACTGCCCGGCTTACTATCCCATGAATCCAGGCTGCATGGCTGTTGGAGCAGGTATGGCCGGAAATTGCTGTGCTGGAACCTGTGGAGGTGGTGTTGCGGCTGGATCATGTGGTGGAGGCGCGGGGGCATGTGCTGGCGGTGCTGCTGGAGGGTAAGTCATGATCTCCTGTTTCCCTTGTGAATTGTGCTGATCGTCTTTTTTTAGATGCGGTGGCGGCGGCGCTGGCGGAGGCGGATGTGGAGGTGGCGGAGGAGGAGGATGCGGCGGTGGAGGCGGAGGCGGAGGATGTGGGGGAGGTGGTGGGTGCTAAGAAGGTGACTGAGCGTGTAGGCACGCAGATTGAGAGAGAGCTTGATGACGATCGAAGCAAAGAAACGGGATACCTGGCAGCCGTTCGCCAAACCACTATCATGAATACTTTACGATAGCAGTAGCTACTACGACTTGACGCTCAGCTGTCTGTACTTCTTATACCATATTCAGAGCTTCTTTCTCCGACGCAAGACACAAACCACGTGCAGGGACGGGCGCGTGAAACAATGTTCATGCGATCCACAAATTGACTCTGCCGACCTCATGGAGCATCGCTCCTTGGTACTAGAATCTCAAACTCTTCCCACTTTGCAAGGGACTGGTCTGTCTTGCGATAAGCCTTGAGTAGAGTATCGAGCTCCGCACGTGAACGTCGTCCAGCCACTAAACTGAGCATGCCAGCCGAAGTCTCAAACGATGGATCGAACACCAGCAACGATCTGGAGCCATCAGTCCTTCGTTCCAACCCAACGATGGTCATGGAATGCCCGAATCGCTGGAAGTACAGAGACGAGCGCTGCGTAAGCCGAGAGCTCCCACGGTTCTCGCTAGCCTCGACGCCACTGATGAAATGTGCTTCCACGAAATCGAGCAGACCCACGACAGCCAGCTCATGGGTCTCGTCCTTGAAGGAATGAGCTTCAACGCTGATGCCGATCTGGGTGAAGTACGCAGCTGCTTCAGACGTCCCTATCCACTTACGTGTACCACTGATTCCGCCCGTCTCGCGGCGTCCATGAGCAAGGATACCATCGTCCCACGCTTGCTCGATGCTGTCCTGGATCTGGAGTACATCCGGTGTACGACGTAAGTCCGGAAGCTCACCACTTGCTCGCAAATATGTGAGCAGCATTTGAATGTTCCAGTAACCGCAGAAGTTGCCATCGCAGCGTAGCTTACTTACGTGGTTGACGCCAGGGTGACAGAGATAAGTTACTTCATTCTCTGCGTCGCGAGCACAAAGACTGGCGAGGATCGGTATGAGCCCGGCAGTTTCATTTTCGATTACAGATTGCCGACTCAGCTTACCGTCTGCACCGATTTTATTGATGTGACGAGGCTTGCCGTCTTCCAGCAAGTGGCGCCGAACTTGGTCGGGCATGCGCTTCTCGAATGCATGAGGGCCGAGCTCGCGCCTGCCTAACCTGCCGGGAGGTGGTACAACTTTTGACTTTTTGCTTTGGGATCCCCCCAACGTAGAACTACCGGAGAAATATTCCAGCAGTGTTGGCGCAGAGGAGGCTGGTTGGGGTTTGGGTCGTCTGCTGCGTGACTTTTGTAGCTTGGCTTGCCGACCCGGGTCACTCTTAGCCAGTTGTTCTTCTGTCTTCGCGCTCACTGATCGCATGCTGGTGCTGTTATCCGATCCAGTCATTGATTCATGTACGGCCATATGCTCGTCCACGTCTGCTAGCAGGACATATTCGCCGCATCCAGGGCGTGTGCACTTTATAAATTGGCAATCTTCGGAGGCAAATTCTTGTCCAACAGCATTGCAGCGACGGTCGACTGCGTCGTGACCATGTCTTTGTGAAGATAGACCCAGGTTCTCTGCATGATTCTCTTCGACATGTGCTTCGATCACCAAAGGTTCAGGACTAGTGACGCCACAGAATGGGCAGGTGGCCTCAACCATGTTGGCCGGATGCCCAGCAGCGATGGGATTGTGTATGTACACGAACCAGCATGCTGACGAGGCAAAAGGTCATGCTCCAGCGAAGTCAAGTTATGTGAGTGAATGGAGTGTTTGCTTGGCCGCCAGTCGAGGTAGTCACGATTTGATGTACAGATGCCTTGATGCCTAATCAGGGTCCTCGATGCAAGCGACGGTTCTTTGCAGCCACCGATCGCGGGGTCTTGCTCGAATGCAGTCAGCACATGCGAAGAAGAATGGAGTCAGATAAAAAGTGTACGCGCCCTACAAGTGTATTATTGATCGAGTCTAGACGGCCTCGGCATCGATAGTTGAGTCATTGACATTTTCTTAGATCTTGGTAGGCTTGCTGTCCATTCTTCAGATCACACTTCTTCACATCACTATCTCCGCACCTTCTTCACATCCACAGCATGGCATCCAACGGCACATCGACCTTTCCTGAGCGCCCTTCTGCCTTCCGTTCCCAGTCTAGCCGTCAGAACGGACACTCTGATACTACTTCTTCTACCACAGCGACCAAGAGCTCAGTCAGCATGTCTAGCAATGGAACGCAATCCTCATTCGCCGTCAAGGCTGGTCTGGCACAGATGCTGAAGGGTGGCGTGATCATGGACGTCGTCAACGTCGAGCAAGCACGCATTGCAGAGGAAGCTGGTGCGTGTGCCGTCATGGCCCTCGAGCGAGTACCAGCGGACATCAGAGCACAGGGAGGCGTGGCGAGGATGAGTGACCCTGCCATGATTCAGGACATCATGCGTGCGGTCACCACCCCAGTCATGGCGAAGGCACGGATAGGACATCTCGTGGAGTGTCAGATCCTCCAGGCTATCGGCGTGGACTACATTGACGAGTCTGAGGTCCTCACACCTGCGGACCCAGTCAACCACGTGGACAAGAACCTGTACAACACACCTTTCGTCTGTGGATGCAGGAACCTGGGCGAGGCATTGAGACGCATCAGTGAGGGCGCGGCAATGATCAGGACGAAGGGCGAGGCAGGAACCGGTGATGTGGTAGAGGCTGTACGACACATGCAGACCGTCAACGCCGAGATCGCAAAGGCATCTTCAGCAACAGACGCCGACCTCAGGACCATGGCAAGAGAGCTCGAGTGCGACTACGCACTATTGAAGGAGACCGCCAAGCTCAAGCGTCTACCAGTCGTCAACTTCGCAGCAGGAGGTATTGCCACCCCAGCAGATGCGGCACTCATGATGCAGATGGGCTGCGACGGCGTCTTCGTCGGCTCAGGAATCTTCAAGTCTGGTGACCCTGCCAAGAGGGCCAAGGCTATCGTGCAGGCCACGACTCATTACAACGATCCAAAGGTACTAGCCGAGGTCTCCATAGGCTTGGGCGAGGCTATCGTCGGTATCAACTGCTTCAGCATGGGTGAGAACGACAAGCTAGCGAAGCGAGGATGGTGAAGTGGATAGACAGGCAGGAGGAGCCTCCAGCTACATGCATAGCACAGGCGTCTGAAAGTCAAGCTAGCAATACCGTATTCCTGCTCTCATGCACTATATACAGCCCATAACATCGTAGAATTATGCAATTGCTTGCCCCACTGTGCTGGTACAATTCAACGCCACGCTCATGCCAAACAGTAGGAGAAGCTTATAGTACAAAAGCCAAGGTCAAACCCATGCCAGCAAAGAGGGTGATCCGAAGGCAGTCAGCGACCACACTTACTGCAGCGGCGCTCGAGCTTCCCTTGCTAGAAGCGGTTGCACTTGTGCTAGCGCTTGCTACGGCGTTCACGCCACTGGACGCAGTGACTGGAAAGTTGCTGGCGACTGAAGCCGTCACTGTCCCACCAGTAGCAGAAAATGTCGAAGACATGGTGCTGCTGATGGTGGTGTTTGTGGTGGCAACAGCTTGTGAGTACGAGGTTGCTGTGCAAGCGGCGTAAGACGTCGAGCTCGTCCACGTAGCGTCTGTAGAAACGGATCCAGATGGCGTAGCTGTGCCGACTGTGGCGTAGTTCTGTACGATGCCAGACAAGCTAGTCGGAATTGCCGTCGAAAATGCGGTGTCGGTTTCTGTTAGTGAAGCGACGGATCTGATGAATGATGCGGCTTCTTGGGAGTCGATATTGTAGTAGCTCAAGTGACTCGTCTCGCTGTATGAGGTCTGGTTGGCGGCACAGATCGGGTCACTGGACACACACCAGTTGCGCATGATGTTTGCGTATGGTTGGAGCTTGGCGACTTGTGTCGAGTCGCGTGGGAACCAACCGTCGAGGGCAGAACCGTTGCCGTAGTTGTAAGTCATGTTTGCTGTGTGGCGAGTGTCGCCGAAGATCATCACAGCGGCGACTGTGTCTTGTCAGTGAACGCCTATGCGTGTTGATCGATTGACGTACCCTTGTTGCCAGGACTTGTGGTTGAGTCCATAGCTGGTGTCTCAGGCTGATAGCAGCCATTGAATGAGTACCCGCCACCACCACCAAGAATATCAGAAGCTATCTGACCGCCTTGCGAGTATCCGGCCAGAATGATCTTCGAGTCCGGACATTTCTCTGCATACGCAGTCATTTGCACATGGCCTGCGACAGCACCATCGTATGCAGTCTGGCAGTACAGATCCGTGTAAAGTGCTGAGAAGTACAAGTTCTCGTAACCACAACTTGCCAGACCATCGCAAGTCGCCTCTACCAAGGCCGCTTGTCGCCCAGGGTATGGCTCATTGTTGCCTCGAGCCAGAAAGAAATGCACATCGTCGCACACCGCACAAGGGTCCGATTGTGCACTCACGATAGCAGCTAAACCAGCCGAAGCAAGCGCCAAGCGAGTGTAAGAAGAAAAAGGCATAGTCGTGAAGATGGATATCAAAGTCTAAGTGACAATAAGAAGTCCTATAAGCATGCGACTACTCCAGACCCCAGGCTAGTGTGTACATAGTAGTGGTAGGATAACGCAAAACAGACCAAGCATTTCTTCCGGGCGTGGTACTCAACGGCATAGATTGCGAGCCGTGTCCGGACAAGTCTTGTAAAGAGCCAGTCAACCTATACTTGGCTACGCGTATCGATCCCTTAGTCAGTTCATCTTACTCACCCCTGCATTCAAGGCCGCGTTCGGTTTCGCCGGCTAAGACGTCGGCGCATGAGGCCAGGCGGCTTTGCAGATCTGTACATAGATGCATATGGTTGTGCCACTCGTGCAGTCTCACCGTATTTATCTTCCTTTGGCTGGCCTCTGCCGCGTTGCTTTAGGTGTGCCAACAGATGGTTCGAGGCTATCGGGAAATGCAAGATGTGCCTGGGCCGGAAGTTGTGGCGTATTCGTTAGCCTATTATGGTGTTTCGCTTATGTGGCCCCACAGAGAGTGCTCCGAGTCCTCAACCTCTATCTTATCCACCGAAAACAACCTGCATCGGTGTGAAGACTTCAATAAACCCTTTGTCCAGTCTCTGTGGATCAGCAGCACGATTCTCAGACCCGTCGTCTGGTCTGCACAGCAGTGATTAAAGCCGAGACGTTGGGTATGGCCCGGCCCGTCTGCCGTGACACGTGTGGCGTCAAACTCTGGCATTAGGACACCGACTCGTGGTTACATTCTCCCTCTGTTGAACACCGCACTTACACATGATAGATTGCATCAAGCCACCAGCAATGAGACGCAAGTATCCATTTGTTGCTGTATGACTCCACGATATCGATAGGCGTCTCTGCTAGACCCGCAACAGCGACGAAGAAACGTCTCCATGAACGACTATTCAAGGAGAGATGCCTATATTGCATGGTCTCGTACGGTCCACTGGACAACGTTTGCGAGCTCTTAGAGGTCGCGTGACTAATAGATTGGCATATCACGTCCAGAACCACTCCTGCGCGATGCTCGACGGGGTTTCTGTTCGTCAGACACCCACTCGATGAAGGTGGTCCAACGGGTAGCCATGCTCCAGCAGCACAAAGCGATGACAAGTCTGCTCCTGTCAAGATGGTCGAGATTATGCATTTCGTGCTATCACTCTTGTCCTGGAATTTCCAGGTGTCGTTCGATTTAAGCATCCCACGATATCGCAGGCTACGCAAACATGCACATATTGACTCTCTCGTGAGACTTTGTTGCGCTGTTTGCGACGAACACAACGCTCAGCAGAGCTCGTCCAGTGAGGTATACGGCAGCGCGATATGTGACCAATGCGTGGACAAATGTGTGATACCACTCTCTGAGCAGGTCGTTGTGAAAGAGACCAGCTAGTAGCCAAGATGGGCTCCTACCGCCTTGAGGCTGGAGAGTCCAAATCCTCGCTGTCACGAGACTTCTGCTGGTGGATCAATCCCCGAGAGAACGAACAAAGGATCAACCCCCCTCTGACAGGTTGTAAGGTACGCACAGTTTGTTGAAGTTGTCCTAGCTACAGTACGTCAGGGTGCAAGCGCGGATCAGCGACTGGCTCTGACCCCGACGGAGGTGGCTTTGGCTCTTAAGACAACCATGAGATTGTGCAGTGTAGAGCTATATCCAGACAGAGTACGCTCGAACCAGGGGAAAGAGGAAATGCTGCTACGGAAGGCAGACCAATCGAAAGCATACAGTGTTAGCATTGTGCCGGACCGTTGTGCAGCGCGTGTTCGTCGCCGATCTAAGTACTGCTTACGACCTCGTCCACAGCACTCGTGTTATACGTGCTGGCTATGGTGCACCGGAGCAATTGTACTGGACCGCCCTCCAGGCATTTCTAACACAAGACAGTAGTCTAACGGGACTAGACGCATCATTGCCTTTGCGCGCAATCGAGAGCCGTTGCGAGATCTTTGGGCATCTTAGAAAGAGGTACGGAAGGCATGTTGCGCATGTTATACATAACTTGACATACCGTGCACCCATTCCGTTGGACTTTGGGCTTGAAATCATGTCTGGGATCGTCAACACGACCCTGCTACTATGTTAACCTACTAAAATGTATCTGCAGTTGTAGACAGAGCATTGCATATAAATGGTCTGTTCGGTTGACGATACTCCATACACCTCAAAGGAAGAGGCCAGATAGTTCTGTCGACTGCTATATGATATTCGCTGCTTGTTGGACTGGTCGACATGAGCAGTGACTCCGCCACCGTCATTATGGTGTCTCAGCGTTTCTCGCATCGATTTCCCAGATTGGATACGGTTTGTCTTCACTCACGTCAGGCTCGTGATCATCAGGCGCAGACTGCTTCTCATAGGCAAGAATTTGCAGGACCAGCCGCCAAAGCTGTTTGTGCCGTTCGATCCGATGGCCCAAGCAGGCTATTGATCTACAACTTTGCGGAAGTTCGGCTCACGTACCAATCACTCGAGGTAGTGTAGTGTGCCTACAGGATATCATTCGCAGTCGTGGGTTGCGGAGTGATCAAACAAGAACAAAGTCATCTAAAGTCATCTCCGCGATCTAGACGAATTCGTCGCTGTTCTCTGTCTTCCTTTAAGATAGACGAGGTCCACCTTCAGCGACCTCTCTTATTACTCTACCTGCGCACAAGCATCTTGAAGAACGGCGCCCCACCAGCCAAGCTTTGAACCACAACGCTTACCCACAACTTGACATCGGCTACCTGATCAGACACCCCCATACCATTCTGCTCTACACGGACAGGCTCCGCAATGGCACCGAGCTGGGCAGTACCTGTTGGCTCCCTGCTAGGCCTTGTCGCAGTGGGCCTCATATTTGTTGCCTGGTTCTTTCCGCACGCATGGAAGAAGGGCACTCAGGCCGAACGAGACTTAGTCGATGGACTTCCAGAAGAGACCCGGGAGGCGCGCATCAAGTACAATCGTGCCATAATCAAGCGCTATGAGAAGCGGTTGGCTAGGGAAAGAGGCGAGTTCGTGGACGATAGTGACGATGATCTCGAGATGCAAGCCCCAGAGCCGCCACCACCTGCGTATGTGCCGACTGAGCACTCCAAAGTCCCGGCGGAAAGGACGGCTGGTGCACAAGAATCTGTGTAAAGTATGAGAAGAGACATGGTTATGACTTCAAGAGATATAAGGACTCCACGATGGACACGAAACCAGGAGTCTTCGCGCCGAGCCCAATTCTTGCATGCAGCATTACAGGCTTCGCTAGCTAGCGCCCTACCGTTCTGGCTGGACTGGTCACTGGTAGGACATGCTACATGGCCGAGTATCCTCTTGCGTCCTGGAGGTAGCAATCAATGCACGAGTTAGCTCCACTAATGAAATCTACTTGTGCCAAGCTCTCTTCTTTGCCCAACCGTAATGTTGGCTTCGTGGTTTAACGAGATGTAGCCTCCACATGTGCAATAGCGAGATCCTTTTCAGGGTCGCCACCAGTAGCACCAACGGCACCGCGCCTCCAATCCGGCGACCTCTTTTAATTCGTCCTGCTCGCCTCATTCGACAGCATCGACCTGCCCGAACAGTTTATCCATTCTCTCCAAACTAATGCCCTTCGTTTCCGGTACGATTACAATGACGGACACCAATGCCAGGACGTTCAGACCGAACAGTAACCAGTAGCTCTCTGTCCCGACCTCCTTATGAACTGTGGCCATGGCTGTGTGATGGCGAGAAGACACGAAGTCTGGCCCAGCAGCGAGATACCGAAAGCCTTGTCGCGGACGTGCTGTGAGAAGATCTCTGAAGCAATAGCTGGCGGCCCATCAGACCAGCAATATGTCAGGCCTACGATGAAAAGCATTGCGATCTCGACTACCGCGGCAGCTTTGTTGGTGTTGTGCGGAAACGATGTCGTCAAGCTCGACAAGATGAGGAGAGCGATAGCCTGAATTGCGAAGCCTGTGATAAGTAGCTGTCGCCGTCCGAACTTGTCGACGGTGAAGGTATTGACCTGCACGATGAAAAACTGCAGCACAGGTTGTATGCCATTGATAGCCAAGGTCTGATGACCTTTTCCCCATCCCAAGACATGTAGATATAGGTTGCGTACATCGTGACGGGTGCAATGCCTCCCATCTGCTGGAGAGCCATGGCGTAGAACCCGTAGGCAAGACGTTTGCGCATGGCGGGTGTCTTGACCAGGCCGAGATATCCTGGCTCGTAGCGCCTTCGATATTCATATGAGGCGACCATTTAATGACATTCAGCACTGACATGTTCGTCCGTGGGTCTGCCGGAGCGGATGCGTGCAAGCGCTCCCTATACCTTTTCAGGTACGTCAGGATACTTCTTGAGGAGCCAGCGGGGACTATAGGGGTCAAGTCAGCACAAAGAGATAGGTGTGGATGTGTCCAAGATAGCTAGCGAGGACACTACAAAGAGCTCCGGTGGACTGTAAGGGTTAGCGTTTGAGGATGGTCCGATGCTTCAACCGACAGGCACACGAGGACTTCGGTGACTTCGTGCTTGTAACTATATCAAGTAGCTTGTGCCTCAGAATCACCGCCTCTACACAGTGATTTTGGTCTCCAGATCGCCTTGCTGGGCAGAGATTTGCTCGTTTAGACTTACTCCCCGTGTGGAGACTACCGAAAATGGATAGTGTAGTTCGAGTTCGAAGTCCAATGTTCGGAAATTACTGCATTCTAATCTGAGCTGGAGGTTCGATCCTGCCCGTTTTGCACCACTTTGTCTGTGCACAGTTGACTTCGCTGAAGGCCGACTCGCATCTGACCTCTGCCACCTCTATTGGCACGAAAGTAGTATGGGATGAAGTGAAGTTCCGGTATAGGGTTGCACGACCTCAGTGCTTGGTCGAGCTCTTGCACGGTCGTTGCCGGCGCCGACCCGAGCTGGTCAGGGGATAGGATAGACGCGCCATCGTGAAGCGTTATGGCGACGTATGTATCGGCTGTCTGCTGATCGTGAATATATTTTTCAGACAGCTGCGCTTGAGTGTTGACGGAAGTCCCCTGTTATTATTGTCAGCTGAATGTTTCCGAGCAGCACCCTTCCCGACATGCCTTGAAGTGATCCTGGACCCATGGATTGTCGTGATCCTCGACACAGTATGTGAGTGGGCCTCTCGCCAGTGATACTGTATTTTGTCTGGTGTACGGATGCTGCACTAGCCATCTTAGCTTCATCGGGAGTGATAGCGTAAAGGAAGGGTTCTCCGCTAGCCATTGCTCCGGTATGCAAAGATAGCCGTTGCGGAGGACCGCCGTCTTACAAGGAGGGTGTAGCTTGCGCCAGCGTCAGCGATTGAGCTCAACTGTGCGGGACTGCCACAGACTTACGCTATACTCGACAGCCCAGCCTGGTATACGCAGCATAAGACTGACCATGCCCTGGCTGGGTGTTATGCTGAAGTGCACATCCCCTTCGTGAGGCCACTTCGTCTCTTGACGAATCTTGGCTTCACCGCCCCTGATTCGTAGATCAAACTCAGACGAGACGTACAAATGTACGGCGACATGGCTGACCCCAGTACAGTCCACGTGTGTATTCCAAATGTAGCCTCCAATCTGGGCAAGCAACCGCAAGATGTTTGGCGGGCAGCAGGCAACTGTGAACCAGTCCTCGCGTTTGGACAGATCGGTATTGCTAGAGGCCAGCTGATTCACATATGTGAAAGATTTGCCATCGTGTGACATCGCTGTGAGCACTGCATTGTAAAAGCAAAGTTCCATGACATCTGAAAATCGTGAATTGCAGTCAAGCTAGAAGAGTTAGCTTAGCTCGTTGCGTCGGCGTAAAGGCTGACCTGGAGTATGCGTTGTGCAAGCATCATCACACCAATAGCGGCACACGTCTCTGAGTAGCAACCGCCTTCGTCAGTCCCTTGAGGCAGGAAGTAGTCAATCCCAAATCCCTCCCACTGTTTGATGGAACCGATCCCGCCGGTCACATACATCTTCCGGTCTACCATATTGTCCCATAAACGATACAAAGTCGACCGTAACTTGTGAGGGGCGGCCATGGGACCCACACGACACAAGTCTGCCACGGCGGTGAGAAGGTAGACAGCACGCACACTGTGACCTTCTACCGTAACCTGATCCTGAATTGGTTGGTGAGCCTGATGGTACCTGGTCCGCACATTAGTGCTGTTACGATCTTAGCGAGATGATTTCACCAACCAGAGCGATCGCGGTGATGGGTAGAAGGCTGCTTGTTTGTGTGGATCGTCTCCACGACGCTTTGCTTCCACATCATAATAATGGCCGCCCTCACAGCCATGTGGATTGCCGCGCTCGGTAACGAAGTACTCTGCGAGCTTCAGATGCTTCGAATTTTGGGTGCGATCGTAAAGCCGCAGGAGAGCGAGTTCAATCTCGGGATGACCTGGGTAGCCATGCATCTGATTTTCGCCCGGACCGAAATTGTGGCAAAGGAGCTCAACGTAACGTAGGATGGGGTCCAACAGCATGTCGTTGCCGTGAAGATCGTGATGTGCTAGAGCTGCCTCGATCAAGTGTCCTGCGTTGTACAATTCGTGCATATCGCGAAGGTTCGTGAAGCGCCTGCCTGGCTCAACTACTGTATAGTGGATGTTAATGTAACCATCGGGTTGTTGAGCAGTTCTAATCATGTCCACTAGTTCCGAGACTGCGTCTTCAATCACAGGTAGGCGTCGTTGCTTCAGTATATAGCAGGCTCCTTCGATCCATTTCGCGACGTCCGAATCCCAGAATAGGTGGTTCGGTATCGGCCAGACCTCAGGAGGGTCAGAATATGAGGAGTGCCATCGCAACGAGAAGGCGTCATACCGCCCGGTCCTCTTGAGCACATCTAGTTGGTACGAAAGCGTGTTGATTATGACAGCTTCACGTCGTCGTCCAACCAGCGAGTCCTCATGGATACGCGTGGCAGCGAAGCACATCTGGGGATGAGCCATGATGTCCTTGTCTGGCGGCGGATGAATATGCAATGCACAGGAGTCTCGGCGGTTGGACGAGACGTACATGTATTCGTGACGAGCGATCGCCCGAGGCGACTGCAGCAGCGATCGCGTCAGCCATAGTCTTCATGGAGATGAAGATTGCCTCGTGTCCACAAGCGAGGCCTCAACCAAGCCCGCTCTCACCAGGGGTCGAAGCTCCGGTGGGAAGAGGGGAATGAGGACCGAAGGGGCTGTGCACGCGCCAACTACCTCATGTTTGGTACGCCACGGATAGACGAAGGCAACCGGGAGCCTCAATCAGATTCCTTTGAACCTGTCCGCCCCTCTTACTCCCCCGGAACATACAATGCGCCACCCCATCCTTCAACATGGTCTCTCCGGGGGGTGGCAAAGAGTTTCTATGCCGACATTGTTCCAAAGGCTTCGGCAGAGTTGAGCACATGAAAAGGCACGAACTCACACATTCGCATGATCGGCCATATCAGTGTACGCAATGCCCAAAGAGATTCGTGAGACGGTACGTGTTCTTGGCACGCACTCATGCGTCGGCACGTTGCACCGTGATCTGCTTCCGCGAAATACTATTTGCTGAAGGACATCTATTCACCACCAGCCTACTTGATCCGAAGCTTGATCAGACAAATTACTGACGAGTCTCAGCGACACCTTGCAAAGACACATTCAGACACATCAGGCATCGAGTCTGGTTCATGGTGGTGGTCGAGCTTGCACGAATTGTGCAACTGCCAAAGTGCGTTGCCAAAACGATGGGTCGTCGTGCGCAAGATGCGTCGATCGAAGCATTCCCTGTTACTACCCTTCAGATGGCACCTCTGTTGTTGGAGAGGGGCAGGAGTATGTCCGCTTCATGCCAGCACTCGAGCCTTTGGAAGATCCAATGCTTGATATTACAGCCGGATTCGATGCCGAATACTGGGACCCTGCCATACTGTCGACTACAAATTGGCTAGATGCTCTGTGGGACAGCTCACTTGATGCCGAAGCTGCAATCGAGTCTTTTGTGGTGCCTCCTGGCAATGCTGCCCTCAGCTACATACAGGTTCCCAGCGCCTCCACTCCACATGGCGGCCCTTCCATAACGTCTGGCGAGACGGGCACTTCACCAGCCACGCAAGAAGAGCAGACACCGGGAGAGTACTATGTGGATGGCCAACCAGCACGTTTGCCACGCACGAAACGGCGACGAATGACCTCCTCTGTAGAGGACTCCCTACCTGGTGAGCTCCTGTCGTTGCAATGGCAGCCACAGGACAGCTGGGCCCAGACTGACGGCATTGAGCTTTCCGACCAGGATTATGCGAGTGTCACGGCTACGTTCGAGCAGCTCTGTACTGCAGGCATAGCTGGCAAGCCAGCTTTCCGAGGAGAAGTACCCTCAAAAAGATTGCTAACGTACCTGCTTGTGGCGTACTGGGATGGGTTTGACACAATATTGCCCGTAGTGCACCGCACTTCAACGCTCCGTCAAATGGACGTATACACAACATTAGCGTTATGTGCGGTGGGTGCTGCGCATGCTGATGCTCCTTTGCACGTAGTATTGTCAATGCACGAATTTTTGAGCAGAGCCATGGAGCAATTGGCTATCTACAACATCTCAACGCCGATGCAAGCGAGCACAGTACATGCTCGTCTAATCCTCTATATGTTGGATGCTTATCTGCCAGGCGATGCAGGTGGTAGTGCTGCCAGATTGCGACCAAGCATACGTAGCATATACCAAGATGCGGAACAGGGCTACCAAAGCTGCGTCAGATCCTGTGCTACCCATATGCTCTCGTGGGAGCTATGGCTACAAAAAGAGCAGTGGCTCCGGCTTGCTCACGCTGCATGGCTCTTGGATTCTATGCATACCTCGCACATCCAAAAGGATCCAGTGTTCTCGTTACAAAGCAATGGCCTGCCGCTGCCCTGCCACGAATCATTCTGGCAGGCAGCTAGTGCAGATCGCTGGAAAGCAACATATAAACAGCCTGCAAGCTCGCCGTCGCTCCTACAAGCCCTTCAAGGCCTATACGTGGAAAAGCGTTTACCACAAGAGACAGGGGAGTTCGCTCGAGTTTTGGTGATTCACGGCTTGCATCACCGTTTGTGGGAGGTAGAACGCTATCTTTCCAACCCATTGTCCAGCTGGGAGCCCACAGCGACTCGGCAGGCAAGTGCCAATATCCTGCCAAAGGAGCCAATCTGGCTGCCTGCTGTGCCCATGTATGCAAAGTGGCAGAATTCGACGTGCGATGCATTGGATGTCCTCCACTGGCAGGCCAATGCCACAATAATGCAGGCCAGTGGGCTGGAGCATCCGACTGTTCTGCACTTACACTTTGCTCGCGTGGTGCTCCTGGCACCATGTGAACACATTGTGAGATTTGCACGAACGCTGGCTCATCTAAACGAACCAGCTTTAGGCACCAGTGCGGATGGTGATCAACGGCTCGTCAGGCGGTGGGCTGTACAGCATCAGTACAAGGCTCGCTTGGCTGCCGTACATGCTGGAGTTGTTCTTTGGCACGTTCGTCGGTATTCTGCTGATGCTTTCTACGAAGCACCTTGCGTGGCACTAGCGACCTTGACCCTTTGGGCATTTGGCACTTTCGCCGATCGTCGCGCACCTCAAAGGGCTTCCCGGAGACAGAGCTTAACTCCCACGACTCGGCTCAACACCCATGCCCTAGGTGCACTCGGGGAGAGCAGCAAAGAGGTCGAAGCACCTTGCGACATTATCCTGCTCGATCGTCCAACTGACGACGAGTTGGTGCAGCAGTTCATACGAGACGGGCACGCAATGCAACCACACATAGGTGGTGTGGGTGACTTGTATGCATCTACTGGACCACGCCGGGTACTGGTTCAAGGCAGCAAGCTCCTTGGGTCTCTGAAGCGCTGGGGAGTCGCCGCAGAGTGGCGTGAACTTCTGGATTGCCTTGCTGGAACACTACAAATGCAGTAGTGCATAGGGAGCGTTCTCCACATATGCCGGCATCAGCCTGTTTTCTGTCACATCCGCGGCTCAGTAGTGTACTCGGGCACTCGATCGAAATGCCTGATGGGGGCATAGAATGCTTGCAGCGGCTACCGGACCGCACCTTCTGGTACATCACATGACAGAAACATCACGAGTCAAAGGCTCTCAAGATTGTGCTCCTTGTCAAATTATCGTAATGTACGTGAGATTTCGCGGTCTGCCTCAACAACTTCAAAAAACATCATGATCCGTGAGCCCGCTTCGATGTCTTCCTGGTCGATGCCATACTCAGCGGCTACTATCGAGGGGGCTTAATAGCGTTCAGGCGCCGCTGAGCAGTCTCCTTATCGGCATGTATCTTTTTGATGCTATCGTGAACATTCTGAAGGTTGGTCCTGGTAGTGTTCAGCCGGTTCGACCACATCATGTGCTCGTTTCTCCAATGCCGCATATCTTTTGAAGGTTAGTCTAGCACTTCATTCCGCATCTCGTACACAGTGGTTACCCGGTAGGTTCCTCTCCGACGGCTTCACGTTGGCGAGATGTTCCAGTTTGGTATGGCAGGTCTGTCTGTGTGATAGCAAATTGTTCTGTGATCGCATCTGGTGCGCAAGGTTCTGATTAAGATGATCGATCTGACGGACGAGTTGATCAGGCGTCATGGTTCCGACTTCGTACTAGGAATCAGTGACGCAAGTAAGAGGATGAAGAAAACCGGTCGATCAGAAGGAAGCAGAAGGGAAGTAGGCTTGCGAGGTTGGAGGGGCTTGATCACTAGAAGTATCTCTCTGCCACAATACACCTTGCCGCCAGCCTTGCGAAGCTGCCTCGATAAGGCAATAGGGCGCTTTATCGTTCAAACCTTGAATCATGCTGCCTCTGCTGGAAGACCAGCCTTGAACGCCTTTATCGTGACGGTTCCGTTCTGGCCACTAGGCTGTGCCGCTCGTGAGCACACAAAGGCTACACTACAGGTAATAACCGGTCAAGAAGAAGGGGGCACTCAAAGTCTGCGTATAGAAATGCGGGGAACTATATGGTTCCTGTACAACCTTGGTATAGATCGTATGACTCTCGATCCCTTCGGAGTGTCCTCCTCGTGTGCGAACGCTCGACTAGAACGTAACTCGGCCACAGTTCTCATTCTTGTGTAGAGTGACAGGGCGCCGTAGTGGAACACACGATCGGTATGATGCGGGCTGCGAGTTCCGGCGTAGTGCTGACTGTAAGCTCCGCACTCGAGCTCGGTGCCTATCTTGAGATCATCACCGGGTTACTTTGACCGGAGATCAACCCAGCGTCTTGGTATGGTGGCCTTGCCATACCGCGACAAAGGCGCAGAAGCCTCGCGAATCGCTCCACGCCCTACAATGCTATCATGCCAGTAGGCGGGTCATCTCCCACTACGGACACCCTGATAGCCACCTGGAGGCTCGGACGAGAGATGGCCAACCTGCCGTGTTTGTGCCGTGTGAAAATCATACATAGCCTTGCTGTCAGGTGTCAGCGTCTCTGGAAAGAAACTCATCTGATCTCGACTTGGCTTCGATCTGGGTCTAGCACAACTTTGTTCGTTGTGAGAATTTCGAAAGACAGTCCTAACGCCCAGGTGGTTGCGGAGCGGGAAGTCACTGCTGCTCCGAGATCTGGTCATCATCCATTGCACACGCTGATCAGCCTGTAGGTTCAGCAGTCAAGATGGGGTAGCGATGCTCGACAAGACCAGGAGGTGCAGCGAAACGGGTTCAGTGAACCCGCCCAAGATATTTTGTCGCTGACTACCTCAGGCGAGACAGTGGAAGTTGCATTGCGGATGAGCAATCTCTGTTCGTCGGCGTCTACAGAGAAAGAGCAAGCTAGCTTTCTTACGATGCATCTGACCTCCGATATGATCTTCTGTGGCAGTCATCAAAGCAAATAGGATTCGAACGAAGTACAATCTCGCTTGCTGTTGGCAATCCAGTAGGTGATCTGATGAGTAACGAGGGGATACAGCTCCTTGCGATTGATGTATAGGGCACGATATGAATCCCGATTCTCAGCTGATCTTGTGTTGCGATTGTGGGAAGACGTCTAGATCCTCGCCGCTTGACATGCTTGTAACGAAGATCACCCGTGACATGTATGCCCTTTACCAGCGTTGTATACCTTGGCAGCACTAGCAGAGAGTCGTGGTCGTGGGCATCACTGCTACCATGATTCTTGAGCATATAATTGTAGTCCGTCGTCCATTGGAAGGAGACAGAAATGCATGTCGAAGCAGTCGCTCGGGTACAGCGGAGGACAATCAAGGAAGAAGAAATTAGTAAGAGGGAAAAGTCGAATGCCAAGGTTGAAGCCTTCTCATGAAGGTGGCCGTTTCGGTTCCGACTTAACAAGGCGACTCCAAGTTGTAAGTGGATAGATTAGGAAGCATGATCCACTTTTTCCGCATGTGTGCCCACTACACGTGGTCTACCTACTCAACGCTTACATACACCCACGTTTTGGTTCAACGACCATTCGTCTCGTATTCCATAAAATCAAACCTTCTATCGGCATAGAGTCTAGTGCAAAGACTAGCATCCTGCTGCCTCCTGGGCGTGATCGTACAAGGCAGTCCGGATTTACACGGCTTTGCAGTGTGCCCTCCCCTGGCAGCATCTGATACCGTCCATGCTTCGGCGACTGTGAGCATGTCCGTCAGGATATTCCAGTGTTGAAAACAAGCTTGCAGGTCTAGCAACGACTGGCTTCGACTAGACTTACGTACGTGGATGACGGATTGCACGATCGTCGATGGTCCAAAAGCATCTTCCGGGTACTACCTACAGGGCCATGGAGGGAGAGCGAATGTTAGGACCGAGAGCAGCGAAGCATCACCAAGGACTAGACCTGCAAATTGGTCTCCACTAATGTACTGCCTTGAATCCTTCCATGGTTCACTCCTATTGCGCAGACGCTGCATCGCGTCCGCAGACCAGACCACTGCGGGTGGACTCACCCTCAGCCTTGAGAGTCAAAGCACCAGTGGCAACATATTCAACGATGCACTGTGGTCAAAACCCTCTGCGGACAAGAGTCAGCTAGTTCGGCGTCCACTGTACGCTACTGCCACAGAGAATACTACGTCAGAAAGCCGACTTACAACGGTGGCTTTTATCAACGGCCCATTTGCGACCACACAGCTGAAACATTAGTCCTGCGGGCCCGAGCATGATCGCCATTTGGTGGCTTGGAGGATTATTCAGGTATCTATATTTGCTCTACAGATACTCTGGTAGAGCTTGGTGAAGTACCACCGTTGATGACCTTCACCAACCTGTCGTGCAGCCATTCTCTTCAGTCTCGATACAGCTTCTAATCTTGCAGCCAATCAGTCTTTAGGTGCTTTATCCTCCTTGCCCTGTCCGGCTGGCAGACAACCTCCGCCTCATCCAATACTTCGTTGCCACTACCTGTACACAACATCACTCGTGTCGACGGCATCAAGTTCGAGAACCTCGCCGTCCGCTCCAACGGTCAGATCTTAACCACAACATCGTATCCCAATGCCAGCATATACCAAGTCGACCCACTGTTTGTGAAGAACCTTGCTACGAGCTATATAGTCACTGACATCGCACAGGGGTGTCTTGCCGACCACCCTGATATACGCAGCCCCAAACATCATCAGCGCCAACGGCATCGTTGAGCTCGAGCACGATATCTTCTACGTGGCCGTCGGATCCACCAAGCTCCTCCCCACCTTGCAGCTCAACGCAAGCTCATACGCGATCATCGAGGTTGACGTCCGGAATGTCTCGGTCTTTCCCAATGGCTCGTTGACCTGCCCTCCCACCGTCAAGCAAATCGCAAGCTTACCACATGCCGCACAACAGAATGGCATTGCGCTTCCCCGGCCGCTCTCCGATAATTTACTGCTGGCAGACTCCCTGCGCAGCCTTACCTGGAAAGTGGATATCTGTAACGGTACCATCGGCGTCGCTCTGAACGATACAACAACCAAAGGAAGTGCTCCGACTGGAGCTGCAGCTACTGGTGTCAATGGATTGAAGGTGCATGATGGTATGATGTACTACACCAGCACAGGCGCCAACAAACTTTACAAAGTGCCCGTGGACGAGCTTGGGATCGTAAGTCAGGTACCTACGCTGGTCACCACGAACCTCGCTTGCGACGATCTGGTCATCGATCACGAGGGTACTGCGTACGTCGCTGGTCCACTGGATGTGCTTTTGAAGGTCAGTCCCTCCAGCGAGCAGACGATCATCGTTGGCACAATCAATCCCAATCAAAGTGCGCTTGTGGGACCTACTGCTGCGAGGTTTGGCCGTCTGGCATCTGATCGCTGGAGTTTGTACATCACGACCAATGGTGGATTGCAAGAGACGATCCCAGGTACGACAGGTGTATCTAGGATCGATTTGGAAAGTCGCTAGTCGTGCTGCTCGAGAGCCATTCGGGCACGAGGCTGCTAAAAATCTGCTAGACGTTGATCAAATCTATCTCCCGCTGTGTATCGCTTCCAAATGTCGTGAATTGCAAGGAGTAGCGCAGTACAGTCGCTGGTTCGGTATCATCAAACCCCAAACAACGTGATCAAAACAGCATCCTAACCAACACAACAGCGACCGCTATCCCATCCAGCCATCCGCCCTCCTCAACCATCCTCGCAGCACCAGAAGCCGCATCGCGATCATTACACATAGCAACCTGACTCGTCCCATTCGCCTCAATATGTGCCCAAGCGCAGCTCAAAAAGTAATCAGAGTTGTTCGCTTGGCAGTACTGCCAGCAGCCATTGTATACCTGTACCGGACCAACACAACATGATGTCAGGTTCTGGAGTGGTGGGTCTTGAGCGTGTGGGAGGCCGCAGAGGAGTTGTTTGTTTTTGTCCCAGTTGGGTGGGAGGGTTGTGTCTGTTACGAAGTTGCTTGGGCAGGCTGGGGGGGGGGGGGGGGGTGTGGTTAGTGATATCGGAAGTGGAAGTGGATGTGGATGCGGATGTGATGACGCGGAGGTGGGCTTACTGGTGAAGGGCACGGTGGTGTTCATTGGAACCAAAGCGGAGTATAGCGTGAGTAGTGATTATGTCTCTGACAGACACTCGAGATGATAAGGCGTGGTCACTAGATCGCTGTATGAGTCTGGCTCCACGGCCGTCACCGCGTGCTATACATATAGCCTGGACAAGGTACATAAAGACATTTGATTCTCGGTGCTGGCTCAGCCTGGCGGCTGCTTGTCCAATACTGCAAGCTGATGTGGCGTTGCGACTATGTACCTTTAGACTTTGCCAGCCATGTTTGTCGGCGCGTAAGAGACGGGACCAATGTTGCGCGCTTATTAAGTGAGGTGAGGTGAGGCTCGAAGCGGTATGATCACGTGCTTGAATCTCGAAATCGAAGCTCATGTTTGCTGACTGCCTCATCTGCTGTTGCCGTAATTGAATGTGAGTAGATATCTTTGAGAAGATAAGTACGTACGGCCTCGTGCACAAAGAAGGTAAATGTGGGAGTGTCTGGACGCGTAGGCACCAGACTGCATGAGAGCTTGGGTCTGGAATCTACTTAATGCCATCCTAGTCTGCACTTATGGTGTGGCCTTCCTCGATGTCTGAAGTAGGATCCGGTGCTCCTCAACGCCATTAGAATGTACTGTACATTGCCGTGCAGGTTTCGCAACATAACCATGAGTCTGTGTCGGACGAATTCGGTAGTCCACCGTACGATGCATATCTCTTCCAGCACGCATTCAGCTCCATACCCTCCTCCGAGTCGTCAATGATGTCCGTCGCCATGTCCCTCCTCATGGTGATGTGCCGAGGGCATAAAGAGCTGTTCGTAGACGAGGTAGCCGGCAAATGCTACTGTCGCTATGCCGAGACCGGGGAATGAGCCTCGAAAGCGTGCGCCCCGCGTGAAGGGACCGGTGTATCTCCAGGCTTCTCTGTAAGGAGACATGTATCAGCAAATGCTCTTCATCCTTTGGTGAGAGATTCCTCGTACGCTCGTGCCCAAGGGTCGTTGGCCGGCTGTCCCGCAGCCGCAGCAAACTTGCGGGGGTCGAAGCCCGTGAGGTTTGGTCTTCGTGATGCCATTCTGTATGACGTGTGATGTCTGACACGGTCGACTGACTGTATGGCAATCACTCATATGTGCTCAATGGCGGGTGAAGCTGTTGTCGGCATCGCGGCTTCGGCTTCGCGGAGCGCTCGGCAGACCTTCCTTGGTCTTTGCTCAGTAGCTTCCCCAAGCACCATCACCACCTTCGAAGCTTCCCACGCTCTCCGTTGTACATCTCATTTCCCTCGCTAGACTATATTGCTCACAAAAGGTCAACCTCGCGGCCAGTCAAATCTAACGCCCACGCTCTGGTCTACCTGTTCATTCGCTCCTCCACATGCCAATTGAGCCTCACCCGACAGTCTTCATCACTGGCATCACTGCCACAACCCAGGCGGGAGCACCACTGTCTTGGACAGCTCGTTAGCGACCAGTCATTGCAAGCATGGCTCCACGCATGCACCAACCGCATATGTCAAATCCCTTCCAAGGAATGAATCCACATCACGCCATACCACAGAACTCTCATTACCCGTCACAGTCCACTCATCTACCTGGCAGCTTCAACTCACAGCATGGCTTCGGCGCGAACGCCCTAAATGGCGGTATATCACCATTCCAACCACCTTCAGCATACGGAGGAACTGCTTTCAGCACGGGTGCTGGCGCAAGCACGTTCAATGGTGGCATGCTCGGAGGCCAAGGTCAAGGCTTGGCATCAGTAGCAGCACAGCAAGGCTTCGCGCGAGGAGCAGCAATGCAAGAGCACTCCCACCAAGCAGAAGCCGCTAGCATGGGTCTGAAGAGTGGAGCACAGGGCCGCATACGTGAGGTATGGCGACATAATCTTGATGCTGAGATGGCAGTGCTGCGGGAACTCATCATGAAGTACCCATATGTGTCAATGGATGCCGAGTTTCCCGGTATAGTCGCGAGACCGATCGGCAACTTTGCTGGAAGTAAGGCCGAGTACCATTACCAAACACTGCGAGCCAATGTCGATATCCTCAAGCCAATCCAGATCGGTATCACGCTTTGGACACCTGAAGGAGAGCTACCACCGACTCAACCCGACCCAGCACTTCTCAGCCAGCTGAACAGCCGTAAAGCACCGTATCAGCCAAGCGTTATGTTCTTACCGTGCACATGGCAATTCAACTTCGCTTTCGATCTGAACCAGGACATGTTCGCCGAATCATCCATCGAAATGCTGCAAAAAGGCGGGGGTGTCAATTTCGAGCAACACCAAGAACACGGCATCACGCTCGAGACATTCGGCTCCTTACTAATCACCTCCGGCCTCGCCTTCTCAGACGAGGTGAACTGGTTATCCTTCCACTCAGGCTACGATTTCGGCTACCTCATCAAGCTCCTCAGCAACGATGCACTTCCAGCCTCCCAAGGCGACTTCTTCGAACTCGTTAAGACCTTCTTCCCGCGGTTGTGGGACATCAAGTCACTCCTTCGACACGCACAACGTCAGAACCAACTAGGACGTATGGGCGTAGAAGGTAACCGTGTCCTCTCAACTCTAGGCCAGCGCTCGGGTCTCCAGGACCTCGCGGACGAGTTAGGCTGTATTCGTGTCGGTTTACCACATACAGGTGGCAGCGATGCCTGGCTGACCGGCCAAGTCTTCTGGGCCATGCGGTCGAAGATCTTCGGTGGCAGCCTCGACGAGGAACTCGCGGATCAGATCTATGGCCTTCATGGTGTAGCGGCTCCCGCAAGCCAACAGTATCGAGATGAATTCCTTGCCGCGCAGGGAACGCCTGGACAAGCACATAATGGGATTTCTGGTACTATTAGTACGTTACAAGGTGGTGCGCAAGGGTACACGCCGAACAATCCTTCCACGCCTACTTCTACACATGCTGGTCTCAATACTACGACGCCTGGTCCTCAGTACGGTGGGCATAATCTTGGTGGTGGCTCGCTTGGTGGGCAGTTTGGACAGTTCCAGTATCCTGGCAAATAGAATGGGCCGGCGAATTTACAAGCACAGGCACGAGAACGGATGGTGCCAGGTCAAGGCGTTGCAGGGCCTAGTACGGGGCATCACGGCGCATGGGGTTTCGGCCAGTTGCCTCCTCGACCAGAGTCTCAGGCACTGGTTGCTCACCAGCAGATTAATAGTGTACCTCCGCCACCGCATGCGTGGCCTGCGAATTGGCAGATGATGAATATTTGGGCATCACATCCTGGGCATGGTGATATGATTTGGGGTCCGCCTCAGCACGCGGGAAGAGCAAGGGGAAGAGGGAGAGGGAGAGGGAGGTGATTGTCCTCCGCTTCTTGTAAGTTACCGATCGAAGATGGAACTACGGATGCCTCAGCACAAGGAGCATATCCAAAGGTCTGGGACCATTCGCTTTCTACAGCAGGAAATGTCTCGCGCAAGGCTAGCGGACAGGAAAATGTACGATTACGTTATGTCGACGCTAGATGCAAAGCAGAGATGTGCTGATCGTTATGGGCTGCAGTCTGTGGACTTGATCGTGGTGTTTTCAAAAGCCAGGAATTGGACTAGCGAAGGCGCTTTGGGCGTCGTTATAGCTTACTTTGCTGATGCATTACAGTAATGATCTGTACATGTATCAACGTTTCAACTCTCCCTCTATGCATACTTGGGTCGTGGATCGACAAGTGAGAACACATTGATCCGTACTATCAACTGCCGTTTCATACTATCTGAATACTGCATACTATTCGCGCACATCAAGCTGCTAACCTTAAGCTGCCTTACCAACTCTCTTTCCCCCTTCCGACTGAACGTCGACAACTACCAACCACCACCCAACTCCACCTACAATTGAGCCCTAGCCCCCCTAGAACTCGCCCTGCGTCCGTCCACCCCCTCCCTCTCAACCTCAACATGCACCCTCACCGGCCTCGCCACCAACCCCCCCAGCACCGCCAACCCCCCAAGAACCACCAACGCCGCCCCCTCCATCCCCAGCGTAACAACCATATTCGTCAGCGCCAAATCCGCCAGACTCACCTCCCCTCCCTGTTGCACAAACATGAAGACCGTGCCCCCGACTTGGATGGCGAGGAAGATTGCAGCCAGCGTGGAGGCGATGAGGGGGACCGGTTTGATGCCGAAGGGTTTGTAGAAGAGGACGGAGGGGTGTTGGTGGGGTTCGAGGATGCGGGCGATGAGGGAGGCGACGGCCATGGAGGTTAGGAGGACGATGGTGGCGGCGAGGAGGAAGTGGAGGGTATTGATGAAAGAGCTGGTGAGGAGGGTGAGGGCGCGGGTCAGGAGTTGGTTGGGGGTGAGGTCGTGGGGGATTTTGGTCATGGTTGCGGTTGGGTGGTTGTTGTTGCTTAGGGTTGTGGCGGGTTCCAATCGGAGTTTGTTCCAAGGTTGTTTTGTTTGTTGGGGGTTTGGAGTGTGTGGTAGAGGGACGCGTGATGTCCGAGAGTTTCTTGCGTGAAGAGAAGATTTGGAAAGGTGCTCTGTGCTTATGATGGTGGGCGAAGTTATGTGTGGTGCGAAGCTTACGATTGTTCTCGCATGAGCTTTCATGGTTGCCCGGTTGCAGGCACGTCGGTCCCTTGCGTCATGAATGTCAATGCCTTTGTTCTTAGCAACGCCATGAAGACGGTGGAGACTCAACGTCTTGGAATGACTAGACGGACAATATTACACCACTGAGGCGGGATATGATCGGTTGCAGTTGCCGTCAGATAAGCATTAAAGGTACTCGACGATGATCTGAGCCCCTTTTCTTCAAGACTCGTAGGGCGCTTGTTTTGGTTCCGCTGGTCAGTCGAACGCCGTGCCATCCTCACAAGACAGCCCACAAGGTAGTCTTCCATCCCCACTCCCATGCCATCCCATGCCATCCCATCCCTCACCCACCTGCAGCCACCTTCTCCCCCCACTCCACCCACCGCCTCACACACCCATCCACCGCCCTAACCCCAGCCCGACTCGCCTCCACCTCAAACCACTCTGTATGCTCCTTCCCACAAACCCCACACCTTCGCAAAACCTGCTGCTCCTGCAACTCCAACTGGATCAATCGTTCCACCTTCTTCACAAAGGGGACTTTCCTCACAACATTCCCATTGACGTTGACATTGTCGCTTTGTCGTCGTGATGCTGTATTTATCAAAGGTGGCGGGCGTGTGAGATCCGGGTAGACTACTTGCTGTTGGTACTGTGATGGTGATGGTTGTGGGTCCCGCCGCGGCGGCGAAGCCGAAACACCAGCTGATGCCGCAGAAGAAGAAACATAAGGATACCACCGCACCAGATTCAACGCGTACCCACATTGCCTCTGCCACTCATTCATACGTCTAGTAACATTATTCGCCCTTCCAATCTTCAGCATAATCGTCTTCTTCCCGTCGCCCTTCCCCTTCGTTTCAGCCTCGGAGGAGCCGTCGAAGGAGTATTCGGTTAGGACGTCGCTTATGCGTCTACCTCTACCTATACTGCTACCTCTGCTGTCAATGTGTGTTTGAGGTGGTAAGGGTGAGGATGAGAGGAGGGAGCGAGCTGTTTCCGCTCCGGGAGCGGCCTTGGTTTCGGGCGTGAGCCAGAAGATGTAGATGTACCCTTCTTCGTCGTGGGGGGGAATGGGTTTGATGAGTTCGGCTAGGAGGGCGGAGGTTGTTTGCGGGGAGAGCGTTGCGGGGATGAGGGCGAGGAGGTTGGTGGTCTGGGCATTGCTTGATCTTCCGGGCGTGGCTGGTGGTGATGGTCGTGTAAGGGGCGATTGGATTGGTTTGCGAGGTGGTACGAAAGTGCTGGATGGTCGGTGAGAAGTTGGGATTGGCGCCGCCGAAGCCAAGTTCGAAGGCCGAGAACCATCCACCCTCTTCTTATGCCTCACCACTTCCACATAATCCTCCTCGGTTCCAGCTCCACGACCACGACTACCACCCATACAACAAAGCGAAGCCCAAAACCCGACCTTCTTCTCCTTCCTCCGAGTAATCGCAGGCTTCCCCTCAACCCCAGTCCTCCCATCCACCTTCTCCCTATCTGGCCTCGCAGCATAGTCCCTTGCATCCGTAGCCCTAGGTGGCCGTGGAGTCCTCGTCTTCTTCCTCTCCTTTCTCCTTCCAACACCGGCCTCCGAAATAGAAGCAGCATCAAGCCCCAATCTCTGAACCATAGTATCAATACTACTCCTCTCCCTCAACTCCACCACCTTCCTCCCTCCCCTCCCTCCCCGCTCATCCCTCCCATCCTTCCCAGCATTTCCACTATTCCCACCACCTCCTCCTACCCCCTCCTCCTCCTCCGCCTGACCCTTATGCTGCCAACAATAGAACCCCGCTTCCTCCACCCCTCCATCTTTATCATGTACAATCGCCACTACACCCCCCAAAGCTGAGTCCTTTCTCCGATGTGATAAGAGGGAAGCTTTAGGCGAGGCAGCAAGTGCACGTCTACACTGCCGGCCCGAAGAGGTCAAGCCTTTACATGTCGTGCCGGGGTTCTTACTGTCGTTGCGGCCGAGGAGTGCTTCGGGTGTCTTTGTGATAGTCGTGGTGCCGAAGGGGGGCATACTCCGTGTGCTGGGGTGGTTGACGATTTTGATAGAGTGATAGGGTAGAGATGGGTTGTGCAGTGGAGAGATATGTGATGAAGGGGATTAGTGTTAGTACCTACTCATATCTAGGACTACACAGCAACAGTGAAGAACTCTAGCTGCTATGCTATGCTATGCTGCCTTGACCGGCTGCAAGCAAGGGTGCCGCACTTGGTCGAGTTCGTAGGCTACAAACCACAAGCGCGACTCGAGATGGCTGGGCGAAGCTCAACGCCACAGCCCAGCCACAATTCACATGCCGGCGATCACTTCTACGACGATCACTTCTACGACGATCACTTCTACGACGATCACTTCTACGACGATCACTTCAACCAAGACGGGCAGATGTACTTCATGAATACTGAGACGTATGAGTAAGAGTGGTAATTGGGAAAAAGGAGAGTCGCTCATATATATGCCCTATAGACATGCTTCTTCGTGCCTCATGATACCATCATCATCCGAATAAAACACAGGACGGAACGCCTTCGCTGAATACCCCACTTGCTACTGCTGCTAATGATGACTCCGTCCCACATCTTCCACCGACCCCTCAGCCTCTCAAAGCGCAGACCCGTCCGATCGGAGTAGAGCGTGCTATACTCCTACATCTCCCCAAACAACCTCGCCGTCACATCCCCAATATACTCCTCCTCAAGCTCATACTCCTCCCCTCCGGCCCGATCAATCCCCACAAACTCAAACGCCGCGACAACCTGCTCGACCTGAAACCCCATCCCCGTGAACCGATCGATCATGGCGGGTGCGAACCCATGATACGCCTCCCTCCGCCGCCGCTCCTCCGCCCGCTTCTTCTCCTTATCCTCCACCTTCTTCTTCTCCTTCAGCGCCGCTTCGTCGAGGCCGGAAGAGCCTGATGAAGAAGCACCAGTGCGATTGGAGCCGGGTATGGGTTTGGGAGCGGCGGCATACCGGATCGCCCATTCGCGGGCTACATGGGCGAATTCCTCCGGTCGTGTCAAGAGCATACTCGCCACCTCCGCATCCTGCGGATCCTTCGGCTCGGGCGAACTCAACAAACTCTGGAGGCTAATCAAAGCACTCTTAAGTGTCAGAACGGGACTCCACGCCGCCCCCAACGTGTCCAGACAAATCGCCCCGGTCTGCGAACTCACATTCGGATGCCAGATTTTCGTAATAAAGCGCATCTCGGGGGGTTTGAAGGGGTATTCGGGGGTTATTCTGATGTCGACTTCGTAGCGGCCGGCTTCGTAGGGGGTGTCGGGGGGACCGAGGAAGTGGCCTTTGAAGCGGGTGAAGTCGGTGATTTCGGGGGTGCCGTCGGGGGCGGTAACGGTGATGCCGCTGTGGGTGTCTTTGAGGATGTCGGCGATTTCTTTCTGGAGGCGGCGGGTGCGGTTTGCTGCCATAGTGGCGGTCGGGGGGTGGAGTAGGTGTGGCAGGCACGGAGGGGGAGGGGAGAGCGGCGGGGTCGCTATGACGGTGGGTCGGTTTGGGTTGTGCCCTCCTCGGACTGCGTTGTGAGATGGAGGTTCAAGCTAGCTCGTATCTTGGGACTGTTCACTCGCAGACAGGGCTGTGGAGAAGAGGTGGGTAGGATAGACTTGAGTAAGGCTGTCGAGGGTCGGCAGTGAGTGGCTTAGATTGGATCCGGTCGAGTTTGCTGTCTTGCTGGCGTGACACCAGTTGCCTCGGCTTACTTCGTTCTGTTGTTTGTTAAACTGAGAGCGATGGTAGTTGTCATGGAGCTCGTGAATGTTTCTTGTCACATGTGTAAGAGAGACGGAGAGCAGGAAAAGATGGAAGGTGGAAGGTGAAGGTGAATGTGAGATATGCACGGAGCTATCTAATCTTAGCGCCGGCGATACGTGAGGCCGCGATCAGGCATGCAGCTGACGCAACCTTAAAGCATAGCGAGCTCCGTAGACAGACAGACACGTCCATCAACGCCGCCTATCATCCACCACATCCACCACATCCATTCCCGACACCACCTCCCCCATCAAAGTGTAGACATCAACCACAGCATCGAGACTCACTGGAGATACTATCACATCTGATACAACACTCTGAGCGAGCTCCCACACGATGGTAAGCAGACAGACATCACACGACCACACACAAACACACACACACAAACACCCACTAACACCCCCCCCCCCCACAGGGCCAAAACCAGTCCGGCCTCGGCGGTCCCGGCGGTCCACCAGGCGCCCCTGGCGACAACAAGGACAAAAAGGGCGATAAGAAGGACAAACCACGCTACGAGCCGCCACCGCAACCCACCACCCGCATCGGCCGCAAGAAGAAGAAGGCCCAGGGTCCCAACGCCGCCGCCAAACTCCCCATCGTCTACCCGACTGCACGATGTAAGCTCCGATATCTGCGCATGCAGCGCATTCACGACCATCTGCTGCTGGAAGAGGAGTTTGTGGAGAACCAGGAAAGGCTACGGAAAGCGAAGGCTGCGGCCGAGAAGACCGCCACTCCTGCCACAGCGGGCGGCGACAGCGATGCCTTGGATCGAAACGCGGATGAGAGGAGTCGGGTGGATGACATGCGTGGTTCCCCCATGGGTGTGGGGAATCTGGAGGAGTTGATCGATGATGATCATGCCATTGTCAGCAGTGCTACCGGCCCTGAGTACTATGTCTCCATCATGAGCTTCGTGGACAAGGATCTACTGGAACCCGGCGCGCAGATCCTGCTGCATCACAAATCCGTCTCGGTCGTGGGCGTACTCACCGACGACGCCGACCCGCTCGTCTCAGTCATGAAACTGGACAAGGCGCCAACGGAGAGCTACGCCGACATCGGCGGCCTCGAGCAACAAATCCAAGAGGTCCGCGAAGCCGTCGAGCTCCCCCTCCTCCATCCCGAGCTCTACGAAGAAATGGGCATTAAACCCCCGAAAGGCGTAATCCTCTACGGCGCCCCGGGAACAGGCAAAACCCTGCTCGCCAAAGCCGTCGCGAACAGCACCTCCGCCACCTTCCTCCGCATCGTCGGCTCGGAACTCATCCAGAAATACTTGGGAGACGGCCCTCGCCTCGTGCGCCAACTCTTCCAAGTCGCCGCCGAACACTCCCCCAGCATCGTCTTTATCGACGAAATCGACGCCATAGGCACCAAACGCTACGAGAGCACCTCGGGCGGCGAGCGCGAGATCCAGCGCACCATGCTCGAACTCCTCAACCAACTCGATGGCTTCGACGACCGCGGCGACGTGAAAGTAATAATGGCGACCAACAAAATCGAAACCCTCGATCCGGCCTTGATCCGTCCCGGCCGCATCGACCGCAAGATCCTGTTCGAGAACCCGGACCAGAACACCAAGCGCAAGATCTTCACCTTGCATACGAGTAAGATGAATCTGGCCGAGGATGTGGATCTGGAGGAGTTTATCGGGCAGAAGGATGATTTGTCTGGCGCCGATATAAGGGCGATTTGTTCCGAGAGTGGGTTGTTGGCGCTCAGGGAGCGAAGGATGAGGGTGAATATGACGGATTTTCGGGCGGCGAGGGAGACGGTGATGAAGACGAAGAATGAGGGGGAGCCGGAGGGGTTGTATTTGTAGGTATGGGTTTGGTTGGGTGGGGAGGGGAGGAGAGGGGGGAAGTGAAGTGGGATTGTATGAGGGGCTTCGGGCGGGTTGTGCGCTTGTGTTGCGAGTGAGATGCCTTTTTGAGAGTTCGAGGGGCGATGGGAAGTGTACTATAGCATTCCTTCTTCGCGATTCCGCTGCAAATGCGGCTAGAGTTAGTAGCAGCAGCAGCAATGAAACATCCGCCTTGCCATATCCTCCACGCTTGCCTACCACTTGCTATGTACCGCATTGTAGGCAGCACAAACCTACCATACACGTCTCTTGGAACGCGGGAAGTAGGAAAAGGGTATTTTCCCCAAAGAAAGCTGCACGCGAGCGTCATTCAAAGTGTGTATGCCGCTAGTGAACTCTAGCTTTAGAGAGTTGGAACTTCGTCCCGTCTTTTAGACGACGTATAATTGGATACCTTACAGCTGGAGTGTTGTTACGGTTTTAAGAAGGATGTATAACAGGTTACGATAGCACCGACTCTCAACAAACGAATCCCGCCCCCGCCTGGACCTTGGAACATTGCTGCTGCCCTACCGCGAGGATGTATCTACCACCCCCTGTCGCCTCCAATGCGAATACCACCGCTACAGCTATAGCGATAGCTTCCTCCCTCCTCTCCCTCGCCTCGGACAGAGTAGTGGCTTCAGCACCGCAACCCCCACCCGGCGGCTGGTCGAGTCTGATAGGGATCGTGACGGCGATCTGTGGCAATATTCTGATTTCTTTCGCGCTGAATGCCCAGCGGTATGCGCATATTAGATTGAGTCGGGATCGGGAGGAGTGGGAGGAGGAAGAGAAGCGGAAGGCTGGTCGGAAGAGGCGGAAGAGACGGAGAGGGCAGGGAGGGGGTTATGGGACGACGGGTACGGGGGCGGCGCAGATTGAGGTGGCGGAGGAGAGGGCGAGGGTTAATGCTCTTGGTGGTGGAGATGAGAGTGGGGGTGGGGCGGGAGGGGAGTATAGGCTTGAAGAGCACGAAGCTACGGAGGAAGATGCCTTGATCCCGCACGTGGAACTGGTGGAGCCGGATAGGAAGGGTTCGGTGGATAGTCAGGATACCATCCGCCCTGGCACTAGCAACAACAACAACAAAACCAACAACAAAAAACACGACGCTAACGACGAAGACGAAGACGAAGACGACGAAGATCCAGACCACCACCATCAAGATAAATCCTACCTCCGCTCCCCAATCTGGTGGTCCGGCATCGCCCTCATGACCCTAGGCGAAGCCGGCAACTTCCTCGCCTACGGCTTCGCCCCGGCCTCAATCGTCAGTCCCTTGGGCGTCGTAGCCCTAGTCTCCAACTGCATGATCGCGCCCCTCCTCCTCGGGGAACAATTCCGATGGCGCGACGGTCTCGGCGTCTTGATCGCGATAGGCGGGTGTGTGACGGTAGTCCTAAGCGCGAGCGATAGTAATCCCCGCCTCGATCCCGATGAGATCTGGCGGCTGATTACGCAGTGGGAGTTTGAGACGTATTTGGGTGTGACGGTGGGGTTAATTGTGGTGTTGAGCTTTTTGAGTGAGAGGTTTGGGAGTCGCACGATCCTGATTGATTTGGGGCTGGTGGGGTTGTTTGGGGGGTATACTGCGCTTTCGACCAAGGGGATTGCGTCGTTGCTTTCCAATACGATTTGGAGGGTTGTTACCTTTCCGATCACGTACGTCTTGCTTGCTGTGCTCATTTTCACGGCCGTGATGCAGATCAGGTACGTGAATCGGGCGTTGCAGCATTTCAATGCTACGATGGTTATCCCGGTGCAGTTTGTGCTGTTCACGATCTCGGTTATCGTGGGGAGTGCGGTGCTGTACAGGGATTTTGAGAGGGAGGAGGCGGGCGATGCGGTGAAGTTTGTCGGGGGGTGCGCGTTGACGTTCTTGGGGGTGTGGTGTATTACTTCTGGGCGGCAGGATGAGGGGGATGGGGATGAGGAGATGGGAGAAGAGGAAGAGGAAGGTGATGCTATTGACTTACTGGATGAGGAGAGGACGCAACCTGAAGTCCGAGAGCGAGATGATGGAGGCGCTAAACGAAGGTCGATCATCGCCGGATCATCGTCGCGAGACACGCCACAGCTACGACATTTCCGCACCGCAGAGTCGATCCCAGAGGTCATCGTGACGCCCGACCTCCGCCCCTCGACGGGCGTCGAAGCCTCCCCACTGAAACTCGACCACACACCCTCACCGCAAGACATCCAAGATGCAACCCCAGCCATCACCTCCTCCGTCCACCCAACCCTGACCCAAATCCCGGCATCCTCCACCTCAAACCAACCCCCACCCCTCCACGCCACAACCTCGGCCCCCGTAGTCCCTCGCTCCAACCTCCTCTCCTCCTCCCGGCCGCGAACACCTCTACTGCGAAACAAATCCGGCCCAGCGATCGAAAGTCCTTCCCGTACTTCCAACCCCCACCAACAACAATACCAACAACCCTCCCCCTCCGCCCGCCGCTCCTCCCAAGCCCAACTCGACACCCCCACAGCCTCAGGCCCGCGCCTCCTAAGCCGGAACTCCGTTATCGGACTCCTCCCAGGACCCCTAATGAGTCCGCTCAGTACCTCCCTCAGCGCCATCGTGGCGGATTCCCTGCGTCGCGGAGTCGATAATCCTGCCTCCACAATGCGGCGACGACTTTCACGTCGGAGGACGGGGACGATGACGAGGGGGACTTCTGGTTCTGGTACTACCCCAGCGGCCTTACCGCAGAGGCATTCTGTCGCTAGTGGGGAGATGGATTTCAGTGAAGAAGATGGGGAGAGCGCTGAGGTCGTGGGTAGTGGTGCGCAGGCGGCTGGGAGTCCTTCGGCGCTTAGAAACAGGAGTCTTAGTGCGACGTGGGGGGAGATTTTCGGGACGCCGTCGGGTGTTGGGAAGAGAGGGGTGATGAAAGGGGGAGAGGGGAAGAGATCGGGGTCTGAAAGCGAGGCGGGGAAGTGATGGCCTTGTCTTGGGGTCGGGTGTTTGCATATACATATATTGAGTTGATAGGTGGATAGCGAGGAGTTTATTGGCGATGGGGAATGTAAAGGCTTCGACATAATTGGACGTGGGATCGGGATTCGGGCTCAGATCACGTGAGATAGGCATATGTGCATATTTCTGTATAACACGCAACACCCTTCATATCGATAAAGCAAGAGCTTCCTTCTTCTTTTGCGGCTTTCTGGCTGGAACTCCACGCTTGCTATGTTCCGACAAATGCATCTCCCGATACACTTCTGGCAACAACATAAACCATCCTGGCTCCACGCTGATGACTGCCTACCATCACATAACCACACAATCCCTATCCTCCGTATGCCCCTTACTCTTCCGCTTCTCATGCCTCAACGCCGCCTTATCTTTCCTCGTCACTGCTTTCGTCGTCGGAGGCGGCTTGCGCGTCTCGAGATTCTCTTTACTGCTAATCCTCTTCACCGTCTCACTAACACCGTCTTTGCTCGGATTCTCAGGTAATACAACCTTTTCCTGCGCATCGGTCTGGCCCGCAAGCTCGGCCGCGACGGTTTCGGAGGGCTGGACGGCTACGACATCATTCCTGCTCATGCGTTGGGTGAGTTTGCTCATGCTGAAGCTCAGACGATTGGCGCTGGGGTCCGGTCCAGGGGTTGTAGGTCGGCTTCGCGAGCCGGTCTTGGATGCTTTGCTGCCGCGACGGGAATTCAACTTGCTCGCTACGGCTAGAAACGCGTTCCCCTTTTCTTCTGACGGTGTTGATGGCGCTGACATGGATGCCGGGTCTATTCTTGCGCTATCGGTGTAGCTTGACCCCTCAAAAGCTATGCTTGGCCTGCGTTCATCTGAGTGGCTAGCGCGACCCCGTGGCCCATCGAGCGGGCGAACAGCGTCAAGACTTACACGTTGTGAGCCGTTCGCGAAGTCTGTCGCTTCGGACGTCGCTCCTTCCGAGGCCAAATTCGACGTGCTGTTTGTCAAAGCACTTTCTGATCCGGAGGCGTCGTTCAAGTATGGCTTTTCCAGCGTGTCCGCATCAGAATGTGATCGTGAGGTCGTCGCTTCCGCGTAGCTTGGCAGATCATGGATCGAGTGGCCGTCCTCTCCTATGGGCAAGACCTGGTAGAACAACAGATACGGCGTCTCATCCCTCAAAGCCTGCTGGATGTTCACGTACGTCACACGCTCTCGTGCGAGATCGTCGAAGCGCATCCAAGGATCCTCGATCGTATCACTATTGAGGCTGCCCCGTCTGGACTCGCTATTACTGCCATGATGGACTGCGTTCGCTGCCGTACCTCGACATAGCGCTATGTAGTGTCCGCTATTAACCGACATGCCGCGATGGCATACCACAGACTGCAGCTGTAGTCGGAAATTTCCCACCAGAGGACCCTCATCATTCATATGATCATCGCTTACAAAGTTGGGTACCCCGATCTCCAATGGTATATCAACGTAGGTATCTCGTCTTTGTGCCTGGCCTTGGTATGTATATGAGTACCGCTTCAAGCAGACACCAAGCACTGGACGCTTCTTGGAGAAGTGGGCGGCGACCTGGGCGTCAGACGTAGGCAGATGATCGGTATACCAAGGTAGTAACTTAAAGAACTGCCATGCTGGCATGAGCACTTCTGTTCGCGTGCTCATCTTCCGTAATGGACCGTCCGATGGTGCATTGGAATCCGTGACCGTGAGTGCTTCCGGATCGATGCCTGTTAGTTCGATTCTCCGTTGGCTGAAGATACTATCCGCTCGCTTTCTGCCCGTTGTAGGTCGGAGTTTATCCAGAGGATTTTTGAATTGTATCGGTGATTCTGCTATTGGCGTTTGCACGACTGGCGTCGAAGCTTCGGCTAGCTCAACAACCTCGACATGCATAGCAGGTTCCTTCTCTGCCTGAATGGCGCCCTCATCTGACACACCAGCTTTGAGAGTGTCTCTTCGCCGCCGCTCCAAATGTCGCTTCACCTCGATTCGATTGTTAAAGTAGTGCTCAAGACATTGTTCCAGAGTTATGACATCGCTGCCTTCTTCGGGCGCGTCAGGAATCGCCACCTCCAGTAAGCGCTCGTTGACGAACTTGTGGTCGTCCTGCGGATCCTCCTTGCCGGTATGATACAAGTCCATCTTCAAGGTCAGCAGTGGCAGTCCTAGCTGACCCGTAATGAACGTGAAAGCCTCAGAAGGATCTTGCTGCTTAAGCCTCCCAGCATCTTCCCAACCACATTCTGCCAAGGCGTTCTGCAAGTACCACGTCACGTCGGTCGTAATTAACCTGCCGGTGCGAAGCATATTGACCCATAATCGAAGCACGCCAGCAAGCTTTCTTCGTGGTAAGTCCTCGTAGCTGTCATATAGCATAGCCTCGAAGCTGTCCAGTCTTGCAAACATTGCGAAGAGTAGCGCATCCGCATAACACGTAACACCCTGCCGATTGATAGCACCGACCAGCTTCGCTTGAGGATCGTACGGCTCCACAATACCCTCGTATGTCCACTGCAGTAATACTAACAGCTTGTATGCTGCTTCACTGTCGCCATGTGATACTTGCAATACATACTCCGCATTCGCCTCGACCATCGTATCGATGCCATTGACCCGTAGTCTGTCAAGGATAGTCTTGACTCGCTTCTCCTGCTCCTTGTCGACCTTTGCATTCGGGTCATTGGTGTTGGCAAAGAGGCCACCGAAGTGGTCGGGCTTGGGTTCTGCCTGAAGATTCTCGGTTAGCTCGGTCCTCCTGTTGTACCTCGCAGCCAGCAGCTTGCGCATCAGCATGACCCGGTGAGTCAGAAGGATGAGGTTTACTCTCAGAAGCAGGACTGGACGAGGTGCTAACGGGTAGGTTGTCGTCGTCACACGTTTCCGCTAGCAACGGCATCCGCTCGCTCTTATTCAAATCTGGCAAAGTCGGAATCGATTTGGATCGACGGCTAGCAGAGCCACCTCTGCGTCGTGCACGCGATCGCCAAGTCATAAGAGACAGCGTGGAATGCATGGCTGGGGATGGTAGGTAGTAAATACGAAGATGAGGGCAGCGTACTTTTTTGTGTGCCTGTGGTGGCTTCTTCTCTCTTCGACTGAGGAAGCGAGTGACACCGCTCTTGTTGCTCATGCTGTTGTTACTGTGTGTCTACCGTGGTGCCTGCCTCGTCTCCATGAAGGCACACGAGCGGAACGCTGCTGCTGCTATAGCTGAGCCGGAATATTGCTGCCTCTACCCGGCCGCCGCGTGATGGAGCCAAGAGATCCAGACAGGTGTCGACTACGATTTCCAGCTATCAGCCGTCTCCATGTCGAGGTTTGCCTCCCACGCGGCTGCTGCAATATCGTGGTCTAGACAGCATATCGAAAGACGAGGTGGAGCTTTAAAGCTACCGTTCAATGCCATGTGGCTTGACGTGGAGGGGCTCGTCGCCCAATGACCAATGGCGGCTGATAAGAAATGCAGCTTGGTCTTGGCGAAAGTCAGCATCAGGGTCCGAGATGGCCGAGATAACTTTAGATCTCCTCCGAGCGGCCGCAGAAGTCAATCATCTGTACAGTATGTGCTAGTGTGGTATATCATTGTTGTTCCCATCAACCTATCTAACATCACGATTGCGACAATGGCGGTACAAGAGGTCACCAGTGCCTTCTTGAAGAGGTTCAGCGCACGACCAAGTCCACTGCAACATGTCTGGGCTGCGCAATGCCGGCACGCGAGCACGAATGTCGAGACTGGTCAGGAGACACAAGGAATGGAGACATCAGACTTCTCCGAGGGTCAGAATGAAGGTGGACAAGATATAGGAAGATTCGATCCAGCCGGAGTGGCAAGAAAGCGAGGAAGGAAACTGCCACCCAGCCGGTATGGAATAGGAAGGCACGCGTGTTGAAGAAGGTAGCTTCTACTGACCTCTCACCAGATACCAGTTCCGATCACCTCGATACTACCGCGGACCATTGCACCCACATCAACCCCTGAAGCCATCAGATCCAGCGTCGCGGGAGTTCGAGGCAGGCCCGTTCTCTCTGCCTCGTCTAGAACAGACCTACCATGATACGCTCGCATCAGATTACATGGTCATGGCTTACCAACATCATCCTCCCGGCTACGAAGCGCCGAAGAAAGGCGACCGATTACGACCCTGGGTTGGCGACTCGCCATACTACAAGAACAGACCTCTGCGAGGCCCCAGAGGTGGTGACGTGCTGAAGCTGCTACGAAAGCCGATCACGTTCCAGAACGTTCCACAATTAGAGCGTGTGACCGTACATACCATGGTCAAAGGCGCGATTGACGATGGCGCGTATCTCCACGTCGCGGGCATGGTGTTGCAGGCCATCACAAATATGCGCGCAGAGTCGCATGCAGCAAAGCGCAGTGTGGCAGGCTTCGGCATTCGTGCCGGCCAGCATTTGAGCTTGACGTGCGACCTGCGTGGCGAGACTATGTACCACTTCCTGAGCAAGCTCGTGGACGTGGTCTTGCCTAAGATCAAGGACTGGCCGGGCGTGAAGGGAAGCTCTGGCGACAGTTCTGGAGACATTGCTCTTGGACTGCGACCGGAGGACATGACGTTGTTTCCAGAAATTGAGGTCAACTACGACATGTATGTCCACGCACATCAGCAAATAAAGGATAAAAGCTAATACAACACAGGTATCCACCTAGGATGATCCCAGGTTGCCACATCATAGTCCACACCTCTGCGACCAACGAACAAGACGCTCGGGTGCTGCTCTCACAGATCGGCATTCCCTTCTACGGCAAATTGATCAACTAGTGGCCACGATTTATTCTACTGTACTATACTGTATATAAGGCCGCTGTACGAAGCAGGCACTACCTTCGAAGAATGTCTTCAACCACATTCGCAACGCCAAGCACTTTCTCCTCTTCCAGCTTCTGGCCCACAATCTGCACACTCAATGGTAGGCCGTCCATCTTCTCGGCATCATATAACGCCCAATTCCACCGATCGAGCTCATTCCTGCCCACATACTCGCGAACGGCAGGAGCGGTCTTGCTCACATCAACACTCTTGTCCACCTTGCCAAAGGGTAGGACACAGGCAGTGTAATCCAGGAAGTTCCAAATTTTAGTGTATCCAACCCACTTACAACTTCTATGCGGCACGGCGGAATGCGGCATCGTCGGAGTCAACAAGACATCCACTGGTCGTCCAGACTTCGGCGACTTGAATGCCCTCCATTTGTCCAAGTAAGCTCTCTGCGCCGCCTGCTTCTGTCGGTTCAGCTGCCAGTACTCATAAACCGAAATCGCCGGAGCTCGCTCCACAAGCGCCTGAACATGCGGGACCAACGGCTCGCCTCCCTTCGCCACCTCGCGAAGGATATCCTCACATCCATCCGCCGTGTAGTACTGGTCCATTATCTTGATGCAATCCTGATGATCGCTAGCATCCCATTGCACGATCTCGTGGCCCGCGGCTGAAAGTTTCCCGGCTGCTTCAAGTAGGACGCGTTCGAGGGGTGGATGGATCTTGACGACGCCGTCGTCTGCTAGGAGGCCGATGACTAGTGGTCGGGATTGGGCGGCGCGGTATTCTGGTTCGCGCCAGGGTATGGGGAGGACGCGTGGCTCTTGGGTCCAAGGGGAGGTTTCGATGATGGTTTTGACGACGCTGTGGATCGAGTTGAGACTCCTTGCCATGGGTCCTACGACGGAGGGAATGTGTTCTTGGCCTTCTGTTGAGACTGGGACGCCGAGGTAGGGGAGGCGGCCACTCTTGATATGAGCGTCAGTAGGGGGCTGGAGTATGTGAGTGGTGGAGTGATGAAGAACTTACGCTAGGCTTGAAGGCGTAGAGACCCGTCATGTGAGAGGGTATGCGGACACTACCTCCTATATCCGTGCCCCAACCCACGAGCGATGCCTGCTGCGCGAGCAGAGCAGCCTCACCCCCTGTAGACCCTCCTGGCGTCAAGGAAGGATCGAGAGGATGATCTGTGCGGCCGAAGAGAGGATTTTCGGTTTCACACCTAGGTGTATGCTTGTCAACCAACCCCATTCGACTCTGAATCCATCTCCATTGATCAAAGACTCACCACATGATACTCTGCGGCAAATTACTCTTAGCAATAAACACCACCCCGGCTCCCTTCAAGATCGACACGATCAAAGCATCTTCCGTAGCGGGTTGGCCCACTCGTCCAACGTAGGCTAATGTAGTATCGTGACCTTTGACGTCGAATTGATCCTTGAGTGTCATGACCACGCCGTGAAAAGGTCCAATGGGACGTTTGTGTTCGGCATAATGAGCGTCGAGCTGATGAGCCTGTTGTAGAGCATCCTTGAATAGGACTTCTGTTATACAGTTCGTCTGGACAGACGGTCAGTTGTGTATCGGCTGATGGAAAAACTGGGTTGTTGACCTTCTGATGTGCTTTGACTGCTCTATGAGAAACGTCAATTTCTTGCGCCGGGGGTTGTCAAGCTCATCAGATGTTTCATACTTGCGTATGTATGCCTCGACAACTTCTGTCGTGGTGAATTCGCCTTGTGCGACCTTGCTGGCGAGCTCAACAACATCCACTATCTTCGTGATGGCGTCGTCCTTGTCACCCGCTTGCTGATTCAAGAAGGGTTTCAGAGCATCATCTCGAGCTTTCCTTTTCTGTTCGACTTTGATCGACCAGCTTGGTCGGGCGTCTGTGTCTTCTGCCATACTCGTACTTTTCTACGAAAGCATATACTACTTGGTTCGGTAGCGCATGGAATACGAATTGATTGGAGACATTCGGCATGCCGAGATCGGGCTCCACGATACGAGTGGGCTTCAATAGCGTCCCGTGATTACATGTATCTGTTATCTACACGCGCTTGATACGGAAGCCTACGATCCGTCTCCCCAGCAGTGAGTGAGCTGAAGCATACGTTCCATGCACTAGAAGATGCTGCTTGGTTCTCTGCTCCATCGCCAAGCCTTGTCATTCTAGACCAGACGATTGTCTAAGGAACGCCGTTCTAGAGAGGGCGAATTAGCCCTCTACTAGTATCAGTAGGGCGTAAAGAATTGCGGTCTCGTAACAGCCTCGACGTCAGTAGCTTCGTGTGACCGAAGGGCCATCAAGGCTTCCTCCATGTTAGACCAGATGCGCCTGCGACCTTGCCGTCCCGCCTCGCTTTGCTGGAGATCAAATGTGGAGACTGGGTGCAAAGCCACTATCTCCATAGCGGCAGCGATATACCGAATATCAAGTTGATGAAGCTGTTGCCTTTCCCGACCGTTCAGAAATCCAAGCACATTCTCGCGAACAGCATACTGCAGCAGCTCAACGCTCTCCATACGCATTCCACTTCTGTCTTTCACCACAGGATAAGTGCCGCCTCTCAGCTGCCACACATGGCCGATCAATTCCAATCGTAGATAGAAGCCTACATGGCCTTGATATCGAGTTGGCTGGCTGATGTTCCAGTGGCGGCTGATCTGGAAGCTGCAGACATGTTTGATGGCATCACCCAGCGTCTCTAGCCATAGCGAGATGCGATCGCCTTCAGGGTAGCAGTCTTCATCACCCTGGATTGTGAAGTGGCAGTTGCCTACATATAGAGGTAATGTCTCTTGTCTTAGCCATCGACTTGCTCGGCAGATGCGTGGGGTGAGCTTCACATTGGGAGCCACAGTCTCATGCCGTCCAGGCTGAAGCTCGTCCAGGTACTGGTAGATCGCATTTCGAAGCTCTGCGGGCAGTCCAAGGAGCGACATGATTATGTGATGGCCATGTTTGTCCTCCGAGGTGAGCGAGGTACTTTCCCATGCTAGCGTGACAAGCACGGACTCCTGCTCCGTCAACTCTACCTCGGCCATCATCTTGACTTCGGCGACATGGTGTGGGGAGATGTAGATGCTCGGTGAACTCTTTCTAAATATTGCTGTAGGTCGTTGCTTCTAATCCATCTCACACTTTACCCTGTAACACTCTCCTTGAGATCTAGCTGCCCATCATGTCGGTACCATACAAGATCGAGGCATCGGAGGAGTTGCTCCTGGGCGGTACACAGGGCGAGCAGCAGCCCAGAGCTAGTGAGAGGATCCCAATCATTGCTCGACCATTCGTCAGCGACAGGGCGAAGAAGACCTTGGACATTGTACGTATGGGATGATGGTATAGCTGGGACTACGCTGATAGTTGTCAACAGGTCGAGAAGTTCGTCGAGGAGGAATGTATCCCAGCCGACAGCATCTACGCCCAGCAGGTCGGCGAGGGCGTCGTGAACCGCTTCTCTGCTCACCCACCAATTCTGGAGGACCTCAAGAAGCGAGCACAGGAGCTTGGACTATGGAACATGTTCCTGCCCAAGAATCACTTCAAGGAGGGCGCAGGTTTCAGTAATCTGGAGTACGGTCTAATGGCAGAGCACCTTGGCAAGAGCCATATTGCCTCCGAGGCTACCAACTGTGCTGCGCCGGACACTGGTAATATGGAGGTGTTCGCAAAGTACGGCACCCAAGAGCAGAAGGACAAGTGGCTCAAGCCGTTGTTGGCTGGCAAGATTCGATCAGCTTTCCTGATGACAGAGCCGGACGTTGCCAGCTCAGATGCTACCAATATCGAGCTTTCGATCAAGAAGGAAGGTAACGAATATGTGCTCAATGGCTCAAAATGGTGGTCATCTGGTGCTGGTGACCCTCGCTGCAAGATCTACATCGTCATGGGCAAGAGTGATCCAAACAACTCGAGCCCCTACAAGCAACAGTCCGTCATCTTCGTCCCCGCTGAGACTCCTGGTATCACAATCAAGCGCATGCTCTCAGTATACGGCTTCGACGACGCACCACATGGTCACGGGCACCTTGTCTTTGACAACGTTCGCGTACCTACCAGCAGCATCTGTCTAGGTGAAGGCCGTGGCTTCGAGGTCATCCAGGGTCGTCTTGGCCCAGGCCGTATCCACCACGCTATGCGCTCTATTGGTGCTGCCGAGAAGGCGCTCGAGTACTTCTTGGCCCGCATGAACGACCCGAGGAAGAAGCCGTTCGGCAAGCAACTACATGAGCACGGAGTCATGCTCGAGCGTGCTGCCCGCAGCAGAGTCGAGATTGATGCTTCGCGTCTGCAAGTCCTCAATGCTGCCATCATGATCGACTCCAAGGACGCCAAGTTCGCTCTCAAGGAGATCGCAGAGGCCAAGGTGCTTGTTCCTGACATGGCACTCAAGGTCATCGACCGTGCTATCCAGGCATACGGTGGCGCGGGTGTCTGTCAAGATACACCTTTGGCCAACATGTGGGCGCATGGCCGGACGATGCGCATCGTCGATGGTCCTGACGAGGTCCATCTTATTCAGCTAGGGAGGAACGAGAACAAGAAGGGCAAGTTTATGCATCAGAAGATTGAGTGGCAGAAGAAGAAGTCGGAGGAGATGGCGAGGAGTTATGGGATCGAGAAGAGGGATGTGCTGCAGCTTGATAGGCAGCATAGCAAGGCGAAGTTGTAGATGCTCTATAGTCTGTATATCATCATCGTTTATTGACAATTGCAGTCCACGCTTCGAACAGTGACATCCATGACGGTAGTGTCAGGCTCTCTCTAGCGTGGTCGCTGACGGGTCTGGTCGCAGAGTGTTCTGTCGATATTGTTATCAAAGAACGTCGTCGAGGAGCGATATCGAAGTCGTGGTCAGTTTTGTGTCGCTGGACAGGGATGTGAAGCCGTTTGATCGTCGGACGAGTTTCCAGCATCGTGAGAAGGCGCTATTAGCTGCAGATCTAGCAAAGGTCACGTCTTGTGCGTAGCTTGGATGAGACTCGTCATTGTCGTCGCCGTCGTTGTTGCTGCTATCAGCAGTTGTCCACGATGACTCTTACATAGAGAGAGCGACTAGGATGATCACCAGTAATTGTCGTCGGATGTCGTCGTGACGACGACTTTCGACTCAGAACGCCGGCAGTGTGTGCAGGGACAATAGGAACCGAAAGCACTTCATACATCATTGTTGCATTCGCAGCAAAAGTGAACAGGTCAATGCCTGCAGCCACGACAATAAAATGGTATAACGACCGTCAAGTACTGTACCGCATCACGTTCCTTGCCTAACCTCCATGAGACTTCCGGAGGCGCGTTCGAATGTTGACATGCAGGATTTCTAAATGGAGACGGCTTACGAGATAGTTATGGTCCATGTAATGGCCATTTCATATAACATGGCGGTAGGCCGTACGATTCTACCTCTTGATCGAGCAGCCGTGCGTGAGTCCCATGTGCTGAGCAGATCGGCTGATCAAATTCAATACTACCCTACCGTATTCTAACCTACTCTAGATGGTGCTAAATGATGCTCCGCGAAACTGTCTGATGCTAATGGACACTTTACATCGCTGCTCGATATCTCGGGTCTTGACCAGTCTACAGTGCTTCCCTGCCATCAAGTACGTGGACTCAGTTTGGCGCCCTTGCAGCGTTTGCACTGATCGCGTTCAGCTTCTTCAGGATTGATAAAGTGTCACAACGTCGCGCTGACGATGACCTACCAATATACGGGCTTGATCAAAACACAAGCTAGATGGAAAGATAGCGGTCGCTCAAGGGCCGGAAATCTGCTTACTGGCCGTTGCCGTAGTTCGACTGGGCAGGCCTCCAGCACTCATACGCACACTCAACCGTTCTAAAGCAGAGTGTCTACTGAAATGAACGAAGCGTCTATCTAGCGCACGACATACCTATGGACACTCCTTCATTCGAAAGCAGAGATATCCTGACGGACTCAGAGAGTCGTAGAGTGCTTATGAGACACGTAAAGGGCAAGTCTATGCGCTTATATCATCGTATTGCCATTGAGATGAGTCTTCAGAACGCGGCAGACACGACTGGAGAGGCTCAAAAGTCGTCTGGAACTCCGCCAATTGCCCGATTCGGTAAAATCATCCTCGGCGCGAAATCCTTATCGAAGTGGCTTATCGGGCACGCGTCGAGCTCTCGGAAACGACCATCATATGCGACAACGGCGGGGCAGCAATAAATACATGCAGTAGAGCTCTGGACGTTTGTATAGGTATGTAGGTGATGTAAGTACAACACCACGGTCGGTCTCGTGTATTCTTTCGTCTCGATCCATACCACACAGGCCGAACCCAGACAGAATCGAGACCATGGTCCTCGAACGCCTTCAGCAGATGGCCTCTCATCTGACCGGCCAGGTCGCACAACACCACCCATTCGATCCATTGAGCACTGATGAGATTGCTGCAGCTGTCGCGATTGTCCGCAAGGAGCATGCAGACCTCTTTTTCAACGCCGTAACGTTATGGGAACCACGGAAAGAGGACATGCTGAAATGGCAGTCGTCGCCCGACACTGCACCAAAGCCCCGTCGAGTAGCGGATGTCGTAGCTATTGGTCGAGGCAGCAAAGTGTACGATGGCCTTGTCGATCTCAACGAAGGCAGAATCGTGCAGTGGGAACTCACAGAGGGCGTACAACCGCTCATCACAATGGAAGACCTCCAGATTGTAGAGTCCGTCGTGAGAAAGGACGCCAAAGTCATCGAGCAATGCGGCATCCTAGGCATCCCAGAATCAGACATGCACAAAGTCTACTGCGACCCATGGACCATCGGGTTCGACGAGCGTTTCGGCTCTGGTGTCCGACTCCAGCAAGCACTAATGTACTACCGTCCCCACCCAGACGACTGCCAGTACACATACCCCCTCGACTTCTGCCCCATCTACAACAGCGACACCCAAGAGATCGTCCACATCGACATTCCCAAAGTGCGTCGACAACTCAACCAAGCACCACCAATCAACTACCACGCCGAAGCCATCGAAAAGGAGGGCGGTTTCCGCAAAGACATAAAGCCAATCAACATCACCCAACCTGAAGGTGTCTCCTTCTCAATCGACGGCCGCACGCTCAAATGGCAGAACTGGAGCGTCCACATCGGCTTCAACTACCGCGAGGGCATTGTTTTGTCCAACATAACTTTCAACGACAAAGGCAATGTACGCCCGGTCTTCTGGCGGATGTCCCTAGCAGAAATGGTCGTCCCGTACGGCAACCCCGAACGACCTCACCAACGCAAACATGCCTTCGATCTAGGCGAGTACGGCGGCGGCTACATGACCAACTCCCTCGCCCTCGGCTGCGACTGCAAGGGAGCGATCCACTACATGGACGCCGCCTTCGTCAACCGCGCCGGCGACCCCCAAACGATCAAAAACGCCATCTGCATCCACGAAGAGGACGCCGGGATCCTCTTCAAACACACCGACTTCCGCGACGAGTCCTGCACCGTCACCCGCGCCCGCAAACTCCTCATCTCCCACGTCTTCACCGCCGCCAACTACGAATACTGCGTCTACTGGATCCTGCACCAAGACGGCACGATCCAGCTCGAGATCAAACTGACGGGCATCCTAAACACCTACGCCATGTACCCCGGCGAATCCGCCGCGCCGTGGGGGACGGAAGTCTACCCCGGCGTCAACGCTCACAACCACCAACACTTGTTCTGTCTCCGCGTGGACCCCAACATCGACGGCCAAGCCAATACGATCTTCCAAGTCGATGCCGTAGCTGGGGAAGCACCCGTCGGCAGCGAGGAGAATTTCTACGGGAATGCTTTTTATGCTAAGAAGACGAAGTTGGATACCATGGCTACGGGGATGAGTGATTACGATGGGAGTACGAGTCGGACGTGGGAGATGGCCAACACGAATAAATTGAATCCGTATAGCAAGAAGCCTGTCTCGTATAAGCTGGTGAGTAGGGAAGTACCTCCGCTGCTGCCGAAGGAAGGGTCGCTGGTGTGGAAACGGGCGGGGTTCGCTAGGCATGCCGTGCATGTCACTAAGTGTAAGTCCACAGCCATCCTGCACCTGGTGGCTATCCACACCCGCACACACACACGCCACTAACAACCCTTGCAGACGACGACGAACAACTCCACCCCGCCGGCCGCCACGTCCCCCAAACCTCCGGCGAACCCTCGGCGGGCCTCCCAGCCTGGATCGCCGCCAACCCCACCGCCAGCCTCGACAACACCGACGTCGTCCTCTGGCACACCTTCGGGCTAACCCATTTCCCCTCCCCCGAGGACTACCCCGTCATGCCCGCCGAGCCCATGACGGTCCTGCTGCGCCCCCGCAACTTCTTCACGCAGAATCCCTGCATGGATGTCCCGCCCAGTTACTCTAGTACGCCAAGTCAGATTGCAGAGGGCAAGACGGGGATTAGGGGGATAGTGGATAATTTGAGTCGGTTGGCTTTTGGGGGGAAGGTCGGGGAGAAGGGGGGGAGTGGGGATTGTGGATGTAATTGAGCATTTCGTTGCTGTTGATGACGGTTTACAGGTTTGATTGTACAAGCAGGAGTGTGCTCTTTCTTGATTCACTAGCCAAAGGAGAATATGACGTTCGATCATGTCCATCTTTCAGTCCTTGTCTTGCAAGAAGTCCACCACAGCTGCCATCACATTAGCACATCAACCTCTTCAAGAAAATCACAATCAGTCACATCGATCGTACTCACCTCTCCTAAAGTCCTCCGGCTTCTCACTAATAACCCAGTGCCCACTCTCCACATCCCTCACCTCGAATTTAGGAAAGAACCGCCCAATAATCGGCAACATCTCATCTGCCACATAATGGCTCTTCGTGCCCCTCACAAACAACGTCGGGCCCTCGAACCGCGCATCCTCTGGGTCTTTGAAAGGGAAATCAGCCATCTTGTCCATTGCAGCCGCGAGCGTCTTGATAGGGATCCGCCATTTCTGGGTCCCAGTCTCGGGATCACGGACGAGATTTGTGAGGAGGAATTGTCGGATCGGGAGCGCGTCTTCGTAGTCGGCGAGGATCTTGTCGGCGTCGGATTGCCGGGTTATGTTTGGGGTGTCGGCGATGCGGCGCATACCCTGGATGTACTTTCCGAAGTCGGATTTGAGAGCTGCGTCTATGGGGGCGTTGTCGACGGGGATGAGGTTGGAGATGGGGACGCGACGGCGGAGGGCGATTGTCATGGCGGTTTTGGCGCCCATGGAGTGGCCTATTAGGGTTGTGTTCTTTAGATTGTTCTGCTGGAGGAAGGCTTCGACGTCCTCGGCCATGGCGGTGTAGTCGTGTCTGGGGTCGTGCGAGGAGTCGCCATGGTTCCGTAGGTCGATGGCGTAGACGGGACGGTTCAGCTCGCGGGCAAAGACTCTGGACGGTCGTATTAGTGGGCGGTGGTGAGGTTGGAGAGGGGATATGGTATGGGAGCGTACTTACTCATGCTCCTGTTGTTCTTCTTGCTCCCGAACAAGCCGTGCATGAAGATGATAGGAGGAGCATTGTGACGGGTATGTGAGTGCTGGGGAGGGTCATGGAGGTCGTAGGCGATTGTGATGCCGTTGGGTAGTTGGGTGGTGGAGAATGCGCGAGCAATGTTGGGCAAGCATGCCGCTCTTTGTGAGATGATCAAGGCATGATTCGCGCAAGATGTCACTCTCCGCGTGAACATGATCTATGCAGGCCTTTGCTGAGCAGACATTATTATTGAAATATCAACATTGAATCACGGAGAAGCTCGTACTGTAGGGCTGATCGCAAGCCCCAAAATCGTCTCACAGTCCAAGCTTCGCAGCACAATCTACGTCACACACCTTCATGCTACCCAGACTCTTCTTACGCAGCTTCAGAGTCCAACAACCCATACTCCACTCAACCAGACGCTATACACACCTTCTCCCTCTCAAAATGCCAGCAATGCTCCGCACCGACCCCAACATCATCATCACAGGCACGCCAGGCGTGGGCAAAACAACCCACTGCCAACAACTCGCCTCCTCCACGGGCCTCCACCACCTCGACATAAACGACGTGGTCAAAAAACACAACATCGGCGAAAGCAGCACCGACCCGGAAGACCCTAACACCAAAATCGTCGATGAAGACCGCCTCCTCGACTGCATAGAAAACGACCTAGAAGAAGGCGGCCAAATCATCGACTGGCACGCCTGCGACCTCTTCCCACCTAGTCTCATCGACCTGGTCTGCGTGATCCGGTGCGATAACCAGGTTCTGTATGATCGGTTGAAGAAGAGGGGGTATGGGGAGAAGAAGCTGCAGGAGAATATGGATTGTGAGATCATGGAGGTGTTGCTGCAGGAGGCGCGGGATGCGTATCCGGAGGAGCAGGTGGTGGAGTTGAGGAGTGAGGGGACCGGGGATGTGGATGGGAATGTGGAGAGGATTGAGGGGTGGATCAAGAATTGGAGGAAGGATCATGGGAAGGAGGGTGAGGTTGAGGCGCAAGGTGGAAAAGGTAGTGCGAAGGATGAGGATAATCCCATGTTCTTGCACGGTTAAGTGAGCGCTAAAAGGGACGAAGTGCAGCCATGGAAGCCAAGTCTACACCTCGTGCTTCAACCATTCCGTTAGCTTCGCCAACGCCCGACCCCGATGCGAAATCTTATTCTTCTGCTCCTTCGCCATCTCCGCATACGTCTGGCCCTCGTACTCAAAACATGCATCCCAGCCTGCAGAGTCGTCAGTCTTTGATGCACTGCAAGCTCGAGTCGGTCATCAAATGACAATGACATACCGAAATCAGTCGGTCCTCGCGCAGCCACGATTTTACCCTACGAGTGCGTCAGCTTCTATGGCTCCCGGACGTGCAGGAGGCCTGGGGGCCACGAGGTTGACTGACATCAGTCCGACCCTGGAAAATAATAGGTTCATGGCCCGGACCCTCGCAGTACGCGAATGTGCAAACGGCCTGAGCGGACTTGTCGTCGAAGCCGGCGAGAAGTCTATGGAACTGCTGCACCCCCAGTGCCTTCAGGAACCATTTCCTGCGTGAGATCATTAGCCAGAACACTTTTGAGTCGTATAGGAAGAGGAGACGTGGTTGGCGGAGAGAGGGAGGGCAGTTAGATAGCATAGTCTAGCGAAAAGGACATACACATAAGGCCCAGGCAACTCATCAAAGGCGTTGAAGCAGAGGCATGTATCCTCCACCAGCACTGGCCCTTGAACCTATTCCCCCTCATAGAACAGATCAGCACCTCCCTCCCACATCCTTCCATCCTGATTAGGGCTTGTACATACCACCTCAGCAGCCCTCCTCGCCTTATCATTCGAAATCTCCTCAATCGTGCCTTGTAATTCCGGTAAATCAATACTCTGTGACTGCAGCTTGACAGGGGTGGAGGAGAGAATGACTTGGACTTCGGCGAGTTTGTTCTTGTTGCCTGTGATGAAGTTGAGTTCTTTGGGCGCCATTGTGGGACGCTTAATGTGACAAGGTGCTGTCTCGAGAGTATAGTCAATTCGGTAATCAAAGGTTGTGATGTATCCAGAGTTTTATAGAAGTGGCAATGACATGAGGTGACAGGACGAAGTCGACTTTCTGGAGATGGACGTCACTGATGAGATGCTCAGATTTGGAGGAGTACATGCGGTGTCTCGAAGGAGGTCTCACTGACAGTATGACTCGACTGTACACCTAATTCCACTATGGCGAGTTTCAATAAACACAGGCACATGGAGGCCACATGCAAGACATGATTGAAGGTAAGTGCTTTCAAACGTTTTTGCAAGCTTATGACTATGAAGAGCAATGCAGCGCCCGTGACGTTGCGGCTATATGTAGCACCGTAACAACGCCTCCATGCCGCAATCATAACCCTCTGCTGCTGACTATACTTCGAGCCATGATCACCGCCCTTATTCTCATACGGCCCGCTTACACGCTCTCCAATGGCGCCGGCTCCTTGAAGTCCTTGTTGTCGACCTTCTGGCCAGCATCATCGGTAGACGACTCGCCGTGGAGCGAGAGCAAGTTGCCGAGATCGAACTTGGGCTGCTTGAGGAGCTTGACTTTGCGGACGTGGACCTGTTATATCATATTAGCTTACGATGGTATATCTGTGTATAGATTGGTGGTGGAACATACGTTCTGAAGTGGGTAGATACCCTGTGTACTCTTCTCAATCTCACGCCCAATGACCTCGGGAATGAGCTTCGTAGTCAACTGGCTCAGTGTGCACGCCGACGCCTCCCGGGACATGATATCCGTCATCTTCTTCCTGATCTGCCTGATCTGCGAGCTGCGCGCATAGGTGGTCTTCTTGATCTGATTCGGCCGTCGCTTGGTGAAGGCGATGCAGAAAAGACGGAGGAGGTAATCATCCGTCGTCTTGACCACGACGTTGGCCTCGATCAGGGACTGCCATTTGCGGACCAGCGAACGGAGTTTGTCCGAGGTGAAGTCGAGGCCGTGGAAGTTGGTCAGACAGTTCTTGCCTTGGACTTCGTCGATGCGGAGCTTGACTTTGCGGAAGGCGTGGTCCTCGTCTTTCTGGAGGTCGGCGAGGGAGACTTCGAAGATACGGCCTTTGAGGCGGTCGTTGGCGTTGATGAGACCGGTTGTGCGGTTCACGAGGGTCTTGCCGACACTGTGGGTAGCTCTGTTAGTATACAGGTATCCCTACTGCCTCTCTTCTGCTTCTGCTGCAAAACGTACTCGCGGATGTTGAAGGTGGAGGGCGCCTTGAGCGAGAACCAGTCTTTGCGCGCGAATGGATCCGTCCTCTTCTTCAAGCCCTTCTTGCCCTTTGACAACCGCTTGTTCTTTCCTACCGCCATGATTGCGTATGTGTGTAGGAGAGGTAGACGATTGTGGTGATGGCGGCAATGTCGTGTGTTCAAGCGCCCGCTTCTGCGAATTCGTTAGCGCAGATTTGGAGTTTCCTCACAGGTGCGGTCTTGGCAGTAGCTGAGAGATATGATGGCCTCAGGCATTCAAATTTATGAAGCAACCTCAGAATCTCCATCTTGCATCACAACAGCCACGCCTCTATATCGCTCGTGTTGTACAAACCCGCTAATTGAGTTACGGTGTTCATGACTGGCGATCACCCCTACTGATGGCTACAACACAACATACGACTTGGCTTGAAAGACATCACGTAGTCTATGCACTCTCACTTCCACCGCTTTCATTACCTGCAGCAATTCGGGCTTCATATCGGGTGCTACAATACGAACTGCCAGACATTACCACATTCCCATCAATCGGTCCGACCCAAACACTCTCCACGTCTTTACTTCCCGGCGACATGATCTTTCTTGCCACCATGGCGTACTCTCCACACTACCAAGGCTAGGCGCCATGACCCGTACCGTGGCAGCGCCTGGGCATACCACAACAGCCCCTCCACCTCTGTTCAAAGCCTCGATCGCCATGCCGCCGAAGAAGCGGCTGGAGCCTCTTGGGCTCGGAAGTTTAGCTTTATGTTGACGTGAGCTCGCGAGCCACATGATCGTGCATTTCGCAGAGCACAGACGCCAAGATAAACTCCAGACTCTTCTTGAACCGTGTTACCACATCTCCACGGCCTTGGTATGGAGATTCACTCGCGTGGCTATGCCAGTATAGCATTCGACACGCTTGTATAAGTAGGTAGGCGCAGTACCTTATCATGACGTTTTATTCCTCCTTCACTCCGTAGGACACCTTGATTTAACTACAGCACAGAATCACCGCAATCATGGGTCTCGCTTTGAAGAAGCCCGACGATGTCGCAGGCGCCGCATGGCCCGCCATCATGATCGGCCTCTTCGTGGCCTTCGGAGGTGTGCTCTTCGGCTACGACACAGGCACAATCGGAGGCATCCTGGGCATGGAATACTGGCAAACACAATTCGCCACAAACGGCCGCGACTCGATCACCCCAGCCGAAGAGTCCCTCATCGTGTCCATCCTGTCTGCCGGCACCTTCTTCGGCGCTCTGCTCGCCGCGCCTGTGGCAGACAACCTTGGCAGAAAAATGGGGCTGATACTGTCTTGCGGTATCGTCTTCAATTTGGGGGTTATTCTGCAGACAGCTTCGACTGCGCAGCCCATGTTTATCGCTGGTCGCTTCTTCGCGGGTCTGGGTGTAGGTCTCGTCTCTGCTATGATCCCGCTTTATCAGAGCGAGACTGCGCCTAAGTGGATCCGCGGTACTATTGTAGGATCATATCAGCTGGCCATCACCATCGTAAGTACTCAATGAAATCTTTTCTTTGGGATGGATGAAGCTGACAGATGGACACAGGGTCTCTTCCTCGCAGCATGCGTGAACTACGGTACCCAGAATCGCCTCGACAGTGGCTCTTACCGCATCCCCGTTGCCGTGCAGTTCGCGTGGTCCCTGATTATCGTCTTCGGCATGCTTGTGCTCCCGGAAACTCCCAGATTCCTAATAAAGCAAGACAAGCACGAGAAAGCTGCCAAGGCGCTTTCCACACTTCGCCGCCTCGATGTTGACCACCCCTCTCTCGTTGAAGAGTTGTCCGAGATCACCGCCAACCATAGGTATGAGGCTAGCCTGTCTAAGGCATCGTACCTGGACTGCTTCAAGGGTACAGTTGGGAAACGACTTTTGACTGGATGCTTGCTGCAAGGACTTCAGCAGCTGACTGGTGTGGTATGTTGTGCCTCCATACTATCGAGACTTGTACAGTGCTGACTTCGAGCAGAACTTCATCTTTTACTACGGTACCGCCTACTTTCAGCGAGCCGGCTTCAACAACCCTTTCATCATCTCTGTAATCACGAAGTGAGCTTTTCGTACAGATCCGTCTTATGGACAATGCTGACTATGAACAGCTCCGTCAACGTCATCTCTACATTCCCTGGTCTCTACCTTGTCGAAAAGATGGGTCGCCGGAATCTCCTCCTCATGGGTGCCATCGGTATGGCTATCTGCCAGTTCATCGTCGCCATCACGGGTACTGTAGCAGGCACCACCGACCTCGCGGCTCAACGGGTCGCTATCGCATTCGTCTGCATCTATATCTTCTTCTTCGCCAGTTCATGGGGTCCTGTTGCTTGGGTGGTCACGGGAGAGCTCTTCCCGCTCAAAGTTCGAGGTGAGTCTCCATGTGCTCGAGTGATTCATGATACATGCTGATTCGCCATAGCAAAATGTCTGTCTATGACCACCGCCACCAACTGGTTGTTGAACTTCGCAATCGCCTACGCAACACCATATATGGTCAACGACGGCGGTGCAGGCTACGCAAATCTCGGCTCGCGAGTTTTCTTCGTCTGGGGCTCGTTCTGCTTCATCTGTATCTTCTTCGTGTGGATGCTCATCTACGAGACCAAAGTAAGGAGACGCAGACAAGCGATAAGTAGTAAATGGAACATGACTAACGCTTTCCCAGGGTTTGGCTCTCGAGCAAGTCGACGAACTTTACGCCGTGATCAGCCAGGCATGGAAGAGCAAGACTTTCACGCCTACTATCAGCTTCACCGAGGTTGGTGAGAAGGGTGAGGATGGTAGGTCGATGAGCATTACCGATGTTGTGGATAGGAAGGCTAGCACTGGTCATGTGGATCAGTCTTACGATGGAGGGCGTGCGATGTAAGCTTGGTCTCGATCGGTGATCGTTGCTGAGCCATATGGATCCATCCAGGGTTAGAGAAGTGCAATACTCTCGCGATAGGTACTGAGCTTTTATTGCCGAAGTCAATTTGTAGGCCAAAGCTCTCGTATATCTCTGAAGCACACTGTCGGTTCACCGTTCCAGGAATTGGATAAGCAAGAGACGACCAACAAGACGAGTAGGATATGGACCTGGCAATTGGACGATGAATCTTGGCCAGCGGGTTGGTGTAATGTTCTGCGCAGAGGCTGAATGAGAGTATATGCATTGTGTGCTACCTCTAGCCAGAATACCATGATCTCTCCCTACATCTGTTGAGAAGTATGTACCGCTAGAGTGCAATGGCTCGCGAAGAAGCTTCATGCAGGATGACGTACAAATGCCGAGGCGACTGATTTCGTAGCAACTTCGTGCCACTTTGACAAACAACGAAGACTAGCATATTTCTCACAACACTCATGTATATGGTCCTTTGATAAATCTTTCCTGAGCGCACTTTAGCGTCTTTCTGGAACGCTCCTCCGCTAAGATGTTACCCTACATCAACGGACCCTTTGATTATGTGTCGAATCTCCTTGGAGCCTCTAGAGATGAGGTCAAGCTGCTCTCACTCTTCCTAATTTCGTACCCATTGGCCGGCGTACTCAAGCGCCTACCAGACAGCAAACCCTGGCTCAAGAATGTCTTCATCATCGCGGTCGCCCTCTTCTACCTGGTCGGGCTCTTTGATCTCTGGTCTGGCCTGCTCTTAGTTGTGTTCGATGCCGTCGGGACATACGCTATTGCCAAATACGTTCAAGGACCATACATGCCATGGATCGGCTTCGTGTTCTTGATGGGTCACATGTCCATCAGTCATGTCTACAGGCAAATGACGGGGTCGCCGAGTCGTGTTGATATTACGGGGGCGCAGATGGTCATGGTTATGAAGCTCTCGGCTTTCTGCTGGAATGTCTGGGACGGGAAACAGAAGCCTGCGGATCTCACGGATGAACAAAAGGATAGAATGCTGACCGAACTTCCTGCACCGCTGGACTATGCTGGCTTTGTTGCTTTCTTCCCATCTCTTATGATCGGGCCAGCTTTCGATTTCGTGGACTACCATCGTTGGCTGAACACTAGTATGTTCGATCTCCCACCAGGCACTGATCCCCTGAAAGCTCCACCAACTCGCAAGAAACGCAAGATCCCTAGAAGTGCTACACCTGCAATGTGGAAGATGGCGCAAGGAATAATATGGATCGTCGTCTTCCTCCAATGCCAGAACTATTTCAGCTCTGACATGGTACTGGGGCCACGTTACGAGTCTCTGAATCTAGGCTGGCGGATTTTCTACCTCCACATGATGAGTTTCGCCACTCGCATGAAATATTATGGCGTATGGAATCTCACAGATGGAGCCTGTACATTAGCAGGCATAGGATACAAAGGTCTGGATCCCAAGACCGGCAAACCAAATTGGGATCGTCTGATCAATGTCAAGCCTGCCGGTGTAGAGCTCGCGCAGAATACGCATGCTTACCTAGGGAACTGGAATCTGAACACGAACCACTGGCTCAGGAATTACATGTACCTACGTGTAACCCCAAAGGGCAAGAAGCCAGGATTTCGAGCGAGCATGGCTACGTTTGTGACTAGCGCTTTCTGGCATGGCTTTCAACCTGGGTACTACTTGACATTCGTGCTGGCGAGCTTTGTCCAGAACGTGGCGAAGAGTAAGTGTGCACAATATCACTCTCGCACACGAGTTGAGCTGACAAGATCCATTAGACTCACGACGCCTCCTCCGCCCCTTCTTCTTGACTCCTGACGGAAAGCCTCTACCTCGAAAACGCTATTACGATGTCTTCACCTGGTTCGTCACACAGTTGACCTTCTCCTTCGTCACGGCACCTTTCCTTCTGTTGTCCATCCACGACAGTCTTGCCGTCTGGTCAAGAGTCTACTTCTACGTTCCCATCGGAGTAGCACTGTGCTCTGCTTTCCTCGCCTCGCCCGGCAAGGCCTGGCTGCAAAAGAAAGTCAAGGAGCGTACCGGTGCCGCAGGCAAGCCGAAGTTGGCTAGGACAGAGAGCACCGAGTCGATGCAGGGTGCGACTCTTGGTGTGCCTAGTGAGCCTGGTAGGGAGTTCGATGAGATGGTTGATGAGATCATGGTTGAGGTTAAGCACCGGAGAGGTAATAAGCCGGGGCCAGAGGGTGGAGATTTGAGGAAGGCGGTCGAGGATACTTTGCACAAGCAGACTGAAGGCATGCGGAAGGTGCAGTGAGTATGCAAGGGACAAAAGTCAACGATTGGTATCGGTCCACAACGTGTCACAGATTCCTGCCTACTCATGTCCCTGTGGTCGCATAAGAAGGGTCCAAGAAACCCTGCTGCAGCTCCTCTGGTCCGAAAAAGTTCTCAAAAGTCCACGCCTCGATCTCCTCAAGATCAAACATTGGCAGCGCATCCTCCAAACCGTCGACTACTACCCCACCGCCACTAGCACCAACAGGTGGCATATATTCCAGCACACCTTGAGACTCCTTACCGGTTACACCGGTACCAAGTTTAGTAGGCGCATCCTCCTGGCTAGCCATAATTTTGTAGTATGGCCTAGTAATCTTATCAACAGCTTCTTGCATGTATACTGCTCGTTGGGACGGATCTTTCTTGGACTTCCAGAACCCGTGGGCTGCTAGAGCAACCCAGAGTTGGCGTTGTTCTCGGCCGAATCGGATAACCTTTTCTGTCAGTAGTTGGATGGCTTCTTGCATCACCCTGTCCGCATGATGCTCGATGATTTGGCCGATTGCACTATGTGCTTGGATATCGGTGGAAGTGGCTACATGGCAGATTGAGAGTGCGGCTCGTAGGTGATGACTGCACATTAGCTGGAGTGCATGTGAGCCTCCATCGCTAACGCTGCGTAGTGTGTCGATGATGCGGGTCGCATTGTCAACCAGAATCATACGAGAAAAGCTGCGTTCGACCACATTCTCTGACTGTCGAAGCTGGCGGCCGTGTAATTCTAGTAGGTATTGGCGAAGGTTAAGAGACAGGAGTGCTTTTGGAATCTCGGCTGATTTGCCTAGCCAGTCTGGTATGGCTGATAGCTGTGCTTCAATCTCTTCAGTGTAATGCTTCACGTCATCGAAAGAAAGGCTTTGCCTGATATTGTTCAAAGTCGTGTTCAGTCCGTGCCGCAGCATTATGGAGTCGCTCGCGAGGGATAGATAGGAAGCTGATGTGAAGTCTGAGGCCGGTAGTTTGCGAGGCAGGTGCTCACTTTCCGGCCTCAAGTCATCGTCGTCGATGTTGCTGGGTGGTGTTGTGTCAGCTTGAAGTGGCCATTGTCCAGCAAGCATGCCGCGATCAAAGGAAGTCTGAAGGTCAAATTCAATGAGCGCAGCCCAGATTCGTCGCCTCAGCTCTTTGTCGAGCGCCGAAGTAGGCTTACGAATCAGGTCTGGATTCCGGTGCAGTCCTGCACCCATGCAGAATCGCAGAAGTGTACCTGCATCGGTCCAGGTACGTTTGAACTTCCAGGCAGAAACAGACTTAGCGAGCAACAATAGGAAGCGAATCTGGAAATCGGCAGCCTTTACATGTTTCTGGCTTTGTGTCTGTAGCCAATCATCGCATGCTTGTATGCATGTAACAGCTTTCTCGCGCGCGGTGGAACTGTTGGCGGTGTACAGCCACGGTTGTTGTGGTGATAGACATTGCGCTGCTGCTGTAATGAGCAGTACGATAGCCACAAAATGTGCTGGGGCGTTAGTAGGGTCTGTCCACAACTCCTCATATTGTCTCCAGAACGATGGAAGATGGAGGATGTGATAGATGTGGCCGTAGCTGTCGAAGTATAGGCGTAAGAGCTGATCGGTATCACTTCTAGGTGGTACTAAGGCCTTCAAAGCATCTTCACTAGTCTGACGAGAACTCGAGCCCGCATATTCCGTTCGGTCCTCAAGCGCATGCATATCCTGACGTATACGAGCAAGAGCTGGAAACTTCTCAAATGCTTCTCGCGTGAACAAATTGAGCTCAGGTATCAGCGCGATAAGCGATCCTGTATGCGTGATACCGTGAAAATGTGTCTTGAAAGACCCACCTCGAAGCATCATCGTCTCACGATCGACTACATTTCCTGCGGCCTGGTCGCCACGGCCCATGACTGACTCCGGCGTCAGAGGTAATTTTGTAGCTCGCATCCGCTGCAAGGAATCTAGTGACTGCGTATAGCCTGTCTGGGCAAGAGCAGCTTCAAGTTGCTTGATGCGTTTCTCCTGGAACTCTAGACGTGCCAGAGCATCGCTAGAGGCTACTGTTGAGGGGGCCTGAGGTGGCCTACTGAGATGAGAGTCGAAGGGGCCATTGTTCGGTCCGGCATCGATCGATCCCTCACCAGGCTCGTCAAGATAAAGACAGTTTGATGCTTGCCCGGCTTTCGTACATCTGCCACAGGCAGGCATGACACGATCACATTGCAGCTTGCGTCGCCGGCAGTCGTAGCATGACAAGACTTTTCGTCGTCGTTTGCGGTCGCCGCCAGATGCCGTGTCTGGCGAGCGTGGGCGTGTGGTTGACATTGCGTTTGGCGATACGATGATTTGACGTCTTGTAGAGCTCTCGTGCCGGTCCTGTCGTCGGGACCAGTACCCTATCGATCCGAGTAAGAACCCTGCATGGACTGTGATGCCGGGGTCGGCATTGAGGCATGTCAACCTGTACACGCTCGAAGTGTCGTTGATTCAGAAGAGAAGTAGTGAATGTGGCCAAATCCGAGCAGCTCGGCCGACATAACCGTGCCAACTGACAGACCGGCAGGACCTCGGGCAGAACAAAAGAAGCAATATAGGTTAATACAAGTTCTTCTCCATGATTAATCAGCATGGCGCCGGTAGTTTAAGGGTAGAATTCGAGCTTCCCATCGGATGTCTCTGCTCGAGGACCGAGTTCGAGTCTCGGCCGGCGCACACCGTATACTCTGCTTTTTTGGCATTTCCAAGACTGTAATGCGAAGGCTAGCTAATAGATGTTCTTTTCCCGCATACCTCTCGCCCATCTTCTCCCTCCGTCGATCCATTGGCGACATATGAGGCACCTAGCCTTTCTTCCTCTGGAAACGAGATTGTGTGGAAGCAAACTCTGGCAAAGAGCAGCAATGGGTACAATCCTGATCATCTCCTCGCTTATTGGGACGATTTATGTCCACAAAACCAGGTTTTGCTCAAGCCGTACAGTCAGGGTAAGTGTGACATTCTGATATATCCAAGGATCTGCAAATACGAAGAGTCCAAGCCACGGGAAACTAACACCAGGCGCCTACGCTTTGTAAAATCATTCAACAAAAGCCACACATACTCAAAGCCATCAGGCCAAATGCACTTCTTCACCCCAATCCACCCCACGCCCCTCGTATCCGTCTCGCAAGCTGAATATCCTTCTGCATAATCGTCACCCGCTTCGCATGGATGGCACACAGATTCGTATCCTCGAAAAGGTGTATTAGGAAGGCCTCTGCAGCTTCTTGTAGTGCTTGTATCGCCTGCGACTGCCACCGGGTGACTTCCGAGCTCACGGGTGCCATGTTTAACGATATCTCTCGGACCTACGTGTTGTTAGCAATCCCGGCTCGCTTCCAATCGCAAGATCATTCAGACTCACCAGTCGCGAGAAGGGCAGCTTGGCCATGAGCAACTCAGTACTCCTCTGATATTTCCTGATTTCCCGTAGTGCGACTGTGCCTGGTTTATATCGCGGCTTCTTGCGTCCTGGACTGACTGCTGTTGATGCACCGCTTCGTCTAGGCGCTTTCCCTCCCAGACTATTCCGTCCACCACTCAGTCTACTGCCCGGTGCTCGTTTTCCGCCCATGCTTGGCCGTCCTCCTCGACGCGCTGTGCCGGATACTTGTGTTCGCGCCATGGTTGTACTCCTGCTCTAGGGTTGACTTGTAGACCCAAGCTTAGATGCCTTCCAAAGCGCTCTCTTGAATCTCTAAGACTGCATTCGCACGTGAATGGTCGTAGTGGTGAATGGGATCGCGATCGTGACCGGAAATGCTCGTGTGCTGGTCGCGTGGGCGGTAGAATCTGTCGTGAAAGACCACCGATCTTCGGAGCGGGATACCAACGGCGTAGCCCTTCGTCAAGTCTGTGATACTCGCTGTCGTATCGCGACTCGTCTGTTGATGCATGGTAAACATCGACACGGGCGATCCCGCTGCACCCCACAAAAGCGACTGCCCGATTGAGCCGCAGGGTCTGGACTAGTTCTAGCGTGACGTGATTGCACATGGCCGGCCGGCTGATTAGATACAGCTGGCAACGACTTGACTTTAAGGGCAACATCTACTTCACCGAACACTCAATTCTCGCTAACCTCGAACACTTCGGATACCGATTTCAAATATACGTTACATCCTTTACAGCACCTGGGACAACAACAGCAAGATGGCGGCCATGCTTGGTGGGGGCGGCGAAGGGATGCCGCTCGAACAATGGTGTAAGCAGTATCCCATCTGCGAGGCACAAACAAGGCACGATACTAATATAACGTCTACAGTCTTCGAGATGCCAATAGTCACACGAGTCTGGACAACTGCCACCGTCATCACCGGCGTCCTCGTCCAATGCCAGATCCTCACACCCTTCCAACTCTTTTACAGCTTCCGAGCCGTCTTCAATAAGCAGCAGGTATGTCGCAGCAACCTACCAATACAACACCACATACTGATATATCTGCACAGTACTGGCGCCTCCTCTCCACCTTCATCTACTTCGGCCCGCTCTCCCTTAATCTCCTCTTCCACATCTTCTTCATCCAACGTTACGCCCGCATGCTCGAAGAATCCGCCGCCAGCGTCGCCCACTTCGCCTGGCTCATGGCCTATGCCATCATATCTCTCCTCACAATCGCTCCTTTGTCCAACCAAGCCTTCCTCGGCACAACCCTCAGCTCCACATTAGTGTATATCTGGAGTAGACGGAATCCGGACACAAGACTCAGCTTCCTCGGTCTGTTGACCTTCAAGGCGCCGTGGTTGCCGTGGGTGTTGATCGCTTTCAATGTTGTGCTGCATGGACACTGGCCGAAGGATGAGTTATGTGGGATTGTGGTTGGGCATGGTGAGCATATGATTGCGAGTGACGTTGGAGGTATGTTACTAACATGTTTAGTGTGGTACTTCTTCAACGACATCTACCCGTCGACGCACAACGGCCACAGGCCACTCGACCCGCCCCAGTGGTGGATCAGGTTGTTCGAGCGTGGAGCGCTGGCTGCACCTGTAGACACAGATATTCACGCCGCAGGTCTCAACAGAGACATAGCAGCTCCTGCGGTAGCAGATGTGAGATAGTGAACGAAGATAGAGTTTCTCAATGACCAGCCTATTGCATGCATTCCGTGGTCAAGCGCCGAATAACGTTGCTGACCAACAGATGCTAATGTCATAGGTAATCAAGCTTTAGCATACATGCAAAGCCTCCATCACACAAAGCAATCATAACAGTGCGAAAAGGTGGTTCTTGAGCTTGTCAGCACATTCGCCTGATCACAGCTACTGAGTTGCGCCAAGACCCACTACAACAAAGCCTATAAAATCTTCGGACTACCGCCACCCATTCCGACTTCCAAGCACCCGGCGGCCTCGTCCTATAATACGCGTTGCAGTGCGTTGGACGGGACCCAGCTGGCAGTGGCATGCGATGACCGGTCCGGCTGATTCTGGTTGTCTACTTCACAACGACACGACCACATAGTCTCTTCTCCTCCAATCATCTCGATGCCGAAACCCGGCAGGCTTTGCGTCTGCTTGTGGTATTGGCTCGGGGCCAGAAGAAGAGAGACCTTGTGTGGTTGTTGTCGCCATCGTGGACACAGGCGGTCAATTTATGGTCTGGCTCGACCTGAAGATGGCAAAAGGGGTCCCATTCAGCATAAAGCTAACCGGGAGGAGTGTATGGAATGTCGCCCTCTGAGGTTCCAGAGACAGCATGGGGAAGCTGTTCCGGTTTCAATCTGCAGAGGGCTTTCAATCTTGGGCTCAGGCAGATGGCCGGACATGCATTGATTAAGCAGTCCGGGGGCATTTCCTATCGTCCAATGGTCGTGCCAGGCCCGTACCTTGTATGGAGGCCTGAGCAAGTCGAAGCCTAATGGCTGTGTCGTGGCGGTGATGATTTGAGCGCTTGCTATGGGAGCATGATGCCGTTTCTGAGCCAGCAGGAGGTGGACTCGATCGCTGATGGGTCTGATTGGACAATGGTAGTGCAGCGTGCAAATGAACGAGGGGAGAAAGGATGTCCGGATGACAGAGACAATGGTGGACGAGTATGTCATGGCAGAACGGAGTGGGTAGCGATGAGAAGGAGAAGGAGTGTGGATTGGAGCACTTTTGTTTACAGACAATGTCTATGATTCCTTCTGAGAGAGCTCGCTGACACCATCTGGAACTTCCAGGTACACTGCGACGTTCCAGGCAGGCGAGATGCTCACCCTCGAGTGGGCACGGCGACGATTGTCATAACTTGACAACAGACCACAGGAACGATCTTGTAGTGGCAGACCTGACGAGTGCGCTCCCGTGCTGCAGATCTCTGTACTCAAAGATAACTACACTTCCCATTGCTTGAGGCCTGGATGCAGCAGAGAAAGGGCAACGGCAAGGTACGAGATGTCCACGCGACGACGGTGTGCACAGTAGGACAATAGACGACAGAATTTACCGTGTCAATCATGGTCAGCCACTTCTGTTGACTACCTTCTTCGTTACCACTCGGTATCAGTAGTACAAAGTGGCGCAAGCTCATGTATTCGTCGCAAGTGCGCCCGCGATGGGACGACTTCCCTCGTCCAATGACTTCGTGAACCAAATATACACTTATAAAGGAATCACACTCAAGTTTCTCTGATTGGAAACCAATGGTCACATGGGCAAAGACAGGTAGGAAAGAAGCGGAAAGACTTGGGAAGCGACTTGGGGTCATCTTGGTGGAAGCATCAATGCTTGTCTCTGCATCTCGGGTAGTCGCATGACAAACGTAAACTGTCTAGATCGTTCCAGCAACCGTCGATCTAGATGTTATATGCACAAATCAATGCTTATGTCCGCAACCCCACCCAATGGCCGCCCTCCTGAGCTTCGCAGGGGTCATCTCTTGCGACACACCGACCAACAACTCGTTGCCCTGTACAGGCTGTACACGCCTCTCCACCAGCGCCGCCCTTTTGTTTTTCGACTGCGTGGCAGCAATAGCATCCAACCACTTCGCCAATCTATATCCAGCCTTGGCAATCTGGATCTCGATTGTGGGCACGGCAGAGTTGTAGTACTTGGGGTAGAGGTCACCGCTCTCTACGGCACTCTGACCCTTCGGCAAGACGGTAGTGCAGACATACGCATTAGCATCCGAGGCCCATGTCATGGCCGTGTCGACCGCGTCGTTGATGTTGAGGCCGGAGACCCAGGAGGATGCTCTAGATTTATAGATGCCGGTCTTGATCTCTGTTGTGAGATTTGTGGCCCAGGTGCGGGCGTCAGAGAGGGCATAGCCACCACGAAGTTGTTCGGGCATGTTGGTGTCCCACTGGAACAATGTCAGTATCTGATGTTGAAATGAATCTCGATCCCAGGCATTCAGAAGGCACAGTATGTACTCACTGCCGTCACATTAGCTCATGGACATATGATAGTGATCGAGAAAGGGACGGGTCTCACCAATATGATGAAGATTCGTGCTAGTACCATCGAAAGTGACATCGATATCGTTGCCACCAACCTCAAGCGCCTCATCGTGAAGAGGTTGAGTAATATCACCAACAAAGTGCACGATGAATTTCAGTGCATTTGTGATCTCACCAGCAGAAAGACTCGAGATCTGCAGACGAGATGTGTAATTGGCGATGGCCGAGACAGAGCATCCCTTTGCACCACAATCACGATTGTAGTTCACACTGCAAGACGAAGGTGGGCTGTCCTCGGCGTCGATGAAGTGGTATGGGGCGCTGAAGGCTCCTGCAGTAGTGTAACGGTAGGTATCGGCCCAGGTGGCGACATTAGCGAGGTAAGAGGTTGATGTATCGCCAAGGATACTTTGAGCCCAGGTCTTTGTAGCTGATTGAACGAAGTCTTGAGCAATGTAGGCAACGGTCTCATGGCCCAGAGTACCCCATGCGTTGACGCCATGGGCTGCGATGAGGGTTGTGAGAGCAAGTGAGTACATCTTGATTGTGATGTGGTGAGTATTGCCCAGGTGTGGGAACCCAAGAGATATAAATCGTTCCTACCTTCACTCTTCTATATGTGTTCTAGCAGTGATGATCACCTGCCCTGACGTTACTGGCGCCAAAGAACAAAGGACGACGCGGAACGTGCCTCGGTCAGGCAACGCCCGTACCTTAAAACTTGCAGCAGGTACAGGTCGTCAGCGGCTGTATTTCAGATCTGACCATCCATTGATCGAATGTCCAGCGCGCGCTCGCGAGGAACGAGATAGAACCTGGTTGTTAGTGCAAAGTCACGCATGCAGGCCCGGCTTTGTTGCCAATCTAAGGTGGCGTCGAATGGCCGTCCGGGGCGGAAGATGTCATGATCCGGCAGGGATCGACGTTCTATCTTCTTTCTCAGCCAATGAGACCATGAGGATGGGCTTTGGAGAAGATGGATGTAACGTTCTACGCTGTAGCTTGCATCTTGTTGCAGGACATCTCTTGGCGGCATGCTTGCTTCCATCGACTTGATAGGCGCCCTGCCAAGATCAGATTGCAATGCCATGTTGATAGCTGCCAGTGATGGTGCTCTTTTGGCAGCGTATTGCACCATAGCTTGCAAGACTATTGAGGCATCGAATCTCTTGTTTATCACCATCGGCCTTGTGTCCTGGTCGAATCGTCGCGTCTAGCCGTCTCAATCGCGGAGGTCGCCTGCTCATGGCGTGGATAAGTTGAGATTGTGTTATCTTAGGGCCAGAAAGATGGTGCAAGCAGGTATCAAAAAGGAGAGGGAAACGAGGAAAGAGAGTATAAGAAGTTGAAAGCTGTCAGCTGAAATGAGAGCAGCACCTACCACCAAGGTTATTCCTTCTTGCACGGCCCGAGATGAGGTCGATGAAGCGCGATGGTGGTTGGCATCGCGTATACTGCTGCAGTGCTCCCGGCATGCTCGAAGTGACCGTCTGGACATGCTCAGTAATCTACGAGCAACAACCACTACACTTTTCTCTTCCCACGCCCTGCCCTCTCCCTCTCCTTCCCCTTCCTACCCTCAGCCTTAATCTCCCTCGCCTTCTCCCTCGGATCGATGACCTCAAATTCCTGCATCTGCCTCTTCCACTCCAGATCCTTCCCCAGCGTATCTTTCGCGAAATTCAATCGATGCGTCATCCAGCCCGGGTCATCGTCGTTGTCTGCTTCAGCACTTTCATCTGGCTTCCCTTCGTCCCATGATTTGCAGGATTGGCAGTTCGCTATGAAGTGCAGGTCGCAGAGGGTGGCTTTTTCATCATCCTCTACGTCTACAAGAGCGGAACGGGCTCCGTTTGTGGTGGCAGGTGTGGCCCCGGCTTTCGCACTATCATCGTTCGTGGGAGGTTTGTCGCCTGGTGGTATTTCGTCCAATCTTTGCTTGAAGGCTTTGAACAGATCTATTGCTCCCCTCTCGTCTGTCGCTTTGCCTCGTTTCCGACCCTTCGAGCTCGTGGCGGGTATCATAGCTTCTAGGGCACTCTTAGGCTTCTCCCGCTCCTTGGGCGCTGTGTCGACTGTCCGCTTCATGCTAAGTTTCAAAGCTGCTATCTCGGCATTCGTACGTTCGAGTGCACTTGTCTTCGGCCGCTGTTCGACCACTTCGTCCTCGGACTCGATGTCGTCTATTGGCTTGGACACTGGCACGGGCATCGCCTGGGGTGGTTCCTCATCATCTTCTACTGGATCCGGCGTTGACGTCCGTCTCGCACGCTCTTTCCGCTTAGGAGCTTCTAGTATCCTCGTGTTGTTCAACTTCTCGGGCTGCTCCTCGCCCACAGACACCAGCTTCGGGTTTGCTTTAACCTTCTTTACAACCGGAGCCATGTCCTCCTCACCCTCATCCACACCAAAGCTCAGCACATTCTTGCCTGACGGCTTCTTCCTCTTCTTCACATCCTTCTTCCCACCATCATCAATCGTCCTCGGTGCCTCTCGTACCCTCGCAACCATATCCTCAAAAGGATTCACCAGGATCTCACATCCAGTAATACGAGTTGGGTACAATGGCCTTTCACTACCTTCTCCCTCCACCAATTCCGCATCTGCCATCTTCATAAGATTGTATATAGTGTCACCTTCAATACGCCCAAACATAGTACATCTTCCCGTCAACCCCTGCACCTCATTTCCACTACCCAATGTCAGAAAGAATTGACTACCGTACTTGCCATCCTCTCCTTTGCCCATTCCCAGCAATCCTCTCCTGTTGAACTTGATCCGGCTGTGGATCTCATCGCCAAAGCCATCACCATCGTTGATTGCACTGATTCCGCCTGAGCCAGACCCTGTAGGGTCACCACCTTGGAGGATGAAGTTCGATACCAGACGATGGAAGATGGTGTTGTTGTAGTATCCATCGAGACAGTGTTGGAGGAAGTTTCGTGATGCGAGAGGTGTCTGCTTTGCGAAGAGCTCGATTGTAAGGTCGCCTGAAGTGGTCTTAAGGATTACTTTGGCTGTGGGTTGAGGCTCGAGATTGTACAGTGCGGCCATGATGGGCAACGGTCTTGATCACCGGGCAACATGTGTGTATGGTGGTTGTCGCAAAGGAAATGCATGCACGTGAAGAAGTGCTCTAGACTTTCGGTGACAGCTCCGCTCGTGCCTTCCCACCTGCGTCATCTGCGCCTCGTCCAAACCTTCTGGCGTTGGCTGCGAATCCCTTGCATTATACAGCACTATCCCTCCAAGCAGTAAACATCCTGGCGTACTTCACAGAAAACGACACCCTCTACGCTTCGTACCAGCGAACGATCATGTCCGAGGTCACCTTCGCCAAGACGTTTCTGGCTACGCTGGACAAGCGACCTATCAAGCTCCCAGCAGATCATGTCAGCGATCCGAGGAAGTATCCCGGGCAGTCGCCTGTAAGTTGCACATACTATTCGAGGTCTGAGTGTAACGATAGCTGATCATATGGACCCAGTTCGTCCTACCAAGGCAAACCCACCCGTTTCCAAGGAAAGGCCCGACATCATCTGGACAGCAAGCCAAGAACAAGACGGTCACAGCTACACTAAAGCCTATGCGAGGCGGAGAGACGATCACAGTATCAGACTTGACGCTGCAGAGTACCATACACGATGTCAAGACGCAGTACGCGCAGAAGAGCGGCCAGGCGCAGGATAAGATCAAGCTGCTGCTCAACAAGAAGCCGGCGGCGGACCTCAAGACTCTGTCTGAGCTAGGGATCGATGGGGAGACGGTGGAGCTTACAGTGATGCTTATGGGTGGTGCGGGTGGTGCAGCAACACCTAATGCCGCTAGTCCCGCTGTTGAGAAGAGCGAAGCAATTGCTACGGGAGCAGCGGCGGCGGCAGCCCCTGTAGCAGCTGACAAGATGGACATCGATCCCAAAAATCCAGCACCCGAGAGTGAGAAGGCGAAGGTAGAGGCTGCCTCGAAACCTGCTGCGGATGCAAACACGGCGGAGAGTATACTGAAGAGTGAGGAGTTTTGGTCGGATTTGCAAGGATTCTTGTCGCAGCGTCTTCGGGATGAGGGTGAAGGTCAGAAGTTGGCCAAGGTCTTCAAGGAGGCGTATGGGAAGAAATAGTGTTTGATAGCATCATACCATGCATACTTTGTTCATCTCCCACATACACTGGCTATAAGTTAAGCGCGCCTAGAGGCCTCCTGCCACCTGAGGTAGCTCGGGAAATCTGGGACTTCCGATGGAGACAAGCTATTGTCGACATATGACTGGTATGTAGGACAGTCTCGGGGTACGAATGCAATCACGCTGCATCTGCAGTCAATTCCAGCATATGTTGACTGCGTTTGGAGCTGGCGTGGGGGCCGGCAGGCACTTCAAATGGATTGTCGGCGCAGATATAGGTACTTCGAAGGTGGTCAGAGAAAAGCTGCCAGCTCCGACCGTTGTAATCCTTTGTGATGGTTTCCGTTTGCTCCTCTCTACATTGAACTCATCTGATCAATAGTTCACCATGGCTAGCAGTTCGATCAACCCTGACAAAGGAAATAGTGCGCCTTGCTCACAGACTGGAAAGGTTCAGCCACCTAGTTAGACACCCGCCATAATCTTGTCTTCATGTGACGAAGGTGTCGATGTGACGATGGGAAAGTCATGGTATACACATGGATCAGGGTCGTGTAAGGGGTCGAAATACTGGCTGGTTGTAAACGTAAGATAGTCACGTATACAAAATTCTCTAGTCCTCTGCTCCTCGGCGGCGTCAAAAAGTAGACCATGAGAGTAGAGCAGCTATCAGAAATGAGTGTACTCAGTCACTACATCAGGAAAAGAAGTGTTGTAAGCCCCCGAGGGCAAAAAGAAATCACCATATTCCACGGATCGAACGTGGAGGATTTGCCGTTTACGCTCAAACTTGGCGGTACTCTGAACTCGATTATTAGAACCATGTTGAACATGATCGCAAGAGGAGAATACTTGCGGGAATCGAACCCAGGCTGGCACGGAGATGTGTAATGAGTGCGAACTCTCACCACAACGTGACGTCATACCACTAGACCATACCACCCTTTGAGGCTGCCAGAGTTGACATCCTCAAGATAGGTTGTTATTGTAGCGCAACACATCCTATACTTTTATGACCCTTCCACAGATTGTCCCGAGCTTGGGCCGAATTTCGAGCCCTGCCCCGTAGACCACGCGCTGCTCTCTTTATTTGGCGGCTCGCAAGAGATCTGCAACTGCTGCGAACACCTCTGTCAGATATTATCCCCGCCGATAGGACAAGAGTCTGACAATAAAGGGGCTCTGAAATCCGGCCCGGACTCGATGGTAACAATGTCGGCCACTCCAAGTTGACCCCGATTCTGTTGCGGCGACATGATAGACACCATCAAGCGTAGCGTGGGTCTTCTTGGTATCGTGCTTGAACGAGATCAGGATTGAGTGGTTAGCTAGTCGACAGGACTTGCAGTGCAGTAGAGGGACCCCGGCCTTGGAGTGCGGTCATAGCTCTCCAGTAGGCCTGTGGTCCACCAAGCAAGAGAGACTTCGAGACAAGCTGATATCACGACAAAGTCTGGTGGTTGTGAGTTCCGTCTGATCGGCATTCTTTCACCTTCTTCCACCTAATGTGGACGCTACCTTGTCAATATCGTGGTCTCAGTGGTTCCCATCCCGCGACGTGTCGCTTGGTCCCGAAATCTAGGCACGTATTTCAAGACCACTACCACGAGACAGCAGGCAACACACGCGCCGGAAATTGTTTGTCAACCAGGCATGGGATCGCAGACGACATCACGATAGCACTTGGAGTAAGGCCTTGAGATATAACGCAGGCGCCCGAACCCGAGTCAATCTTATCGGGATGGTACCTGCTCTGCTCCGACCCAGACCAAGTTCTCGACAGGACTGACTAATCTCGAAAATGTCGGTGCCCCCGTGAAGAACTGACAGCTGCCATGAGTAGTTTGGCAAGACGCTCTGCGTTGCGAACATCATCTACACTCCTTCTCAGGCGTGCGGAGAAGTGAAGTACAAGAGATGCTGACTGAAGTGCGATCTCATCGAAGCATTACAATTACATTCTAATAGTACATCCTCTCTGCCGCTAAAGCGCAGACAACCATCTTCGCCCTCCACGCCGTTCACCTTATGAGGTCAACGACATTCTACTCAGGCACCACAAACTCAAGACCATTCTCGCCCTTTGGACCAATCGATACCACCAAACCCGACTCGGTCCTCTCCGACGCTGATTGCTTAAAAGAAAAAGCCCTCCACTCCCCAACGATGTCCTTCTGGCCCTCCTCAGCCGTAGCATCAGCCTCCGAACTTCTCAAATAAGTCTCCCATCTGCTCAAAGACCTCCCGCGCTCTGGCATAAAGGCCGCGTCTTCAGGATGAGCCGCGAGCCATTGCAGATAGTAGTCTTTGTCAAAACGACGGGCAGCACGCAGGATCTGGTACTTGAGCTTTATGACCTTCTTGACGGCATTTTCAAGTCTCTTCTTTTGCAAAGCCTTGTTGATGCGCCGGTTGGCTATGCGTCTGATCCTTGCATCGTGAGCATCTTTGGCCATGCGTGCGGCCTTTTCATCGGCATCGGCTTGGGCCTGGGCGCGTGCTGCCGGCTCTCTTAGGAAGACGAGTTGGAACATGGTGGGTTACTTGATTAGGTTTTGATATGGTGAGGTTGTTTGTTGGTATGGCTTCTTCGATCTGATGGTATTGGATAGGCGTGTCTTTTCTTTTCTTGTCTGACTTTGCGGTAAAGGAGAAGACGGTATTTCGATTTTGCTTGGATGAGCTGGCCATGCTTGCGAGGAGACGTTCCTTCATATACGCAGCAGGATGTTGGTGGATCTTTGGGGTTTTCCTCGAAGTTGTCCTCCCTGTTATCCTCAGAATGCGTTTAAGCTTCTTTTGCTTACTATTAGGACGACGAAGCTTAGTACAGCATCCCTCAAGCATATCCGATGACTGATGCGAAATCCAATATGCCGAATGCTAGAAGTATGGGCTTGCTGATGTGTCAGACAAGAGATGGTAGGACAAGGCTCTCGCGACTGTTCCGTTAGCTGATATTCCTGTTGAGCTGCACGCCACCTTTTCCACTCCACGCATTCGGGAGGCTGACATATCTGCAGCACGGAGCGGTGGGAATATTCGCTGTTCCTATGGGTATACAGGTGCGTTCTCCTACAGCACTCCTGTGCGTCTTGGCGCCCAGAGTCGTGCCTGCCGGATACATACACCAAGCTTGAGTTCGGGCTGGACATTGCGTGTGCGAAGCTCCGCGTCTCAGACAACGTCGTCACTTGTCGCACTCACAAGTTTCAGGTCACAGATGTACCACGCTGCCAAGGTACCGATCTCTGCCACAAATACCAAAGACACAAGAGCAATACCTCCCGGGAGCACTGACGTATCCACTTGCACGGGGTCATAGCATTTGCGGTGCATGTGCTCGTCTCCATACTGTTAGGCATGAAACTACCCTGTCCGCCTCGGCCGATTGCGAGCGAGCTCTGTAGCTCTACTTTTGCCTGTTACGAGTACCTACGTGAAGCTCAGCCAGCTCATCACAAGCCAGCCGTCTACGCACGAGCACGGCCCTGACGAGCACTCCTACCGCACAATCATACTCTCCCTACCAGGCCCAGTACCAATATACTTCACTCTCACACCAACGAAGTTCTCAATGTACTCGATATACTTCCTCGCATTCTCAGGCAACTCTTCATAACTCTTCAAGCCCACCGTCTTGGATTTCCAGCCCTGTAAAGTCTCATACTTCACAGTCATGTTGTCCAGAATCTCGAGATTTGCAGGGAATGATGTGAGCTCCTGACCGTTGTGTTCGTATGCTGTAGCGACCTTGACCTCGTCGAAATCGTCCAGGATGTCCAGCTTGGTCAAATTGATGGAGTCGTACCAGTTGATGCTGTTGCTGAACTTCACAACCACCAGATCGAGCCAGCCACAGCGGCGTTTTCGGCCTGTGGTCACTCCGAACTCTCGGCCGACTGACTGCAGCTTCTCGCCAATGTCGTTGTTCTGCTCTGATGGGAAGGGGCCGGAGCCGACGCGAGTAGTGTATGCCTTGACGATGCCAATGGTCTCCTTGATCTTACGTGGGTTCAGATGCAGCCCAGTGAAAACACCGCCAAGACCGGTGTTCGAAGAGGTCACGAATGGATATGTACCGTTGTCGATGTCCAGCATGAGAGCATTCGCGCCTTCGACCAGCATGCGCACGTTGCCCTTGACTGCAGACTCGATCAATGGCACCTGATCAACCACGAAAGGCTTCAAACGCTCGCGGTAGTCATTGAACTTGGTGATCTCAGCTTCCGAGTCATACTGCAGTAGATCACCGTATCTCTTCTTGTATCCATGATGCAGATGACGCAGTTTCCGATCGAATTCAGCCTTGTTGAAGATGTCCGCGATATGGATGCCGCTACGTGTGGCCTTTGTCGAGTACGTTGGTCCAATGCCCTTGCCAGTCGTCCCGATCGAGCCTTTGCCAAGTTCTACCTCTTCCAGCCCATCCACCTTGGTGTGCAAGTCCAGGTCCACATGGCAGCGATCGCTGATCAGGACGCGATCGTGGGTCTTGATGCCATGCTTCTCGATGGTCTCGAGCTCCTTGAAGAACTGTGGGATGTGGACAACGCAGCCGGTACCGATCAGGTTGACACAGCCGTCTGTCAAAACTCCGGATGCTAGTGGATATCAGCTCCATTATGCGCCTGCCAGCTTTGTTGGACTCACGTAGGATGTGAACGTCGAAAGTGATGCCGTTCTTCACGATCGTATGACCAGCATTGTGACCACCTTGGGCTCTGCAGCACAATTGTGCAGTGTCACTGAGGATATCGACCAGTTTTCCCTTGCCTTCGTCACCCCATTGGGCGCCTGTACGAGGTCGTCAGTATAGGTACAATGTGGAGATGACTAAGATCGCACATACCTAATACGACCGTCGCCATATCTCTTTCGCCTTCGGCCTCGTGGGATGTTTACTTTGAGAGTCGCCATTGTAAAGGAAAGGAGAGTTTCGGAGCTGTTGCGAACTTTTGTTGTTTCGTCCAATGCCCCACCTCCAAATCAACGGGCGATCTCGGCGCTTCGTGGGGTGTGTCACGTGTGTTGATTGGAGTCACTTCACTCAGCCTCCTTCATCAACATCCAAGATCGGGGTGGATGAGGAGTGCACAGCCATCGATATGCGCCACGGCAATGATCTCGACTGCTATTTACATTCGAAAACACACGCATTGGTGCTGTATGATTGTGAAGATGGCGATAGCGCAGCACGAGACTTGTACTCTTCACCACCGTCTGAAAGCGGCCACCGCGTAGATGACTCGGAGTATGCTTTGGAAGGTTGCCTGACCGCGCTGTGCTCACATATATCCTCGAAAGCTTGGTTGTCATCTAGGTATCTTCGCCATCTCTTTCCACTCCAGACATCGCTTTCTCCTTTCCAGCACATCCAATTACAATCATGGAGGACGACTGGACCTTCGTCTTCGGGTCAGGATATAGCTACGCAGACACTCTAAGGCAGCGAATTAAGACTCCGGCAAATACGAAGACCAAGTCCGCTGCTTCCAAGCCTACGAAGAATCCCACCTCTCGAAAGCAGAAGATACCTCGTCGACTGGGAAAGCACAACTATGCTTCAAAGTCCTCGGTAGATCACGGTTCGCGGAGGCGCAAGGCTTTTAGGTCCCGAAGACGCCTCGTCTACGACAACGAGTCAGACTTCACATCCCACTACGATGCCGCCAACTACGAACTAGCAGGTCGCGACATAGCCAACACATTCTTCGACCTTCGCTCGGGAGCCAAAGCCCGGCACCGCCACAAGGACCGCTTGGACAGATATTGGAGCTTCCGCGCCGTGAACTCGGGTCAAGTAGGCCAAACCCATTACACCAGTCAAAAACCGGGTACATCACGTTTCCAGCCCGACTTCGACTGTCCCCTCCAGGAATCTCACACGGTAAAGATGACAAAGCAAACCCTACACCAAGAAGCACAAAACTGGCCTCGACCACCCAAGAACCACCACCGTCACTCTGACAAGAACAGGGATATCCTGTCCCCACGCCGTGCTCTCAGGATCAAGAACAAGAAGCACGCGCGTAACGACCAACAGGACTACCACGAGAACGAGTTCGACTCAACCTATCAATACTACACCACCGGCGACTCCTCACTCTTCTGGCGCAACCGAGAGATCGAGTACGAGCGAGAGAACTTCCGGGAAGAAGATTCACCTTTTCTGAGCTCATGGCCCGGCTGCGGTGAAGACCTACGGGGCGGCAGTGGTGAGCATGAGGGGTGGAGGTGGAGGTGGTGCGCAAAGTGCGGTGAGCTCGAGGTCCAGATGAAGGCGTGTCCGGTCTGGGACGAGGTGGCGTTGAATGCATTCGTTGCTCCAACTGCTTTTCATAAGGAGCTAAATGCGGAGAGGTCGTGCGGTATTGCCTGTTATAGTGTGGAGTCTGATGTGACGTGTGAGCTGGAGGAGCTAGTAGAGATGTTCTTGGGCGCAAGGTTTGATGATGCTGAGCAGAGCGATGATGCCAGCGAGTGGGAAATGGTGTAGTCGCAGCACGCTCGAAATTCAAGCTCTGGGAGAGGCACAAGCTTCAGGTCCGAGAGCAAGGTGAAGGTAGTATGAGACGGGATCATGGTCAAGCATCATATAATGTTGCATATTTTCATGCCTCAGCACTACCTACATACCATCATAAGAATCATGACCAAAGCCACTCACGCACCGTCCATCCGTATGCCGCTTGCGCTATCCCATGCCACCATCTCACCCACTACTTCTCTCAATCGCCCGCTTCTTCTTCGCAATCTCCACCTGCAGCTTCTCAAACTCCTTCTTCTTCTCCAAGAACGACTCAATACTCTCCTTCCCACCCCAATTCTCCATCTGACCTGTCTTCAGTGCTTGCTTCACGAACTTCTCCACCGACTTCAGATAGCCAGGGGCGCTGAGACTGAGATCCTCGTTCGTCACGTTGGGTATAGCCGACTCCTGGAGTAGCACATTGATCCATCGCACGATCTGCGAGCAACGCAGGACATGGCCGCCGAAGGCGAGTGTGTTACCAGCGTCTGGGTGGCGGAACACGAAGTGCACGGTCCCTGCTGGGAAGTAGACGGTCATGCCAGGCCGTAGGATGACATATCGCCAGCGACCACCGATGTAACTGTCATGATGCCCGCACCAGCCCGCTCTTTCCTCTGCGGTAGGCTTTGAGAGCCAGCCAAAACCCACCACGCCTTGGTTCACAGTAATGTAGGTACTGTAACCATGACTATCTTGATGAGGCTCGGTCAGCGCTCCAGCTTGCGCGACCAAAGTCCACTTCTCGACTTCCTTCCAGCCATCGGTGAAGCCTCGTCGGCTCGCGGTGTCACCAGACCCAGGCAGCTTGACTTTTGTGAGTAGGCTGCACTCTGAAGTATTGAGGAAAGCTGGACGTAGGCCATCTTCGCGATGCGTGGCCAGCTCGAGCAGATTCCATGGATTACCGGTCATGGGCTGAGAGAATCGCTCTTTGACTTGACGCATGGTGGCATCGCGTACATGCGGCACCTTGTATGTCGACGGGTCCTGGATACTGACCTGTATCGAGTCGTCGAAGTGTTCGCCGAGGAAGTCATCAATACTCTGAAGTGGTAGGACCTGCTGCCCGTATACGACGATAGGTCCATCGAAGTACTGGCCTGGTGCAAGCCACTTTGCTGCTTGGTCTGGCGTGACCAACCACAATGCCTCGCCCGTGCGTGGTGGCTCTGCAACGTTGAGCAGATCCATGATGCGCTTGGCTTGTCTACCCGGAAAGCCAGATGACTTTCCTTTGTTGGCCAGTACAAGCGTCAAGCTCTCGACAAAATCTATGTCCGCAAATGTACCATCCGTGAATTCAACCTTGCTCATCTTCAGCTCCTGAACCTGAGGTGCAGGAGTCTCCCCATCCTCGTCTGTATCCACTTCATTGTGGAACACAGCATCGTCTGCATAGCTCCGCTTATCCTTGTGCCTCTTACTCCTGGCAGACGCTGATGTAGGAGCAGCAGAGGAGCTGAATGTCGCATCCTCGGACCGCGAAGCATCTGCGTCACGCTTTCTCCGATCCGAATACACAGGTTGGCGATTGGGATCCTTCGATTTGCGTCGTGTTATGACATGTTGCTTGCGGAGCCTCTCTTGTTTGTCCGTCTCCTTGGTCCAATCGAGGTCCTCGCCGGGTGCCGAATACTTTTGTATGTCTACAAGGCTTTGGGCAAACTTTGGTGCGCTTGCCACCGATGGCTCCACGACGTCAGCATTGCCATCCTCAGCTTCGGGCTGCAACGAGGACGGCTCGTTGGCTGACGGGGGATCATTGTGTTGCATGACATCGACTGGAGCTGTGTGTTGATCGGCTGAGACCTCAAGACTGTGGGCAGCAGCATGGTGGCTCTCTTCCAGAGTTTGAGGACGGTGTTGTCTGGAGCCCGAGCCCACGGCAGCAGTATCACCAATCTGTGATCGTCGCTTGTTAGCTACGGTCCTGCGATTGATAGCTTTGCGGAAGATTGTAGCGCGCAAACTGTGATCCTCAATGCCAGTCCAGTCCAGATTTTCGCCATTCCTAGCAAGATCACGAAGCTGCTGCAAGTGTTCAGCATCTAGAGATGTCTGACCCAAACTAAGCTCTGGTATGCGGCTCCTGCGACGCGAGGCTGCTGTGTTACGTGGTCTGGGGGCGGGCTTTGAGCTCGGAGTCGCTGCTCCATCTGGTGTAAGAGGCTCGTGTTGGGTCTGCAGGCCATCCTCTGGATCACGATGCACGCTATCGTCCGCGTTCCAGTCCGCTTGACCAGATGGCTGTGCATTCTCCAATCTCTTCGGACTGGCCCTAGGTCGGTTATGCTGTGTTGACCGTGACACTGGCGTGATTGTGTCATTTGCAGCATCAGCATCAGCTCCCACGCCCTCAGAAGAAATGACATGAGTGACATCGTCAATTGCTTCGAAGGAAGACTGTTGCTCCGACAATGCGGCAGAAGCAGGTGTGGCACGAAGCCGCTTCGACGATCTGGGGGCTACCGTATCGTCACCCGCGGATCTCTTGGTCGGCTTTGTGTAGACGCTCTTGGGAGCTTGCTCAGACGCCTCAGCATCAGCCGCTGTGGTGTCCAGATCACCAAATCGTAACGTCACTCCGCCAGTACCTTCTGCAATATCACCGTCTTCAGCCGCACTAGCCGCGTGCGGAGTGGTCTTCACACGGACAGCTGGCAGATCACCGGCAGCCCTTGCGGCAGCAATCATGGCGCGTGTCTCTTCCTGTGTAGCTCCTTGAAGCTTCGCGGTTCGGTAAATCCGCGACTCGATCGCTTTTGGAGTCTGAGAAAGCTTTGACTCTGCGGTCAATTGGTTGTTGCGGGGGCTGTGGCTGTTCAGGGCGTTCTTAGCCGGAGCAGAACTCTTCTGCGCTCTCGTATTACTCGTGGGTGGCGGAGGCGTTGCTGTCGCTGGCTCCTGCCCGAAGCGCATTACCTGGGACCGCTTTCTGCTTTTCACGCCCTCGGCCATCATGGAGCCAGCAGCGGATGCTGAAGCTTGACTTGATGAGGATGACTTTTTCCTGGACACATCCACTGGAGTGGAGTTCTCCTTGTCGGAACTGTTGGTGTTGTGTGGCATGTATACCATTACTTCTTTCGTAGTTGGTGGCTGAGCAGTGTTCGTGGCCGTTTGACTGCTCACGATAATCTCCTCTGCAGAGTGATTTGACGAAGGCCTATCCGTAGTGTCGGTACTGTTTATGATGTGCTCGATACTGGTGGTAGCAGCCGGAGAAGGGAGCGTGTGAGCGTTGGAAGCCAACACTTTATTCATCGGCAGAGCTGGTGGTTCAAAAACTTGAAGTGAAGCACCATGGTGTGGCACGTGCTGTGCCGTTAATGGCCGTATGACTGCTTCGGCCGGATTGTGGTGACGAGTGTTCCAAGCAAACGCTGAAAGAGTCGGCACGTCGGGCATTGAACCACGCATGTGCATGGTGTTATGCTGCGGCAACCCTGCTGCAGTTGCGTGGACTGGGTGAGATGCACGCCGGCCGGTAGCATGCTCCAAAGGATGATTCGCCGGCGGAAAACCCTGCGCCATCGCGCGTGTGTGCATGGTGTCGAAGGGGAAAGGGTAGCCTCCTGATGTGAATCGTTGTGGAGGATGAGTAGATTGTGGGAAAAGGGTTGGATATGGTGCTGCTTCGTAGGAATGGCTGTGAGTGAGCGGGATCTGATTCATCGGCATCTGCGGCAGAATTGGTCCTCCCAAATGCGCATGGCTCTCGTGTCCGGCTGGGCTCAGGCCATTGTATTGGTTTCGAAATGTCGAAGGCAGTCGTGGAGGTGTTGGAGGGTGTCTCGGAGTGAAGTGCTGTGAAGGGTTGGTTGGAGAGCACCATTCCACCATTTGATCACGTTGCTGCCGCTGGAAAGCAAACGACGAATTGTCCATGGTGGCGAAGACGTGAGGTCAGGTCCGCATTAGCGCGTCGGCGCGTGCTCCACGTTACAACAGACGTAGAAGGCACGACCGTCGTGCACCCTCGCACACCACCAAGACTGATGTCTCTTGGTATCTCAATGATGTGTGCTCTTCATTCGTTATCGCGAGTGTCTGCAATGCCTTCGCTTCTGCATCTGCAGTTTGACCGTCCGCATTTGCTTGCCTTCGCGCTTGCCTTGATTCGTCGTTGGACGTTCCCGGAAATCTGGTTCGGAATGATTTCACATGCACGTTTTCGGCAATCGCGTTACTAGCTTCCCGGTCCGGCGAAAGCGCGGCTGGAAATAATACAGAGCCGCAATCTCGAACGTGGAGAGTAACATATATGAAAAGGGCACTGTACGAGAGCGTGTATGCTCATTGGTAGCTACACCATGTGGGCTCACTACTCATAGGAAACTACGCGTGAATAGATCGACGAGCCATGGTGTTCGATCTTTTGAGTTTGAAAGGCATCACGCATTCTCATCGGATGGATGGGATGTGGAAGTGAAGCCAGTTCCTTCGACATAAAGAAACTTGATTGACCACTGAGTTAGGATAAATAGAGTCCTAGCCAGATACTCCCGTCTCATCATGAGCACGTATCCGCTGCTGCAATTCCGACAGCAACATAACCTCCTCAGGCGTCACCTCGATATGTGACGGTATCAAGAGCTTATACGGCATGATGCGGATCTCGTGAGCAGTATCGTCATACTCAACATGGTTGTTGAATTCGTGGCGGAGAGTGCGTTCGCTAAATGAGCAGTCAGCATTATTAGAAGGCATCAGTAAACGTCACACCCGTATACACACCTCTCAGTCTCTGACATCTGCTTCTCAAGCCTCCCACCGTCTATTCTACCCTCTCTCTCCGCCTTCTTCTCCTCCCTCTCCTCCCTCCTCGCCTTCCTCAACTTCGCACCAACGTCCTCCGGCGTCCACCAAAATACAGGATATTGCCTTCCAAGGTTGTTCACTAAGCAAGCCACCACCAGCATCAAGACGCTCCCCAGCAACACTAGCGGCACGAACATCCATCCCATAGCCACGATAGCCATCTCCGTACTCGCCAAGACCGCCGTAGCTCCTCCAGGCGGGTGTACAGTATTAGTCGCACTCATCACAAAACTCGCACAAGCACAACCTATAGCGCCGCTGAGCCAGAAGTATTGAGCAAAAAGGGAGGGATTGAGCTGGAATAGCTTTGCGATGGCCACACCGACGATCGCGGAGAATGTCTGGCCTAGGATGCTGTTTCGTGGCTGAGCGAGAGGGGAGCGCATGGCGCTGTAGTCTAGGACTGCGCTAGCGCCGAGTGATGCTATCATGATTGGAGGATGGAGCGCTTTGATACCTGGTGCTGTGTTGAAGAGACCTCCTACTAGGCACAGGCCGCCGACTGTTGCAATGAAGGTGAGGATCCATTGCAGAACTGTTGGTGGTTCGACGTGTGGTTTGCTGCGTGCGCCTAGGAAGTGGGAGATTGGCTTTGGTAGTCTCGAGAGCGGGTTCGATGGTATTATTGGGTTGAGGTAGTGGTCGATGTTGATATCTAGCGCATCGTATAGCTGCGACCTGCCCATGATGCAATTTCCAATCGCAGCCGCGATATGCAGATGGTGCGGTAGGTCAGAGATGCAGTTGAAGCGGCCTTTGAGCGTGTCGAAGTCAGTAAACCAGGCCCGGTGGAGTTCAGAGTGGCAGAGACACGATCGTATTATTGACAGAGCAGAGATGAAGAGAGTAACAGCAAGAATGCTTGGCCTACCATGGTCATGCTGACTATATTGTCATGCGTACAAGCCGCTTTGACGGAGCGACGGAGGGCGAAGTGGCTCAGAATGAAGTGAGCAACTCCTCGGCACCAAGCATCCGAAGTCTACAGCGTCCTCTTGACGATACAGCGTTCACAAAGCTCAAGGCGAGTTGTCTGCCAGTGAAGCGCCCTTTCGTAGCCTTCACCATAGCTCGCGCTCCATGACCAGCGCTCTCTTCGAAAGCCGAGGGCCGTCTCGCCCTCGTCTTCATCATTCCAAGTCTTCTGTTCATCGCAACCGATCGACCAAAGACCACAGAGAGCGTCATGCGGAGGCGAGAAACCTTGGGTCGTGTTTTACGTAATTGCCGTCATAGGTCCAATCGCTTGCTCAGTAGTCGGGTCTTCTGGGCTCAGGTGGTCTTTTTCCATCGTGGAGTTGATTGAAGCCAGAGGCGACGACAAGGAGGTACGCTTGTACGATGCGTAGCAAGTCAGGTCAATGGAGGAAGTGAAGTTGAACAGAGAGTGAATGTTGATAAGGACTGCACCATGTAGCCAATCGGTAGTGCCCGTTGATATTTGAGCCGCATGCTCTTTCGGAGATGCAGCTCCAATTTGTCTTGGCAGGCGCGTCTTCCCGACGCGTCAAGCATGTGCCACAATCATGTGAAGGGGTGATAGAAGTCATCGCTGGAGAATGGCCAAACGAAGCCGGGATGGCGACGGCAAGGATGAGGAAAGTACCCCACGTAAGACAAGAAGGGCGACGAAATATAACCCTTCAAGTCCTCAGGTTGCAGCGGAAACACCATCAGGCCGGAAATCTATACTGAGAGGTACACCGAACAAGTTGAATGGCATCGCGACCGTGGATGCGACACCCAAGTCTCTTCGTAAAGTGCTCTTTTCGACGCCTGCCAAGCATGGTGAGGATGATGAAGATGACGACAATGTCACCCCTACCACAACCCGCAACGACCGATCAGCTCGTAGAAAGAGCCAGAGGACGTTGCAACATGTCGACGAAGCCAGCGATGGAGAGAATGCGATTGTGCAGGACGGACGTCTAGCTCAACAGATATTGGGAGAAGACGCAGTCTCAGAAGATGAGGACGAGGACGACGACGACGAAGATGGGATCACTCCGTCTGAACCACAATCCGGCCCCGACACGCCCTCCAAATCCGGCAAGTTACGAGGACGTCCTAAAGGCCGACGGCGGGAACGCACACCCTCACCTCCACCAGATCTGCCACCGCACGAACTCTACTTCTTCCAAAATCGCACAGGCGCCAACAAGACGTCCACGAATACTCTACCCTCGCACGTTCTTCTCAGTCACGAGGACTATTTCGCCAAGATAGGCTCATACAAAGATCCTCATGCGTCGGATATCGATCGGCTGAAGCGATTGCACAAACGTGCGTTCGAGCAATGGATGTTTGAGCTGGAAGAGGGCTTCAATCTATGCCTGTATGGATATGGGAGTAAGAGGTTGTTGGTCAATGAGTTCGCCGAAGAGCTGTCTGCGGAGGCGCAAGACAAGAGGAAGATTGTCGTTGTGAATGGGTACACGCCTGGTCTGGCGATGAAAGACATCCTGAACACTCTTGCTCGAGTGGTCATAAAGTCGAAACTTAAGCTACCGACTCAGGTACCTGCACTACTGGACGAGATCCTCAGAAGCCTGACGACTGATGCGAACGCTATGTCATTTACGCTGGTCGTTCATTCCCTAGACCACCAGAATCTTCGCAAGCCAGCGGTACAAGCTATGCTCGCTCGCTTGGCTGGACACCCTGCCATCTCTCTTATCGCAACATGCGATTCGCCGCTATTTCCGCTGCTCTGGGATACGGCTACGACAAGACAATATCGGTTCCTATACCACGATACCACGACCTTCGAACCATACCGGGTGGAGCTCGATGTTGTGGAAGAAGTCAACACATTGCTGGGCAGAAGTAGAAGACGAGTAGGCGGCAAAGATGGTGTAGCCTTCGTGCTGAAGAGTTTGCCGGAGAATGCGAGGAATTTGTTTAGAATCCTAGTAGCGGAACAACTTGCTCTAGCCGATGCAGCCCCCGCAGGATTGTCAAGTCACGCAGCTTTCGGTGGCGGTCAAGATGACGACGATGACGAAGAAGTGCTAGGGGCGTCCGACGACGACCTCGCAGCTGCAGGCCAACATACGCCCTCTCGACGTGGCCGGCACAAGCGAGCGCCGGTCAAGAGCGCCAAGAAAGTCGCCGCTCCTGTCGTTCGTCCTAATGCAGCACAGGGCATGGAAGGTGTGGAGTACCGCACACTATACCACAAAGCTGTCGAAGAGTTCGTCTGCTCGAGCGAGCTGAACTTCCGGACTCTGTTGAAGGAATTTGTGGATCATCAGATTATTGAAAGTCGAAAGGATGTAGCTGGGACTGAGAGGGTAGCTGTTACTGGTGTTGGGAGGGAGGAGTTGGAGGGATTGCTGGAGGAGCTTGTTTAGATGTACCGCTTTGCATAGATCACGACTTGTATGAAGGAAGATGTACAGAACACTAGCTTTTGGCGTCGCATAGCACACATATGAAAACGGTCGTAGTCGTCGTCAGCTGGGATCCAGTGGCGTTCCACGCCCTCAAGTCATCCTCTGCGCATCAGGGATCGAGTCCAGCGCCGCATCCCTTCCCGTCAAATACTCCTTCCTAAAATGGTTTCCGTCTGTTTCCCCACCACGCTTAAGAGGCGTCCACTTTGGATCCTCCTTGAAGAGCCGCATAGCTTTCGTGTACTGGCCCACTCTGTCAGCAACATCTCACGACAAGACCCAGACATTGGCGCGTGATACTCACATTCTGCTCATCAGTAGTAAAGCGATGATAGATCCCTGCAGGCATGATCATGAGATCGCCTCTCTCCAATCGAATCCTCACCCACTCATCGCCCTTATTCCTGACATCGAAGTACCCTCCTCCCGCAAGGATGTACCTTATCTCCTCATCCTCGTGTAGATGTTCATCGAAGAAGGTCTTGACTTTCTCTTCGTAGTTTGGGAGGGTGGAGGGGGAGATCTCAATCTCGTCGCGGTTCTTGTAGGAGCGTTCCCTTGCGATGGCGTTGACGCTGTCCAGGTCGTCCGGGAAGTGGTGGTGTTTTATGCCTAGGTCGGAGAGGGCGGCCGGGGCAATGGTGCGGCCGGAGTCGTGGGGGAGGCGTTGGTCGCCAGGGACGTTGTCGTAGTAGTAGGCGCGCATCTTGAATGGTATATCACGGCTCAAGGGGGAGATATGTGGTGCTGGAGGTAGTTGATTATGTGTTTCAACAACAATTGCTCACTCTGGACCCCACCATCTTCCAGGGAGACCTTGGTCACGTCATTGGGGCTATTAAAACATCGGCAATAACGGCTGCCACGTGAAGGGAATCCCGCAGCTCTGCAACCATGGAAAGGAGAGTGATGAGTGATAGCGATAAGTAGGGGGAGAACCATATGATACAGATACAGATACACACCGTTTGCCAACGCCCACGCTATGCTATTGAACGCAGTATCCGCTTCGTAAGATGCTGAGCAACATGGATCCAATCCACTTTAGGAACGTCAAGGCACTGACGTTCGACTGGGGAGTCGACCGTCGCTAGCCCTCCCTCCGTACGCCAACGCACATTAGATATGCTCACTTCTTACTGTACAGCCAGTTCATATACCCAGTAACATCGACCTTCCCACTGCTCTCCACTCCACCTTCCTGCCCAACAACAACCTTCTCCTTCCCGGACTCAGCCTTATTAACCAGCTTCCTGAACTTCCGGCCCCTCTCCACCATTTCCCTCAACATCTTGAAGTATCCAGTATCCCTCTTGTCCCTCTTAGGCTCAGAGCCCTGACCAGCGACATCATCGTCCTTCTCCTGGCCCTTGGCAAAAGTTAATCGTCTCCTGGTTTTGCAGTCCTCGTATCGAGCCCATTTCGAGGCCAGCGGAATATCGGCTTCTTTGAAGATGTACTGCACTTCCCAATTCTGGTCGCGTTTGAGGTTGGAAGGACGATTGTTGTCGCATGGTTGGCTGTCGACGAGATTCTGGACAATAAGTGTCGCGGCGAAGAGTGGTCGGAGGTTTTCTTCGGAAGGTGGCGTGATCTTGCTGTAGAATTTGGGGTCCGCTGGGGTGGTTGTGGAGGTGTAGTCGACATTGTCCTGTGGTGGTTTCATCTGCGCAGGCACTGTGGCCGTCGTGGTAGCTGCATCAGTCTCTTCCGCAGTAGTTTTCGTGGCCTCGGCCTCGGCCCTTTCCACCACCTTGGCAGCAACAACATCGACCTGCGGCGCCTCCTTCTTCCTCTCCAGTCCCATGATCTCCGCCTCAAAAGCCGCGATCTTCTCCTTGCCCTTGCCCTGAATCTCCTTAATCTCACTCTCCTCCATCGGCTCAGCAAAGATCCACATCAACTTCTGCGGCTTTTCCACGCACTCGAAATGCACCCTCAAGCTCTTACCCGGGAACTGCTTCGTAGCCGCCTCGAGAGCTTCGTTCATCAGCTTCAGTGAGAACCTGAATTCCTGATTACCTAGGCAAGGATCGATTTGTCCATGAATTGCTCGATCGATATCGGATATGGGTAAATACTGGAAGCCGAAGATGCGCTCGACATTGTGATATGCGACGAAGATACCGTCCATGCGGCCCATGCGGGCTTGCAGCATGTATTTCAGCATCGTGCTGCGCATCATGTCGTAATATTCGCGTTCGTAGCTCTCGTATCGACCTTGCAGGGTGAGTATTTCGTAGCCAAGCATTTCTTTGTAGTTCTCGGCATCCATTCGGACCGAGAGACAGGCTCGAGTCTTAAGATCGAACATGCCGGTACCTGGGAGTCGGGAATCGTGAGCGTCGAGCTGTGAACGCATGAGGAAGTCGCCCATGGTGGTATACTCGAATGCTTCGGGAGCATCTTTCTCCGCAGGAGTGATTGGGTTAATGGTATTGCCAATGCGGTATCGCTCATATTCCTCCTTGGGGGCAGTGAGTAGCTTCTCCATACTCTTGCCGAGCATCATGAGCACATTCGGGCTGTCATACTCCTTGTCGGCATCAATAGCATATGTGCCACTAGACTCCTTGTATCTTAGAAAGATAGCATTCGGTGCACGATTGATAAGTGTAAACCCATCAGCTTCCTCCTTGAAGCCTTTCGATAGCATGCCAAGATTCAATGGACGCCAATTCGAGAGCAAGTAGTGAAAGTGAGCCAAAGCACTCGTCATGCTGGACGTAGACCCGACGTACTTCTTCCCGTGCTCATTCGCTAGCTGCGCGAGCATCACGTCTTGACTACTCGTCTTGTATTCCTTCAGAGCATTGAAGTCGAACTCCTGTATAGGCATGATCTCTCGCAGATATGGATCAAAATTATATACTCGAGATTGAGGATCCTGCAATTGGTAGACGCCTGGGTTGAACAGAACACGATCAAGGCCATACTGCACTGGCGGTACAGGCGGCTGCTCAATGTTCAAGGCAATGACCTCTAGGTCTGCTGCCGACATCGAGCCAATGCTGTTCGATCCGTCTTCGGATTGCTCATACATCTCTGGTTCTGGTATCGTGACGTCTTCGCTTGGCTCTACAGAAATGTCTACCGTGTCATGCAACGAGCTCATGGCCGCTTGCATGGAGATGTGTTCGTCAGCACCGTCGTTGGCACCGTTGCTGGCACCGCTGCTGGTACCGTTATCAGCCGCTAATACTGCGGAACTTCCACTGCTGGATGTCTCGATTTGCGCTGCAGACGCACTGAGCCGCCGCTCCCTAGCCTTTTTCCGAGCTTGTGCGCCAGATAATTGCTTGCGCCCGCCTATCTTTGGTGCTGGTCTCTCTGCAGGACTCTCGCTTGTTTCAGAGGGCTTCTCAACAGTCTGCGTCTCACGTCTATCCAGACCGCTGGATTCTTTGTGAAGTTCAGCCAATCGCGAACTAGAGTCATCGTTGTAGGTAGTTGCGGCGTCTACGTCCAAGCCCAGGGACTCTACAGCATCCGATTCAGCTATGGCTGCTTCGTTACCCATATCTGCGCCCGCCCTGGTACGATCGCGCCTTGCCCTCTGCTTGGCTAAGCGGTTGTAATAGCTGTCGCTCCGCTTGCCATTAGTCGCGAGATTGCGAACCAAGTCGGTGTTCTTGGCGGACTTTGTACCGTCTACATGACGCGCGACAACTGTCTCGGGTGCATCGTCGGTCACAGATTGGCTTGGCAAGGTCATTTCGTCTGTAATAGAAGAAGCCACGTGTGATGTCGGTGCCGGATCCATGAACAATCTCACGCCAAGCTTCTCCCTTAGCGAGTCCATGGAATTCATGACAGCTCTCAGCACGCCGTTGGGAGACTGTTCTCTGGGGGAAGCGTGTGCAGTGTCCGCAGACGACTGTTCCTTTGAAACGATGGCATGTTTCTGAGCGAACTCCCGATCCATAAGTGGGTCCCCCAACGCAGCATCGTCCCGACCAGTGGTGTGCTCGACCTTGACATGAGTGGATCTCACAGGCTCTCCACCCCAAGCTGTCCGCTCGCCCGCTGTCTTCGCTTTCGCCTTGACTGAGACCGCGTCGGCCGCTGCGAGAATGTCAAAGGAGATCTTGGTCGACTTTGCTGGGGGCGTTGCCTGCGGCACGCCGCCCCACATCGGCCGATTCTGTGCCTCCTTAACCTTGGCAGCTATCGAGAATGGATTGATTCGCTTGACGAATGAGTACTCTCGCGGTGCTGCAGAAGGTGCAGATGCTACAGTGTCTCTTTGCGCCCGACTTTCCGATGCAGTACTTAGATGGGCTTGATACTCAAGTCCCAATGAATCTACCGCACCAGGTACAGAGGTGACCGGCGACTCGATTCGTGCCACAGTCGCAGGGAATGGAAAGTCCGGTCTTTCAATCCGTCTGGCCGCTGCTGTTTTGGTCGACTTGCTCGCATCCGTGAGCTGGCCTAATATACCAACGTCTTTCACAGGCGTGTTCTGTTTTCCCTGAATAGCCTCCTCTAACACTGTGGCAGGTCGTTCACCGGGGTTGACTGACAGGCGGAGCTCCGCCAGTAGCTCCTCAAATCTCTCTCGCTGACGAGCCGCGACACCTGGTGCCGCCTCATCTGCGACAGTTCCCCGAGTCGCCTCCTCGTGCTCTGCTGACACATCCTCAATCCGAGAAGGCCCTCCCCACTGCAACCGCGCCCCCTTCCTTCTTATCCTCTTCTGCTGCCCGCGCGTTTGTGCTTGTGCCTGCACGTCCGACCGCCTGAATGCCGAGTTGCTTACATTGAGCGGCACGTCCGGCCTGCTCTTACTCCCATGTGCATTTCCTGGCGCCTGAGATTGACCAGCTCCTGCTCTTGCATCCGGCAACGTCTCAGGGCTAGTTTCGTTCCCACTGGAGCCCGACATAAGCCTCGCATACAATTCGCTTATGGTTTGAGGCTTCGAAGACGGCTGCACCGTCCTGGCGGGACGACCACTCTTGCGAATGGTCGATCCATGCTGACGCCTCCCATTCTCTGTTCTCGTTACTCGGGACTTTGGAGCATTGTGCTGTTTCGTTGGCTTGGCTGATTCTCCTTCATTCGTCGTAAGCGAGTTAAAGTTGTTCATCCAGTCATCCACATCCCCAGGCTGTGCCACGATCGTCTGCGTGCTCTCCCTCCGAACCTGAGTGGCGCTGAGGACTCGCGCGCTCCTCCAGCCAGTCGAGCGGTGGCGACATTGGTAGCACACATATTCGCAGACTTCAGTACTTCTGGATGTGGCACGAGCAGCTGGTCGGTACATTAGAATGGCAGATCTTTACGCTGTATATGAAAGCAGTCCGAAGACCGCATCTAATGATTGTCCATATCCTAGCTCCTCCGCGGTGATTGATCCGTGTGTATTGGTTGTGGTGATGCCGACGCTAGTGGGTGAGCAGACTCACTTGGCGAAGGCTCGGCATTCTTCAGATCTTGTCCAACATCATCTGTCTACGCTCGACCATTGTTCATGGTTCCTTGAGTAACACACATGGATGGCTCAAATAGTACGGCGACGAGCATGTGGTACTTCAATACATGAGACAAAAGCGTTAGTCATGATGGAAGATGGCATTGATGCTACTACTTATCGAGCCTCGCCCCGGTACTGCACCATCCCTCTATCCCTCTCCTTCGCCATGACATCTATAATGGAGCCCAAAACGCCCACACTATGCTGGAGAGCCACCCAACTTTGACCCCTGCTTTCTTATCTATCCGCACCTACTCAGTCTGCAAAGGCTCCGGGCTGTGAGTGGTGTCCGTCCGCCTCTCAAGCAGACTCTGCGTGACCTCGAAAGTGGTCCCCGGGATTGTGAAAGTCTCGGTCATCACATCGATGGTGTGCGTGAAAGTCTGCGTAGTCGACGGACCAACGTAGGTCAATGTCTCGTACACCTTGAGTTTCTCAGTACACCTAGTCGAAGTCGCCCTCTTGTCGTTAGGGACAACGGTCGTGGTGGAATGCTCGGGGGCCTTGGTGACGGTCACTGGAACGGATGGGAGAGAGAAGCCGGGGAGGGAGAAGGTGTGAACCCCTGAAGGAGGACCATAGGTGGCGAGTGTACCGATTTCCGGAGCCTGGCTCTCTGAGACCTTTGAAGTGGCGGTGGGGCGATAAATGGTAGTCAGCGTACCAGAGCAATCGCCGTCAGGAAGAATGCAACCAGGCGGAGTGTAGTGCTTCGTCGTAGTCGTATGAGCGGTGGACAGGACGCTGTCACACATTACTGTGGGATGGCCCAGATAGAACAGAGTCTTGCAGCCTGTGGAAGTGGCTGTGCCGAGAGGGTGAGAAAGACTGGAGTCGAAGACAGGACCAGAACCCTCGGCACGAGCGACGGGAGGTGGCGGCATGACTACGCATGACTGTCAGCCTGCATCGATTTTCTAGCGATCAGCTCGTAGCTTTACTCACCCCAGCCAGGGGCCGCAGTAACATGAGAGTACGTAGTAGTATGGGAGAAGTCGGGGTGGGACACCGTAGGGCGCTCGGTCATAGTAGTGTGCGAGAAGTCAGGGTGAATGACGGTCGGCTTCTCGGTAGGGTGAGGCAAGGCGCTGGTGAGGGAGGCCGTCAAGACCACGACGGCAGCCAAGCTGCGAAGGAGATCCATCGTGCTGAAGCTTGATGGATCTAATAGCCTGCGAGGTGGGGGGTGATATTGTGCTGATGTTTGTGTAGCGGATTTGTGTTGGAGAACTGTGTTGGAGGCGTGTGTGGGAGAGATATTGAACCAAAGAATAAGGCAGGAGATCAATGAAGTATTTGTACTACGCTTGTGGAGCTATCACCAGCGCTAATGCAGTCAACTTTCACTGAGGTCCCGTGACTGATCGTACCTTCCGCTTTCGACGTTGCTCCGCTCACCAATGCCAAAATGAAGGAATCGGGGCCTCGAAAGCTTCGCCTTGATTCACTGTAAAGTTGCCGATATTTCCTCATTGGTTGCGGCTTACTTGATGTTGGTGCATTGACCGCAGTGATCGCAGGTCATCCTCGGCAATCGTTTGCTCTGCATCGAGAATGCATAAGTGGCGGCGACCCTGCTAGGGTTCCGTCATGTAAGTGTACTTTTGAGACAACATTCAAGAACGGGAGGTGACCTTCTATGGAATGCGGTGAGATGCTCTGCAGGTGAAAATGGAAATGGCATGAATTATTCGAGATCATGCTTGTACCTAGTGTCGTTGTAATTATCACCAAGAACTTTTGTTGTGGATCTACCCTCACAGGCGTTGAAATTGAGGCCGCCCACTCGTCCATTGGTCTTCCAAGAGGATAGTGTCCGTCGACGAGGGGATGGCAGACATACAATGGCCGTAGATCATCGGTTTTCGGTGATCTCGAAGATTATCCTGTACTTCCAACAGGACTTACTTGAGAAGACCACTGGTGTAGACTGTCATTCAATTCGTGGGCCTAATCGTCAACGTTATATTTCCGAGATATATATCTTTGTTATTCTATGTTGCCCGACGATCATGGCTCCGAGGTCTAAGAACTACATATAAGGACTGTGAAGACCGGCCACGACTAAGATGCTGCCGCTTGTAGGATCGCTGATCTCGTTTTGAGATCTTGATATTAGATCTTGATACCATGATCGGAACATGTGGATGTGAAGACCTTAAGCCACGAAGGCGTGAAGTCATGGAGTCATGAAGTCGTGGAGTCGTGCAGCCACGAGATATTGTGGTTGTATGGCCGTTAAGGGCAGTTTTTGATCGCTGATGGTGGCGCATCCGAGGTTTTTGGCCGTTCTCCCCACACGATTGCGTTGCCTGAGTGATGTCGGACTATACCATGAATTGTCGTCGCTCGTCCCCATCTAGCGTCCATCTATCAAGCATTATCCTCCTCGTCGTCTATGTCAGCCTCATCCTCGCTGACGAAGAGATTGTCCTCCTCGTCATCACCATCGTTATCGTCCGCATCGCCATCGAGACCATCGCGACCCTCGTGTCCACCAGCGCCTTCAGCATATCCCTCGTCTTCTTGATCCTGGTCGTTCATTTGGCCAGCATCCTGGGCCTGATCGTTGAGCACTGCTTGACGACCCCTCTCAAAGGCCGCAGCCTCAATCTTGCGCACGGGGGCTGGATAGACATTATCGCCGGGGCCTTGTATACGCTCTTGGACGAAGACCACTTGCCCAGCTTGTAGACTAGGTCTAGGGTCGATTTTGGCACGAGCGACGATCTCCTCATCCTCGAATGCGGTTCTGCCGAACCACAGGGGTCTGACGAAGTTTGAGTACATCTGGCCATCGCCAATGGTGAGCTCGCAGACCGATCGACGAGCCTTGTAGCGCTTGAACCGCCCATTGCGATCTGTCATCGCCTTGAGCGTCCGCACAAGCGCACGGGTGAAGTCACCTGGGCCAGCGATGATCGCACCACTCGGGTCCTGCTTAGGTGCTGGACTTGCGATCACTTCCACATTATTGATGTCTTGTTTGAGGCTGTACGCGAAGCGGGTCGGACAGTAGCAGTCGAGGAAGAAGGTCACGTCAGTAGTCGAGGAAGCAGCGATCTCGATCAGCTGCCAAGCATTAACCTCGTCTCGCGGGAACCCAGCTATTCGACTATGCAAAGTCAGCTGGGAGACGTTCGATCATCGGAGTCATAGCACGTACAAGGAATATTCACTGCCCTCGTAGCCTGCGCCCTCGTGATCTTGACCTCCGCTGAAGTAGACGAAGACCTGGTCGCCGCGGCGTTTGTTACTGAGCTCGCGTTGCAAGTCCCCGTTGATATCCTGCTGTGTTGTGCCAGGGCCATATCGAAGCACGCGGATGCGGCGTCTGCCACAGTTGCGAACGTGATGGCTGAAGAGCTTGTATATGCTCTCGTAGCGGCGCTGGCGAGGTGTCATTATAAGATGCCCATTGTCATCCCTCGGTAGCGGTATCGTGCGGTTGCGATCGTCGATGAGGATGAGATAGATGCGGCTGTACGGCTGGACAGCCTGGAAGGGCTCAGCCAGCTTGTTCCACCCAGGCATGGCGAGGGTTTTTGGTGATCGACTTGGTACTTAGACTTGGTAGTGGCTGATCGAGACAGCTCGAAGTGGAGTGGTATACATGAGTGTGTATAGCAGTTCGCCGCCGGATACATATAGTCGACCTGATACCAGATAAGCTTCCGTAGCGTCTGCCATGACTGGAGTGAGCAGTATTGTATCGGCCAAGTGAAGCAGACATATCCAGCCAATGGCCGTGCTTAGCTGCTGGTACGCAATGGTCACCGGTTCCCAAATCATCACGTCGCCCATCAAGACTGCCTCGTGATTGGCCGAGAGTTTACATACTCAATCGTGCCTTCCCAAACCGTAGCTCAATGCAAGTGAAGTGAATTTTGCATGTGATGCGCTCTACAGGTCTTGGCAACGGATCAGCTGGTGGGATACTTGGATAGAGTGCCATGCACAGGTGTCTCTCCTGCGACATGCAGCCATTTCACATGATTCTGGAGGCAAGCTAATTCCGAGGCCACCCGTAGATTTGACTCGATCAATCCCTGCTCAGTTGCTTGTGTCGTGACCATGGTCATCCTACAGCAGAGGAAGACGAACTTCTTGCGCGGCAGAGAGTCCCGTATATGTAGCGATGGCAGATGCAGATTGACGTCGAGCTTGAGGGCCTGGGTGACAGCCACGTTGAAGAGGACGTACGCCAAAGAGGGCCAGTATCTGCACATACCACGAACTGCGACACAGATGGTGCATCCTCAGACGTGGCAGCATCTTCAGTACTCGGAGTCGATATGAGTAGCTCGAACATTGCGGACACAGTAGACAGTCGTCGTTGTAATAAGAAAGATGTTACAGATTCTGGACCTTGCGGTCGAGAAAGTCAAGCTCAGACCACCGCGTGTTTGGTGGCGTCAAGCAAGCAGTCATCATGGTCTATGAAATTCTGCTAGTAACAAGGGGGGTGCATAAAGAAGTTCACAGTGCTGTCGGTAAAGATGAACAAGTCTGACAGCGCGAACGATGGCGCCATGGATGACCTGCGGCAACGATGGAACCATCTCTACAAGCATCATCTGCCGGGCCTGGCGAAAACTCGCGATCCAGTACAAGGACAATGGCCCGTCTATCTGGACCACTGCTTCGCAAGAATCGTGCTGGACAACGCGATTGGTATAGACAAGCCATGGATGGAAGTCATAAGGCAGCCCGCAGTGAAGAATATGACCGAGGACCAACTCCGCGACGCTGTAGATCTTGCGGAGAAGATTGCAACGGGCGAACTTGATCTCGTGTCATTAGATGAACGTAGTCTTCAGCTTCGCGGCAAGCAGAAGAAGAAGCGTAAGGTGGAGGCGAAGACAGAAGGCAACGGCACGTCCAAGAAGAAGCTACGAGGTGATCCAACCATTTCAACCTACTTCGCGCCACCACCAGACTCGCCGTTCCAGGGCGAGGACACAAAAGCCGATACGCCAGCTAACGTGGTCGAACTTGGCGACGAGAGCAGGAAGGCGGCGCAAGAAGCGAATCCTGACATGGCAGCACAAGTCAAGCGTATAGCTGACTCCAACATAACCACTTTCCGCAAACAAACACTCACCCTGCTGTGTCAAGTGCCTCGTGGTCGCTACAGCACATATCAAGCGATGTCTGATCATATCACCAAGACGTCGCACAAGACTTGTGCTCGTGCTGTTGGCAATGCGATGCGTAACAATCCTTTCGCACCAGAAGTACCGTGCCATCGCATCCTGGCTGCCGACGGCTCACTTGGTGGATTCAATGGCTCTTGGGGTGAGAACGGGAAGTTCGCGGGCGAGAAGCACAAGTTATTACACGAAGAGGGTGTACGCTTTAGCTCCAGTGGAAAGGTCAAAGGTCCTCCGTTTCGAGACTTCACTTGAGTAGTCGAGCAAGATCCTGGCATTACCAATTTCTGTTGCTTGAGCTGTAAGGAGATGACTGGCTCATGGTACGTGACATCGTCTCTAGAGCCCGCATTCCAGGCGCGTGTCCTCCAAACACTCGGGTTCCTGCGGCCGCACTTCAAAGACATTACTGCGACGATCATTGCATACTACAGTTTCTCACGAATGATCACCGCCATGATGTTCACGAAAAGACTACTCGTAATGGCTGCGGTCGCTGCAGTCGCGCAGTCTGGACCCGGTAAGTTGGACAACACTCTAGTCGAAATTGCGAGCCAGCTGTTGACAGACTTGCAGCCACCACGATCGTATCGACTTCGCTGAGCGGAAACACTGTAACAGGCTCAGCATCTCCAATTGTACTTGGCCAGCCGTCTTACACTGGCACCTTCACTGTGACAACACCGACAACCAGCTGGGCCGCCCCTACATTCTCCACAGCCGCTCCGGTGCCCACATGCTCAGATGGCATGTGCACTAGCTCTCCGCATCTCAATGGCCAGACCTGCATCGACGAAAGTGGCATTACATACGGCGTCCTTTGCAACATGCTGATGTATGGAATCGTAATCGACAGCAGCGGCAAGAGGCTGCTTCTCGGACGTGAAGATACCGTGGAGGAGATGGGGACCGTCGTCGATAAGAGGGATTATGCCGGGTCTTTTGCAAGCTGTGTTGACTTCTGCGATAATTACGGTGTCCCTTCCTTCTGTACGGGAGTGGCGTACGACAATGGGTACTGCATGTCTTATGACGCCATCACTGGGACATATCAGCACGATGGCGGTATTGCTGCTGTAAGGCAGGGTTGAGAGGGTAGATTCGGACAGCTTACACATTAACTTCGGTAGTCGAAGGCGATCAGAGGAACAGCCATCGATACGTTTCAGACTATAGGCGTACGAAGTTCGCCTTTACTGTGTTCTCCGGCGTACTCAAAGTCTCCGATGTTTCTCAGTGTGGGCCTGAACACCGCAGTGCATCTGCCCTTAAGTGGTCAAGGATGAAACGAGCCGGCGAGTGTGTATCTCGGTTCAAAGTGGTGTAGAATGCCACCTGGTTGAAGATCATCGGAGCCACATCCTCTTTCGACAACATGGCCCGTTACAGTTTGCAGCCCGAACAAGCACCCCACGTGTAAGAAGCGTATTCATCCCTCGTGTCCGCCAGGTTGACGCAAGACTTGGCAGGGCCAAAGTCAATAAAGGATTCGAAGCATCGTTTCCACTTGAAGCTGGCAAAATTGAAGCAACCTGATTCGTGTTCTTTCGACCACGTTTCTTGACGACCGCTGGTGAACTATGATGTACATAATGATTATGATTAAGAGTCACATCCCACCCTGCACGATCACTGTGACTTCCTTCGTCATTCCCATCAATCAATCGCACGAGCTCTCCGCAGCAGGAGCAGCAATAATTCGATGGGACACCTCCAAGCGGCCAAGCGTGCCAAAGCTGGACGAATTTCCATCTTGTCACCGCGCCTCAAATCTCACCATTCTGGCCAATGCGCTGCCGGCAAGGCACACGTGCAAGGATGGCCAGCACCAGAGCCGAACATGCACGCCGAGCACACCCGCCTAAACTTCCGCATCGCTACCAACAGGCTTCCGACCCTCACGGAATCGTTTCTGCTCCTGCCGAATGTCCACATGGCATCTGAAAGGCTTGACCGGAAGCAGCCAGTGAGTGGCTTCTCACCGCGTCCCACACTGCTTCGCTTCGCGGTTTGGCGCTATGCACCCTCTATCGACAAGTGGTCGGTAGGGCAGCCGCGCAGGCTCCAGATTGTGGCCCCTAGTCGCCCTACGAGCCAACAGCTGGGTGTACACGCCGGATAGCGGGTGGTCGCAGAAGGATGGCCTGTTCAACAGGTAGGTATGACGGTGGTCGTCGTTCCTCTGTTACTATCCACATCCTCCCAGAAGTACATCTATACTTACACGACAGTCTCGAGGCCGCTGTGTGTAGCTGCACGCAGCTCTGCGCCAGGCACCGCGACAAGCTTTAGCACAGCCTGAGGCCGCCTTTCGCATGATACTGCCTGCGGACGCTCAAGATCTTGTGTAATATTGGCGAGGCTGAGCAGTCTGTGACTGTTCCCACTTGGTCACTAAGTGGACGACTTGCTCCCTAAGTGGACTTGCTCCCACATTGACGATACCGGACATCACCAATTCGAGACTACAACCACCGTCCCACACAACAACGTGGGAAGCTGCTTACTGCAGCCCGACGGCTGCCGACACACAGCATGGCGTTCCAACCACTATCAGTCGGGGATATACTAATGCTGTCCCAGACAGCATGGAAGATTGGCCGTGCGTTCACGCAAGGCAAGAAGAGTGCGCCTTCTGAATTTGCTGAAGTTGAGCGGGAGGCCAATGGATTGAGCGAAGCGTTGAAGCTCGTAGCAGAGTCGTTACACACGGATGGTGAAACACTATCGCAAGCAGACAATGAGACTCGCGCCGCCGTCAACACCATTCTCGAAAGCGCGAGGGCCACTTTGAGTGACCTGGAGAGCTTCGTGGAACGGTATCAAGTCATCAAGAAGAACCAGACAAGCGGCGGCTTCGTCGTTGAACGAAGCTGGAGCCAGGTCGTGCTTGCCAATTACAAGACTTTCAAGTGGACAACAGAAGGAGGCACAATCGATGAGCTACGGAATATGCTCCAGATGCACACCAACACCATACAGCTGACCATGCAAGCACTACAATCACGCTCGTTGGCAAGGCTGGAGAAGACTGTCGTACCAATGGCCGAGAATATCGCCGATATCCACCAAGCAGTACATGGCGACCTGGGTGGCAAGATAGACGACCTTCACCGCCTGATAATGGCTGTAGCCAACAGCACACCCTCACTCCAAGCGCGGGATCGTGCGATCCAAGGCCCGAACAGCGTGCGAAACAGCAGCAGCACCGTGTCCACGCTAGATCGCGGTTCAACATCGAATGGCACAGGGACCCGTATGCTGGAGGCGCCACCCCCACGTAACTCCTCAATCGTCCTCCCAATACGGAATCTAGACCGAAGGGAGTCGGTGCAGTCCACCCATAGTTCAAAGGTCACCGTCTTGCCCGCTGGAAAGTCTTCGAGGGAGGATTCAGCTTACTGGTCTATGGGTCCCATGCCATTCGAACGCGAAGGAAGAAGGATGGACTGGGGGTTTGAGAATGGCTCGCCTCCACACGATCGGGGCAGCATTGGTAATGAGTTCGCATCTAGCTCTAGTGCTGCCTCTTCTGTCTCGCCGCCTCCACAACGACCCGAGTCGAGCATAGCACGCCGTGAGTCTACGACCTTGCCTAACCTATTTAGTGCTATCGACGAGCTGGACCAGGAAGGTGACTACAACATCGACCCATACTACACCAATGTCTCGCCAAGATCAAGAAATCATGCGTCATCGTCACAAACGAACTCCGTGCGAATCTCCAATGGACAGCAAATCCTCCCACCACCCGCCCTGCCGCCAGATTCACCCGAGACTCGTGAACCACCTGCCACTCCCGCTTCCATCTTCGGCGCACCTCGACGACATCAAAGTGTCAAGAAACCCGCTTCCCGACCTACGACTGCACACGGCTCGGTGCAACGAAAGCGAGAAAGCGTCGAATCCAATTCACCACAAGCGACTGAGACTCTCTCATTCGACAAAATCCTATTTCGCAATGCTGCAATACTGTGTGACGTCCGCGGGAAACTGGTAGAGTATGCTCAAAAGATTCCCAACGAGCCAGATCCGCGCTTCGACACGGAGATGAAGGAAGCGTGCAAAGACTGCCGAATCTGCGTCATCCGTAAGCGAGAGCAAAAAGAACATGGCGGCACAAAAGTTGTTACTTCCATCTGGACACTATCTGATGACGGCGAAGTCCGAATGCAGCAGAAGCTATCCGAGATCAACGAGACTGTGCCATACTGCTCATATTTCGACCCATTGAAAGTCTCACTACCACCCCCCGAAGGCGCTGGAAGCGAGATGGACCTCAAATTTCATCCTGAGCAACGGGGTGCTATGCTCAAGGAAGGGAAGAAGACGAATTGGGTCAACTTCGTCTTCGTGAGTGAGCAGGATGCCATATCATTCCAATCCGCAGTCTTTGGCAGAACGCTCCTGGGCAGCTATCGCACGACTAAAACGACAGTCATTCACGACGGACTCAAGGGGGCTTTCGCGTTCGAAGAGCAGTTTGCGAACATTGAAATGCTTCGACTTTGGGAAGACGATGGCATTGCTACACCTGGTGCAGCTGGCGGCGTCATGGCCTTGATGCATGTGAGCAGTAACTTTGGGGACGGCTGGGCGCGTTTCTGGCTCAATGGCAACAAGCAGCAAGTCCGTGTCAAAGAGGACAGTGCCAAGTGGGCGCGAGTCAAGGGAATCGATATCACCGTCGTTCGACCTGGTACTGCTCCTGCTGTGGCAGAGAAGATCAGAAGTCCTTCCGTCGCTTCACCTGTCGGAGAAGGTCTGCAGCGTGTGGAAACTATGATGGAGGCTAGACCGAATGGTGGGAGGAGGATACCTGTTAAGAGAGTACAAGGGGTCCGAATCGAATTCAAGACTGAGGAGGAGAGGAGTCGGTTCGTGCAGCAGAGTAAGACTGTGCAGGGGAAGATCCTCTCGCTGCCGGATCTTTGATCTGGCCGAGTATAGATTGCGGCATTTGTGGATGCGTTCCTACATTGCGTGTGCTGATTTTGATACCATGGAGGGGGTGCACCAGTCCCGGTCTTGTCTTTTCGTATAGATGCATTTGTACTATTAGTAAAGACCGATAGGTTTTGTCGCATTGCAAGACCAGGATGATCATCCGTCATGGCACCCTCCAGCTTCGAGAATTTACTCCAAGTCGATGCAAGGTGTCAAGGAAACGAAGAGGACCAGCTACTGTGTACGAAGCGCTCCGTATGATACAGTACAGGTCCTTTGTCAGCGATCGACAAGCTTGCGTTCCCAGCAGGTACTTCTCTGCTTGCAGCCACAGGTGGACATCTTTCCATCCGACGACACTAGTCGGGTCAAGAACAACGGAGCGACTCATGCCCGCTTGCCCAACCTGAGGATATCTGTCGTTGTGCGAGGTTTTGTCCATCCCCTTCTACAAAGTCCGTGCATGATTGTCAAGAAAGAAAGGATTACTGATCCTAATCTCAAGACGGAGATCGTCCAAAACCCGCCTGCACGATGACGTGACGTCGCTTTTACTCAGCGCCAAGCTCGATACTGTACAGTAAACGCCTTCTCACCTTACCCTGTCGTCGTTGGGGCTATGCTTTGTCAACGTGCATGCGGAATCGATGGTACGTTGACGCCAGCACTCCAATATGGCTGGCCCCTGCAAGAGTCATGCCGACTGGCTCTGGTGATCGCTCTGCAAACTATCCGAAGTCCGCTATTGTTGAGGTAATGTGGTGCTGACATATTGACCTGATGAACAATGTGCTGTCTGTATATATGGGCTTGCTGTGGTAGGTATTGTTGTGCCATTCCCTCTCCAACTTCCACAGCATAGCACTCTAGCCTTCTCCCCTCCTGAGCACGTCTTCAGACACGAGCCCCAGCAGCTGTTTACGAAGAGGTACTACCACCAAAGAGGACGACATGACAGATCTCATCCGAGACGCGCCCATGGGGCAGCTGATACGCTACATCACTCGCAACAAAGTCCTCCTCTACCCAGAAGAGAGGCCAGACTTTGAAGCTCCTTCCTCATACACGAATCCCGATCATCTTACTCAGACAAAGGGAGAACCGCTCAGCACGATACCATCGAGTCTCGCAGCCGGAGATGACGAGAAGAAGCACCTCGAGCCCACCGAGCCAGCCTCACCGCAGTCGCCATCCACATCTCTGGATCGCCGAACGCTGGAAAGAATCGAAACATCCCGAACGGAAGTCGATCTCGAAAAGGCCCTTACGAACCAGCGCACAAACACATTATCCCTAGTACCAACCCGGACAGCCCTCTCACACGCCCACACCCAAGCCGAGCTCGCCGCCGTCATCACAGCCTCAGCTCACCTCGCCAAAGAACCTTCCCAACCCATCGTCCCACAACGAACAGCCGACGGCACAATCCTCGTAGACTGGTACACGACCGACGACGCCGCGAATCCCCAAAACTGGTCCAGTGGGAAGAAGGTCGTGGCCAGTCTGCAGATCTACCTCTACACCTTAGCCGTCTACATGGGCTCCTCGATCTACACACCTTCCGCCGAAGGCATAATGAACGAGTTCCATGTCGGTGTGGAAGCCGCTTCCTTGGGACTGGCATTATATGTTCTGGCGTACGGCACGGGTCCATTGATCTGGAGTCCGCTATCTGAGATCCCTTCGATTGGCAGGAATCCGCCTTATATGATTACCATGGGTATCTTCGTCATCTTGATCGTGCCCACGGCATTAGTGCAGAACTTTACCGGACTCTTGGTGCTCAGGTTCTTGCTCGGCTTCTTTGGCTCGCCGGCTCTGGCGACTGGTGGCGCGAGTCTGCAGGACATGTACTCCCTGATCAAGCTACCGTATGTGCTCTGTCTGTGGGCTCTTGCGGCCACGGGAGGTCCCGCCCTCGGTCCTGTGATCTCTGGCTTCAGCGTCACGGCTGAGAACTGGCGATGGAGCATGTGGGAGATGCTGTGGTTGTCCGGGCCCGTCTTCCTCGCTATGCTTCTCTTCTTGCCCGAAACCTCATCGGCAAATATCCTGCTCAGAAGGGCGCAGAGACTCAGGAAGTTGACCGGCGATATGAGACTCAAGGCGCAGTCGGAGATTGACCAAAAGAACATGCGACCCAAAGACGTGGCTTTCGAGGCGCTTGTGAGGCCGTTGCAGCTGATCTTTATGGTGAGCTTACCATTGCCTAAATCTCTAGACCATTATACTGACATTATCAGGATCCCGCCATTGGCTTCACAGCCGGCTACGTTGCTCTCTGCTATGGCATCTACTACAGCTTCTTCGAGGCCTTCCCGCTCGTCTACATCGACAAATACCATTTCAGTGTCGGCGAGATGGGTCTTGCTTTCCTCTCTATCCTTATCGGCGCACTGCTCGGCATAGCAGGCTATTACACCTACCTCTACTACGTCGTCGAACCGGACATGATCAAGAATGGTCTTGGCAAACCTGAACGACGACTTATACCTGCACTCGTGGCTAGCTTCTTGCTGCCTATTGGACTGTTCATGGTGAGTCGGTCTAAGAACAATGAGAGGAATGTCACAGCTTGCTGACAAACTCTACAGTTCGCATGGACAGGCGACGCAAACGTGCACGTCCACTGGATCGCCAGCATCATCGGCTGTACCATCTTCGTCATTGGCGTCTTCATCCTGATGCAGTGTATCTTCGTCTACCTGCCTTTCGTCTACCCGCAATACGCCGCCTCACTCTTCGCTGGCAACGACTTTGCGCGATCCGTTGTGGCCTTCGCAGCGGTCCTGTTCAGCCGGCCGATGTATGTCGGCTTGGGAATTGGTCCAGGTACCAGTCTACTGGCCGCATTGACTACGGCTTGTGTTGGTGGAATATTCGTCCTGTTCTTCTATGGAGAGAAGCTTAGGGCTAGAAGTCGGTTTTCTGCTAAGTGAGCATGTCGTAGGGATGGTGAATTGAAATGTTATAATAGCGATGGCGTTGGCGGGTATGTCATAGAAATCTTTCCTGGGATACGGCGTAACAGTAGGATCAATGGCAATAATATGATTCAGCCTCGTTGTCACAAGCCAACATGACCTTGCTGGTCATTATCCTCCGTCTCTCGAGCCCTTCAGCTGAAGTTTAAGCACATGAGGTGCTGTTGAAGTAGTGATGTGGGACGAGAGAAGCCACCAACACTTCTGGGATAGGAAGTAGCGGAGCGAAAAGTCTGTTCATCATGACTCGGGCCTAGAGTGAGAGCCGTCTCGAAGTCTAGGCTATGGTGAGACGCTGGATTGGGCGGAGTAAAATCATCGGGAGGATGGTGCAGTCTGTACTCCAGAGTATATGCGACGCATAGGATTGTTCCACATCCTGGATGGAAAAACTCGAAGTCCTCGGCCGACTTGGAGGGTTCCATGCGACATTTTGATGCGACGTCGTCCTTGCTTTGGCCAGCGTTTGAGATCCAAACATCTAATGGTGGTATATGAAACAGGGAACAGTGTCATCGTCCCACAAGCTTCAGCCAAGGGATCGAGATGGCGGAAGCATGCTTGGACTGCCGCCGCCGTAGAGTTGTGCTGTCAGCTTGCCACGCATATGGTCAAAGTTGGGGCGGAGCACTAAGCATGAGCTCCCTCGGAGTCCTCGCAACATCTCGCCCAGTCGTTGAGCAATGTGTTGACTCAGTGGCGAAGACATGTTGTGAGAAGGCGAGCGTGTAGATTGTGTGGAAAGGAATATCGTGACTCCTACACAGCCAGCGCTAGTCACTTTGTTCTTCTCGAAGCATCAGACCCTGAGTCCCGATTGGATGGTCGATGGGTGACACGCTAAAGCCGGCAGCGATTCCCAGGCGCGGTTTCACCTTGCCCGTCATACCTCCGACCGCTTTACGCAAAGCGAAGCGATAGGTCGTAAAGCAGGAACTTCAATAGAGGCCTTGTCAACATACACTCACCAAACAAAGAAATCTGGGAGAAGAACAAGAAGGTTGCTATTGCTAGGCATCTCACTCCCCCTCACCCACTCCGAAGCAGCATCCTTGGGCCCCACGTTCACGCCTATTGATCTGTCTTCAAAGAGGGTCCTTGCGACTTTCGACTTTCTAGCCCCCCTACCCGCCGGTCGGATCCTTGTTGCACGACTGCACAGGCTCTGGAGAGAGGGTGGAGTAGCACCGCGGTCCTATTTCACAACATTGCTGGACACGCACAACACACGACCACGCCTCTTTCGCGCGCCCTTCACCGTCACTACTCCACACGAGTTCACGCCGCCGCCAGTGACGGCCGGCACCGAGGCTTGGCGCGAGCGATTACTTGAGGAGGAGTGGGCGTAGGAGGATCTGATCCGATCGCATCGCACACCTACGCCTGCACGCGAGCCAGATCGCGCTCATAGTCATGGCCGGGTCTCAGCCGAACACGTATGTAAGCCCATGGGTGTCGTGCTTCACATGTTGGAGCGCGTGTGGTAGAGCATGTGCGCTTTGAAAGGTGCTGTGGGGAGCTGCGCTGACCTGTATCTTTGCACAGATTATATCGACCCGATCAGTTCATGAATCCTGGTCCTGCACCACAACCACCCACGAGCAAGCCCAAACTAGGCCTCACGCCTCAGGTCTTCCAGACACCCGGCAACCCGAATCTTGTGCACCTGCAAAGCGGCGGCTCGAGCTCGCCTTCGTCTACCTCACTTCACCGAGTAGGCACAGACTCGGGTGGTGAGTACACGGTGGTGAAGGATGGGTGGGCCAAGGTTAAGGAGGAAGGCGGTGGCTTCATGAAGGCCTTTTGGAGTGAACGTTTCTTGGTCCTGCGAGAACGACAGCTGGAATTCTTGAAGAGCAACTCGAGCAGCAAGACCTCGAATGTGATAGCCCTGAAAGATGTTACCAACATCACCCGATCCGACAATTACCCGTACAGCTTGGAGCTCACGAAAGAGGGCAACAAGCTATGGATCCTAAAGTTCGAGACTGACAATGAGGTGTATGGCTGGATGGACGGGATTTACGACAGATGTCCGAGCATGGGCGGCGTCTCACATCCTACAGGCTTCTCTCATCGCGTACATGTTGGCTTCGATCCGGTCACTGGAGGCTTTGTGGGTCTGCCCGTAGAATGGGAGCGCTTGCTCAAGGGTTCTGCCCTTACCAAGGATGATATGGCCAAAAACCCACAAGCCGTCATGGAAGTTCTGCAGTTCTACACTGATAAGCTCGCTGTAAGAGCAGACGATCCAAAGATGTACACCTCGCTCACACCGACACCTCCAGCCACGGACAGCAACCGCGACAAGCAACTTGGCTATTCAGGAAGTAGTATTGCACCTCCTCGTCCTGCCCCGCCTGCGATACATCGACTGGACAGCTATCAGAGCGCTAAAAGTGCCGGCAGTGGTTCGTCCAGTGCTTACCCGCGCGAGCAACCCAGTGATCGATTTCCGGCCCCAAAGCGATCGGATACTGCACCACTGTCACGGACGACGACTGGCGAGGATGAACGCAGAGTCAGACAGGATGAGCAGAGAAGAAGAGAGGAGTCTGAGCGGCGGCGAAACGACGAAGATCGTGAGCGACGGAAGCGACAAGACCAAGAAGATCGTGAATACAACGACTCTCTACCAAAGCAGCGAACAGCTCTTGCGAAACAAGAAGTCGGTGGTCATAGTGGCGATCCGAGAGATGCCAGTCCAAGTGCGTCGAATGGTAGATACAACGCACAGCGACCAGCTCCGCCAGCACCAGGTCAGAACAAGGCTGCGCAGCCGAACAGCGCCATACCCATACGCAACTTGCAAGCCTCGCGACCAGCACCTTCGCCACCTGTTCAGCAAAATGGTGCTAAGCCATTACCACAAAAGCAGTCCAGCACGAACGGCTCATCCCATAGTGGTGCCGTCAAGCCACCCGCCGCACCACAACTCAACGGACAAGTACATCCACAAGATCGACCACAGCAACCTCTGACACGGAGACCATCGGGTAGTCAGAACAGCAAAGCACCTCTAGGACAAGTCAAGCCTCTCAATGTGCAGACCAAGCAGCCGAGTGGCGCGCCTGAGAAGAGTGCAGCCATCAAGCAGGCTGAAGCAGCGCTGACGAAGAAAGAGCCAAATGAGAAGCCTGCGAAGGAAGCGCGGATGTCAAGCATGACGGATGCGCAAGTCATGGACAAGCTGCGATCTGTCGTGTCCACCAGTAATCCGCTGGAGTCTTACAATAAGCAGAAGAAGATCGGTCAAGGTGCATCAGGTAGCGTGTACGTGGCTAGGATCCGTGAGAACGCTCCTTCAGGCACTGCAAGGAACATTGTGAACCAGTTCGGGCCCAGGGCGCAAGTAGCCATCAAACAGATGGATCTACGTAGTCAGCCAAGGAAGGAGTTGATCGTGAACGAGATCATTGTCATGAAGGAGTCACGACATGACAATATTGTCAACTTTCTCGACGCATTTTTGCAAGAAGAGACATTCGAGCTATGGGTGGTCATGGAGTTCATGGAGGGCGGTGCGTTGACAGATGTGATCGACAACAATCCTTCCATCGCAGAAGACCAGATCGCCACCATTTGCTTCGAGGTAAGCAATCGCAAGGACGAATATTGAAGAAGCGATGTACTAATATCTATCACAGACATGTAAAGGCCTCATCCACCTCCACAGCCAGAACATCATCCACCGCGATATCAAATCCGACAATGTCCTCCTCTCCTCTCGTGGCGCCGTCAAAATCACCGATTTCGGCTTCTGTGCTAAGCTGACCGAACAGCGCAACAAGCGTGCCACTATGGTCGGAACACCCTACTGGATGGCGCCGGAAGTCGTCAAGCAAAAAGAGTATGGCAGCAAAGTCGACATCTGGTCCCTAGGTATCATGGCTATCGAGATGATCGAGTCCGAGCCACCTTACCTCAACGAGGAACCGCTAAAGGCATTGTATCTGATCGCTACTAATGGGACGCCGAGACTCAAGAAGCCGGAGAAGTTGAGCAAGGAGCTCAAGGCTTTCTTGAGTGTCTGTCTTTGTGTGGATGTCAAGAGTCGCGCCACAGCGGAGGAGCTGGGTAGGCATGAGTTCCTGAGCCATGGATGTTCGCTCGCCAGCTTGAGTGAGCTGTTGAGGTTCCGCAAGGGTGGGCATTGAAAATGCTGTAATACTGAAGGGCATGAGGCGTCATCATGTCCACGACCGGGTGGGCTGAAGTAGTGGGACCAGGCGGAGTAATTGAGATGGGATGAATGATTCATTACGGCCGTAAACGAGATGGCATGGGGTGTTACGAGGAGTCAAAAGCGGTTGGCAATAAATCGATGGATGGCTGGGTCGGATGGGCGTGATGAGAAGTGTCTTCTTCGCAACCTGAGCGTGCGGCGCTCATGCTGCAGATGGTCGTTCTGAGCATACGGTCTGAGCGCTCTTTTGTTGACGGCTTACGCTTGATAGACGAATACTACGTTGTCCCTGACCTCTTCACCTTTGGCGTCCGTCTTTCGCTCGGCCTGAGTCTGGTAGGCACCGCACACGGCTCACAATCAAAAACAGCAGTATCGGACCGTATTGTTTCTATCTCTATGATCGTTTACTGACACACCTCGAGACCAGACCGTGTGGCTAAAAAGGATTGGCAGACTGCATAGTAGTGTACAATGCCAGCAAGCAACACCATGACATGGAAGATCTGATGGCTTGCGCCGATGAGGTCAAAACGGTAGCGAAACCATCGCTCTGGAAACTGTGGTGTAGAATGTCAGTGAAGTCGACGCAGGATAACCAGGCCAGCTAGCCCGGACGAATCGGATCATACCCGGTATGTATAAGCTGCAGCTCCAGTACCATTGAGCACGATCATCAGCACCATCCATTCCAGCGCGAGACGCTGTCGCTGCACGCCGAACTCGTATGCGTACAGACCGTGCCCAACGAAGAAGAGCCAGACCGCTCCTAAGCCGACGTATGGTGCTGCGCGCCAATGTCGGTATTTGGTTGAGAGGAAACGGGAGTTCATTGTTAGTGCTATGCAGGCCATGGAGCAGAGAGAGACCTGAATGCTATGTTAGTCTCCTGAAGTCGGCTAGTGTTTTGACAGCGCTGTCTGGGGCTTGATACGTACTAAAAGCCAGTGGATGTCACGATGACCCGGCACGCAGATGAAGCCAAAGTGGATGGTCGGCAGACTTGCTCCCCACATCAATAGGACAACACCGCAGAGATCAAGACCTTTTGCGAATTGGCGCAGGCTGGCATCATGAGTCAGGAGCGCATGGTAGCTGGATCGTACGTGTTAGCTTATCTGCAGCAGTGCACATCGATTGAAGGAGCCACTCACCCAGCAGAAAAGGTAAAACATATCGCCACGCACAGGCAGTAGGCAGTCACCAGGCCGAAGTCTACAGGCTGTCCAGCTGGTCTACGACTGTATATGCGGAGGTAGAAGTGCAAGGGCAGGATGGTGAATAATATTGATCCGAAGAAGTGGGAGAAGATGTTGACTAGATATGTTCAGTTGCGATCCAGATTATTAAGATGGGCGAAGGAGACGAACCACTTTCATTGTGCCACGAATGCAGCGAGCTTGTCCACAGTGTACGATTCTCATCACTCGGACTAGCGACGCGTGAGCAGGAGCACTGATTAGAGCATTGTAGATGCTGTCTCACAGGTACCCGGACAACATGAATTCATTGTCTCTGCCTTGCGTCAGTGTATTGCTCTGCTCAGTCATGCTCCGGCGAAGAACGTACTGGCGCCACTTCGCTGCTCGCTGGTCAGTACTATGGTATTTGCTCGCAATATGTGCCGCTTACGTATACCATGCCAGTCCAAGTTCACAGGCTTCTCATCGCACAGGCTGTCCCGATCATCTTTAGGTGCGCCGTTTGAGCGCGACTCTGCGGCGCACGTTCCGTTGGCGCGAAGTCGAGATTTCATGGCATTGCTGGTATCATCGTACACAAATTCCCGCCTCCTGGGATGGCCAGGAGGCATATGCGAGATATGGAAATAAAAGAAGATTCCACTTAGCCGTTTTGTGGGACATTACAGCGTCACAGTTGCGTTGCGGGATGGCGGAGGGCTTGCGCCTTGTTTTGAGTCACATCATTGACGTGACATACGGAAGAAGTCAATCTCTCTCCTCCAATACCCATGATTACGACTTTAGACAGGATGCCCGTTTGCCGATGCTCACAATGTATCGAGCAACGAGATGGTCTTTGGTTGAGATGAAGTCGACGACTTCTCCGGAAGGAGAGTAGGCCGAGAGCCGGGGACCAGGTGGCTGTCGTTGAGAGACAATACTTGAGGACCTGAATGACGATATTACTTTACTGCCATCATGACTTCTTTGAGGGGCGGATGCTCTCGAACGTCTAATACGGAGTCGCTGAGCAGACTTCTTCAAGTATGATCGCTGTGGCTCAGGTGAGCAAACTTGGCAACCCCCGAAGACATACAAGTTCCGGGCCAATTGGAAGGCGATGTATATGTACACAACCTGCATACCGAGAAGTTGTCGATACTGTACTTTTCACGACGGATGGCGTATGGTCTCAAAGCTATTTTGCTCTCGTTGTTATCTTCATGTCGAAGCACTTGTACCTCACAGTCCACTATGGCAATCTTCACGTGATGATCATCAGTAAAAGCAGGAGGATCGGTTCGGGAGGCAAGTTCCTCAGACTATCGCCACTGTCTCTGTTCGTGCTCGAGCACAGTGATGACCATCGCAGTAGCCAAAGGAAAATTGGTCGTCTGCAAATGAGAGAGTGCAAGACGCTCAAAAGAGCAGCAAAGTTGATCGGATTTAACGTTGCGATAGACCGAGCCCCACATGGAACCACGCGAACGGTTAAGGCCGCTGCATGACGATTGAGCGTATACGATTCGGCAACGACGATCCGCGGGACCTGCCTTTCTGAGCCCTGCGACGGTGGTTTCTTCTCATTTGAGGCGATCAGGACGGTGAGCACAAACATCTCTCCTGACAAGCACTGCCGTAATACTGTCGTTGGTTCTCATCGCTGCCATTCACTCCTCCGCCTCCGCCACCTCAGATACACCGACCAGGCCTTCGTTCCAAACTCCGGCTATCGTAACGAGATCAATGCTCGACATCAACCCACCGCAGACGGTATTCCAGACCTACGACCTACCGACCTATCTCAGCGCATCTCGTCACAAAGCGCAGCCATTCTGTGGCAATGCGGAGGGATGGGGTCCGTTGAGTCCCCATAGATGGGACTTCACACCATGTTTCCTGGACATATGGATAGCAGTTGTATCGGTATTTGGCATATTGGGTGGCGCTGGGGCGATATACTACCTCCTGCGGTACTGCAAGCCAGCTGCCGTTGAGAAGAATTGGCACTTCTATACCAAGCTGGCTGTTATCGCAGCGTTGGTGGCAACGACGACGACACAAGCTGCACTCCAAGTTGAGCATTTTGGTGGCACTTTATGGTTACGGGACTTTCGGTTCTGGACTACTATTCTGAACCTGCTGAGCTTGGGTGTCGTCTTCTACATCCAGTACATCGAGCATTGGCGATCAAGAATACCCAATTCTGTCGTTCTGCTCTACTGGCTCTTCTTGCTTATCGCTTATGCTGTCAAGCTACGGTCGCTGGTGTCTCAGAAGCTGTATGAACATTATGTGCCGTACTTTGCCATATTCACTGCCAACGTCGGGCTATCATTCGCTGAACTCGTCCTGGAATGGTTGGTGCCAAAGAAGCTCTCGGCATATGAGGCTCTCGGCGACGAAGATGAGTGTCCAGTCGAATATGCCAACATCTTTTCTGCTTTGACCTTCGGTTGGATGACTCCAATGATGCGATATGGCTACAAGGAGTTTTTGACGCAGGACGACCTGTGGAACCTGCGACCTAGTGACACAACACGCAACACCAGTGCTACATTCGAGGAGTCATGGGCATACGAACTCGAGAAGAAAAAACCAAGTTTATGGATCGCCATGTTCCGGTCATTCGGTGGACCGTACTTCTGGGGCGCGGTGATTAAGACTGGTTCAGACACTCTAGCCTTCGTGCAACCTCAGCTCCTCCGCTTCCTGATCTCCTTCGTCGACTCGTACAAACCTGGCAATACGCCACAGCCAGCTAGCAAGGGCGCCGCAATTGCTCTTGCAATGTTTGCTGTGTCGGTCGGACAAACCGCATGTCTGCATCAATACTTCCAAAGGTCGTTCGAGACAGGCATGCGCATCAAGAGCTCTCTCACAGCGGCCATCTATCAGAAGAGCTTACGGCTCAGCAACGAAGGACGAGCTGCGAGGAGCACAGGCGATATCGTGAACTACATGGCCGTCGACACGCAGAGATTACAAGACCTTGCGCAATACGGCCAACAGCTGTGGAGTGCCCCTTTCCAGATCACGCTATGTCTACTGTCATTGTATCAGCTACTCGGCGTCAGCATGTTCGCTGGTCTTGGCGCTATGCTTCTCATGATTCCTGTCAATGGCGTGATCGCGCGTATCTCGAAGACTCTGCAGAAGCGCCAGATGAAAAACAAGGACGCCAGGACTCGTCTTATGACCGAGATTCTGAACAACATGAAGTCTATCAAGCTTTATGCTTGGACGACCGCCTTCATGAACAAGCTCAGCTTCATACGAAACGATCAGGAATTGCACACTCTTCGCAAAATTGGTGCTGTGACCGCTGTTGCCAATTTCACTTGGTCTACTACGCCCTTCCTGGTGTCATGCTCGACTTTCGCTGTATTCGTTACAACGCAGAATACGCCGCTCAGCACCGAGATTGTCTTCCCGGCGTTAACATTGTTCAACTTGCTCACTTTCCCGCTTGCAGTACTGCCAATGGTGATCACGGCCATTATTGAGGCAAGCGTGGCAGTCGGCAGATTGACGGACTTTTTTGTTTCAGATGAGCTTCAGCCGGACGCCGTACTTCGTAGCGAGGCTGTGGGTGCTGGCGAGGAAGCCGTGCGCATTCGCGATGCGACTTTCACCTGGAACAAGGACGACGATCGCAATGTATTGCACGACATCAACTTCTCGGCCCACAAGGGCGAGCTCTCCTGCGTTGTTGGCAGAGTCGGCTCTGGCAAGTCGAGCATACTACAGACCATGCTCGGCGATCTTTACAAGATCAAGGGAGAAGTGGTCATGCGCGGCACTTCGGCTTACGTTGCTCAAAGCTCCTGGGTCATGAATGCGAGTGTGCGCGAGAATATCGTTTTTGGCTACAAGTGGGATCCGGCGTTTTATGATCGTACTTTCAAGGCCTGTGCACTCACCGAAGACTTCGCAACTTTACCAGACGGTGATCAGACTGAGGTGGGTGAGCGTGGCATCAGCTTGTCTGGAGGCCAAAAGGCACGTCTCACGCTAGCACGAGCTGTCTACGCTCGTGCAGATATTTACCTGCTAGACGATGTGCTTTCAGCGGTCGACCAGCATGTTGGCCGGCATCTCATTGACAATGTGCTTGGCCCAGGAGGTTTACTGGGTGGCAAGTGCCGCATCCTTGCTACAAATTCCATCCCCGTGCTTATGGAGGCTAACTATATCTTCCTTATTCGCGATGGCCGCATACTCGAGCGAGGCACATACGAACAGCTCATGGCTATGAAGGGTGAAATCTCGCAGCTGATCAAGACCGCGAGCAGCGAGGACCAGAGCCAAGTTGAAAGCGAAGAGTCCAGCAGCAAAAGTCCTGCTAGCGAAGCCGACACTGTGTACGATGATCCAGATGAGGCTGAAGAGGCTCAAGAAGGTTTGACACAGCTCGCACCTATCAAAGCTGCTGGTGGCGGTTCTGCTCGGAAGAGCTTCGCCCGGACCTCAAGTCACAACACGCTGCGAAGAGCGAGTACCGCTTCGTTCAGGGGTCCACGAGGCAAATTGACAGACGAAGAAGAGGCTAAGAACAACAACAAGAAGACAAGCCAGACCCGAGAGTACTCCGAGAAGGGTCAGGTGAAACGTGATGTCTACCTGGAGTACGCCAAAGAGAGCAACCTGGGTGCTGTCGCAGTCTACCTCGTCATGTTGATTGGCGCTCAGACCGCTTCGATAGGTGAGTGATCTTGGTGTTTGCTTGTGCTGCGAAGTGGAAGTTGGCATCCGCACAATGGTTTTGCATGAGCGGACATGCTCGGCCCTCAACGATGCACTCTCCCGCGAACGACTGGGAATAACAATGGTACGCTAACTCGCGCATATCAGGGGCAAATGTATGGCTGAAGAATTGGTCTGAGGTCAACAGCGACTTTGGTGGCAATCCGAACGTTGCAAGATATCTTGGCGTCTACTTTGCCTTCGGCGTGGGCGGTTCCGCGCTCGTCGTTGTTCAAACCCTGATCCTGTGGATCTTCTGTTCGATCGAGGTATGTCACACATCTCTTTCGTGTTACAGGTGACGCCTTGGTCGACGTGCATGCGCACCCCGGGCTGGCGTGCATCTCCCGTTTAGGCGAGATCAGACCGTGATAGGCTAACTGACATGATCCGCACAGGCCAGCCGCAAGCTTCACGAACGCATGGGTACGTCTTTCACGTCAAGGTCGTGGTCTGGAACACCAGTATTGACTCGTTGCAGCATATGCGATATTCCGATCGCCCATGAGCTTCTTCGAAACGACTCCCACGGGCCGTATATTGAATCGATTCTCAAGGTCAGTCCAGCGCTCCCGACAACCGTATTTGATGTGCCGTTGCAGACCTCGCTTGGATGCAGTAGTCAAAAAGGAGCACGGCCATGTGGGCATCCTGCTTCGTGGCGTCTGCTGTCTAATCGCTCGGGTCTGCTCCACGTCTCCGCGGACCAGGAACACAAGTTGCGCAATTGCGAGAGCTAACGTTATTTTAGTGACATCTACAAGATCGATGAAGTGCTCGCGTATGTGCATGACGAGTACCGAAACCCTGTCGATCTCCCATCTTGACTGACATCTGTCACAGGCGTACTTTCAACATGCTGTTCACGAATGCAGCTAGAGGTACGTTCGTCGTAGAGGCCAGGATGCTCGTCTGATGTTGCTAATGCTTGCCTCAGCCGCCTTCACTCTAATGGTCATCTCTACGTCTACACCAATCTTCGTTGCCCTGATTGTGCCGCTTGGCGGCCTCTACATGTGGATCCAGAAATACTACCTCCGCACTTCCCGCGAACTAAAACGTCTTGACAGCGTCAGCCGCAGTCCGATCTATGCCCATTTCCAGGAATCTTTGAGCGGCATCAGCACAATCCGCGCGTACCGCCAAACCAAACGTTTCGCACTGGAGAATGAATGGCGCATCGACGCAAATTTGAGGGCCTACTTTCCATCAATCAGCGCCAACAGATGGCTTGCAGTTCGGTTGGAGTTCCTCGGCTCAGTCGTCATTCTGTCTGCGGCTAGCTTTGCTACCGTTTCGGTGTCTACCGGAAGCGGTCTATCTGCCGGTTTGGTTGGTTTGTCGATGAGCTATGCCTTGCAAATCACTCAGTCCTTGAATTGGATCGTAAGGCAGACGGTCGAAGTTGAGACTAACATAGTCTCGGTCGAGCGTGTGCTGGAGTACGCTCGCTTGCCAAGCGAGGCACCAGAGATCATCTCCAAGCACAGGCCACCGGTTAGCTGGCCTTCCAAGGGCGCAGTGTCATTCAATGGCTACAGCACCAGATATCGGCCTGAGCTGGATCTCGTGTTGAAGAATGTCAACCTCAGCATCAAGTCACATGAAAAGATCGGTGTGGTTGGGCGGACTGGCGCAGGCAAAAGTTCGCTTACACTGGCCCTGTTCCGCATCATTGAGGCCAGCGACGGGGACGTGACCATCGATGATCTCAGCACAAGTTCTATTGGCTTACTAGATCTGCGGCGCCGGTTAGCCATTATTCCGCAGGATGCTGCGCTGTTTGAAGGCACGGTGAGAGACAACCTCGACCCTGGACATGTTCACGACGATACAGAGCTTTGGAGTGTGCTCGACCATGCACGACTGCGGGATCATGTCGCTTCGATGACTGGTCAGCTCGACGCCACCATACACGAAGGTGGCTCGAATCTGAGCCAAGGCCAGAGACAATTGATCTCGCTTGCACGAGCTCTCCTAACTCCAAGCAACATCTTAGTTTTGGATGAAGCGACTGCCGCTGTAGATGTTGAGACCGACGCAATGCTGCAAACGACATTGCGCAGCAACATGTTCAAGGATCGCACGATAATTACTAGTAAGCACAAAATCAGTGCGATTTCACCACTCTACATACTGATGATCTCTTGTAGTTGCGCATCGTATCAACACGATTCTTGACAGCGACCGCATCGTTGTCCTCGATCACGGCGAAGTCAAGGAGTTTGACTCTCCAGGAGAGCTGGTCAGGCGTAAAGGCTTGTTCTACGAGCTTGTCCGAGAATCTGGGTTGCTGGGTCAAGTTGAAAGTGCAGATGGGTCTCGTTGAGAAGTGTAAACGAACAATCTTGTATCAGCTAGGTACAACCTCAAGACGCGTACTGTCCCGCACTGCAGGACTCCGGTTTTGTGTCAAATTGCTCAGATGCATTGCAGATTCAAGATCCCTACTACCGAGCTTAATGGCGTAGTAGATAATATGAAGTGTGCATAAGCGGGTCCCACGCATGGGGAGCTGGACCTCGCTTCTGCACATCCATATCTATAGTACCTGTCTGCCAGCAACGGCCCGTGACCACGGATCGTGGCGTCGTCGGATTCAAGGCCCCCCGAGAGCATGCCAGGGAGTGCGGGTGGGGGGCTCGCGTACATAAGGTCATGGCAAGATCTCCGTAATCGTAGCATTGATCTAAGGCACTGCCGAGCAGTATGTGTTTCATGAATGCTACTAGTCTATGAATGCTACTAGTCCTTTCGATAGCCTGTACTCGCTGCACAGAAAGGTGTTGATGGAGTTCGAAGCAAGAGTCGCAGACTCTTCTAAGCGTTGTGGCCACGAACGATGGTTACGAAGTCAGCCAATTTGTTTCCTAGACGCATAGTTGCATTCTGAGGTGACGCATATGTATCTGCAACCCGTGGAGCAGGCAGCGCCGTTTGATAGACCTGAGTTGGCTGATTCGGTACCGCTCTACTTTCGTGCTGATAGCAACCATGTCGGCAAGCCGAAAGCTTGAACTTGGTGGCTCCCGCTCTGCCCTCTTCATCGTGCACCACTACGGTTCCCGGGCACAACAACCAATGTCGCACTTCTGGAAGCTCTCATTGTGTCACAGACCAGAGCTCTGCATCAGGTGGTCCGCACCTATCATGCGAGCAAGGGCCGGCCCAACCAAACGATCTCGATCTCTCGTCCTCCACGTGCTCTACTTCTGCTGTGCCACCGGTGCATTTCGCAGACATTGGCTGAGATATCGATGCAATGCAGGCGAGCAAACGCCACGGCCCCTCCCGTATTGTGACGACCGTCTGCAAGATTGCTTGCTAAGATGCATTGCCACTGGCACATCAGTCACGCCGAAGCTCCTTGTATGGGTCATTGGCTCATGATGGGCGGTAGGTGCGGCAAGCTACTTCGGAATACCATGCTCTCGGGAATTGTGGTTTTACCTGGTCTGATGAGGTGCACAAATATACGTCTATGCGAGATGCGAAGTTCCACTAGTCAGTCCCCCAAACCCGGTCTGGTCCACACTGTCAGAACGTACACTCGATCTGGCGGGCACCGCTCAATACGCTGTCAATCAACATCTCGGAAGGATTGCACAAATACAAGGATGCTGACCCGTTCTCATCCTCACTTTTGAGATCCACGCCGCCTCCCTTGATAAGTCGTGCACTTGTACATTTCGATTTAGTACGCATGAACGTACGAAGTTGCCTTTCTAACCTGGAGACTGTTACGTGTGTGACTTACAGCTCGTGCTGGTACCACAGCAGTTCCACAACGTGTCGAAAACGAGCAGCATTGTTCGTACGACGACCATACCACTGGCTTCGATATCTCGAGTTGGCCAAAGTTGCTTCTGAGACGACGACAAGCCCGCTCTTGTGTTGACATTCATATGCTACTCCTCGTGGCTGTAGTCGGTCACTAGCACATCATTGTCGATCTCGATTCACAACATTGCTATCCTGGACGTGGGCCCGGTCTCTGCCTATAGGATTAGTGTCCGTCCCAAAGGATTCGATTCTCTAGACAATACTGGTCGACTAGACCTTGCTAGCTTCCGGAAGTAAGGAGCAGCAGTCAGCTCCAAGATGGCACGATTTGGTAGCAGCAACGCTCGTGAAGGTCAAGCTACATGCGAACCAGGGCCACCGGCACGGATCAAGATTGAGGTATGGAATGTTACAACTCGGTGACTAGCAGCTAGTCCAACTAATTCGAGAGTAGCGAGGGACGGAGACTGCTTTGACAAAGCACGACGGCACCCAGACTCTAGCTGCGTTTGTGATTACCCATGACGGCCATGTTCGTCTTCATAAGTCGAACGAGATGAAAAGCGGTACCGCCATCAAGCTACTGTCCACGGTATTCATGCACGCGTGTGGTTCCAATCACGAGAGAGCTGAAGCACGACCCAGCCTTATATGTACGAGCAAGATCTGATCGCATTGTCTTCTTGGCTGATCAGTGCGTAGGTCCCGCAACGGCAGAATCGTCAGACCACACGATAAGTGGACGTGATAATCTCCTGGACGTTGACAATGCTGTCCGAAGATCGACATCCGAGGGCGAACAGAGCTCAGGATGGAGAGGCCGATCGATCCGACGACCAATGCGTGACCGTACTCCATTGATTGACTTCTACGATGGCTATTTTCCGGATCACGAGATGGGTGTCAATCCAAGCATAAAGGAGGAAGCACAGAGCATGAACAATACGACGATTCCGGCGGATTCTGCAGCGCAGCACTTCAATATCACAGAGCCCGAAAAAGTCAAGGCGTATCTGTACAATCGTTTCGAGAAGCTGCAGCAGTTGTCCGCTAAGCGTGTTGCAAAAGCCTGGATCAAGGGCATATGCCCGCGAAAGCAAGCCAACTTCCCATATCAGAATAAGCAGAAGACCGACGAGTCTGGTGGACCAGATATACCGGCATGGTGGCCCGATCAATCTATCTGTCCATGGAAAGAGCCCGATCATATTCGCAAGGAAGGTATGTCGACCCGAGTATGATGCCCTTTTCCCAACGTCGTCCTGACTCCCAACACTAGAACGCAACGAGCTCCTCATTCATATCCTCAGATTGCGACCAACGCCCGCTAAACTCCTCATCATGAACCGTGACAAGTGTGAACCATTAGAGAATCAAGTCTTCGAATCATGGGCGGCCTTCTTACGGTCGCTCGCTCCGCTTACTTGTTGCAATGATCTAAAGCCAAATGACAAATCGACAAAGACGAAGCGGAACAACCTCCTAAGAGAGATATACGATGTTGCTGAGAAGGAGGAGAACTTTCTCGAGGGCAGTGGTAAGTCGCACGAACCCCCAAGCTAAAGAGGATACCTGATTGAGCACAGGTCCTCCTTCAGTCATTTACTGGCAAGATGAGCAATTGACGAAGACTGTCTCTCGCAAGTCCAAGAAGCGTGCCATCTCGATCGCGTCATCCAGCGGCACTGAGGATCAGATCAGCGCTCCGCGCCAGTCGTCCGTGAATCGTGGCCGCCGTGCTATGAAGCGTCGACGGTGTCGATCGGTGGTGCAAAGCCCTGAACTTGTGCCACGTCTGCAAGTCCGTCAATCATCTCTGAATCCAGTCAAGGAGCAGAACATATCCGACATCGATCTGTCCTCTCCAGAAGTTGATACTGCAATGCTCAACGACCGCGCTGCAGCTCCGACCAAGCCTGTCGCGGCAGAGGATGCGAAGTCATGTGTCTTCGAGCACCTTGCACCACTTTCAGTACCTCGCACAGAAGTTACCCACGCGGCATCCGGATCATGGCAACCTGCCCACCATGACAGCGCCATGCAGAACTGGCAGACCATGATCGCCTCTCCCGATACATCCTTCAACTCGTCGACCTTTGCCGCTGAGTCTCCGACCAGTTTCCGAGCGTTCGACAACGGCACGCTGCAACAGCAATACACGGATCGTCATGAACACCGCTACGCTCGCCACCAAAACCAATACTTTTCCCATCCTCACGCTGTTCATATTTACCAAGCTCAGCATATTCCACAACCACAATTTGAAATAGTACCTAATACACCAAAGAGTCCTCGCAGCGGCCTACTTTGGCCTAACTACGACCTACCAGCCGTCGCGCAGTGTCTCGATACTCCGATGACAGACACTTCTTTTGCGTACGCCCAGATCCCGAGCGCACCAACTCCAGCGCCAGCGCACTTCTTTCACTCCACAGACCATCGTCGACAGTCTCGGGCACCAACAACACACTACACTCCAGTACAACAGCAATATCAGCTCGTCGCACCCGCAGATCTTCATCAGCAGACGAACAACATGCATGGCCTACCCGATCCTGCTTTCGTGTATGCCGGACACTCTGCCGCCGTTCCAGACTCACCTTATCCTCACGTCCTTGACCACCATCACGCCGCACCACAATGGCTGGCAGAATCTCATCTCGAACGCGGGTTCACTGGGCATAGCTCAGGCGTTGGTGGGGGCCAGCCAACCTAAGTCTCACGCTTCCTCTCGGTCTGTCTGGGCTGGCTTTTTCTTTCCTCGCGTTTCGGCCTGTAATCCTGGCAGGTATTCTGTTTCCGTACATTCGACTTTCATGACCATACTGAGCGACCACGCATTGGTATCAGAATCAGCATCATTTTGGCTTTTTCTGCATCTACTGCACTGCATTGCGATGTGGCATCAAAGCGTTCAAGCACAAATTGCATGATGCCCATGGCTCGACATACGACCTTTACGACCTTTTGCTACATATACGTACGGCATCTGCACATATTTCGGTTACTGTATTGAGCGACGAGTCATGATGAGCATGGAATAATGGTATGCAGGCGGATTCTGCAGAGACGAGACGGTAGATGGATGACATTACAAAGTACATAGACGGAATATAACATATGTGTACTTGAATTGTGATTCATAACAGGCATGTGGGATGTGTAGTGGCTTGGTAGGCTCTGGGCAGCAAGTGAATGCTCAACCTTTTCGAAGTCCATCATGCCAGATGTGGAAGTCACGAAGCGGAGCTCGGTCCGGCAAATCCCACTAACGTCAGCCACTGCTCGGCCCGAAGCGCTAGCCGTCGAGTCGGGTTTCTCGAAGCGGCTGGTGACGGGAATGGGTTTGAACAAAGCGACATCAGTAACGAATCCGACTCTCTTTGGTACCTCGACACCACTTTCTGGATCTTCCCATATGACGACCGAAGCGCTTGTGTACCGATGGGACGACCATGTCGTCAGCACGCGGCAGAGGAACTGTAGAGCAAGGTAGAGGACGAGGAACAGCGCGAGGCACGTCGACAACGCGTGGAGGAGGAGGCTCCAAAGGAAGTGCATCGCGTGGCAGGGTGACGGGTCGACGGACTTTTGGAAGCCCTTCCCGTGGTGATGCGACAGCTCCAGCTCGAGGAAGTTTTGCTGCGGGATCATCTCTGGCCAACACTTCAAATGGCTTTCCTTTCGGCAAGCAGAGTCAACAACCGGGCGCATTCGGCGGAGCACAGTCAAAAGGCAATTGGGCGCAGCGATATGAGCAGGTAAGTCACGCCCAACGACATCGCTGCTGACGCGACCTAAATAGTGACACGATACAGCTCGAGACGTCTCGTGAACAGGAACGGGCGCAAGCCATACGCCAGGGCCTCATTGCCGACCCGAACAAGCCTCGATCGTTGGCCGATGCCATTACACCTGTTGGAACATGCCAGGGGATGTGCGCGGAGTTTGAGAGAGTGCAAAGGGTTGTTCAGAACGACGTTTGGGCGGAAGAGACAGATCAGAACCGGACGGCGTATAGCATCGGAAATGCTCAGCCGGATGAAGTACGCTTTGTCAAGAAGTTTCGCAGAGCAGCAGCTGGTTTGGAGGAGCAATTGCCGTCGGATCTGCGACCACCCGCGATTCTCAAGAAGACATGCGACTACCTGTTCGACGAAGTAATTGGACAAGCACCGGCACTGGAGAAGGTGCACCATTTTGTTTGGGATCGAACACGGGCGATCAGAAATGACTTCTCGATACAACAAGTCACCAGAGCCGAGGATCTGAGCATTGCAATTGAATGTTACGAGCGGATCGCACGGTTCCATATCGTCTCTCTTCACCAGCTGGCTGTGCACCCACGGCCATACGATAAGTACGATGCGCAACAGGAGCGCGAGCAGCTGGACCGGACGCTTTTATCCCTGATGCAATATTACGACGACAGCCGTGGTCGGGTTAGCTTACCAAACGAAGCTGAATTCCGAGCATACTGCGTGATCTTCCAGCTGCAGGACCCTATTCCAGATATGGAAGATCGTGCGCAGAGCTGGCCGAGACAGATCATGATGGATAACCGAGTTCGAGTAGCGCTGGAGCTCTACGCAGCTGCGTGTAACACCATGGATGCGCAGGGACCGCTGAAGCCACGAGCGAACCATCTGATCGCACAGCAAGATTTCCAACGCTTCTGGAGTATTGTAGAATCCAAGAAAACATCATATCTCATGGCGTGTGTGGCGGAGATCTACTTCAACCTTGTGCGGCGCACCACGCTCGAAGCGCTTTACAGGGGTTTCCGACAGAGTCCGAACAGATCTACGGAGGATTGGACTGCTGAGGCACTACGCGATCTCCTCGCTTTCGACGATGTCGATCAGGTCTTTACGTTCAGCCAGGCCTACGGATTCTCGTTTGGCAAGCGTGCAGATGGAAACCAGTACATCGATCTGGTTTCTGTCAGAGGCGAGATGCCACAGCCCAATGTTGGACTGCCGAAGCAATGGAGAAGTGAAATGGTGGAGATGAAGAGATTCGGGAGGACATTACCTGCCACTATCAGTGGTATGACGGTGAAGCAGGCGCGGGAAGCAGGTTTGATGCATGCTGAAGAAAATGAAGACGAAATGGAAGATGTGGATGGGATGATGGACGGGACCGAGCAGGAAGCGGCGGGGCCTGATCTTGATGACGGCGAAGGTCTTTTCGTTCCGGAAGTGGCCCCGCAACAAGAGCAGAAGAAGCCTACGACGTTTGATCAACTCGTGTCGAATTGCGTCGTGCAGACTTCAGCTGCCACGGCTCCCACAAGTACAGCCAAGACCACCGATAACAGTGGATGGAGTTTTGGTAAGCCATCGACTAATATCACGGGTCCGAGCAATGCGACCTCGAGTGGTCCACCTGGAAAGCTCTTCGACTTCACCGCGGCAAAAGCGGCGGCACTAGCTGTTGCTCCCACTGCCCCAGCAAGCACGCCTTTGCCAGCCTTCAAGCCTTCACCCTTTCAAGGAAGCACATTCAACTTCGCGTCGGCTGCACAACCAGCCCGCCAGACCTCGCCAGCCTTCAATGGGGCACAAAGTGTCTTCGATATGCCGGCTGCAACTGCGCCGATGCCGGTGTTCAATTTTACAGGCGCTCCCACGTCACACGGCAATGGCACTGATTTGCCAGCGGTGCCAGCGCTTTTTCAGAATCTACCTCAGTCAACAGTGGAGTCGCCACCAAGTTCGCCGGACGAGGCATCTTCCATTTCCGCTCAGCCACCTAATTTGGCAAGCGCGACCTTCGTACCCGATCACGCGCCAGCGAGCGAGCCGAAGATCGTGCAACCTTCACAACCCGCGTTAACGACTTCGCCGAAAGACAAGAAAGCTTCACCAGCTTCACCAGCTTCACCAGCTGTGCACGAGACACCTTCCATTTCCATCGAGCGGCGTGCTTCTATCAACCACCAACACAAACCACGTGTGCCAAGTCCGCTCCGAAAGGGGTCAAGCTTCGAGGACTTTCGAAGCGCAGGCAACACTACTGTTTCACAACCAACGGCCGCTGACATCTTCGATCGGCTCGCTAGAGAAATACTCGAGGACTCGACATCTGGCTTCTTGAGACAGTATCTTGAATATACTGTTTCACAAACAGTCGCGCAAACACAGGCGCAAGTCCACCGCGAGCTGGTCAACAAAGAGGCTGACGACTTCCGCCGATATATCCTTGAACGTCGGTACGGGAGGAGGTGGCGCGAGGCCCTGTGGCGAAGGAAGTCAACACTACGCGCACACGCGCGACGACAGAGAGCAAGGAGAGGTTTGGAGGACTTAAGGAGCGACAAGGTTTCTGATATGGGTAGTACAATGAGTCGCAGTCGTGCAAGCACGATGGACGACGCGCCAACTCGACCCGAGAGAGTCGACAAGATATTCCAGCAGACTGTGCTTGATGAAATACGGCCGTCACAGCATCTTTTGAAATCCCATGCAGCAGCCGGCAATAAGCGATCTTTGTCTTCACTGGCAAAGGACGCTCCCCCCATCAACGGCTTCTCGCACAAACGTCAGAAGAGTGTAAGCCAAGTAAACGGCGCGAACAGCTTACACCAGCTTGACCACAACAGTGCACAGGCTGATCTGTTGAGACGTTCGGCATACCTGGCAGGTTCTCCTCCCGGCCAAGAGCGGCAGCAAAGCACGACACAAACGAATTACTTCCGACTCAAGGCTATGGGCATTGATCCTGTGGCGAAGATGAACGAGGCAGAACGTGGAAGGAAGCGGAGGAGATCTGACTCGGTTGAGAATGCATCAAAGACACCATCGGACAGTAATGGGCGTTCCCCAATTCTGAGCCTGACGGCCAAAGCATCAGCGCCAAAGTCCCTGATGCTACCGCCACCTACGACAAGCGCAAAGAAGGACGACAGCGACGATGCACTTTTCGCACGACTCAAAGCGGCCAGGGAGGCGCTTGCAGAGAGTGGGTCGATCGTGAAGGATATTGTGGCAAAGGAGCAGGAGATGCAAAAGAGTCTAGATGCTTCGAGGTCCTCCAACGACTCTCCCTCAATGATGAAAGCGCGAGCTGAAGCAAGGTGGCGTGCGTCAAGACCTGGCTCTGTCGTACCTACACCAGAGCTACATGGAGACGTGCCAGCTTATCGACTAAGGGAGAGCAGATTCGTGCCACGTGAACAGTACGGCAAGGCCATCGAGCGCTCCAAGGTCTTTCGCGAGTCACGGTCGTGCGAGATTAGCAGGCCCGAGTCTCGTTTCGATGATACCACGTTCGATCAGTCTGTCAGCGACTTCGTCAAGCCAGTCTCGCACAGCTTTGCGCCTGCTACTTCCTACAACTTCGACAGCCCGGCACAGAATGGTCAGCAAGCCAATGGCCTGGCATATCCGGACTTGCCGAAGTGGGAGCCTCCAGCACCCCTCACGCAGCCAAGCAGTTTCGCTCCTGCTTTGTCACAAACCACCTGGAATTTTGGTTCGAACGATAAGCCGCTTGAGCCTTCAACATGGGATCCCGCCATGTTGACACAGGAGAAAGTGGCACACATCTCCGACCCAGCACTGTACAACCCGCCCGTTGATGCTGATCCATTCGCACCAGCTGAAAATGGGTTCGTCGATCAAATCCGGGACAGTGCAGGTTTCTGGCCAAACGAGATACAGCATCAGACCATTCCGCCGTCGCAGATCGAGGAGACGCTCGCAAGGTCGTTCGGTCATTACCAGGAAACGCAGCCAGATCCCTACTTCGATGCTGCCGGACCTAGTCCGCCTCAAGATGCACGCAGTCAGTATGCTAAATCGCGATCCGCTTCCCAGGTCATCTCGCTTCTTTCAGATGACGAGGAAGAAGAGGAGCAGCAGGCTTCTGCTCCCGCCGGGTATGCGCCAATGATCGCTCAGCTAGCCACGACCAATGGTGGAGCGCGCGAGCCTGAGGACGGCGATGGCACGTTTGGGTATGGCAGATTCGAGAACCACAACGCCGAGGTTCCTGATTCGTATCAGTATACTCAACATCAGACTCAGTACTCAAACAATCCTTATGCTGTACTGGCAGGTGAGTATAGAGGTGACACTGAGGACGATGGAGAGGTGAATCTTGAGGACGAAGAGGAATTGGAGGAAGAGGACACGGATGTTGACGCGGCTCCTGCCACGAATGGCCATCGTTTTCGAAGCGAGAATGCTGATGATGACGAAGAGGGTGACATTGGAGATACAGAGGAAGACTATGATGAGGAAGAAGAGTACGATGATGAAGAGGAGGGCCAAGGTGGGCCAGTCAGAACTTTCAGGAGTCACCATCGTGCAGATGAGGAGGGAGAGGAGGAGGGGTTCGACAGTGACGACTATGATGAAGAAGACGAGGAAGAAGATGAGGAGCCTCGTGGTGTATTTCCTAACGCGGGCAGGTGGCCAGCACAGAGCGCCAAGGATCCGGCTCTGCAGATGGTGGGCAACACGGAGGAGGAAGCGATCGAGCTTAGTGATTAGTTCTCGCTGGTGGAGCTTGTGATAGTATGATATGGCATGGAAAGCAGAGCGAAAGCATTCTCGGGAGCATCGACGCTACGGGTATATGGATATAGCTATCGAGGCACATCACATGGTGCCCTGCAATATGATACTCCTGGAAAGCGTTCAAGATAAATATCAAAATCTCTTTCAGATGTCCGTAAACGCCGTTGGCACGTGCACGATGACGAAATATTGAAAGATCACAAGAAGGCATCTCCGAGACACTTTCGACCTCTCCTTACGTGAGCGCTTGTAGATTCCATAATAGCGCTCTCGATAGACTAAGACTAATTCTTCACTAGACGGGAAGATGGCGGACGCAGCGAGACCGTCGACGCCACCGCGCACCTCAGCACCCAAAGCCACAGACATGACACCGGAGCAGGTCAGGCGCATGGAAGAATCACGACTAAAAGCCAAAGCCATACGACAGCAGCAACAAGTAGCAGAGGGTCGCAAGACAGCAGAAAATGCATCCGGCTACCCCGTCACCTCCACAGCCGGCCAGAAACGAGCGCACTCGTCCATCACCTCCTCCCGCGATGCGCCACCCACTAAGCGCGATGCCCGCAAAGACTCAGACAAGTCGAGAGGCATCGATGGCCTGTCAGGTGACACCGATATCCGCGTCGCGAGGAAATTCCAGAAGTATGTCGAGTACGACTTTAGCAAGATGACCGATACGAAGGGAGGTTTCATGACACACGAAGATGATCCGTTCAATAAAGCACTACACGCGCCTGATGCAGCGGATAAACCGGCAAATATGACGTTGAAGGAGTGGGAACGGCAGCAATTACAGAAACGGCTAAGGGAGCGGAGGGAAGGACCGTATGAGCCTGGATTGTCGGTCCTGGACAAGAGGGAGATCACGAAGAAGTGTCAGGATTGTGGGAGTCTGGAGATAGATTGGCAGTGGGATGAATTGCTGAAATGCCAAGTCTGCCATACCTGTAAAGAAAAGTTGCCGGAGAAGTATTCGCTCCTTACCAAGACGGAAGCGAAGGAGGACTACCTCCTGACGGACCCGGAGTTGAGGGATGAGAGTTTGTTACCGCATCTGGAGAAGCCGAATCCGCATAAAAGCACCTGGAATAATATGATGCTCTACCTCCGCTTCCAAGTTGAGGCCTATGCTTTCTCCAAGAAGAAGTGGGGTAGCGCAGCAGCATTAGACGAAGAGTTTGAGCGCAGGCAGAAGGAGGGGAAGGATAGAAAGGAGAAGAAGTTTCGGAATAAACTCGAGGAGTTGAAGAAGAGGACGAGAGTGGAGGCGTATAAGCGGGGGAGGAAAGGTGGTGGTGGCGAGTTCGGAGATGTTATTGGTGGTGGGAGACATGTTCATGAGTGGGGTAGGCAGGTGGAGGATCCGGAGACCGGGATGCTGAGGCGACGGTGCGCGGAATGTGGGATGGAGGTTGAGGAGATGGAGTTGTGATGATGGATGATGACGGATGATAATATTATGATACCCCCGTGTACGACGACTAACGTTTGAACAATACACTCATGAATGCAAATGAGATGGCACAAGATGCTTGATTGACAATTCACCTGCTCTACTTCACGCCTAACACTTCAACCACTTTTTCGGTCACAGCAACTATCTTCTCCTCCTCCAGCCTCTTCCCCACCAACTGCAATGAAACCGGCATCCCATGAACATCGCCGGCAACGTAGTCCTTAAACACCACCTCATCCCCCTCCCCAAACGCCGTGAAATCCTGAGCATAAACATCCTTCTCCTTATCCGCCACAACCCCAGTCGGGAAAGTCGTCGCAGATAAGTCGAGGATGTTATACACACCCGTATAACTCACACTCCTGAACTCCCCATTCTTCGGCGCCGCATAAGGCGTCGTAGGCGTCAGTATAGCATCGAGGCCTTCACACGCCACCATTCGGTCTAGGTAGCGTTTTGCCAGTGCCGTCCGCTGCTTTTGGAGCTGCCAGAGTTCATGGACGCCTAGTTCGGTCGCGGTGCCGTAGGCGGCCATTTCTGTTTGCAATGGCTCACCAGATTGTTCTAGGACGGATTTTATGCTCTTGCCGCCGTCGGCTAGGAAGAATTTTCCCATGAGTATCATGGCTTCTGCGTGGTCTGTCGCTGGCCAGTCAAGGATCTCGTGGCCGGCTGCCTTCAGTTTCTCGACTGTGTGTTGTAGCGCTCGTGTGACGGGCGGGGTTGGGTGCACGATGCCATTATCCCAGAGTACCGCTATCTTCAGCTTGTGGTTCAGTGTTATGAGCTGGTAGGGTAGTGGTATACACTTCGGGTCCTTAAGCCAAGGCTTTGCACCCACGACACTTTCAATCCAGAGTTTCACATCCCCTATACTCCTCGCCATGGGCCCGTGAACAGACGCCACGGCTTCCTGCCCACCCATCCCAGTCCTAGCATCGAAATGCGGGAATCGTCCATACGAAGGCCGGATTGTAAAGATCCCTGTACATGCCGCTGGAATCCGCAACGATCCACCGATGTCTGTTCCCACACCTAGGGGACTTCCTTTCATTGCGATTAAGGCTGACTCGCCTCCTGAACTGCCGCCGGAGGTCAAGTTGCGGTTTAGTGGGTTCACTGTCCGACCGTAGACATTGTTGACTGATTCTGCTATCATCATTGCAGTAGGGACGTTCGTCTTCACGTACGCCACTGCGCCAAGATCCCGGAGGACGGACACGATGGTACTTTCTTCCTTTACTGGATCAAGAGCCCAGGCGCAGAAACCTACGCTGCTGGGGTAGCCGGGGATGTTGAAGTTGTCCTTTAGACTCACAGGTAGGCCGTGCAGTGGTCCTGTTGTCGTTCCGGTCCGTGAGAAGTGATCATCTAGTGCTTTGGCTCGTTTGATGGCGTCGTCGAACATGATCACAGTCAAGCAGTTGGTGAGTTGATGAGCGATTGCTGCTCGCTTACAGAAGGCTGTTGTGACTTCCACGGCCGTCCATTCGCCTGCTGCTATTGCGCCGACGATTTCTGTGGCATAGCTTGAGGTGATTTTAAGTTCTTGGTCGGAGAGGAGGCCGCTTTTGGCTGGGAAGTCGGTAATGTCTAGTTGGGTGTCTGATGGGAGTTTGCCTGGTACAATCCGCCATTCGGAGGGTATGGAGTTGCGGAGTTTGGTTTGGGCTTTTGCGGATATGTCTGTCCAGTCTTGTTCGATTCTGGGGAGCTCGGTGCCGGCCATGATGAGCAGCTAGAAGAGTTTCGACGGCCGAAAGCGGAAGGAGCAAGATGTAAGGCGGAGATATGATCACGGCCTGGAGCGAAAGTGCAAACCTCGACTGGCAAGTAAGGAAATCCCTCTCCTAGTAAAGGACAGCCGTCAAACTCTTGATAGCAGAGACGAGGTGGATAGATCGGCGTTCAGTCGCGTGAGGGGCAGCATTATGCCGAGCTCGTATCATTACTATTGCACCTTATCTTGCCTGACTCGCCTTGGGAGCGACATTAAGCTCTCTGTACATTTTGAAGCATCTGCCCAGATATGCTGTACGAGCTAATCTATTGTTCCAGCTGATGTATGTCGTGATGCTAGGACTCATCGTCGAGACTCGCTGTTCTGACGAACTATCCTTACGTCATCAGTATGTGGTAGTCAATGGCAAGAACTTCACAATCTCGGAAGGTCAACTAGTATCTGCTCTTCTTTCGCTTTCTTCACTTCTGTGTTAATCGTTCACATCTTTGCCGCTTCGCCTTGGCAGGAAATTCATCATGTCAAGCACGGGCAAGAAGTATGCCTACACCACACTCATCACTCGGGCCTCATATCTGGGAGGTGTGATAATACTGGCTCACACTCTGAAGAAACAAGGCTCGAGGTATCCCTTGATTGTCTACTACACAACGAACATGAGAACAGAGGCCATCAAAGCTCTCGAGCTCGAAGCACCAAAACTCAACCTCATTCTCAGACCATGCGAACTTCTGCTCCCAGCGGCGAATATAAAAGTCACATTGATAGCGGAACGTTTTGGCGACACCTGGACCAAGCTACGAGTGTTCGAGGATCTTTACTCATACGACGCTGTCTGCTACCTGGATGCCGACATGGCGATCTTCCGGAATATGGACGAAGTCTTCTGCGATGTCGATTCTCTACCTTCGGATCATATTGCAGCAAATCACGCCTGTGTCTGCAATCTCGACAATGATCCGTGGGCGCCAGAAGACTGGAATGTCGAGAACTGCGCATACTCGCCACTCTCACATCCAGGAGCCTTGACAAAGCCAACGCAGCAGACGCCCGAAAGCAGAGGAACATATCACCTTCTGAACTCCGGCATGTTCCTCTATCATCCTAGCAAGGAGCTTTGGGAGCGGATGCTGCACTTCTTCAATACCTCAGATAAGCTCTCCACGTACAAGTTTCCCGACCAGGACTTTCTCGCGGACTTCTTCAAGAATAAATGGCGAGCTCTCGGATATCAGTATAATGCACTGAAGACCATGCGATATATTCACGCCAACATCTGGCGGGACGATGAAGTCGTGTGCCTGCATTACATCGTCGACAAGCCATGGGTGACTCGCGTTAGTGCGGACGGAACAGCGGGCTTTAAGGGCAAGGATGGAGAGACGCACACTTGGTGGTGGAACAATTACGCTCAGTGGCAGCGGGAGCGGGAGTCGAGTGGCGACCAGGAGATAGTGAAGATCATGAAGCAACATGTGGCGCAGGAGGATGGCAGCCAAAATGACGATCCTGATATGAGGGCTATCGGTACTGGTGTGCAGGCTTTCGCCAACAACAAGTCGGACGAGGAGGACAAAGCGCCAAGCTCGAACGACGCCAAGGGCAGCGATAATAAATCCATGCCAAGCAATGGCAACCCTTTCGAAAAGAAGGCGTTAGGCGAGCGTGGGCACGGCCCAGTCTCACATGGCAGTGGGAAAATGGTACTATGACATTGTCCTCGGTGCGTAGCGAGAAGGACGTGAAGGACGGGCAAGGGCCAGGGGTCAGCAGATAAGAAAAATCAGTTCTGGCTTGCCGCTAAGGCCGCCATTCGCGCTATGGGGTATCTATGATCAAAAACCTCAGGTGTCCCCAAGAACGCCATGCTCGTTCTGATACCCACATGTACATGCTTCTCGTCTGAAACCGTGTGGCCCCCCTCTTGCAAGCTTTCTCAAGCAAAACAAGTCTAAATGCATCACATAGTCCGACTACCAGGCGGGTATAAAGGCTTGAAATTCTGAGGAATGTGTCCATTCGGTGTAGTGGATAATGCACTTGGCATGGACGTGGCAGAAGGTGGCCTCGTGGCAAAGCTTGATGCTGTGCCATTGAATATTGGCTGCTGATGTGACGTACTCGGCGTGACGGGCAAAGTGGGCCGCAAAGGCTGTGTTGTCGAAGGAGGTCCCATACCACCGTAAGCTGGTCCGCCCACTGGAGTAGCAGTGCTGGGGTAAGCGGCTTGTAATTGCAGCCTAGCACGGTCCTTGAGCCTGCCTTGCTTCAGTTCCTCATCTACCTCCTTCTGCTCTTCCGCGTTAAGTGGCTCGTCCCCAGCGTCTGCTTGCAAAGTCTCCATGGTCTGAACGCTTCGTATGTGCAAGTCCTTGCCCTGACTTTGCCTTATCAGCAACTTATCGAGCACAAGCGGGTCTTTGCCAATCAAGTCGCCAACGTCATCTTGCTGCACTGGCGTCGGCTCGTACAGATATTCGCGGGTGTTCTTGGTCGCATTGCGGCGCGGATTCTTCTTGTCCACCACGCGCTGTGCAAGCGAAGTCTTGAACTGCTGCTTGTTGTATATATTGGTCTCGAAAGTGCCGCCGGCAACAAAGCGGTAGACAAACACAGGCTTCGTCTGACCAAGGCGATAGGCACGACCGATAGCCTGTTCTTCCCAAGTAGGGTTGAAGCTGAAGTCAAGAATGACGACGCGATTGGCGCTTTGGATATTGAGACCGACGCCACCTGCGCGCGTCGATACGATCAAGACATCGAACATGCCCTCGTCGAGGTTCTTGATCGCGCTCATCCGCTTTGCAGATGCTATCTGTCCATCAATCCGACCATAGCGAACGCTGCGATCGTTGAATAGATCACAAACATAATTGATAGTCGGAATACTGCCGGAAAAGATGAGCAGCTTGTCATCGCAGAGTCGAGAGCTGTTGACAATCTCCAGCAGAGATTCCATCTTCGGTGACAGTTTTGGGTCTATGTCCTGCTCGAAACCTGCAACAATAGTGTCGATCATTTTCTGTGTGAAACCAAGCGTAAAGAGGTCTTCCTCGCCGGGATCTCCCATAGCTTCGGCTTCCATCACTTGTTCAAGGGTGGCGTCCTCCAGGGCACTGGTTGCCATGGTGCCAGCAGAAGCGTCAGAGACTGCAGGTGAATCCTCGCGTAGCAGCTCAACAGGGTCCTTCTTCGACTTTCTTGCTTGCGTCGGCTTGGGCTGAAGCAATTTCCGCTGGAACGCAGCAGGATGGTTCGTGAGCAACATCAGTAGTCCAAGCCAGCTGAAGATGGTGACCTGGCTGGCACTTCTGTTGCGGTCTCCAGTGAGCAGAGCATGCACGCACCGCGAGTACAGCGTTCTCTGCGTGTGTGTCATCTCGATCGTGATCACATACTCCACTTTGGATTGAAGAGAGCCTTTCAAGGCTGTGATGTCAGCACGATCCACCTTTGGCCCAATATCCCTGTGTAGGACTGCCAGCTTCTTGATGCTCTTACGTCTCTCGTAGGCACTGCTGTCTTCGTACAAGCCGTCCTTGATGGGTTCACCATATTGCGCTCGAAACCATTGAGGCTCACCAAGGAAGTCCGGTGCCACCCACGATATCAGGGCATAGATCTCATCAACGTCGTTGCTCATTGGTGTCCCAGTGAGAGCAATACGTGACTGAGTCTTGATTGCACTTGGGCCAAGCGAGACCCCGGCTCGAGGATTCTTCATGTTGTGCGCCTCGTCCGCAACAACCAATTCGGGGCCCTGCAGCAAAATCTTGTCAAGCATCTCACCATCTTGCTTCTGACGTCTTTCGGTGTTCCGGTGAGTAAAGCCGCGGAACATCGCATATCCTATCAGGAGAACTCCACCAATCTGGTACCACTCCTCCAGGATCTCCATATTCCCTCCAGCCGTGCCGCTAGCCTCGATCCGGTGAATGTGACCTAATTTGTTGAGTGGTGCCCATTTTTGGATCTCTCTATACCAATTCTCGACCAAGGTAGGTGGACAAAGGATGAGTATGCGGAGTGTACGTTCGTCGCGTGCAGCTTTCGGTATCAGGGTACGGGGCAACTGCTTACGAATACCCTTGTCCCTGGACTCGCAAGTCTCGACCACAGCGACGAGCAGCGCGATGGTCTGCATGGTCTTCCCAAGACCCATGGTGTGAGCCAGCAAACATCCTTGAGGTCCGTCGTCATCGCCTTTAGCAGTAATCTCTCGCCACAAGAAGCGCACACCTTTGATCTGATGATCCTTCATCATTCGTGCGAGGCTTGCATGAATATAGATGGGCTGCTTGCCTTCCGCGACCTGGGCGAGGTTGAAAACAATTTCGGTCTTCACGGAATCGGTAGGATCCAGAGATGCCAGCTGTGAAGACCCTTGAGCCTGTGTCTCCATCACTCGGTCGAATTTCTCCTGACGTGCGTGAGCGTCGGTCCTAGTCTTCTTCACCGCTTGGCTCTCCAGCATCTTTCTCTTGCGCCTCTTATGCGGAGTGTCCTTTGGGCCTTCTTCACTGTCGGATGCAAGATGCATCGTGCTGGGTGCTCTTGGTGCAGCACTGGTTTCGGTGCGTTGCGGCATCTCAAACAAAACACTCTTTATCTTTCGCAGCACCGTGGCAAGCATCTGTACGAACCGCTCGATCTGCTCTTTGTCGCGAATGATTTCGCTCCAAAGTTCAGCTTCGGGGTCACGCGATAGATATGCAATATCGCATCTATACCAGACTGCCAATACGCGAGCGCACCACAGCATGATATCGTCGAACCTGAGCAGGCTGCTTGCTTGGCCTTGAGCCTTCACAATGGCCTGCAACTCCTTATTGAACGCTGCCCTGTCCCTCATGAACGAACGATGTAGATCGTTACGCATGTCCGCGCCATTATCTTTCAAGACCTTGATGAGCAGGCGCATTCGATCGCTTCGTGCGTGCAACTCGTCGTACTCCCAAGCATCCACATCTGGAGCGACGGCGAATTCGCCATTACCATCATATTTGGGCTCGGTCTTCTTTGCAACAGTTTTGTTTGGGAGTCCTTTCTTGCGGCGTGACCGTGGAGTGGGACCAGAGTCTGACAAAAGCTCAATGGGCTGCGAAGAAAGGTGCCCACGACCATCAAATCGATCCTTGGACGGCGTTGCCAATTCTGGCTTCACCCTTTGAGAAACGAACGTGGATGGCGAAGGCAACTCGTCAGCCGAGGTCTGTCCTTGCATGGTAGAGTCCAAGTGTTTCGTGGCGCTCCGCTCGACAGAGCCTCGAGTCGAGGTCCGAGTAGTTACGGGCTGAGAAGATCTAGCAGAGCCTGCAATTGCTACTGGAGTCTCCGCTTCCGAAAGCCGCTGTATGAAATCAGGTGAAGATGGATCAAGCGCAGACATCTCGTCCGAAGCTTCAAAACCATCCTCTGGCAGCTGTGACGGTTCGACGAACGGACTGCCACTGGGTGTATGGAAATCCTCCACCTCTGCTTCCTCGTCAGTGTGGTGTCCCGCTGGTGTAGCTTCCTTTGAAATAGTTGGTGGCGCCACAACATGAGTTGCACGAGTAGGTGAGATGCTCAGCCTGTCGCCCTGATGCAACACAAAAGAGTTATTTGTAGACTTGGTCGTAGCCAGTGTCTGTTGCGCGTGGCCACTCGATGCATGCCTGTGGTGGATCACATGCTCTGGCTCTTTCTTCCTCTGCCACACCGAGATCTTCCACATCTCGTACTCACGGTCCTCGAGTGTCGGATCGAGCCTTGCACATTCACTTTTGAGAGCAGCTGAACTGGACCACTCTTCCCCGACAATGTCGCGCGTCAGATTCGTGAGTCGTAGACCTAGCCGCTTGATTTCCGTTTTAGCCGCCTCGATCATGATATCTCTGAGCGTTCGGCTTTGTTTCATCTGTCTCCACACAGTCCAAGCCTTGCCTTCCCACTGCCCTGTTTTCTTCTCTCGCCACTGTGCCGCATATGCTGTCATGTAATCTTCGACCAAAGTGGAACTCTGGTTCGCCTTGACCGCAGCATAGGTATCGGCATCCTCATGAGCTTCTTCATCCTCGTTGATAGAAGAATTTGTCGCAGTGATCTTTAACTCAGCTTCCGACTGTCCTAACACTGGCAACTCCTGATCTTCGCTACCTTGCTTATACTTGTCCACGAGGAAGTCCCATTCGCCCGTGGATTCCTGCTCGCCGCCTCCGTACTGGTAGTCAGTCCGCAGTAGATCAGCCTTTTCGCGTGTGGCGACAAAATTGTCTGTAGAGCCAGCTTGGATGACAAGCGCAGACCGTGCTTTGCTCTTGTGATATTGGTCAGGATAAGGTAGGAAAGCAACTGCATCCTGCCCGAAACGTTGCAGGTTGATCCCTCTTTCGTCGGTCACTTGGTTGAATAAGTATGTCAAGCGTCGCGAAACATACTCAGCCTCACCAGGGTGCTGAGTAGCTGGTCTTGAAAAGTGAAACTCTTTGGTCTCGCCCGTGCTCTCAAGGGTGTGGACCATGATATTGCCTGCTGGCGGGACGGTCAGCACTTCGTGACCGAGGGTGGTAGAGCCAAAGAAGATTTCATCGACCGGCAATGCCGCATCGGGTAGATGAGAAGTGTGATCAAGTTCCAGCTTCGAAGGTGCAAGCATCGATTTCGTAAGATCCAGCTTACGCCGCTTCCGACCACGGGTATCCTGAACCTCGACCTCATTTTCGCGAACGTGATGTCCGACTGGCATGTCCTGATCAAAGTCCATCAGCAGTTGTGCATCTGCCGGTGGAAGTACTGCCGCGTCGGAGAACGAGGGTGCGCCAGGAAGCGAGGCCGGTGTGCCTGGAGCTTCGCTGAGCCCACGCCCACGGTAGCTGAGGGATACGCTGCGAAGCTTGTAGATGCAGTGCATGATAGCGCCACGGTCGCGAAGCGAGCGGATACCGAGGTCATCTCGCAGTGTGGTTGACTCGACAGCGTCCAGCAGTGAGGCACCATCAACCTCGTTGTCGGCTAAAGACTGAAGGAAGGTGGGCATCGGTGGTAGGTACGAATTCCGATCACGAACATAACGCGCAGCATCTTGTCGAAAGAATTGTTGCACGTCGGAGATGCTCCATCTCCATGGATCAGAATCCATGATGGCAGGAGCCACGCTCGTGGAAGTGGCCGGTCTTCTTTCGCAAGATGTGTTGTTTGTTTTCAAAAGATTCAATTGTGCAGGCACCAGCTTGAACTTCTAGTGGGGCACGAAACGCACAGGGGTGCACGGACCGAGAGTCATGTGACGAAAGGTCGTCGAAGACGGACGGACAGGAATACGCTGTCTCTCGCTGCTGGCTCGTGAAGATTGTGTGTCGATTCCTACGCGCTAGCCACGCTCGAACAACCCTGAATGCCGTGCGAATCACCAAACATCCGTGAGGCCAGTCTAGTAATGCCGATCACGTCTCCTGTGCGGGCACATGATACGCTCGACGTGGTAACGTGGAAGTGGTAGAGCTGCGAGCACGTACAACCGCCGTTTCTGAGCCTCGCAGAAGTTCCGCCAGAAGCCGATTGTCTTGACAGGCCGTAGGTCTAGGCTGCGGGGGCGAATACAGCAGAGAGTATAAGTGTACGCCGCAATACAGTATTGCCGCTTCCTCAGATGATTTATCTCGTCTCTTCAGCCGCTTGGACGCGGCAATGCCGTTGAGCTTCGAACCATGCATTGATCTTGAAACTCTCCGAAGCTACTAAGAATGCTTCGGCCGTGACGTCGCTATCGTCGCTGGCGGCGAGGATAAGGCTGGGAAGCTCTTCAAGGACAGATTATGGTCAGGCGCGCAAGGCGAGACGATCGTAGCAAACAGGCTTCCACCAGAGTGGTCGTTTGGCGAATTTGGTGTTCGTAGAGTATCGGCTCGTGGGTGAAAAGAACTGAGCGGTAAGTCGTGAGTGTCTTCCGTGAGCCAGTAGGAGCAGGGTCGTTAGGTCCAGTCGACAGTTTCAGTACAAGACGTCTCCGAGACCGTCAGACTATGCCATGCTGCCGCAGTGAGGTGTGAAGCTCGACATGGTCCGTGCGCGACCACCACTCACACGCGGCACGCTTGACTTGATAGTGTATGGAGTAATACATTGTGATCAATTTGGCATAGCATGTAATCTGCAATCGCTAATGATAGCATTATACCTACAGTACTAGAGTGAAAGCAGTCACTGCCACAAGGCCAATGAGCGTTCCCATACTTATCTTCGCCGCACTGCCCGTGTACGGCACTGGACCACTCCCACTTCCAGACGTGCCATTCGATGCACTACCACTACCACCATTGCCTCCAAGAGTGCTATTTCCAGTCGTCAACAGTGTCCAGTTTCCGCCAGGCACTCCGCTAGCCATGCCATTAACCAAAGGCACCATTGTACCATTGGCGCTTTTTAGGCTACCGCTGACACCAGACATCTTCACAGTCCCAGAAGTACCTGATGGCGTCTGGAAGCTGTACTGAACCGAGCCATTCCCGCTGCTGAACTTGGCGCCGAAAGTGCCAATGGCAGTAGTGAACCCTGCGTCGATGCTGGTCAAGTTGCCTGGCTGTGGCTGAACAAGCCAAGTCGTACTGTTGATCACATGTAGACCAGCAGCGTAGTTGGTCAGAGCAAGTAGAGGCCCAGTCGACCAGCCGTGGGCGTGGCTAATACGTGCATCGTCCTCGTAAGCTGGATAGTGAAGAGCACCAGAGACATCGTAGCCCTCGTTGAACGTGCTGTTGGTCATGCGAGGGTCATCAAGCATAAAGTCACCCCACATGTACTCCATCAATGCGATCGCGTACTCTGGTCGTCCAGCCAAGAAGTGAGCTTGGAGCTCGAAGCCACTGATAAATGGTGATACAGTCGTGCCAGCTTCAGGTGCTGGTGCGCCGTATGGACCCCATCGTGCGTGAAGATTTGTGGAGATAGTAGCCGCACGGCTTGCATTGGCAACACCAGAGAGTACAGCCCACGAGTTACCATCCTGAGGATGCAAGGTAGTCGTTTCATTGTCCTTGAACAGACCAGCGGCATCATCCCACAACAGCGTGTTGGCTGCCGAGACGATGTTGTCGTGGTACTTCTGCCAAGTCGGAATGAGAGCCGTGTCGTTAACTGCGTAAGCAAGGCTGATGGCAGTGGTGAGGGTGTATGCGAGAACAGAGTTGGCCTCGATATTGCGGGCGCCCATGCCAACTCGCAGCCAGTCGGCAGTGGCGTTCTCGCCTACGTACGCCAAGCCAGTTGAGTCGACAGACGAGAGGCTGTAATTGAGTCCAAACTGGAATCGGTACCAATTTTGCTGTAGGAACTCAAGATCTCCACTATAGATGTAGTAGTTGTTGAGCGCCAGGAGGTTGTAGAGGTGGTAGGTGAACGAGTAGACCTGCGAGATACCCTCGAAGAATGCACTGGCAGGGCGCTCGAAAGTCGGACTGGCAACGTAGTGGAGCTGTCCAGTGGAAGCATTCTGTTCAGAGAGAAGCTGTGCTACAGACAGCTTGAGTGTAGATTGGTCGTTCGTCGAGAGGAAGACCCCTGGCAACGAAATGGAGAAATCACCGGGCCAGATCAGCTTGTCACGCTTCGCACCGTCGACAAGAGCTTGTGAACCATTCGTAAGAGTGGAATTGGACCACCAGTATGTCTATATTCACGTCAGTACATATCATCTCTCGCCCACACGGCTTTACTTACTGTAGCATTGGTGTTGTTAGCCTCAAGGTCAACCAACGAGTTGCCCGAAGTGGATGGGATCGTGCAGAGTTGATCAGTATACGCTGCGGCGTACCAGACTCTGTTCAATATCTCGTCATTGCAATGGAAATAGCCAGTATAGTCACGCATAGCATCATCTGCATAGTGTGGCATGGCAGTAAAGTTCGTGGTGATCGAGCTCAAAGCCACGGATCCAGAGCTGTTATGGTTGACGTTGAGATATCTGAAACCACCTCGTTGATGGTCGTTGTCGAGTGTGTAATCACCAGTGGCATTGACAAGGTACCAGAGTGTCTCATCGATGCCGACGTTCTGTGTAGCATCGCTGCCATCAGGGCTGATCCAGAAGGACGACTCTGAGAATGAGATGCCGATGTAATTGCCAGTGCCGTTCACGGATGAGACGGTGAAGGACACCAGTCCACCAATGTTCTTGCCGTAGTCGTAAGTCACAGCAGAGCGACCAGCCAGAGCAGTGTTGCCATTTCCATTCTCTGTAAGACCAGAAGGATTGGTGACGGAGCCATTGGCTTGGTGGACAGAGACTGGTGTCAAGACACGCTGCGATGGGGCGAGAATGTATTCCGAATAAGGAGCTGCTGCAAAAGCCGAGCCTGCGAAAGCGAGAGCAGCCAAATAACTTGCAATCATATTGGTCTTGATTTAACGAGAACTGATACTCACGATGAAGAAAAGTCGGTTCTTATATTCCGCTGGTGGCAGGGCTAAACTCCTCGGACAGAGCTCGTGAAGAGCAAACACCACCCTGCATGGCCATGAGTACCTGAATCCAGGAGGCACCAAGGTACAAACGGGTATGTTTGCGGGGACGATGATGTAGATCAATTGTCTGAACTGGAGAGGCTGGAAGAGGAGGAGGAAGTCAAACGAGGTTCTGGGGTCCGGACGAAGTGCCGAAGCCCTAATCTCGGGTTGAAGCACACCGAGGACACGAAAACATGCGTCCACGTAGGGTCAGATGCGCTGAAACCCGCGGCTTTGACGTCAATAAGAATTGTCCTGCAATCATCACTCAATATCATGCTCGCCCGACTTCTCTTCTGAGCCGTCCCGCTGCTGTATCAGGCTGCGGCTCAGGCCAAGCATCAACACTCTCCTCAACATCCTCTAAGAAACTCATGCTGTTCACAATACCAGTGCCTCCTAGCACGACACGTACACCAGGCGAGCTGGCATTGACCTGCGCCACCATCTTCGCCTCTTCGTACGTCACACCGCCCACAATGAAGACGATGATGTCCTGCGGCTTATCTCGCGTCTGCCCTCCACCTTCAACAAACGGATGAGCATTCGTAGACAAACGGCCCTTGATCAGGTCCTGCAAAGTGGTCTCGAGTCGAGGCGAGTGTTGCGTGTAGACATTCTCCACACCACGTAAACCACGGTTGAATCGTGATCGTGCTTCTGAGAAAATATTCTGAGCAGGCTGGAAAAGATCTGGTAGACCACCAGCACCGTTTCCTTGCTGGGCTGTGTGTAGGCTGGCGGCATAGGCCAGAAGCTTCGGAATGAGGTTGATGCGGTGTCTGCTGATGCCACCAGCCACAGCAAGAAGATCGAGCAGAGCAAAGGTGTTATTGTTAACGTGATTCGAGTACCGTAAAGCATAGATTGCCACAAGCTTGAGTTTGTTCGATGGAGGTATCGCAATGTTCTGTATGATCGATTGCAGGGTCCTGACATCTTGTGTATGATTGTCGTTGCAAGCAAGACTCTGCTCGAGCTCAGACACATCTAGCAGGTGGTCGGTCTCGACTCGTCGACTGAGCTCCGTTACTAACGTGACATGCTTGGTGACATTGCCAGACAGTCGCCGGAACTCAGGGTATTCCTCGACGAAGCGCTTCATATCTTCTATGCTGTCGAGCTTCTGGCCGCTCGCCTGCTTTGACGCGAATTGCTCTACATACTCCTTGGCGTTCTGGCCAAGATCGCCGAAATTGAGATACATGTTCTTGGCAAAGAAAGGATCCTGGTCGGGTGATAGCACGATTTCCTGTCGCATGTCAGTGTCATTAATTAAACTCCGTGTGTCTACAACCATTTACCTTGAACTCAGGCCGTACTTCAGGCACGTCGCTAAGATTGACCCTCCCGTTCTCGATACCTAATAACTCATGTACCATAGCCTGATACGTCCACTGTGTTAAAAGAGGAGTGACGGGATCTCCACGTCGATCCATCAACAGCAGTATGGGAGGCGTATCTGGCCTTCGGAAATCAAATAGCTGCTCCTCTTGTGTCATCGCATACCTGATTTCCGTCGCGAGCTTCCGGCACAGCACACTGTTCTTCTCATATCGTATCAAAGGCTTCTTCTTCAGGCTCAAAAGTAATGCGAGTACACCTTCGGTGGTCCGAGTGAGACTATCATGGTTCCATGCATCAGGCGAAGTGCTGAAGATACGTGACGATAAGGGAAGGCTGCAGAGCTCAGGATTGACGACTATGAAGTCGGCAAAGTATTCCACGATGCCTTTCACAACTTCGTGATCGTCCGCTTCGGCTAATCGTTCGAGCGAGGATTTCTTTATGATGTTGCTGAAGTCTAGGTGTCAGTCAGAAGCCTATCTCCCAGCTCATTTTGGCATATAGCAAGGTAGCGCATACAGATATAGTACTCTCCATACTTCGGTTCTCGGAACTCGTCAATCAAGAGTTGTATGCTGTCGGAAGATGGTCGTAAGAAGCACAAGCAGCGCAGATGTCGCATTTTCTCTCGCTCTTGATTCTCGATTCGATCGGTCAGGTAGACGGAGTGGTTGAGGAGTGCTGACTGTGTAGTTGCTGCGGATACGATCGGTACTGTGTCGCGATCGAGCAAAAGGATCTTCATCTTCGCTGCACCAGCTGTAGCTGTGCTGTCTCCGTTCGACACCATTTTGGTGATGTAGCCGGAGACACATTGGAAGATATCCATGTTGACGTTCGACCAGAGAGAGGTGTGCGACTAGTTCGTGCTCATGCTGCTTGGGTGGTCGTCGTCGCCGGGATTGATCAAGGACGTGGATGTATCTATCATACGATCAGAGCATATTTATTGCAAAAAGGATCACGGCAAGTGAAACAAGTAATCCATGTAATAAAAGGTGGTTTTCAGGCCACTATGTTAACAGCTCGAAGCTGCGAGCTTCTCCCCAAATGCACAAAGAGGGTTCGTGCACTCCGAGCCACATCTTGCACCACCATCACTCGACCACGATGATCTCCGCGAAAGCAATAACATTGCCATCGGGAAAGGAACTACGAGCATCACTCGCTCGAGATGGCTTTGTACGCATCTCTGCTGCTTTCACACAAGACGATGTTGCACGCTTCAAGACTGCTGCAAAACATGCCGCTGAGCGGGCTCGCAAAGGCGATTGGCAATACGTGAGGACTGTACCTAAGCAGTTCCCACCTTGGTCCGCCAATGATGCACTGAAGGAGGGCGTTTGGGGCGTACAGCATCTGTTGCACCCATCAATGTCTGACAAGGATCGTACAGTCTTTGCTGAAAGCTATTTTCACAGCACAATGATCACGACAGTGACATCGTTACTACAATGCACCCAGGGCGATCTGGTCATGGAGCTATACAACATGCTGATTCGCCCGCCGAAGGACTTCGCCCTGCGTTGGCACAGAGACGATATAGGTCCAGACATTTCTCCAGAATCCGAACTGGCAAGACTCGAAGAGCCCATGGTCCACGCCCAATGGAATCTGGCCTTATATCCCGACAGCTCTCTCGTCGTCATCCCAGGCAGTCACGCACGCCCAAGAACCGATCGAGAACGCAATGCTGATCCATATGAGACCGAGTTGCCCGGCCAAATCCACGTCAAGATGGAGCCTGGTGACATCGTGTTCTATAATAATAACATCCTCCATCGAGGTGTCTACGACAGCAAAGCCGGCGAACGTTTGACGTTGCATGGGACCATGGGAATGAAAGGCACGGATCCGAGTCGAGCTCGGAATATTCTACAGCATGGTATCGGCGGCTGGGCGGCAGATTGCGACTTTGATGGGCTTGAGAGCGATATGGCGAGATTGGCCAGAGACATGCAAGCGAGGCTCATTACGTTGGGTGTTGGCAAGGGTGTAGGCTTCTCTCAGTCTGACTGAGACGTGACGGGTATGCAAGTCAACACTTCTGTCAACCGTTCGTATGACTTTATCAACGTGATCACATCTATATTCCCAATCTCAAGAATATGACCGTTTGTGCTGAAAGATCACATGACAGCGTGACTAGCGTGTTTTGTATTTCGTCATCTCGTGTTACCGCAAGCGCCAAAGTGTAGTCGCCCGAAGCTTTCAATGAGCTCGTCCTGCGAGCATGCGAGGTGCTTTGACGATGATTGTGAAGCCGTAGTAAATAGCCATACGTGCTCCATGTTCTCGAGTTGTTCGCGCTGAAACAACAAGCCGTTGTCTTCCCACTACGAAGCCGAGACGATCGACTGATCTGCCGTTAAGGCGTTCTCGAAGCAAGGATTCAACTCTGGCCAAACGCTCTATCGCCGAGACGCCGTGAGACCGCGAGAGCCAATCCCTGCACTCTAAGTCGCCCGACTCAGCACGCAAGGAAAGCCCCGCACTGTCTTCTTCACACCTCTCGACCAGCTGAAGAGCAGCACTCTTGCTTCTTCGCTTGCTCCGAGCTGTGCTCATTGTCCTCTTCTTCACCATTGCAATTCGCTGTAGTACTGTTACTAGAGTTTGAATACAGCTAACAGGCCTCTCACGTCGGTGAGCGCGCTCGATTGGTATGTAACTCTGCCCACGCACTGCCTATATCCGGCCTAAACGCGCTCCGTGCGCGGTAAGGAAATGGAGCACAAGCAGTTTGAAATGATGATGAGCAAGGCAGACGACTAACATATCGAATGCAGGATACCATAGGAGATCTATATCATCCCGACCATCAAAATCACTCCGAGTCCATTGAAATACCAGGTTCCCTCCCAACGACTTCAACGCACATCCGGACGATCAGCCGCGAGCGCGAGCACACCTCACGACTTCGCGCATCAGAGTTCTGGACGCGTAGGAAAGCGAGCTTCACCGACCATACATACTCCGTCTTGCATGTCACCACCGTCAATGGCGGCGGCATCGCGTCGACCACCCTCTTTCGAGGTATACCAAGCTGGTGACGCGTCATATTGTGCTCCCGGGTGTGACGATGTCGAACGAGCACTCTTGAACGCATTAGGGCCATTGAGCGACGCGTCAACCAAGCAAAATATCCAGCTCAACCCGACAGCAGCGTCCTACCCAGCCAGCTCGCCTACCAAGACGGACAGCTCGCCTATGCAGCCCGTCAGCTCCCACAATCTGGCTGATCTACAAATACCTCCACCTGCACAGCCGAACTTCAATACCGACTCGCCGCGGAAGAATGCAAACTTCTACAGCATGTATCCGAATCCTCCGAGCATGTCGGAGCAGTCACTCTTGACGCCGTTTGCCAAACCCTACACCATGGACAAGGAGAACTACGGCGCGCCCTTCGAGCCCCTTCAGCCTTTGGGCTATGGTGCCGAGTACGGATACAAGGCCCCATCGAAGCGGGCAATGACAGACACCGCGCCCCTCCGAGACCGCCCAATCATCAAGAAGCAAAAGCTGGATAAGAACGAGCCCTTCGAGCTGCCAAATCCTAGGGATATGCCAATGGTGACTGACGATGGATCAAAGCCGCCACATAGCTATGCGGAGCTGATTGGTATGGCGATCCTAAGAGCGCCTCACCGCCGTCTCACGCTTGCACAAATATACAAGTGGATATCGGACAACTTCTGTTTCTACAAGACCTCCGAATCCGGCTGGCAGAATAGCATCCGCCATAATCTTAGCCTCAACAAGAGCTTTATCAAACAGGAGCGACCCAAGGATGATCCAGGCAAAGGAAACTACTGGGCTATCTTGCCTGGTGATGAGCGACCTTACCTTCTGGGCAAGAAGAATCCTGTGCGCCGCATCACTGGCTCAGATGGTGCCGAATATATGCAGGCTTTGTCGCACGACCTGCCTGGGTTCCGACCTGCCACTGCCCCTGCCATTGGCCAATTCTCTCTCGCCCCCTGTCCGGTTAAGAAGATGGAAAGCAAGACTATTGACACTGCCAAGTTTCCAGATGATACCGATTTATCGTCTGATGGCACAATACCTGGCTCCGATCCTGCCATGCACGAGGATGACCAAGACGACTCTGCGGCTATGCCGCCACCTCCCATGCATTTTCGATCATCTCCACCACCACAAGACATTGGCTCCTCACCACCTCCTATGGTGACAGAGGCCGATCGTAAAGATACTCCACCTCCGGTTCCGCGCTTTACGTCCACCAGCCGTTCAGGTGGTCGTCGCCAGAGGTTCTCAGGACTGAACGACAGCGGCTACTGGTCATCTATCGAGTCATCTGCTGCAAGAGGCGCAGCACATTTGCTCACGTCCGAAGCAGATATCAGCCGACCTCGCATCAAGAAGGGTCGTGCCGAAGAAGAGATCGCCCGCATCCGGAGCTCTTCCTTCGACAGTCCTACAAAGGAGCGACCACTGCACAAGATCTCAGCTTCACAATTCGACTCGTCCTCGCCATTGAAGAATGACAACCCCCTCACGCCCGCAGTGGTCTTCAAGCGTCCTGCAAAGCCGCCGCCTTCAGTGTCGCCTAACACGAATTTGCGCAACCATCGAAATCGTGTGAAGGCAATGATGGGTTCTCCGCTCAAGACTCTGAGCCCCCTGCCTGAGGGTAGTGCCTGGAGCCCGGCCTTCAACCTGACTGAAGACGGAGCCGTTGGCCTGACACCATATCGCTCGCCTTTTGTCGGATCGAAGACACCATTTGTCCAGTTGGGCGATACGCCAGGCAATAGTAATCTGTTCAATGCTGCTTTCGATGTCTTCATTGACGCACCTGTTGATGACATTGCTGCTCGTGGATCACCCGAGAAGCGCTCAGCAAGACGGCCTTCGCTCGCTCGTGCCGCCACCAGTACAGGAATCCTGGCCGACGTCACCGGCACTGCTAAGAGCAATAATATCACTCTGGCGCCACCTACTGACATGTTTGCACTATCACCCTTCTTCACAAAGTCTGGAACACTACGATCGCCACTGAAATTCGACCACAAGGGCCCAACTTCACAGCCTGCAGAAGACCTCAGCTGGCTCGATATTGGCCTTGGGGCTGAGAACGTGCAGCCCAGTCACAATGCATCGCATGCCACAGACGCGGCCGAGCTCTTCGGCGTAAATCTCCCTAGTGATGGTAGTGAAGAAGCCATCGACCTCTTCCAAGACTTTGGCAAGATTGGTGGCGCAGCTCAGCATCTGCCTGTAGATGCTCGTGCCAATGGCAGTCCGGTGAAGCGCTCGATGGCACCGCCGCCACGACCGAATCGTCCTGGTATGCAGAGGAGTAACAGCAGCCGGTGGTAGGGACACTGGACTCGAAGGGCGGTTGCTGCGACAAAGGTGGGATTTGCTGGAAGGAGATAACGAAGACACGAATCTCATTGGAATACGCAGGATATCAAAGCACGATTGGACGAGATTGAATATACCCACTTTTCATCAGGAGCCTGCTAACAGGAATTCGCGCTTATGACGGACGGAGCTATGACGTTCATCTTTGTTTTGACGATATTCATGGTTTACGAATGGCTTTCCCATGCGGGTGTTTGATGCGCAAGATTGAAGGTCAGGAAAATGATGTATCTCTTACTGGCTTATTATTGCTATATATGACTTGCGTGCAGGCATTGAAGAGGTGCTTTCTACCGTAGCGCGAGCAACATAATGACACGTCCAATAAATACGAGCTTTCATACATCTTCCTCCTCCTTGATCTCACCATCCGCGTCCAGCATAGCTTGATCCTCGTCCCCGACTTCCTCTCCATCGGCATCAACATCGCCATCTTCTCCCTCGCCCTCTCCATCCATATCGCCTTTCACATCATCGTCATCACCTCGCTTTCCCTTGCCATTCGTTGGCTCATCAGCAGAAGGAAAGTGCAGATGTTTCCAGTCCTCAATTTCCTCTATCACGCTGCGTAGTCGATCCCGAACACTTTCTACCGCAAAGCTACCCAACAGCAACCGCAGCGGCGGATATTTGCAATGGCCCAGCTGCCATACTAGCTCTGCTGACTTGACGGCTGAAACAGGCTGTCGGTCGGAAAGCCATTGTACTACGCGGCCTGCGTGTCCGGCTGGAGCGGTCGGCGTATCGTATGGCTTCGAGGGCTTCTTCACGAGGAAGTGACCGTAGCGTTTCAGCTTTACGCCTCGGTCAAAGTCGTCGGCTATGTGGTCGTCTGTGGCTTTATCGTCCAGACCTGTTGGCTCGTCGAGACGCATGTGGCCCGGCTCCACGAGCGTTGCTTTGATTCCGAAGGTGTCGATCTCGTATAGCATACTTTCTATTAGACCTTCTGTAGCGTATTTGGTTGCACAATAAGGTCCTAGTCCTGGTACACCCAGTGCGCCTGATGTTGAGGAGAAGATGAGGTACCGGCCCGCGTTCTCGCCTTCTGCTCGTCTGGCACTGGCTTCTCGCAAGTAGGGTAAGGAGAGCTGGATGATGTTCAGGGTGCCCAGGAAGTTGGTCTCGTATTGCGATCGCAGGTCGCAAGCATCTTGGTCTTCGCAAGAACCTATCACACCGTAGCCTGTACAACTGGACAGGTAGACCTCTCAGCACTTGCACTTGAGATGGTATCGGGAGTGGATCTGACTGGCGTACGCTTACTTTACTATGATATCTATCCTTCCAAACTTCGCAATGGCGGCATCGATGGTATTCTTCACCGTCAACCGTACCCTCACGTCGCATAACAGGCCCAGACACCGTTCATGCCAGCCTTGCATTTGTGACATGCTATTCTCCATCGTTCTTCCGACAGCTGCAACCAGGTCGCCGTGGCTTAAAGCAGCCTTGACGAGCGAGCGACCTATATGGCCTGTTGCGCCGAAAACCAGCCATACCTTCTGTGTAGCTGGATTCGTGTCGCTCGGTGGATCTGTGGTGGATGGCAGGTGAAGTCTTGAATTGGTAGCAAGGGTCCTTGGTGGTGAGAAGGCGAGATTCGGAGGCGAAGAAGAAGCCATTGCGGTCAGCTGTACTACATTGTCACGGTTTGTGCTAGGGGAGAAGCGCGAAGTAAGTGCTGCATCTTGCTTGAAGGTGGTCTAGGCTGTGTTCGCGGGGTGCATTGATTAAAGGTGGAGTGCATGCTCGCTAATGCAAGGCATGCATCGCGGTCAAACGTGGTAAAGTTGCCATCAATGTTTAACCACAATATCAGACCTGGCAGCAGCATGGCATAGAAAGAACAGCACTCATCCAACAAATAGCACAAAAGCTTTGGCGACTATCAGGATGTCCAAAGCGAAGCAGCAAAACGTATCAGGTGGCTCCGGCTCAAGTGCAGGCTTCGCCACAGGATTCCTCATCGGTCAATTGACTCTCGCTCTAATTCTCTTCTTCTTTATCAAATTCTTCATCTTCGGCGAAGCACCTTCAGCAGATGAACGAGCAGCCAGTCGGGCGTCTGCACGAAGACAACGAACACTTTCCCATACCCAGGCCCAAGCACGCCAACGAACACTCTCATCAGCATTGAGACCAAGGCCGAGCTCAGCAGTTCTCAAACCACGGTCTGAAAGTGGCCCTTCTGTACAGAAACTCTTGGAGAAGACTTACTACAACGTCCATGGCCATCAGCCGGAGAGCCTGGACTGGTTCAATGTTTTGATAGCGCAGACTGTGGCCCAATTGCGATCTGATGCACAGGAAGATGAAGCAGTATTGACCTCCCTGACGGCACTGCTCAATGGCTCGAGCAAGCCAGACTTTCTAGACGAGATTCGCGTCACCGAGATCAGCCTAGGAGATGAGTTCCCAATTTTCAGCAATTGCCGCGTCATCCCTGTCGACGAAAATGGCATGCCCATCAAGCAGCTCAGTGGCAACAGAGGCGAGACGCTACAGGCACGAATGGACGTCGATTTGGGCGACGTGCTCACCCTAGGAATCGAGACAAAGCTGGTACTCAACTACCCCAAACCATTCGTAGCTGTTCTACCTGTCGCCCTAGCAGTCTCTGTCGTTCGCTTCTCAGGCACACTCTCTGTCTCCTTCTCTCCCTCAAGCCAACCAAGCCAGTTCCCAACTACCGAAGAAGCAACACCAGATGGCGCAGGCGGCGAAGTCAAAAACGAAGGCCACCCTCTGAACCCCACAGGCTCCTCACCAACAACACTCACGTTCACGTTTTTGGACGATTACAGACTAGACCTTTCTGTCCATTCCCTCATAGGCTCGCGATCACGTCTTCAAGACGTACCCAAGATTGCTCAACTCGTAGAAGCACGGATCCACCAATGGTTCGATGACCGCTGCGTCGAACCACGCTTCCAGCAGATTGTTCTCCCGTCCCTTTGGCCACGGAAACGCAATACCCGCGGCGGAAGCACAGAAGACCAGTCCGCTACTGCAGACGACATGCCCTCACCAACCGAAGTAGCGGTCAGCGATGCTCCAGCCGAAGCTCCCTCATCAAGGAAAGAAGGCCCAGGTGAAGGTCCGGGTCCTACAGCCAGTGCCAATGGTAGTAAAGCAGGCTCAGAAACTACGGCTGAGCAACGAACCCGAGATTGGGCGGCTAAGCATGGCAAGTCTAAAGGAGACACGTCGGAGATTGAGATTGCGGGGGCTGAGATGCGGGAGGCGGATGAGAGGGAGAAGAAGCAGAAGTTGCAAAGGCAGACTAGTGGGGTGAGGTTGAGGGCTGGGTTGGGTAGGACGGCTAAAGGTAGTGAGAGGGTGGGCGGCAGTAGTCTGAGGTCGGAGCAGGTGCGGTCTCCGAGCTAGAGACGCGGAAATCTGACTTGACAGCTTAGCATGGCGTTGGCGGCAAATTTGGATTTGGTGGAAGGTTTTGCTATGATAGTGGTACAGCTCAGCTCAGCTTGGCTCGAGGGCACAGATTTGCAGCTTGTATGCAACTGGTCTCCTCAACTCGCGCTCGGCTTCACCATCGTCCGCCTTTTAGTTCTGCATGACCCAGTCGACAGATGTTCACGCCGCTGTTTGGTTCATAAGTCCCGCAGACACCTCGCTAATATGTACCTACAATATCCCTTCTGGAAGACCGTCGACAATCTCACCTAAAGCCTAACAGTGATCGGCGTATCCCAAAAATGCTCAATACCCGTTCGTGCCGGCTTGCACACCATTCGCGTGAGCAGCAGGCATCATGTCCGTGTCCGGATCTAAGGACTTGCTATCCAAGATCGAAGCTACGGCCGCTTCGACCTTTGGTCCTGGGAAAGATGCAGAGGCTGGCGTCGGATAGGCTGATGCTGCGGATGGCGGCGTAGCCATGAGGGTGTGGTGCTGTTGCATCACTGGCACATACCCAGTCGAGAGACCTTTCCTATCGCTCTCGTCAGAAGCGGCGGCGCCTGCTTGAGTAGTGTCCCCGTCTTCGCGCTTGGCAGCAGAATGTGTCGGCAGGTCGCGATGTTGCAGAGCTGCAGGCGAGACCTTGAGCCGAACGACTAAGCTCGGATCCTCCTCATCCTCTTCATCGTCCGCCTCGACTGACTCATCGTCACCATCATCAGCATCGGGCATGTCCTTGTCTTCCTCATTCTTATCACTGTCCCACTCGTCACCACTAGGGGCGGCATCTTCCTCATCGCTCATACCGTCAATCTCGTTATAGCCATCAATGTGCTTCCTCTTTTTAGGATTACTCGCACCATTCGCTGGCCGACCAGCTGAGCGCGTCGCCCGTCCGAGAGTAGTAGGCGGTTCATCCGAGTCCTCATCATCAGCTCTAGCTCCATACGCGGGTGCCAGCTCATCGCCTTCGTCTTCAGTGCCATCCACACCAACACCATTTCGTAGCAAACTCTCACCATAATGTCCCTGTCTTGGCTGGCGAATCTGCCGACCGCTAGCCGTGTATGTCGGACCATCTGAGAGTGGTGTAGCACGTGCACTGGTCCTTGCAGACCGTCGAGCGGAACCGGCATCGGAGTCGAGATCTTGCTCATCATCGTCGTAGGTGTATCGCATTCGCTTGCCTCGGGTGCGACCTTCGTAGAGAGAGAATCCAGGCTCTGGTCGCGAGAAAGCGGCCCGCTTGACTTGACGATACTCGCGTCGCCGACGTTTCTACACGGTATTAGTCTGGCCCGTCGTTCGGCAGCGAGAGTTCTTGGTGCTTCACTTACCTCCTCAGAAGCCTCGAACATGGGTAACGCATTCGTGATTTTGGTAGCCAGCCGCCTAGCAGCCTGGGTTCCGTCCACCTCCTCGAGCTTCTTAGCCAGAGCTCTCGCCTCTTCAATATCTCCGGCAACGCTGTACCAGTGTGCATTCCTATTGTACCTGCTGCCTTCCCGGTAGATTCTGAAGTGTGTATCTTCTAAACCTTGTATCAGAAAGTATCGCCTCTTATCGCCGTCCACGCCCCATGGTTGCACAGATAGTGGCTGGTTCTCGTCATCGTTATGCCGTGACTGCTTGTAGCGGTCTTTGACTAGGGCTGAGGCGGTTTCTGAGGTCATGAGAGACCAGATGCAGAGGGTGCGGAGGAGGTTGAGCTGGACAGTATATCAGTACGACAAGAGGACTGCACAGAGAGTAGGATGCTAGGAGACTCACGCGCTCGGTCGGCGACATCATGTCGAAGTCTCTTGGGCCATGCAGAGGATTGACGCCATTCCAGCTATGCGGCCATTGTGCCTTGTGCGACAGCACAGCTTCCTCCAGAGCACGTCCATGGTGTCCTCGCCTGTTTCTACCGGTCAGCACATGATGCCTCATCCTCTTCTGACCGTATATTGCCTCTTCGTCCACGTAACAAGCAGATATGCGAGACGTACTCAACAGGTTTCTTCCGGTTGTTGACCAGTCCCAGGATCGCACACAACAAGTTCTGAACCTCAGGACTAGAAGGCTGATCCGTGACACCCCTCTCAATATCCTGCGGTCCGAGATTCATCAGCTTAGCGGGCAAGACGTCGTTGAAGCGTGATCGGAACATGACGAGGAACTAAATCGATTGTTCATTAGCATCGCGTCTTACGCGTCAAGAGCGCGCAGTTTCGCGTTCATGACCGGCGCAGACCTACAGCAATATCAGGATTATCCGCAAAGGCATCCTCATGCGCTGGAGACGGCGGTCTTTTCGGCCTAGGAGGGGAGACGTGTGGTGGAGGGAATTTGAGCTTTGTCGCTTTCTTCGCTTTTTGGAAGATGGGTGCTAGTTTCTTGATCTCCTCCTCTGGCGCTTCTGACAGGCCGCTGCTATCGTTGTCGCTATCCATGCTTGCGGTCGTAGCAAAAGTTGCAATGTGTGGAAGTCCAGGCGCAAGAAGGCTTTAAGTCGGGGGTTTGGGAAGCGGAGGCACGTCAGGGAAGCATTCAAGGGCGGAGCACGAATAAACGTTGCAGGGTTACATAAGCGGCGGCGAGCAAGCATGGCCTTTGGAGGTAGATTCTTCGGCATTGACTAGTCTATGTATCTATGCTGTGTGCTCGCCATAAGCGTTGGATCCTGTTCGAGTAAGTGTTGGCTCGTATTCCCAAGTCAATCGTCGCAAAGATTGCATGTGTGCTCGGGTACTGTGGAAGTTGGCCCCACGATCCGTTCATTGTCCATACTCGGGTCTGACTTATGGCATGCGCGCCGTGTTGCACAACAGTGACATCACAGGCTCTCAAAACTGTCTGCTAGGGCTTTGAGGAAGGTCATATGGCGTCCAAAAGGCCTCATGCACAAATGCCGCTTCAGATTGGCGCTCGGTACGCAAATCCAGAGAAACCGCTCGTTCTTTGCGGTACAATACTCGGGTCAATGGACGCCGCCACAGGGCTTCGACTGTGAAGCTTAAGTTGCGATGGGCTCAGCAGATCCAGCTCTGGTCGTGATGTTTGTTCTGGAGCTTCGAGACTACACAGCAATTCATTCTTTCCATGGTAGGTAGACTCCTGGATAACGTTCGCCGGTATCTCATCCCGGTAAAGCAGTCGTGAAAAGATAAGTCTCGATTTGATATATGGCCATGCCACTTGCAGTCTACCATTAAAGAACAGAGCCGTAGCCAGAAATCAGTAATCGGCCGAAAATCCGTGCGATGCTCAATCATCGTGTAAGAGCATTGTAGTTACGCGCCTGCAGAGAAAGGCCATGGTTGCTGAAATGTCTGTTAATGTGTGGGGAGCCGCATGTTTAGCGTTCTTCATGCTAGCTTTTGCTGTCACATACTTGCGCAATTCCGTTCTTTCTTCCTCGCTGTTCACAATCGAATGCACTCTAAGCAAATATGGCATGCGCGCTTAAAGGGTCGTTCATGAGCACATCAAGGCCATACGTATCCTGATGATTACCGTCTTGACGAGCCATTTAGGCCAGTAGAGCTTGCTCGTACTATTCCCACAATTTTTTGACGTGAGGAGCTGACATTTGCGAGCCTTTCAAGATGCCATTGCAGGTAATGTCGTATTGCTGGTGAAGGAGACGTGCGATGGAGTCGAAGTGATCCGGCGCTAGTCAACTGTCCGCGATTTAGCCGAGTGCTGCCAAGCCTCGCACTTGCGGATCTTGAATTGGGAGCACATCAAAAGTTCAGTGAACCAGCGACGACAACATCCACGAACCCATCCACGAACAGCAAAGATGGTACGCGCACACAACATCCACCAGCGATCATGCTGGTTATACCGAGAAAATGCTAACAACACCTCCAGGGTCGTGTTATTCGCAATCAGAGGAAAGGTCGCGGCAGCATCTTCACTGCCAACACCCGCCTCAATAAGGCACCCGCCAAATTCAGGACATACGACTACGCAGAGCGTCATGGCTACATTCGAGGTGTAGTCAAGGACATTGTCCACGACCCCGGCCGCGGCGCACCCCTCGCCAAAGTCGTCTTCCGCGACCCGTACCGCTACAAGCTGCACACGGAGACCTTCATCGCCAACGAGGGCATGTACACCGGCCAATTCATCTACGCCGGCAAGAACGCCAGCTTGACCATTGGCAATGTGCTCCCGCTCGGGAGCGTGCCGGAGGGTACTGTCGTGAGCAATGTCGAGGAGAAGATGGGTGATCGTGGTGCGCTTGGCAGGACTTCCGGCAATTACGTGACTGTTATCGGCCACAACCCGGATGAGGGCAAGACCCGTGTGAAGCTTCCTTCCGGCGCAAAGAAGGTGGTCAAGAGCTCAGTGCGTGGCATGATCGGTATTGTGGCTGGTGGCGGCAGGACAGACAAGCCGCTGCTCAAGGCCAGCAGAGCAAAGCATAAGTTCGCTGTCAAGAGGAACTCGTGGCCCAAGACTCGTGGTGTTGCTATGAACCCCGTCGACCATGTACGTGTATTCAAAGACTCAACTACTGACACGGGCACTGACTTCTGTAATAGCCTCACGGTGGTGGTAACCACCAGCATATTGGTAAAGCCTCGACCATCAACCGCTACGCCGCCCAAGGTCAAAAGGCCGGTCTCATTGCTGCCCGGAGAACGGGTCTGCTGCGTGGTACCCAAAAGACAAAGGAGTAGACGATGCATCGAGATCATGGGAAGCTATGGTGACGGTGTTGGTTGGGCGTTACTATGCTTTGACTGCCACCGTCTATGTGGCGATCAAGCATTCTGTAGTCTAGCCCTGTTAGCTCGGACAAGCAGATTCTTTACGCATGCAACTCGTTTCCGGCCTTGGCTGTGCCGCCACTGTGAGCACAACAGGTGACATGGAGAGCTCTGCGAGCTGCCAGTCGATGCTCGACATACAGGTCTTGAATGATGTGTACCAAGCTAAAAATCAGACAGAGATACTCACACTCAGCTCAAGCTTAAATCTAGCTGATTGTCATGATATAGGTTGCCTCGTCGCACATCCTATGGCCTGGCATCCGTATCGAGCCATTGGTACCCTTCGTGAATCAAAAGGCTCCGTGTATCCTGTCCCCAGCGAAGTCGCGGTCGCGTATGTCCAGCTGTCCGATCTTCCAGCTGTGCTCGTAGACGATCTGGGATTTCACGTGACGAACTGCAAGGCTACCAGACCACCCATACCATTCGAAGTCAATGTCAATGGGAGCAAATTTAGTTTACCTGGATTCTTGTTCCAGTTGTCTAAGGCGCTGCTTGGGCCGGGTGATCATGCGTGCATCTAGACGTCGTAGCTGTCTTCGTGTCGAATGTCAGTTCAATGTTCCATGATTACGAGGACCTTCGCAACTTTTGGACCACATGCCAGGCATTATGATCAAGTTCTCATGCTTCTGACTGTCGTCGCGTCGTTCTCACGGTGTCTCATCCAGATGCAGAGTTTCAACCACGAACGGGCGCCAAGCAAGAGACACGAGTCGGCTTGTTTGGACCCTTGAAGGGAGATTGTGGGGTGGCGTTTCTGGTTGGAGTCGTGGCTTGTCCCCCGACCAAACCAATGGTCCGACCAGGATAAACATGAAACTCTATCAAACCGTCGCAGCATATGAAAGCCTCCTAATCTTCAGATCCCCAATATTACAGTAGACAGAGTCGTCGCCTGCATGAAAGATTCCCTTCTTAGTGCAAAAGACATCAATAGTCATATGATTGAGAGGCGACCCCACATGCCATTTGATTGAGGTTCTACGTCACAGGCGAAAGGTATCAGGTACAGTGAGAGCGAGGCAAGCGAAGGAAGCGTTGGCCAGGGACGATCTGCTCAACTCAACGAGTATCTTTATCCTGCTCTTCTTATCCGGCTGTTGAGGCAGCCACCATTGTTACAGCATTTTGCAATCCATCTTGACCACTGGAATAACGAATCGACGAGATGATAGTCAACAAGAAGTTTGATCGGTTGAAGCAATGGGGACGCGAGCGCATGGGAAGCGAGGTGAAGACCGACACGAGCGATGAGTTCAAGGCATTGCAGATGGAAATGCAGCTGCGACATGATGGTAAGTGACAGACACCAGAAGGCAAGATCATCTACTAATACAGTCAGGCATGGAACGACTCGATCGCTCAGCAAAAGGCTACATGAAAGCCATCTCCACCCGTTCAGCAGGCGAGGAGAAAGAGAAAGTCCTTCCAGTCGCCTACTTTGGCTCCGCTATGATTGCGCACGGCGACGACTTCGAACCCGACAGCGAATTTGGCCAGTGTCTGTCCTCGCTTGGCCGAGCCAACGAACGCATCGGCCGCATGCAGGAGACATACTCGGTCAATGCAACAAGCACCTGGCTGGAGAGCGTTGAGAGGAGTCTGGTGCAGATGAAGGAGTACCAGTCCGCCAAGAAGAAGCTCGAGAGTAGGAGATTGGCATATGATACGGCACAGCAGAAGATGCAGAAGACTAAGAAGGAGGACTTCCGCATGGAGGAGGAGCTAAGGAGTCAAAAGGCGAAGTTCGAGGAGAGCAGCGAGGATGTCTATCGGAGGATGCTGGACATCAAGGAGGCTGAGGCGGATAGTGTCGCAGACTTGTCGAGCTTCCTTGAGGCAGAGCTTAGCTACTATGATCGTTGTCGGGAGGTGCTTCTGCAGCTGAAGCGAGACTGGCCGGCGTATGTTAACGAACATAATCTGCTATCGAACCTAAGCTAACAACTTCACAGGCAAGTCCAACCAAGCAATCGTTCCGACACAGCGAGCCCAGTCAATGGTATCGCACGTCGCGGGACTCGCTCTCGTGCCAGCTCAATGACCCAACGATTCGCCGGCATAGCCGAGGACGAGCCGCTCGAGCCTCCCTCTCGTCCTACCATCAGCTCTCGTGTCCCATCTGGGCAGAACTCTCCACGACGAGAAACGCCGGGTTTCGACTTTCCCATCCGACCAGCAGCCCAACGCGCAGCTTCCGGCTTCGAAGGACCAACATCAATATCCCGCAACGAGTCTCCAGCTGGTATGCCTCGCCTCTCACGTGTGCCTACCGACCCTATCGCTCTCATGGCGGCCGCCACTGGAGGCAGAGATGGTTTGAGGGTGAGCAAGAGGGACAGCCAGATCGGCAATGTCTTCGGCGACGATCAGAGCGACTACTCTACCGAGCCTTCTTCCGCTTTCGATCGACTACAGCATTCACGGACTTCGAGCTTCTCGCAGCAGGATGGTGGGAGGAAGGCTCCGCCGCCGCCGCCACCGAGTAGGTCGAAGAAACCACCGCCTCCTCCACCGCTCAAGAGGAGTGCTCTTAGTACGAGTGAGATCCCACACTATTGAGCATGGTGTGGATAACCGATGGTGGATGTATGGTCTTTCCGGATTTGCGATGGTGTTTGGTGTTTGGCTATAGGGTGGCTTGCGTACGGATGGGGTGAGGACATTCCAGGTTTATAGATACCCTCGAAAGCAGGTCGATCATTGCCTTTTTGCTCCCACAGATCCACACATGAGATCTGCCTCTGCCAAGCCGTAAGATACCATGATGTACTGAGCGTTCGGTCGAGACAGGCGGTCGAGATGGCACTGGTTGCTATCGTCTGAATTTCGAAGAAATTGAGCTCGGTACAATACTTACCTTTGCCGTGCTATATGGCTTCATTATACTTCTAGTGTATGTATGGGACAAGCGATGTAGATGACACCGAAGCATTACATCTGTATGGTCCGCCTCACAGATCAGTAGATCCATCTCATCCATGCCGTGCCATACAACACCCTAGGACGCTGTACTGCAGATATCGAAAAGAGGTCTGACATGGACTTCCCATCCAACACGTCGTTTCCACGAAACAGTTACATCACAGAGCATGATGCCGTACTGTATGGTGCCGCCATGGCCTCAGCGCACGAGCGAGATACCAGTAGAGGACGACATAATTTGGCGTTGTCTTGATTGCTCTTCTCATCGATACTCCAACACCAGCCACTGCTAACGTGCTCTATCCTGGCGGTATAGCTCGAAACACCAATTGGTTAGCAGTGGAAGATGGTAGGGCTCTGCGTCGTCCTGTTTGCCACTCCCACAAACATGCCAGAAAGGTTTATACCTACCGTGCCGTACACCATCTGCAAGTGGTAAATCAGTCATGGGAGTCTTGCCATATTCATACAACAGTGTTACATACCGTCTGACATTGATCTCGTTTCGCCATCATTCGTCATGAAGCGTGCCGCCACTGTACTCCTCAGTCTCCGTCTCATCTTCGTCCTCATCCTCGCCTTCATCCTCATTCTCACTTCTGCTCTCCTCGTCCTCATCTTCGTCACTCTCCTGCGGCTGCTCTGACTCCTGCCGCTCCTGCGGCTCTACTTGCTGCTCTGACTCCGGCTCTTCTTCCAGCTCTACTTGCTCCTCTCTCTCCTCACCTCGCCACAAATCTTCCAGGATCATCGACCCATTGCCCGAAAACTGCCTGTAGTACCCCGGCGCGTCGGCAAGCTCCCAATTCAGTATCTTGTGGAAGATCTCCATTACATTCTGCCTTCCCCTCTTCCTCAACTCCCTTCGCAGCCTCCACGAGAAGTCCAGCTCCTTGCTACCCGTGTATATGGCCTTAGGACCGGCAGCCAGCACCTCCATCTTCATGCCCCACTCGAAGCAGTAGTTCTCGCGGTCGACTTCCCAGAGATCCCATACTCCCAAGTAGCCTGCAAAGCAGCACTCGAGAACGAAAAGGACGTCAGAGTGGCACAAAGTTCGCATGCTTTGTGCTATATCGGTCATGCCGAAGATGTGCTTGCCGTCTGCCGTGCAAATGATTATACCATTAGTGCATTAACATGTAATGCTTGGTAGGCAAACCTTACGAGGAACCCCAGAGCGCCACTTCCGTGGGCGAAGACTTAGGACGGACTATCTTGCCATGGCCAAAGAAGCACAGAACCAGCAAACGCTTGGGTGCCTCCATATTCGCCTGATCCGACCTCACATACCAGTCCCATATAGCCCCTCTGACCGTTACTTTCTCCTCTTCGCCCTCTACAGGATCGGTGTAGTTGCCATCGTCTATGTACGTGACATTGGCCTGTGTCTCTTCCCAAGCTCGTCCCATCAGCATAGCGTTCTCGCCATCCCTGCCGTCGTTACGCCAGCTCACAATGAGCACGTAGGTGCCGCCGGGATACTCGAGGGGCGTCGGAGGCTTTGACATGAAGGAGCCCATTGTAAAAGGGAGGTTGAGTAGGAAGGATGAGACGGTGGTAAAGTAAATGTATTTAGAAGTGTCTGTAGTAGCCAATGGCTGTAATCGATGGGTGGCGAAAGTCGTGTTCGAAGCATCAAAAATAGGAGGGACTTGCGGCGATGGGCCCGGGGTTCTTACATGATGATCGGTCTCGATCTGACAAACAGGAAGAGGCAACCGATAGAAGAGATCGAGCCTACCACTACGATAGCCTGTAATCCAATAGCACCGTCATTGTAACGAGCTCACGAGGTCTGTTGAGCTTCCTCATATATTCGTGGTACGCACACTGCGGCGAGGCTGTAGAACGAATGTCGTAAGGGACGAAAAGGGGCGTTAACGCGAGCAATTCGAACTCAACCAGATCAAAAGAACAAGCAATCACCTACCTGTACCCTTCTACCTGTAGCACCGATCTCCGACAAACAAAAGGTTGTATCCGATTCCATTGAAGCAAAATCGTTTTCCAGCCGAAAGACTGTGCCTTGTAAGACGACCCGCCTAGTGCAATGCAAGGAGGATAAGCACTCCAAGAGTGAACCCTGTTGTACCTATTCGTCCGAAGACGACCCCACCAATTAGCGAGGATTATAGGACCCCCACGACAAGAGTGCAGCACCTAGTGATATGATTAGTTAGTTATTCTGTAAACGGAGTCTTGTGCAAGATGGACTTCGAGCATACCTCTTGCCGGGGGGCGGAAGCTGAAGCTACTCGTCTCATTGATACACCTTCGTCTTCTCACCGTCCGAGGATGCCCCAGCATTTTGCGTAGGCTCAGGGGGCCAGTACGGCTCGTGTAGGCGTCGACAGGGGCAATCCGTATGTGAAAAGATAGCTTTAGCTCAGCTGATCCTCCTCGTCTTTATTTGGCGAGATGCCGTGTAGAACGCAAATACTGATGTTCCTTCGTCGTCGCCGTGCTCAAGCGCTTCCGCTGGCTAGTCTTGGCTTCATTACGCCGCATACAGCTCTCGATCGAAGCAACTGTACGAGCGCACGAAAAAGATCTTCCGACACCAGATACCATCCACAAACAAGCGACAGCATACAAAAACCCGCACAAACACCACCACAACAGCCAGCAAGCAACAATGGCACCAGCAAAGCTCACCGGCGAGAACCTCCGCCTGCGCCAGCAGTTGTACATGACACCACTGGGCGGCGCCAGCCAGATGCGCACGAAGAGATGGGTAGAGCGCCTGCCCAAGTTCGAGACCAGACCACCACCGCCGCCGCCTGAGCCTGAGGCTGTGGAGGAGAGAGTGAGCGCGTTGTTGGAGATGGTGAGGTGGACACAGTTGTGGATGAGATGGCTGGCCCGCCTTTGAGGGCCAAGCTATTCCCAGCAGGAGATGATGGTGATTTCGGTGGCATGGTGGATGATGGTGGTATATCGGCGGTGCGGGGGAATGGGGAGGTGGCCGGGTCGGAGGAGGACGTGATATTTGGCGAGCCTACAGCACAATACCATCCCCAGCAGATGAGCATTGCCAACAGCTGGCACGGCGGCCGACAACGGTATGATCGCTCCGCGATGCTCTGGGAACGAAGCATGTGTTGCATGTAGCCAGCGCACGGAAGGATCGGAGAATTGTGCAGCGTAAAAGTGTCACCCCTCAGCAGGCCATGCCCATCAACCAGCACGAAGGACGGCAGCGGTATATCGGCATACCGGCAACGCGAGAAAGCAGCCTGGAATAAGACAGCGGAGCAGCTGAAGCACCTTACAGTGTGAAGTCCATCCCATCCGAAAGAGCACCGCCAATGGATGAGAAGTTGGCCGGCAGTACATTCTGGATCACGCCTATTGAATGCGCAGCTATTTCGCCACGCTTACGTCGAAGTAGCAAGCAGATGGGGAGTCGTATGTCATGTCTGTAGATCATCAATGTCTACCACTTCTCACCCTCGACGATAGAGGTGTGGGATGGTAGGCGTGACAGTACCCTAAACCCGCTGGACCAGTTGATCTGTCAACCAGCAGCAGCATATGGTTTCCAACGAGTCCGCAGTCCAGTGGTCCAATGGCATGTCTTTTGATTGTACAAGCCTAGCACATCTCACTCTCGACCATAGAGGCGTGGGATGGCAGGCTATCATCGTTCTTGGCGTCTGAAGCACACCATCTGGCTTGATTTGTGTCCTGGGTACCTGCCCTTAGCGAGTAACTTAGCAGTCCTGGAGTCCAGATATGTCTGACTGGCTCGTCCGATGTGCTCGTGCTGTGCGCAAGCTTTGACGTGACCACCACAGCAGCCAAGTGTAGCAGGCATATGTATAATGAACCCACGCAATTCCCACGATCGTCTGAAGAGGTCGTCCGTGTGGTTGAGCTATCGTCCTGAAGATCTCGTCTGCTGTCGACTGCCTGCCGTCTATTAGTTCCCCACCTCACAGGCTGGAGTAAGGTACCATGATTGGCTCGTATACGGACATCGTTCTTGGAAGCAGCGCCCAGAACAGACAGCTGGCGGGTATCCACGAAACGATACCACTACACACACACCGAGCTGCCATTATCCTCCACTGGATATCCTACTCAGACTCCATACTCTTTTGGCGGCTACCTTGCATCCATATTCTGCTCTTGCGGTTGCCTGGCTGATCGGGCAAGAAGTTGAGACGATCGTTGAGACTTGCGGTCTGGTGGAAAGCGGGGATGTTGGGCTGGGCATCTGCTCTGGTCGTGGCCAACAGGCATCTGTACAGCCTGTACGGAGATTAGCTGCTGCCGTTGGTCAATGGATGATGATGTGGTATTTGGTATGAGTGTGCAAGCTGTTATGCACAGGTTATTCGTGGCTTTTGTCGCGCGATCCGAATGCTACAGCTGCCGACACTCGTCTCGCACTTGCCCGAGCTCGAGTAGCACGAATCGCACATCATGCCAGGCATGCAGCTGATGGTGGAGCCGAGCCTGGCAGTGATATACTTCTCATCGGCGTCGCTTTGTCAAAGAATCTAGCAAGCGGCTCGGCGGGCTGATTCCACACAAATCGAGTGAGCCAGCCCCGACTCGTGATGGCGACGGCGATGTCGACGACGAGAGCCCACAGACATCATGCGGCCCTTTTATTAAGTCTAGAGAACGATCTCCTATGCTCAAATATGTTTCAGCCCTCATCGTCGTCGCTTCCTCAAGGAGGGAGGAAAACCTCGACCTGACGTTCCTACAGGCTTCCCGCGGAGACGAACGCTAACAGGGATACCCAGCGGAAGCGAGATAAGCTTGTATTACGATCCGGCGCTACGGCAGTGGCTGCAGCAAGATCTTTGAGCCAGATACGGCGTCCGCTTACCGTTAGATGCCCTCTGCTTGGTTGCCCTTATAGGCTAGCGTAGAGGCTCCGACGAGCTGGGACTCCTCGAGCGCCTGCTAGACACTCATGGCTATAAACGCAGAGTCTCCCTGTACAAATGCCTGCCCTTCGACGAGCAGCAGATGACTGCGACGTTTGACTTGGTAAGAACGTCAGGATGTAGTCGGGAAACACAGTCGCTGTACTGTTATACAGGCAGTAGAAGAGGAGATAGATGGTAGCAAGTGATCCACGCATCGTGGACGGCATGCTTTTGCCCTCGACGCCTGCGAGGCACTAGTCCTCGACCATCGATCGCACGAGGTAACGCGAGGACAATCTAATAGAGGAGGATCGTAATACGCGACCGACAGCGAGTGATTACCAATAATGCTACGCTACGCGACACCATCGATGTCCTCCTTCGCCTTCGCCGATCCTCCACCACCTTATCTCCGATCGTCGCGTCCGCCGCACCCATGCCGAAGCTCGTCGTTCTTATCCTGGTAGTGCGACGTCAAGACATAGTGGTAAGATGTTGCAGTAAGACTGGGAAGTGTCAATAAACGTAAGGATCTGGCTCAGCAGCGGGAACGCGGACTGCTGCTTTTACTGGGCAGCGATTTTGTCGTGATCGCAAGGCCCGACCATAGAGCATACTTCGTGTGAGTTGATCACAAGTTTGCATAGATGGATAGTTGACAATTGGTGGAACATGCTACAACGCATTCCCTAGACTCGGACTCGACTAGTGTCATACTCGATGGTACACAGGTTTGTTGATCCTTGCGGCAAGCTGCGGACTTGTGCATTAGTCTGCATTTGCTGCGGTCGTTGTCAATACCTATCTAGCTGTCCTGCAGCTTTTCCTTATAGCTGAGAAGCATCTAACAAATACAATGCACCAGAAGCAAATTACAGCAATGAGTTCAATATCACCTGCCCGGAAGGCACTTCTACCGCTGGTGTAGCCATCGCACAAAGCAATACGTCTACTTCCTTTGATCGGCACTGAGAAGAAGCTGAGCTACAACCCCCCTGGTCTAGCTCCGGGTTGCAATGACTCTCCCACTGCAAGACATTATGACCGAGCTGGCGCGCGTGATGCGACAAAACGGCCTGCCCGCCTCTGCTGGGCTTGACGCCACAGCCGGCGGTATTACTGGAGCAGAAGTTAAGCAGCATGATCAGGACCGCGCGATTCAACATCCAGCGCACCAACGAGATGCTCGTTCCTCTACCTCGGTTGTTGCATCGCTTTTGACGACGAAAACTATGATCGACCTCGCCTCCGAGTGCGGAATAGAATGGTACGCCTCTCCACCAAAGGCGACCAGATGGAAATGTGTCGCGATCGCACATCAGCCCACGCAACCACCACTGGAGGTATCGAGACTCCCTGGGTGGTGAGCTATACGATGGTATCGAGTCGTGGCAAGAGCTCGATGGTGCTCGGGATCGATGGCGAGGCAGCTTGAGAGGGTGTGACTGGGACGGGTGGGTCGCGAGATACTGGAATCGACGATTTCTCTGCTGAGGGCTGGCATGCGTTAACGAGTGACGGCGTGCTGGGGAATGAGCACAGGCCGGTCCCGTTTCGGGTTGAGTGGTAGATATTGTTGAGCAAACCTTGCTGTCGGGTAGTTTTGTGAGAATGGTAGGACGTCCATCTCCACCACTACGCTGCTTGGTCCATAGATGAGAGAGGCCGAATATGTGAAGGTTCTATGTAGCTCAGCATAGACGACAAGACACCCTCTACCAGTATGGGCATCCTTTCCCCTTGCTTCTTCACGACTCAATGAAGATTGTGATAGTGCTGTGCAGCAAGGTGAACAAGTAGGATTGTCACATGTACGTAAGAGGAGCAAAAGAGATGAGGCGAGAGCTTCGAAGCCACAGTAGGTCGTGCACAACGTGGACATGTGGCGAACAGAGAGGGAAATAGACGGATATCAACATTCCATTGTGAGATATGGAATATCCAAAGACTTGGTGTGGAAATGAACCATTTACATCTTTGCTCGAAAACAACCAAATACCAGATCACAACCCCACCCGCATGTAGAAAGAAAGCAACGATCAAGAAAACATCACCGCCTTCCGATCCAACGGCCGCCCATCCGCCGCAATCCCCTCCCGCCCAAACCTCTCCTCCACCACCACCCGCCGGGCCTCATCAAACCCGATCCCCCTCAACTTCATGACGCGATAAACCTCCCGCTTCCCACCCTCATCCAACCCGCGTCTCGCATCCCCCGCCTCGATATTCTCGCTCAGATTGAAGTTAGACGAGTGCAGGCCGGCTTCGGCGTCTTCGGCGAAAGTGGAGGATTGGGGAAGGGCGACGTAGCGGAAGCGGTCGATGTAGGCGTTGAGTTTGTCGATGATGGCGTAGATGGGTTCGGGGATGGTTCCCGGGGCGGTGATGTAGGGGATGGGTGGGGCGTGGGGTTTCCAGGTTGAGCGGGTGAGGTAGAGGACTGGAGGATATGAGTGTTAGTATGTAGAGGATGAAGTGGGTGGGGTGGGGTGGAGGGATTGGAGATGGTACCGGTTGCGACGATGAGGAAGAGGAAGGTTAGGGAGTAGAAGAGGTACATTGTCGTTGGTGGGACTGGGGTCGCTGGTTTGATTTGGGTATGAGTACTTGGTGTGCTGATGTATCAAGGGCCTTGCTGGCCTCCTATCGTCGTCGTTCACATGCAGATGTATGATTATTGAGTAGAGAGCATACGATTATTGTCTCTCACATGCTGGAAGCCTATCTCGCTGGAAGCCTATATTGCTGACACACGCATGAACGCGTGGAGTTGTTCCGAGCTTCCGAGCTTCCGACCCGGAGGATGCCTGAGGCTTGCCAAAAACTCTCCCACCTTGCGCCAAGATTTAGTATCGCGAAATTCGAGGTCGAAGCGCAACGACGAAAGTGACAGACATTAAGTAGATCAGGCAAGCACCACCGCCGACATGTCCACCCAAGCCGACAATCTGAGCCCCGATCTCATCTGGCAGGTCGTCCGTACGTTGATCCATCACCACCCACACCCACACCCACCACGAATTACGAGAGAGAGAACAGCGAGATGGGGCACAAGAAGTTGAATGGCTGATATGATACTCGATATACAGGCAAGAACAACGCCTACCTCGTCAAACGCGCCCAATCCGGCGGCATCCAATTCTCCCGCGATCCCCTCAACCTCCTGAACAAGCACAGCCGCAAATATGCCGGCTTCGTCAACCCCAAGGCCATTGGCATCCAGGCCGACGACAACACCGTGTCTATGACCACAAAGTACGTACACTACCACATGACCCACCTACCCTACAGTTATACATGAACCCAGGAGGGAAGACGGTGGTCTAATGATGTTATTGTTAATGTAGAAACGCCTCCCACACTAACCACCCGGCCAAACAACACCACAACGCCTCCTTCTCCTCCACCACCCCATCCCGCAAACTCTACCGCAGCGTCGTCAACAGCACCGCCAAGAAGGGTTATCGTTCCGATCTCCGCGCCGAAGCCGTCGCGCGTGCGTCCGCGATCAAGTATTCGCAGAAGGAGAAGAAGGAGCGGGCCGGGGCGAAGCCGAGGGGGGTCAAGGCGAGGAAGGCGGAGGAGAGTTCGTAGGATGTTGAGTGTCTTGAGACCTGAGGGCAGAGGGCTGAGGGTCGAGGATGATGGCTAGGTGGAAACCCTTCGCCAGTCTGTCTGTTTTTGCCTGATATCCGGTGGAGAGCTCATATATACTGAGTCGACATCGAAGCCAGTTCATGGATATCTTTGCACGATGATCTTGATATTTGAATCGTTCCACTCTACGACAATCCAGCAATTGCGATGCCTTTGTCATGCCATCGTCCATGTCTGTCCGTCAACTATATCACAACATCGATACAGGCAAGAATCTCAAGGGTATCTTACGCCCGTCTTCTTCTGTGCAATCCCGCTCACACTCATCTGAAACTTCTCCCCACTTTTTGAAACGCCACCCAAAACGCCATCGCTAGACCCACATTTCCCCATCACTACACCCAGAACACAAGAACAGGTACCCAACACATCAACGACGCTACCGCTGCTGCTGCTGTCCCTGTCCCTGTCCCGGGGGTCTAAACCCCGGTGGCGGCCCTTGTCCAGGCGGGAACCCTTGCGGTGGTATCCCAGGCGGAGCACTCCCGAATCCGGCAGTACTAGGCGGTGGACGCGCCGGCAAACCCGCCCCAGCCGGTGCCGAGTTGAGAGGGGATTGGTTGTAATTCCTCCCCGGAGGAAGAGGAGAAGGGGCTGAGCCGTTCATATGCGGTGGTGGGAATCCCTGCGGTACTTGTGGGAAGCCTGCGGGTGGGGGCGGAAGAGGGTTGTGTGCGTATGTTGGTGTGGGCGGGAGGTGAGAGTATGGTTGTGGTATGGGTGGGGCCATGGTCGGGGGGTAGCCCATTGGAATATTTTGTGGTTGGAGAGAGGGGGGAGCGCCGTAGCCTGGTGCTTGCTGGTATGGTTGTTGCTGCTGCTGCTGCTGCTGCTGTTGATAAGGGTTGAAAGCTGGAGGGGGCTGCGGCGTTCGCTGTTGCTGTTGTTGCTGCTGCGGTGGTCCAGCTCCAGTAAGTCCATTCTGCATCCCACCATACCCACCCATCCCACCACCATTATTCATCCCACCATTCATCCCACCATTCATCCCACCATTCATCCCCATCCCCATCCCCATCATCCCCTGCGGCCCCGTCGGCGCCCCGCCCACCAACCCGGCCGGTAAAGCCGGAATAACAACCTTAACCCCATGCCTCTTCGCCTGCTCCGCCAGCGCCCTCTCCGCACCATCCCCATGCCTCTCCCCCTTCCCATCCCGCTTATAAGCATACTGCACCACCGCCTCCCGATTCATCAAAAACCCGCCATGCATCTTCTCCACCGCGCCATCCGAGCTCTCGAAATCCGCATAACTGACAAACCCATATCCTTTGCTCACCCCGCCATCGTCGCGTGCGATCTTGGGGGCGTTTATGAGGGGTCCAAACCGGGAGAAAGTGTCGTACAGCGTTTTCTCGTCGGCTAAGGGGTCGAGGTTTCCGATGAACAAGTCGGCGCCGACGCCTGCGCCGCCTCCTATGCCGGCGTTTTCGGCTGTGCCGCCAGGACCGGTGCGTTTGTCGGCGGAGGCTTTGTTGACGCGGATGGGCTTTCCCCAGAGGCGGATCTGGTTCATGATTTTGGCGGCGTAGTCGGCGTCGTCTTCGCTGGCGAATTCCACGAAACCGAACTGGGAGGGATAGTGTTAGCGTAGTATAGGGACGAGGAGGAAGTTGGGGGGTTTTGGAGGGGCGGGTGCTTACGCCTTGGTGGATGCCGGTCACTCTGTCCTTGGGGAGGTGGACGTTGACTACTCGGCCGGCTTGGAGGAGAAGTTCCTGGGGTTCACATTAACCTCTGTCTTACATTCTAGTATTGTCATTCTTTTCCACTTACCCACACAAGGGCATCCGTCACTCGCTCATCCAAATTGCCCACATATAATGTACTCTCTTTATCCTGCTCGAATCGTGACATGGCGGTGTCGGAAGCGCTGTCCGGCGCAGTGGAAGCTGGGGGAGGAGGTCGTAGATGTCGTGCTGCCGACTACGATGCTTGACTATCGCCTGGAGGTATATGGGACTGCCAACTAAGCTTGTCGCGTGCTTAACACTTTCTCACATGTAAATCGAAGTGACGCGAGTCATGCGCATATGCACGTCTCAAGCTCGGAGCATGTACGACTTTCCTGTGTGCATGGTAGTGATCATTCCCGAGAACAATCCATCATCGCCCATATATTGTTCCTCCAGTACATCCGCGACCATACACATCCAATCATGGCCTGGCTCCAGCTATCAGAAGAGACAAAGGTAAGTCTTCCACACCACCATCCGCACGGATGAATCAAGACTGACCGAGTGATCGCAACACAGGAGCGCATCACCCGCATCATCGAGATCTCGCGCGTCGGCATCCACTATGGTTACTTGCCGCTCATCATCTACTTGGGCTACACGAGGAGTTCTCCACGACCGAGTTTGATCAGGTAAGCATGAAGTCAGAACTGGCGAGACATGGAAGGGGAAAATGAGAAGGGGAAAGCTGATGCATCACGCCAGGTTATTCTCCCCGCTTGCGAATTAGACAATTTCGGCCATTGAGAAGGGAGTACCGAGATGAGATGATCGCGCCACAATGGGTTGAGTTGACAGGGAGGGAAGGAGGCGGGTGTGGCTGTACGATAGAGATGGGATGAAGGAGTTGAGGACGAGTGTGGCAGCAGGAGCAGCGACTACCATCTCTGCCACGCTGTATAACGTGGGACAGGTAGTGCTCGCATGAGACGGCGTTGAGTGGCGCACGTGATACACTCATCGACCGAATCGAGGCGCCTGAGAGAGGCTCAGACCCATGGACGGGCTACATTGTGTATAAAAGTTCTTAAGCTCTCAACCTCAAAACCTTACCACGAACCAAAATCTCCCACCTCCAACCCTGCAAAAGCCCTCGTCAGAACCTCAAGTCCTCCTCCCAAAATCCCCGAACCTCGACCTGAAATCCCCAAGCGTAGTAGAAGCCTTCTTCGCATGCCCATCATCCCCCATCCCACCACTCCCCATCATAGAATTCAATCCCATCCCCAACCCAGCACCACCAACACCTCCCAACCCACCCATCCCCGCACCCTTAGCCTGCACCTTCTCCAGCAACTCGGCCCCCTTGATCTTATCCACCATCGGAAACCTCCCCGTCGTAATACTCTGATCGAAGAACTCCTCCCCCCTCCCCTCGGCGGCCAAACCCATAAGATCCGTATTCTGCTTCAGCTCCTCCACGGCCGGGATCACCGTCTCCGGTCGATCATCTTCGTCCAGACTCCCCACGAAACCGGACAAGTGGCCGACATCGAGGATGTATGCCGCCGCGGCTTGATGCGAGATCCGCTGCACCTCCGGGTCGAGCGGGAGTTGAAGCAGGTTCTCGGCGATGTGTTCCAGCGCGGTCTGGTAGATCATGTGTTTGATTTCGTACGGCAGGCCGAGGAGGACGGAGGACATGATGTTCGCCAGGTAGCGGGTCAGTTCTTGCATGTAAAGGGAGACTTGATCCGGGACGTAGGTGCTCAACCAGTCATACTCGGCCGTCTCGATCAGATCGTCAATCTTGCTGTTCACGAGCTCGAAGACCCGCCTTTCCGCTTCCGTCTTGGCTTCTTTGAAGGACGTCGTGGCGTGCAGGGATATGGGACCCGCGGCGCTGGAGGAGGAACGAACGCTTACGAGGAATTCTTCTAGGTCCGAGCAGGCTTGTTCGAAGTAGTCGAGGTTCGTCAGGATCTGGACGATTTGACCTGGGTATTGGGACTTCAGGCCCGCGAGCAGGATGCGTATGACTTTCTCCCGGAGGAGCTCGTCGAGGCCTTCTTTGATCATGCGGTCGATGGTGGCGGTGTGGCGGAAGTGGTCGTCGCTGAAGAGGTACATTTGTTGGATGAAATTGCGGATGTCGATGCAAACGAGAGGGTACATTTGGCTGAAGGGGAGGTGGTACGGGTACTCTAGGTCTTCAGGATCGCTGGCTTCGTCGGCGGGAGGCGTGTACCAGCTTACTGACAAGACTTTGGTGTACTCTTCCGCGTTGTTGATGGGCATGGGCATGTAATCATCCGAGGTGACGACCTCCTCGAAATCATCGGAGAAGCGCTTTTTCAGGAGACTGCTGTATTTGTCGAAGAGGGCGAGGAGGAGGCTGTCGAGGCTCGTGACCGAGTAGCCCCAGCCGTCCATCGTTTGGATGAAGAGGGCAATGATGCCTTTGATCTTGAGGAGCTTGTCGTCGCTTTCGATTGTGCGGAGGGCATTGCTCAGTAAGGTAATCGCTGATTGGCACATGCTGTCCCATAGCTCATCGACGTCGGATTGTGCGCGAAAGTTCTCCGTTTTAGCCATGGTGGCTTTCTCGATGATGGCAAAACCTGCTATGCCCTCTAGCAAACTGCTGAGACTGTTAAGCTCATCATCCTGGAGATTCAGTGTTTGAGGTATGAGCAGGTCTTTTTGTCGTCGGCGGGTCGCAGCATAATCCGCACGGAATTTATCTGTCTGGCCGAGTGCATCGTGGATGTGCAGGCATTCGAAGAGCGGCGAGAAGTTGACCTGGACCTCATCATTGTGCAGCACATCGAACTCCTCTACCTCATCCGCGACGAGCTCCAGGGAGGAGTTGAGCCTGGCTGTGGTAAAGCGAGGATCCTGTTCTGCCCTCTCCTTTTGCCTCTCGCGCCGAAGATCTGTGTGGTAGAAAGCCACCTCGCCCAGGAATTGTGAAGTCTCACGAATCCGGTACAGCCAGGTATTGAGGTCCGTCATGACGGCCTCGGCTATCAGTCGTTGTGTAGCAGGCACAGATCGCTCAATCATCTCAGCAATCTTATAGCGAGTGACTTCTCGGAGATGCACATTCTGCAGCTCATCAAGCGCCCTTAACGCAGCATAATGATTCTTCTCTCCGAGCAGAGCGTGAACCTGATTGGCCAGCCTCAACACTTCCAAGCAATCCTTGAGTGCTTGGGTTGTATCATCAATGTTCTGCCGCACACCACGCGAATCGACTAAGGCTTTCTTCTGCTCGGCCAACTTCTCCGTGGAAGCTTCTATGCTTCGGCTCAGCTCCATGATCTCGGACGTGAGGCTGACCGTCCCTTCCCGAACAGACTGCAGCTGTTGTACGCTGTTGACGAATTCTTGGTGGTTGTTGTTGCATATTCGCTCAATCGCAGCGTCTCGATCGGCCGAGACATGGTTGAGTGCGTGGATCAGTGGACCAACCTGGGTCTGTGTCTGCGCGTTCTGGAGGAGTGGTATCAGTTGGTCAAGGTAGTCTGTCTCCGAAGAGGATAGGATGATCTGAGAAGGATTCCAGTCAGTGTATAGTTCGGTGCTACCCCTGGGCATGATGGCTGAAGGTCTGAAGCTTTATGTGCCTTCCGCGCGCCGGGTGTTGGTATCAAGTGGCTCGTGCGTTCATGTGCTTTTGCCACCCCTCTCTGCCGACCACAGCCAGCACTCATTCATATCACTGCATTCACTGCTCACAACACCACATAAATGGGTTGTCGACGTACCGTCGGCATCGGAGAGGATATTGGAACAGACATACCTGCTGAACAGCACTTGTGAGGTCCTCATGCTGCTCTCCCACGATCAATCCCGGCATGTTGTCGCCTGCTCTTCCTTGGACTGAGGATTTCGACCACGACAGCGATCTAGAGTGACTGGAAGAGGCTATGCGAGCCAATCTCGCAAGGGGACACACGGGACTTGATTTTGCCGACTTCTGTCTGTTTTCGATCGCCTGGCTGAGGGAGGAGTTGATTGTGAATCGCTATGTGCTTTGGCCGAAGCTGCGCTGGAGACTAGGAGAGTATAAGATCCGGTGCAGATCAGAGTGGGTACGTTTGAAATCGGTTCCCAGTTTCCAGAGTATTGGCAGGTTGGTAACGAGGTATATCAATTCGACAGGCTCTGACGGGAGAGACCAGAAATGCACAGACTCATCCAAGGACGCCTCTTGGAATCTATATATACACTCAGCAAACATCATGTGGTCCATTGACGAAGCAGTCCGTTCGCTATTATACATACCAAATCACCTCTGGGCATGAACAGACGGCTAGGGCAGACACTTTCACCGCACAGCAAGAGTCAAAGCTGGCTCGCTGGAATCATTAGCGTGTACAAGCACAACATCTGGGCCGCGGCGTACTGAGAGCAGACCAGATGCGCGACGTAGACTCAGGACGAAATGAGCAGTTGTCGCCGTTCTGAATGCCTGAGGTGAATGCACATCGGCGGTTTATATAACAAGCTCCGATTACCCCGATTTGACGGACAGCTCGATCCTTGCTCATTAAGCTCTCACTAGCGGCGGCCGGCGCTTGTAGACTTTTCGGGGATCTGGCTTCCGAGCTTGGGCCCAATATCAAAGTTGCTCGACAGCGGAGGAAAGTGCGCTGAGTCAGGAACGATGGCCAATGCCTAGCAATGCATAGGATATCACATATCTCGTCGATTGTGGGAAGGCAAACGGCGTGAGTCGACTCCAAAGATTGCTTGCGAACCCCTCACTCTGACGGTGGTGAGGAGGGAGCGAGATGCTTGGGCAGAAACGACGTCAATGGCTTTGAGAAATATGGATGTCGTCTTGCACGATACCCATGCCGGGAACACGAGGAAGGAGCGATTGCCCTGAGAATCTCATTTGGCAGAGGGTCACGCCGAAGTAATGAGAGTAGTCTGAACTCTCTCTGCCGACTCATCTGCTTACGGGTTGGCCTCGTGGCTCGAAGCTACATCTGATTCGATGTTGCGGTCGAAGAAGCAGTATGGCCATGAAGCTCGTGACGAAAGGCCCACACCAAACTTACTGACTGCTTGGACGAGATGAAACAATAGCGTCCCCGCCAATTTCGTGCCTTGAGAGTTAGGCAAGTGCTCGCACACCGACACTCGCTCTATTTCTGCTTTTTCCCTCCGCTCTTCCATCTCCCTCTTATCCTCCACGTTCTCTCCACTATCTCTTCACCCGCAACTCTCTACTGCTCCCCTGCATTGTCATAGCACACCATCTTCCGCTCATTCGCATCCTCAGCGTCCATCATTGGTCCATCTTGACCTTTTGGCTAGCATCCGCCAGCTACGCTTGGAGCTGTCAATCACACTCTTGCAGCTTGATCGCAGCATCTACAGCTCTGCGACTATCCCAACCTTCATTCACTACCTTTTACGCGACATCAAGACTCGCATCCACAAAATGTCTGAGTCGACTCCTGTCCAGGGCAACAACACGCCGGACGCCAAGCAGGAGGGCGGTGTCTCGTTGTCAGCTTCTGTCAACACGTAAGTATGGCCATGGCGACCACAGAAACCCCACTCACTGACAATGCCATAGCACGAGCAGCGACTCATCTCCCAAGCTGAGCGCCAATGCCTCGCCCTTCAGGCCAGAGATGCCCATCACGCCGCTCGCCATTCTTAGCCGCCACAGCGACAGCGACGATGATCAGCCTGGCCCACTCATCGTCAGCTCTAACTCGAGCGTGGGACGGGACACACCCAATGGCGACAAAGGCAAAGGCAGAGTAGACGCTGTCGTTCAGCAGCCTATCGGCACTCGAGGCCCCAATGTAGCCCCTGCTCCAGTCCACGTCCACTTTACCACAGACATCGGCCCTGGTCTGTCGTTCCCGGGGAGTCACTATCTCGAGGTCAAGGTACCCATCAGTGACCTCGATGGTCTCTCCAAGATCATGACTGATGTGAGTGCCCATTCACTGATCCTCCACTGTCAAGTAGCCAATTATGCTAACATCGACCAGCTAAGTACCGAGGAGAAGATGCTCGGCATGAAGGTCGAGAGCGGTGGTGGCAACTTCGAGCTGACCTACGGCATCTGCTTCGACCATGTCGAGCACACCGATGAGTTCCACTACTACATCCAGCACAGCTACCCTGCCTGGACTTCGCGCTACATCAGCCAGGCCGACTACGCCAAGATGCCTGAGAATCGGACCGCCCCAGTCGACAGCAACCATTTTGACGGACAGATCATCATGGTCGCCACTTTCCAGGGTCCGACTGATGGCTTCAAGAATGACGAGGCTGTCAAGACTGCGCGTGACTTTGCTGCAGGCTTTGGCACGGTCAAGGCTTTCATGCCACTCACCAAGGCTTGGCCGAACATCGAGTTCCGCGTCGAGTATCACAAGATCTCTGATGCCAAGAAGGCGCTAGACACCGCGAGCAAAGAGGCAGCAAAAGTCGTTGGCGTGAGTATCATCACTGCCGTGAAGATGTGTTGTCTTCAAAATGCTGACTCCTTCATAGTCCTACAAGCTCTTCGTCAAGGAGATGATGCTCGCGAATGCGACAACCGGCGAAGGTGTTGCCGGCCCATCCCACTACCGTGAGAACAGTCCGACGTCGCACGGCTTTGTGTCTGGCAATGGTCAGCACATCAGTGAGACCGGCCGCACTACCTGGTCACTCGATGACAATGGCGTGCCTCAAGCTGGCAAGCCGATGCGTGTCGTTCCGAAGGTCGATGGCGCTGCCTCGGGTCCTCTCATCGTGAGCACGCCTCAGCGCGATCGCTTCCACTCTACCCCTCAGCCAAACACACCTCAAGGCATGATGTACGGCACCATGATGCCACCTCGCAGCGGGTCCTGGAACGGGCCACTTCAATTCCGCTCTCCTGATGAGCAACACGTCTCCACTCCTCAGCAAGTTGAGGTCTGGAGAATCGGTAATGGCACGGATGTGCGTACGACGGTCATGCTTAGGAATGTGCCGAACCGTATGACCTTCGGTGAGCTGAAGAACTACATCGATTTTACCTCCAAAGGCAAGTACGATTTCTTGTACTTGCGTATTGACTTCGAGAAAAACACCAACGTCGGCTATGCCTTCATTGATTTCGCCAATCCAGAGGACATCCTGGAGTTCCTGACCCACCGCAATGGCACTCGCTGGTCGCAGAGCAATGGTCGTGTGGTGCACCTGTCTTACGCCACCATCCAGGGCTACGATTGTTTGGTCGAGAAGTTCCGCAACTCTGCCATCATGCTGGAGAATCCCGAATACCGCCCCAAGCTGTACTACACCAGCGAGACGGCGCCGGAGCCTAGCAAGGTTGGCGAGCAGCGTGAGTTCCCGGGCCCGAACAACGTCGCCAAGCAGCAACGCTCCATTCAGAATGCTAGCGAGATGGGTCTGTACACTCCCCACGGCAACCGCATGCACCGCGATCGTGGTCGTCGATCTCAGTATGATCGCGGCACACCCGCTCAGCTCCAAGAGGAGATGTTCTATCATGGCACGCCAATGCAGCAGGGCCAGCTTACCTACGCCGGCTACGGTAACACCAATAATGCTTACGCCAGCCCTCATCAGTATGGCAATCAGCACGGCTTCCAGAACAACGGCTATCCTGTCCACGGTTTCATGAACGGACATCCTGGTAACTGCTATGCATTCACCCCTCGTATGGCTGGCCCGCCGCCTTTCTTCCCGCAGATGGGCGGTTACCATGAGATGCCGCCGCCTTACTTGGGCCATCCAGAATTCCAGGATCCCTTCGCAGCCGATCCTGATACCGGCGTGTACGGCAACGGCTACAACGGCAATCATGTCATGCATGTTGGCACTCCTGGCGCTCGAGTCTACACCATGACCCCTGGCGGCCCTGTCCAGAGCCCGGGCGGCGCCATGTCTGCCGTCGCTGAGGTTGATGAGACCGGCTACAACGAGCACCCAGGCCCTCACCACGGCTCTATGTCGTAGACACAGACTCGTTACTCTGACGATCGTTCTTCAACGACAACACTCACTTACTTTCGCATCATCTTAACATGATGCAGCTCTTGATCTCCTGGCGGTTGGAGACTGCTCTTGAATGTGCACTGGTGCCCTCTGCCACGGCAAGGCTACTGACTGAATGACCTGGCGAAGGATGTGATGCCCCTTCCATTGGTTGTCGATGTCGACCTGGACACGTTTGCTTTTGAAAAGGGCAACATGCTTCTTCAGATACCCCTACGGTCAATGGGCGTACGGTGGATATGGGCGTACGGTGGATATGGGCGTACGGTGGATATGGGCGTATGGTGCTGCGTTATTGTTTTATTACTGATTTTTGTGCTGCGTTCATGACGACTCTGGCCTCCGTTACTCGACGAGTGGACGCAAAAGCTCAGCGGGATGGGATGGCGAAGGTGGCGAAGATGGAGGAGGATACTATCGTACTAATGTCTGCTTTTTATTGCTGCGTTCTGTTTGTACGTACTTCGCTATTCGACATCGTATACAAAAGGATTTATGCAGCAAATAACTGCTCTCGTTGAATGTTGCCGGCTTCTCGTTGTGTCTTGTAGCGAAGATGGAAAGACATTGCCGATCAAGAGCATTATGCTAATCTCTCGCGCGTGCACGGCTCGCCAAGTGAATGTTAATGTCGGCCCTCGAATCCGTAGCCTCCCACTCTTCGACATCTCCAAAGACCCACGCGTGCCACGCAACATCAACGCGAACACAGCTCGCCTCGAGAGAGGATGTACCAACACCCCCGGCTCTGAAGAATAGTTCATGTCAGCTATGGCGCGTGGCAAGACTATCAGGCTCACCAGTCTTGCGCTGGCCAACGCGCTGCTGCCGGTAGCTCTCCTCGTCTTCGCGGTCGGCTTCTTCCCATACAAACCGCTTCTACCCGGCCTCGCTACCTTTGAAGATGATCGAGAGAATGGAGGATGGGCTGGCGGCCGACTTGAGCCAGTATTTGACAGAGTCATATTCATGGTAGTGGATGCGCTTCGGAGCGACTTCGTGTATGGACACAACAGTGGCTTCCACTTTACGCAGAAGTACGAACAGGATATGATTCATGGCAGAGAGAGCGATACTGACGTCCCGTGCAGTCTGATACGCGATGGAGCAGCTATCCCTTTCACGGCCCATGCCAGCCCTCCTACCGTGACCATGCCTCGCATCAAAGCACTAACCACAGGCTCCGTCCCTTCCTTCGCCGACCTGATCTTTAACCTCGACGAGAGCGGCTCAGGCGCCAACCTTGCGACTCAAGACACCTGGCTAGCTCAGATCAAAGCAAAAGGCGGGAAGCTCGTTTTCTTCGGCGATGATACATGGTTACGTCTGTTTCCCAACGACTTCTTTGAGCGTGCGGACGGCACTAGCTCTTTCTTCGTTTCGGTCAGTAGAACTGGCCCTGGTAATTGTTGTAGAGTATGTAGGCTGAGTATCGATTTTCTTCTCGATAGGATTTCACTGAGGTTGATCACAATGTTACTCGTCATGTCCCTGCGGAGCTGGAGAGCGATGACTGGAGTGCCATGATTATGCATTACCTTGGTCTGGATCACATTGGACACAAGACTGGACCTCAAGGGCCGAATATGCTGCCGAAGCAGGAGGAGATGGATGGGATTGTGAAGTCTATCTACGAGGCTATGGAGAGTCAGCCACATCTTGCGAAAAGCTTGCTTGTGCTCGCGGGAGATCATGGCATGAATGCTGGTGGGAATCATGGTGGGAGTGGTCCTGGTGAGACAGAGCCTGCTCTGCTGTTCGCCAGCCCCAAATTCAAAGAACGCAAGAATCCTACCACGTATGAGTGTCCGACCTCGCCTAAGGAGGGCACTGAATTTCATTACTACCGCAAGGTACAGCAGAGCGATATTGTGCCGACACTGGCAGGACTTCTAGGGATGCCGATCTCGAAGAACAGTCTGGGGGTGTTCATTGGGGAGCTGGCGGAGGCGTGGTCGGACGCGAGTCGCAAGGCCCAGATCATGTACCAGAATGCACGACAGATCAGTAAGATCGTGGAGGCAGCTTATGGGGCCGATGCGTATTCTACGGCTGTTGAGAAGTGGTCAACATGCTTGAGGAAGGACCCTAGCGCTGGCGACTGTGGCATACCAGACGATCAGCTTTCCGCACTAGCGAAACGATGGTCGTCCACGACCCTAACTATGTCTGGTGGCAGTGAGGCACGGCACGGCGACATGTCGCAAGAAGCTGCAGCATTCTTGACAGTGGCGCAGGACATTCTGAGCAGCGCGGCAAGCTCGTACGATGTGCCTCGTATGGTACTTGGCATGTTGATCTGTGGCATTGCACTAGTCATGACTTTAGTCTCTCTGCCTGCAGTATGGCCTCCAAGTACAGCCGGCAGCTTCTTCGCCATCACATGTTTCCTCTACGGCATCATGATGTTCGCAAGCAGCTACGTGGAAGAAGAACAACATTTCTGGTACTGGTTAACACCTGCTTGGGTGGCCTTACTCACAGCCGAGAATGTGATCAGAAGTCGACAGAGATCTGAGAAGCTCGCCTGCTTTACATCTGGTCTGGTCATCCTGGCAGTACATCGCATCGCTATACGCTGCAATCAGACAGGTCAGAAGCACGCTGGAGAGCCTGACATTGTACACACTTTCTTCCCTGAGCATCACTTGCTCATGTGGCTATTGATACTCGCTACCTACGGCTACACATGCTGGATGGTTGCAGGGCGGACGTTTCTGGATCTTGTGCCGGGCGAAGTAGCGGCTTTGAGCGCCATCGTTCTTGCCATCCCTGCTGTCGTCTTTAAGCTCAACTTTACGCATGCTGATGCACCCGAGCTGGTTCAAGACCTCGCGCTGCAGATCCGAGTCTGGACTGCGCCATTCAGTCTCGTGTCGCAGGCACAGGTATCTTTTGCGGTGCTCCTGCTGGCCGCTTTGACCGTGAGTGCTATGGCCGTCAGCTTGGCTAGAGGTACAGAGCTTGCCCGGAAAGATGGCCCAGCTGTGAATGTCACGCTCGCAGAGCGACTTCACCACTTGCTGACTCTGTTTCTAATAACGCAAAGTCGAGCCACCAACATACCACTGTTCCTTGGCTTCGCTCTGCAGTCGCGAGCACTGCACCAGCTGCTACACTCCGCTACGCATACCGATACCGAAATAGTCCCGCGGCGGAGTGCTGCAATTCCCATACCGGAGTTGGCCACAACTGCATTGCTGCTATCGCACACTTACTTTTTCTGCGAAGGCGGCTCGAACTCTATCTCCAGTGTCGACCTGAGCAATGCTTATAACGGCGTTGGTGACTACAACGTCGCCGCCGTTGGCCTTCTGCTCTTCGCAAGCAACTGGAATGGACCAATATGGTGGTGTAGCGTTGCTGTGCTCATGACGTTCTCACGGCCCTCGCAAGCGATAGACGACAGTCGGACGAAGACGAATGGGAGTCGTTCTTGGGTGAACCAGGAGCGAAGCAAGCTGCGCCAGGACGCATCTGCCACAAAGCCAAGTAGTCCGTCATCTGCGCAAGACACGAACTTGTGGCTCTGGTATGTGTCATGCATGACTGCCTTCGTCGCTGCAGGTCTGTTGGCTGTAATGACAGCTTGCACTCTGCTCAGAACCCACCTGTTCATCTGGACAGTGTTCAGCCCAAAGTACCTGTACGCGATGGCTTGGTGTATCGGCTGGCATCTGCTGGTGAACATTGGCTTTGGCGGTGCATTGCGAGGCTTAGGTAGTATAGCGTAGCCTTTTGTGAACTTATACTAATTGACGCCTTCATCCAAAACCATCGAACAGATCGTCGATTGCATTACTCTTCTTCGTCTTCGTCTTGTTTTTTATGCCGATAATTATCTTGCTGGCAGGTCGCTTCGTGTGAACGCTACTGACAGCCTTCTCTGGGCCCTTTGATTGTGAAGCAGGGTCATGAGGTCCACTTGCTTTAGCAGAACTGGTTGTGGTCACACCAGTGACAGCATCTGTGCCTACTTCAGCATCTCGAATGATGACCTCTCCAACGTCTTCACGCTGCTTGTCCAAACCTCCGGGGCCAGCACGACCGGGCTGCCATTCCTCTCCAAACTGCTCAAGCACTTGCTCAATCTCATGCTGGCCCAGATCCTCGAAAGCCGCAGTGATACCAAGGAGACGGCACGATTCGGCCAAGACACTCAACAGCACAAGTCCCAGTACCGCGAAGCGGCCATCAGCAGCTAGCTGGGAGAAGGCATGCTGCCATCCAGGGACAAGGACATCGCGCCAAAGACCCAGACTTTGCTGCAGGTGAAATTTCACACTTTCGTCCTCGGCCTGCTTCTTGGTGCGTGCAAGATGGGTACTCGGGACCTCACGGAGCTCCGATAGCCGAGACACTATCTGTTCCAGACGTTTCTTGTATACTGAAAAGTGTCGCCACCATACACTTCGTCTATGCTGATTTTTGTTGCGGTGCTGGAATAGATGCAAGATATCGTTGAGGTGCTGCAACATTTCGAAGTCCTCATTGCTTAGCTGGTGTACATGTAGTAGGTCCATGTCAGACCTTCATCTTGGGTTACCCTCACTTCTTCATATTGCCCACGTTATGAGAGAGAGACCAAATCTGATGGCCGGCACTGCACGGACCGGTCCTTCCCGGCATATTAGCGCGCATCGTGCTTTCTTCGTTTGTGAGCTTCTTCTGCTCTACCAAGTGAATTCTGATCACAAATTTATTATGACGGGAGCTACACGATCAGGCAGCAGAAGGATTTTCTATGACATCCTGTGCTTATGAACCTCACATCGTGCCGCCATTGACAGCGAGCGCTCATTTCAGCAAAGCCAATAAGCAATCATGAACGGGAACGATGCATCAGTTGCGATGCCACAAAGTGTGGCGGATGTAGAAGAGGTAGGACATCCATGACAATACGACAGCCACTCTTATTTGCTAACCATAAGAACAGCTTGTCAAACGCTTGTACAAGCCTGGCTCGCCGAAAATAATCTCTACAATCAATGATCAGCTGCTGAAGCTCCAGCACTCAACAGAAGGATGGAACCTCGCCGATGCGCTGATGAGTAGCAACGACCAGAACGTGCGCTTCTTCGCCGCGAACACGTTCACAGTAAAACTCAACAATGAAGGGTCAGTAGTAGACCCTGAGCTGAGTTAAGGGTGAGGGATCTGCTTATACCGTCTTAGATCTAACCTTAACGCTGAAGCTGCGCAGACTATACGCAAGCGTCTGACCTCATGGCTGGCACATGCTGTAAGCCAACACGACAGTGCTATGGTAGTGCGGAAGCTTTGTGCGACGCTCGTCACATACTATATACGAGCATCCTTTCTCTGGGACCGGCCAATCTGCACGATCGCGTACACCCTGCACGCTGGAAACGAGGATACGGACCACCTCCCAGACATTGACACTACGCTACCAAGACTGAACCAATATCAAGTCGTCGCTCTGCTCTGGTTCTCTGCTACACTTGCAGATGAAGTTAGCAGACTTGATAGCAACACTGCCTCGCACAGCAAAGTCCACAATGCAATGGAAGTCAACGTTCAGGACGCTAGTAGAACCATGAGTGCTGCTCTCAAGGCGCCAGATTTCAAAATCAATGGCGAGGGACTAAGATGCTTCTTGACATGGGTCAACTATGCTCAACCAGTATGGCCAAGAAATTTGGAAGCTCTGCAGCATCTACGGGAACTCGTCGAGCCGGCTACCCGGAGCCTGGTTACGCAGGAAGTACAAAATGACGCGCTTGAAGTTTTTCGAGACATCCTCGAAAGCTACACAAGCTTCTTCCAGCCTGATCATATGCGACTCATAGGCAGGATAGTACGAGAACATGTTCAGCCAGTGCTGCAGCAAGCACTGCGCGACCAAATCCCGGAGGTCCTACCTTACGGTCAGATGGTAATAGCATATGGTGTGGCCAACGTCGAAGAGGTAGCCGAGCATCTGGACGCATCCGAGCATGCAGCCACGATTGTCAATCTTCACTTCGACATACTGAGAGCTCCAGGCTATCCTGGCGACGATGACGAGCTTTCAATCATGAGCATCGAGTTCTGGAACACGTATGTCGAGTACGTTAACGACACAGTTTTCTCACAAGATCCTGGTGCACCAGAACCAACATGGCTGCCCTCCGCCAAGGCTATCCTCTTGCAGCTGGTGGAGCTTCTCTGGGCCAAGATGGTGACACCGCCAGGCAACATCGCCAACAATTGGACGGATGACGAGAACGATGGCTTCAAGGAGTTCAGGCTTGACACTACGGATCTCATTCTATCAATGTACGTCTGTCTGGGTAAAGAGATGCTGCAGAAGCTGGTTGCATTAGCTTTGCAGTCGCTAGAGAGCAAGCAATGGCGACTTCTCGAAGCTGGTCTGTTCTGCTTGAATGCTCTAGCAGACAATGTGCTGGAAGAGCAAGCTGGCGAGGACACTCTTGCTGCTGTCTTCGGCTCGTCTCTTTTCCGTGAAATGGGCGACTTCTCACAGACGATTCCGTCGCAAGCTCGGCGAACAGCCATCGATATACTTGGCTCTTACGGAAACTACATCGAGCGCCATGTGGAGTACTTAGCAGATGCGGTGCGCTTCCTGTTCGCGTCCTTGGAGATGGGATTGCTCGCAAACACTGCGGCGAAGTCCATTGCGGCTTTGTGCTCGGCTTGCCGGTCGAGCCTGACCGGCGAGCTGAACGGCTTCCTGCAGCAATACCAGAGCTTCTTGGCCGGCCCAACAAACGATCCGTATACCAAAGAGAAGGTCATCGGTGGCATTGCTTGCATAGTACAGGCACTCAAACCGGAAAGTGCGAAGGTCGCACCTCTGCTGTCACTCATCGAAAACGTAGAGCAAGACGTCCAACAGGCCAAGGACAACGCTGCGAGTAATCCGGACATGTGTGAAGTGATGGGCGTGGCCGCTCTGAGTTGTCTTGCCGCGATAGGAAAGAGTCTGCAAGTGCCGGATGATGTGACCATCGACCTCTACGACGATGACGAGCCTGCGCAAGGGCAGCGGAACTACTGGGAGGGCGAAGAAGCAGAAGTGGTGCAACACCGTATCATGGGTTGCTTCTCCGTGCTGCAGGTCCTTGGGAATGATGGCGATGCTATTGAGGCCGCTTGTCAAGTGTTGAAAAGTGGTTTCGCGGAGTCAGAGCCAGGACCTTTCGTCTTGCCCCCTTCGGTCACGGTCAGCTTCCTCCAACAGTGTACCATCCAGACACCACAGGTCGAGTCGGTTCTGTCCACGGCTTGCATACTCATCACTCAGCACTCGAAGCCCACTTCTCGGCGCATCCCTGAAGAAGTTCGAGCAATTTGTCAACAGGTGGCACACTTTGTTGGCCAGCTGCAACGCCCGAACAGGGACCCTGGCATAGCTCATGGCTGCATTGAAGTCTTGACTCGGCTTTTCCCGCACTACCTGCATCTTTTGCTTGAACACGATTCGGCCTTAGCAGAGCAGATGTCGGCCATTCTCGACTTCACATTACAGGCCATCGACGGGCAAGATCCATTCCCGAAGCGCTCGGCAGCGGAACTGTGGGCAAAGCTGATCAAGCCACCCAACGTCCCCATTTCGGATGACGCCCGGCATCGTCTAGCTCAGGTCATTTCGGCATATGGTCCTCAATTGTCCCTTACGCTGGTACGGCAAATCGGCGGTTTTGCTTCAAGGTCAGAGCTCGACTACATCTGCGAGCCGCTGAAGGCTCTGATTGTGAATCAAGCAGCTTCGAGAGGATGGCTAGAAGCGGCCGTGCTCAATAAAGCCTTCGTCACCGAGTCTGGTAGTATTGGCGACACAGAGAAGCGTCGCTTCCTCCTGCAGATATTCGGCCTGCGTGGTGAGATGCGGAAGACCAAAGAGGTCGTGAAGGAGTTCTGGGCGGCTTGTCGTGGTACTGTCGTCTCGTACAGCTGAGGCTGTCCAGTTCGCGGACTTTGTGCCGGCCTCACGACATTCCGGAAGATGTACTCTGCTTCCTGCTTCTTACATAGCGCAGCGACCATGATACCCTTGAAAATTGATAGCCAACATCTATTGGCATCATAAATAAAAGAATTACAAAGCTCCTCCCGGCAGAAGACCATCTCACGCCTTCGGATTGACCAGGATCTGATACGGGAAAGCATTCGAATCGTTCGTCGTGATGGGAGGGATGTGATTCTTCTCCTTGTTCGCCGTTGTGATCACTTTCATCACAGCATCTTGCAGACTGTTCTCCATTACTCTGCGATTCCACTCGGCCTCTGGCTCACTTCTAGCGCTCGTCAGATTGACTTCGAGTATCCAGCTTTCCCAGATCGTTTCTTCGTCTGCTTTTGAGATGAACCAGCCCTTGCGGCGTTTGCGTTCGAGGAACTGGATCACGAGAGTGCTGCGTGCGGCTCCACTGCTTTTTGGGTTGTATTGCGGCGACAGTGTGGTTGAGCCCGAATCAAGAGCTCGGAGGAGGGTGGTGGATCTTGTCTCGAGCAGTTGAATCAGTTCCTTGTCGTCGACGTAGGGTACTGTCACATCTAGGACATCGTAGTTGGCAGGCTCGAGAGGTGTGAAGAGGCGATGGAAGAAGATGGTGTGCATGATCCCTATTTGATCGTAAGAGTATGCTCACAGCCCATGCCTCGTCAGCGATCCTACCTTTGACCACTTCTTTGACGTTCTGTCGATCTGCAGACAGTTCGATACCGAACTCGGGCGGCTTGCGACCTTCCATCTCGTCTTGCTATGCTTGGTCCAATTTGTTGTCGCTCAACCGAGCTAGTGTATGCTTTCTAGACCATACCTGATGTTGCAATCGCCATGGAGTGTCATATTCCACGAGCCAGTGGACGATACCTATGTCGATGTGGACGTGTGAAGACGGATCTTCTGATGAGGCAGTGGGGTGGTTGGTCTCGCATGTGATGGCAGCCTCGAGACGAGGTCAAAGCAGAGAAGCGACTTCGCAACGAGCTGTCGGCTACTGCACCATTTGCCCCGATAAGGCAGGCACGTTGTAGAAAGAAGTCCGGCTATCTGATAGAAGGATGTACACTTGTCCGTCCGTATCAAGACGGGTCTCAAGCACGCTGAAGTGCAATCGTCCACCGTGAACACGTTCGAGACCTCGCCACGTCAATCCAGGCTGCCTGGACAAGGCTGCCACGATAAGCCTGGCGATCTGCTAAGTACAGTACGCCGCTCAAGGGATACCAGTCACGGCGTCAAGATGAGCTCAGCAAGAGTCCTCGTGTTCGGAGCTGGTGGCGTTGGCTGCATATATGCCTATATACTACACAAAGCTGGAGCTTCAGTAACCGTGGTCTGCAGAACAAATTACCAAGCCGTCAAGTCTAGTGGTATCACAATTCGTTCAAAGACGTTCGGTCGACAGCACTTTCAGCCAATAGCCGTACAGTCAATCAAAGAAGCAAAGCAGCATGGCCCCTTCGACTACCTACTCGTCTGCAGCAAAGCATTTCCTGGCACCGCCGAAATGATCAAGGATGCTGTGACTCCTGATCAGACTGCGATTGTGCTCGCACAGAACGGCATCGGTCTTGAAGAAGACTATGTTAAGCTCTATCCCAACAATTCAATCATTTCAGGTGTGGTCTATCTGCCTGTGACACAAGTGGAGCAAGGCATTATCGAGCATGGCCCTTTGGAGCGCTTCGAGATTGGCACTTATCCTGCACAAGCAAGTGCTGCAGCCAAGGAGCAGTGTCAGGGACTTTCCAACCTGTTCAGAGCTGGCGGCGGCTCTGCACCTGTCTTTGGTATCAGCACAACTCGGACCTTTTGAGAGACAACGGCTAGCTGACGTCGTGCTATAGATGACATACAGCCGAGACGCTGGGTCAAAGTAGCCGTCAATGCTGCCTGGAACCCTACCACCGCTCTCACAATGTGCGACGACGCGAATTACCTTCGGTCTTCTGTGCAAGCCGAGCCTTTGGTTCGCGGTATCATGAAAGAGGTTGGCACTGTTGCGACAGCAGCAGGCTATCCCGATGCTATCACAGATGGAGCCATCGAGAACGATCTCGCCAGACCGAAGTCTCGTCTTGAGACAGGTGGAAAGGAGCCGAGTATGCTGACTGACGTTCGAGCTGGTCGATCTATCGAAGTCGAGGCCATTATAGGCAACACGTTGCGGATCGGACAGATACATGGTGTTGTGACGCCGTATCTGGAGATGTTGTATGCGCTTGCGAAGGCCAGAAACTTTGCTCTTAGTCCCGATGAAACTTGGAAACCGATTGCGAGACATGACTGACGACATCTCGAGACGCTGGTCGAACTCGCAAGCAATATAGAGCAGACTATCAACATCCGAATGCTAGATGTAGCCCAGAAAGTTCGTAGCCATTGCTACAATGAGTGTCATGAGTCCTGCACGTGGGCCTAGATGCTTGATCAGAGCTTGATCAGAGCTTGAGACAGTGATACTTAGAGCGAGATACGTTGCAGCACCCATCAATCGTCAGACTCTCGCCACTCGGTGGAGGATCCCTGCCTTCACCTCATCCAGACTGTAAAGCAGTTGAGATCTCTGGTTCCACGGACGCTGGCATAAGAGAGCATGAGCCCACCACTATCTTCGGTCAGATTCAAGAAAGCTGTTCTGGCACTACTCGCCTCTACTACAGCTCTATTGCAAGTACCGTTTCAAAGTAGAGAGTGCATAGGTGTTGTCTGAGGATGAAGCATGACCACAACTGCTGCGTCAAATGTGGCTACCAAGACATCGTTACGGAAGGACCTGGTGAGGAGTACGTTCGGGAGCGCTGGCAGGCCAAGAATCCGCCTCAGGAACGATTGATGTCAGCCGTGCTGTCCGAAGGGGAATAGAGTTGGGAGCAAGAAGATGCTTGAGACTCGCCAGCTGGCCTACAGGTTTACACAATATTATTTTTGTATCCTAAAACGATGCGAATGCGCTAAGCGCGAACATGGTCCCAAAGCTTAGCTTGAGTGCCACATTGTCCTGTACAGCGCTCCTGAGATCTACACCCTTGACATATTTTTGCAGCGACTGATAGGGTACAAGGTGGATGCCGTATGATTCTGCCGCTTGCACCCCAATAACCAGAAGACCAATAAGGAGCGCCAGAGGTTTCGAGAACAGCGAGACGCCCATTCCTGCGGCGAGACCTAGACTACCTTAGCACCTCGTTACTTACGTGTATGCTGACAGCAAAGGCTGGCGTACCTAGTATGCTACCCATTGACAGCTGCCGCACTGCTCTCGGATTCAGACCTCCGCTCTGGCTGACAACTGGTGTGCTTGCATCATTTTGATATTGCGAGAAAGACCAATCTTTGGGGCTGACGGACGAGGCGCCACTTGCCACGTCGAGGCGTAGTAATCGTCGGGACTGGAAGGTCTGGTGTACGAGGAGTGCTCCCGAGACGCCGAGTCCAGCTGCGAAGAGAGGTGTTCGGAGGCTGAATAGCGAGGGTTGGAGGAAGCGGAACGCCATTGTGCGGAGTGAGGAAGGAAGTGATGTGTATATCAGGCAACTGTTCGATGGGCGTGTGAGATGAGCACAGCGGATGTGGTAAGAAAGGAGATTCGGATCATCGTTTCTCAACTTCACTTCGCAATCGCGTCTAGCTGGACTTCTGACATCATTCAATCGCGTGGAAGCACGTGGGGCCAGGGGCGCTTTTTGGGTTCTCGACGATTACTACAGTTCTTCCTGTAGACAACAATGAGAATACCAATCACGGGAACATCGATACTGGAGGCAACACACATACGATAGCCATGGACTACTGCATGTCAACATTGTAATGCTCCATAGCTTCATCATCATCATCACCATCATCAGAACCAGACTACGCAGCAAGACTTTACATGACTCTCGTCGGACTGTGGTCTGTGCTCTATGGTGGACACGGCAGGTCTGAAGGGAGACTGTGGTCGAGAGGAGCAGACTTCTTTCTTTGTGTGATGAGGCCGTACGATGGCTGGTACAGGTTGTCGCCATATCCACCAAAATCTACACATCTCAAACATTCCAAAACGCCTTCGCTTTGCATAATTCGTCCCGCATAAGTCATGCAATCATGCTATCGTGTGCTCATCTATGACTCAGAAGATCCAGTATCGTCCTGGGAACTTCTGATCTCCGACAAAACCTTAGTCAACTCCTTCAGCCTGACAGGCTTCGTCAAGAACAGGTCCACTCCAGAAGAGAAGGCTTCGTGTTGTGCACTGGCGCTGCCCAATCCTGTCAACGCGATGATATGCGCAGGCTGTAAATCGTGTTGTTGTTCGAAAGCTCGAATTTCTCGTGTTGCTTCAAAGCCATTCATCTTTGGCATATCTAGAAGTGAAAGTCAGAAATCACGGATCTCTCATTTACGACGTCAATCTAATATATTACTCACTGATATCCATAAGAATGACTTGTGGCTTGTCCAACGGCGAAGCGCTATTGACATCACCATGCTTGATCGATACGTTGTCGGCGACAGCAATGCTTTCTGTACCCAAGCACGTGGCTTTGTATCTTTCAACTGCCTGCATGCCGTCTGTAGCGATCTGTTTTCGGTGCCCCTGCTTTCTTGCATAGTTGACCAGGAGCTGGAGATTGATTGGATTGTCATCAACCAAGAGCAATGACATGCCAGTAGGACGCTCGCTAGGAGCCTCATTACGGACAGCAGGCTGCTTGGGCGATGTCGCGGGTGGTGACGCAACGGCATTACCTGCTGATCTCGATCGACTGCTGAGGTAGTCTTCTGCTGGAGCGAGATTTTGTCCTCCAGGGGTGGGAAGGGGAGAGCGTTTCTGTTGCTCTTCGAGCGCTTTCGGTGAATAGGTTGGAGGCGGACTGTAGAGTATACTGTCGATTTCAGCACCATTGAGGTGCAAAGGGATTTGTGTGCGCTGTAGGAGCGCGAGTGGATGCCCAGAGGCCAGGCCTGATTCCTCTGAGAGATCGGTACGTGATGACGAATCCGAGCTTGATCCAGTCGACTGGCGATCTTCTTCCGTCGAGGATGTTTCGCTCGAAGTTTGAGGGCCAGATAAACAACTCTCGACGACCTTGCGAAGCTGTTCCGTACCGCACGGCTGTGCAACGTATTTGACTTGTTTCGTGATGAAACCGTTAGCAGCATGTGTAACACGAAGCTGCCGCAGCGAGACCGCAGAGGTGCAGACTACAACGAGCGGCTTGTCCAGTAGTGATTTTCCGGCGACCAATTGCATTTCGTGTGCAAAACGTGCCAAGTCTTCTTCGGCTATGAAGGCGATATCAGCTTGAGTTGTGACTTCATGATCGTCAGCTGAGACTTCAAGGTCCAGGTGTCGACAATGGCTCTCGATGCTCTTGCGCAGCATACCCTTGCCGACAACCAGCTTTCCGCCACTCGTCCCGCTTGGCAAGCCTCCAAAATTGAGGATAGTAGCTGATTTGCCCGCATATGAAGACTTTGTGAGGTGGGATTGTGCCGCCTTCTCCTCGCGGCTGACCTTATAGCTGTCAATAGGAACTGTGACCGTGATAGTCGAGCCTTTCTCTTTCTCACTTTGCACCTCAACAGTTCCGTCCATGGCTTTCACGATCTTCGCCACCAAGCTCAGGCCCAAACCCGTACCCTCGACTAAGCTGTCCTCTTGTGAAAATGGGTTGAAGAGGTGATTCTCTAGGAAGTCTCTGGTCATGCCCCGACCGCTATCCGTGACCTGGAAAACAGCATTGAACTTCTTCTTTCTGCCAGGCACAGGCTCGGTCTTTAATGAGATGCTCACAAAGCCTTCGGATGTGTACTTCAGTGAGTTTGAGACCAGATTGATGCATACTCTCTTCCACCCGCCCAGAGCCACTTTGCACCGCCAGTTGATGTGTGGAGACCTTTCGATGTCCAGAGCAACAGTCACTTTGCGATCCAGGATGAATCGCTTTTCCCTACTGCACGCGTATGAGTAGACGGCGGTCTCGACCACTTCTTCAGTCACATCGTCGAGTGAGCAGTCTGCTTCCATATTCATCATGTTGCCAAGCTGGGCTCGTTTGGTGTCTCCCATGGGCATTCGGGGTGGCCGTGACGGCATACCTTGGCGCTGGTCTTCCAACGCTTTCGAGCCTTTCACATGATGATTTATCTTGGAGAAGTCGAGTAGATGGTTGACAATATCCAGCAATGTTCGGCCGCATATCTCAATCTGTGACACCAGCTCTGTGCTGAAAGAGTCCGCTGAGGGTTGATCTTGCAGACATTCGACGCTGCCCAGGATGCCATGTAGTGGAGATCGCAGCTCGTGCGATATTGAAGAAATGAAATCCGATTTCGCTGTGTTCGAATTTTGGGCTTCAAGACGATGAGCGTCGGCCATCACAATGTCGCAGAAAGCAGCCATATAGTTGACTTCTGACTCTCGTGAGAACAGTCGAAGTGGCGAATATGTCCAGATCGCGCATGCAGAGAACCATCTTCCGCGGTTTCCATCCCACATACCAACCAAAGCCACGCTTCGCACACCTGGGAATAGTCGCTGTATCTCTCGCCCATCATCTATTCGATTGCGGCGCTTCTGTCCTCGTCGGTTGGTGGAGCTTTGTTCTGATGGATCATCGTCAAGTGCTGTTGGAATTGGAGGCGCTGTCTCGCTGCTCGGCGTACCGCCTTCAGAGGAAGAGTCGTCAGAAGAGGCATCACCTGTCTCGTTGAAGTTCCAAATTTTGCCGCGAGGGTTCCGTCTGAGTAGCGACCGGAGAAACCTCTCTGTCACATTCGCTGCTTGTATGTCGAGATGCAGCTCTCCGTCGTTGTTAAAGTTGTCGTTGACAGTGTGGGAGGAAGCCATGACTCTGCACGGCTTATCTAATCCTCTGCTGTCCGATCGCTTCCGATTCTCGACTTCCGACAGAGTGGCATCCGTGGCGCTGCACATTGCTTCGGAGCTCTGTTCGCTGCCGCTCTCGGTGTCGATCAGACCGCAATATGTGCTCATGCTTGCATCAAGGAATACTGCGCCGTCCACGTCCACTGATTGACGTATCAAGTCCGCAGCGCGCTGAAAGGTCGTGCGTATATTGGTGGCCACATCTTGATCGCGAAAGTCTTCGGTTGCGGTCCGGCTGTTTTTCGACACCTTGGGTGCACTATGTGGACCAGCTCTTGGGGGGGCCAAAGCTTCCGGTACGCCAGAGGCTTTGTTCGCAGTAAAGCCAGATTGAGGTTTGATCTTAGACGCATTGAACTTCATACCGCTTTTCAGGTGAGAAGACTTCACATCCGGCGCTTCTGCCTCAGACTGAGCAGCATCTGGTGACGCCTTGCGCTCAGGTGTATCTTCCGCACCTCCGACTCGACGATAGTCACGACGGCCGGTATCGCGCTCCCATAACTTCAGACTGGAAGCACCCTCGATGAATGCACCTAAGCCAGATACCATAGTCGTGCCGCGCTCGTGTTCTGACTTGGCGCGAACCATCTCGAGATGTGTCATGACGGTCTTGGCCATATCATGCATGAACGCGATGCCCTTCTCGTCCAGACCATCTCGGGTCCTGTCGTCCAGCAGACAGTACGCTCCAATGTTGATGCCTCTGGGTGAGGTAATCGGCACCCCAGCATAGAACTTGGCTTTCGGGCCATCCTTTACATATGGTCGTCCGCAGAATTGACTGTCCTGATCTAGATCGTTGATCACATGGATGAGACTGCGGTCGGGGTCAAAGTCTTCCGCATCTTCCTCTGGTAGCCGACATACGGTTTCCTCGCAGATGGTGTAGCCTCGAGGTATGATTGAGTGTCCAAGCCAAAGGTTGTCCTCTATCTCATGTACAGAGTCGTCCTGGAGCGACAGGGTTCTGGTCGCTTCCGCAAGAACGTAAGCATAACTGCTGTCAAAGAAGAATAGCATAGCACGGCGTGCGCCTAGGCGTAAAGCTCCCAGTTGGCAGAATGCTGTCAATGCAGGATCTGGTGACGAGTACGGCTTGTGGGCTTTGAAGGCAGCCTCATCGTGGAGATCACACAATTGTGGTCCGGATCCCGTGAGCGCTCGAATGGGCTCGTAATATCTGTAAAACTCGCGCTCTCGTCTACTCTCGTATAATGTGACCTTGCGAGGAGGATGAGTTCGTCCGACAAACGAGGAGTGTGCCATTACTAGATCTCAACCAGCTATGGTGATGAATCGAAGCCTGTCCGCGCACGGCAATTATGTTCGTGTCTTTATTGAGGCCGTCATGTCGCTAGTGGTCATCGTGGTGGTCAGATGCCAGTATGTCGTGCAGTATTCCGTCCAGAATAGTGACGCTCGTGAGAAAGACAGGATCCAGTGGCGTTCAAAACCGTGTTGTTTCTACCAGAAAACACACGGAGTGGTACAAGCAGGTACTCACGCTGCCGCAATTCTGCTTCTCAGCAATGACGAGCCATCCTCGAAAGTGGACGTGCCCACATGCAGGTCAGAATCGAACCCAGGCGTCCGGATCGTTGCACAACTGGCGGCTCAAACGATTTTGCTCCACAGCCAAGCCGAGTGGTGCCCGCGACACAAGTCTTGGATCCCTCGATGCAATTTTTGATCCACGCGGAGATCGTCATGGATCATGCCGACACGTGACTTTCAGGGTACACACCAAATCTCCTTCCTTCTAATATCGAGATTCTATACGCATCATTCACCAGCGACTCCAAATAATCGCCAGTGGACGAAGATGCGATAAAGTATGGACAATAGCTTCTTAGTCATGTTGCCAAGTTACCTGCAAGTCTGCCGTACGCAGAAGCATTGCACTGGGACAGGTCGTGGAAGACTTTGGCACTGACCGCCAAGTCACGACATCTCGCAGCTAAATCTAGCGGGAGGTAGATTGTGCTCATGTAAGACATGGAAACTGTACAGGCCAGCTATCTTGCAAGCATAACGGGACAGACATCGTCATTCTTCATGATCTATCCTCGAGATGAAGGTCACAACAATCAGGAGAAAGTCTCCGAGCACCGTCTACTCACGAAGCATTCGTTTCATGAGTTGAGCAAGCCCGCAACTAAAGATGCTTTTGAGAATGTCCTTCGCGCGCCTCGTCTACAGGAAGGCATCGTATCTGCGGTCTTGCTGTACTCTCCGTCGATCGGGCGCTTGCAGATGAAATTTCCCAGAATCACAGCTGCGCACAATGCGGTCGTCTGTCGCGTCAATGAGGTTGCCCGACAGGTTCGGGGTCTATCAAGAATCTCCTTCTTGTCGGGATGATTAGCTGGCGTCTGTAATGCTTCCCGCAAGCACTTTTGATTGAAGGCTTTGAGGAAGCATGCTGAAATCTTGATTGATCGCTATGCAAGCATGGCTTCTTCGCCTCTGCTTCCGGATGATGAGATCGCAACATGTTCTCATTGTCGTGTTGCTTGTAGAAGAGAACAGATAGCCATACTACTTATCTCACCTGTTTCCTCACTTCACAAGCCCCCCGCCTCCACTTTTATTACGTTTAGCCGCTCCCGCTCGCGCTAGTACAAGTGAGGCTCGTTAGCACACCCTATTACCTTGAAGCACGAGCACGTCGACGGCGAGGTGTAGCTTTTGGTGAGACTGCCAGTCACGCTGCTGCACACTACTTCATTCTATCTCTTGGTGTACTTGGTTCAATATCTCCGCCCGGCACCACGCAGGGGCAGAAGCTGGGAGCCTATCCAATCCCACGAACTGGAGACCTCCGCCCGCCGCGTCAACCGAGCTGGCGCACTGCGGAAGTCGTTCAATGATCCTCGCAACATAGGCTGCGTTTCTTGGCACGAGGGCGGGCGTTGGCGCAGATGGCATTCCAACAGCAAGGTGGAGCGGGGGGAGGTGGACCTGGCGAGCATCATGCGCCGCAGGGCACCGAGTACACGTTGCAGGGTGAGCTCTCCAGAATACCCAGGTCCTAATGCACGAGTATGTACTGATACATACAGCAGGTGTCATGCGCTTCCTCCAGCTAGAGTGGCACAGTCACGAGCGAGCACGCAACGCGTGGGAGATTGAGCGGCAGGAAATGAAGGCAAAGGTCGCCAAGCAGGAAGGGGAGGTGCGGCAGGCCAAGCGCATCAATGAGCAATTGGAGCGTCAGGTGAAGATGCTGGAGGGTGCTCTACGTAGGGAGCGAGCGAAAGGCCAGAAGCTGCCCAATGGTGAAGCGGTGACGGCGAAAGAGAAGGGTCCAGAGCAAGAAGGCGTAGTGCCCAAGGGCAGAAAGCGTGGACATGAACGCGGCTTGGAGAATGGAACACATGATGAGGAGCATCGGCGTAAGCACGGCTCGGACACAGATGACGCGGCTCAGGAAGTTCTGACCTTTGATCCAGCCCCCTCAACCGTTCCGCACAACTCATTCCTCGAGACGGACGACTCACCTGAGCAGGCCGACAAGGAGCGGGAGCAGTACCTCGACAACACCACGAAATACTTGAAGAGCTGCATGAAGGAGATCCAGTACTTGCTGACACCACCTCCACATCCACCACCCCAGCAGATGCTGTCCAATGGTAACTACTCTGGATTGCCAGATCCTCCTCTGTCGGTGGAAGACATATACCTGCGTAACCAGCAGCAACGGGCGGCGCAGAGACAACAAGCTCAGGCCCTGGCTCCAGTTTCAGCAGTGCCAAACCACCAGCCACCACCAGTTCCGCAGCCTGGTGGGCAACAGCTCGTGCAGAACACATACCGGGAGTACCCAGATATTGTGTCTCAGCCGGCTCTGGACAACCCACAGCAGCAAGGTATTCACCAGGTGCAAGTAACTCATGATGATCAAGTAGAGAGCATAACGCACACATTTGATGCAGATGGTCGAGCAATACCAGATGCAGAAGCGCTACAGCCACAACATCAGATAAGACAAGTGCCGGATCCTGATGGCTGGACCTTTGACGATGAGCAGCCTCTCAATCCCGACACTGTACAGCCTGAAGTGTTGCCTCCTCGTAGGCCTGACACAGATCTATTTCCCACGGCCGCCATCAACCATTTACAAGCAAAGTCGCCACCACGCGGACCAGCTTCACACAGACGAAAATCTTCAGGGGCACAAGCGATGTCGCGCCGGAGGAGCTCACAGGGCAAGCATGAGGGACAGGAAAGTGCAGATGCGCTGGCGCATGCGAACGACCCGACTCAATTCAAGGTCAAATTCGCCCTTCGCGGCCATCTGGACGTCGTGCGCTCGGTGATTTTCAGCGGAGGCGGCAGTCCAAGCGAGCCCGAGGTCTGCACTTGCGGTGACGATGGCACGATCAAGAGGTGGATCATCCCAGCCTCGTACCAGAACTACAACCATACCGGTAACAGCCCTGACTTGGACATTGGTAGCCAATTTACACACCGTGGGCACGAAGGTGTTGTCACTTGCCTGGCCTCGTGCCCGCCCTCTACTGGTTTCAGCACTGGTGGAAGGACTGCAGGCGACGGCTGGATCTTCTCTGGTGGGCAGGATGCAACCGTCAAAGTGTGGGAGCGTGGCCGAGTCGATCCCAAGGCCACGCTCGAGGGTCACACAGATGCCGTCTGGTGCGTCTGCGTACTTCCGGCATCTGTCGGCGCTGTCTTTGGGCAGCAAAGCAGTAACTTTGGTGGTCCAGACAGGCTGTTGCTGGTTTCTGGCGCAGCAGACGGCACTATAAAGGTTTGGGCTACGACAGCACCTCCGCAGTCAAGCTCTCCGGCGACCGGCAGCAGACGTGGCGTTGGTGGCAGCAGGAGGCATAGTGTCACGTCTGTATCGAACTTCCCATCCTCACCTCAGCCGTCAGTGGCGAGCTTAACGCAATTCGGCTATACACTGATCCACACGATCGAGCGGCCTGCTTCGGCCACAGAAGGCACGAAGCCGAGTCCAACGTGCATTGCGCCACTCGCACCGTCTGGCGAGACGTTCGTGGTGAGCTACACCGACTCGTCAGTGCTTGTGTTCGATACGCGGACTGGTGAAGAAGTCATCGGCATGGCGTCTAGCGAGACGTATGACGGCACCATGAACAGCAGTATCAATGCTGTTGTAGCGACCAGCCTAGGGCTGGAAGGCACTGGCCCAAGCATTGATGCAGCACGTGGTCTAGAGGCAGAAGAGGTTGGTGCAGGTGCAACGGGTGGCAGAGAAGGCGTGGAGGGTGTTGTGATCAGTGGGCATGAAGATCGATTCGTTCGATTCTTCGATGCCAACTCTGGTAAGTTACTGCATTCGTGAATGTCTGCGTGCTATGCTAACATCCTTATAGGTCAATGCACATACACCATGCTCGCCCATCCAGCAGCCATTTCCTCGCTCTGTCTGTCGAAAGACGGCCGCGAAGCTGTTTCCGCGGGCCATGATGCCTCGATCCGTTTCTGGTCCCTGGAGAAGCGTATCTGCACCCAAGACATCGTCTCCCACCGTAGCATGCGAGGCGAGGGTGTCTGCTGTGTCTGCTGGAGCCAAGACGGGCGGCTCGTCGTGAGCGCAGGGGGCGATGGCGTTGTTAAGGTGTTTGCGCGTTAGGATCGGCAAGCACCGAGACGAGACAGTCCGCAGATCAAGACAGGGAAAGGTCTTGGGTTGGAAGTGCCTGGGGCTGTGTAGGAAAGAGACGGGGATGCTGTATGTTGTACGTGTATATATGGTGATGCTTATGCATGACGTATGTCCGTTGTGGGAGGAGCAGGAGATCGACGAGTGCATAACAGGAGGCAGGCATATTCTGCGTGGTGTCGCGATTGCATAGCATGGGCATGGCGCAGACAAGAGGCTGGGCTTACTTCTTGGATGTGTACTCAACTAGTTCTAGCCTGTTGTACAATACCACCTTTGTTGCAATAACTTCCGGATCACATCATCTACCATAGTTCGGTTCAAGTGTACAGTATGGCCTTGATCGCCCGTCCAGCATGCATCTCGGCCATAGCATGCTTCAATCCCTCGAACCTGAAGGGCGTCAACAGCTTGTCGAATGGAAACTTGCCCTCCCGCCACATCTCAATCAGCTTGGGTATCATATCCCGGGGCACCGAGTCGCCTTGATGTGTTCCTCGTATGGTCAAGCCGTTGACAAGATTGCGTTCCACTGCATACTTGGGTTGTGCCGTGGCGCTGCCACCTATATTCATGACCATACCCATCTTATCGAGGCACTCGTACGCGGCAGTAGCGACGGCCTCGTTACCTGCACAATCGAGTGCGTAGTCCATTCCCTTACCGTCTAAAGTCAAGGATTTCAGCTTCGAGACCAGATCCTCGTGTGGAAGGGTGGAGGAGTCGAGGACTGTCACCCCTTCTAGAAGCTCCTTGGGTATCATGTTCAACTTTACAGACGAATTGTCAACCAGGACCAAGCATTCGGGTTTCGTCGGTCTTGCGGCGGCGATCGCAGAGAGTCCCACCGCCCCTCCACCGAATACCACTATGCGTGAGCCTTCGGTAGGTTTGGCAACATTCATCATAGCTCCCGCTCCAGTCTGTACGCCACAGCCTAGGGCAGCGAACATTCTCAACTCGTCTTTCGAGCACAGAGTCGATATCTTGACACAACTCCTCTCCCTCACCAATGCCACCCTCGCCATCGAACTCTGTCCGAAGAAGAGACCATTGACCCCCTCACCCATGGCATCTTTGACAGGGTTGACACCGTCTTCTCTCCGGCCAGAAAAGTTGAGCCCGAACAAGTCCAGGCAGTACGCCGCCTTGCCAGCTTGACATCTTCTGCACTCGCCGCAAGAAGAATAGGCTAGGACAACCGCATTGCCGGGCTTGACGTAAGTGACTTCGCTGCCGACAGCTTGTACATAGCCGGAGCCTTCATGGCCAAGGATTAAAGGAGGTTTGAGGTGGAAGGTACCTTGTGCGGCGCGGACGTCTGAGTGGCATACTGAGGCGGCGATGATAGAGACGAGAACTTCTTTGGGTCCGGGTGGGAGGTATGTGACTGTTTCGAGGTTAAGCTTGTTGTCTGCTCGAGCCACCCAGGCTTCTGTCTTGATATCTTGATCTGTCATATCAGTTTCGTCCGGTATTGGGCCAAAGTCGACTATTATGATGGCGAAATGTCCTTGGAGCTGCAAGTGGTCGGCAATGCTGCAGTCGCGTGGTATGTCCAATGGTTGTCGTCCTACCTGTACCAACACATAGGCTTACAGTCTATCGGTGTGGAAGTGGTGGTCAATGACGTCCAAGCAATAGAAGTGGAGCTGTTCGAGGACGTCCTAATGACCTCCGCAATGAACGTTCTTGGATCATGTTGACACGATTCATGCCTAGGTACTGTATTTGCACAAAGTACGACGGCAGAGAGCTCTTGACGGGAAGGACGTAGTAAGTTTTACAGTTCACATGCTTTTCCTTCGCTATCTAAACACTATTTTACAGATCTGCGTAGTGGCAGCCCATACCGCCGCTGCGCCATGCATCTACAGTAGTAGTATGAGTTAGAGCGGAGAAAGTGGCTATAGCTAATGACAAGCGCTGAATCAGAACAAAGTGTTTGTACAGTCCCCTCCAACAAGAGTCAGTCCAGGGCAGCCAGATAGTCGTTGGAACAGGGTATCATGTCGGCAGTCCAGAGCGATTGCAGTACGCTTAGAACATTCCACCGCCCATACCGCCCATACCACCCATTCCGCCACCCATCCCGCCTCCCATTGGTGGTGCCTTGTCTTCAGGCGCCTCCACGATCGCCACCTCAGTCGTACCCAACAGTGACGCAACACCGCTCGCGTCCATAAGGCCCGTTCGTACAACCTTGAAGGGATCAAGGATACCAGAAGCAATCATATCAACATACTCGCCCTTCTGCGAATCGAAGCCCTTGTTGAAGTCCGCCCCGAACTCGTCCATCAGCTTACCAACGATAACGGAACCCTCAGCACCGGCGTTTTCAACGATCGTTCGTGCCGGGCGCGTGATGGCGGACTTGACGATAGCGACACCAAGTTGTTGGTCAAAGTTAGCGGGTTTGAGGTCCTTGAGAGCGTTGGCTGCGGCCTTGAGAAGAGCGGTACCACCACCTGGCAGGATGCCCTCTTCGACGGCAGCACGGGTAGCGTTCAGAGCATCGACCATGCGATCCTTCTTCTCGCTCACCTCGACTTCGGACGCACCGCCAACCTTGATGACGGCGACACCGCCCGAAAGCTTCGCGAGACGCTCCTGGAGCTTCTCCTTCTCGTAATCAGACGTGGTAGGGTCAGACATGACGCCACGAATCTGCTCGCAGCGCTGGGTCACGGCATCCTTGGTGCCCTCGCCATTGAGGATGACGGTGTCCTCCTTTGTGATGGTGATGCTGCCAGTGGAGCCGAGCATTTCAGGCGTAGCCTTCTCGAGCTTGATGTCGAGCTCATCAGTGAAGACGGTGCCGTTCGTAAGGACAGCCAAGTCACCGAGGATGCTCTTCCTGTTGTCGCCAAACCCTGGTGCCTTGACTGCAACGACTTGGAGCTGGCCACGGAGTTTATTCAAGATGCACACGGCAAGCGCCTCACCGTCGATGTCCTCGGCGATAATAACGAGTGGTCGTCGCAACTGCTGGGAGGCCTCAAGTGCGGGGACGATGTCCTGAACGGCAGAGATCTTCTTCTCTGAGAGAAGGATCAGGGGCTTCTCGAACTCAACCTTCTGTGCCTTGGTGTCGGTAATGAAGTATGGTGAAATGTAGCCGCGGTCGAACTTCATGCCCTCCGTCACCTCCAGCTCGTCCTCGATCGTCTTGCCCTCCTTCACGGTGATGACACCCTCCTTGCCAACCTTCTCCATCGCCTGGGAGAGGAGCTTACCAATATGTGTGTCGCCGTTGGCTGAGATGGTGGCCACTTGGCTTATCTCCTCAGATGTGGTGATGTCACGCTTGTTGGCCTGGAGGTACTTCACAACAGCCTCAACAGCTGCCTGGGTGCCTCTCCTCAGATCCATTGGGTTACAGCCGGCGGCGACATTCTTGACGGTCTCGGAGAAGATGGCGCGGGCGAGGACGGTGGCGGTGGTTGTGCCATCACCAGCGACCTCGTTGGTCTTGCTGGCGACGTCTTGGAGGAGGCGAGCACCGAGGTTTTCGAACTTGTCTTTGAGTGTTACGGCTTTAGCGACGGTCACACCATCTGTACATCATGTCTTGTCAGCATATACTCCTGTCTTGTATCTCATCGTATTCAAGACATACCCTTTGTGATCTTGGGCGAGCCATAACTCGACTCGATCAGGACATTCCTGCCCTTTGGCCCAAGTGTCGTCGCAACCGCTCTCGCAAGCGTATCCACACCCTGCAGTAACGCAGCACGACCCTCGACGCCGAACTTGAGCTCCTTGTGTGCGAATCTTTGCTGGATCAATGGACCAGATGTGATGCGGGATGATGATCGAGCAACTGCCCGGGGCGCGGAGGAGAAGGCGCGCTGCATCGTTGTGGTGGCAGGGAATGACAGACTAGGTGTAGGCAGAGTCGATGAGATCAATACGCCAAGCACGCTTCGAATGTATCGTGGTCTCGTGATGTGGATGAGAGGGAGATTAGATGGGAGAGATGAGTGCGTTTGCGGCGATGGAAAACAGTCGCTCCTAGAAACTCTTTAGCTCGACATCAGCACTCCCGAATCCCGAGCTCCAGACCGGCCCGACATGCATGACACAGCGGCGGTATCCGTGCTACGCTTCTTCGGCCTTCCATCTTGTCCTGATATTATGTTGGCCACTATGATCAGGTTATGTCCAGTGTCGTCCTGTCCCAATTCTTGCTTGTCTCCCAACCAAAAAAGCAGACGGGATCTCTCATCACCATGTCACTGGCATCCGGGCCACAGCTTTGCACGATCGGTCCTCAATGTCACATAGTCCTCGTCAAGCGGTACACCTTGCTCTCTTCCATAACGCCTAAGCCACTTTTATACGCAGTCTCCTGCTATGTTAACAACATACGCTCAGAGTGAGCAGCAATCATACCGTAACGCACCCCTTTGATGTACTGGCACGCATCAAACATCCTCTACGTCAGACAGTGTTTCCTAATCACTCGCACCTCTTGTACCATAGGAGTGGTCGGCATGATGATTCGTTGCACCTCATCGTCTATCAAGCAACTTCTGGATGTACGCTATCCAGGCCGATCGTCTATTTCCCTCATCTTTACCAATCCTGGACAAAAGCTCCCATTTCAAAGGCGCCCGAGGGGTGCATCTCGCATTCCAGCGCACGACTGAGATCAACCCAAAACAGCACTAAAACGTTATCCGATGTATCATGTCATCTCCATTGCATCAAAAAGATCCTGGTGCCTTGATGGCCGCCTCGGGCGTACGAAACAGCTTTGAGCTCTCGGAAATACTCTGCCGCCCATCTCGTCCGTTCTTATGGGTATGGCTCTTGTCTGGATGCCAAAGCTCACCACGACTCGCCTCTAGTGTTCGCTGTTGCTGATCATCATCTCGCCTTTGATGCAAGGACAAACGTTATACGCCGACCCACTTTTTCTGACCTTCTGGAGTGCGAGGAATTGTAAGCACAACTTCGACTGCCAGCACACTCCAATCTGGAAGGCACGTCTTTTATGTACGATTGTACGTCTGGTAAATCTGGAATGGTGCGACAACACGCCTCAAGCTATCCATCGTCTAGCTTATTAAGTTGTCTTCTGCTTACCATCCACCAACCCTCGACTGGTGAAAAGTGTTTCTGTTATCCTCACTTCTGTTGTCCTCGCCAGCGAGACTGTGCAAAGGCTCACATCACGGTAAGTATAAGGAGTTCCGTCTCTTCTCTTCTATGCTTCTCTAGTACTGCAATCTCACACTGCTATACGAGCACTATCCAAACAGCAGAAAAACCTCACTTCATTAGACAATGGCTCGCATCAAGCACCCTGCCACCTCGGGATATCTCTGCAGTCCCAGACCTCACAAACCTACAACACCCACTCCTCCAGCTCAGCCACCACGAACATGGCCTTACAACGACTCTCGCCTCGCCTCCTACCACCCCGACCTTATTCAGGAAGGTGATCATCGCCTAAGTGCTCTGAATGGCACCTGCAACGGTGAATACTTCAATCATGTCCAGAAAGCGAGAGAGTACGCCGAGCGGCAAGCCACTAGGACTAAGAAAGGCACACAACCTAGTCCTGTCTGTCAGTCTGGATTACGATTCCATTGTTTTGGCCGACATATCCCCAATGAGGAGATCGAGAAGTGGACTGCAGCGTTGGCTGCGGCAGCGAAGAAGGGATGGAAGCAGCGAATGGTCGCCAGGGTGGATTCTGGTGTTGTCCTTGACGAGGTGAAGTCTGAAACGGTTTCTCCTCGTTCGCCACCATCAAGGGATGCAGTACCGGCCAAGTCAGCAATGAAGAAACGCAAGTTCAACCCTAGTGAAGTCGTGGCAGAAACCTACCAACAAGCCAAACGTGTCCGTATCGATGGGGATGACAACGACCAAACGACTCGGCCATCGTCCTCGAACACGATCGCGCAACTTTCGACCACCTCAACACCTGAGCATCGCACGGACACCAAGCTCCGTTTCAACTTCAAAAGAAAGGAGTTTCTTGATATCACTCGCCCGCCTCCTACCGGCCCAGAAGTCGAGACGATGTCTTCCGACAGCGAAGCGACTATCTCAGACCCTGAAACGTCCTCTGCGACAGTCACGGCGGACAATGCATCAGAGAGTGCCGTCGATTCCTCACCATGCGGCACTTGCAAGCATAAGATCGGGGCCTCCGGTTGTCTGTGCGAGGGTTCCCAACGTCCAGGTCCCCTCCTCCTCGCTGCGCCAGTGCACGGATCAGCTGGTATCGATTTGGCTCCTCTGCAAGCGTCTCAGCCGGGCCCGGCGCAGAATGTAGCGTCTTGGGACGTCCTAGTGGAGGTTGCGAGGGGAGAGTATCACGCGATGAGGCTTGAGCAACAGCAGTGGCTAGGGCGAGATGAGGCGGCCACGACGCTTGTGGCGTTGAGGGAGGGAATAGATTCAAGGGAAAGGGACGAGCTGTCGACTAAGAAGCGTCTCTGAGATCACTGGAAACTTTCTAAGTATTGAAGGCTGATTGATAGCGTTTTCGCTGTTCAGGGTGCATGAGAAAGATCTTGGAGTCAACGATATGCTATCATGCTCATCGACGAATATGGCTATTGGTTTACAATTGCCTGCTTGGACCAGGCCATGTCAGTCGAATAGTGCTCGATAGAGAATATGATTCTCCATGATTCCCCTTACGTCGAATTGCACCTGTCGTGCTGAAGCGCCTGTACGAATATGATCTAGCGCTTTGAGACTATGTTATAGAGTGTAGAACCTGTCACCAAAATCGCCTAGGCCTGGTACGATGTAGCTGTAGAAAGGCGTCAGAATGCGTTCTTCATTTTTGGTGGAAGAGGACGGCACGACTTACTTCTTCTCATTCAAGCCTTGATCCACGAAAGCCGTCACGATCCGCACCTTCGGAAACTTTTGCGCAAAGTTCGCGGCACCCTCGGGTGATGCGATGAGGTTGAGGAAGCAGATGTGCTCTTCGGGTACACCTCTCGATCGCAACACGTCAACAGCCATCAGTGCCGATCCACCTGCAATCAATCCTGTTAGCCACCACCAGTCACTGTCTCAGCAAATGCCCAGAAGGACCTACCAGTAGCAAGCATAGGGTCCAACAACAAAACCCACCTCTCCTTAATATCCTCAGGCAACTTATCATAAAACAACTTCGGCTGACTCGTCTCCTCATCCCTCTGGATCAGAATCTTGCCGATCCGTACACTCCTACAGCATTCCCGTAGCGCTTGCTCCATCGCTTCGCCCGCACGCATGATCGAAACACCGCAGATCTTGCCTTCGAACTTCACGCCGGCGTAGGAGCGACCGACGGGGGTGGTGATGGTGTGGGGTAGAACGGGGAGGTGATTCAGGGCTTCTTCGACGAGGAGCCGGTTGATGCGGTTGCTGTAGAAGATGAAGTCGGCGCGGTTGGTGTTTTCGTCGCGGATCATGCTGCGATCTTTTAGTATTGCAGAGTAGGTGTCTTTATTGCAGATGGCATTACGTGAGGAGGGCTATCAGCTGAGGCGTCTGTGGTAGGATCGTCACATTCTCTTGAGTCACTTGGACTGAGACTGTCGCTGTAGGCTTTTGCTCTTCTGGCTTGTAGGATGGGCCCAAGGCGCCGCTCGGTGCTCGCTTCATCATTCCTGTAGGCCGTTCGAGCTTGGCGTTCGACATTTGTCTTGTTATCGGCCGTGGGGATGCTTTGGTAGGCTCGAAAATAGTCAGATCTCTGACGGGAAGGAAGAGAGCAGGGACGATGAGATGGACACTACGATTTGCTCATTCGAGCTGGCGGATCTTTAGCTCACTTCATGATGGAAGCATAGCACTCACTCAAACCACGATAGCACAAGCCAAGTCCAATGCGATAGTGGGGGCTACTTGCATGTGCGTGTCGCGTGCCCTGGCCCAAGCTCCGAAACCTGCAGCGCCAGAAGATGGGCCGCGCCTTTAGTCTCCGCTAGTGATGTAGACCCTGTATGTTCTAGGATGGGTGGGTTGACGCAATGCTCGCGAGATGTTGTTGTATATATGTGCTTCACTTGAAAACTGGACCTTTGCCAAGAGCTTGCCAGGTGACGTCCTATACCTACCGGCGCCTTCAATGCTCAGGTCGCATCCATTTCACTCACTGGGACTTCCTCAACGGGGTCACACGCGCCGCCATCATACGCGCCAATAAGATCATGGACAACTTCAGACAGCACGTTGGTCGACGCTGAGGACATGACCGGACTGGTAGTTCATGAGACCAGTGCTGACCTCTTCCGCAGAGGTTGCGCGACTGTAGTACAACGGACAAAGACGCAATGGCGACCTATGCGACAGCGTCTGTCCAACGACCAAAGAAGCTGGTGAGATATGGCAAGTCTACATCGCGATCGACATGGAGCACGAAGCACGTAGATAGTTGGCTCGATGACGAGGAAAGCGATGCTGCAGCGCCTAACGCCAAAAGGGTGCAGACGGTGAAGGCAACATATCAGGTGCAGAAGCCTGCCATCCAGGATTCGAAGAAGCAGGAAGCCATTGACCCTGTGCGGAGATCTACGCAACAACCCGTGCCAAAACATGAGTCTTCAAAGCCTGGGTCGAACGTATCGAAGCCTCTACCAAATCCTGCGAGACCCGCACCGCAGTCAGCGAAGCAACACGCCAAGTCACGAGATCTCTTCGATGTGCCCTCCTCAGGGGACGAAGCCGAGGAGGACTATGTGCTGAAGCGGCCCACACCACCGAATTCAAGGCACAGCAAGACTTTGGTAGATGATACGGACACGGTCGAAGCACTGGCACCTTGGGAGACTAGAAGGACGAGTGTGACGGACATGCGAACCTGGAGAGGCAGTGTGAGCCCGGAAGCTCAGCTGAAATCAGACCTGGCGAAGGAAGCGGTGAGGTGTGGAGATAATGAACATGCAATATTCGACACGCCAGCCCGGGTTAGAACATCTGAGACAACGACTTCCACGTCACTGCAAGAGCCTTCGACGGCAGCTGCCAGACTTGCTGCTCGAAGACAGCAACACCGAGCGCCTTCCGCGAGTCCTGCAACCACCAGGCCACCAGTGCAATCGAACAAGCGCAGCGATGCAGCTGTGGAAGCCACGCTTGTGAGACCTTCGAAGCGCGCTCGGAAAGCTTCGCCGCCACCCACTGAAAGCGAAGACACCTTCATGACAGAAGCCACACCAGCAGTCGTTTGTGAAAACTCGTCAAATGAGGTACTGGATGCTGGAAAGGCCATAGAGATCTACGACTTTCCAGTGGACGACGAGACCTCTCCTCCACCAGTAACGATGAAACCCAAGCAGGCCATGGAAAAGAACAAACGACGAACAGCGTCGTCATCAGCCAGAGCAACCCCTATCAAAGGACTATCCGCCCCAGCTGCCCTGGCTCAGATGCTACCCGCCGACACCGACAGCACGGACACGCCATCCCGCTCGCCATCGGTACTTCATAGCCGCACGGCAACACTCAGAAGAAGTGCAACACCGGCCAATGCACAGAAAGACCCAGCGCCAGCCCATGGCCATGTGTCAAGCTCGAGTCCTACGACCAAAGCCACTGGTACACTGACACCAAAGCAGGCCCAGCTGTGGAGTCAACTGCTGCCTAGCGATCCACCTGCTGATACACCAAGCAGCCTGGCCATGAAGGATTTACGTCTTGAAGGTCGGCGACGGCGTGTTGACAAAGTACCATCACTTTCGAGCACTTTGACCAAGTCGAAATCTGATGTGCCCGAGTTGCACACCTGTCGTGTGCGGTTGGTGGATCGTCTCAAGGCGGCCGCTTCAAGCTCAGACAGCGATAGCAGCGAGGAGCAGTCGGACATAGACGACGATGTGGTCATGAGCAATGTTCAGTCAGCTAGCGCAAAAGACGGCATCAGAGAGACACAGGCGGCCAACACGCAGTCGCAAAGCCAGAGTCAAGCTGCAGCAGAAAGCGGACCAAGAATTACTTATGCTCGAACGAGATCATACCTTCCAGAGGACAACCCGGAAGACGCCCTGCTGTTCGGTCTGCCAGCTTTCACGCCGGCGAAGCCTGCAGGTCTCGTACGCCAGCCGGGTCGCACAAATGCAGCCTTACAAAAATCTGCCTTCGACCTCGAAGATAGTGATGAAGAAGCCGGCACAGGTCGCATACGTACCATACACGAACTCCGTGCCGCAGGTCGCAACAACCGCTTCATGCAAGAGACCGAGACACTACTCGAAGATATCGCACAGGATAGCAGTTCCGGTAGGAGTCGAAGGCGAAGCGCCTTAGCCGAGTTGGCTACGAAATTAATGGAAAAGGGATTTGCTGAACGATTCTGTGCCCAAGGCTTCGAGCGTGCATTGGCAGACAGCATTGCCGCTTCCGCTCGTGATTTGGTTGGAGATGTTCTGGGCATGGCTGTTATCTCTCTTCTGCTCTTGGCTGAGCCACCAGACCATGTGGTGACACATCTGAAGGAACGTAATTTGATAGCAGCTTTTGGTTATACGCTAAGCGAGGAGTTGGACTTTAGCAAGCTGGTCAAAGAGAGAAAGCATAACATTGCGAAAGCTACACAAGGCACGTTCGCGAGCTTTGCGATTACAATGCTTGGTCATGAAGCGCTCTGGGCCGAGACGAGACCCAGGATACTCTCCCCGAGGATCCTCGCCTTGAAGACGATGGACTTGCTGGTGGGCAGACTGCGTCGACTAGGCGATAGATCAGAACTCCTTGACGAGACACAGCTGCAGCTTGTGTTACCAGAGAGTGAAAGCGACCATGAACGAGAAGCCGCGGACCTTGGATTAGCAGTGTCGGTCCTCGAGGCTCTCTCGTCCTCAGCACTTCGCCTCCAATGGCCGGAAGACCTTCTCCAGCGCCTGGCAGCTCTACTATCCTCGCTCGGCGAAGCCACCACAGCACCAAAGCACACAGTCTTCCTGGCTCTTCGCCTGACACTGAACCTCACAAACGATAATGCACGGAACTGCGGCATCTTTGCTGCGCGCCAAAGCACAATCCAATACCTCGTCACGTCTGTCCAACATGGCTTTACTGCCCTGGAGGAAGCACAAACTGCGAGCGAGACAGACCCGACAGAAGAGCAGGACAACTTGTCCTACGACCTCCTCGTCCTATCTATGGGCAGCATGATCAACCTCGCAGAGCACAGTCTTGCCGCCCGCCACCACACAATCACCTCGTCCACCTCACGGACCACCCTCGAATCCCTCCTGACAGTCTTCGACCGCGCCCAAGATCGCATCGAAAACGCCGAGTCCCTGACAGAAAGCAGCACAAACGTGGCCTTCGGCTACCTGGCAGTCATGCTCGCCAACCTCTGCCTTGACACTGAAGTCAGGGGGTTCGTGGCCATTAAGCTACCTGGTAGGCACTTAGGCTTGCTGGTGGAGAGTGTGGAGGAGTTTGTGAGGCATCATGAACGGGTTGATGCGCTTGGGTTTGAGGGCGCGGAAGGGAGGGAGGTTTGGGGAGCGTTTACGGAGAAGTTGCGTGGAGTGTTGGAGAGGTTGAGAGGAGTTGCTGGTGTTGTAGATACGTAGATGAGGTAGCCAAGATAGCTCCAGGTGCTCTGACGATGTGCGCACACTCCAGGCCGGCGCCGTTGCTTCTTGACTATATGCCCTTGAGACATGCCATCTGACTAGTCTGCCAATGTGGAACAGAAATTGGCGACAGCTTGCGTCGTGACACTTTTTAGTTCTGGCCGATGTCAAGAACTATTGGGAAGGCAGTACCATGCAGACATCTTTCACGCCTGCGAAGCAAGTGGCGTACACAACAGGAGTGACTCATGGTTACTTATGCGGGCTATCGTGCTCAAGGATATGGGTACTACAACACGATCAGGCACCCAGCCATACTTTCTTTCACATCCTTCGATCCTCCCAACCTCATATCGATACAGTCATCAGTAAAGCCAAGAACGCCATCGTTACAACGTCAATCGTGCCCTCCTCATCACATTCGTAGCATTTGCGCCGGCTCACTTGAGCTTTGCATCTGGGCTCTCACCACTTCTCATACTGCCCATGCAATCCTCCTCGCTGACCAAGTTCCTCATGCCAGTATTGCTGCGGTGTGAGGTCGTCTGCGTAATCTCTTCAAGCGACTTGCCCTGCGTCTCGGACAGGCAAAACCACGCAAACAATGCAATGCAAATGTCGAAGATGCCCCACAGCAGGAATGTACCCCACGACAAGTTCTTAATCATGTATGGGGTAGTCAAGCTGAAGACAAAATTGAACAACCACTGGCTGGCAACGCCGATAGCAGTGCCAGGTGCGCGGGTACGAGCCGGGAAGATCTCAGCAACGTAGGGCCACGGAAGCGGACCCCAGCTGAAGTTGTAGGCGATGACAAAAAGGTAGATCAGAGCGATCGTGGCGATACCGCTGTGCGTGACGTGAGCGTCTGCTAGTTTCGGGAGAGGATGAGTCGCGACGACCACGGCAGTGCTGATCTGGCATGCGGCCATGAAAGCTGCACCCACGGTGAAGACGGTACGGCGGCCCACCCTGTCGGCAACGGAGAGGACGAAGGCGAGACAGGCTGCGACCTTGATGGCACCGAAGATGGCAGTCAAAAGGAGGTTGGACTGCGCATTGCCGCCGACCATCAACTTGAAGTACTGCGGTCCGTAGTAAGCGAAGGCGGTGGCGCCAGTGGCTTGCTGTGCGATGAAGACGCCCGAGGCCGTCAAAGTGCGCCGAAGGTTGCCACCCTGGATCATTTCAACCATGCGGAAGCCCTCGCGAGCATGAGCCTCCAGTTCGACACCCTCGCGTATCTCCTGGAACTCAGCTTGTGTGATCGGGCCGTCATCAGCACGAACCCATTTCAGGCTCTCCCACGCCTCTTCAGTCCTGCCGGCGGCCATCAGCCATCTCGCGCTCTCTTTGACCGTGAACATGCCGAGTACCAGTAGTCCAGCCCACAGGATTTGCAAACCGACCGGAATCTGCCACATGCGTGAGTCGTTATTGGCGTAGTTGCGCGCAACGCCCCAGTCACACCAGTAGGAGGTGAAGATTCCTAGCGTGAACATGAGCTGGTAGAAGGAACCAATCTGACCACGAATCTGTTTGGGCACCATTTCGCCACTAAACATTGGTACAACGACGCTGCTGCCACCTAGTCCGAGACCAGCAATGACGCGACCGATGTAGAAGACAGAAGTGGAGTGTGTGTTCGCGGTCTGGATGGCGGCGCCAATGCAGAAGATGTTGGCACAGAGTGCAATTGCCCATTTCCGGCCATATCTGTTGGTGATCGGCCAGATGGCAAAGCAAGCAACGAAAGCACCGAGCTGCTGTAATGCGACCGAGAGCGACTGGACTGCAGTCTGATGCTTCGACTTGAAGTTGAAGTCATCCTGGAAAGGTGGTAGCGAGAGGACACCTCCGATGATACCAGAGTCGTAGCCAACTGCCCTGACGTGTTAGCAGGAACAATATACCAGTGAGGAGCCATGCTGGATCTGACTGACAAAGGAAGCCACCGATACACACGATAGCACCAAGGTAGTATGCTCGAAGCATACCCAAAGGGGTCATGCCCGCCGTGTTGCCCCTGAATCCAGCCATGTCATTGGGTGTCGTGGCAGTGAGGGCAATGTATTCGTGACGATCTTCGCTATGGATACTATCGGTATCACTACCAATGTTGCAAAGAGTGTGTGATGAAAGTAGAGGTGCAGTGCTCGAGCTGCCAATGTTGGATGGTGCAGCCGAAGGTGCGGTGTTGATGAAACGAGTGTCAGCCGAGCAAGAAAAGTTTGTTATATACAGGTCCATCGTGGTAGTATAGTGGAAGCAGAAGCTCTCATTCACTTCGAAATGTCCATGCGTTCGGGATCCATGTTTGGGCCTCTGACCTGAAGGTCATGCACGATGAAGCATATCTACGTGAGGGCCGCCCGCCAATGATTTCTCTAGGTCATGGTGAGAGATCACGCACGCGGTCTCATCTTAACGGCGTTCTCTCTCCCTTGATTGTGTGCCGTGCTTCTGCACTACCTTGGCCACGAAAAGGTGTGGTCTCGCATTGTCGAGATGCGGAAGGCGCGACTGTTGCTCGGCAGCATGCGCAGGATGGCCGAGATCATGAAACTATCGTCTTGGCAGTGAATTGGGAAGGAGCGATGAGCACATGTTGCGATCGGTTGCATTGCTGTGAAATTACAACTCGTCCTTGTAGATGAAGGGACATGAAGGAGTAGAGTGAAGTTGGCGCGGTGTGACTCCACGCGCGCTTGAACACCCTGGCACCCGCCGCGGCACGCAGCTTCTGACAGCTGCGCGGCGCAAACATTGACCACAAACATCATGTTCTACCACAATGCTGGTACTGAATTGACAGTGTATCCATGTCCTTGACAGTCACGCGAGAGCCGTGGCTGAGCTGTATCGGGACGCTGTCAATAACGAATGCGGCCCCACTTCGTCGCGGGGCAGGTATGTTAGGTGAAGATCACGGTAAAGACGTGACCTAAGAGTGATTGCGTGCTTTCCTATCCTGGTCACTGTTATCCCTCACCATAAACACAAGCTTGATGCTAATCGGCAGCAAACATGAGCGCGTCACAGGCTTCAAGCGAAACCGCTGGCGCCGGCAGCAACACCTCCAGCAACACCAAGCGTCCAAACTTCCTTGTCATAGTTGCGGATGATCTGGGCTTTAGCGACCTGTCTTGCTTTGGCGGCGAGATAGGTACTCCTCACCTCGACCGTCTCGCGAGCAATGGCCTCAGATTCACCGACTTCCACGCAGCGGCAGCATGTAGTCCTTCCCGTGCCATGATCATGACTGGTACCGACCATCACATTGCCGGGCTGGGGAACTTGATCGAATGGACGAATAGGAGTGACCAGAATGCCCCCAGCGAAGGAGAGATCAAGCATTGGAGTACCGCGCCGCAGCGTGGCATGCCAGGGTATGAGGGATACTTGAATGAGAAGGTCGTGATATTGCCTGAGCTCTTGAAAGATGCTGGATACCTCACCATGATGGCTGGGAAGTGGCATCTTGGCTTGACGCCAGAGCGATTCCCACACAAGCGTGGTTTCGAGAAGAGCTTTGCCCATCTGCCTGCCTGTAGTAATCATTATGCTTACGAGCCGCAGCGGCAGGATGGAGACCAGATTCCTGGCTTCATGACCATGTCACACATTGCCCTGCACAGCGAAGACGGTGAGTATGTCAAGGAGCTTCCGAAGCCGTGGTACAGCAGCAACGGATATGGAGACAAGATGTTGGGCTACTTGAAAGACCGCAGTGATAAGAAGGACGAGAGACCTTTCTTCGCTTATTACCCCTTTACTGCGCCGCATTGGCCGCTCCAAGCTCCAGATGAGTATATAGCACACTACAAAGGGGTTTATGACGACGGCCCAGATGTCCTTCGGGGAAAACGTCTCAAGCGCATGCAAGATCTAGGGCTGTGCCCAAAAGATGTGGTGCCCCATCCTGTCGTGGCCGATGAGGTGAAGGAGTGGTCGAAGTTGTCCTCGGACGAGAAGGCTAAGAGTTCCAAGGCCATGGAAGTCTTTGCGGCAATGGTAGAGTGCATAGACGCGAACGTGGGGAAGGTCGTCGACTACCTTGAGGAGATGGGCGAGCTCGATAATACCTTCGTGTGCTTCATGTCCGACAATGGTGCTGAGGGCGCTGCATACGAAGCCTACCCTATCGTGCAAGGCAGCATGATCCAGCATCTGAAGAAGTACTACGACAATTCACTTGAGAACCTGGGTCGTGGTAACAGCTTCATCTGGTATGGACCACGGTGGGCGCAAGCTGCGACTGCCCCGAGTAGGCTTTACAAAGCTTTCACCACAGAAGGTGGTGTAAAAGTACCCTTCCTCGCCAAGTTTCCGAAAGGCTATGAGGCAGGCGTGGGAGAGAAGGGTAGTATTACTGGCGCATTCTCGACAGTCATGGATCTCGCTCCCACTATCCTGGAGATGGCAGGTGTTGAGCATCCTTCGCCCGATGGCAAAGGCAGATATCAGGATCGTGAAGTTGTGTCTATGCGTGGCAAGAGCATGGTACCCTTCCTCAACGGCACCCAATCCACCATCCACCCCAAAGACTTCATCAACGGCTGGGAAACCTGCGGTCGTGCCGCCGTCCGCTACGGCGACTGGAAGATCGTCTTCATACCCAAGCCCAAAGGCCCGGAGAGATGGCAGATGTACAACCTGGCGAAGGATCCAGGCGAGGTGAATGACTTGTCTGAGCGCGACCCGGAGAGGTTGCAGCGTATGATCAAGATGTGGGATCAGTATGTCTTGGAGACTGGCGTAATTCCGTTGGCTCCAGCGCTGGGCAACTGGATTGAGGCGATGGAGCAGCAGATGCCGGAGGATGTCTGGATGGAGTATGAGTATTGGAAGGAGGGTGCGAGAGAGGATCCGGAGAAGTTTAGGAGGAAGCTTGTTCGGTTTGAGAGACCTATGTAGACTGAGAATTCCCGTTTCATTTGATGCATTATGACCTGCGCCACGAGCTTACCGTCCTCACTTCACTCCACGCTTCGTTGTATACTTACTTCAGCGTTCAAGGCTCAGCGGCAGCAGTAACGCTGCATGCCTGCACTTCGTCATCGGATTGCCTGGGTTTCGAGGTTACTCCGGCCATGCACTTGACAGCAACCGGACGAGATGATGAGGAGTCTCCAATCCCGGCTGTGTCACGTGGGGTTCATGCTACGGGCCGGGAGTCTTTGGCGATCTGCCGTTGAAGAATGCCGATCCCACGAGTCGCTGGTTCTATGTTGCACGACTTCAATCCTGTGCCAGCCAGCAATTCCTGGCGCCTCAATCGGCCCCGCGATGTGCATCGGCTTCCTTCCCACGAAGGCAAGTAGCTGGTCCAATCATCTGCCGGTGTACAGAGCTACTTCGCTGAGCTCAGCACTACTCACCAAGCCACCAGTAGGAACAATGCCAGCTCGAGCCAGACCAGTAGGCATGCATCGCCGGAAACAACCGTCCGTCCACTCTATAGGGATATTCTGTCACACCGTATCAACTCTTCACCCAGAATCTACGTCAAAGCTTTGCACCCGTAGCGCGTCGATGTAATTGCACTTATAGTCGTCCCGGGCCACCTTGGGCAGCAGCAGGACTTAGCCTATTTCTACCAACATGCCACATGGCCGCCTTGTCCCGCCTACTGAGCTAGCTGCATACTCGCGCCCACGATGCGAGAGTCAGATGGCCTGCATGCTTATCGTTGGAACCTCCAGTATCACTCACATGTCAGCACCTTGTCCCGCCATGGCTTGTCGAAACGGCAGAGAATCCGGGTTGACTGCTTCCAAGCGTTCACGGCCAAGCACATTCGAAGCAGTCGAAATTCGCTCACACGGTCTAAGAAAGCAGTCCAAAAGGAAGCAGACTACTCATGCACCCACCATTCCGTGGCGTCCGCCCCGTGTGCCTTCCACGCCGAACCAAGACGGTTCGGCTAGGGCCATAGAAAGCCTGCCAGCACATCCATGCTTGCCCAATCCTCTGGCTCACGAGCCGATTCGCCTCCGCCTTCGCCCTACCGCTTGACCGAGACCTCCGTCTCAAAATCCTTCCTATCGGCAATACTCATGATGCGGTACTCTGCTCACCGTACCTACTACTCTCCTGGGTGGTCCGTACTTATAGGGTAAGGCTTGTCGAATGAGTGATCACTTACCATCTGCGTTCTCACTGCTTGTCTTGACATTCCAGACCTTTGTCCCTCTTCGCATAACAGAAGCCTCCATGCTTACTTACAGCTCCATCACTATTGTCAGCTTGCGACATAAGATTTACGGAAAGGACGCTTGCGGTTGAAAGGACCTTTAGAACATACGACCAGACTGCGCACAATACTGCGTTACTAGACATACCATACTGGGAAGCCAACAAGAATGGCACATCTATCGCCCAGCCTTAAGCGCTCGCCGCTCACACAAGCGACTGTCACACCACCATCTATCAACCGGCAGCACTCGTACAACTCACGAACGAGCTCATCAAACAAGGCTACGGCTGCTTTGTCCAGTATTCGCACTAGATCTGCGTCTCCAGCTGGAACAATTGGCTCAACTTCCAACAGTACGACTTCAAGCCCATCATCGACTTCGTCTGACAGCCCGACGACACAACGTCGTACCAGCTGGGAGGACTGCAGGCGTCAGCGCGACGGCTACATCAGTTTCCCAGACTTTGACCAGCTCAGGGCTCAGTCTGAGCAGTATGCGAATCGTCAGTGAGGACCAGAAGTAAACTGAGGTTATGCTTCCGGTGTGTCGCCGGCCGTCCCTCATGCAAAGCTGAGCACAGGTCGCGGCTTGGAGATCAGGCCACGAGATTCAAGGGTTGGAGTCCTGGTTAGTGGGAGCGTGCTCAGGTAGACGAGATAAGGTGTCAATTCTAGCAAGCCGATACTGCTTTTGATAAACGCAGGCAGCCAGGAGTCGGAGGTTGGAGGCCAGAAGTCAGAATCTGTGGGTGGCTTGGACGAAAGCTGATTTGGGCTGTCTCTCATCTAATAAAGGACAGACGAGTTGACAACAGCGTACTCAGTGGACGCAGATACCAATGCACAGGCTCGAGCGAGATTATTGTAGCATATGTAGCAGACCATCGTCGAACAAGATTTCCAACCGCGATGTGATCAAGCGAACGCCAATGGACAGTGCTGGACTACGAGACAAGCACAACTTATGGTCAGCAAATGAACAGGTTGGTCTTCTCCAGAGTATTCGTGGTTGATATGTTGTTACTAAGTCCTTCAGTACATTACAGTACTATAGACAAGCTGCTATAACTGGGAATACCGTCGCTCCCAGACTTTGACCGCATCAGCAAACATCTCTTTTGCCCGAACCTTGCTCTTCAATCGCGCGCACAATAGGAAGGCTCCGCTGAGCTTCCGATGTAAACTGTACGTCTCTTCCGGAGGCGGAGCCAATCTTTCTCTTAGCATGAGGCCAATATTTGCTCGGACCCGATCGGTTATTGTCTGATCCTCGAAGTCATAGATATCCGAGGCGCTGTTCGAGAAAGGCTCCGCCAGCGTCATGATGCTGTCAACATGTGCCTTCAGCATGCCTTGGCTCTCGGCGCCCGTGAGGTAGCCAAGCTGTATGCTCAGTTCACGGCAGGCGTCACGATCATCCTTCATGGCTGCAATGAGTAGTGCAACATATGGCTCGACGAACTCGGCCGGAAACTCCCTGCTTGCGCCAAAATCAAGCAGCTCAAGCTTCTGCGTTTCCTGATTGTAGAGAAAATTGGTCCAGTTTGGATCGGTCTGCATGAAGCGCCACTCCATCAATTCTCGGAGACAGAGCCGCAAGATCTGTGTGCCTACCCAGTCGCGATCGTGCTGGGTCAAGGTCTTCATCTTCGTCACAGCAGTTCCGTGCATAAACTCTGCAGTGAGCACGCCTGGTCCAGAAGCTTCGAGGTATACTTCAGGGACGCTAAACAGCTTCTCGTCCTGTAGGAGCTCGCGAAAGCGGATGCAAGCCTTGGCTTCACGCTCATAGTCGCACTCCCAGCCAAGCTCAGTCCGTGCATTGGCGATCGTCCTGTCAAGAAACATGCCCTTGGGCAAGAGACGGCTAGCAGTGAGTAGAAGTGACAAGTTGTTGAGGTCCGAATCAATGCTGTTCCGCACGCCTGGGTATTGAATCTTTACAGCCACATCCTTGCCGTTCGATTTGAGTGTTGCTTTGTGGACCTGGCCAATCGACGCAGCTGCAAAGGGTTTTTCTTCGAATTTTGAAAACAAGTCTCGCCACTCATACCCAAGACTCTCGATCAGGACGTCGTCGCGCTGTGCAGCTGGCATGTAGTCGGCGCTGTCTTGAACTCTTTGTAAGACTGTATTGATAGCTGGAGGCAGGACTTTCGAATCTGTTGGTTATCAGTCGAGTGCAATTACGTTTGCTGGCCTTGGAAACTAACCCTGGAAGCTGATCATCTGTCCTAGCTTGAGCGCAGCCCCTCTCATCCGACTGAGCTTGGCCACAAGTCTGTTCATGTTACCCTCGCTGAGCATAAGACTACCTTCGCTACTGCCGCCTGTCAATCTGCGGAAGCTCTCGTTGACAGCACCAAATGCCATGCCACTGCCGAGACTAGCGTATTGCCAGAAACGCCCAAATCGTGAGGACGGCACTCGTGACTCTCGCATCTCGTAGGCATCGCTTGGTGGATCCGTCTGCATGTTGGTGTTGACTGACGCGGCTTGTGACTGTGGAAGAGCTGTCAGCGTATCAGTATACGGGCCTGCTACAGGACCGAACAGTGCTTACCACAGCATCTCGAGATATTGAAGCTGCGAGATCCTGCGTATCAGAATCTACTGCTCGTGATTCTGCCGGCGGTCGCTGAGAAAGTTGCTCCGCAGCAGTCATCTGTGCCTGCCTCTCCTTCTCCCAGCGCTCCCGTGCTGCAACCATTTCCGGTAGTGGCATTGGTGCCATCTTCTGCCTATTGGCGTAGGGATTCTTCAGCTCCGGGCTCGAATGGCCAAGCATACCAGCGACCTTTCGACTGGAGAAGACGTCTGTGTTCAAGCCTTCGGGAATGATTTCGTTCGGCTGTGGTGCATCTTCGGCATGCTTTGGTATCTTTGTTCTCGGTAGAGACGACAGTTCCGGAGCTATATGATCAGGTCTGACGCTGAAGGTGTCCTGGCCTCCAAGCTGCTCAACTGGCTGTGCATCCGCTGCTCTAGCTGGTATCTGCTGCTCTGCTTGTCGTTGAAGCGTACGCTTCCGTAGCGAGTCTGACGCATCACTGCCAGCGTCCCTTGATGAGTCGGCTGTAGCTGCTTGTGCTTCGTTTCCTGGCCGTAGCCCATCGTTGTCCTCCCACGTACCACTTTGCTTGCTTTCTGCCGCATCTCGTTGTCGTGATGGTGCATCTCGACCCTCCTGCTGCTGCCAGGCTGGACCCGTCTCATTGAAACGCTTTGCCAATTCGGCCGCTGCAACTGCTGTAACCGTGACTCGATCTGTCTGGCTCTTGACTGCCTTGGCAAGACTTGAAGTTCTCGTGTAGACATCCCACTGCTGTTTCCGCAGACCATAATGCTGCTTTGCGATCGAGGTACTTGCATTAATGAGCTTCGCAGCGTCCAATAGACGTTTGCCTGCCATGTAGTAGATTCTGCACCAACCGCATGCACCACCACTATCGTCTCATCGTCCTCTCAGCATTCACCAGACTGTGCATACTGCGTGCGTGCATGCGATTATTGATACGTCAACGTCATCGACAGAGCTGCACAATAATGGACTCCAATGTTCAAGCTTCGCTCCAGATGGAGATGTTGCTCCGCAACAACTGACGAAGATCGATATCCTCCCTCACTCTACTTCCACGATCTCGCTACATAGCAACAAGCTAACACGACTCAACGCCTCCAAGAAATGAACAAGCCGTCAAGCTTGAAGACTACCTTACTGTCCTTGGACTGTCCACAAGGTCATCATATGACACAAATCAGGCGAATAGACATTGATACCAACACGGTAGTGAACTGTCAAAAACAGACTAGCTATTTAGCGAGGTAGAGTATGACCATAACCATGCTTTGACGAGTAGTCAAAATGGTACTGAACTTGTAAGTCGTAGTCATGTCAGGGGTCGAGACAGCTGCATCCCTTAGAGCGTACGCCCATTTCGTTTGTCTACAGATATCTACGTTCCTGGGCTTTCTTCACCGCTTAGTGTTGAATTTTGGCGAGCATTGGACCCGCCGTGATATGCAAGAGGTAGATACAGGCAAAATGAGAAGGCAACGCACGACTTCGATCCCATGATTGATGGCTGGACTGCTGACCAGACGGTACCTCAAACCAATGATCAAAAAGGTGAAGCAACTTGCCTTCGGTACGAAAGTACGTATGGGAGAGGAGTTGGGAGAGCGGAGATTCGACTGAGTCGAACGTCAATATTTCTCATACACAGGTTCGATCGATCGCACTTACACTCCGGCCACTTCGGATGCTGGCATTTGTCCACAACGAAGCATGCTAACCACTGCACTACTCTGCCCAACGACTGAATCCAGCGATTCACGGAGGGTTTATATCGATTAAAGACCACCGCCGATAATGCTCCGGAACGAGGGCAGCGGCAGCGACGCATACAGCAGGTGCATTTGCTTGGTGGTGCCTGCCGTTTGTTGTCGGGGATATGTGCCTTTCCAAATGTTGGTCTTCCGGGCCGGTCGGAACGAGTCCTTGCTACCGCATGGAATCACGGAGTAGGTACTTGCCGGTGGTAGTATGGAGAGACGACGCAGTGGAATCAGAAGTCTGTTTATCCTGGCTGGTCTGACCTCAAATCGTAGCAACAAACAGGAAGCTATAAGGCACAAGGTCTCCCACCGTTTTCTTCGAGCTTGGACTTCATCTGGAATGCTGATAGCCGCCAGATGACCCAGAGCCGAGCGAGCGCTACAATTGCAACAGGAGTTGGACTCTGGGAAGTACACCATGCCTTGGGCTTGTGTTGCGAGTCAGCGCGTGGAGTATCGAGCATGACCTCATGTTAAGCGAACTGCCTCCTAAGGTCCGGGGGCGAGTATGGCCAATGTCGACGACCATCATTGCTCCGAGTCCATCAGACCGAGCTTGTCGAGGAAGGAAGGCCGACCAAGCGTATGCCTAGCATGACTTGCGACTTTGTAGGGCTTAGCACAGATTGCAGGGCGTACGCAGCAGAGTCCATGCGGTTAAGCATGCTGAGCAGAATCATGCACTCCTAGATCGTCCGAAGCCTTGGATGTGTAACGAAACATCGTCCCTGTCCTTGGGCAAGAGGCTCACGACTCGCGGACTCCATACTGGCGCCATCTGCATACCTCAGCTGAACTGTTTGCACCTCTTCCAAGCATCTGCTTCGAGGCCCAGGCTCACGAATGTACGCCATCAGTACCGCCGTAGCCGGATAGAGGCATGGCAGTTGACGCCAACGCGAATGTGACCTTGTGTAGCGATAAGAAGCCAGCCATATGCGTCGCGGCTAAAGACCTGCCCCAGGGATGCCCCAATGGCCCCAGACACAGGCCGGGTAAATGCAAGGGACGCAACACGCAACCTGCATATAGTCTGTAGTTCCATGCGCTCGAGATCTGTTTGGGGAGCACAATTTGTACCATTATTACTATACATGCGAGCTACCAAGTGTGCACAGAGGTCTGGTGCCTCAATGATGCCGTAGCATATAGAGGGAGGGAGTGCATGTCATAGTATATGCACTGCTTCATTAAAACGAATTGACAACTATCGCCGATAATGTAGACCACCTCTTCTTCGCCAGGCCCTGGGACGCTACAAGGCAGCGAAGCAGCAGCGACCTGTTTAGAAGATTGAGCCCTTGCGCTCGACATCCTCTGTCACGCCGGCGTCAATTTTGCCACTCTTAAGACCCATTTCGGATGCGAACGTGGTAGTTGGGCGCCACTTGGCGGAGGTACGTGGGCTGGTCTCCTCCATCATCTTGTCGACTTGCTCGAGTGACAGACCCTGCAAGACGTGTTAGCAATAGCTTGGAAATGATGGAGGAGGGGAGAAAACATACCTTGGTCTCTGGGATGAGGAAGTACGAGTAGACGAAGGCAGCGGTACACAGACCACCCCAAATGAAGAAGACAGCGGAGCGAAGGTTACCCTCATCCTTGTTGACCATGTATGGGGTGATGGAGGCGATGATGCAGTTCCACAGCCAGTTGGAGGCGGTGGAAAGGGCAACACCACGGGAGCGGATGGGGAGAGGGAAGATCTCGCCAATGACGATCCAGGCGCCCGGGCCCCATGTGCAGGCGAAGAAGAAGATGTAGATGGCGATGAAGGCGATCTGAGCATTGACGGCCGAGATATTGTTGGCGACGGTGTTGCCAGCGGCGTCGGTGTGGGTCTTGTTGAAGCCGATGGTGACACCAATGATGGCGACCAAAAACTCACAGATCAACATACCGCACGCACCCCAGATAAGGAGAGGGCGACGGCCAACACGGTCGACGGTGAAGAAAGAAATTGGCGTGCACACAACGTTGACCAAGTTGAAGATCAGCGAGATCAAAAAGGTGTTGCCGATGGCGCCAGTCGACTGGAGGAAGGGAGTCGAGTAGTAGAAGATGAAATTGATACCCGTCCACTGCTGCATCATCTGGAGCGAGGTACCCAAGATGGTCTTGCGGAGGTTGGAGTTGGACTTCATGAGCGAGCCTCGGAAGCAGTTCATCCACCCATTGAGCCAGCTGCCTGCCGGGATGAGGGCACGCTCGTACTCCTCGTTGGCAATGATCTCAGCCAACTCAGCCTCGACGTACTCGCTGTCAGCAGGTTGGTTGCGGACGCTGCAAAGAGCCTTGCGAGCCTGCTCGATGCGACCACGCTTGACGAAGTAGCGAGGAGAGTCAGGGAGGAACAGGAGACCGACACCAAGAATGACACCGAAGATGAACTGGAGACCGATCGGGATGCGGTAGGAGGACGCATTTGGGAAGTTCTTGGTCCCGTAGTCGACGCCCGAGGCGAGGAGGAGACCGAGGGTGATGCAGAATTGATATCCAGCCACGAGAGCGCCACGAACCTTGCGTGGGCAGATCTCGGACATGTACAAAATGACGATGGCGGACTCGAAACCGACACCGATACCGGCAATCAAACGACCAGCGACGAGGAGGCCGAGGCCGTGGGCAGCAGTCTGGAGAACGACACCTCAAGGGCTGTTAGTCACATGCCAGACTTGTAGCATTCAGTTTTTGGTGGCAAGCTTACCGATGATGTAGACAACGCAGCCCGCAATGACGGTCCATTTGCGACCAATGCCATCAGCCAAGTCACCGGCGGCGAGGGCGCCGAAGAAGGTACCAGCCGAGAGGATGGAGACGATGAGGGAGTTGTGGGGACCAGAGAGAGCAGCTTGACCAGGATCGATGATGTTGACGAAGTATGCCGAGCCAGTGACTCCGTTGATGTAACCAGAGTCGTAGCCGAAGAACATACCACCGAAGGAGGCAAATGCGCACATCAAGTACGTCTTGAAGGTGACGGGCGCCTCGATGCGATTGACATCGTTGGTCGCTGCGATCGCCTCGCCAGGCATGTTGACGGCTGCTGTAGTTGTCTTGCTGTGTATAAAGTGTGTTGTGTATGTGTGTTGATGAGGGTAGGAGTGGTAGGAGGAGGAGTAAAGGTCGAGCACGGGCAGCGAGTGAGGCACGAGGGAAGCGTGGTGTTGTTGAGGGACAGCAGGGGTTTATGAAGGCGTTCACGGCAGGCTCGGCGATGCTCCGCTTTCTGTTTGGCAAGAAGCTGGAATTGGGGCGCGTGGTAGGTGGTTGGCTAGTGAGTGCATTGGCCATGTCACGAGAGACATCCTGGCTTCCCGCTGGAGTCTCCGCGCTTCGAGGCGCATGTGGAGGCCGTCGCTAACCTCCCTTAGGCCAAGCGTGACGGAAGCACTCCAATAACTGATGCTTGAATAGCGTACCTCTGGTAAGCCATCGGTTGGCAGCTGATCAAGCTCCTCCATCCATTCATCAAACCAAACCTCGTTCTCGCCGCAAAGCCGTCGTTTTCCTGGCTGATCGATCATTCACTGCCGCGCATCATCGTACCATCACACGAGTGACACACAGCCGTTCTCATTCTTCTGCGCAACGGCGTCGTGCCAACAGCCCACATACCCGACCCTCAATTTCGACTAGCTTAGCGTCGGCCATTGTTTCGACCGTGCTTTGTTCGACTCGTGTGCCACCATGCAGAGAGCTCCTTCTCATCGGCGAGGCTGGCCGATCTCGCGGTTCGTGGAACAAGAGGCAAGCAACCCAATACTATTCACCTCAGGCCCGTCTCACGCATGAAGCCTCATTTCCTTACAACTGTTTCCCGAGCACGTATTCTCGCATTCACGTGCGTTGACAGGCCCTCGCCGCAGACACACTAGCGCTTGTCATCAAAGCGTAAGACGTTAAAAAGTCCCTCGGTCATGTTACCGTGTCATTAGGATTCCGTGTGGACGGGCGAGCTTGCTCATTCAGTACTGCCACCGAAAGTGGGAGAGCACTATTCGGATCCATTTGTCAAGAGCCGAGGAGTGCGAGTTTACTGTAAGTCCAAATGGAGGCTCCATGCGGGCTCCATACACTCCATTTGGGGCGAGGAAAACACGATCTGGCACACCGATGTGGAGTCGTCGGAGTTTTCGCAGTACACACCACGTTATCCGTCGCTCCACTCGCAAGCACGGCTCTAACATACGGTACTGGGACCTTCAGTAGTCCTTGACTGGTGTGACGAAGATTTCTTCAACAGCGCCAACGTCACGGCTCGACCGATGAACGTCTTCTTTATGGCTCGACCAATCACTGGAACAGATCGAACGTAACTGTCGCCGCTTCAAGCGTTCTATAGATCCGCTTTGCAGTCGTGCGCCGCCGTGGCGAGCCGTTGTCATCTCAGACCTTATTATGAATATTACTTTGTGTTCTAGAGCTACATTGATTCCATCCTCATCCTCATATTATTAGCAGCGCTCTCGTCTCGTTGCATCCTGGAGGATTGATCATGATTCCTCCAAACCTCGCGCCACTGACTTGGTCCAGCCGACTTCGCAACGCCTGTCAGCAGCTTGAAGAAAACTCTTTCCGTCCAGCTGCTCGTTGTCACTGCATCGAGCATCTCGGCTCGGTTTCACGGCATGGCAGAGCCGCGGACCTCCCAAAGCCAAGATCGTGGCGCTGGAGTGCATGCAGGATGCATATACGGCTTGGTGGACTTCAAAGCGTCAATAATCTTGTGCTAGTGAACTTTAGCTGCGCGCGCAATTGACGCGGTTGTGGAATATAAGCACGATCTGCGATTCGTGATCATGTTCTCATATGTCTCAACGTCTAACTCTATCGAGTCTCACGGTGCAGCTTCTCTCCCTGTTCGCCGGTATGTGTGGATAGTGCAGAAGCTACATCTGGAAGCCCAACCCACCTGCCCGTCGGCTTCGTTCTAGATGTTTTGGGGAACGGGCCGCCCTCCCAAGACCACGAGCAGCAGGGTCGTTCGCATTTTCATGAGCTGGAACGACAACGAACAGCGGACGACGTGCTACTGTGCTGACATGCATATCACACCAGCTCTGTAAGCAATGCGCGAGTATACTTTCCTCCGTGCAACACGCCATCGTCAGTCGGGCCCTCCCTGTGGGCGGAACATGCCTTGAATGGTAGAGAGTAATGACGTCTCTATAAAATCCATGTACTTTCGTGTTCAGTGGACTTATGATCCACCGTATGAAAACTTTGGACCGAAGCAATTTCCGGCATTGCACATGTTAAGTCCACGAAGAGTCTAGACAAAGTCGGTAGACGTCTCCATAAACTTCGATGGCACGGTACACCGCGTTGCCTACTTCCATAGCTGCCGCAACTCTGTACTCGACTCCATATACACTTTCTTTGGTTCGTCTTAAGAGCACGAATCTCCGATCGGATACGTGCGCCACTATATGCACGGAAGCATGCTACTGCACTGCTGATGTCCCGTAGACAGATCAAAGTCAACTCTTAGTCTTTGACAGAGTCTATTCCTGATCACGCTTACGGGTTGCCCAAGATGCATGTCGGGGGCCTGCATATATCGAGCTGTAGTCTCTTTGACAATGATTCTTTTCTCTCACGCCTACGATCTCGCACCACAGTTGCCACGAAAGCGCTGGTAGAGAGGCTTTTAACATGATCTCCACTCGTAAGAGCACCCGTGAGGTCCGAATCTACGTAGACCTTACTCTGACACGACAAGGCATTCCTTCTCGAGGCTTTGCCGTTCCAATCTAGCAGAAACATTAACTCTTGCACTTCACTCGGTACAGTATGCAGGTTACTCACCAAGACTGGCCACGCTTCCTCGCCATCCAGATCCATCACACCTTTCCTCCAGCGGTCGTCACCTGCATATGCCGAACCATCATTCTTCAGTTCCTCCACAGCATCGAATGCTGGAGTGAATTCGAAGCTCCGACAAGTCAGTGCCAGGATCACCCTCGCTTCAATCATAGCGAGCTCCTGCCCGATGCAATTGCGAGGACCTTTCTCGAATGGTCGCCACGCATTCTCGGGCAGACTGCTCTCGTTCTCGGGCATGAAGCGATCGGGAATGAAGGAAGCAACCGTCTCGCCCCAAATCTTGGAGTGGCGATGTATGCCATACGGCACAACCCAGGCGACATAACCTTCGGTTGGTAGCATCATACCAGTCTTGGGCTCTCTGATCATGAAACCTGGCGCACCGGTCCTAGCAGAGCTGGCTGCCGGCCAGAGCCGAAGCGTCTCTTTGACCACTGCGTTGGTGTATTCGAGCTTGTTGATGAGATGCGGATCGTCTCTTAAACGCTTTGTGGTCTGCGATACGGGTCCGAGAATCTTGTCATGCTCTTTGCGTATGCGCTCTAGTGTTACTGGATTTCTATGCAGCTCATAGAAAGCGTAAGCGATTGTCGAGCTGGTGGTGTCGTGACCTACAAGCAGGGATTAGTCTATCGATGGTGCTATGGTGTCACAGGATTAGCTGTCCTCACCTGCGAAGATGAACGTCCTGATCTGGACAATAGCCTGCCGCCTAAACTCCGCATCCATGACTGGTGCTTTGTGCTGCACAGCACGCTCTTCCAGCCCCATCTGTTGTGCTTGGTAGGCATCCAAGGCTAGATCAATGATGGCTCTCTTACGTTGCTTTCTCGCTCCTTTTTCGGTCGCTGAAGCTTCCCCACTTCTCGCAAATCGCTCGTCAAGCACTTTACCAATATAATCGACCATCTTTCGACTGTTGACCCACCGTCTCCAGATACCGTAAGGCTTCCATTGGGAAAAAGGGTCGCCCTGCTGATCGTTCGGCAGCAGTTGTACTTGTTCCCTGAACGCCTCCACTAGCTCGTTCTTCCCAGTCTGAGCATTGAGCTTCAGATCGAGAGCTACCTTTCCGATGATATCGACAGTCAATCTCGTCGCGTCATCCTCCATGCGAAAGACTTCGTTCTTCTCAGCACGCTTGCGCAAGTTGTCACAGAAAACAAGACAGTCGTCGATGATGCCAGGGACAAGACTCATCAAATGCCCAGCTGCGAAGCCCGGATTCATAATCGACCTCCACTTCTTCCAGTATGGCCCGTCAGAGCTTACCATGTCGCCGGGCCCTGCGATGCCGTGCATGATGTACTTCAACCCCTCGAACTTTGGCTGGCTATTCTCTACTGTGACTTGTTGTGCCACTTGTGGATCCAGGATATACAGAAGAGGGTCCGAAAGTGGCCAGAAGTCCATGTAGACTGTTTTGCACGGTTAGCGAGGTCACCTAATGTACTTTTCGAGCTACTATTGCTCGAGAAGCGCTTACAGCAGTCCTCTTCGATGCCGTATTTCTCCTTGATGCGCAGACCGAAGCCTGGGAGAAGTCTTTGTTAGCCCGCCTGCTTTTTCGTCTAGAGTGTAGATTCGTCCTCAGGGCTTACAATGGGGATGAGCTCGATATGGGACCTCATTCATGATTTCGCCCATGATTTTCAGGTGTCCCCATATCCATGAGTGTGGAGGCCCGGGCTATGCTCCTTTATCAGATTCCTGCCATGACATTACTTCCATGATGCCATATGCCATACCAAACTGTGCATCTGCGTTCGATAGCGGTAGCCTTTAGCGAAGGAGCGAGCGACATAAGCAAGGATGACGACTACTACGGCCGCTGCTATGCCGCGAGATCCTAGACTATCGAACATGCTGTAAGATGGCTTCCAGCGAATATACCGAGATGATATGGCAATGTGACGAGTTCGTGATGGAGACGGGAAAGTTGACAGAAGGGTCGTCAGATTGTAGACACTAATTCCTGCGGAACGAATCCCTGATGGCGCTGGTCGTAAAGCCAGCTGGTGCGGCTACATTACAGGGAGGGATGGCATGATGGGGCCAAAAATTAATGAATCAGCCAGTGCTGACGTTCGCCTAATAAGGCGCACTACACAATGCGAGGTGAGGCGGTGCTGTGTCGTTAGAGTAGCACAAGTATCGACTCATGTGAAGCCCCAACCAGTCCCAGCAGCCGTGTGTAGCTATATGACATACGTGCAGCGAGCATTCACCTAACGAAATCCAGGCAACAAGGCTTGCCAAGACTTGCCCGAACGACATGGAAAGTGTTCGCAGAACGGCAGGGTCCGCGAGAGTGTTGCAACGTAATTCGCTCGCTATCCCCACCTGCAGTGGCACTTGTACAAACCTCACAACTGCCAATACTCTTTTAGATCAACGGCTTTCGACCTTGGATATACTCATAACGGACCATTGCGTGTTGTAATACGACGGCAACACCGCAACCATGAACCCACAAATGTAAGTCTCGCAAGCCACACCAGGCACGAGCACGCGAGCAAGTACTGACAGGGCCGGCGATACAGCACCAACCTGATCATCATACTCGTGATGATGCAGGTGAGCAAAAAAATTCCGTTCGAGGATCCGATGGTCCTCAACGGTGTGCGTGCGCTGTACATTATCAGCAACCTGCTCATCGCCGGCGTCTACCTTTATACAAAGATGCAGATCGACAAAAAGAAGGGTATGTTCGGGTCGCATCGTAGCCGATCAAATGCGTTCTGACGGGCCCTACTAGACATGACCATCCTCAAGTATGTTGAGCCTGCTCCAATGGGCAGCACCGAAGAGCCCAAGGCCGTCACCACCACCGTCCACGCCTACGATATCTCCCAGCTCCGAGGCCTCTTCAAGTCCCAGCTCATGGGCGTTGGCATGATGGCTGT